ATGTGCCAATTGACAAAAGTCCAAAGTCCAAAGTTCAAAGTCGAAAGTCAAATGTCAAGGTCCAAAGTCAAAGCCGAAAAGTCGGAAGTCAAAAGTCACCTTCTGCTCCTTCGATCATTGCGCTCGGTCCCAAGGAAAGCCCCGTAACTGAGCCCGAATCTTGGATCCATCCATGTCCTTTACCAAGACATATTTTCTGTGTCCGACATCCGATTTCATATATCCACCACCAACGGGCCCGCTATGTCTTGGGTCTATAATCCGCTCCACATCAGCACCGCAATACCCTCTGAACAGAGCGAGCGTCGTCGCCGTGGCTGATGCCTTCCCACCGGTCGTGGAGACCGACTGGAAGAAGACTTTTTCAACTGAGAAAGGGCTCGGTCTGGGTGTCTATGCACAGTTTCTGCAGCTGGCTACCGGTGGAGTGCCCCTTGGTCCCGAGTTGAACGTTGAGCATTCTAACAAGACGGCAAATACGTTCGCGTTCGACACGCTGACGACGCTGGCATTCGAGCCGACCCAGGAATACGTGCAAGAGGCCGTCAAGGCACCGGCCGTGCAGGCATGGCTGAGAGAGCCTAGGCAGAGGTTTGCACCCGTCAGCGAGCTCTTCATCGTCACGGGTATGAAGCTCGTCAAGGGCGCCAAGATCAAATATTCGACTTCACAGAGCACGACGGTCAAAGGGAACCTCGGCATCGACGTGACCGCGCTGGGCACGACCTTTGGCCCGAAAGGCCACTGGACTAGGACGAATGATGACGCGACCGAGTCTAATCGCGAGTCGGAATTTGTTTTTGCGTTCCGTGTGAAGAGGCTCAAGTTTGGGCGGAGGCTGAAGCTTGAAGAGTACAATAAGGGCGCCTTTATGACCGTTGGCGAGAACAAAGATGACGACGAATGCGTCTTAGTAGAAGACGTGGATGGAGCTGATATCAAGACTGCTGAGGCTGTTCCCGATGTGACCGAGAACGGCAACGTATATTGCGTTCCTGCTTCATCATACTAAACGAATCTTGGACTACAACTAAGATAGACATCAGTGAACCATGTGTGATTGGAGGTTGGGTAAAACATTCCCGGGATTCTACTAGTATTTGTACATGTTCCTTTTGATATCCTTGATTCTCCCGTAAACATCCTCCCTTGTCGAACCACTATCGAAGAGCACATGAGGCGTGATGTAGTCGTAGCCGACCCCCCGCCTCCGTCTGACCATACTCTTGAAGACCGCATCCATGGAATTGTCCCTTTTCAGCCACGGACCTAGCCTTTCACTTTCTACAGCGATGTGCTGATCCTGCTGCCGGACAAAAGATAGGACCGACGCGGCCAGGCCAGCAGCGATCGGTGTTGCGACCGATGTTCCTGACATGGCTCTGACAGTCTGATCGTGTCCGTTCATGCCAGCCGGCCAGTGAGAAGAGACATGCTCCCCAAGTAGACTGAAGTTGACGTCCGTTTCGCTTGCTGTAGGGTTGAAATTGGAGGGATTGCCATTTCCATCAGTTGAGTGTATACAAAAAACGCTGGGATATTGAGCTGGGAAAGCTCTGCCAAGATTTGCTCCGTCATTCGATGCTGCCGCGAACAACAACGTCCGCTTGTTCAGTGCATTAGATATAGCTGTGCTCATGAGCTCGTGATATTCACGAATCCCGAATGACATTGATATAATGTCCACTTTCCATTGTTCAACTGCGTGATCGATGGCCTGCACAGGTCATTAGCTCAGTCCCAAAAATCTGCTCTGGTCTAGAGACAGCCTTGCCTTTGCAATGTCATCGTAGGTATTGAGATCCAGAGTTTCTCGTCGCGCAATTCTGGCGACATAGATTTCAGCGCATGGGGCAACTTTGAGAAGGAGACCAAGAGCATGAGTGCCGTGCCCTATCTCATCTCGAATGTCGTGCGGTTCTGTCCCATGTACAAAACTTCGCGCTTCCTTGATTCGTGGATTGGCCAGTTGTTGGTCCTCGATCAGGAATGGGTTTTCAGGATCGAGTCCGGAGTCCAAAATCGCTATTCGCACCGGTTGAGCGAGTTCGAAATCAAGGTCAACATAGGGATAGATCGAAGACAGCAGGTTGTCCATCCATCTTTCTGAGAGTGGATTTCTGGCAGGTCATTAGTACGACGAAGTCTTATAGCCAATGGGGAACACCTCACTCCTGTTCAGCACCCGACTGGTGGCTTGCATCAAAAAAGTACAAGCTCTTCTCTGAAGGCTCGGCGAGGGGGCCGTGGGCTTGCGATCCCGAAGAAGGTTGTGCCGACATCCGTAGCACGATATCTGAGTGGAGGGATGCGTAGCTCATGGGCGCGGTGTCAGAGATTGAACGATACGGACTTGCCCTTGCGGTATTGTTTGCATTAGAAGAATCGACCTTGCTTGTATGGAGGCGGACAACTTCTCGACCGATAGAGCCCCAGCAGGATTGATTCTGCTGTGAATCGAATGAACTTAAATCCTCTATTCGAATGCCCCATGCTTTGAATATCACGGCCTCAAGTCGTTTGACGACGTTTTGGTAGAAGAGCCGCTGAACACTGACATCCTCGAAGGCAGCGTCCTGTCCAATGGGATAGTAATCCCCAGTAAGGCAGGCTTTCGTAGCGAGATAGTAATCCACGCCAGCGTCGTCCTCCAGAGTGTGAAGCTTATCAAGACAGGTATAAAGATCATCGTTGACGTTCCTGGAAACTGGAGGGACCTTTGCCATCAGCTCCACAGGTGTGCAATAGTGAAGCTCGCACAAGAGTATGCCTAGTGCTAGCACACTGGCGTTGGGATGAACTATGTGTTTTGAGGCGCCAGAGCTGTCTCCTGTGTCTGTACCGCGGGCTGAAATGGTTGGAACGTGCTTCAGAGCCAGGAAAGGTTTCGTGATATCGGGGAGTTCTCCATCCTGCCGTGGCTCAAAAAACTGGATCATTGAGTGATTGAAGGAAAACTGCAGCCACGGTGTCTCCAAGAAGGGAAGGAGTGCTGAAGCCAGTGTAACAGCCAAGACTCGCTTCCCCTTGAGTGGCAATACCGATTCACCACGAAGCAATTCTTGCTGGCGGTTGAACAGTGTCGACAAGGATACCGTTCGAGACATTTGGTCACTACCAAATGTCTTTGGTTGTGGGCGAAGCCTCTGGAATATCCCATCCTCGAGAGCGAAATGCAAGCAATTTCGCTGACCGAGGGACTCTGTGATGCTCTGGCATATGTGGGCAAAGTCGGGTGGGCTGCTAACTATAGGCTCAGATGAGCGCCTCAATGTGCTGTTGTGTAGGTCTCTGCACCGACAGGGTTAGTGAATAGAAGTTAACACACAAAGCCTCGAGAGCTTACTTGACCGTGATTTTAGCTTCTTGCAATGCAGTTGCGGGTACGGACCGCACGCCGAAGAATACTTCGAAACTCGCCTCAGCGTCGAGATCCTTTTTGTGCTGTGGCAGCGACAGTCTCACGCTCAACCCTGAGCACTTCTGGCAAACGCAAACCCAGTGTCTTCGCAACGCATTGTCCAAGGACACCAAATGTCTCCTCATCAGCACGGCGAAGTCGGCATCGGGGTCTTCGAGATTGGGCCCATGAGTTAGCTCTTCACGAGGCAGAACCCGGCGCTTCTTTCTCTCCTGTTCCAAATGCAAGAGTTCCTGAATGGCATTATCGCATTCTCGTCTCCGTTTCCCAACTCGAATGACAGTGCCTTGGTCGGCATGCGGATCGCGATTCGGATTCTCGATCATGCGGCGGAGCTTCGGATACTGCTCATGTCCAGGTTGTTGGAAGCTCTGCTCCGGGAATTGTCATTAGTAGGCAGGAAGTGAGAGGCCAATCGACCGAAAAAACTGGAGTTTGCTGTATGTCAAAAATACCTACGAAATCCATCCCTCGTTTAGAGTCGTCTTGAACAAGGTGTTCAAATGCGCGCAGAGTCCTTGCAACACTCTCTGGGTCAGCTTCGCCAAGATCATCGTGTTGCAGAAATGCATCCGTCCGTAGCCAGGCCTCGCGTTTCCGTGATCTCAGTGACGCCGGCTTTGCCGAACTTTGTGGTCGTTTTCGAGCGAATAATCCAAGCACGGATTGCAGCAGGCTTTGGGATCCAGTGTCGTCCTCCATGGTTGCGCATCCAAATGATGGGTTTGAAGATTTCACTGAGGTTCTTTGGCTGGAAGAACATTGGTCGATCAGCGGACGTTTGCTGTGTATTGATCAGATCAGGCTGTTTCGGATCAGGCTTTGCTACAATCACACCCAGAACCTCAGGATGGTAACAGACGCCCGACAGTCCTCGAGCGCGTTCCCTGCCAACGGTGTTGGCGCTGCACAGCCCCGCGTCCACGCGCTAGAAGCATTGGCCCCCAACATTGGTGAAACATGGGTGATACCTCACCCCAGCTCGAGCGAGTCAGGGGGTGAACACAAGGCGGCATTACCCTACGCCAAATCCAGGGTGAGCTGCGAGTGTGAATTTTGGTGGTGAAAGGGCCGCAACAAGCAGAATCAAAGGTGAGCGAGGTGAGTGCAAGGGTGAGAGGGAGGGTGAGAGGTTATAAAAGCGGCATGCTCGAGGCGCCAGTGGGTGGCAAGTGGGCTCGGTGCTCGTTCTTATTCTCTTTCTGTTGCCAATAACGGATTGGAAAGCTCAGAAGCCATTGCAAGGTCCTGCTCGTAATGAGACATGACCGCTTTGAGATCTGTGGGACATCGAATGTCGTAGGTGAAGGGACTGAGCCCGCCATTGTTAAAAAGCGCAAATAGTACGATCCTCGATCCATGCTTCCTTTAACGCAAAATACTTGCGCTACAGATGTACATTTCAGGACCGACTCAAGATTCCGGGAGCTCTCATCTTACCATCATGAGCATCACTATCCTGGCTTGCCGATGCTAATGTCTAACCGCAAATAGCCTATCGACAAATCTTTGCCGATGTCCTTATAAAACCAACCCGTTCTATCAGTCAAGGGTTGAAGCTGAAAGCTTTTGCTGCGATCTAATGCGTTTTCGCCCATTCCCGGTACCAATCCAAACAGCCACTGTTGGCTACGCTTGCACTTGTTTTGATGTTCACGCCACATAGAATTTGCTTGACCGCGCCTTCGACTTTCTTGCCGTTCGTCGTGACAGGGATCTCGGGGCACTCGTCCACGATCTTGGGAACATGACGCGCACTCAGTTCCTTTCTCACTACTGTCTGGATCTTGTGCACCAACTCATTCGAAAAGGTCTGGCCTTGCGCCATCTTGAGGAACAAAACGACAACTTCATCGGGGTCTTGCTCGCGCTTTCGCCCGATGCAGAGCGCATCTTCGACGTCTGCGCTGAAATGCTTGAGGAGGATGTTGTAGATTTCACTAGAGCCGAAACGGACACCCATTGGGTTGAGTACGCCGTCGGATCTGCCTAGCATCCAAATGCCACCTGTCGAAGGGTTGAAGCGTACAAAATCGCCGTGGTGCCAGATCGGATGGCCTGTTTTGGGATCAGTGAAAACTTCAAAATACGACGACTTGTATCGCTTTTCGCCACTTGGACCAGGCGGCCAGAACATGCACGGCTGACAAGGGAACGGAACAGTGCAGACAAGCTCTCCTGGTTGACCGGTCGAAGTTATATCTTGGCCATCTGCCGAGAAGGCCTTGATCGCCATACCGAGGCCGCGGCATTGGATCTCACCAGAGTGGACGGGCAATATCGGACAAGGAGCGCCGAACAGGGAGATGATGTCCGTCCCTCCTGTAATAGACCCAAGAAGTATTCCTGGGTGAGGGGCTGGAGGGGACAGGCTTTTGTAGACGTATTCGAAAGTACTAGGCGCTAGAGGCGAGCCAGTAGAGAAGATAGATTTCAGAGAGTCGAGAGTGGCTCTCTGGGGAGATGCCTCCCTGGGTAGTGTCTGGGACTGTTCCAAGATGGACAGGTACTTAGCGGATGTGCCGAAGTGGTTGATCTCAAGCTCATCGATCAAAAGCGGCATGCTCATCTCTTTGTGCGGGTGGAATGGAGAGCCATCGTACAGCACGATGGTCGCTCCACTAGCCAAGCCCGACACAAGCCAGTGCCACATCCTAACATTCATCACGTTAGCAATCGAAAATAGAGAAGTGCGACACGTCGAGAACGCCGGAAGGCTCCTGCAATGGCATTACAAGTCTTTAGAGGAAGACTTACATCCATGTCACGGTAGAAAAGTAGAATACTTTCTCCAGAGGTTTGACATCACAGTGGATCTGGTGTTCTTTCTTGTGTTGCAGGAGAGTCCCGAGCGAAGCGTGCACAATAGGCTTGGGGACGCCAGTGGTGCCGGAAGAGTACAGGATGTAGACAGGATGGTCTGGCGAAAGATACGTAAAGCGGAGCGGTCTTGATACGTCGCCCTTGGCCAGAAAGGAAGAATATGTCTCCACGACTTTGCGTGGGTGTCCGTTTATAGATGAGATGTCAAAATGGTGGCCAGGGATGCTTTCGAAAATGACAAGGTTCTTGACTGAAGGTAACTCTGAGATAACTTGCGATACTTTGGCATGGGTCTCATGGACCTTCCCATTGTATGTGACCGCATTGTCGGCAAATAGGATTACAGGTTCAATTTGACGAAGTCTGTCGAGAACGGCGTGTACGCCCGTATCAGGACTGACACCCGACCATATTGCACCCAGAGAGGTCGCCGCCAGCATAGCAACCACTGAGTTCGAGTGGTTGGCCAGATAACCCGCGACTCTGTCCCCTTTCTTGAGCCCGTGTCTTTCCATTGCCGCAGCGCATTTCCGAACCCGCTCTCGCAGCTCTGACCACGTCACCTGCTCGCGAGTGTTCTCAGTGGCTGCAATAATAGCAAGAGCATCCTCGGGGGGATTCGAGTGAGGGAACAGGAGGTTCTCAGCGAAATTCAATTCGCAGCCGGGGAAGAAGGTGGGCTTGGGGAACATTGGAGCCGATTCATCCAGAACCTTGCAAACGTGTCAGCGTGGGTCAGTCCATCCCTTTTGCTCCAGCTCGACGTACAGAATCATACTGCTTGTTTGCTATTATACCGGTATAGTGCCAGAGCTCTTCCCAGAAAGCACTGGGGTGGTCGACGCTCCATTGCCAAATGTCATGGTAAGAGGCGGTAGAGACGCCGAACTTGTTTGCGACGTGCTGCTGGAAAGCGTAAAATTCTGTCGTCTCGGGACGAGGATGTCTCCAGAGTTCAACAGAGCCCTTGGACTCACCTTGCACACCGTTTGTAGCCATTGCAACCAAGTCGGTGTGAGAGGAAAGAAAATGTTGTGAAGAGCCATCGGAAAGAGACTAGGGCCAGTGATTTTGTTTGGGGAAACGAATGCCCGCCAAAACTCCGGTTTTCTACGAGCCTCGGAGCGCATTTGACAGATGCCCATTGACTGTTCACCGTGGACGGAATTCTGTCCGGCCTTCAAAATTCACACCGACCGGGGTCGCTTTGCTTGCGCGATGGGGTTAGCAGTTAGAAAAAGCTCGTTCGGATGAGGTCTGCTCGTCTGATCACCGAGATAAGTGCCCGATAAGAGCTGGGCAGGCCCCATGCACACCCCAGCGAAATATGGCACAGGATAAGTCATCAACAGGAAGAGTTCCCCGTGTACGTCCCATCTCCTGAGACGAGAATGTGAGCAGTTGACGTCGGGACCGTTGTCCATCCCCCGTCGATATAGATATCTTATCTGGAATTTGCTCATCTCATTCTTTGAGGGGCGCGAGAAAACCAGGGCAGATATACCTCGTACTAATTAGTGTTCCGTACTACTCGCATCCGACTAAATGATCGGAAAATGCACGCGATTTCTGCATGATGATGCCAAGCTCCCATGCCTGGGCTAGCGTGGCCCCGGGAGGCTCCTTGATCCAATGAGGCCCAATTGCAATCTGTGTGCAAATTCTACTGGGCTCCGTGGGCACTTAACCCCCCTACAAGTTTAGGTTTAGCCTTTGACTGCCCCTGATGACCCCTATTCATTCTAGCGATGGCGCCTATCAAGCTCCCCCTCCTTCCCTCCCTGGGTCTCTGGATAAACGTGCAAAGTGACCTGGACCCCAAGTGTTGGTTGGAAAAGACGCCCACAGGTGCCCAGCTGTAATTTCGCACCAGCTCCCCAGAGGCTCCAGCTGTTTCAACCAGACCATCTGGGTCTTGTCAGCAAAATCTGCTCTGTTTCGCGTCTTTTTCGTGTCGTGTGCACATCTCCTGGGGTTGCCGTCGTCTCTTCCTATTCTGCATCGTTTTTCCTCAACTTTATACCGCACGCTTCTGGCATCCCGATCATCGCTGCCCTCCGCAAAGAGGCATTGCGTGTGCGGCTGAGGGCGGGCGGTTCCTGCAAGGAACAAGCTCCTCGTGTCCAACCACGTCCAACCACAGCGCGGCGGATCCAGGCGGAATACCTCAGTCATCCGGTCAAACCGGTGCTGAGTTCCTTCTTCGTCATACACTCGACAACCTCCTATCGCAGGGTTTCCTGTTCTAGGCGTGGTTGGAAGATCAAAGCGGCGTTCTGAGCATCCATCGAGCACTCACAATCAAATTTCAACTGCGGTATCCCTCCTCCGACTCCTTCAGTTCACCATTTCACCTCTGTCGACCACCTCCTCGACCAACCTCCTTTGTTCGCAACTTGCAGCACAAGTGAGACGAAAATCGCAGCCGAGCCCCCTTCGAAAACCTTTCCTTTTTCTTGCCTCCTACACCGCCACACCGTCCACGCCCGCCATTGGAGAAAAAGAAGGAACTCGAACAACTCTCGCTCACTTTTTGCGCTTGCACAAACCATCGGCGTCCATCACGAAGAAAGGCTTGTCGTGAATATACTGAACAGTCCTTGAAGCGATCATTTTGGCCATGCCTCGTCGAGTGTCCGGCTCCCTCCTAAGTAGCTCACCTCCGACCCCCTGGCCGTCCTTTTCGCCGTCGGAAAAGGGCGGCAGCCTCGTCAACAAGACCTCTCAAAAAGCAAGCAAAATTGCTCAACTATTCTCAACTTCTCCAAAGACAAAAGAAGCCCAGTCAGCAGCTGCCGCGCTGCTGGCGGCTAGCAAGGCTCAAGAGCAGGCATTTTTGGCGTCGGGCTCACCTCCCATAAGCACACCCTCGCTTTCGTTACCTAGTATCTCCCTGTCAACAGCCCGCGCAGACTCTGTAAATATGGACGAGCCGCCCACCACTCTTTTCCAGCCACCGTCTCCGGCTGAGACGCGAAAGCTGGCTCGACAACATGCCCAGTTTGGTCCGTTAAATTCCCAGTCTCACAGATACACCAGTCGGCACCAGGGCGGTGAATTTCCAGAACCAGTCATGGATGAACCGCCCTACTACTATCTTTTGACAACCTACATCTCCTATTTGATTCTCATAATATTCGGACACGTTAGAGATTTCTTTGGCATGAAGCTGAAAGAGGACAATTACCGACACCTCAAGGCACGGAATGGCTATGCGGCCCTCAACAGTGATTTTGATAATTTCTACGTCCGAAGGCTGAAGATGCGCATCAACGACTGTTTCAACAGACCTACAACCGGAGTTCCCGGAAGATACATTAACTTGCTGGATCGAACATCGGACGATGGGAACGTCCATTTCACCATGACAGGCACCACTACCGAAACTTTGAACATGAGCTCATACAACTACCTCGGCTTTGCGCAATCCGAAGGTCCCTGTGCTGACTTTGTCGAAGAGACAGTCCGGAGGTGTGGACTGTCAACAGCGAGCTCGCGAAGCGAAGTGGGTACTTCTGAGCTGGCCGTCGAGTGCGAGAATCTCATCGCAGATTTTGTTGGCAAAGAATCTGCCATGGTCTTCTCAATGGGTTTCGGTACCAACGCCTCCATTTTCCCTGCTCTGGTCGGAAAGGGTGATTTGATCATCTCCGACGAACTGAATCATGCGTCAATCCGATTCGGCTCCAGGCTTTCCGGCGCCATGATCACATCGTTCAAGCACAACGACATGAAGGATCTCGAGGGTAAGCTCCGTGAGGCAATTTCTCAAGGACAACCGCGTACCCACCGCCCTTGGAAGAAGATTCTCGTTGTTGTGGAGGGCTTGTATTCGATGGAAGGCACAATGTGCAACCTTCCGGGCCTGGTCAGGTTAAAGAAGAGATACAAGTTCAACCTCTTTGTTGACGAGGCCCATTCGATTGGCGCATTGGGACCGCGCGGAAGAGGTGTCTGTGATTACTTCGGAATCGACCCTTCGGAAGTGGAAATTCTAATGGGTACTCTGACCAAGTCATTTGGTGCTAATGGAGGATATGTAGCCGGCGACAAGGCTGCCATCGACAAGCTGCGACTGTCGAATGCTGGTACCGTCTATGGCGAAACTCCTGCTCCCGCCGTGTTGGCCCAGATTATTGCCGCCCTCAAAATCATCAACGGCGAGCTCGTGCCGGGTCAGGGCGAGGAGAGACTGCAAAGAATCGCTTTCAACTCTCGCTATCTTCGACTGGGTCTCAAACGCCTCGGTTTCATAGTCTACGGTCACGACGATTCGCCTATCATACCGCTCATGCTCTACAACCCGGCCAAGATGCCTGCCTTCTCTCATGAGATGCTCAAGCGCAAGATTTCAGTTGTTGTTGTCGGATACCCAGCAACACCTCTGATCTCGTCCCGAGCACGATTTTGCGTCTCGGCTGCGCATAACAAGGACGATCTCGACCGACTCCTTGCGGCATGCGACGAGATTGGTAATGTCCTCCAGCTCAAGTTCGCGAGCGGCATTGCCGGCGGGGCGCCCCCTCTAGCTGAAGGCGTGACATGGGAGATGGAACAAAGCCGAAAGCGGCTGGAAAAGCACGACAAAGTGGCCAAGTCATTGGTGGTATCACCTCGGTGGGGATTAGATGAAGTCATTAAGCGTGGCGTTCAGGATGTCAAGGTACCGCTGCGGTAACGACTCAACCGCAGGACGGCTCTCATCGGTGCATTCAGTCCGGCACACAGACATATATGTGTACACTTAATGAGCAGGGATGCAAGCGATTGCCAGATTTCCAATTTGAGATTTGGGGGATTAAACTTCGACCAACCCGACGCGCCAGAGCCGATTGTACATAGAATTTGGGTCTCTGAACAGGGTGTCGATGGGTGTCTGGAGCCAACGGGTCGGTCAGGCTTAGGGAAGCATTTCAACGCCCGCACAGAGCAAGGAGTTTTGACGGCGACGGTCACTGTGACCATGTTCGGCCAGAAAAAGAGGTGCGACTCATGTGAACGACAACATTTTATCAATAGCCAAACCTAATAACATCCACCATCACAAAGTCAAGCGTTTTGTTTGTTGTTTCTGTTGCTTTCTCGTTCCACCTACAGTAGATGGGGCCGGCGAAAATGGACCGGATATGCACAGTACGAAAGTGAGGCGAAAGGCGAAAGATTGACGAACCTGCTCCGTAGCAATCGGGCGCAACGAATTCCTTGCATGAACACCTGCGCACTGATGCATCGGCCAGCTATGTCGCGCAGGGTACAGGAGCGTTGCCCCGTTATGCTGGGGAGCAGAGGCGAAGAATAGACGATTGCCCTGTTGTGGCATAGCCTTGACAGGGCATAGAAAGGCAAGACAAAGCAAGGGACTTCTCACCCAATGAGTTCTGGGACGGGTTACAAGTCAAGTTAGCTGTAGAGCACGAAGTACCGAGTATTCGTCTTATATCAATGCCTGGAACACTGGAAGGGTTTAGATCTGCCAGCGCATTTCACACCACTACGATGGTTGCGCTATGTACTCGGGCAATCGAGCAGTCCGACAGCAAGGACAGGCCATCCAAGCAGGTCAGCACTATTGAGTTCAAGTCTGGTCACCCAAAAAAGCTAGCAGCCTCGTCAATACGAAGCGATGGGTGTGAAGGAAAGGATATGGGAGCAGGACCGTCAATGTGCTCATATGCTCTTGAAAGCGATGTGGTGTGTTCAGCGCTGCCGTCGTCAACACGAAGTCTCGGTTTGCACCTCGCGCATCCTAAGAAAACTTGACTCTCGAGGATCAATCGCCGATGAGGGTATGAGCACGTACCTTAGGTTGGTATGGGCTACTAGAAACCTCGTTAGCAAAGAGTCAAGACGCTAGCAATCATGCAAGGAGGGGAAAAGTCACGTGGTGGAACTTTTGGGCGCAGTCTCCTTTGCACTGCAGCTCATGTTCCGTTTCATCTCACCGTCCGTGCCATCTCTGCCCACCTCAGCAATGGCCACCATCTTTTGCGCCCCCTTGTTGTCTGATTCTACTAGGACCTGGCAAGAGAATCCTTTATGCGCCCGACTGCATGATGACTGAACGTGGCCTGGACAGCCACTGCAATGACAGCTGGCTCCTGATTCGTTCTCATCCTCCTCCAGGTCAATTTCTCCTTAGCCGCGCTACTGCACCTCGTGCATCCTTTCAACGAAAGAATAGCGACACTGATGACACCGCCGTTTCAAGCACCGACCCTGTCCTCTCTCGTTCATTCCTCTGCTTGCTGCGTTCCAAAGGCCCCGCAAATCAGATCCCGCATGTTCCCGTCCCCTCAGGCCGAATGGCCACCATGCCAGCTCGCCAGGCATGCCTCTCAAAGCCGCCCTGGAAGGAGAAGCCAATTGTTATCCGTGCTTGATCTGCAAGGCAACCATCTCGAGCATTCTCTCTTCACCCAAAGTTAAGAAAAAGGGCGGATTTCCACACCGGCCGGGAATACTTGATTTCCTCCACCTGAGAATCCCTCCTCCCTTGACTCAGACACAGCCAGGGGCCGCATGCCTGGCTGACCCAATAATGGCCCAACATTCACAGAGTTGAACTGGTGTGCAAAGTCAATTGAATCTATCAGGCATTCCTCTGTCGTCCGTTTACCGTGCGTTGCCGTTGCATATCATTGACCCATTTCCCGTTGTGCTGCCCCACCAAACTTCCGTCCCTCCTACACACCGTCTGTTTACTCGTGTATCTTTTGCAAGACGCATCCTCACCAGCAGCAGACTGCGCCTGGCTTGTCCAGCTTTGCGGCCTCCTTACCCGCAACTATGGAGCCACCAATTCCCCCTGATCACCATTTTACTCCGCTTCCTCCAGACGTTCGGGGTCTCCACGACCCGTATGAAGAACATTTCGATGACCGCTTTGTCGAGGAGCCTGCTTTCTTTGAAGAGCGGGCCCCAAGTGTTCAACAACGCTTCGACAGAATGACCTTGCAAGAAGACACAGAAGAAATCCGCCCTCGCGCGGATCGGATTCGATCTGCTGACACTGTACCTACCTCACAAGATTATCTCTACTATCGTCTGTCCAAGCGTGGCGACGATTGGAGCGCCTGTTTCAAGAAGCCCATCAATGCCCCGGTTGACGAAATTGAGAGAAAAGCTAGGAAAGGCAGGGGCGGTGATGCCCCGGTGTTGGAGCAGCTAACCCGTATGCCCTCGCTTCGCCGAAGCATGCTTGACGAAGTGGTCCGAAAAGCCAATGGCCAAGAGGCAGGAGATGCCCGTTGGGAAGTTGTTTATATCAAGTCCAAGAAAGTACAGACCAAAAAGGGCAGGATGGAAGTCCCAGAGATGGACGTCATTCTCGCCCGAACTAGAGACAGGTCAAGATCAAGGGCCAAGTCCTTCGGTGGGGAGAAGGCGAGAAAATTCGAAACCGTCCGAGAGAAGAGGTATACCAATGACAGCTATGGCCGTGCAAGGAAAGATTCAGTTCTCGACAAATTAGAGGATCCCGTCGCGAACCTGCCGCTTTTTGAGACGGATGGCACTCCACGTGACGAGTTGGGCCCGCTTCAATTCAATAACGCCAACCTCCCTCCATACATCGCGCGAGAGAAGCCATTGGGATCGAAACCCGAGCAGAAGAAGGAGAACAAGGAGAAGAAGCGCAGCAAGTCTCGTAGTAAGTCGCGAGAGAGGGGTGCTGTCCATGATGAAGACGATGTCTATGTGGTGCCTGAAGTGCAAGATTATGCCGCCGACGCCGTGGATCCTGCTCCTGTTGATGCCGTGTTTGTTGAGAGCCCGACTGACCATCGTGGCCGTCGAGCACATTCACCACAGGAGCACCCTGTGGTGGTTGTTGAGAGTGATGCTCGAAGGTCTCATTCCCGACACCGGACGCAGCCAGAACCACGTTCTAAGTCTCGACGCCGAGAGTCGGTGCATTTCCCCAACCAGCATACTCAGCAGTATTTTGACGTTGCTTATGCCTCTTCGGAGAACAGCGATGCTAGCCATTACGGCTTTGTGGCCGACTACGCAGAAAGCTCCAATACCTCCCTCAGTACACCTGGAGGTGTTCCTCGCCGAGGAAGCCTGGTGTACAGCCAAGGCCGTCCTGACGTTGTGTATAAGAAGCACCATCCCGGACCCAGCAGGAGACAGTCATATGTGGAACGACCATATCATGGTGAGCAACAAATTGTCGTGCCAGCGATAGCACGTCGGAACTCTTATGTCGTTCATGATCGACGACCGTCTGAGACCCGCTACGAACGCCTCCCTCCCCGACTAATGAGGCAGGCGACGGCGCCCATTCCCGAGGATAGACAGATCGTCCACCGCGACATTCCTCGACGATCGAGGGAGCAAGAGTTCGTGCCTATTCGTCGCTACTCCACTCACGAATCTGCCATGCCAATTGTTCACTATCATCATCCAGAGGACGAACGCGATTTCTACTACCGCGACGAACTCGACCGCCAAAGTGTCCGAGTCGAGGACTATCAGCGTGATCGCGTCCTCGAGGATCATTTGAGTCGCCGCGAACAACAACTCACTGCCCGTGAGAGGGAAGTGGAGATCCGCGAAGATGAGCTCAGGCAAGCGAAGAGGCTGCGCGAGGTGGCAGGAGAACGAGAATACTACGACGACAGGGATTTCAGGCGGGAGAGACGGGAGCCAAGGAAGCTTTATTATGACGCGAAAACAGGAGAGCATTTCTTCTACAATGATTGATGCTGGAGGATCGGTGCCACATGTTCTCTCAGGCGATGGGATGTGGAGGTGTTTGCGGTTGCGGGCCTTGCGGTCTAGATTTACGGGATGTCGCCATTCGAGATGAAAGTTATCGTTGTGAGGTGCGGATCCGCGCGGCCTGAGGGAACAATTTTGTCTGATCTTGAAAGGGAAAGTCACAAAGCATCTGTTTTCTTCGAATTTGTTACCCGGTTCGAAGAGAAGTCATGGCTCGCTGCCACCTTTAGGGGAAAGAAAATCACAACCTGTTATTTTGGACAGGAACACCAACAAAGACAAATATGGGGTACGAGAAAAAATTCGGTGGTCGTGAGGCGAGGGCCTCATGAATAGGTATGGATTGGGCTCGCAGCAGATTGAGGGCATGATCCAGCTGGAGGTCGGGAGTGCAGGTTGGCGCACTCTCCCCTACCAACTTCAACGGCTGCTGTGCACGGCGATGACTCTGATATGATTGGAACTTGATGGATTTTGCTTGCTTTTCTCTTCTTGCTGTCTCTTGTGGAAGATACCCCTGTCGTTCTTTTTTGGGCGAGCAGGAAAGGGAGTTAATCTGTGGCTTCTTTTTTTCCGTTTGTTTCTGTGTTGTATGTGTGACAAGGGCCTGAAATGGAATGAGAAGGAACGAGACGCTATGACGCTATGGATGTTGATGTCTGATCTGTCCGGCGTTCGCCTTGAGAGATTGTGCGATTGGGGAGTATGAATGGGGAGCAGTGAGCCATTCAAAACTAAGGTGCAAACCCCATGCAACTTTTGACATTATTTCGACACGAGCGTGGGCTGGATCCACGTACGTCTTTGATATGGGAATACTGATGAGCACGAGCATGAGCATGGGACGAAGAACAGAGACTGAACAAATGCGATTTGAGAAGCAGGGAAACTGGAAAACCCAGGCCTCCAAAAAGCTTTTTGATAATTTGACCAATATGACATTGTCAACTTTTTACCCCCCTCCCTCTATTGCACCTTTTCTCCAATGTCTTCGACGTTCTTACAGACAGTATCTCAAAGGAAACTCCTTTCTCCCTTCCCATCTTCTGTTGTTCTCGTGCTTGCCCCTTCGTGAGCGACACAGAACTCGATGCCCCATCCCGGCGGAGTTTTGCAAGGGGGATGGATTTCTTTTGTAGCTCTATCGCGACTGGGTCGATGACCGGGGGCGGGCGTACAATTAGAACTTGGAAGGTAAGGGACAGGGAGGGCTGGGGAAAGTGTATCCTGGGAAAGAAAACAAAGAGGTAAGGAGATTTTGTTGGGTGACATGGATCTCGGGCATTCAGTGCGTCTCTCGGTGCTTTTCTTTCGTGGAGCATCTATCTTGCTTTTCTTTGAGATGACAGACTAATTACAGTATTACGAAGCTTATTGAATCTTCCCAGGATGGTCGGCCAGTAGTTCCCCCGGACATGGGAAGATGGTTGCAGCTCCTTTTTTTGATTTACGATATACCTATTCGAGGAGACTCCCGACATTCCATAATGGATTGGGGACATGTCACAAAATCGATACCTTGCAAGAAAACCCCCTTTCTCCACGAATACAGAACTGACCTAGAAGAGCCGAAACCTATTCCTTGGGGATAGGGATCCTTTCTCCATCGACGACGTCTGCCACGTGGTAAACCTGCACGACTGTTTCTCGGCTCGATCGACCCGGCGGGTCTCACCCTCCTGGGGGCGCGTACCGAGTACATGGTCCAGAAGCCCAGAGCTTGTTGTATTCGCCTATTCCGAGATATGCCCTCTTCCCTATCCAGGATCCCGACGGGTGTAGTTCGGAAAACTGAATAGGAGGGCGTCCCCTAGAGCTCCCATGACCTTGCGGCAGGCAGCCTTGTCCCGGGGAAGGCCAGATCTCTGAGCTGCTGACAAGAACGAGATGTGCTCATCGTGAGCAGCTGAGGCCTTCCCGGAAAGTTCGCCGCCCGGCCAATCAAGGCTGGTAAGGGCGGTCACAGAGTGAACAGAACGGAAGAAAAAAGGCCACATAGAGCTCACAATATAGATGGCAGAAAAGGGGCCGTCGGCCTAGAAGCCTTGCGAATTCATATCTTATAATCAGTTCTCCGAGCATTGCTTGATCTTCGGAAAAAGAAGACCAAAGCGTACTAATCTTTCCCCGAGGACATCTCCAGTCGGTCTCGACACCCCTCGGAATAGTACCGAAACGACTGCGAATGCCAGAGCGGCGCTTGGTAGGAGAAGCCCCTTTCATTAAACGTCTACTCCCCGAGTAGGAGACCGATGGTAAGTTACGTTGCCGTCTTCTCCGGCTGTTCCAGATCCACAGCCTTGTTATCATGGTGGCCTTCCCCAAGGATGTTCTTTTCCATGTGCACGGCGGTATGATTTGTCAGGTATTCCGAGGCATCTTTGATAAAGAGTGCAGTGATAATCGCAATCACACCAAAGGGAATCGTACTGAAGAAGACTCGCTGATAAGCGTATCCGTATGCCGACTTGTAGGCTTCCGCGGTTGCAGAGATGAGAGCAGGAGTGGCACCTTGGACTTTCGCGAACGCGTCAGGGACACCCTCTGCGTTGGCTGACACTGCTGCCACTAGGCTTTCAACGGCCTTTGCGTCGCCATGGAATCCGTTGGCTGCCGCTGCCTTCAAAATGCGTGGCACGAGCTGGCTGCCAAGAACGCCATTTCTGATGGTGTTGAAAATGGCAATGCCAACGCTGCCACCAGTGTTGCGGAAAGTCCCCACCAAGCCCGACGCAATACCGAGATCCTTGTGTGGCACATGGAGCCCAACGACGACATATGAGCAGAGAGTGATCCACGAGAAACACATCATGCCGAAAAGCTGGAAGATGACCCATGCGGTCTTATGGTGCGGGATGATCCCATAAGCGTACAAGGCCGAGAACAGGGTCTGGATGAAGAGGGCGAATACAATTTGAGCCCGAATGTTCTTGATTTTGTGGATCAAAGCAGGAAGGATCGCTCCTCCGATGAATTGACCAATACCGTTCGGGATCAAGGCGACTCCTAGCTTGATCGGATCGCTGTCGTAGACCGATTCGGTGGCTTGAGGTAGCAGGGAAACCATGGCGAAGAAGACCATTCCCGAGACGAAAAGCGCAACCAACAAGATGGTGAATTCCCGGATCATGCGGAATATGTGAAGCGGCATCAATGGAAGCTTGGGCTTCGCAGTCCAGTCATAGACAAATGCGCCGATGAAAATCAAGGCTCCAAGAACGATTGGCGCAACCACCGAGGCAGAATGCCACGCGTGGCCCTCTTCGCCAGCCCAACTCATTCCGATGAGGAAAACAGTCAAGCCTCCAGCGTAGAGGAAGTAACCCACAAAGTCCAGCTCCAGGAACTCCTGCCAGCGGGTTTTGTCGTAGTCTTTACGTGGGCGAGCCGGCGGGAAGTAGAAGATGGCCGTTCCAACCAGACAGACGGCCGCATAGATGATGGATAGATAGTACACCCACCTCCATGTCGCGTGCTCGTTTAGCTGGTTAGCGAGAAGAGTGGCGAGCAGACCCCATGGGATCGTGATGCAAAATTCAGTCCATGCCAAACCCATGCCACTATGTGAAAGTCAGCGATCATTCGAAAAGCAGGTTCGCGAAAGGAAAGAGGGCAGTGGCAAGTTGACATCAGGAGATGAGGACTTACCGGTACTTGTTGGGCAAAATTTCAGGAATACCGGCATAGGCAACAAAAACGAAACCAGCACCGAAGCCAATAATGGCAGATCCAGCGATGACATGTTTTGTAGTTTGAGCAGTGGCAGCGACAATGCCTCCAACAATGTTGAAACCTTGTCCAGCCATGATAACGTATCTACGGCCGAATATATCGCTCAAACCACCTCCGAGGGACATGCTGACTGCTGAGGTGACTGCCCAAGACGAGGCTATCCAGCTGATGGGCTCCAAATCGCCCAGCGCGCTGCCAATTGGGACCAGAATGGAAGACGCCAGAAGGAAAGCAGTCGAAATGCATCCCGAGAAGGACAAGCCCATGAACTAGATTGCACGGTTCTGGTAAGCCAACGTTGGAAACATGGCGGGGAGGGAAAGGGCAAGCTCTTCATCTTTGCAACTTACAAAGACGGCCATGATCGTGGACCAAGTGACACGTTGAGGGCTTTCAGGATTGTCTTCGAGGGCAGCTCGATGGGGGTCATCCTCAATGTCCTCGCTGGTCTCGACGGGTGGCACCGCCACCTGGCTATGTGCTGGGACAGCCTCAATCTCTTCGGTTCTGTTACCCATCTCTTTTCTCGCAGCTTCTTCGGCCATGATGTTCAGAGTGTAATGCTACCTCACAGGTACGACAGGAGAGCGTCTCTGAAGCAGAAGGTCAGACCACATATCATGCGAACATGGGATTGCTTTTGCATTTGAAACCCCAGACCCCAGACAGTCATTCCGGGGAAACGACGGGGATGGCCCATGACACAGGCATAACTTGGGTTGAGCTCCATTTTGGGCGGCTTGGATCCGTGGCGCGAGCGTTAAGAGGGATGACTTGGAGATGGTCCGGAGAGTGACCGGGAGTGGCTGACTTTGCACCCTCCCGCCCTCAGACCTTTCTCCAGGTGGACGCGACGTGCGGGGAGGCTTTATTGGGGTGTCGGGGTAATCAATCAGCTGGTGCTTCTCCACATGCTGGACTGGCGAGTGAGCTGCGACTTGAAGCTTCAGCGTTGGATGTTTGTTGAGCCAGGAGCAGGGGTGGAGACTTCGCTTATGCCCTCCTGCGCTGAGGGCCAAGTTCAAGGGCATCTGCCACGCTTGCAACTCTGCATGTGCTAGACAGATTCGGTGCATGTGTTCTGAAGCTACTCGCATATGCCAACACAGAGACTCCAAGTGACTCCGAGGAAATGGACGAGGCCAAGCACTTGTAGTATTGCCAAGGCGCTAATGCAGCGGAACCAACCGGAAGCTTGCAACCTTAAAATTTGCACGGAGCGACTTTCCGAGAATTAGTATTCAACACCCACAAAGCAGCCACCAGCCAAGCAGCCAAGCCATTCGATGCCGCCCTCAGCCGCCCACTGCCACCCGGTCTGCCCCCGGCTGCGTCTTGAGAGGTACTTGGAGGTACAAAGAGATATGCAACGGACTATGCACCCCCTAAATCTACCGGCTATCAGCCGTCCCAAAAGTGGATCTCAACGTCGAACAGCATAACTACCCGTCTAGCCATCTTGTGTTCTATCAAAGCCTTATTGCCTCAAATCCTTTCTTATTCCCTCGGGTAAAGATTGGTATCCAGAGAAACTGACACATCTTAAGATGACTTGCAGAAGCTGCGCGCTCCAGGACCCTTTCGGATATCCGTCGCCCGCCTACCCCCGGTTCACCTAAGAGACTGGTGGTCAAGTGACTCCAGTATCAGTAGCAAGAGGCCTTGCACCTCGATCTGCATCCGAGATGAAAAATACGAAGCTTGGGAACTCCCGGGGCCAGCACCACTTCTTCGTGTCGCTCGTCGGCAAATCGTCGGTGGTTTGGAGAACAATATCAAGGTGAACCCTTTCATTCCACAGAGAACAATACTAAGCACCGGGCTTTGTCCCGCGCCTGGGATGAACCCCTTGCCTGACTCTTCTGCCACCTATTCCAGCGCTGTCGTCTTGGGACCTAATCTCCAGGGAGTCTTGGCTCTTCGAAAGCGGTAGGAGACGTTTGTTCGAAGGATTCTCTTCTACCTTTCAAAGAAAGCCTTGTTCTAGGAGAGGCTGTACTACTGGCATCGTGCTGTACATAAATCGCAATAATGGAGTCTAAATCCTTTTCTGGCAATCTTACCAAGTTCAAGGTATTTCTATTGGCTTCCACACTGACACATCACGCAAATGGTTGTTCTTAAACACGCAGTGGTCTTCCTGGCCTCCCTCGCCACTTTAGCCGCCGCTTCCCCAACCTCGGCGACTGGGGTTGCGCACCATGGCAAGCCCAGTGGCACTGCCGCAGGTGGTGACATGGGAAGCCATGAGAATGATGAATGGCACCACTCCCCAACAGGACACGACGGCTCCTTCCAGAAGGACGATGACGCTGGCAGTGCAAATCACCATCAAGCTCGCGATGAGGGTATACCGATTGAGTACCGAGCCTTTTCCAGTCACAAGTGGGCTGATGCTCCCCAGCACACGCCTGTGGGGAAGGAAGAGAACGACAAAACCTACAAACAACATCACCGACGCACTGAAGAGGTGCTTGAGACACTTCGGAGATTAGCCCGTGAAGAAGATGATCACGAGAAGCATCCACGAGACGTCGATCACGACCGCCACGATGACAACCATGGCCACGCTCATGCCATGGAGGATGGATCGCACAACCACACAGAGAGTGGCGAGCATGTAAAGGACAAACACTATGATACCAGGGCGACAACCGAAAAAGGAGTCTACGAGTGTGCAAACCAGAACTGGGTGCAGCCGTGTCATTGGACTCCATTACAAGAAGGACAATGCTATAACAGGTTAGTGACAGGCATTTTGACGCAATAAAGAGATCAGGATTGAAAATCGACGCTGACATTCGACAAAAAACAGGCTATACGGCCGCCTTGGCTCCATGGGCCCCGACAACGGGCTGTCCTGCACAATCTACGAGCAGCCAAATTGCAACGACAAAGGCTGGAACACATGCGGCCCGTTCGTGTATCCGGGGATGAAGAACTATCAGACCAGTCACTTGCTGCTGTACAACGGCATGTCTGATGATGGTATATTCAGCATCAAGTGCAAGGTCAGTGCCGAGCATGAGTTGAAGTTGACGATGTTTACTGACCTGAACAGTTTACGTAGTGGGTCTCGTGCCAGCCATTCATCCAGAGGCGATAGACGGAGCAAGAGTTGGACTGCATACAGGATACGTTGCTGTGGACGCATGGGTAGTACATCTGATCTGATAGAGGGGTTTGGCTATTTGTGTGCCAGAAAGCCGACATGGCATTCAGATGGCATTCCATCGTTATATCTATGCAGTCTGTAGAGTTGTCTTTAGGAAAATATTGTCTTCAGCCTGATTACCTTTGGCGTTCTGCTTATCCATATTGCCTTACCAGAGTACACTCACTCGTACCTCCTTTATGCAAGGCTGAGCTGAAAACGCCACTCGGGCGCCACTCCAGCGCCACATATGACGTCGATCACCCACTGCGCGATCTCAGCTTTTCGATCTCTGAGCATCTTTCCCATTCTCCCAAACCGTCCTTCTCAAGCCACCGATCTGCAACGGCACCCCGTCATCGGTCAGCAGGGTGGCCCCGATGGGTGCCGACTAGACAACCCAGCGGACCAGAAAACAGGTTTTAGAGCACCCCGAGTATATTTCCATTGGCTATTCGTCTCTGACCGAGCCGTTTCTCTGCCTTCGTTCTTTGCCCGATATGTGCAGACCCCTCGATCTCGAGGCTGTGTCTGGCGCCGACATTGGACTGGGGAGGACCCTGTATGACATCGTTGATCGCACTTGCTGCCACAGCCTGGAACTCCTACCCAGCTGATGGGATAGCTCCCAAGATGGTGGTCTTGATGGGCTATATATTTCGCGGATTCCTCTTCCCCAAGGTTCTCGTGATTCTCCACCTCTACCAAAGTCGAATATCAATAGCCTAAAGCTATCTTATAACAACAGCACCTTACAAAAATTACCCATTCCCCAAAATATCAAACACAGCAAACCCACAACCATGAACGCCCTCAGATCAACCGGCAACTGGATCTCCAACAAGACCAAGGGCGGCGCCCACTCCGCCAGCAAGGAGACAAACAAGCAGTATGTTTCCCTTCCCCAGACCCTTCCCCCTTCGCCTGTCTGGTTGTATATGAAGATGCTGACTCTGTCGCTGCAGAATTGCCAAAGACCCCAATGTCCGATCCTCGACTCGCCTGCGAGCCGCGGGTAACGCCATGAAGGACAAAGTGCACGAGACGAATTACAACCGCCAGGCAGATGTGAACAGGCATGCCGCCAAACATAACTACTGATCTCGCCGACCTGCCATCCCTTGTGATGTTTGAATATGGAACACTGGATGGGCGACGGGAAGAGTGACAGAGACCCTCAGAAATAAAGACGGGTTATCCTGTCCCAGAAAGGCTTGCGGGAAACATGAGACTGCCACGTTGATGATGCTGATGATATGATATCCTTGTACGATTACGATTGCGAGGGCTGTGGTACCTCATAGACCAAGATTGACAATTATTGACGAAAACATTCGATCCAAACTTCTTTCATTTCCTTGTTCCCCTGCTGTTTTTGCTATATGAAGCCAATCGTGTAAGATATATGGCAATTACTGCCCTGTCCAGTGCACGTTCCTCCCCGAAGAAATATCAAGAAATTGTTCAGAAATATAGAGAAACATCCAGCTTAAGCGGAACGTAGTAGAGGTCATACAGGCCCCTACAAAACACTTTTGTCAAAGCGTAATGACCGAGCAGTTATGGTATGCTTTGTTTTGTTTCAGTTCGATTCGCATTGTTGTCGATATGTACATGATGCCCGAATGTTTCCCATGGCCAAAATAACGGGCAAGGCTTTGCGTGGTTTGAAAGCTTTCTCACATCGCCCCATGCTATGCCCGTCTCGGTGTCTTTGGTCTTCCCACAGCTCGTTCATCGTCTCCAGCAGCTCCAATCCGTTGCTTATTTCGTCTTAATATGCTTCAACCTCGAACCGGACTCGTGCAAGAAATTGTTCGCGTACGCCTTGGGCACGAACCGCCTCTCTTGCGGCTCCTGCACGTACCATTCATACCCTTGTTTCTCCGCAAAAGCAATCGCATCCTCTTTCGTCTTGAAGTTCACTTTGGTGCCTTGCATGAAGTCGCCCGACGACTGCCAGCCCATCAGCGGGTTCTCCCAGCGGTGGCCTTTTCCAAGAACGTCCCAGTCCATTCGCCAGGCGTGCGAGCCCCAGGTGCCGGATTGGGTTGCGGGTTTGACGGGTTTGTAGATCCTGGATGAGAGCCGTCAGTTTCAGGCACGACAGAGGACTGCGTGACTGGTTCCCCTTACCTGACTGTGCGAGCCTGGAGATCCACGGGAGCTCCAGACAAGACCGCCGCAGGCGTGACGTGCCCGGGTTCGCTCCCATTCATCACTCTCCTCGGCACCGGTGAGTATGTGGAGGTTCCGTGGTCGACCATCGCCGTGTAGTCCGGTTGGTGATCTGGATGATATTTCTCGACGGAGGATTCGGGTTTATGGTCCACCTCGACCATCGAGGCTTGATCTTCGGTCATCTGCATAGCGTGGACGTCCGGGATAGCTCGAGGGTCGGGCTCGCCTAGTCGTCGCCGTGGCGTCTGCGACAGACATCTTGTCAATCTTGGGACCTGCGTGTATGTTCGTAGGAGCCGCATTGAGCTCTGGGCGGGTTGGAGCACCATCTTGGGTTGTCTGTGTGGAATGGCAGCTGAAGGAGTTGAATCCATCGGCGGACGTCGAAGCGCAATCGAGACATGCCAAGCTAATCTGCTGGCGGTTCAACCCATTTCGGGACAAAGATGACGCTGCCCTGACTTCATCCGGCACTCGCTCATCGTGGGGGCCAGCACTCGGTGTATCAAGTGCAGCCTCGTTCAAGGTCCACAAAAGCAGCGTCTATTCTGCTCCTGCCGACACGAAGGACCTTCTCCATGGCAAGCTTTCCCATCTACACCTTCTTTCATGAGCATCTAGGCTTCTCAGTACAGGATATTCCCACCTTCTCTTACAATCTCACAGATGACCTGTCTTCCCGAATTTTGAAGGAAGAGGATCAATGTAATGAGAAGGAGAGAAGCAATCCTGGGATGCGTTTTGCTAATGATGGAACGTTCTACCTGGTTAACATCATTCTGATGGTGTTCGGATGAGAGGTTTGACCCGTACAGTTCAACGCTCTCTGCCTGAAAAATCCTTCCTGTTGCGCGGCGCTCTGGGAGGGGCAGAGGACGAAATATCGCCAATCTCGCAAACCGCAGGGATATTCCGTAGTGTTCAATCACCCGGCTCCGGTACACTTAATGTTCAACCTCAAAGCCAAATGGTTGACATTGACACAGCCTGCCTGTGCTTCTACTACCGCCCCCATTACATCCGTCACCACCGTCAACTTATTCTTGCCTATATGTATTGAGCAAGAGCAGCCTCTGGGCAAAACGTTTTCTGTACTCGACACTATACCCTGATAGTGTTTTCTGCTCCTGGTTGGACTGTTGGACGCATGTTGTCTGGCACAACGATCGGACCAGAACTAGTGAAGAATGTGACGATCCAGCTTTTGAACCGCCTTCAGTGTTTGCATTAGATACAATGTTGCGGTTAGATGATGACCGTAATTCCTGAAAATCCGCAGTTCCTGCCGTCTCAGAGGAATCTATGCACGATGGGGCAATAAATCTCTGTATTTGTCACAACAATCAGCAGTGGCGAGAGACATCTACAACTTGGATATTGAAGGGATATAATCCAGAGTCCAATGCGTGGAAAATCATAAACCGCTTCGGCTTCCCCAGGGGAGTAGATCTGGATTGATAATCTTCGTTAGTTGCATCTCGTCCCCTGGCCCGTGAAGTTTAAAAAAGTAGGAATTCTACGAGACCCTTTCTTTTCAGGCAGTGCGAGAGATCAATATCGGATCCTCCAGTAGAGAGTCCTTCGTAACTCTCAGCGACTGCTTTAGGCATGGCATTGCCCGCCTTGCTGAAGCATCCGAAAGCTTGAGGTTAACATTCCGGGCGGATGCCAGCCCAGGTCCGGGGTATGTGAGAGACCCACATTGATCTAGAGAGCTAGGCACCGAGACGACCCGCTGGCAGCTCTATTATTGCGTCTCCAAAATGGTGTGTGGTTACCTACCTAGGTAGGTGTTTGTATTGGGAGCTCTTGATGTGTGTCCTGTTGTCCAGCCCCTATTGAGAACGATCGGCGAGATTGTGTGCATAATCCTGCGAGGCAGGTTAGGCGGGGACTTGTGGCACTTATTGCCACCATTGTTTTCCAACTGCTACAGTCAACAGCGTTAGTTCCATATCTCCTCTCAGGGTCATGCTCCTGGAGCTCAGAAAGGGGCAGGATCTGACCTTACAATCATAATTATGACCTATACGAGGTACAAGGACCCATGTTGGTCTTGGACTAACCACAGACGTCGCATCTAAATGCCATGTGCATCTCCCGGCGCTGCCAGTGCGAGTCGCGACGGGGATAGCGTGTCTGCGAACCTCATACCGAGTAGCGAGGGACAGCTCACGAATCACAGCTTCCATGTCAATTAGCCGAATGCTGCCTGGAACCCCAGCCACTTCCGGCCCCTCATTTCAGCCGCACCCCTTCGGCTGAGCGCTTCTCGCGTGTTTTTCAGCCTGACCCGTTTACGGGAAGGCAAGAGGTCTCTCGATCTCTGTCATCTTCCACCTGCACACCCCTTCTCGAGGATGCTGATACGGCATCTGCCAAGTAACCATGGCGGCCCAAAAGAACGAATCGAAATTAGCACCGCCCGGAAGGCTTCCATTCCGTCAAAAAGAGAGTGGTCTCAAGCTTCTCTCCCTAGGTCTGTGTCTAACCGGCAAATCCGACATACTAAGCTCACATTCCTAACCTTCGTTCTCTGTAGATGGTGGAGGCGTCCGAGGCTTGTCAGAGTTATGCATCCTAGAACACCTCATGAACTCTCTGAAAGAAGAGATGAGCCTGCCACACTCCTATGAGCTCAAGCCTTCCGATGTCTTTGACATGATATGTGGGACAAGCACTGGAGGGTGAGACTCCACACAGGAGTGGGGGTAATATGTGGCTTACTATACCAGTCTAATCGCCATCATGCTTGGACGCCTTCAAATGACAGTTACCGACTGCATAGAGTCTTATTCAAAACTTGCCGAGTCGGTTTTCGGCAGTCCACGGTCGAGACTCAGTCTCCAGGACGGCCGATACGACTTCGCCAAACTCGAAAAAGCAATAGACGATATCGTTCATGAACAAAAGCAAGGTGATGGAATGTTGGATACGAGACCAAACGCATGCAAAGTGTAAGAGGTCTGCCAATATACATTTTGCAATCTGCCAATTAATCCTTAGCTTTGTATGTGCTGTACCGGCTGCAACCATGAACCGCGCCAGGAGACTCCGTACGTACGACGAGAGAAGTATCGGCATATGCACAATTCGGGATGCCGCAAGGGCAACGACGGCGGCGCCCACTTTTTTCAAGGAAACAGAAATAACAATTCGCGCAGGGATACGAGAAAGATTTCTTGATGGAGGATTAGGTTACAACAATCCTGTCTTTGAACTCTATGAGGAAGCCAAGAGCGTGTTTCAAGGACGCCGGATCGACTGCCTCGTTAGTATTGGTAGTGGCTCTTCTTCACTCAGCCCTGTACCCCCCGCAACTCTCTTTCAAAGCAAGATCCCGACAAACATCATGAATGCCTGCAGAAAGATTACCGTTCAATGTGGACACAATCACGATCGAATGGCTTCCCAGTTCGCCGATTGCCCGGGTGTGTATTTCAGATTCAGCGTTGATGTTGGCCTGGAGAGGATTGCCCCAGATGAATGGAAAAGGCTGGGAGATATCCAAAGTGTGACACTCGAATATCTAGACGGCCCGGCAATCAAACAACAGGTGCATTCTGCCGCCAAAGCTCTGAAAGAGCCATTGAATGAACCAGGTCAGTTACTTTGTGAACCATTTCCAAACACTGGGCTACAAACACTTCCTACTCACCAGAAGAACAACCGCTGTTGCTACTTTTGTTTTGCAAAGCTTTGGTTCATCCTCTTCGAATGCTAGGGTCAGCCAGACTGCTAGACCCTCGAGAGATGTAGCTCTTACTCTCAAGCTGCTACTTTTCCCATTAGGGTGTGATGGCAAGATGTTTGAAGATCCCTGACTGATCAACCTGCCTAGTGAATCCACCACCGAAGTCTGATCCTCTACTTTCCTCATCGAATACTGTGTTCAATTCTGCCAGTCAGAATCGCGACACAGAAGGAATGCGGATCATGTTTGATCAGGATGACCGAGCCCGGATCCGGCGTCCTGAATTCGCGACCCCGACAGTCGTTACTCGTGAGTCCTAAATGTGCATTGGTCAATTGCTGAGCTAATGTGCGGAAGCTGCACACTACCATGCCTTCATCGGAAAATTGTGCGTTGATCCATCTACAATGTACAACGTCAGGGACGAGAAGACTGAGCGACACGAAGGAACCTGTGAGTGGATCAACACAAAGACCAAATATCAAGACTGGCTTTCGAAGCCCGGCCCTCGGATTCTCTTGATAGTAGCTCCTCCAGGTCAAGGGAAATCGACAATGGCCAAGTACATCCTCAGAGAGACCGAAAAGAAGTCTGCTACTAATACCGGTGCCATTACCCTGGAACATTTCTGCCATGACTCCCCAGGCCATAACTCAACTCTAGCCATCGTTCAATCCTTGACATATCAGCTATTAGAAGGCCGACCAAGTCTGTTCGAAGCTCTTTTCTTCCAACATCGGAGGATTATTGAGCAAGAGTCCGATCTTGACCCAGACTCATTGTGGGAAATCTTCCTTACAGCTCTGCAAAATCCTCAGATTGAATGTGTATACTGTGTCATTGACGGCTTGGACGAGTGCACTGATCGTTCCCAGACCACGCTCTGGAGACTGATTGAGAGAGACCTGATTAACAAAAGATCCGAAGATGCCCCCTATATTGGGAAATCTCGTATACTTATCACAAGCCGCCCTACGGGACTTGCTAAGCAGATTGGACTCCTCACCAGCGAGATTGAAATCCAGAGCGACGATGTTGATCCGGACATCGAAAAATATGTCAAATTCAGAGTCGAAAGAATGACCTCAGCGCAACTGATTCCCGACGACATCTCGACACTAACTCGCAGACTCCTTCATGAAAAGGCAGAGGGGATGTTTCTGTGGGTGAGCCTAATCTTAGATCAGTTGGAAAACTACGAGGATTCGTTGTCCTTCAACGACGTGCTCGATCGTTTCGAAAGTATTCCATCGGATATTCAAGGGTTGTATGACAGGGCTCTGCAAAAGATAACGGCTAAAGAATCCCTGTATGCGAAAGCAACAAAGATCTTCAGCATACTTTTATGTTCCGCTCAGCCCCTCACAACAAGTGCATTTGCCCTGGCCATGACAGAGTGGCCAGAAAGCTGCACGACTCATCAAGAACTCATGCGTCGCTCCGACTTCAGGTTTGAATATACGTGCAAAAATGCTTGCGGTACCTTGGTAAGAATCGTGGACAACACCATTCAGCTTTGCCACCCTACCGCACGCGAATTCCTTTTGAAGGAGCCTCTCGACAAAGGGCTCTTTGGTATCGACCAACCAGCTGGCCATGCATTATTGGCCGAGATCTGCTTGCGATACCTGATGTTGGAGGATGTCGAAATACCCCAAGGAGACGAGGAGCCAGACGCTCAAAGATACCCTCTCCTGGCTTACGCCCTGACATATTGGCCATTGCATGTCCGCTATTCGTCCGACAGAATCCAGAGTTACAAAGAAACGATCCGCCGGTTTTTCGGTCATTCGAGTATCGCACGCTTTCACTCATGTCTCCGGCCTTCCGACTATTGGACCACTTATTTCCCCAAAGATTCTCTGAGTGAAGATCTTATTGTCCATGTCACAGCGTATTTCGACCTAAAGAACTTGTTACAATCTCTGAGTTTGGGGGGCGGCAACGGCTCCGAGACAACGGGTTCTAAGGGGTTAGGTGACGAGCCAATTCTTAGTCTGAGCTCTACAGTCGACGCTAAAAACTCATACGGGAATACTGCGTTACACCTCGCAATAGGTCAAGGGTCGTCAGAAATGATATGCTCCTTGCTTGAGCTGGGAGCCGACCCGAATGCTATGGATCGTTATGGCATGAAGGCTTTGCACCGAGCTGCGCAAGGAGTTGACATCAATGTACTCAGGATCTTTTTGCAGCTGACGGACGACATTGACACCCGGGCAAACGATGGGGTCACACCGCTGCTTTTGGCGACCGATCTTGGCATAGTTAAAGCACTTCTTGCCGCTGGTGCTAACATCAATGCCAGACATGGACAGAATGGCTACACACCACTCCACTTTGCCGCAAAAGAGTCAAGCCAGCAAGTCGTTGAGATTTTAGTGGAGAGAGGGGCAGATATTAACGCAAGGTCTAACACAGGAAGGACACCCCTTTGGGAAGCTGCATTTGCTGGCATCGCTCCCAATGTGAGGCTTCTACTCGAGGCGAGGGCGGAGATTTTATCAGAGCTCGAGGCTGGGTGGAACCCCTTGCATGCTGCTTCTCACACTGGATCTGTCGAATGCATAAAACTCCTTCTGGACTATGGTGTCTGGTCCGATGACAAAACTAATTGGAAAGACACCGCATTGCTTCTTGCAGCGAAGCCCGGTCACCATGACGCATGCGAAGTTCTTTTAAAGGATGGTTGCAGCCTCGATGCTCAAAATGAAGATGGAGACACGGCCCTGATTCTTGCCGCTGGAGCAGGGCACGCTTCTGTCGTCAATCTCTTTCTGGCTGCACGTGCGTCGGTGAACATTGTTTCGTTTACGGATGACACAGCATTGTCAATTGCTGTCGCGCAAGGCCATACTGAAGTGGTGCGGCTTCTCCTAGACCATGGCGCGGATCAGAACTTCGTACCGGCAGAGAAGGCCGCTATGTTGTTTTTGGCAATACATGATGGCCATCGTGATGTGGTGGATATTTTGATTGGAAGTGGCATCAACCTTGACCTTAAATGGCGCTCGTGGACGCCGTTGTACCTCGCTGCTTCCGAGGACGATATAACAACAGTGAATCAATTGCTTGAGAAAGGAGCTGAAATTGACTGCCCTGGACCAGAGGGTATGACGGTACTACACTGGGCAATCCGTCACAAGAGAGAGGAATTAGCCAGTCGTTTGTTGGATCTGGGTCACAACGTTGATGCCTGTACACACAATTCATGGACAGTGTTGCATGAAGCCGTGGATGTTGGACAATTGGACATTGCGACACGGTTGGTGAGGGCAGGAGCCCTTGTTAACACACCGTCTATGTCTGGTACAACTCCGCTGCATGTGTGCTGCCGGACAGGCAACCTGGATTTGCTGGATCTTCTCCTCAAAGCCGGGGCCAATATTCTTTCCCGCGGTAAAGATGGACTCATTCCGTTAGACGTTGCCGCCCTCAATGGCAACTTACAGACAGTGGACCGCATCATCCAAGAATTACACGAGCAGCAAGTTTCAGTCGAGATATGGAACTCTGCGTTATGTCATGCAGCAGCACGGGGCCATTTGGAAGTCGTAAGACGTCTTCTTCAGGAGGGTCTTGACATAAATATCAAAGATTGCGCGGGCTTCACTCCTCTGATGTGTGCAATAGCGAACAACCAGCAACGCGTCACAGAGTTCTTGATCAACAATGGCGCCGACAATCATACCACCAATAATCGTGGGTTCACAATACTTCACGAGGCTGCACGGCACGGGATGACGAGCCTCGTGAGGCGACTTCTCGCCGAGGGTCTGGATCCCTTGTCGGCGAATCCTGGGGGAGTAACACCTCTCGGTCTAGCGGCAGAAACAGGTCACGTCAATATCGTTCGAACTCTTCTCGACCACAAGTCCAACACCATCCAGGATCGTGGCCTCGACGGCGAACTCCTCCAAGCTGCATGTCAAAGTGGCAATCTTGTGATCTTGGATCTTCTCCTCCGGGCCGGGTGTGATGTTCACGCCCTTAATTGGATAGGGAGGTCGGCAATACACGCTGCCGCAGGTTATGGCCAGAATGTCCTTTTGAGCCGTTTGCTTGAGAGACAAGTCGATGCGTCTCGGCCTGACAAGGCGGGGATCAGCCCACTTCATCGAGCCGTTGAGAAAGGTTATGAAGATGTCGTCGCCAGTCTGATCAACTGGGGAGTTCCTATCAACCCCGTATCGGATGATGGCATCACACCACTTCTGTCGGCTACAATCGGCCGACGATTCAAGTGTATTTATCTGTTGATTAATGCCGGAGGAGACCCCACCGTCAAGGATATATTTGGACGATCTGCCTTGAGCACTGCTGCGTCCACACCCTCCCTTTTGGCAAGAATGGGCAATTGGGGCCGATCAATTGAGCCACCAGATCCAATTCTGCTAGAAGCAACCCAAAGACGAGCTGTGCGATCTTGTTTTCAGCACCTTAGCTCCTTGATCCTCGATGATCCCCTGGTAGCCTATGACATGGACAATTTGAACACTGGCTTGATACTCTTGAAGGAATATGAGCTTGGTCGCGAGGGCATTCTCATATTGACGCAGCCGTTGGACGACCAGCTAGTACGAGGGACATACGATTGTCATGCGTGTCAGAAAGACATTGATACCAGGTTAACAACTATGCGGATATGTCAGACCTGTGTCGTCGTTATATGCGAGCCCTGCTTTGGCAGGTACGAAGATAAGCGCCAACCTGAGGATTGCATGTGCGAGGGCCACGAATTTCTGACAATTAGCTACAAGGATTGGGAGGAGCTGGAACCAAGATATGAATACAGTCAAGAGAAAATACGTCTTGTCCGGGAAGCCTGGTTAACCAAGATGCGCGAACGGTTCCCTCCTCTGAGCCCTGATGAGCTCGGTTCAAGCTGAGGGAACGTCAGGCCACAGGTCTGGCTCGGTTAGCTTTGAGTGCCTGTTCCAAACGAACTCGTGACAAAAGCCTTCACGTCCACATAAAATGTTGCATTTGCTCGGAGAATCAGGTAGACCGAGGACAAAGGCGTCATGGCTTCAGGTGTTGCCATGCCCACGGCCATGATTGGAGTAGTCAGATTTGACTACTGAGGGTTGTGAAACGCATCGGACCACTTTTCTGGACCAAAAGACTTGCCTTCGATGGATGCTGAAGCAGGCTGTGAGAGCACGGGGTATCTATACAACCTCCAGTCTATCCCCACCCAGTGCTCGCAGCGAAGTAACATGCGATGTCGCACATTTCCACCATGGCTTAAAAGGCTCACGGAAGCTACAGCAACGTCCTAGATGCAGATTCTATTCTGCTTCACCGAAGCAGCAAGTACTGCCGACAGCAGCAGCTCCACTGAGCAGCATCCAAGCCGTCCGTGGTCCGGATGCTGAGGTGTGAGTCATATACGCGAACAGGGTACGAGGTACGGAGTATCGTATTAGTGATATACGAAGCTACCTACCTACCTACCTACCTAGGTATATACCCACAATCCTTCTTGTACCTCCAAGTCCATGTTTTTCAATACTTCTCCATCAACACGGCTAGACAAAGTACTGGAAGCATATGTGTCTGATTCAGAAATGTCAACGCAGCTCTCATTTGTGACGCTCGACGTCTTTACCTCGACGCGGTACACGGGCAACCCGCTCGCCCTGGTCAAGGTTCCGCAGCATGTCGCGCTTTCGCAGAGCCAGAAGCAACGTATCGCCCGGGAATTCAACCTCTCGGAGACGGTCTTTCTGCACGAACCGACGACGCAGGCGGACGTGGACGACAATGACAACCCGCAGACCGCGCGCGTCGACATCTTCACCGCCCAGGCCGAGCTGCCCTTCGCCGGCCACCCCACGGTCGGGGCGGCGAACTACCTCCTCCGGCTCCTGGGCGGAGACGACAACCTGGCGGCGAGCAAGCGCGTGACAGCCCTGCAGACGAAGGCGGGGCGTATCCCCATCTCCTTGAACCCTGCTGGGGACGGGTGCCAGATCTCCGTCGCGCACAACCTGCACGTCCACGCCTCGCCCTACGGGGGGAAACCATTCGGCCACTACCCCGTAGTCAGCATAGTCAAGGGCATGACCTTCATCCTGGCCCAGCTGCCCGACCTCGCCGCCTTGGCCACCACCGCGACGGAGAACCTGATTGGCGCGGACGCAACGTACACGTCGTCCGCACGGGACCTCGACGTCGGCTGGCGCGAGGGCATGGTGGTGACGTACTTCTTCGTCGACCAGGCCGACCAGTCCGGTCCGCATCTCTCAGGCGGCGGCGCCCGAACCATACGCACCCGCTGTTTCGCAGAGCGCGAGGATCCCGCCACAGGCAGCGCCGCCTGCGCATTGGCCTCGTACCTGTCCCTCCAGACGGGCAAGGCCGGTCGGTACCGCTATGCGATTGTGCAGGGCGTGGAGATGGGCCAGCGGAGCGAGCTTTACGTCGAAATCGCCGTCAAAGATGCAGCGGGTGATGGCGACGGGCGGCTGGAGATCGAAGAGGTCCTCTTGAGCGGGAGTGCTGTGCAAGTCATGCAGGGGACGTTGGAGATTCCCGCGCCAGAGGAGGCCTGAGTTGATGATCATTGTGACTGAGCAGAGAGGTGCAGTTAGTGGCATGACTATACTAATGTGCTGTATGAGTGCGCTGCAAGGCTCCAGTGGATAACAAGGCTGTGGCGAGGCTGTGTGGCAATGTTTTGATGAGATTCGAATCCGCCACGAAGAGAGAAGACAAAACTGGGAGGCAGTTCAACCCTGTCTACCTTAGATGGCATAACTTGGAAGCATGGGACGCACCACAAAAGCTAATGCATAGATGGATAGACAGAAAGCATGTTGATGAACGATTCATTATTTTCATATTACTGGATCTCTGTCCTGGAGCAGTATCTGTCTGATACCCGCATAACTTCCCACATAGTCGTAATCACAGACTTGTCTCCTTCAATCAACCCTTGCCATCGTAGAGCTTCGCCACTGGTTTAGATGGACACCTGCTCCGCATAGCCGTCCAGTTCTCTGGGGAAGTTCCGATGCATCGAGATGTTCCAGAAGAACTTGCTCGTAAAGTCCTTTGCTTCTTTAACCATCTTGATGCTGTCCTTGACACCGCTTCCCGTGTCTGGTTTGTTGGCCGTGACAACACCATACCAATCCACAACGTCGTCGCTTCCTTCAGAGGCCAGAGTTACATTCTGGACCTCAGTAAGAGCAGCGTGAACGAGTTGCACACCCTCGCCAACGGCGCCGATGGCCTTGAGGTGGCCAAAGGCTTCCTTGACCCAGAATCGTGCCAGGGCAATCTCCTTCAGCGTGTCGGCAGACTTGGCGCCACCCGGGATGAAGAGGGCGTCGAACATGGTGGATCGTTGACCATTCAGGAAATGGTCAGGCTTGACCTGCGAAGAGCCATCGGAGGCCACAAGAGGCTGACGTCTTGTCCCGATCGTCCATGGGACAGCGCTCTGCGCCAGTACTGCTGCCTTCATGGCCTCATACGCCTGGAGATCGAATCCATCTGCAATGAGGATGGCAACGCGACGGCCTTTGATCGTGGGCTGCTCGGGCAGGTAGTCGAATTGGCTGAGACCCTTGGCCTTCTTGCCATGGTTCGGGGCAATCTGTTTCTCAGGAGTCTTCGCACCGCAGTTCTTGGCAACGGCCTGGGCGAGCGACAGATCAATCTCCGCCAAACGAGTGACTAGGCGTTCGTAGACAATGTCGTCGTCGCAGTGGTCCAATTCAAAGGAAAACGCCTCGACCATGTGCTTCTTCTCGATCTCGGACATGGAGTTGAAGAACAGTTGCGCTTGCGACAGATAGTCCTTCCATTTGTGGGTGAGCATACGCGCCTTGACGCCGGGGTACTGTGCTGGGTACGACTCAAATCCACCTGAGCCGCTGTGGCTAGTCGGTGGGTTGGCTTCCCATCTGTTGGGCCAGTAGTTTGCTTTGCCTTTGGAGATCGTGTGACGGAGCTGGCCATCGCGGTTGAAATTCAGAACGGGGCAGACTGGACGGTTGATTGGCAATTCTTCCCAGTTCACACCCAAGCGGGTGATTTGAGTGTCTTGGTAGGAGAAGTTCCGACCCTGCAGAAGTGGATCTTCACTAAAGTCGATGCCAGGGACGATGTGACTGGTGCAGAAAGCCACCTGCTCGGTCTCGGCAAAGTACTCGTCAACGTTGCGGTTGAGCTCCAATTCACCAATGTAGCGAATAGGCACCTGCTCCTCAGGCCAAACCTTTGTGGCATCGAGGATGTCAAAGTCGAATTTATCTTGGTCGCCATCCTTGATGCACTGCAGACCGAACTTCCACTTGGGGTAGGCCCCATTCTCGATGGCCTCCCACAGATCCTTGCGGTGGAAATCGGGGTCTTGGCCGGCTAATTTAAGAGCCTCGTCCCAAACCAGCGAATGGACGCCAAGTTCGGGTGTCCAGATGAACTTGCAGTATGTTCTTTCTCCCTTGGCGTTGATGAGAGCAAAGGTGTTGACACCAAAACCCTGGATCATGCGGTAGGAACGAGGAATGCCTCTGTCGGACATGGCCCAACAGAACATGTGGGTTGCCTCCTTGTGGAGAAAGACGAAATCCCAGAAGTTGTTGTGAGCAGTTTGCCCCTGTGGGACTTCGTTGTCTGGCTCCGGTTTGACGGCGTGGATGAGATCCGGGAACTGAACGAAGCCGCGTTAGACAGCGTTGTGCAGAAAGACGTTCCGGACACTTACCTTAATGGCGTCCTGGATGAAAAACACTGGGATCTTGAGGATTCAGTTAGCTAATGGCCCTTTGCATCGGTGAAGTGTGCTTACATCGTTGGCCACAATGTCCCAGTTGCCCTCATCGGTGTAGAACTTGACAGCAAACCCTCTGACATCACGAACAGTATCTGCACTGCCTCTGCTGCCTTGCACGGTGGAAAATCGGACAAAGATTGGTGTGGTCCGAGAGGTGTCTGTCAGTACGCCGGCGGAGGTGACATCTTCGGCACTCTCGAAGAGTTTGAAGTGACCGTGAGCAGCAGCACCGCGTGCATGGACAACTCGCTCGGGGATGCGCTCATGATCGAAGCGGTGAATCTAAGGCAACTTAGAATCTGTGGCCAAAGAGGAACCTAGGTCAACTTACGCGTTCTCGGGCCACTTGATCTTCGAGAAAAGTAGGCCCAATTCTTCCGCTCTTCTCATCGGCAATCCTCAGCCAGTGGTCAACATCTGAGACTTTGGTACCAAAGTCAGTGGTAGTGTTCTGCTTGGTGTCCTGCTGATTCTTCTTGTTCTTTTCCAGGTCGGCGATCTTCTTGTTCTGAGCCATGCTTTGGACGGATTCGGCGGCTGAATTTCCAATATCTCGAACGGTGTTGGCGACGGAGGTGGCCATTTTCTGTGTTAGGGGACCGACACAGAAGAAGGGACAAGCGACGATGGCAAGTTAAATGGAAAAATGTGAGATGAACGAGCGGGGATGTCACTCGAGTCTTGACGCGTTATTTGCACCTTGATCTCTGCCGATTGAAATCCTATGTGTAGACTTTTCCAAAACTGTAAGCGAGCAAAGCTGTTGCATCATAAGCTGGACGCGTGAGGGCATCATTGGCAGCAGCAGCTCATTTCGAAGTCCACAGCATGTGTTGAGGACAATGGCAAATAGCTCCGTTGGCCCATTTGACGTAGGCAGACTGTGAGCTGGGTTCCACATCACCACATCACCTCTTGTTCTGGTGGTGACACAGTGGAGACTTCGTCATGGCAGAGACGTATCCGGAGCATGGAATCCTCAAAGATGGTAATTTTGACAGCCGTTAGCATTAACTTGAGCCCATGAATGCGGCTCGTCAGAGAAAGTGAGATTCGGAATTGAAACCCGGAGGGAAGAGTCGTTGCATCATGACGCCGATCAAGGTGTCCTCATTGGCCCGGAACAGAAGCGGGGATCCAGGATGGCGATCCGTCATAGCATCATGCTTGTAAATGGAGGAGTCGTGGCGTTGGCTGCCTCCCACGAGTAGAAACCGAGCAGCTCGGTTCCTGGTAGCTGAGTGCAGTGGTTGAATCTGCAAACGCGTGACGTTGTAGCGGAAACTTGATCCTTGATGCTCAGGCTCAGCTCCACCGGAACAACATTCTTCCTAGTAGACTGTTGGACAACGAAGGTTGCGACTGCTGGCGAGCCCGGAAGTTTTCGACTATCATTTCCGTGGGCTACCTATGCCGTCTGGGCTAGGATGGCGTCGAGTCTATCTAAGAGCCATGTCATTTGGGTGTCGTTCGAAGTCTACCTTCTTATGTCAGCAAGGCTGTGTACAAGGCAAGGCTGAGTCAATATTAGTCCCCTTCCTAGGCCAGCTGAGGGGTGTTGGTAGTCTTCTGACTCTCCCTCGAATCGTACCCCAGATGTCTGGGCGTCTGGACTCCCTGCCAACGGGTATCATCGGCGTATTTCAGCAGCCAACTCCTTGAGAACTGCGAACTTTGAAGCGTGTAGGACAGCTAGTGATTGGACATTAAAGGGCGGTCTGACACATAATTTGTGTGGCTGCTGGGCCGTGGATGTCATGCTTTGCTCAGAGACAAGTCTGGGCCCCTCTATTGTGGCTCGTGAGCAAGTCTGAGAGGAGGACCAGCCCATCATGTAGTGACCTAGGGCGCTGTGACGATTGCTGCCCTCCAGACGAACACTTGCAGTACTCGCTACAGGCGAGAAACTCAAATAGCTAAGGGGTGGTTGGACCTGGGGCAAGCTTCCCCGGGCTGCCGGGGAGCAAGCGAGGACAATAGGGTGCAGCAAATTGGCACCGGCAATTTGCTGGCAGGTCATAGGCTTGCAGCCTGCAGCCTGCGGGCAGTCGGCGATCTCCTCCCACGCCCAGAGATTCCCCGGCCACCAATCATACCCTCTGACGGGCCTCGCCAGAGGCTTATCAGTTTGTCGTCGCTTCGTGGTTGACTGTCGCGTGCAAATCCGCACGGCTTCATCTCGTTCCACCCTCCACCATCACTTCCACCATGCACCCACCACCCTCAAATCACCGTCTTCTCCCCCGTCATGCGGCATTGTCTTTTGGGGTTGAGCCTCCAGATCTAACCAAATCCGCCCCTTTGGCCTGTCCATCAATGCCCCCTCCATGCCCATCTGACCTATTCTTACAGTCATTCCGCTATGTCATCTGCACATAATCGCTGGTAGCCCCCGAACTCCTTCGGCTCGTCCCTTTGCCCGCGCCGAATCAGCCTCGATCCCAAGGGTTCAATTGTCCTATCTGAGCTTCCCTTTTCTGCCTGCATTGGGGGTGTGACTGCCTTATCGGGCCCCTCGCCTGTGTCCACTGTCTGTGTCATGCCAGAGTTCGGAACACGCCTGCGCTTCGCTCACACTCTCTCTGCCACAACACCAGCCTGCCTCGTTGTTGCAGCGTATTTGTCGTTCTGCACTGCTTCTTCCTCTCATTTCGTTTCAGTCTTTCATAATCCCGCTCACGAACTTATAGAACCGCCCTTTTCCTCGACAGCACATCGCGATCCGAAGTCGAACCCGAATCGCGGTTGCTCGGTGCTTGTTTCATTTTCAGCACAAGCCTTGACAGCGTTCAGGCGAAGCTTCACATGCTCTAAGACTCTTTACCGTTCGTGGGAGCAAGAGACGGGTGCCTACGACCGGGAGCGAGACAGATCTAACGGGGCCTCAACCTTACCACGCATCTTCACAGATGGTTCGACAGTGATGATAAGCAAGTTACAATTTGCATAATTGCCTATAGTCCTCAAGAAATCTGCGCCAGAGCCGTTCACCAATGGCTTCCTCGTACATACCGTTCTTGACGGCCTCCGCTCTACCAGACCATTGCACACCAACCTCTCCCATCCTGTCCGATATATCGTTATACCTTGGCTTTTGCATACCTACCCCGCTTGCCGCGCTCTCTACTATCCTAGGGACACTATCAATAGTGTCATGGCTATTCGCGCAGATGCCACAGATTTTCAAAAACTACTATATCAAATCGACTGCCGGGCTGTCGATTTTCTTTCTGAGCGAGTGGTTATTGGGCGACCTGGCCAATCTCCTCGGAGCCATATTTACCAAGCAAGCTGGCTGGCAGATCATAGTTGCGACCTACTACGTCTTCGTGGACATGTGCCTAGTGTTTCAATACTTCTGGTACAGCTACGCCGCAAAGTGGATATACGAGGAAAGTCTCCATTCCACAGGGAGCAGCGATATCGACGATGCGGACAGTGCCATAATAAATGGGTTGTCGCCCATCAACTCGAATTTCGCAAGCGATGCCCCGCTACCCGGGGACTCTGATGACTACACTCCCAAAAGATCAGATCCAACCGACGTCAACGTTCCTCAGTTTTCCGCGGTAAACTATGGTGAAAAGAAAGGAACTCCTCCTCAAGACATTGTCTACGGGGATAAATTCGGGTCGAGTTGGATGGCTTCACCCTCTCCACGCACTCTTCTCTACGCAGCCACCATGGCCTCCATGGCCTCCAATGTGGCAGCTGCTCCAGTACCCTTTCCTTCCGACCACTATGTGCACGGAATTCATCTCTTCCGCGTCGATACCCCTCTTGAGATCGTCGGCACTATTTTATCGTGGTGCTCGACTTTCCTATACCTGGGTTCAAGACTACCTCAGCTGTATAAGAATTGGCAGCGGCAGTCAACTGCCGGCCTCTCACCTCTTCTGTTTATTGCTGCTTTTTGTGGTAATTTCTTCGTAAGTCCTCCTTCTCTCCGGAAAGCCGTGGCATATTTACACGAGCCTTGTTTTTGGGTCCCAATATCTGTTACTGAGCTAATAGGCTTACCAGTACTCTGCGTCCTTGGTCACCAATCCCAATGCGTGGAGTAACTACGAACCATATGGACATCACGGCTGGGTGGACGCAGATGGAAATCAAAGATGGGCATGGGTTGCCCGTGCAGCTCCGTTCTTTCTTGGGGCTGCAGGAGTGCTAATGATGGATGCCTTGATGGGTGTCCAATTCATCATGTATGGGGAGCGAGAAGACAGAATCGTGAAGGTAAGAGATTCACATGGATATAGTCATTGGGAGCGAGTCAATGGATGGATGAGAGGCTGGATCCCTGCCATGGCCGGGAAAGACCGAGTTGTGGATATGGCCCAAAGTCAGCGCTTGCTGCATGAGAGCGGGCATTTGAGTCTGAGTCGGAGACGAAGTCACCATCATGTCGACTACGGTACGGTAGCGTGATGCAGGTAGACATGATTAGACGTATAGAATCCTCTTTTGTCCGTGGATTACTGGTTACCATGGAGAGTGATAGAATTTCCAATGCTGTAGAAACAGTGCTTTGACTAATACTCGGTATACTATTTGACGTCAGCTCCATCATTTGGAGTTGAGTGCCCGCTTCCGAATCTCCTCCGCATGTAACAACCAGGCACAGGAAGAACTCCGCGAGCGAAAGCTCACCATCATCGTACTGCTTCGCACGAAATCTCATTTACTTATCCCCAAGTTTGGCCTCCGAGTTCAGTCTCTCATGATCACATCACGCCTTATCCGCCCGATACTTTCTACCACCGCCGCGTTTGCTACATTCATCCGTCCTGCAAATATCCCGCATTTGGGAATTTCGTCGCATAGACTCGGATTCGCCCAGCAGCCCGTCAAGAAGATGCATGTCTTGAGTATTCCAATGTGTGCGTTAGCCCACCTTCGCAGCTGTACTGGCAGCTGTCAAACTCGATGGAAAGGCAGGGAAAGCCAGCCTGTTGACACCGTTGGATTTCTTGGACTCAACATTGAGCTAGCAACGGAATAAAATGCTAACAATCTCTGTGGTTCAGGGGTCGGCTCGTCCGACAATTACGCGTACTTGGTCAGCGATGATGAGACTAAGGATGCCGTGATCATCGATCCAGCGAATCCTCCAGAGTACGTTTCAGGCTTCCAAGATACCGTGGACCAGAAGAGAACCAAGACTGATGTCCATCCTTCTGGTACCTAGAGTCCTCCCTGTTCTCGAAGAGCAAAGCAAGTATCTACACCTGCGCACGATCATAAATACTCACCACCATTGGGACCATGCGGGAGGAAATACAAAGTTGCTGTCCGCAATACAGACCGATCTCAACATTATTGGAGGCAAGGACTGCGAAATGGTCAAAGAAACCCCATCCCATGGGTCAAAATTCACAATAGGCAAGAACATTCATGTGACCGCCCTGCACACGCCTTGCCACACGCAGGATAGCATTTGCTATTTTATGGAAGACAAGTCCACAAACGAGCGAGTCGTGTTCACCGGGGACACCTTGTTCATCGGCGGCTGTGGTAAATTCTTTGAGGGCAATGGTACTGAGATGAACAAAGCCCTCAATGAAGTCCTGGCGTCACTGCCTGATGATACAAAGGTCTACCCGGGGCACGAATACACCAAATCCAACGTCAAGTTCTTGAAGAAAATCGACGGGAATAACGAGGCTGTGAAAAACCTGGAGAAATTCGCGAATGAAAATAAGGAAACACAGGGCAAGTTTACCATTGGCCAGGAAAAGGAACACAATGCATTTATGCGAACGCACACGGAGGAGATGAAGAAGGTCACGGGTAAGACGGAGCCTGGTGAGGTTATGGCTCGGTTGAGGGAGATGAAGAACGCTGGTTAGGAGGAGCCGAGTTTCGTGGATGAAGGTGGCTACCTAGCTATATGTGAAGATGGATCCCAGGCGTGCAGAGACTGTGATGCGTACATACCTAGGTAGGTACCTACCTTAGCCATGGCGCTTGGAGGTCAGAGACGGCTCCCATGACAGATGTAAAAAAATACTTCACCACAGTCGCGATGTATTCGACGAAACTCTTGTACCAAATTCGAAGTTGATGTTCTGCGATATTGTAGCACTTCCAGTCTGTCAAGGGGAAGGCGTTCATATCATCAGGACGAAGGATACAAGATCTCCCCATATAACATTCGGGGTGTGTTTGAGTGATATATATTGTAAAAGCACTAAGTCTTCCGCAATCGACCACAGGAAGTGGAAAACAGGGCTTCCCGTTCGCTCAGCCGTACTTAAGCCACTTGCCGATTAGTTAGTACCACCGTGGGTGACCAGGTGGGAATCCTGATTGTTGATTGTTTTTGATTTTTGTTGTATGAAGTATTGCTGTCTTTATTTCCATTTTTTCAAAAAGCATACCAAGAACGGTTGTGAGGAAATTGTAAGGCTTTGTGGTTTGCTGATTTGGATGTGGCCGTTTCTGCGGCCAGGTGGGGACAGTCAAGGTGGTGGTCCAAATATGCACCTAGGCGGATTGGGTTGGCAGTCATAGGCAGGCGTGACAATTTCCTTGGTGCGGAGTCCTTAGTGGTGGCTGGGGTGCCTGTGGCGCCTAATCCCACGACCGACTACAGAATCCTGGCGCCCGACTTCGCCCAAGCCGCGGAGTATTGCACTACATTCTTACCTCTTCCGGCCCTGTATCTGTGACCTTTTCGGCGTGGACCTCAAAACGGCTTTTCGACGTCACATAATTATCAGATCCTGCACCACTGAATTCAACGAGATCCTCATTTCATACCACCGAGCCCACCTTGCCACGATTCCTCAAAACGACTATTCATCGATTCAAGCTCGCCTTCTTTGTCCGAGTGCACGACATCCTCGACGTCGCCCCTCTCCACAAGCCTAATTTCCTCCGCATGAAACAAAATCTCCAGCCGACAGACCATACCGACCCTTTCCTCTGAGAAACAAGTTCCTCATCTGCGCCGACGTGATTCACTTATTTGCCCGAGTCCTGCTCTATTCTGGTGTCTCGACAGCCTTTCCTAGGTCCTCCCTTGAGCCTCTCCTCTGCTCACAGCGCCCTCTTTGTCCCGTCAATTTTGCCGCCGTACTCGAAACCGATGCGAGAACTACTCCTTTACCGCCGCGAATCATGTCTGGAAAATATTCTGTCGAAGATCTCTTGAAGTTGCGAGCATCACCGCTAATATGTAAACCTCCGAATCTACCACCAATAGAGGAATGGATGGGGTATGGAATACATGTCGATTTCATGGCTGAAGCAGGTTCACGATAACTAACATTTGGCCAGTGCACAAGAACTGAGTGGCAGGAGGCCTATAGCTCGAGGAATCAAAGAAGAACAGCTCGTCCAAAATGAACCCTTTCAAAAAAGACCGACCATAATTGACGCCCAGCGTCGAACAGCTACCGGTACGTTTGAAGGACATTTGCCTGGGCTTCCAACTAAGGGAGATTTCGCAGATCCCGACCGCATAGTTCTCGGTCCTCCTCGCCGATCGTTCGCTTCTAATGCCCGCGTCGCCAGCAAGTCGCAAGATCTAGGAGATGAATCCGGAAACAACAAAGACCGATCAACATTGAATGATAAATCCAGAAATGGGGACGAGTCCGAGTTCCGGCATCATGAGCGGAGACATACTCAAACAAATGGTCGTTACGGTAATCGTCAAGAGACCGAAGATCCAGAGACCGAAGGTCGTCGTGACTATGACCGCAGGCCGAAATGGGCAGGGAGAGACAGGAACGATCAAGACCTAGACCACGATCAGACTCAGGAAGATTCGACACGAGGCTTCAGGAGGGACACACAGTCGAGGGCGAAGCTGTCGCAGTCATGGTTTAAAAAGGACAGTGGAGATGCCGAGGACGACAAGACACCTGACTGGCGTCGAGATCGCGGTAGAGACCGTGACTGGGACAGGGATCGCGGTGTCAAAGTGGAAGCGGAACCCGAATGGATGGACTCGACAGAACCAGAAGAACCGTTCCAAGCGCGTACACAAGAGGACTTCCAACGCTGGAAAGAACGTATGAAAGCAGGCAGCGCAGCACCTCCTGAGAAAATCGATACAGCTCCTATCAGTCCGCCAGCGGAGGAGAAACCAGCGAAGAGGGTCGTTTCCGCCGAGCCAGATGACTCAATGGACAAATTCTTCGCCAGATTCGAATCCAAGGCGACTGAACAGAAGCCCGGACCAACAAAATCACATGGCAAAACACGTTTCGCATCGCTTTTCAGTCCTGCAACGGAGCAAAACAAGCAGATCGAATTTCCCGCTCCCGCTCCCGCTCCCGCTCCCGCTCCTGCTCCTGCTCCTGCACAAACATCCCTCGCCGAAAGACCTTCATCTGCCCAGGCGACAGGCTCAGTGACGGATGCTGACCAAGCTGGATTCGCTCGTATTCTCGAAATGTTGCAGACACGAAGTAACAACCCCACTCCTCAAAACCAGGAGGGAGTAAAACCGAGGACACCACTATATGCAAGGGCAACCGAGCAGAAGGCCGAACCTGAAGCGAAGCCTCCCATGCCCGAACTCTTCCAATTATTGGGCGGCCAGCTTGGAGCTCAATCGCAACAACCTGAGCAAATCCAACCAGCTGCATCTCAGGAAAGATATACAGAGAGCAGATCTCCGAGCGAACTATCGCACACACGACAGCAGTCCAGCATTACCAAAGATGAAGTTCTTTTGACTTTACTACGTCAAGCCAGCCTGGCGCCAAAGCCCCAACCACCACCGCCTACTCCTGGAGGAGGAATGTTTGGACTGCCACCAGAGCCCAGCAATCGTGCCGCGCAGCCAAGAGGGCCGGTCATTTCGCCAGTTCAGTCACAACAAGATCCGATAATGATACAGCGAAGAGAGCCAAGAGGGCCAATATTCGACGAGTCACCAGTTTCCATGTATCAAAACGAACCTCCACAGCGCGAACCACCACCCGGTAGGAGGCCCACCAACGGTACCCAGCCCATGTATACGGACGCTCCACTGATGGCGCTTCTGCGTGGCCAAGCACCTCCGCAAAGACAAATACAGCCTCCTCAACCACCTCAAGCACTTCCTCCTGGTCTTCAACGACCTCCTGGACTGGATCAGATGCAGCGACAGAACCCAAGCTGGCCTCCGCAGCAGCCTCAGCAGCCACAACAACCACCACAGCCTTCACGCCAGCCGTCACTCCCACCTGGCTTGTCCAACCTTCCTCGAGGGATGTCAGGGGCACCGTATGCTGGACAGCAAATGCCGAATCAATCGACTCTACCGCAGCAGCCGCGCCCACAGCAGCCCCAGCCACAACGAAAATACACGGCAGAATCTTCTGGAATGCCTCCGAACCTTCCTCCCGGTATGTATCCTCCTCCAGGCTTCATGAATGCTGGTCCTCCACCAGGCTTTCCAGGCGGAATGGCAAATCATCCCGCGGCCAGGTTTGGGGGTGATCCGGCAGCGCAACAACGAGCTTTCATGGAAATGTACGGCGAAGTTGGCGGTAGAGGGTTAGGACTAAGAGGTGGTGCGGGCGGTTCTGGAATCCCGCCGTACCGGTGAGCAGGAAGGGCAGCCGTAGAGGTTCAGGTGCGTGGGCTCTTCCCATGAGATGAAGTGATGGCCGAAGCGACAACAAAGCGGCTGGCAAAGGCATGAGACGGTTGAGGTTGCAGGAGCTTGGAACGCGATCAGTTCACGCGGTGGGCATCCCCAGCGCGCAACGTACCCGTGATGGACAGTTGTCGTCATGGTTTGATGGATGCAAGCAAGCGAACCACGTATGCGATTGAAGCCACCAGTTCGGCAAGGACTCTACATAGCATGTTGCGCATTCATTCTGGACTCACAGAACACGCACGAGAGGCAAAAGTTGCGGCAAAGGGAACGATTGAGTGCCCAGTACTTCCGACCACGGGACAGCAAGAGCAAGGCGTGTCGAGACATGGGTATCTAGAGGGGGAAGGAAAAAGAAATCGCAAATTGAAGAACCGGATGAAGTAGCAAATGCAGGGCAATTGTTCTTCTGTCTGTCTCTGTCCCTCTGTCTCTCCTTCTCAGCCATGCTGGCGACGTTTAATCTTCTCGACCAGCCTCTTGACATCACCATCACCAGCTTTCTTCTTCTCCCCATCGGTGCCCGTGGAGAGTTTGCTCCGAGCATCGTGATCAGCATCTCCCCCTCTCCCTGATCTCTCGTTGTCTCCTCTGTGCTTCCTCCGCCGTCCTTCCTCCAACAGCGCACGCATGGCCTTTGTGCCCTTGAATTTCGGATTCGTCGGGTCGATGGCGTACTCGTGGCTTTCGAACAATCGCGAAAATCGGGGATCTGCCGTGTCCACTTTGAACTCGTCTTGGGCATTTTCGTCCTGGACATCGCCCTTCTTGGCCTTGACTTTCTTCTTTTTGTTCTTCTTCCGCTCCTCCTTCTCGGCCTTTTGAATTTCTCGCATGTCAAAGTGCCGAATCCTCTTCTTTTTGGTTCCATCGGGGCCGTGTGCGTCGACATCGGCGTCGTCGTCGGCCATCAACAATTCAAGTTCCGCCCGCTGTTTGCGATCCGCCTCCTCCTCGGCCTCGCGCTCTTTCTGTTTCTTCAAGCGCTCTTCCTTTCGCAGTTTCTTGGAGGCAGCTTTCTCTGACGCGGCTGATGGTTCGGTGAAGAACGGGTCTTCGAAACCCAGATCCTCTCCCTCCTCCTCTCTAGCTTGGACTCCTTGTTCGTCGTCGCCCTTGTCTTTGTCGTGGGCGTCGCCCTCGGTTTCAGGGACATGGCCTTCACGAGCATTCTTCATCTTCTCCTTGCGCTTTTGCTTCCTCTCTCTTTCTTTTCGAACGTATTTCTCTAGCGTCGTCTCCTCTGGCTCGGGCGAGTTCTCGAACACTGATTTCTTTTTCCCCGTCTCGTTCGTTCCACCGCTCAAGCCAGATGTGAACGTGATCTGCATATCTCCAACCGGTCCTTTGTCTTTTTTCGCAGACTTCTTCTTCTCTGGCTCCGGCGGGAGACCGAGGAGTGTGCGCATACGCTGTCTTTCTGCTTCTTTCTTGGAAACAGGACCGCCGGTTGCTGCGGCCTCATTCCTCTCCTCTTCGTCATCCCCTTCGTCATCTGAAGCCAAGTAGGCCCTGAGATCATTCTCATCAATTTCCTTCCTACCACCCTTAAAGGCTCTTGCCACTGCTTCCTTTCGACCTCCATCCTCCGCGTCCCATGTCAACTTTACCTTGGAATGCTGCAATGCATCTGTCACAAATTCATTCGGTCGGTAGTCGTCGGGTATCCTATCACATTCTTCACGGGGAACATCAGTGGAGAAATCGGTGTCGTCAGGCACGAAGCGGAGATCGAAGAAATTTGCCGTGCGCAGATATTCAGTGCCGTCGACGGCATCATAGATCTGTTTTGCCACACTGGGCGAAGAGAATGTCAAGATGGCGTAGAAATACCGTAGACGTTCCAGTTGGTAGCGGCGTAGGGCAGTGGAGTCGAAATCGGTTGTGCCGTCGTCGGGTTTCAGCATGGAGTTTTTGATATCCTCATCTTCTTGTTCTTCGTCGTCGGACAAGTCTCCATCGGCGTCTTCCTTTGCAGGGTTCGCAAAGATCTCTTTGGGTGGACCTTCCATCTCTTCACGTTCTAGACGTTCTTTACCAAATTCGCTGGGATAGATGGAGACCTTTCGCAGGGAGTCTGAGGAAGAGAGGAAACTGCTGAAGACGGCCATCAGGTCGGCGGCGCGTATATTGTCCCAATCGAGGTTGACAACAGCAATGCGAGACGTGACTTCGCCCGTCGGGACGTCTGTCTGCTGCGTTGGACCAACGCCAACTTCCTCCTCCAGGGCTCCATCTTCTTCCTCGGACTCTTCGTCGCTTGTGGTCTCATCTGACGAAGATTCAGAGTCTGTATCTCTTCCTTCGCGTAAAGGATCCCGGGTCTTTCTCTCTATTCGATTCAATTCTTGTTGCACTTCATCGTCGTCGTCTGGGACATCACTTTGTTCTTCCTCGCCTTCCTCCTCATCGAAGTCGTATTTCCGCTTCAACCGCTTCCTCTCCGCGTTGGATTCGAGTGGGCGGCCATAGCGGTCGACTTTGGCTCGCTTGACAAAGTCCTCATCTTCGAGAACTCGAGCGAACCGCTTGTCGAGTTTGACCTTGTTCTTCTTCCCCGGAAGGCGGTATCGTGGGTCGGACTGGATATTGGCGAATCGAGGATCGGTGATTCGAGGGCCAGTTGAGGGCTTGGGAGGGTTCGCTGCTGTTTTCAGCTTCTTCCTCGAAGGCTCCTCCATCTTGAGGCTGTCTGGGGTCAACTAGTCCGCAGTGACCTATGCAATTGCGGACAAAGCACACACGGAGGGAAAAAAGTTGTCCGACCGTCAAAATTTTGGTGGGGAAAATTGCTGCGGAGGCGACATTTCCCGCCAGTTTTCCGCCTGCGGTGCGGCAATTCCATATTTGGTCCCTTGCATGGGTGGCAGCAACCAGCGTCACGCCAGGGCGCCAGGGCGTGAAGATCTTTTAGAGCTCCCCAGTGGGTGCCAGGAGTCCAGGACAATAGAGCGATTCTCTTTGTAATTCTTGACCTTGTCCTGAGTTGTCCTCTCTCTTTGCACTCTTCACACCAAAGCGCCTAGCTTGTGCGCACCTTGAGCTCAATTCCAAGAGCGCAGTCGGCACTGCGCAGACACAGACTGTCCCGCCCTGTTTGTCTCGGGTAGCGACGTGCCTCATTGACAAAATGCCTGCGGGGTCCTGCTTGATCACCGGGTAAGTCAGGCCATTTCAGCATTCTTAACAGAAACTGATCCGTCTTTCTCTCAGTGGAACCGGGTACATTGGCTCCTTCACAGCTCTGGCCCTTCTCGAAGCAGGCTACGAAGTCGTGGTTGTCGATAACCTCTACAATTCCTCCCCCGAAGTCCTCAATCGGATAGAGCTCATTTGTGGCAAAAAACCCGAGTACTACAATGTTGACATCACGGACGAAAAGGCGCTCGACGCTGTCTTCTCAAAGCATCCAAACATCGACAGCGTCATTCACTTCGCCGCATTGAAAGCCGTTGGCGAGTCCGGCGAGATCCCCCTCGATTACTACCGCGTCAATGTCTATGGCACGCTTTGTCTTCTCTCCTCTGCCGCCCGCCATAACGTCACGAATATCGTCTACTCGTCCTCCGCTACCGTCTATGGCGACGCTACTCGCGTCCCGGGCATGATCCCCATTCCAGAAGAATGCCCACTGGGCCCTACAAATCCCTATGGCAATACCAAGTTCACTTCCGAGCTGATGATCACGGACCACATCAATGCCGAGCGCGCAAAAGCCCAAAAGAAAGGCGACGCAGATGCGGTCAAGAAGTGGAATGCCGGGCTACTGCGATACTTCAACCCAGCGGGAAGCCACCCCAGCGGAATCATGGGCGAAGACCCCTCGGGAGTTCCATACAATCTCCTGCCACTGCTCGCGCAAGTCGCCACGGGAAAACGAGAGAAATTGCTTGTTTTCGGCGACGACTACGCGTCTCATGACGGCACCGCCATTCGCGACTACATTCACATCCTCGACCTAGCAGCAGGCCATTTGAAGGCATTAGATTACCTGCGCACGCAACAGCCAGGCGTACGAGCCTGGAATCTCGGCACTGGGCGCGGCTCTACCGTGTTTGAGATGATTAAGGCATTCAGCAAAGCCGTGGGCCGCGACCTACCTTACCAAGTGGTCGAGAGAAGACCCGGTGATGTACTGGATCTGACCAGCAACCCGACACGGGCGAACCGCGAGCTCGGTTGGAAGGCCACCAGGACAATGGAGGATGCCTGTGCAGATCTGTGGCGGTGGACGGAGAATAATCCGGAGGGATACAGGCAGAAACCACCTCAGAAGTTTTTGGATGCGTTGAAGAAGAACAACTGAAACACTTTATGCGTGCTGTGAGATATGAGCGTGAGGTATGCTGTTTAAAGGGCTGCCATGGTTTGCGGTTTGAAAACGAATACCCTGGACGCAAAATGCATTGGTGATGAGCAGTGAAAGGGCAGGCAGATTGCACGAACATGATGGAAGAAGGCTTTCCATTGGATTGGTAGTCTAAGTTGGTGTTTGGATCAAGATAGATGAGACAACAAAGGACAATATCTGGGTATTCGAGGACTCGAGCTTGGGATAGAGGCATTGAGCCGTCGACCATACTCACATAGCGGAAGCGGCATCGGAAGCATTCTGACCCGATGTGACTGATTTCTAATATCGGACTCGGGACAAGATACGCCGAGGCGCGCATTGCGTCTACACGCACCGAGCTTGCGACATTGACTGATATTACAATATCTACCTCGTATGCCCGTACACCATGATGGTGTGGAACTGGCCATTTTCCGCTGATCGGTAAGCATCATCGTCAGGTTGCGAGCCTATTTCTCCTCCAACCTTTCGAACACTCATGTCGTTGATGACCGTTCTCCCATAAAAAGGTAGGTACCGATCTGGTGTCCTGGTCTCCTTCGTCTGAGGTATCTCTGGGCTACATACCTCCAGACCAATAATCGCTACAGCTAGATTACAGGTCCAAGCATGGTAACGGCCTCGCCCTCGCAATAATGACCCAGAAACCCGTCCTCATTTCCGGCGCCGGCCTGGCCTCTCTCCTCCTCGCGCGCGCTCTTCTTCGCTCAAACATTCCCTTCCAAGTCTTTGAGCGCGATGCCTCGCTCACATTCCGCGGCCAGGGATACCGCCTGCGCCTGTCCTCCGAGGGCCTCGACGCGATCGAATCGGTGCTGGACCCTGCCGCGTTTCAGAGATTCTACGACCGCTGCGGGAAGACGGCCGGAGCCGGGTTCGTGGGCTTCGACGCCATCACCGGGGAAGTGGTCGAGGAGCACACGGCGGCCGAGAACTTGGGTTCGCGGGAGGGAAAAGTCGTAGGGATCGCGCGGGGGGACATGAGGAGGTTGTTTATGGAAGGGTGCGAGGATTTTGTGCACTTCAACAAGCACGTCAAGGGCTACGAGTTGACGGCCGACGGCGTAAAAGCCGTCTTCGCCGACGGGTCCAAATCCGTCGAAGGCTCTCTGCTTGTTGGAGGCGAGGGGATCAACTCGACGGTGGCCAAGCAGCTGTCCGGCGGGCGTCTCAAGGTGTACGATCTCGGCGCCCGCGGCATCCACGGCCAGGCACCGACCGCGGCGTTCAAGACTCTGGGCGAAGGCGTCTTCCGGATCGCCGACACCGCGAACCCCCGTGGCCGCCTCTCCATCATCACCAACGTCCGACCCAACGACATGGACGACCCGGACGTCGAATTCGGGTGGACCATGATCGGCATACCCGGTGTGATCAAGGCGCCTAACGACGACTACACGATCGTCGGCAAAGTCGCGGCCGACATCGCCAAGTCGCTCACCAAGGACTGGAACCCGCGCTTCAAACCCCTCTTCGACCAGATGAACGAGTCCGAAGCCGCATTCTGGAAAATCACATGCTCGACCCCTAGCGGCGTTCCCGAATGGCCCAACAACCCGCGCGTCACCGTTATCGGGGATGCGGCGCACTCGATGACCCCCGCGGGCGGCATCGGCGCCAACACGGCCGTGCGGGACTCAGCTTTGCTCGGTCGACTGCTGCGCGAGGCCGCCGCCGGCGGGCCTACCTGCAATTGGGACGGCGTCACGGCGGCCTATGAGAAGGAAATGAGAGTCTATGCCAGCGAGGCCGTGAGGTACAGCTACGGTACGTCGACAAAGGCGTTTCAGGTCCGTATTGACGAAGAGTCGAAAACTATATAAAGTAGACGGGGGACGGACACGAAATAGAGGGGAAAGAAAAGGCACTCCCGATATGATCTTTCTCATGGATGTCTTTTGTGTAACCGTGGATAAGAAGGTCCTTGTGGAAACCACTACTATCACTAGAAGCTCGCGCTGGACGATGCCCAGTGTCTGATCACCAAATATATTACCTCGGAATAGATCCGCTTATAACTTGGTCTGAAAGTTCATTGCCGATTCAGGGGCTTGGTCTTTGTGTCCCATCCTCTCGTACAATATATATGGGGGTATCAAGAAATGGTGTGCCGCCAACGCCATCGCTCACACAAATAGAAAGGGGGTATCAATGTCGCTATCGTACCGGCGAATACTATTCAAGTTGAGTAGACAACGCTCACACCAACCTTGCCAGTCCATTTCTTGACTCCACCGCCGTCATACGCAAATCCGCTCCCCGGATGCCCGGCGGTACTCTTTTTCCCGCTCCCAGTTCCTGCACTCGCTTCGCTAGTTGTCCCAAGTCCGCCAGTCGCAGCTGCGGCTCCACTGACAGGACTTACCGAGACTCCGACCTCAACAAGTAAACTCTTCACTCTGCCCGTCCAAAGAGCCTTGACGTTCCAAGAATCATCCACACGAAAGTTTAGCACGTTCTCTTCTTCCCGCTCGATTCGCTGTTCCTTGAGAGAGCGCTCGGCCGGGCTGAACCAGTCTTTGGCGAGGGTGCGGGCCCATTGGATTGGATCTCCATTTGTTTCGTTGTCAGAACCGGTGCCAGAAGGGTCGTTCTCTAAATCTCGAGATGACGAGTTCCGCCGGCGTCGAGGGCGCCACAATTCCCCACCCACCACATATCGTGACTCCCATGAGTAAAAGTTAAAGTCGAACCTGGATGAGAGGGACAGGGCCGACGTTGGGCGCACGGAGTAAGTGGACGATATTGACCCAGTAAGCGGAGTCAAAGTTAAGGTCATGGTATAGGGAAATGAAGAATGCGGCACATTTGATGGAGTGAGTATAGCGTGGGATGCTGTAGAGAGGATGGCGGCAGACGTTCCTGCTAGCGGCTTGTTGGGTGAAGGAGTAGGCTGAGGTGGTGGCTCCGACGGTGTTATATGAGGTGTGAGGGTGGTGAAGCGCAAGCCAGTCGAGAGGCCGATGACATGAGATAGAGGGCTGTAATAGAACTCTGCACCGGCAGAAAGCAGCGATGGCTTAGAGGCCAGACGGTTTTGATACGCAGTCAATGCATCCGCTTGCGGCGGAGAGTTCAGACCTGGCGATGGGAACTCTGTGAAGCCATCTGTTGCGCCTGCAACTTGCAACGATGGAGCGGGTGTCGATAGAGAGACCTCTGGCGTCTTGGGTGGGCTAAGGCCGAAATTCCACAGACCCCTGACTCCCAGAAGGCCATTGTCTGTCGAGCCCAGTCCCTCGATTGAATATCGGCCAGCATCGTGCTGAATATGGGCAAGGACCGAGGCTGGCGGTGGACCCGAGTTTAACACTGGAGTCGAGGCTGATTTGCTGTATAATGAGACGGAGAGCAGAGTCTCGGGACTAATGCGTCGTGCATATAGCGCCGTCAGAACTGAAGGAGGCGGGAGATCCAGAGTCGCATGCAGCAAAATTGGCTTCCTCCCATCTTCGCTTAGAAACTTGGGTATACCCTTCTTTTGCCCCGGTGGGAACGCAAGGGGGAGCCTTATATCTCTGTATCCCGGAGTCAAATATCTCAGCGGGATGGTTGGTGCTTCAGAAGGAACATGGCCCAATGGGATGCTTGAGTAGAGGTAGGATATCGAGCCATCTATGTGTCCCAGCGTCGACAAGGTGTATGAAGATGCGAAGTTCGGGGTGCTCAGAGACGAGACATGTAACGACAATGTCGAGGGGGTCTGGAACGAGAGTAATGCGTCCGAGGTTGCGGTCAGAGAGGAATAGCTGTTGTCGGGATTCCAGTCGGTCGACGTCCCAAAGGCGTGGACAATATAGTCCATGAAGCCAATCATTTTGAGAGGTGGACGAGCTCAAGCGCGCCAGGCGCTATCTCAAGTCGAGATTCATCTTAGAAATGTCAGTGGCATACCACAGTAAGCCGTGTCTTCGCACTGTGCTGATGCTTGAGAATGGTGGTCGACACCGTCGAAGCCGCAGTTGCTGAACTGCCCTTGAAGCCATATTGGTCCACCGTAATTATACGGGGTGGTATTCTGTCACAGAGCACATTTCTCAGTCTCGCCGCCGCAAGTAAAACGACGACAAGGTGACCACTCTGCCAAACACAGCTAGGGTATGGATAACAGAGAGAACAACACTATTCCAGTAATTGTAAATGAAGATCACCGTCGATCTACTAATCGGGTGGATTTTACTTCCTCACCAAGATAGTCTGGTCTGACCGCGCCATTTACTTCCCATCTCGGCATACCCCTCGTCTCATCAAAGCTTAGGGACTCTTGTCAAAAGTCTTGTCTGCACACCTCATCACGCATCAATTCGTTGTTGTCGCCATGACTCAGTTACGCTCAATGATTCAAGCTATTCGTCGCTGAGCGTTTCGACTAACCAAGAGGCAAACTGCCGCTCTCGGTCCTAGAGCTCCGGGCACCGAGCAGCATCTACGGCCTTAGTGTCTAGACGAACATGATTTGATCAAGCTGGAAGAAGTGGTCTGTCCCGACTCCCGAGCAGCATTCCAAATGGCAACGGGCAGACGGTACGAGGTACTTTCGGATCTTTTCGCCTTTTCAGCCAAGTAAGTCCGCTAGATTGGGTGCGTGGAGCTTGTGGTGGTGATAACAGCCTTGTCACTTTAGCAGCGCCCCAGCTCTGGGGTTACAGCTGACGCCACGAAACGCAGGCTGCCAGCCCAACGTGTTCCAGTCCCCCAGCTTGAGCTCTAGACTCGGAGTTGCCTGGTAGACGCGTGGAAAAGAGACGGGAACTTCGCGACCACCTGCTTAAAGGACGATGTGATGGCGCTAAGGCGCTGCGTGGGATTGCCACGATGTACCCACAGTAGCCTATCACGACCACTCTGGCTTTATCACGCAATGGCTTACTGCAACGATAAGCTGAACGCCAAAGGACCATTTTTCGCAGATAAACCCGGCATGCTGGGGCCCTTCTAGAAAAACTGCCACATGCGGATGGTGCTTTAAAAGCCCTGCCAGAATCTCGCAGCTGTACTTTTCTCCGCTTCTTTCAGCCCCCTCAACATTTCACACTGCCTCGAGAGACACCAGCGCACAATGGACAAGGACACCTACGCCGACGAAAAGCAGGTAGATCCCGACTACCCAGTGGTTGCCGGTGACGAAGGTGATGCCGGCCCCCTTGAAGGCTTCAGTGCCTTGATTGCTGAAGGTATGTGTTTGGTCAGCTGTAAAAGCGCCGAGCGACTGTTGACAGCGTATCCCAATAGACCACAAACATGAGATCAAGCTTCGGACTATGTCCTGGCAGAAGGCTGCCTGGTTGCTTTGTGGCGATCAGGTCTGTCTTGCCATCATGGCCCAAACATGGTCGCTCTCGTAAGGCCATCTCGCTACATTTCCCATCTTCATAGGGCTAACGATCGTGTCCATGCAGTGTCCTTGGCTGGGTTCCTGGTATCATCACCATGGTCGGTGCAGGTATCCTCTTTTGGATCACCTCCATCACCATGCACAAATACATCATGAAATATCCTCAAATCAAGGATATCTGTAAGTTTAATCTTCTTTGTTTGAGACAGTGGAGGGCTGTTGCAGCTTACTTTCATTCAAACAGGTGATTTCGGATACTACGCCTTTGGCAGGAGTCGGATCGCCTACGAGTGGACTGGATTCATGTTGCTCGCCAACAACATCCTCCTCGTTGGCTTCCACGTCCTGACGGGAGCCAAGATTCTCAATACCCTATCGAATCACTCCCAATGCACCGTTGTCTTCTCCATCATCATCATGCTCATGTATGTTTCCCCTGAACTTGAAACCTCTTTTTCCCTGCCGGGGACCTCAGCACTAACGACGAACAGGGGCATTGTTATGTCAGTCCCCAGAACCTTACGCCATGTGTCGTTCATGTCAATGTTCTCAGGTGAGCGACCGTCCACTCCACCCAACGCTGTTTTGCCCGCTGACCCCTGTATATAGCCGCCTGTATGGGAATGGCAATCCTCCTGTTCCTGATTTTCTCGGGCATCGAGGACCATCCCGGCTACGGGTACTATGGCACCTATCCTGCTGCTGGCGAGGTCAGAACCTACCCCTTTCCTCTTCCTGGCACTACCTGGATCAATTGGTAAGTAATATAGAAAGTTTCTCTTCCAACCCTAACCCTAACCCTAACCCGCGACCTCTCCTCCTCTATACTCTATACTCTATAGTATCTACCCTAAATACTAATCTTTTAACAGTCTAAATGCCGTACTTAACATTACATTTTTATGGGTGCCCCAAATCCTCTTTCCAACCTTCATATCGGAGATGGAGAAGCCACAAGATTTCCCCAAGTCCCTGGCCGTTCTCACGGTTATTTCGGCCTTTTTATTCATCTGTCCTCCGGCCATTGGCTTCCACTACTTGGGCCAGTACTCGACCGCTCCGGCATTTGGCAGCTTGGGGCCCACGTCTTATAAGAAAGGCTCCTTCGCCTTCGTTATTGTGCCGACGCTCGTTATCGGCGTGATTTACGCAAACGTGACGGCCAAGTTCATCTACTTCCGAGTCATGGGCAGGTCTCACCATGCACACAGCAACACTGTCATTGGATGGGGTGTCTGGATCCTGGTCATGGCGGTCATCTGGATCCTCGCATTCATCTTCGCCGAAGTCATCCCCAGTATGGGAGACTTTCTCTCTCTCCTCGGAGCGGCTTTCGACTCATTCTTTGGCTTCATCTTCTTTGCAGTGGCGTATTACCACTTGTATAAAGGGAGACTGTTTCACGGTGTGTACAGATCCATCATGACAGTCGTGCATGTCTTTGTCATGTTTGTCGGGCTGTTCTTGCTCGGACCAGGGCTCTATGCTGCCGTCAAGGCCATCATCGCCGACTACTCGGGGACTACTACGCCTGCCTTCAGCTGTGCGGATCTGTCCATCTAAACTCAACCCAAACCCTAACGTTAAGATGCACCTCCTGGTTTTGCGGGATCTCCACCACGATAGAAAGATAGTCAATATTGAACAAGCCATCTGGTATATATACACTACGTATCGTTCCTGGCTGGAAATCCGCGCAGCTGTTGGCCTTTGAATGGAGGCGCCTTGCCTTATAAGCACTCTCACCTGTCTTCTCAACTTTCCCCCCTGCCGAGTACTTCTGACCGAGTATCTCGTCCTTCAATGCATTAGCCTCATGTATGACAGACCCATGCTCGACACTGACAATAAGACATATCAGCAGCGAGGTGTCATCATCACTCTCGAGGGCGTATTGAAGAAGTCATGGCGGCCAAGCGCCGCCTGGCCGCGCGAATGTCCCACGTGGTTGTTGCGTGGGGGGGCATTCCTCCGAACCCTGAACAAACAAGCCGGACTCTCAATATCTTGAGACATACGCTTAGTTGTACCATGTCATCCAGCGAAATCTGGTATACGGTAGTCCTTATTTGCGCCACCTCAAAGGGCCCTTGGAGCGCGATACCACCTTCGACATATGCTCCCGCGCATTGTTTTCATTTTCCAAATCCCTCCCCGCATCGAGCTGGTGTTGCGCGTGGTGCTTCTGAAGGTTTGATGATGATATTTCAAAAGTCGATCCTGTAGCCTGCGGCTCAGCTCTTCCAGTTTGTTGTCGTATGCCATCCGCCGTTGCCTCGGGCCGGCGCTTCATGGATCTCAGCATAACGACAGATCTGGTCGGTCGAACGAGCCAGATTCTAGATCTCGTATCTCGATTTTGACTTTTTGACCATCGTGACCACAACACAGGCTAGATGGCCAAGGCAACTAACTCTAAGGCAGGAATACGAAGTATCTAGCCGAGCTGCATCGATCAGCTGGGAAAAGTCTTCTCAGCTTCAAACGTTGATAATCCAAAGGTTACATCTGGCGGACGGACGACTTGTCTCTTCGGAGGAGCCGAGGATCTAGTAAGGCTCAATATCAACAAACGCCATCATGTCTGATTCGACACCAGCGCTTTCCCAGGTTGAAGTCAATGGAGTGAAACTAGCCTACCGTGAGTCCGGGGAGGGCGAGCCCCTGGTTCTCGTCCATGGACATCTCTCTGACCACCGCTCCTGGACACCCATTGAAGCCAACCTGGCGGCCCACTTCCATGTGTACAACTACAGCAGACGCTTTGCCTGGCCCAACGAACCAATCCAGGACGGCGAGCCTCAGTCCTGGGAGCAAGACGCACTCGACCTGGCCGGCTTCATCGAGGCTCTAGGCATCGCACCCGCCCATGTCCTGGGCAACTCGTCCGGCGCCACTATTACCATCTGGCTGGCCCGTCAGCGACCGCAACTATTCAAGACTTTACTACTCGAAGAACCGCCCCTGATCACTCTCTTCTTGCCCAGCCTTCCACCGAGTCCCCTATCCGTCCTCTCCTTTCTACTCTGGCACCCTATCTCCTTCTGGCCCGTGATGACCTTTGGCGCCACCACGGTCTCGCCGGCCGCGGCGTACAGCAAAAAGGGCGACTACGAACGCGCCATCTCCACGTTCGGAAAGGGCGTCCTGGGCCCCAAGTTCTGGCCCCGCGCCCTAGCCGACGTCGACCGCAAGCGCCAGATCGACGACAATGCAAAGGTTCTGTGCCACTTCCTCCGGTACAATTCCATGCCCAAATTTGATGTGCCGGACGCGCGGGAAATCCAGGTCCCGACGCTCGTGATTACGGGGATTGAGGGCCCGTGGTCTCAGCAGTGTATCGATGCGGAGTTGATCCGTGTGTGCGGCGCGAAGAGGAAGAAGGAGGTCAAGATCGAGGGCGCGGGCCATGCAGTACACGAAGATAACCCGGAGCAGGTAGCCAGGGAGGTGGTGAGGTTCGTGTTTGAGGATAAGGCTGTCTAAAATAGGGGAATGGGGCAGCTGGGTGAGGATCGATCAGTCTATTGAAACAATGCTCCTTTACTGCTTTGAAATTGAACCGAGCACTCTGGATACTTGTCTGGAGCGGGGGTCTCCGCCCCATATACACGTCCTAGCCATGCCGCATACTTCGATGCTGTCCGGGTCAACCTCCACCCTTAGTAATCTCCTATCGTACTTCTAGTGGGTGCTAGGGATTGAGTGGAAAAGTCGAGAATTCCCTCTAGCGGGAGGGAGTCTCGCTCGATCTCGGCCGTGACGCCGACCATGTTCAACACTTTCAATATGTAATTCCCGCAATCGGTCAAGCAGTGCAAACTATGCTGATAGATACGCATCTGGAGACTGACCCATTCGGCATTAACATGGGAGACCCCTCGACATCGCCTAGCTGCTTGACTTTCTCAAACACAATCCGAGTGTACCCCTTTTGTTTGAGCAGGACCGCGAGGACTGGACCAGCAACGCCACAGCCGATGATGAGGACGGTAACAGGCGCCATTTTCTGTTTTGTCTTTTTTGACTCAACTCTTCAGTCTCCTTCTTTGGTGGTTGATGTCTTTCTTTGCTTGCTTGTCGGGTAGATATTGATCGACTTCACCAGCGGCCATCTTCCCATCCTTTACATCTTCCATTGACATGCCGTATCCATAGATTGATACGCTCTGTTACTGGACAGACAGCAAGCATTCTCTGGTCGCGAGGCGAGACATATCGAACCACCTTTGGCATCGAGACACCCACTATGTCATCATCCGCCAAAAGTAAGTCTAAGGTTGTTGCTTGCCAGAAGGATTATCCGACCCTTTTTGGACCTTGTATGGGCCCTTTTGGAGCGAGAGCCTAAGTGCAGGCGGCCCTGGAGCTGAGTAACAATAGAGTATGTAACAATACCTAGTGGGAAAACTCTAGGCCAACGTCACTCGGACAAGCTCTGGCCATCGCCGTCTCGCGCCCTCGCGCTTTGCGTGATCCCGAGGCTTCCCAGCTACGGCTTAGAGGCTTGTGACAAGACCTACTTTTTCGGGGATCCTGATTTCTCCGCCAACAGCGGGCTGGCGGCGCGACTCCCAAAGTTGTTGTAACAATTTCGTCGAGAGTTACATGCTGAGAGGTGGGTGTGACTCATTGCGAGAATCTGGGGGAAATACACGCAAGGTACAGAAGGCCGGGAGGAGGAACGATTTGGGTCTCGCGCTCTCGCGCCTGGGTTTTCTGCCGAAGAGAGAAAACAGCACGGGAGCCTCGGTATTAGTCCAAAGTGCCTTCGTCCAAAGGGCATCATCGCATTCCAATCATGTCCACCTTGCACAGCTATGGAGTTACTCTGCCCAACGGCTGCACCATCGTGCATGGGCAGGGCGCGAACATCAAACACCCCTTCAGCGACATCCCGGTGGAGATGCATGAGCTCGATCCAGGTAGCAGAAGGGCCTTTTCAGGGCAGATGGGATTCATCGAGTTCTCGACCGACTTCAGACTGCCTCGCCATGTGCATATCGCTGCCTCTTCTTCTTCCTCTTCTTCTCAGCCGGTGGTGGCGGTGCAAAAGTTCATCGCCGAGCGAATCGTCGTCCTCAACGGCGTCGCCCTCGTCGAGCTCAATGGCGAGATCTACGTGATCCCGCCCCAAACCCTGGTGACTATCGCGCCGGGTGTGCCGCACACCTGGACGGCGTGCCCACCGGGGGTGTCCGTTCCGGTCTCGCAGGGGCCGACGATGACGACCGGCGACCCCCTGCAAGTAATACAGTCCGAGGGGACATTCCTCATGCTCTACGAGTACGAAGAGCCCACCGCGTTCTTCCCCACGAGACAGACCGCGACGCTGGCGAGCGTGGACGACTATGAGCGATGCGATGATCTCGAGACCATCAGGATTCCGAGCTTGAGCGCTGACCAAGTCCGGCAGAGGTGCTGGTTCGTGTGCGATAGGACAGTGAGAAAACCCGGATGAGAGGAGGGTCGATCTTGCAGGTGATGGCATCGTTTCCTTTTCTAGATGAAAACAATATATATACATAATGTATGCCTCGTGTAGTTTGATCCTGTGTACGTCACAGACACATGTGAAAACTGTCACCTCCAGATTGCAGCAACTTTGCTCACAACGGCAGTTTTTTCTTTGGTCGGAAACAGTGGTTCCTCATTTTTTCCACCATATAGTGAAAACTGTTCCCGGAACAGCGGCGACTTCAGCATGGCTGTTGCTGCAACGGGCTCGCTTGTCATGGTATCCATGTCAGACAAAGGTGCTGTTTCAGGGTCGCGACCTAGCCATCAGAGCAAATACCTTTTTTCAAGTTGCCCGGCGGTATATTCTTGATATGGTTTTGATCGTTGCAACTTGCAACCGGGTTGAATTTGTATTCGCACATAGATGCTCAGAAGCACTTTCGGCCGTTACCTGAAAATCATCTTCCTGGGGCGAGCCGGTCTTTCTGGCTTTTGACATGATAGAAGGTCAATTGCTGACAAGCCAGCTTGGCGTTCACAGGCCCAATTGTCTTGCTTTCCCTTGAGAGCGCAAAAACGCGAAGGTGTGGTCCGTTAGCACAGAGCTGCTCTGAAAGCCAGCATATTTTACATAACCGGCAGTGACAGCTCCGAACATTATCAATGTGGCTCACTTATCTCTGATGCAGCGTCCGGGCGTTTGAAGAAAAGCTGATCGAGATACACCTCCCTTTCTCCACCCATGTCCATTGCCGAAAGGCCCTTGGTGGCCCATTGCCATGAACCTGTCCCCTGCGGATTCGTGTCTCTGATCATCAGACAAGCCCAGGCGAGAGCGTCCTCATCACAATCCTCCAGATCGGATTTTTGGTTCAACGAGGCAATTTGCATCGTCACGTTGTGTTCCGACGAAAAGTTGCTCCAGCGGCGCACAGTCCTTTCCAACCAATTCACATAAGATTGAATTGCCACTGCAATCACTCGCTCGGTAGTGTTCAGACCCGACATTGCCAGGACGTCGTGAGCCAGCTCGGTCATAGAATCGTGGGGACCGGGAGACGAGCTGTTATTCGCGAGCCACTGGCAGAAGATCTCTAGGAAGTTGATGCACTGGAGGCTGAGGCGGCAGTCGAAAGCCAGGCGAGCCAGTCCCGGTGGGTATTTTGATATTTTGGCTCGCAAGGCTTGAGGGAAAGGTTTCGATGGATACTCCACAAAGGAGTCATTGGAAAGCTGAAGGCCTTGCGCTTCGTCCTGGCTGCGTTGGGTTTGTTGACGATGTAAGACGGCTGCAGATTCGAACATTCTGGCATTCGAGGCCATGTTAGAGAGGTATAAAAGCGTAGCTGTGCTTATGATATCTTACCCAACAGCCGATATTTTCAGAAAGCCACTCCACCCCAAGTAATCAAGCCCTCCACGCAAGGCGACAATGCGCCGAACGCCCTGGACATGTGCATCGAAAGCGGCATGATCGTTCAACATACGCTGTGATCATTCTGTCAGCAAGCCTACGAGTCGACTTTCGGGAATCTCAGGGTTGGTGGAGGGGGTGAGTAGCCATACATAGACCACAGCCATGGGGAAGATGGTGGCAAGAACGATATCGCTTGTGCTGGTCTCCGGATCTTGCAGTGCTTCTCGCAACTGAACGACAGCATTATTCAGGTGGTAGAGAGCAGCTCTCGAAAGACGTGCTGTGCTGTCCATGTGTAGTCTCTGCATTGTCAAGTTCAAGGCGATCATTGAACTGCAATACATGCCCGTTTCGAGCACATTAATCCTCATGAAGTGATGCTGAGTATCGTTGTAGTTGCCCAAGCGCAGTGCAAGCGGGCACAAGACTTGGAAATCTGTCCCATAAGCGTAAAAATACACAGGATGTCTCTGAACAGCACTTACGGTGGTCAAACCCCGTCATTGCATCGCAAGTGTTTTTCACGGGGAGAGTCCAGAAAGGGTCATCTCGCAAGCCCCCAATTTGATAGAACAGCAGAGGTGGAGATGCATCGGATACCTCAACGTAGCTTAGCAGCTCGGCGTTTCGCCTGCGAGCTGCGTCTCTTATTGCGTGGCGTCTTTTCTCATGTTTGATGTGGGCGTGGTGAGCGTTTATGGCAGCCAATTCGCTGCTACGCTCGAAGTTTCTTATGTTTCTGTTGATGAAAGTGACGGGCATAGCGGTTTGCTGGGGGGAGATCGAGGCATGTTATTGACAGAGTGTGATGAAGGAATAGCGAGCAGCGTTCTTTCTGCCTCCTTCACCGAATTCAGGATGTGGTAGAGACCACGTCTGCCATTCCGTTTTGGTATGCGAGTGATGCCGCCTTGTTCTCATCCTCGGCTAGCCGTAGGCGGTAAGTGTCCACACCCTTTCGTGCTACCCACAACGAAGTCGTGTTTCCATTATGGACCTCAGCTTTTAACATCTTCAGTATTCTCCATACCCAGGTATATACAAGTCAACACTTCTTCGAAAGTGATGGAGGCTGATCACACATTCAACATAGCCAAGGATTACCGTCACGACAGCAGCTAGTTGTTCGGTTTCCCTGCCACGCTTCTTCCGAAAGCGCGACACCAATTTTCAAACGTGCTACGGTTAATCACTTCCCCGTCCAGGAAGCGTTGACTACTCATCCACTCGTCTCTCGTCTGTATCGTCGCATTCGCGACCCACCAGGTCTGAGTGACAAACAGTCCACACAAAATTGGCTGATTCGAGGCTTCAATTTGACCTCCAATTCTCAGGACCTTCTCTGCCATTTCCTGACACCCGGACTCCAGCACGCTGAACCTAGCTGGAGCAAGGGCAATTAGAAGCCTAGACATTAAAATTACGCAAGAGAGATATGTCCCGAGCAGTTGTACACGGCGCACCATGCTCATAGAGAAGATGGACGGTTCGCAACGAAAGATGTCGGCTTCACGGGTGTCATCAAGTGGCACCAGTGACACTTTATGCTCGGTGTACCATCGGAGGAGGGCTGCTCTGGCGTGACAGATCCGATCGATGACAGAAGAGACTGTGCCTCGGGCGACCGGGTGGCGCGAGCAGATGAGCTCTTCTGCTGTTTTGAACATACTTGGTGCTGAGACTAGATGGCCCCAGAGCGACATGACCAGCTCAGTCCTCTCCCCCCACAGATCGTTGGGCAGGATGGCGGAACGAAAGACTTCTCGCCAAGCTTCCTCGGCTAAAAAACATGGCGTGCCGTTGATCAGCGCTTCCGTCACCTGCCAGCGAGCTTTTGTCAGCCAACCTACTGTCGAATTGGCGGCGCCCGTTACAGTACGTTCCGTCAAGAAAAAAAGATGGCTTACAATTGGCCCTGCTTGAGCCACAAAAAGAGCCTTCTCGAAATCTGTATTAAACCGATCTGGTCCGCGGTGTTCGATCAATCGTGCCGCACCTCCAGCATGGTGTATCCAAGACTTCCCTCTTTGGGTATCTAAAAGCTTGACGGCTGTGTCAGTCGTGGCTCAGAGACGCATTATGTGGCTAGGTCACCTCAAAAATACCCAATAGCTCTGTTGCGCAGAGGGTCTCGGGTTTCATGCACAACTCTCTGTCGTCCAGTGCCGCTTGCAAGCATTTCAGTGCCTTAACATACCGGGACGCCACGGTCGGTCCTCCACTTGGCACACGATTGCTGTCGACAATCCCTCTGAGTCTCTCGACAACACAGTCGGCCGCATAGGTCAGGCTTGGCGTCTGCCCATACCGGCTGGGCACGAACGACAGTAATGAGTTTCCCCCATACGGGAATATGAAAATGTCTCGCATGTGGACGGGGTCCGACGTGAAGTGGGAGACCTTGGCAAGACCAAGGTGGAGACTCGCCAGGGGACAGATATTGAGGATAGAGAAATGGGCGGAGACGATGAGGTGCGAATAGTCAGCCTGTAACAGGCTGGGCGGATCGAGATCACGCAGTCCTCGGCGGTCCATCTGCAAATGCTTAGACTGGCTGTGCTCCTGATCTTCCGGGGAGGAGGACTGTGTTGGATGCAGAAAGTTCGGGAGCTGTCTGAGATTGTGCTTTCCGTAGGTGCCTCTCCGTCGCCGTGCAGCCGCCACCTTTTTCATTGCCTGTTTCCGGATGCGGACACGAGTAGCCTGGCTCGGCGACAGCTGCGCCGGAGTGGAGTTGATGAACTCAAACATCGGGATTTGGGAATTATGCCTGTAACGTCGTGTGGCAGGCCCAAGGTGTACTAATCGCGGCGTGGGAGAAAGTGCTCCCTGACGGGCCTTTCTGTGAACGATCTTCAAGGGTGTTTCGTCGCTTACGACGGAGAATCCGGCTCAGAGCTTTCTCGTCGATCATGTACGTACCTCTTATCAACCTCCCTTCCGTTGTCTGAGGATTGGCGAAGGTGAAATTTAATTAAGGGTGAGATGCTCGAACGGAGCCGCCAGATTTTCCCGACTAATATATAACGTAGCGCGGTCCCACCTGGATGAGGCCGGGGTACTGGTGTCCGTACATGGTTAGACTATTATGGCTGGGCCGCTACCGAATCAGCGGGTCAGTCGAGCGTCAGCGTCCCATTGACTACTTTCATAGATAACTAATCATACAACATCCTCCCACAAAGTGTGTTCCTGTTGAAACGGTGCCTCGGACCCTGACACATATGATGATCCTAATACTGAAACGGTAAGCGCGGAAAACTGACCTGCTGATTTCCTTTGGCAAGGGAGGATCTCAACCCCTGGATCAACAACACTGGGGCATGGAGATACATGTGCCACTCTTGGAGAATTCAAAAGTCTACATGGCGAATTCCAGGAGACCGCCGTAGGACGTAAACGGGCCTTTCGTCCTTACACATAGGAGTAAGTGATGATTAAATGCCTAAGATAGCTTTTCCACTAAGTGCTGCTATACTTTAGGATTACCACGGCCCCTGCTGCTTCTTATAACCATAGTAAAAATGGACCAGATGAACTTTCGGATCTTCATATCTCTGGTATCTTCTTCGGACTAAGGCCTTGGATTTTCTATACCAAAACAAACGAGTGAGACTGGCCGCCCTGAAAGAGCTAATATCCAGCAAGGTACTTGTGAGACGGCAATTGCTAATAGGTTGACTGCGGGCGGTGCAGTCCATTATAACATGTCCCAATCAAACTGCCAGCCTCGTCTGTATCTGCGGCAACGGGCTTTCAGCCATTACCCAGTGGCATCAAGGGCTTTCCACTCGATCTTACTCAACTCGAGTCAGCTCTCCCGTGAAGACGTCAAAAATGAAACCCTGAGCGTTCTCCGACAGCTCCTTCCGAATAAGGGGCGACTGCCTCAGCTCAGCGAGATCCTCCCGAATGCTTCCCTCGAGGCTATATGACATGTCAGCTTAATCTAGATTACTCTTTGGACATATTCATCCTAGTCTTAGAGATGAAAGGAGGTAAAAGAACGCACTCTCCGATTGCCGCGGGATCCAACTCATCAACAAGTTTGTCACAACCGGGGCCCGCACGTTCCTTGATCTGCTTCCGCATCGAGTCATCCGTGTATCTGCTGGCACCACAATCCGTATGATGGATCACTGCAATTTCATCGAGCCCGACGATGATATCGAGCACAGCGATGTCTTTAATCGCGTGTCTAGCGCGTCCTCCTCCGTTGCGGTGGCATATAACCTCTGTTTGAATTAGAAACTCATAGTCTTGGATGGTGCAGGAAATCAGGGTGGAGGGCAGAAGAAGAGAGACGTATGGAGAGAGCCCACAACTGAATATCACAATTTCAAGCAAGGATAAGGGAAGAAGATAATGCTTACCACCACCCTTCAAGTTGAAAATCAATTCAGGGATACAGCGTGGATCGATGCACGATACTTTTGGATGACGCCGAGCGGGTTAGCTACCTGTCCTTGTCGGTAGATGGGAGAAGGCCACCAGCATTCTGAGTGAAACATACTGACCAGAGTCCCACTCATCTTGATGCCTTTCGCGCGTCGCTCGGCAGAAGAGAGCAAAGGTGTATGGGTCTTCTTCGTCTCCCTGCAAATTCGTTAGAGAAAAGAAGACAAAGTGACAAGCACGAAGCATATGGAACAAAGGAGAGTAGTTGACTGACTTGCTCCGCTCAACGAGCTCCGCAATCGTCGGATATGGCATTTCTTTTGTTGGTGATGTGGAACAAATTCGATGATTCCTGCTTCTCGAGATTTCGCATATAGATCGACTACTTGTACAACAGTCTTGACTCTCTGTTCCGGACGGCTGGATGTGTCTTTTATGTCCATGAGTCCTTCAAATACGATAATGATCTGGATCTATTTTCTGGCGAAGGAGGGAGGAAACGTCGGTCGATACCGTCTTAGGTCATTGGTACCCCGGTACGGATTGCGTTGACAAGTGGCCGTGTGACTCCTTAGAATGCTGATCGATGTCTTGAGCTTGGGAGCGTGGTCAAGTCTGACTAGAAAATCTGACCATATCAGAAAAAGGCATGCACTGGAGCCTTCAGTGATCCACCTTCACTTAGGCGTGTAACACTGTCAGTCAGATGTGATGGAGTGCTCAATCGGGGTTACGTGCGAGGAACAAAAACTCATTGCATAAACACCGGACTAGTATGCAAGCGCTAAGCATATTCGGAAACTGGTACCCTGGCTTGCACAAAGCTTGTCGCGTGAAGTCCTCCTAACTAGTCGCTTACAGGCGTCACCTAGACACGCTGCATATTTGAGTCCTAAGTGTCAGAAATCTCATTGGCTCTGCTTCGAGGTAGTATGGTGGTGCTGTCACTACCCCCATACAACGAACTGAGGCGCGGAGGCACCGGGCATCAAGGCCGGGCCATAACTGCGTTGAAGGATGCCATACCGAAATAAAGAGGCTTGAGACCAAACATCGGGACTGACGTAGTATAAAAGGGGAGCAAGGACCGAACGTAGGAAGACCAAGGCGTACGGCAGTCATACAACAACACTTCAAGTACAAACATTGAGCTCCTCAGCCTCGCTCTCACCTCGTTCACAATGATAACCAGCATCCCTGCCCCTCTTGCCGGCCGCGTTGCCATCGTTACTGGAGGCTCTCGGGGGATAGGAGCAGCTGTGGCAATTGACTTTGCACGAAAGGGCTGTTCGCACATTGCCATCACTTACTTGGGCAACATCGACGCCGCCAACCAAGTGGTCTCATCCATCCGTGACATATCGTCCGACATCAAAACGGCACTTATCAAAGCGGATGTTACGTCGGAAACGTTCGGGCCGGATGTGGTCAAAGCAACACTTACCTCCCTTGCCGTGGACCATATTGACATCGTCGTCTCGAATGCGGCTTTAACCGATATGAACACGCTCCAGAATATCGAAACTCACACTAAGGAGGCCTTCGATCGGTTCATGACAGCAAACGTCTGGACTCCGCTCCAATTATCGCTCGCTGCCATTCCGCATATCCCAAGGGGGGGAAGAATCATCACCATCTCCAGTGTCGCCAGCAAGCGGCCAAACGTGAGTTTCTCTTTTGACAATTTCTTTTGTTTTCGAGGTGTGCTTGCAAGTTTCGGCCTCGCCTGAACATGCATTTTGTTGTTCGCGCTCGTCTGGCTACCTTAAAACTGACTCATAATGTCCGAGGTGACCTAGGCCGACCCATTGGTGATATTGGGCGCGACAAAAGCAGCATCGGACTCAATCACACGCGCCCTCGCAGCCAAGTTCCCGCGTCAGACAGGCATCACGATCAACAGCATCGCTGTCGGCCCGACAAATACCGATGCCATACGTCTGGGCATGGCAAAGTTACCCAAAGAGTGGGCACAAGCGTTGTACGAGAGAGCCACAGCGGAAAAACGCATCGCGGAGGTTGATGATATTACCGGTGTGGTTAGTTGGGTGGCTGGTCCGGATAGCAAGTGGGTGAATGGCAACTTTGTACCTTGCAGCGGTGGGAGTATGTTGGAGCTACAGGGTTGAACAGGGCGCTTGGTGGAAAGTAAGTAGTTGTGCGGCTCAAAAGGTCGCACAGGTACGAGGTACTGGACGATGAATCCGCTGTACTACATTTACTGGATTCACTGGTGGACAATTCGTCAGCCTATAGAGGATCCGCTAGGGCCAGCAGCCCATACTGAGCAGTTCATCTCCCACGGAAAGGTAGCAGCGATTGCGTTGCAGACCTGACAGCGGCAACCATTTACCCTTTTGATCTTGTTCACTTAAAGGATAGGCGAATACGATGTAGTGGAACCAAGCACACCAATAAAGAGCCCTAAAGCCGTCTTTGGATGGCTTCGTCGTGACCACTTCTCCTAGGACATTTACAGCGTCATTTTTCAAGGTTGAAATAAGACAGATGTTCTCCTTGGATCACCGACCGCTGCTTCTGAACGATTTTCTCTCACAGCCTCGTGAACCTGCCATGCATACAATACAAAGGCGCTGAAGTAGCCGCGATGAATATTCCCTTTAGCTGCAAACCCGTTCGAGGGAATGAGATCATCCGCCGTCACACCGACAGCAACGACTCTGCGGAGGTGACTTTCTACTCAGCTCCTAGCGGATATTGACCGCTGACTGAGCTGCATCCTCTGAGGCGTGTGGATAGCACGAACCCAATGCCCTTACCACTCCCGCTAACGGAGTCGCTTTCAAAGAAATCTCACCACGTATTCCCCTCACAGTCGGTACGGGCAAGCCAGTCATACCTTCTTCAATCGTCTCATCTCATCTATATTTCGCAAGTCAACCTTCTTCCGGCACTTAATGTACATTAGGTAGCTCGACCTTGGAAATAGCGTCACGTGCGCTGCACGAGCCCTCTCGACAATACGAATACGTCGTATCGCTACCTAGGTAACCTGTCCCGTACCTAGGTAGAGCATTGTATGGTTACGAGTGGACAGCCAAGAGAGGCTAGCGGGCTTCAGTACCAGCCAAAAGTTAGACCGCGAGAGGAAGCGTCGCCTGTCTCCTGTGGCTTTTGTTGTGGATGGGATGCGCCTTGTCGTTCGTTCTGGGCTCGGGCAGGCGATAGAAAAGTCAGGGTTAGGAAAAAGTATATATCGAGGCAGTCAGTCTTCTTTTCTGAGGTTGAAGAAGAGGAAGGTGCTGCAGCAGCAGCAGCAGCAGCAGCAGCAAAGCCCCCAAAGGACTTCTCCAACATTATTCATCTTCCCTCTGCAAAGTCGACTCTTTCGCTGAAAAAGACAAATCCATCTTTTCAAACTCTTGACTACCTCCCTCGAGTGCGCGAAGTGTTACCAAAATGGACTCAAAGCTCGACATCCCCGCTCCTGGAGGACATTACGAATCCGACGTCTCTGAGGGCTACGACGATTGCCCCCCAGCCTACCGCAGGGACTCGGAATCGTCGACCGAGCGCTCGCTGTACGACGAGAAGGATGAAGCTCTATTCGCGAGTCAAGCAATCTCCAACCACGCCGTCATCCGGGAGTACGGATGGTACCACCCGCGCGTGCTGAGTCGGGGCCTCGTGATCATGGACGATGCCGCGTCGACGCCAACGAGCAAAGCGCCACTGTACTACGTCGAGGTATCAGAGTTTACGCCCAAGAAGCCCGATGTGATCCTGCACGCTTTCCCACACACCACCTCCACAACTACGGTGACGGGCATAACGCACGATGAGCTCGACCATCTAGCCAGCACGGGCGAATCAGGCCCCGTAGTCGGGGTCGCGCGCTTCCCCAAGCTCTCGCGCCATATCACGGTCGGGCTGGGCGATCCGTCATTCAACAACTCAGCGATGACATACATCGAGGTCCGCAACGCCAACCTCATGACTCACGGCGAATACCACATGACGCTGGACGGGCGGTCGTACGCGTGGAAGCGGACGCACTCCGCCGCCGCGGGGGTCGAGGGCAGCAGCAACGCGGCGCGACTCATGCTGCACCGCGATAGCTTCCAACTCGTCGACACGGCCACCAACGAGACCATCGCTGTGTTTCTGGACAATCGCTTCAAGAGCTGGCGGAAGAAGGGCAAGTTGCGCATCCTCAAGGACCTCGACGTCGACGGCCCCTATGGACCCCATGGACCACAGCCCGGCGATGGGACCAGCACCGCCCAGCAGCGGCTTAAACTACTCGTGCTCGTCAGTATTGCGGCGATTCTAGAGAAGGCGAGACGGAGGAGAAATCGAAGAAATAATGGCGGAGGAGGCGGTGGTGGGCCGTAAATCTTTTACTTTATCGTAAGGATACTGGTGCTGACGTGGTAAGGAATAGAGAGGATACGTATATAGTCTCCCTAAGAATTATCTACTTCACTAGTCCGATAATGTTATACCGTCCAAGAATAAATATGGGAATTGTCGAAGCTCGCTATGGTATCGCACTCAGATATCGTCTATTTTTACAACGGCTCGATCGGTCTTCCGCCCTTTATAGCTGCCTTTCTGCCGCCGGTCGTAACTTGCCATCCTAGCCTCGGCCAGACATTCCTTCTTGCCTGGAGACTCTTGCTCATCGTCATAGGAAGGCCAAGTTTACGAATACATCCTTTTTGATCAATTGTTTGGTTGTCCACAGCGAATTTTGACGAAAAGAGGATGGCTTGAAGAAGAATGCAAAAGGACTCAAAGCTTCCAAACGGCATATTTATCGAATTTTTCAAGACCTTTAGATCACGAATGGGATTCTAAGTGACCGACAGCATCTGTGGGGTTGGAAGCCCGAGTTACAGCAGAGGATGAAGCAAGCCCATTTTCCACCATCCACTGGGTCCAATCTACCGCGTCGTCCTGATAAACTTCAGAGTCGCCCAAGGACAACCCAGATGGCAAGGTGTTAGAAGATTTCTCAGCTGCTGGAGCTCCGCTTTGGTCGAGGTCCTTCTGACGCTCGGGGGGTTTGATCATCTCACCGCTTTCGGTCTTGTTCTCGGGAGCGTCCTGAACTGCTGTTGTCAGGGTTCAGCAAACGAAATTCCACCTCAAAGCAATGTCTCAATTCAACGCACCAAATCCATTTCCTAGCTCTGCATTCTGCACCGCCTGTCTGGCTAGCTGTGAAAGCTCGGCGTATGCATCGAACGCTGCTTCCGCGGGCAAGAAGAGTTTCATGTTCTGGAAGTATGCGGCTGCAATGTCTATCAAAGCAATGTCATCGTGCGCGGAGCGCGAGAGTGAATTGGCCATCACATATGCGAAGAGGGTCACCAAGGCAGCCGATGGCTGATGGATAGCCAAGCTGTAATGTTGCAGTCCAGTCAATGAATATTCAGGGCCTCGGTCTGCTCGGTTGCTACCACAGCAGGTAATTAGACTTACCAGCTTGGTGTAGACGTATCCACGTGGATGTGTTGTGTAAGTTGCAGCGACTGCCTGGTGGCATCCAAGAACACTCCGATTCTCCTGTCGATCTCCCTTAGGGCTTCCTGGGTTCCCTTTCGACGAGCCTGAAGTTTGGCGTACCCTCCTCTCTCGCAGATTATGGGCTCGACAAGTCGCCTCTCAAGAGCGAAGATAGCAGTGTTATAGAGAGAGTGGAAGATGACATTCTGAAAGGTGGAGTGACAAGGGATTGTCTGTGTCGATCTGAAGGGGTCTGGAGTCTTGAAGGCCGGGATGGTATCGTGCCATTGTGTTAATTGCTCTTCGATTCTCCTCATCGCTGTGAGCATTGAGTGAGTATTACGGGTCAAAGCTGCTTCAGAGTGAAATTCTCGCACGATGTTGGAACATATCTGTGCGTAACGGCAGACTGCGAGGAATACATCGAAGCTTGATTCCATGTGAGCGGGAGGAGTCATTGACTGCACAATCCGTGCACCCCGAGGTAATGGGCGACTAACGTGGCAATCATCAATGGCCTATGCTGTTTGATGAGCAACAAGGCCAACCGAAAAGGGTAGGATCCGGGCATACTGATGGCCTTCCCAATCGTAGCACGGCAGTCTTTTCAAGGAAATAGACAATCCAGAACACAAGGGCCCCCTGGTCGATGCCGGAGTCTTTGTCCTCACTTGAATTCTTATGCATCTTCAAGCTGAATGCTAATTGAGCAGCATGTCTGCAGAAATGGTATTCGTCTTGGAAACAACCAACTGTTCGGGCTAGAATTGCCTGCTCAGCCGTCATCAGCTCTGCCACAGTCTCATCCTCTCCTAAGGGCGGCACGCACAATAGCTGCAAAGGCCTGTGCAAGAATTTTAGCTTGCATTCAGAGATGACGGCAGCAACGATGTCAATAGAAGTACTTGGACAGTGGTTATGCTGGGAATGGCGTGACGGGCCCTCCATGCATAATTCAAGGCATTCTGCAGGTATCGACGGGCTCGAATGACACGACTGTTTGCTCCAGTGATTTGCGGCCTTTGCGGTTTCTGTGGGGAGTCTGCTAGACTTCCCAGTGCTGCAACAGCATAAAACAGCGCGAGCCACGAATCGTCGGTAAGGGTGCCATGCTCAAACCGTTTGATTGCAGACTCAAACACTGGCCGGTCAAGAAGCGGCAGGACCCCGCAAAGCTTTCAGTGCTCCACGACATGTTCAAATTGGAGTCTGTACTTACACCTGGATCCTCTCAAAGTATGCTATCACAATACGTCAACAGGGGCCTTGAGTTGCAGAAAAGAATGGGCCTACCCGTGACACAGCTCGCCATGTTCTCATGTACTGCAGGGCCCCCGGCAACTCGATCAGACATTATTACCTCGGATAAGTCTTGTGCCTCCACGGCGTCCCTCGATGCCTCTGGCGAGCGAACATCAGGTGCAACAGGCAAAGTGGTCGTGCTAGTTGCAGGTAGGCTACCCGTCTCGGAGATATTCCCTGGGAAAAAAGTTGGGCCAGAAGAGAGGCCTATTATCGGTGGAAGGGAAGTGTTATCAAGGTGATTCCAACTCAGGGATAGAGTGCTAACAACTTGCCGACGAGCTCGCCATTTCCCTGGATTACTTAAGTCTCTCCTCTCGTTAAATCTTTTGGGTTTGTAAAAAGTCCACTTACTCCATCTGGTAATGGCATTTTGCTCATTTTCCCACAATTCTCAGCTGGTGACGACGAAAAGCTACCGAAACGGTCTGCAGTCTCCGGGTCCTGAGGAGTAGCCTGCACCGCAGAGCCAGTGCGGGTTGGATCGTATTTGGAATGCTGAGAGGGAAATTCATCGCACACAGAAGTGCTCGAGGAAGAGGACCCTTGCATCGAAGACGTCTCGAATCTGCCGAGAATGTCGGCCACCGCGGGGAATAAGGACTCCATATAAAGAGGACGAATGGTCGACGACGTTTGGTCGTGGTCGGCACCTTCAAGCTCTGTTTCAGATACACAATCACAAAATGTGGTGACTGAAGTCGATCTTCAGTTTGTTTTCTTGGAGAATCTTCTGTCTGAACGGCGTATTGGCTCAGAGTGGTCTGGGCCTCTATCTGGAATGATGTCGATACGTTTCGCCGATTTGCAAGGCTCTTATGGCGTCCCTTTCCTACATTCTAGGCTCAAACGGATGGTTACTCTATCATGCCTCTAGTCGGAGCGCAAGAAGCTACCATCTCCCCGTAAAGCATCCCGCTAGATGTATGAAAAGTCTCCACAAGCCCATAGACCACTGAAGACTTACATTTGATTTTACTGAGCCAGAGCAGCCATTACAGACCCTCTTCATCCAACGCAGTTGGAGGGACTTCCCAGAGAAGGTGAATTATTAATAACGGGTCGATCTGGCTTGAATGAGTGCCGATGGAATTCCGCGTTCATGTGAACCGAGCTTCATCCGGGGAAATGATGCTCTGTGGCAAATCATCTACGAGGAAAATCGCCTGACAAGACCTGATCGGCATCACATGAAAGCCCAGGGTGTCTTGACATTTCGGAACCTTGTCCAGACGTCTTCGGAAATTGTGGGCGCAGCGTATGAGCACGGATCAAGCCCCACCTCACCCTGACCGATGCCTACACGGACAACCGGTGCCCAGCATCAGCGGCTGCGACACTCTGTTCCATCTGGTCTGCTTCAATCCTCGGTCCGAAGCACGCGAGAAGGGAGAGGTTGGGGGGAAAGGATAGGTGGAGGCGGTAAAATTCTGCAGCCCAGGTCGTGGTCGAAATGGATGGCCGGCCTCCGGAGAACGGTTTCCTATTCCCTACCGTGGTTACCTAGGTAATTTTATATATACGCTTCGACCTAAACTCACCAAAAATGTTAGCATCCCATTCAGTTTGGCTTTCCATTGAACCGTGAAGCGGGGATCCCGTGGACAGCCAGCTGCCGAGATGAACGGGCAGTCCAAGGCAAGGGGCGCGGGTCTTGACGACCTCACCATCGACAACCTCACCCCCCATGTCATCCGCATGAGCACTGGTATCGACAATATTCGAATCAACTATCTCATCACGAAGCTGATTCAATACACCCATGACTATGTGCGTGAGGTGCAGTTGCAGACAGAAGAGTGGGAAAATGTTTGGCAGTATCTCACAAGGGTAAGTGTGGCATACCACATCTTTGGATCTTGCTCGGGCGTTTGCCTCGCTGAACATTGTCTAAACCTTACCCCAAACATGTAGGTTGGTGCAACTTGCACTCCCGAAAGACAGGAGTTTATTTTGCTCTCCGACATCCTCGGAATATCTGCCTTGGTCGATGCAATCAACAGCAACCAGACCCCGGAAGCAACAGAGACCTCGATTCTAGGGCCTTTCCACAACGACGCCGCCCATCTCCTCGAGAATGGGCAGTCCATCACGTCGAACCATGGAGCTGGCGAACCAATGCTGATTCGAGGCAAGATCATGGACACCGCGGCGAATCCCGTGGAACACGCCCTGGTCGATATCTGGGAGACCGACGGCAATGGGTTCTACGACATGCAAAACCCAGAGTACGCGGGTCCAGACTGCCGCGGGAAGTTCTATACCGACCGAAATGGTGACTTCTTCCTCACGGGTGTCCGACCTGTTGATTACCCGATCCCCAGTGACGGCCCGGTCGGCGACCTGCTCGCCTTGCTCAACAGACATTGCTTCCGTCCGGCTCATGTGGTGAGTTCCACACGCCGTCCCTATTCTTGGTCGGACGGGAGCAAAATCCACGTACGTGGCTGATCTTTTTCACAGCATTTTATGGTCAACCATCCTTCTTACGAGAAACTGACTACCGCGGTCTACTCGAGGGAGAGTACATACATCACAAGTGACTCTGTATTCGGAGCCAAGACCAGTCTGCTGGTTGACTTCATCTGGACCGAAGATCCCTCGCTCGCAAAGCAGTACAACATAAAGGCGATTTCGAAAGAGATTGATGGCGAGATGAGAGAGGGTTTCTGGCTGCTCGAACACACTTTTATACTTGCACCGCGCCGATCGCGCGAGGGAGCCGAGACTACACAGCCAGCGCAGGCTTGACCGTTAGATTGCTAACCAGACTCACGTCCTGCATGAAAAATCAATAGAATTCAACTGTAATTTCGGGATTAGAGCAAACACCGGCTGTTACCTCCTTTCAAAGATTGTGCTTGAGCTACTATGGCTCTAAATGGTGACTAATTATCATGGGTTTGATTCTGGCCGAGCATTGTAACCCCCCTATTTCCCTCCCAACTTTTTTTTCTTCTCAAAATGAAGAGTCGAATAACGTGTTCATGCACGTGTGGGATGGACTTGGGAGTTTCATAGGTATTCTTGAATTTTGCGAGGTATTTTGAAACTGATGTAAACTCGGTTTCTTGACGTGTAGATAAAGTTCTCCTATGGCATGATCCATCTACTAGCCACCTCGAGGGCATGTGTGTTTCCTAATACTCACCCACCATCGTCTTTCTGTCTTGTATGACTGCTTTCCAGGCTGGAGTCTCAAAGGCTCGCTCTGCAAACCTCGCCACCTTTGGCGGGAACAAGTTGTCGCGTTTGACATCTTTCATGCGCGCAAGGAAAACAACGAGATGGGCGTCGAAAGCGGTGGGAGCATCTCCGAACAGCCAGATACAAGGGGCATCAGGAACCATGGATTCCACTTCAGCTAAGAAGTTCTTTGCTCGTGTAACCATGTCCTGGACGACTTCCGGCACGATGCCGCCAATTTTGTCCCTGTCAAGACTGTTCACACATCGCATTTCGAGTCAGCACGGAAGTGACCTTCGCAGGTTACGAGACATTGGGCCGGCTTACACGGTGAGTTTAAACTTCAGGGCCTCTCGATAACGCTCGGAGATCCCAGGCATCTGCAGACGTCGAACGACGGCAGCCTTCATACCTGCGGCCACCGTCGGCCGCCCGGGGAAGGATAAAGAAAAGAAGTTTAGGGCATGCAAGTCGACAAGGAGACGCCGGATGAGCTGTTCGTGCTCCTTCGGAATCAGACTTGGATACCTCTCCGCCATGTATTCGGTGATTTCCAGACTATCAGCAATTGGCTTTTTCAGGAGAGCTGGGCTGTAGAGGACGGGAACCTGATCAAGGATAAACATCAGCAATTGCGCCAAAAATTGACGGAGGGCCGGGATATCAGGCAATGGTGGTGTGAAATTAGCATAACCTACCTGGCCCTCTGGATTGATGTCACAAAGGTAATGCTCACTCAGCTGGCCCTCGTGAAAGATATCTATCACTTCCGGCACAATGGCCATCTCGGAAGCAGAATCTTTCGCTGAGCCTCGCGTCTCAATGGTATGCAGCACCATCAGCGAGCAGATCGAAAAGGGATTATAATAGAGCACATAGCTCTTCGGGTCGCTTGATCCGTCTTGAGCCATGGCAGCTGGTGGTCCGAACAAATTTTGATTGAGAAAGGCCCGGCTATCAGCTGGTGTCCAGACTGGATACTGGTCCTAGTGGCTCGAGTGTAAGGTCTGAAGACTCGAGAAGAGCAAAAGTCGCACGGAGGGGTAAATTGCCTTATGTACTTTAGATCAACATGGGCTGGGTGATGCCACCCTAACTCTTAACTCAATTGTTCTGGGCAGAGAGGAGATAATGAACAAGGAAGCTCCCGATCCAGCCGTAGTGCTCTGGGCCGCCGTCTGTGGGATGCATAGCGTCAGTCTGAGTCTGTCTGTCATTCAGCCCATTCAGGGCACCATGTATGGCCGATGTTCCCACTCCCGATAGTGTGAGCCGTCTGTTGATTCGAGGACAAAAGGGTCTCGGCTATCTCCCATTCATTCCGGTGAATATAATTCGGTGAATACCTCTTTCATGATCACTATAGTGGTGTTCATAATGCCTACCTTCGGAGGACCAGTGCTCACTCTTTCAGGGCAGGTGCGGAAAATGTGGGCAGCGGACCAGGCCCACCCGCCATCCAGGCTCAGATCAAGCACCTCCTAGGTCCCGCGCCTCGGATGCGGACGCAGAAAGGGGGGGGTAATGGGGGTTTGGGGGAGGGGGAAAGGGGGAAAGGGGGAAGGAAGTTGGAACATGGTTCTATCTGACCTGTAGCTCCTTAATACACACTTTTAGATGTGGAAGCAAGGCCTCCGAGTCAGAAGGTGGCTCGAACAGGGGCACGTATTCTAATGGAGGAGACCCATAGCACAGCCATTGGTCTTAAATCAAAGGCAAAGTCCCCTTCCTGCATACCTATCAGTCTTCACAGACACCATCACAAGACCGGAATCCAAATAAACAGAACCTCAGTTGGAAAGTAACAGTTAGTTTGTACCTTTGAGCAGCGATGTTGTCAAATCAACTTTTCCACTGACAATTACTATGGCATCAACGGAAAGGCTCTCAACATGGCACAGACTCCAAAGATGGAGACGACAGTCGTGGTCGTTGGAGGGGGCCCAGTGGGCCTGTTGACCTCTTTGCAGCTTGCGCACCATGGAACAAAGAACATCTTGCTCGAGAGGAACTTGGAGACGACCAAGTGGCCAAAGATGGATTTGACCAACGGGCGTTCCATGGAATTGTTGCGCCGAATGGGGTTGGCTGCAGACCTTCGCAAACACGGTAGAGGCTTCCCACCCCAGGCAAGCTTTCCGACAGAGACTGATGGTCATAGGGGTACCTGGAAACTTTTCGTTCGACGTCATCTGCAGCACGGGTCTTGACGAAGGTGGCGAGCTGATCCACAGATGGGTACACTGATCAGGCCATGACCAGCCTCATGAAGTTTCACGGCTAAGTCCGAGTTGTAGGAGATACCTTGTCCCGATGAGGTGCGCAAGTCGATACAGGAGAAGAACGACGGCACGTGGCCCCGAGAGGCTGGCCAGCGGATTTCTCAAGTTATCTTGGAACCCTGGTTAAGATCATTGTGCGATGCGAATCCTCTTATCCAGACTCACTATGGTCATAAAGTCGAATCTGTCAAGGAGGAGTCCGACAGCGTCACCACCTGCGTGACCGATGTCAAGACCGGCGAAGCGTATAATGTGAAGAGCCAGTACGTCGTCGGTTGTGATGGAGCAGGAAGTCGAGTCAGGAGATCGGTGGGGATCAAGCTAACTGGGGGCCCCGGGTATGCCATGCTTTTCCTTGAAACGAACAGGCTTCACTTTCTAACAATACGTGCTAATCCAGTCCCATGGGAATGCTACTGGTCCATTTCAAGTCCCGAGACACTACTCGACTGCACGTTCAGGGACAGTGGTGGCATATTTTCTTTACCAACGGTGCCATTTCCATCAGTCAGGATGAGGTTGATACCTGGACCTTCCACATCCCAATCTCCTTGGACACGGATGTGAGCCAAATTGACCCAGTCGAAGCGGTACGCAATGCCATCGGAGGGGCTCCTTTGGAAATCGATGAAGTCCTAGTAAGCAGCACCTGGCGCGGAACGCTGGCCGTTGCAGACAAGTACCGTTCGGCAAAGGGTAGAGTGTTCCTTGCCGGCGACTCAGGTATGCCGCTTGAAATAAACGGTGAGACACACGAAAAGTTGGGCTGGGAGCTGACGATTGCTAGTGCACCAAAACATCCCAACTGGTGGATACGGCATGAATACGGGACTGGGCGATGCCTTTGACATTGGCTGGAAGCTCGCTGCCTTCCTCCAGGGCTGGTGCGGAGAGGCAATCTTGGATTCATACGAGCTCGAACGACGTCCCGTGGCGCTGCGCAACGTGGAGAGGTCGGGCGTGCACATGAAAGTCCATCTTACTGTTGTTGAAATGATCAAACAGTCGAACATCGATCCTCGCACAAACACAAAGGAAGCCGAGGAGCTCAAACTTCGGATATCCGAGCACTACAAGCTTAACGACGGCGAGAACCGAGATCGTGGCATTGAGATGGACTATCGATTTCCAGACTCACCGGTGGTTATCCCAAGCCCGTCTGACGTCCCTCGTCGCTGGTCTCCGCGAGAATACGTGCCTAGCACTGTGCCTGGTTCGCGAGCACCACATGTCTTTCTGCAGGACGGCAGAACAAGCATATTCGATCTCTACGGGCCTGAGTACACGATAGTAAACTTCACTCCAAACAAGAGCGCCACGGAAGAGTTTCAAAGGCTGGCGATCGAGGCGGGAATCCCCTTGACAGAGGTCCATGTGCCGAACGAGAAGCATGCGCGAAAACTGTGGGAGAGAGACCTTGTTATGGTGCGACCAGATGGGTTTGTCTGCTGGCGGTCTGATAGAGATGCATCTCCGCCAAAGAGCGACGAGATCGCGAGCATCCTGAGGACAGTCACTGGCAAGGGGTGGACGGATGCCACAAAGACCTCGACGCTCCAACAAAGAGAAAAGTTCACGTCCACGATTGGAAATGTGGACATGAATCAGGCGGATGCAATTCAAATGCTGGGCGAGTTCCAGAAGTAGTCATTCTGAATACTTTTGTGGTGGTTCAATGCTATAGATCTTAGCTCGATTTGCTCAATCTCAGATCTTTTCCAACGATTACGCCGCCAGCATAATTCAGGCCCGCCGCAGCTGGAAGCTGAGACGGTCTACTGTGTCTACCAGTCTAAGGTACCCGAGATCACAACAATGTCGCTGTTCAATGAGATAGTCTGGTTTTATCTTCATCTGGAGTTGAAATGGTATTTGGGACACATTGAACACCGACAGGAGCGTTCATTGCCACATCTAACCTCAAGACTGTACAGTCCCCCTCTACCAAACAAGCTGCGAGGCGCACGGACGAGAACCTCTTCTCGCTCGTAACCATATCCACGGACGCCAATGAGACTTGAACGAAGAAGTAAGGTGGTTTAGGTAGAGGATTTCAGCTGTTGGACCCGGCCCGGCGTTTCAGCGAACGTTTGGTCGACTATAGAGAGAGCCACCACCACCATTTTGCAAGGACGCCTCCAATGTTGTCAACTTGGCTCTTACCGGGTAGAGCCCCATGTTGGTCGCAGCAGCAAACTTCGTACGTCCACGACCTCCGCGTTTGTGGCCAGAAAGAGTTAGCCTGTCTAGGGGCTCTTGGGCACCCCAGATGGTGGAGAACGGAAATAGCGGGTAAGGACAAGGTATTGCGACGACAAGACCAACAACGGTGATCAAAAATAATATCTTGAAGCCATGGAGAAGAGAGGACGTAGCCGCTGCAGCTGCTCTTTCCCCGGATCAAGGTGCCATGTACCGCAATTCCCCAGGCTTGCATGGAGTGAGTTCGTCCTCCTGGAAACAGATGGCTGGTGGACGTCAGTGGAGGGAGCCAACTGAGTCAACTCGTCCTCGTCTTGGACATAAAGACATGAAAGGGAAAATGTGGCGTCCCTTTACGGATTCCCTTCATTCTTCTGTTCAAGGCCTCCAGGCGCGTTGCCAGAATATAGATAACGAACCTCTCTTCCACCCCCACCGTCGGTCCTATTCGCATCTCTTTCTTACGACCACCCCTTTCAAGAGCTCATAGCGTTGGGACTGATTCGCTCCATTAAGCAAGAAATGGCAGCCTCAGATGCTCTGTTGTTGAAAGTCTTGCTAACGGCAAAGTCTCTATTCACTCTCTCTCGGCTGTTGGGCATTTTACTCCTACTATATGGAGGTTGGATCGTGTACGCCTTGTACTTTCATCCTCTCGCACGAGTACCGGGACCATTTTGGGCCCGGATAACACGAGGCTGGGCAGCGGTCCAGGTATGGAAGGGGAAAACCCACGAGGTTCATCGGGCTTTGCACAAGATCCATGGTTAGATCCTCGTCCTATATTTATCTCCTTTTTCCTTTTTTCCAATGATGTTCAGCTCTCCGGGCGTATGAGAGGGGACGTGAGTATTCGTCGCTCCTAATACGGCCCCAACCTGATTGCGTTGCAGGAAAGATGGCTGAGCTGACAGTTTCCTCTCCGCACAGGAAAAATCGTCAGGATCGCTCCCGACGAAGTCTCCATATCGGACCCAGATGCCGTCAAGGTAATCTACGGTATCAAGAGTGGCTTCACAAAGGTACGGGACCCCCCTCTTCTCTCGGGAGGCTATATGCCTGGGACCTAGCAAGAAGGCCTGTCAGAAACCTATGACCTCGGCCCCCGCTCTGATGTAGAAATGCAATGTGTGTGGCGCTAAACAGAAGGCCTTGACGAAACAGACTGATTTCTACCTTCCTTACGCCCCAAACCTGAGCCCCAACGGCGACCACTTTGCTCAATTGGACGAAAGGCAGCATGCCGCGCGACGCCGCTATGTCAACAACATCTACTCCATGTCATCGGTACTGGAGTCTGAGCAGTACTTGGACGCGTGTACCGAAGTCTTCATGGCCAAGATGACCAAGTTTGCCGAACGAGGCCAAGTGGTGGACTTGGGGAAATGGATTCAATGGTGAGAGAACAGTTTTCGGGCGTCTTATTCACCCTATAATACTCAACGCACTTTAAGCTGCCGTTTTTTCTGGAGTCAATTCCCCCTTCTCATCCTCCTCCCCCCCGACCTGACTTTCTGAAGGTGAAGTTGACAAGGACCAATTTCGTCCCTCCTGTAGGTACACCTTCGATGTCGTTGGAGAACTCTTCTTCGGACAGCGTTTCGGGTTCATGGACAACGAGAACGATCACGACCACTACATCGAATACCTCGACACGCTGATGGGTCCACTGACTGTGGCTGCCGTGCTCCCTACCTACATTCGAATCCTGCTGCCAGTTATCGGAATTGCCATTCCGCATCTACGGAGGGCATTCCAAGGGTTTGACAAGATCCGGGACGCAGCTAATGAGCAAGTTCGACTACGCCAGGCTTACATGAAGGAGGGCAAAGTCGACCGCTCCGATATCTTGGACAAGCTCTTCAGAGTCCTTCAGGAGAAGGAGGGCTATATCCTCCCTGACATCCACAGCGAGTCCTGCGCGGCTATGTAGGTGAAGTCTCAATCTTTGGCTCCCCTCTTATTTATTGCTCCCCCGCTCTGCTTCTTCTCCCGCGGGCAGAGACTGACGCTATCTGCATACAGCTTCGCCGGCAGTGACACAACTGCAATCGCCATCCGGTCCATCTTCTATCACCTCATGAAGAACCCCGAGGAGTACAAAAAGCTCCAAGTGGAGATCGACGCTGCCCAAGCTGCAGGCAAACTCTCTCCCAAAATCCGATATGCCGAAGCCACGGAACTGCCCTACGTTGTCGGCGCCTGCAAAGAAGGCATGCGGCTACACCCCAGCGTGGCCTTTACGCTCCCGCGCCACGTCCCTCCTGGAGGGGCCATCATTGCTGGCCGATGGTTCCCCGAGGGCATCCGTGTGGGTATCAACCCGGCAGTCCTGCATCGAGACCCGTCCGTGTTTGGCGCGGAACCCGACGAGTTCCGGCCTGAGCGCTGGCATCGAGGTCGTGGTCAACACGATCCTTCCACGATGGACCGATACATGATCCAATTCGGGTCCGGTCCAAGGACATGTTTGGGAAAGAATGTAAGCGTGCTGATTCTCAGAAAAAGAAAATTCCCGCACCGCCAACCTTGTCCAGACGCTTCACGCTTGTCTCTGCGGAGCTAACTGCCATCACTGCTGAAATCAGATCTCCTTGGCCGAGATGCACAAACTAGTCCCCCAGTTTCTGCGGGAATTCGACGTCGAACTCGTGGACCCAAACAAGGAGTGGACTACGCACAACGCCTTCTTCGACAAGCAAACCGAGATCTTTGTTAGGGTGAAGAAGAGGGTTCATGGCTTCCTGAATGACGGCCCAGCACAGGAGCATGAAGTTTCGTCGCAGCCAGCCGCGTAGTCGTGTGGAGCCGGGCAGTGGCAAGGAAGCTGGTTATGTTGCGAGAACAGGGCAACGAAAGGTGCCAAGATAGTGCATCTCGAAGAAAGCCTCGTTGAGGACCTGCCGAGCAATCTTCTTATCTGTTGTATCCATGTGCCTCTCGGCCTTCGCAGTACTTTCGATTAATCAACATCAGTCCAATCTTTCGTGGTCAGATTAAGTGTATGGAAGGGGTTGCAGAAAGTATATGGTTGCCGCCGTCGTGCTGGTATCGACAGACTGGCAGTCCCAAGAACGCACATGGACATGGACACAAACATCTTTTCAATTTGCAAGTCTCAGTTCAGTGCCAGTATTGCTTTCCACAATCGCTTTCAGCTCGCTCAGAAATCGGGGTTCGATGTCTGTCGGAGGCCCGACATCTTCTTCGATGATGGATGTGATTTTCTGGACTTTGTACTGAGATACTGCGCTGTCGCAGTACAAAAAGGGATACTCCTCGAAGAAACGTCGGTCTAGTTTGACCGATGACAGATCCGAGCACATGAGGTCGTATATCTTCTGGATCACCTGCACGCCCTCAGAAACAGCGTTATACGACTTGTGAAAAGGTTCTTGGCCTTTGGAGGTGGCTTTGGAACGTGCGCCTATTCTGCCGCCGCCGCTGCTGCAGTCTCTACGCCATTCACGCTCAAGCGTACTACGTTTGTCGTTCCTTGGCGATGGCGTGATGCTTCCATTTTGTTTCTCGAGAAGGCAAAGGTCCCAGACACGGAAGCTGACATTGCATTCTGAAGAGGGGGAACCAGGGCCGTCACTGTTACAGTTCAGGCTGTCTTTCTTGTTTCTTACTCTCCCCATTACGGATGACTTGACTCGTCGGGGCGAGACCACATTCAGCAGCGCAGTACGGACGAGCAAATCAATGTCGATGTGGTCCTGGTGAAGAATGATGCGATCCCGAAGTTCTGGCCATGGCATCCAATCGATGAATGCTGAGTGAGGGACGTGCAGTTGGGCCCAAGTCGGCCGGAAATACGGAGGGAGGCGGGAGTACCTTTTTTTGGAGGGGAAATTCCTCCAAGCCTCAAGTTGGCTGAAATAGATGCATGCGCCCTGGCAAAGGCGTCAGTGAAGTGTCCGTTGCAAAGTGGCCAAACGCCTAGTCTGGAATGAGGCACAAGAACTCAGCAGCCTTGGACTTACCGACATCCTCCAGAAGATCTCCGAAGACGGCCATGACCGCTCAATTACCCACCGTATCCCATGGATGGTAAGATTTTGACAGAGTCGGTCCCTGGGTGGTGTATCAGAACATGTTTGGATCTGAATGCGGAACTGGATCTGAGGCCTAGACTTACCGCCCCCGTGAAGGGTTTAATCCTTGCCTGAGAAGAATGCCTAGGGCATAGATGAATTTGTCCACTTTCCACTGCGGCGGCACCCCGTAGAAGCCCTTTTCAATCTCCTTGAAATTTGGCTCGATTGGTTGAGGTAAGCGAGGGGCTGCACGGTTCTCTGTTTTTGCACCCGACTCCATAGAAGAGGGATCTAATGAATCCACGCTACTATTAGAGTCTTGAACCGCTAGATCCAGGGCTGAAGCGGATGAAGCTGATAGCCCTTGTGGATGTTCATCGACGTGATATACAGCGAGTGTAGTCCCAGGCTCTGAAGAGGCCATTTCTTCATCTTCTTGTGTAGACATTGGGCCATGGAAAGCTGCCGTGCCGCCGGACAAGTCAGCACCAACGTCAAGGTCCACGGGCAGGTTTGCGTCGGCCAAAGACCACAGATCCATATCTTGAATTCCCGTCATGTCATTTCCAATCGGTCCTGTGGAATGGGGACCACCCTGAGGTTCGCCGGTGCTGGGTATGACAGCTTCGTAGCTTTCTCTAAGAGAATCCCATGTACTTTGGTCGTCCAGTGGGACCGAGGACAGATCACAATGTTGAAAATGGCATGGCTCTTGCATAATTATGGCATCGACATCGCTACCTGGGGGAATTTGAAGGGACCAGGGCTGCTGTTCGTAGAAGCTTTCAAGTGCCACGTTGAAGTTTGTAACCCCAAGATCCGAGCTATCGATCATGCCGAATTCGGATGCGGACTGCACTTGTGCTTGTACTGGGGTGTCCCATGAGTTGGTGAAATGGAAGTCCAACGGGAACACGGACGACGCTTCGTCGGCCTCTATTCGCGGAGAGAGACAGTCCTGCGTGGTCACTGGAGGTTGCGCATACAAAGCCGGCCAGCTATGTAGCCCTTGCTGGGTGTCCGACGGCCAATGACTATCAGCAAGCAGTTCGGCTCGCTCGTGCCACGGGCAAGAATGTCGGACGAGACTTGAGCAGATGCGTTCCAGTTGCTGGACTCGATAGGATAGCTCCTTCTGACTCCGCGTCATTGCCTCGAATCTCATCTCTAGGCTAGCCAAGGGGCATTCGTGTGTATGCGCATCCCAATCTGCCTGTGATAGCCTCGGCCAGCCCGTGGTGCAAACGTCGTGCGAATATAACGGCGGTAGATCCATCCCGTGGAAAATGTGCTCAGATGAGGTGTCTAGACAAGTCAGTCTTTCAAAGTCGTCGGACTGGCGTCGAGGAGTTCGGTGGTGCTCGAACCGTCATTCTAGGGAAGGGGAAAAGAGGGTCCAACGGCAAGCAAAGAAGTTGAATTCGGGGGTCGAAGTCTTGGAAGAAAGTGCGATGATTGAGGTCAGGTAGCAATGAGCCAAGTCACTCCCTGCCATGGTGCAGTAACTCCATGTGGAAACCTCTCAATGCAGCGCTAAAGACCTTGTTGTCGGGGGCCCCGATTTGCTGCCTCGGCCGCCTGCGGAAATCTGGGGAGCCTGCGGAGAGGCGGGGCAATCTTCTTCCTGTGCCTCCTGTGACTGGGGACGACTCCGTTTGAGCTTCGACCGGACTCTAAGCGTCCAGTGGAAGGCGACGCCCCCACTGCGGTGACGCCAAGGTGGTACCTTTACGTGCCGGAGAAGAGGAGAACCGACGAGCTGAATACGGGGTGGAGGGCCGGAAATTGTGGGTGCGAAGAGTGTGGGTGTAGAATGTGAACCTGGTGACTGCCCGCTAGCGCAGTAGTAGCAGGAGGCAAGCGGGAGGTGAGCGGGAGGTGAGCGCCTCAATAGTACCTGGTAATTAGTAACCATCTGGCTCGCTAGGTGCCATCATCATCTGCCAAGTCCTGAGCCTCGCCGGCCTCGGCGGTCTTGGGTACACTGCCGGTGCCCAGGTGCAGTGCCATACTAACTGCTGTGCCCCTGCCTGCACTGTATAGCTCATCCTTGCTTGCTCTCTCTCACCCGGAATGCCCTGCTGCCCTGGACTTTTCATGGCAAGCATACCTACCTAGGTAGTGAACGGAACAGCTGGCACAAGAAAGAGCAGTGCAGATGCAAATGAAAAACCCCATCTGCGCATCTGCACCTTGCCCACACTTGACCAACATCGACACCAATATAACCTGATGTCGTTTCAATGCCCTCAATGCCTCAAGATCTACTCCAGGCAGCGCTATCTCGACCGCCACAGTATCGCTCATAGTCAAGAGAGACCCCACGTCTGTCCCATCTGTTGCTACCGTTTTGGCCGCAGGTTTGTCACCGCCATTGTGTATGAGCGAGACCCGAATACTATGTACAGGCACTAATGCACCACGTTTGGAGGGATGTTCTTGTGCGGCACATGCGCTTTCATGCTCGCAATCAGTCTCTGGAGGATTCCCGGTCCGTTTTCGCCTGCGATGCTTGCTTCGAGTCCAAGTCACGCTGCACCAATGAATCCCCCTGCCCTCGCTGCTCCCATATGAAAATCAACTGCACCATCTCTCGACAATCCAAAAGGCAAGGCAGACCCACGTTGGGCAGAATTGTTGAAACCAGGGGTGCAGAAGCAGAGGCCATGCCGACGAGAATGATCTCTTCAACAGAATCCAATGTTTCCAGTTCTCGTCACTCATCTTACATCGAATCACGAACGGCACGGACAAGGACTCGAGATAACGCCTCGCCTACGAATGAACACCTTAATGAACAATTACCTTCTTAAGCAAGATACGATCATCAGGCATTAAGTCGATTGAATCTCACAGTATAGCTCTTATCTCGGGCCAGTCTGGCGAGTTGCGAAAGACCCGAACAAGTCTTGTGAGAGAGGCTGAAGCTGTCTTCCCGCACATCTCTCTTCAACAGGCTCTCTCACGGGTAGAGACCTCATTCAATTGATGCTTGTAGTGGATTTGCAAGTGCCTCGACAACGTATCCTGGCGGTCAAAACAGATTCGTACTAGAATCCTGCAGGACTCGAAACATAATCCCATAAGAATCATACGGTCTCGTATTGGCATCCATGATCGTACAGTCTTCTCTAATAATCTACAGTCTCGTATTAGAATCCTGCATCCTCGTATGAGAAGCTCGTATGGATGCAGATTTCCCAGGTCAAAGTCTTATGATCCTGTATACATATTGGTAAGAGGGGAAAAGTTGAGTGAGTTCCGCTGCGGCGCTCAAAGCCCCGATGGTTCAGAAACATTCACCCCCTGCTCGACCGTAAAGACCTCGTTCATCACCTCACCTATCTGTTGCGACCTCTGGCGGATATCCTGTGTTGACAGGGTGCCGACCTCGCAGACGAAATAATCAATGTGTTGCGCGGGCACCCATTCAAAATAGACGTTGCGTACCGTCACCATTTTGTCCCACAGGGAGGAGGACTCCTGCTGGTGCTGCTGCTCCTGCACGTCCCAGCTGCCGGTGAGCTCAGCCGTGTCGTTGTCCTCTTCCGCATGATCCCCCGCCGCTCCGGGGGCCGCGATCTTTTCGCTCTCGCTGACGCACACGACCACCGCCTTGCCGTTCGTGACGGCCTTGCTGACCAGCGCGGCTGCGAGGGAGCCGGTCTTGTTGCTCACGTCTCCGGCCTCGGAGATGCGATCGGCGCCGATCACGACAAGGTCGACGTCCCGACTCAGCACGCCGACCGAGGCGTCGCTCGCAAGAACGACCCGCAGGCGCTCATCAAGGGGCGGCAGGCCTTCGGCGCGGCGTCTCTGGGCTTCGTCGGTCAAGAATTTGGCGAAACTCACGCCTTCATTCAGCGGGCGGGATTCCAAGATGCGCAGTTCTAGTGACAGCGTCTCGTCGGCCTCGAGGGCATGGATCACCGCAGCTTTGATGGTCGAGGACGAACTCAGGGTCAATATTTTGATGTGCCGCCCCTTTTCACCTGCGTGGGCCTGAGCACTTGAACTTGACCGGAACCTCTCCTGCAGGAACTTCGAGAACTGCAGACTCACTTGTTTGGATATCTCGGCCCTGTTGGCGACCGAGGCCTCTAGGCTTTGTCTTACTTTCTCGATAAAGTCTGGTGGAGGAGGGTCAATGTGAGTCTTTGCTTCTTTCAAAGCTGCCGCGACAGCATTGGATATCGCAGCTGCCATGCTTGGTCGTCCGTTAAAGGCGAGATGGAATGCCTGTCGTTGAAGACCCTTCCACCACTCATCCGCGTCTTTGTGTTGCTGCGGGGCTTGCTGGTCGTGTTCCACGATCCGGATCAATGACTTCACGGCCATGGTGGCCAGTTCTCTCGCTCCGTGTGAATGATCCAGTCGCAGCTCTTCGAGTCCTTGGTACAAGACGCTGTCGGGTTCGACCCAGACCTGCCCGAGCGTCATCTCCAGCCTGGGCACGCAATCATCCAGTATCCTGCCACTAAGGACGTCGTCGACATCCTGCCACTGACAGCCCAGATGCTCAAAATTCATCTGGAGGCCCAATTTCTCGACGTCATTGTCGTAGTCGGCCGTCTCCGCGGTCAGGCGGAACGCAAAAGGCCAGACCTTCCAGATGCGCCCTTTCACCTTACGCTCACCTTCATCGCTAACCACGGCTTTCCGGTCCGTAAACTCGAACCCGGCCCCTCGTCTCCACAGCTCGATCTGCTGTGGTCCGAAGGAAGTCTCTTCGCGCAGTTCGCGCCAGGCGGCCTGCAGCGGCGACTGGTCATATGTCTCGACCGAGCCCGCAATGGGCGCAAGCTTCCTGCGGTATGTGCTGACTTTATCAGAGCGGCGGAACAATAGAACCCGATAAGGTTTGGACGCGTATGGCTTGTGGGGAAAGAGGAGGACAGACACAACTGTACGTCGCTCGAGGTTCTGTCCGGCTGCGGCGAGTGATTGAGCCATCCTCGCGTAGCTGGTTACAATCACAAGGACTCGTGTTTCATCGTTTGTGATAGTTTGAGGAGTAGAAGCCTAGTTTGTGCAGACCGGGCTCAATCATCCTAGATTTGTAGGGAATTACATCAGATGCTCAAGACAAAGAGCTGGTCTGGTGTCACACCATCGGCCACATGTCCAGATGCGAGTTTCCCGCCCGTTTTCCGACACGATCCGAGTGGAACACGCAACTCGCCAAACGATAGCGGCCGCACCTACGTGTCTACGAGGTACAGCTCAGCGCAGGTTGGTTGCTTGATTGATTGAATTGATTTACATTTGGAAGGTTTCTTCCCTTGATGCCAGTATTTCTTTCTCAAGTTCCTGCGCACATCGACCCACATCTAGTCGGCCGTTCTCCCCTTCGCGGTCTCTTACTGACTTGACTGCTCGTCCACCATGCAACCCATGCTACTATTACCGGGGAACCGAAGCGATCACTCTGCGGAAACATTACCTTAGCAAAGGATGCGTCCATCTCCTCGAAAACGATGGATGGCTTTAATCGCGCTACCCTGATTAGGGCGCCTCGATTCCTAGAAGCAGGGTCCCTCTGGATTTCCTCACTGTTACTGTCTATCATTACTCAGGAACGCGGACATTACTGCATAATGCCTCCTCCCCGAGGTTGTATCTATATATATTGGGCTGCCAGCCGCACACCAGATTCTCCAGGACGCTCTGAAACTTCTCGTTATTCAATAACTGTAACGGGCAAACGCTGTTTGGGAATCGACGGAGTTTGCAGAAGTCGGTATCACTCTGAACAAGCCCCTAACGTGGCCACCGAGGATTGGTCCTGATTTCAATAACCACAATGACTACAACTGCCCAACTCCTGTCACATCCTGAATCCGTCCACGTCTATGGTCGGGCGGCGTACCTTCATCTCGTCGATCCCGAGATCAGAATCTATTACATGGAATCTTTCCCATCCGGCATACAGAAGAAGAAAGGCACAATCCTTTTGATTCATGGATTCCCCCAGACCTCATACCAATTCCGACACGTAATGGCGCCCTTGGCCGAAGCCGGGTACCACGTCATCGCCCCCGATCTGTTGGGCCACGGCTTCAGTAGTAAGCCCATTGGTGACATTCACCAACAGAGCCCATTCACGGCCAAGAGTCTGGCAAGAGACCTGTATCGGCTCGTGACGGAGCACATTGGCGTCAAGGACAAGATTCATCTCGTCGGCTACGATATTGGCGGCATCGTCACGCACCCGTATGTCTGCCAATTCCCCGAGAGCGTCGCCAGCGTGACCTGGGGGGAGTGCCTGCTGCCGGGATCCAAGTTCTACGAAATGTACAAACACACCCGGAAGATGTGGCATTTCGACTTCCACAGCCATAACACGGAACTCGCCGTGGCCCTGGTGTCGGGCAAGGAGCGGCTGTACGTCAAATACTTCTTCGACCGGCAGACCCAGAACCAGACCGTGTTCCCGCCCGAGGCCGTCGACTTTTATGCCCAGCAGTACGCGGCGCCGGACTCGCTCCGGTGCGCATTCCTGGTCTACCGCGCCTTCGACGCCGACGCCGCGGATAATCTGCAGTGGAGGGAGGAGATGGGCAAACTCAAGGTCAAGAACATGATGCTGTCCGGTCAGAGGAGCTTCCACGCGGACGAGGCCGTGGAGATGGCGCAGGAGTTCTACGAAAACGTACAGATCGGCACGGTGCCAGAGGCCGGACACTATCTAGCCGAGGAGAATCCGCGGGGGTTCATGGACGAGCTGTTGAAGTTTATAGAAGCTTGAAGAGGGGAACACCCTCCAGTTAATTGTACGGATCTAAACCATTCCTACAGCTGACTCTTGGTGATGACCGTCGGTTTTATGATGGATATACGGTGGGTATCTAGGTATTTACTGGGACGGATATATGTCTGGTAGATGATAGTCATTGCACCGGCTACATGCACCCCCTTCCTACCCACCGTCCACTGCGGAATCCCGGGCGACATCATCATCAAAGTGAGATATCGTCATACCATTTACATTAAGATGTGGGGTACCCCCCTAACAACGGGGCTCCCGCTATAAAATTACCCAAAACCAAGCCCCTCTTCTGGAGTAGTCCGGGGCCGGGGACACTGCGCAATCCGGTATCATACGCGCATTGTTGACGAGGAGTCACGGCCAGCAAACCCCCCCTTTGAGCTATTCAAAGTGGACATGTGTGAGAGGTACACAGTTTTGCACGCTTACAGCAGCCATATCCTGGAATATAGGGAGCAGGTTTCTGTGTCATTGCATCTACTGGATAGATTAGCCCTGTATTTCTTGCATTGCTCTGTTCTCTTGCTCTTCGGAAGGGTTGCTTGCCATCTATATACAACTTTGCCTCTGAGGAGGCTTTCTCCTTTGGAACTTGATGGGTAGACGGGAATCCCTGGAAGTGACTGGGATAGGGTCGCTGGATTGTCACACGCTCTTTGGAGGCTGGAGTTTGGGTTTCTTAACCCGCCTTACTCCTCCTTATCAATCGAGTTTGATGTCGTAAGGCGTCGAGGGATCTCTGATTCTGCCGAAGTTCAGCAAGTGCCCAAGGGGCTTGACCATAAAGTCAGGGGCTTAAGGGCTTACGGGCTAATCAAATGGCGGCGCTGGATATGACTGGGTCCATCAGGATTCCCTGCTCGATAGATATAGACCGAGGTTACCCCAGGAGTATTAGGCGTCGTCATCTGCTCCCCACTAAGAGGAGGAGATTGTCCTGTCTACAAGCTGCCTGTCAAGCACACCATCTAGTAGCTTGCCCTTGAATGTCTCAAGGCACAATTGAGGATCATACTGATTGAATAGAAGGGCATACGCGTCTCAATCCAATCCCAAGTATGAAATCTTGCCATCCAATATTCTTTCAACTAAATTGCCAGGATGCCTATGCGCTCCTCTTTGCGAATCTTGAGGCTCCCTTGTTGTTGTACCACATTTTGTACCACAAGTGCTTTCGTACACGACAACTAGGCCAAGAAATTGTTACAATCTCTAGTAAACTCAATGGCGACGTCCGAAGCTCGACCCGAGTTCGTGGCGGCTCGGTTTCGCGCGACCAGAGCGTGTTACGGCTGCCGACAAAAGCGAGTCAAATGTGATGCCATGGATCAAGGCACCCCTTGCTCCAGATGCGTCGCGAGCGGGCACACCAATTGCCTCTTGTTCGAGTCGAAAAGGGGCACTTATAAGAGACGAAAGAAGACCACCAGTCCGGTGCAACCAGTAATTCATGGCCCTCACCTTTCAGACCCTGATGTACAGCAGACATTTCAACAACCTACCACGTCAAATGCCTTGAAAGCGGGCTCAACTGAAGAGGTCCGACGACAGCCTGTCTCACCACAGCCAACAAGCCATGGGTCCAGGTTTTCGAGCGAGGTTCTCGCAAGACACGAAGACAGAGGACAGGCGGAGCTGCCATCGGCGCCCTTGGTTGGGGGAAGGAGCGTCGCCGAAGCCGTAGCCATGTACTCTGTTGCAGTTGGTGGGCCCGGAAACGTCACGGAAGACAGTACAGGAGAAGCCAGTGAACCTCAAAATCAGCCGACGTCTTTGGATTGTTCGTCGCCAGCAGACTCGTGCACCACACTTTCGCCATATCCCGATATTTCGTGGGCCTCGACCTTTGACCCCTTCCTCAAAACCAGGACGACCCCAGGGTTTGCCGACAGGGCTAACAGATTCTCCATTACCCATCTCGACGAATCGTTTCCTCTGTCCCTTGTTCTTCAGAATCAAGGCGAAGGCAAGAAGCCGCAACTGCATTATCTCTCTCCAGCAAATCCCGAACCATCAGCCCACCGTCAGTGTTCGGGAGAAGGCCAGCATCCCGCCCACATTCCGACTGAAGACATCAAGTTCCTTCATGCACGGGGCTGTTTCACCCTCCCTGACCCTGACGTCCTTGATTTTTTGGTCAAGACATTCCTCGACCGAGTGTACCCTCTGTATCCTATCTTTACGTCGCGCGGCAGCTTCCTCAAACCTTACAGAACTCAGCAGATCCCCTGGCTCCTGTTTCATTCGGTTTGTTTTGCGGCAGTGACTTTTGCAGACGAGGACGCTCTGTTCCGCGCGGGCTACAAGGACAGGATGGAGGCGCGGCTGTTATTCTACAGAAAGGCAAAAGCCCTGTTCGACATGGGCTATCACATGAACAAGATCATGGTGCTTCAGAGCGTCATTCTCCTGAGCTTCTGGGGCAGTGTGCATAACAACTATTGGAACTCGGCGAGCTGGATTGGAACAGGCGTCATCATCGCCGAGTCCCTGGGGATCCATCGATCCATGAAAGAGACAAAACTCGCTCCAGAGGACAAGAGCTTGTTGAGGCGACTCTGGTGGGTTTTGTTCGTACGGGACACCGGAGCGGCCACCTTTTCGGGGCGTCAGTTCCGCATGAACACCGTCGACGTGGCGGACGTGGAGATGTTAAGTCCCGAGGACTTTGTCACTGATGCGCGAGATGATGAAGGAGAAGAAGAAGCAGGAGAAGGCAGCGTGCATTATCCTCTTGACAGCTCTTTTGGCCTATTCCACGTCGAAAACACCAAGCTCGCCGTCATCCTGCGACGGATCGTGCTCTCGAAGCGTACTGGACACGGCCCAAACCATGACCAACTGTGCCACGAGCTCCAGCAGTGGAGGAACGACCTGCCACCAGAGGTCGCTTGGGGAGAGAACTGTGGCACAACAAAGCCGGGTCTACTTCCGACGTGTCTTGCGCTCTCTTACAATCACAATCTGATTCTCGCGAACCTGAGCAGCCGCCACTTCCTACAACCGGCGAGCTCTGTCCGCCCAGATTACCCCAGCGTCAGAAGCCTAGATACGGCCTGCGAGAACGCCGCTCATCAGATTCTTGACCTGGCATGCGCCATGGCGACCAAATCAACCTTTTCGCGCCTGCCGCACGAGGCCTTCCACGCACTGTTCCTGGCAGAAGCAGTCTTCTACTCACAGGTCTTGTCACCGACGGACCCGGTCGGGGCGAAAATGGGCCGCATGGCCGTCACTACGTGCCAGGTGGTTTGGCACGGCGTTCGACGAGCTTGGGATCCCGCGCGGTGGGCCATGAAGCTGTTCGAGAATCTCCTTGACGCGGCGGCGAGACAGCGGCAGTCATCAGACGACGCGCAGCAGATGCTGGTAAGCAATACATCCAATGCGCAGGAAAGCAGCCTCTTGGATGTGCCCATGAATGACTTTGGGGGGATGGACTTGGTGTTCTCGTCCATGTTCGACATGTCGACTGGGATGGACGGCATGACGGGCGACTCGTCACAGATGATGTTTTCGTTCGATCTCACAGACGAAGCTCAGTGGTGATCGGTGATCATGTCAATTCAGGTTGATCAACGAGTTGTCATTTCACAAATAGCTACAGACACCGACACCTTCGTGATGAACACACCTTTTGCCTCAACATGCATCTTATAACAAGGTAGTCAGCTTGCAGTTGCCCCATTATTGCCGTGCGATCTTCCAGCATTGAACGACGGCGCTCACGGCACCTCCTCCCTAGAAGGCTGAGCCGCGTCGCGTGACATCGTCAACGAGCTCCTTCTCCAACACGCCATCCCTAGCTCTGCTTTGCGCAAACGTCGTGGTTGGCCTCCACTTGCTCGATGTGCGTGGTGTGGACTCTTCCATCATCCTGTCGACCTGTTCGAGGGTGAGGCCTTTTGTCTCGGGCACCAGGAAATAAGCGTAGACGAACGCAGCCGTACAAAGGCCGCCCCAGACGAAGAAGACAGAGGATTTCAGGTCGTCGTGGTCTTCGCCGACCATGTACGGTGTGATGACAGCGATGATCTGTCCGTGTCCTGTCAGCTGTGGATATCCCTACCAGCTTTTAGACTCCAGAGGCGAACACCTACCGTATTCCACAACCAATTTGAAGCCGTCGACAACGCAACGCCCCTGGAGCGAACCGGCAGAGGAAAGATCTCTCCGATCACGATCCATGCCCCAGGACCCCATGTGGACGCAAAGAAGAAGATGAAGATGGCAATGAAGGCGATTTGGGCATTGACCGCCGGCACATTGTCTGCAAGACTGAGATCCGCATCAACCGGGTCGGGATGGGTGTGGTTAAATCCAACCGTCACACCGACAATGGCGACGAGGAATTGGCATATCAACATGCCCAGCGCACCCCAGATCAACAGCGGACGACGACCGAATTTCTCAACGGTATAGAACGACAGCGGCGTGCTGCATACGTTGACCAAGGTGAAGATGAGCGAGATGAGGAAGGTGTTGTCGATCGCCCCTGTGCTCTGCAGGAAAGGGGTCGAGTAGTAGAAGATGAAGTTCACGCCAGTCCTGCCAGCAGGCAGTCAGTATCCCAGCCATGGACTGAGGCTCTCAGGGTCATACCATTGTTGCATCATTTGCAGAGACGTGCCCAGAATGGTTCTCCTCAGGTTCGATTTCTGCACTCGCAAACCTCCCTTAAAGCAGTTCGCCCAGCTGGAGAACCATCCGCTCGAGGGAATGACAGACCGCTCGTATTCCTCATTGGCAACAATCTCAGCCAGCTCGATTTGTACATACTCGGAGTCGCGTGGCTGCCCGCGTAGTTTCGATAGCGAGATAGTGGCATCCTCGAGTCGGCCCTTTTTCACAAAATAGCGCGGCGAGTCAGGAAGGGTAAAGAGGCCACCGGCCAGGATAATGGCCCACGCGAACTGAATGGCGATAGGGATCCTGTAAGAGCCGGTGTCCCGTCTGTCTTCGGTTGCGTACACAACGATAGAAGCAAGCATGATACCAATGGTAATGCAGAATTGGTAGCCTGCTACGAGGGCCCCGCGGACTTTTCGAGGGCACTGTTTGAGTATTAGCACAGTAATCAATGAAAACACTCTCAGACAAGTACTTACGATCTCACTCATGTAGAGGATCACAATAGCGCTTTCGAATCCAACCCCGATGCCAGCAATGAGACGGCCAGCCACTATGGCACCTAGGGCATCTCCCTCTCCGGTGATCATTTGGATCACAACACCGAACATATAGATCATGCAGCCCATGATGACGGTCCATTTACGGCCGATGAAGTCCGCCATGTCTCCACCAATGAGAGCTCCGAAGAAGGTGCCAGCCGACAGTATCGAGACAACGAGCGATTGGTGCGAGGAGCTAAGAGCATCCGCAGTTGGGCCTTCGACTGCCCGGATGAAGATGTCTGCTCCAAGTACTCCGTTGATGTAGCCCGAGTCATAACCAAAGAAGATTCCACCGAACCTAATTGTCCGTCAGCACTGCGACGTATAGAGAAGGTTTCAGAACGTCGCTACCATATGGCAACGCTGCTCGAGGAACTTACGAAGCAAAGGCGCACATCAAGTACGCTTTCCATGTCACGGGCGCCTCAACATGGTTGACATCGTCGGTTGTTTTCAGGGTGATGGAGCGGGAACGTTCAGCCCCCTCGTGGACTTCTTTGGGATCAGACATGGTCATTCACTCCGATTGTCGCGAGAAGACGCTCCAAATGTACGAACACACAGATATCAAGGGTCGCTGCTGAATGCCGGGGAAAGCGCGTATGACTTATATGCATTCGTGGCCCGGACCATCAAGCCAGAAAGACACAAGATTCGCAAATGTGGCACATCGCGGATTTGCGGAGATTTCACAGACAGCACCAACGGCCGGGCGAAATGTCTCGTCTTGCCTCATCTAGATGCGCTACCTGGTGCGGATTGGCACTGGTGTATCTAGAGGGTGGATGGGTCTCATCTCCATTGACCAGGTTGGAACCCAAGACAAAAGAGTGCGTCCCTGAGTAACAATATTCATCATCGATTGTAACCCATCAAAAGCCACTGTAACATTGAAGGCATGACATGAGTCTTGAACTGGGACTTGTCGTCGTGGCATCAGGCTTGTCATTGACCGATCGAGTCTTGGATTCGTTCTTGGATGTCGTTCCAAGACCAGGACAAGACTGGCAACCCCCACAGCTTGCTCCAGCAATCCGCACACCGCACAAACGAAAGAAAATGTGCTTCTTGAAGGGATAAATGGCCTTCAGAGTGCTTAAGCCCTTATGGGAAAGGGGCTTAGTTGTCCCGAACATCGTCGGCGTCGAAATGCTGCCCAAAAGAGACGACGAAGTTCCGACGAAGTTCAGCTGGTTTCTCCAGACAGAGGAATGCTCCGCCCCATGCCCAGACAACAGAGATTGCTTGGCATCCCCAGCTAAGGGGTAAGAGGCACGTTGCGGGGTTTGCTTCAGCAAGGATATGCGAATTGTCCATGAGATCATGCCGAGACAGGGTTCTGCGACGTGGCAATGGGACCTCTGCACTTGCTTCCCTGCTGCATGTACTGGTGTGGCGAGCAAGGGAGATGCGATGCGAGTATTTTGCATTGTGGTGTTCGGCCAAACCCTCAATTGTGAGTCGGTGGTCAGCCGGTATCATTAGACAGAGCGTTCCAGTCTTGTGTCAGGATATCCGCCAAGCGTCGCATTGTCCCATTCCTCGTCATCTTCCAAAATGCCATGATCTTGTTCATTAGCAGGTCTTGGGTTTGTGCATCGTTAATGCAGACCCCCAAGCAGTAGAACGGCCAGGCATAGTATTCTGCAAAGTAATCCACGGCCGGCTCAATGAAGCGAACAAGAAGCATGAACTCTGAAAGCAAGCTCGAGAGGTGTTGTGAGAGATGTTGGCCGCGCAGTCCCGAGGAATGTGCTATCATATACTTCAGGAGGAGCCTCGCAGCGAGGGAATAGAGTTTTGGACCAAAGAAAGATTGGCTGGCATTCTGCGGATCAGTGAGCAAAGACAGGGACAGACTTGTGTCGGCGGTATCGGCGGCACCGACTATATTGACAGTGTCTGAGTCGGGAATATTCTCATCACTCCACCGTCTCAGATCGTGGTCCAAGCGATGACATTCTCGCACATCAAATCTTTGAGCGCGATATTGTGAATACATTAACGCAACCTGACGCACGTACGAAAACAGCATCGGGGGTGCGCCGAGGACCGGAGAATGCGGATAGTCCACCGCGTTTTCCAGCCAGAGACGTTCCAACATAAGCTGGGCATTCAGAAAGGCTTCATCCACGAGGGCTGACGATGTCGGAAACGGGTATTGAAAAGGGATGCTTGTGGCCACATGGAACATAAAAGATTCCAGGGTGAGAATGCTGGTGGCGGTCCAGTCAGCTGGCATGCTCCTTGATACCTCCATTCGCTTCCAGCATGACTTGAGTAGTGCGGCGGCACCATACAGATGGGTAGACACGCCTTCAGAGTGGTGCAGCCGTGTCCTCTGTAAAGTAGTTTAGTGATCTCAAATAGAAGATTGCATTGAACAAACACTCACCTCATAGATGCATAGAACGAGAACAGTGCGTAAAGCGATGATTTCTGCGAGTGGAGACTGGTCCTGGGCGAGGTAGGCTCGCATGCCTCCTATAGCTTTGATATAGTGCGTTTCAGCTAACGTACGATGGAAAGGGTCGTTTTCTTTGATCTCAGCGGCAGAACAGGCCAATAGAGCCTCCATGAAGAACGGGATGTGGTTGGCAACCTGAAGACTCCCGCTCGTAAAATCTTTGATGTATTGGCCGTCGGTCGCAGGTCGAACAAGCTGCGGAACAAACACCCTCCGCATGTAGTCGAATAGAGGAGGGCTGTGTATTCTTGTGTTTAAGGAGAAAGTGGTGAGTTGAGGAGACACTACCAGGGGAAGCTCGTCGTCGTCGTCGCCGTCATCCCCCTCCACGCCACGGATGGCCGATACGGGCGAGAGCGACGCCGAGGTGGGTGATATGTAGGGGTATATCTTCTCGTCTTCATCTCCAGTAGTTCGGAGTCCATCACGGTCACTGTGAGCGGACTCGGGGGTGATACTCAGACCTGCACTCGGGCTTGGCACGTTGGACGTCGAATCTGGTTTCGCAGGCCAGATGCAGTCGATCTTCCTTCTAACGCAGTTGTGGCAGACAACAGGATTCTCGTCACACTTTTTCTTTCTTTGGCGACCTTTGCCAGCAATCAGCTGGTCATTCTGATGGATTGACAAGATAAAACATCAAACTCACATGTCAGACAGCCAGTCTTGGTGCGCAGATGTGCCGGCCTCCGCCGCGGCTTGCGATAGTTCTTGACCCCCTCTAACGGCTCACCCATGGTCAAGCCGGGTCCAGTGTTCATGGGAAGAGGTGGGTTCTCAGAAGACTTGAAAGGAGCTGCTGTTTGAGATCAACTTCGGCTAGCTATGACGGACAACATCCAATGCGGAGGATGCCGCCTCCACTGTTGGAAGCGGGCTACCCTTGCCGACCTGGTATTAGCGAGAGGCCGCGGCTTACAAGGGCATGAGCAGACAATCTGACCAGTTGCAACACGTTCCGCAGGTGTTATCACTGGTGGCGGACCAGACTTTGCAGGCCATGCACTAGGAAAAAGTCGAATTCACGGATTCGTCGAGCATCAAATGCACCTTTCCTTCTTCAGCTTTGCTTCGCAGATAGACCATGAAGGAAAACACCCTTGCTCGTCGACAGCAGACTGCGATCACCAACATGACCTTTCGTTATCTGTGTCCGCGGCAGAGAAAGGGCTCGGCCAGCGCTGGCCAGAGATATAAAAATGCTCGAGCACCGTTGAGGAAGGGACAAAGACTGTCTATCCCTGCTGTGGCCTACAATACTCGTTCGAGACAATGTCGTTGACTCGCCGCTCTATCGATTTGGCCTGGCCTCCGGGCACAGTTCGCATTGAAGGTAAGACGATTTCCTAATCTCTTGTCGCATGTCACAGGCTTACGAGTACTCACCACGTGTGCAGATCTTCATAGCAAGGACGCCGACATTATTCTACAGCCCCAGCCCACCGCCGACCCAAATGATCCCCTGGTAGGTTATCTCCAACTTCTGTCGGTTGAATGGGCGAGGCTGACTTGAAACAGAACTGGCCGACATGGAGAAAGCACCTCAACTTCATCCTTGTGAATTTCTATGTGCTCCTGGTTTTCGCCTTGTATGTATTCCTCCCCGACCACACTACGAAGTTGGCGCTTACACGTCTGTCCACAGGATAAATATGGTGACGGTCACATGGGCGTCGATGAATCTGGAGCTAGGCTTCAGCTACAACATTCTCAATGACAGTTACGCTGCTGGCTGCGGATCCCTCTGCATAGGAGGCGTCTTCCTCCTACCATTCGCGCTGAAATATGGCAGGCGCCCTGTGTACATCCTCAGCCTGGCTGTACAGTGCGGAGTATCTGTCTGGTCTGCTAGGGTACAAAACGTCACGGACCTCATGATGGTCAATATCTGGGGATGTTTTGTGGGAGCCCTGTGCGAAGTCATGGTACAAATGACCGTCGCAGATGTTTTCTTCGTCCATCAGCGTGGGTTGATGAACAGCATTTATATCTGGACTCTGACCGTCGGAACCACACTCGCTCCGCTCGCCGCTGGATATGTCACTTCCTCTCAAGGCTGGCGTTGGGTCTGGTGGTGGACCGCCATTTTGATCGGGGCGTTTGTGATCCTGATGTTCTTCCTCTACGAGGAGACAAAATACGAGGGGCAGACCATCAACGGTATTCCCACTACCAATCGCCCTTCCCAGGATCATTTCACGGGCCCAGTCGAGAAGACCGTGGATGAGAAGTCATCACCCTCAAAGGACGCCGGTGCCAATAGTGTTGAGTTAACTCACCAAGAGCCTCAACTTACCAGAGTCGAGATTGATCCTACAATCCCCATCAAGCCGTACTGGAAAAAGCTGGCTCTCTGGTCTTCCTCACCCAAGTCCATTCGATCCTTCGTCAGACACAGCTACCAGCCTTTCCTCATTCTCTGGCACATCCCCGCTGTGCTGTACATGTCACTTCTGAACGGCGCCATGACGGCTGCAGGAATCATGCCCATCACGGTGTATTCCGTCTACATGACGCTGCCGCCATACAATTTCGGGCCCCAACAAATTGGACTGTTGGGGTTGCCCGCCTTCATCGGCACATTGGTTGCCGCCGTCATATGCGGACCGCTCAGCGACTGGATGATCCTGCGGATGGCTAGGAGCAATGGTGGGATCTACGAGCCCGAGATGCGGCTGTGGCTGATTTTGGCGTTTACACCGTTTGTCGCCGCGGGCTTGTTGATGTTTGGGATTGGCCTCGAGAGAGGTCTACCATGGCCGTTCATTGCCGTCGGGCTTGGGGTAAACTCGTTTGGGATGACCCCGGCGATGAGTCTCTCCCTGACATACTTGACGGATGCATACACGGATGTGAGTGGCCCAAAAAGCATCCGAATCCTTTAAACTTGAGCAGTATCACTGACCTGGCCCACGTACAGATCATCTCCGACTCTCTCGTGGCAGTCACTTTCGTCAAGAACCTGTTCCCCACCATCCTAGTCTTTGCATTGACGCCGTGGATCACGGCGGTTGGGCTTGGGAATGTCTTCATCACCGCCGCCGTCATCTTCGTTGCCATACTGTTGGGGAACATCGTCTTCATCCGCTTCGGCAAGCGCTTCCGAACGCGTTCGGCGGGTAAATACCGTCTTTACGCCGGCAACCCCTTGGAAGAGGCTTAGGTTCGTCCTTTGAGGCGTGGAGCGGAGGTATCTTGTCTATACTATGCCTGGAAAGGGCACAATAGTTGATCTCTCTGTCTGTCTCCATGTGGCGGTGTCCAAGAATAAAAAGTTTGAGTATTTTCGGCGACGACGCTCTCGAGTCCTAAACTCAGTTTTTCTAATTTCTCATCGAATAATTGCTCAGAGCGCACTTTTTTCCTTATCAGTTAAAGTTCGCTTCCATGTATATACCTAGGAATACATACTTGCTCAGATGGTGACGACTCGAGAGACTTGAACGCCTCCCCAGCCCCCCTTGGCTCTCGCCTTGGCCCTTGCCCTCGCATCTCTGTCCGTGGCTCCATACACAGACAGCCCAAATCTATCCCCGGCTTCGAAACGAAACGAAACGAAGCGAGGTCGCGACGCAGATAGACCGAGCTGGGCCTCTGAGCGACGAAATCCTCCCTTCCAGGCTTGGGAGCCCGATGCGCAAACTAGACTCCTAACTACCTTATCTCGCTGCGCGTAAAAGACTTTCCAGGATCAATCTTTACGGAAAAGTAATTATAGGGAAAGTCAAATGCCAATACAATCGGTAGCAATATGTCCCGATGAACCCTGGACAACTTGTCAGAGCCAATGGCGGCACTTTGCGCGCTCAGACTTTAGGGGGAAGAAGCCGCAGCTGAATCTGAGACTCTTGAGACTTTCATGGAAGCTGTCCGTGCTGTACTCTCATTTCTCCGCCCATGCAACACACAAACTCATCGTTTGTGTTTTGTGTCGTCACCAATGGCAACTTCCAGACCCGAGAATAGTGACTCGAGCCGAGCATGCTTCATGCTTCCTGGCTGGATCTCAGCCCGTTGCCACGTTGGCAGTCAATAGGTGTTTCGGGGGCCCGCGGGAGCCCCCAAGACGATTACAAAACCCCGGGGAGGGAATAACATGGAGGGGAAAAAAAGGGTCGTTCTTGCTGCTGAGAAGATCCGACGAGGATAGGGCTAGTTCTGGGCCGTGTTCGGGTTCCGTGAGTACATAATTACAATTAGATCTTAGATCTCTTCATTTTTGAACGTTCACGACCAAACACAACTCTCCGCCAGGGACTGGAAAAGTATCTCCAAAAAAAAGAAAAATAAGAAGAAAAAGGAGAAAGAAAGAAAAAGGAATGGCTCCAACGATCGTTCGAAACGCCCGTCTCTTCACGAGCACCGACGACTGCGAGGATCTCGTCCCGGGATGTCTGGTCTTTCAGGACGGGGTGATCGAATACGTCGGTCCGGAGGAAGGGTCGTCGACGCTCGCTGAAGCGATGGACCCCGGAAACGGGATCGCAGAGGTCATCGACGCCGGCGACCGCGTGGTGGCGCCGGGCTTCATCGACGGACACGTGCACCTTCTGCACTTCGGGTTGTCGCTGGGGAAAGTGGACGTGCAGGTGTGCAAGACACTCGCGCAGATCCGGGACAAGATCCGGGTGTTTGCCCGCTCGCACCCTGCCGATGCCACTCCCCGGATCCTGTGCAAGGGCTGGATCCAGGCCTCGACCGGTAGAGAAGCGCTGGCGAGCATGCTGGACGACCTCGACCCCGATGGGCGGCCCATCTACGTCGAGGCTCTGGACCTGCATTCCGTGTGGTGCAGCTCGGCGGCGCTGGCGGAGCTGGGCGTCAATTCCCCAACAGTGAAGGATCCTCCCGGGGGGACGATCCATCGCGACGCGCAAGGGCGGCCATCGGGACTCCTGGACGAAGGGTGTCTGCTGTTGCTTGTGTGGCCGTTCCTGGCCAAGACACTCACAGGCGATCACAAGCAGGCGGCCCTGCACCAGGCGGTGTCTGCTTATGCGCAGGCGGGATATACAGGTGTAATAGATATGGCCATGGAAGAGGATTTGTGGACTGCCTTGGAGACGTACCGCAACCGTGCAAATAGTCCCCAAAACAACAACGGTGGATTACCACTCCACGTCGCCGCGCACTGGCTCATACCCTACAGCGACTCAGATGAGGAAATCCAGAGCGCACTCGACCGGGCCATCTCGATGCACCGAAAATTCCACCCGTCGACATCCCCATCATTCTGCGTCGTCGGGATCAAGCTGATCGCCGACGGTGTTGTCGACAGCTGCACTGCGGCGTTGAGCCGGCCGTACAATACCAAACCGAATGATCCCGTCGAACCCATCTGGCCAGCTGACAAAATGGCGAGGGTGATTCGGCAGGCCGACGCCGCCGGTCTGCAGATTGCCGTGCACGCCATCGGCGACAGAGCCATCACGCAGACCATCGACGCCTTCGCAGCCCTTGAACAGCCGATCTCGTCGCGCCGCCACCGCATCGAACATCTAGAACTCGCGTCCGAGCGCGACGCAAAGAGACTAGGCGAGCTGGGGATCACCGCGTCCGTGCAGCCCGTCCACTCCGATCCCGCCTTGTTCAAAGCCTGGCCGTCACTAATAGGCACGCACCGCTGTGGCCGCGCCTTTGCGTACCGCGAATTCCTCGAAAACGGCGCCCCCGTGGCCTTTGGCACCGACGCCCCGACTGCTGCGCATCTCCCGCTGCCGAATCTGTACACCGCCACCACGAGACGCTCGGCGATCGAGCCGGAATCAGCGGAGAGAACGAATCCGCAGTTCGCGGTGTCTCTGGCGGCAGCCGTAAAGGCCGCCACGGCGGGCGGGGCGTATTCGCGGCACGCGGAGACGTGGATGGGTAGTTTGAAGAAGGGGATGAGTGCCGATTTTATCCTGCTCGACACGGACTGGGATCCCGCTGGGTTGTTGGCGGCAAGGGTGCGGCAGACTTGGTTTCAAGGGCGAGAGGTCTTTGATGCTGTACAGGACTTGAAACTGTGAGATTGAGGCGGTGGGTTGGGAGATTATTGTCCCCCACACACCCGCCTCAAGGAGTCAGGGGGGAGTTTGGGCAATCCTTCAGAAGAATCATTTCATCCTTTTGCTAGAGTAGTCTAAGGGCATGGAAACTCGTTGAGTCGCTTCGTTGCATAATATTACATAGGATCTACTGAATAAAAGCCAGTTCCTTCTCATTCGTTTGCTCATATGGCAGTGGTTCTCAATGAACGATACTGCCTACCGGTTTGTTTCATGCACCGCACTCGATGGATATACGCTACCGCTCGCGACGAGCACTCTCAGCGAGGGGCAACGAGAACATCCGCTCACAATGCTGCCTGGGACTGGGTAGACCCCCCATTCGTGGTTGAGGTCGATGTTGGTGCAGCACGTTGTACCACGCCAAATCTCGTGTTACCGACATCAAAGACACTACTGACGGTCAGCTTGAAACGAGTTGGTGGAAATGAACCCTTGACTCACGCATAGACATTCTGCAAGAAGGCGTCTCCGAAGATGTCAAAGTTCTGGTCGCCGCGAGACTGGATACTGCCGTACACGGTGCTGCCATCAGCGCCACCAGCAAAGGCGAGGTGCTGTTTCTCAATGGTGATTGGAGTATCGCCGACCATGAATGTGACAGTGGGAAGATCACTTTCAGCAGTGTTTGCAGGGAATACCCAACCCTGCTGAGTGCTGTCCTGTTTGGCGCCAGGAATGGCACTGTAGATTGCCTCACAGACCTGGTCGGACGTGAGGAGAAGGGTAGTGCCGGTGTCGGCAATCGCCGTGTTCCCGGAGAGTTGAATAGTCTGGCCATTGACTTGCGCAGAGGTCGAGGCGAACGACCAGAAGCCCTGAGAGTTGTCGACTGGCGTGTAGGCGATGCTAGAACCCGAAGGGACGACAGATTGATCAATCTGGCCGAAAGTGTCTGTATTCACGTCAGAGAATTGAAAAACCTAGGACCACGACCAATAATTACAGAAAGACTCCTCATTCGCGTCCTTGATAGACCCCAGATAGACGGTAAACAACTCCGCAGTCTGAGGGATATCGTCTTGGGCAATCATGTTTGCAACAGGTGTCTGAACCGGTTCCGGCTTAACGGTGTTGATCGAGCCCCAGGCAAGACCCAGAAGGCCATCGGAGGAGGTATCCTCGGTGAACTGAGACGACAGTTTGTTGGCGAGCTCAATGGCCTGGTTCTTGACGGTGATATTACCAATCTCGATGTTGTCGGTCCCGACGGTGCCAGATGCGGATGATTGATCGCCATACTGAATCTGCCAGGTGGAGCCTTGAGAGGTCTGGAATGTTGATGACTTGGAAGGATCGAAGATGGTATGACCCTTGCCAGCAGAGAGGGTGCTCTGTGGCAATTCGGTTGACCAGCACCAGAGGTCAGAGGATCCTGAGTCGAAGTCCTTGGTGGTGGTTAGTAACGAACTTGGAAGTTGTGGAGACACTCACCAAGTTCAAGGTCTGAGCCGGGGTGCCAATCTTGACTGGAACTGTGTAGAGGGAATCATTCTGTTGATCGCTTGCAGTACTGGCAGAATGGTCAGCATACGGCCTTGTTCATCACAGATGCCAGACGCCGTCCATACACTTCACCCTGGGAGCCGTCGTCGTTCTGCTTGACCAGTTTGTTACCTTTGGCGGCAAAGTAAGGACCCTGGATGGTGGGATTGAAGCGGTACTTGTTGAGCAGGTAGACGTAGGACTTGAGACCGTTGCGTTTGTAGTGAGGGTTGCGTCGAATGGGGATGCGGACGAGGGAAGCCATGTTGGGCGGAGTGTAATCAAGTAGTTAGAGAGTGAACAGTGTTGAGGATACGCGGGAGAGATGAATGTCTAGAGGAGAAAACAGAGAAGAAATGAAGTGAAGTGAAGTGAGGTGAGTTGAAGTACTTGTAGTCAGTGAGTTGACGCTGTAAAGGATGACGCGCGTTGTTGTGACAGAGGCCGTCAAACAGGGAAGTCGCTCATTTGGTGCAGCGACATCCCAGCAGCCAGCAGCCAGCAAACATCAACCATGGGCTCAAACGGCCAAGTTCCTTCGTTGTGGTTTGTGGTTTGTGAATGTCTTCCTCGAGGCGAGCGAGGGTCATTGAGCCATTCAGGTCAACAGCTGAAGGTCAAGGTGAACTCGGGCAGCTGTTGGTTTGCCGTGTTTCAAGAGGGTCGCAGTATCGCCCTTGTACAGCCTCACTCCCCGGCGGCTCTACATTCCATTGGCGCCCGTCGTGCCGTCCCTGTTCTCGGATGTATACTTGCTGCGACATGCCCATCCGATTGTGCGATAGACGGTGCCACTTGTTCCATCCTGAGAAGCCCAACCCGACTTGCGGGGCGTTGATCAAGACGTCGATCACACTGTCGATCAGGGCATCGTCATAATTTTCGTCATTTCTTGAGCCGAAACAAGCTTTGACACCGCCGCCCCCTGTGCCCTGCCGATATGGCTGTACCTATTGTACTACTACTACCTAGTATGCATCAATGCACATATCCGTGCCTACGCAAAAGTGATGAGGCAGACAGTCACAAAAAGGTCAGAGAAAGGTAGGCAAATGGCAGCGGTGTTGGGTGCTCTAAACTCTGGGTATGCGCAGCTTTGTTACCATGAAGCAGGATTGCATTCACCGGCTTCAAACATTCATTACATCATACTGGAGTCCCTCATGGCGTCGGCATTGCTGAGATTCGTCGAGGCTCATGTGGATGAAATGATGAATGTGGAAGGTCGAACAAGGAGACCCCGGTCAACCCTTCGAGGCTATACACAGAAGACGCCAGTCTTTTGTTGGCTCCAGGTACAAGTCTCAAATCCTCAACTGGGCATCAAGGTAGAACATTCGGCGCAGATCAGCATCCGACGTTCCCGATCGGCGATACTTGGACATTCTGCAACACTGCATCCACAGACCAGAAACCAGAGCCCAGAGACGCGTGTTGGGGTAGAAATTGTGGAGTGGAAACTCTGCTCTCGGGGGTGGAAATTCAACCAACCAGACCGCGATGTATTTGCGACAGTCCAGATCAAGGTGCCTTTCTTGCTCTAGGATGTGGTGACCTTTTGTTCTCACCATGCCGTACCCTCATGTACGCCTTTTCTACCCCAAGGACCAGAACGAAGAAACCCATGCTCGTCGAGTCAAATATATTAAGATGACAAATTGACAACAACTGCTCCTACATGACTTTGCCTCAAGCTCAAACGGGTGCTGAGGGTCAATCGACGAGCATCTGCAAGAGAGAGGTTATATAAACTACATGGTAGGTGGTGATGGATCCGAGAGTCAGTTCCAAGTCCTTGCGACCATCCGAAGATATATCCCTTTCAATCGCAACACCAGTGACATCCCCCATTACCCGTTGTCTCCGTCATGTTCCCCCAAGAGCAGACAGTCTTTCGGCTCACCCTAGGCAAAGGTCTCGACGGACTCCAAGCATTCAAAGAGCCTCTCACGGCCATCGGCGACTATGAAGTCCTCATCAAGGTTCACAGTGTTGCCATCAACTACCGCGACATTGCCATCTCGCGTGGAATATATCCACTGGCGGTCAAAGACAACGTCGTGCCGTGCACCGACATGGCGGGCGAGGTTCTTCAGGTCAGCAAGCAGGTTGACAACCTCTCGGTGGGCGACGCCGTGGTTGCGGCCATTAGCTCTTCAACCTTGTACGGCACAGTCAAAGACCAGGACCACACCCTTGGAAGTACCCAAGACGGCGTACTGCGAGAATATATCGTCCTACCAGTGCATCAGGTCATCAAGCTACCCAAGTCCTCCCACACCTTGACTGAATGGTCTGCCATGGTGGCGACGGCTTCAACAATGTGGAATTGTTTTTATGGCTCCTCACCCCTGAAACCGGGCCAAACTGTACTCATTCAAGGTATGATGAAGGGGGTTGTTGCCGAGATCAAGACGCTGATAGTCGCAGGAACTGGTGGGGTAGCATTAACCGCTCTCATCTTTGCACGAGCCGCGGGTGCAACCACGATCATCACGTCGTCCAGTGATGAGAAGCTGGCAGCCGTGAAAGCCAAATACAGGCCCGACCACACGATCAACTACAAGACTCATCCGAACTGGGCTGCCGAAGTGCAGCGCATCACCAATGGCGACGGAGCCGACCATATCATCGAGAATGGCGGGATTGGAACAATTCGACAGAGCATCGAGTGCGCGGCAATGGGTGGCAGCATATATTTGGTTGGCTTTCTCACAGGCGTGCCACAGGGCCAGGTGCCTGATGTGGTTTCATTAGCACTATCAAAGGGCCTCCGGCTCCAGGGCATTCTAGCCGGATCCAAACAGCAACTCGAGGAGGCCGTGCGATTCATTGGTAGCCGCAATCTGCCTGTGCCAGTGGACAGAACCTTCGCGTTCAACCGGGACGACATCGTTGCGGCTTTGCAGTATGTGGAGTCAGGTCAACATACTGGTAAAGTGTGCATAACCCTGAACTAAGCAGCGTCTGCCAGAAGTCGAAGGCCAGAGCCAATGAACCTGTCAATCTCAAGCACATGGACACCTTGGAATATTTGAGCCCATAGCCTTAATATTGTCGTTGCCATGCGCTGGTAGCGCGATGAGTCGTCCTCCTGAACGTCCAGCGTGTCTGCCAGAGATGTCTCTTTGATGATTCCACTGACGATGTCCAGAAGCTTGCGCTCCGTCTTGCGCAATGCGTCTGGACCGCAGGACCTGGTAATTGTCGCAACCATGACAAGCCAGTCCCTCAACAGTAAGGCGCATTCGAGGCTGCTCAGCGAATTTTCGATGCCTCGAAATGGTAACCGGGTATGGGTCACCAGTTCAATGCCCAAACGCACTGGAATACTCAAAGCGTGCGCGGCGTGAAGAACGGCTCGATCCACCTGAGCTGATGGGCTCTTCATCCAGGTTCTTTGAACCACAAGATTGCTGATATCTCTGGTCAAAAGCGCCCGGCACGGGGCCAGGTTGGAGCTTAATCGAATATAGGCCAGCCGAAGCAGGGCAGTTGCGTTGAGCCCTAGCGGTCCTTTCTCTGATAGAGGATCAAGGGTGGACTCGTGGGTGAGCTCCCAGGATGATTGCCACGTCCGCAGGGCCGTCTCAAAGGCGTTCGCCGTCTCTGGCTTAGCGAGACGTCCAACAGTCACATCACCATTCCAGATGCTTATTTCTTGAAGCAAACTGTGAATGAGGACATAGTTGGCAAACGAAGAAACCGGAGATACATTACCATCAAAAAGCGAGCGGAACGCTTGTTGAAACAGACATTGAGGATAAACATTGCTCCGGTGCCACTGTGTCGGATTGGTGGCCTTCCATGGCTCCACGCAGCTGGGGAGCAAGACGCCCATGTCACGGTTCAAGAGCTGCGGCGGGATGTCGTAGGCGATACTGTGCAGGCTGAGAAGCACATACGCCGAGAGCAAGGTCCTCCTGCGCTCCTCAGCAGTCACCCACTCACACCAGGCCCCTTTTCTCTCAGCGACATCCATCAGCTCACCGTCAACGTGCGTCGAGTCATGCATTTCCGAGAGCCCATGCTGTCTCACCAGCACGCTCAATCGTCCTCCCAGGGAAATTGCGTCTGGTAGGATGTCCTTTCCCGCCCATGACGCATAAGCAACGAGAAGGATGAGCGATTGGATCTTCCCAAGTCCATTCCTCCGTTGAAGAGTGGCATGATCTTGTCCTGGTAGCATGAGAGTGGACAATTCCAAGTCCTGCCGACGTAGATTCTCCAAAAGTATCGCTTTCGCCATATTATATAAGCAGTAGGAACAGGATGTCTCAAACCGGTTCAAGGCTCCCATAGCGGCTGCAGCGAGCAGCAATTCGACGTCCGTCTTTGCAACGGAGAAGGTCGCGGAGTGAAGGAAAGGAAGGTTTTCTTGAGCACAGCGGAAGTATGATTCCAGATTGCGGCTCAAGGCATTTCGTGACGGTACGTGCCAGTCATGTGGAAGCACTGCCGAGTAGGACTCGACTTCGAGACAGAAACCCTCGTAGGCGGATTCGGAGAAAGACCATGGTGTGATAGTCGTATAATCCGAGAAAGCTCCGCTATGATCCTCGTCCGTGTTCCGTTCGCGTTCTGCGCGGTCTAAGTCTGGTAGACGGGAGCTGAACCGGGGAAAGTCGTTTGATCCAGGTGATGGAGGACGCGTTTGGGCGGAGGGGAGAGGGAAATTAGCGTCCAAGTCAAACAGGTTTGGTGGTAATATGTCTTGCATGAAGAGCTGGGGATCGAAAAGGAGGTCCGGGTCGTCGCCCGTCGTCTCATCCGTGTGCAGCCTGCTCGGTTCGGGATGGTCTTCCTCGTCCCTGCCTGACAGTACATCACTGAGTTGAGAATGCGATAATCTGAGATGACGCGAGAGCAGGTCCCTGGGAAGAGAATTATGAGCGTGTCTTCAATGACGGGATCAGAAGCTGGCTCACTTTCTGGTGAACGCCTGGCCACATTCGCAAGCGAAGGGTCTCTCACGCGTATCTATGTACCCATCGTCAGTATTGTCCTTGTTCTCGGACCACGGCATTCATACGCGTGCGCTCATGTCGCACCAGATGCTCGCGCCGCTGGAACTGCTTCCCACAGTGGCTGCAGGGCTGCACCACATTTCGCGGCCTGCCTCGAGGCATGCAAGCAGCAATTGCTTTGATCGGAGAAGGCAGGAAACAGGGTGGCACCGAATGCTGGGTCTTTTATACTGTAGAGGGGAGAGCAGCCTCATCAATCGAAGGCGACAAAAAGACCAGCGAGTCGTTGCACAAATCTTGCGCTATCGCAGCGACGGATGAGGCTGGGGGGTTTGTTTGCGACCGCTTCGATCTCAAACCCGGTCGGTCTATGTGTGTTCGATCTCCATACCCATTGATGAAAACGCCCTATGCGAAATATTGTCGGGTGTTTTGTATTTCTAAACAAAAAAACAATCAACAATTAGGATTCCCACCTAGTCACCCACGGTGGTACTAATTAATCGGCATGCGGCTTAAGTACGGCTGAGCGAACGGGAAGCCCTGTTTTCCACATCCTGTGGTCGATTGCGAAAGACTATTGTCAATAACAAATGATAACTTGTTTTTGTATTGCGTCCAAATGTCCCTAGTATTAAAGGTTTATCAGACTGACAAGGCTGAGATCCAACCCCACGTGAGGCCCCCAGGGCGGCAAGGCAGTTAGCGAGGCTGTAGCGCCAGCGCCATGCATCTTAACGCCCGTGTCCGGGATCTAACCCTGGTCAACAGTGTTGGGTATGTAAGTTACTAGTATTTTACGGAATATTCGAGGCCTGTAATTTACGTGTTACCTAGGTAATTATCGAATCTTCCAAAGTGACACGGAGCCAAGGAGCTAATTTATTAGCGTCCTTCTAGTAAACTAGACCACGGCTTGTAGCCTGATCTTCCAGTTTTGCATGCTATTGACCGGCGTTGAAAATGTCAGGATTTGCGATTTCTCGATCCGCAGATGGTGTCGCAGGAAGCAAGCAAAGCTCAATGCTTGGGTTGGCGGCATGTCTTCATGCTCGAGACTCACTCCGACCACATCGGTCAGCACCTCCACGATATCGCGGTCGTAGTCGACGACCAGATGGTCTTTGGCAGCCTTGGAAAGGGATAAAATCGCATACACCTTGTCGCGAGCTTCCGAGCACTCTGCGGTCTCGTGTGTGTAAAGTAAGTCTGCCAGCGACATGTGTGTATCAACACCTGTCCGCCGGGCTTGGAGAAATCGGCGCATAGGAGACGCCGCGAATCGAGATTCCCACTTTCCTCGCGCATCCCTTAAAAGGCTAAGAGGAAGCATGTAACCTTCGCAGCACAGAGTCACGGAGCTTGCCAATAGTGGTTCTTGGATAACCCATCTTCGTTCAAAGTAGCGGTTGTTAAGGAGTAATTGATAAAGAGGGGAAAGGGCTTCACCATCAGTCAGCAGGGGGTGTTGATCATCGTAGATGTTATCAAGGAGGAAGGTGGCAACCTCCTCCCATCTTCCTTGATTCGCGGCGTACAGGGTGTATGTTGCGTGGTGGTGAGCGGGATCCTCTTCCTGGCGATGGAGGTAATTTCGAAAGGCCTTCGCAGATGCAAAGAACTTCGTGTGACTGGAACCGAGCTTTTGGCTTAAAGGGACCCCCGACATAGCCTGGGTGTAGGTTGGGGACGATTCTTCGCTTTTCACTGTGTAACTTCGGCTGTACTCGGTGTCTGAAGCGTCCTCAATGATTCGTTTGTACATGCACTCCGTTGCGCGTGCGAAAAATCGCCATCAGCAGCTAGCTCAGTTGTAAGGCAAGCAACCACGTTGTTCGCGCTGCTGTAAATTCTGCCCATCATCTGCACCTGATGATTGCGTTCCTGGGTGCTGTGTTGGTCAATGCAAATGGCATCAACCCACAAGGTTCGTGGGTGATCTTCCATCTGAAGCTGTGCGAGAAACCTTGCAAGGTGACCTGGTATCTTTTAGTGCTTGCCCATCGATCTTGTAGGTGACTTCATTCGTGCTGGCGCCCCACATCCACGAAATCGCTGTATATAATGGCCAGCTTGAGAGACGGGCATGGACTATTCTCGCGTCTGCTTCTAGGTCAATCTCTGATTTGTTTCGTGCCGGAATGATAAGCAGACGAATCTCATCGGTCTCTTTCAAACGTGCGTATTTGTAGGATTGAGAGCCCATGACTGCGCTTGACTGCGCATATGCAGTCAATGCTCTTACACATGCAATCGAGAAGGACGGTGGAATGAGGTGGTTGAGATGGTTGCATTAAGGTTATGAAGTACTGCCTTGCCAATGTGCAAGGCAAGCAGGCAACCTGGTTCTCTTTGGGCTTGGAAACAATCATGACTCAGTGGCGTTACAGCCTAGGTCGAAAGAGGTGGCGGAGTACGCCGTGATTCAACTCAGCCTCACGGACTGTCTGCGAGAAGGAGTGTGTATCATTCATGCGGCTTCTTATCAGACTGCACTTGGTAGCTCCGGAGCTGCGGCCAAGGCAGATCAGGAGCAGTGGACGCATGAACCATGCCCTACACCGGACCTTTCTCGCGAGCCAGGCGAGAGCTAAAAGAGGCTGCCAGAAGACAACAAGAGGAGCGTCGGGCGTATGAAGACGCACAACGGGTTGAAGAGCGTCAGTGTGCGGAAGAAGAGCGGCGGCGCGTGGCGGAAGAAGAGCGTCAACGCAAGGAAGAAGAAGAGTTTCTGCGCAGGAAAGAGTATCGGCGCGAGCACGAAGAGAAAAGAGAGCATCGGCTCAGGGGGAAATTGGAGGAATGTGCTGCTCGCGAGCAGCTGATGAAAGAGGCTGCCCAACGCGAGAGAGAGAGAGTGGCCAACCTGGCAGAACCGATGCGCAATCCGTATAGAGAGGGAGTTGAAAGGAAGGAACCAGAGCAATCCATCGTTATTTGAAGAAAACATGTGATGGATCAATCACAGATGTACGTGGATTAAGCAATACAGATACCTAGGCAGTCTATGTACGCAGTATCTACCACATTCAAGTGGTTACCTAGGTATGACCGTGACATGGACACAGATGGCTGCTACGAGGGCTGCTTGATCGACTTGACAAGTTGACACGCGGGAATCTCACCATCTCATCTCGCCCCGGTGGTCCACCGGTTTTCGGCTGCGCTGATGCGGGTTGAGCCGACTATCTTCATACCTTCCTACCTTCCTACCTAGTAACCTTCCTACTTTCCTGACCCAACAACGCTCTCTTCCCGCATCCTTCTTCCTTGCCAGGCCTGCAGGTGGGAATTGGTATTGCTTGGACGAGGTATAACTGAGTGCTGTTGTCGCGACTGCAAAAGGCTACACTGCTCTCCTCTCCAATGATTTGAAACCATCACTTCCCTCCCGCATGAGCGGGGAGAGACACTGACACCATGGTCTCGGTTGAATCAACCGCAGCACAAGCAGCCTCTGCAGTCGCCCATGGGCCCATCACCTCTGCTTCACCTGCTCTGCTGAATTTGACCAACCTCAGAACAGCAGCTGCGAATGTAACATCCTCCTTCGCCCTCCCATTCGCCAAACACCCGATTTTCCGCTACCCTCTCCGACTTGCCTCACGGATCGATCGAGCCCTTCTCCACGTATGGGACCAATTCATTTTGGAAGGACTCGGTATCAATAGCCTGACAAGAGCTGGGACGGTCACAGCCGCTGGCACTGCCGGAGCCCAAGCCATGGCAGATGCAGCAGTCCAGCCAGGTGTAGCCCAGGCGGTCGGAGATGCGGCCGCAGAGAGTTGGTCGACCTTCTTTACAGAGGTGTTCCAAGCGACAGGTTTCAAATCTTATTGGGGCATGTTGCACTATCTCACTTCAAGATGGGCCTTCATATGTTTCGTGGTGGTAAGAGCCAGTGTCGGACACAACAGAGGCATATGCTGACACACATAGGCACTGATCCTAAATCGTATCAGTGTTTACGGGGCATCGAGGCAACGAATACAATTGACATGGACGAGGAGATTGGCTCTGCGGATCGTTCCCATTCTGTTGTTCGTATCTCAGATTCATCATCTCCTGCAGGCCATTCGATGCCAGACGTCGCCGGACTTCTCGCTTCATCGGCACGGAGACAACAACAAGTATAGCCTGTTAGATTGGTCGACAGACGGGGGCTCGCTGCACACCCTGGCTTCCACACTGCTGTTCCAGTCGACGGATGCCCAAGCCTGTGCTGCAGTGGGAATGAGCCGACCAAGTCCCGATGTTCGAGCACCTTTCGGTTCTTTCTCACTTCTCTGGCCGTCCTTCTTGCGGCTGAGCCTCTCCCATGTCGTGGAAAATCTATCTTGCTCGCTGCAACAGATCCCGACAACGGCAGAGGTGGGAATGTCCGTGTTCGAGCATTCTCTAGCATTCGCGGAGGCTGAGACGATGATCTCCCACACCCTGGGTCTAGGCTATTATGGGTCAATGAGATCTTCCGGCGGCGGTAAAACAAACAGCACGTCTCCTAGCCTCGAGTCCCACCCTACCATACCTGCATCAGGTACAATATTAGCTCTTGCCGACGCCACGACCGCCTTGACAGGTCCGCATCTGCTTGATCGTGTCAATGTTCCGGTGGAGGTTCTCGTGGTCACCTTGCTCTCGTGCTGCAACTCGCTTTCATCTCATATTATTGCTGTTTTGGGAAAGCAGCGCCAGTGGAGGCTGGTCAATACCGGTATCTGGGCGATGGCTTTCATGGGGGCGTTTGTCTGGGGATTCTGCACAACCAGTGTTATGGTTAGGAGCGGTGACAATGGAGACAATCGTCCTGTCAGCAGCCTTTTACACTTCCCTACCGTGGCGATCATAGGATTTCTTCCCCATATGGTCATCTTGGTCGGGATCGCAGTCTGTCTGCTCATATACGCCGTTGCTCTCACTTTGACGGCAGTCTCACTGGGCACAAATCCGCACATCCCACGGCCAACCACTCTCAGGGAACGTTTCATGATAGCTCACGACAATCTGCAGGTTGCAGTCCAGACCCGGGGGATTGATATCCGCTGGCATGAGGACTTCTACACATCACTCCTCCGCACTGGATTTGCTGCACTGACGGCGGCATCAGAAGCGGTTTTCTTGAATGAGGGCAGGGCTGTCGAAGTCCGCCAATTCACATGGCTAGAAGAGGACAGATTAGATGAATTCGACACCGCAATGCGGGAAATGGGAGCATTTCAAAATGCCTTCCCAAACAGTCCACAGTTCCAGATTCTGGAAGAATACGGCCTGCCTCCTTCGAGTCCTGGGGCCGCGGATAAGGGCGGTGTTTGGGAGTCGGGCTATTCCAGGGAACGAAAATTCGACAAGAAGGATAACGAAGCCAAAGGTTCATTTGTCTATCCTACTCCTCGTGCTGGCGGAGTCGGCGCTGTACAGCGGACAACCCGATTTTACCTGATCATGATTTATCTTCGGGGTATCATGTTTTTAATAGCCGGATATATTGGCTTTGGGATTGGCGCTTTATTGGACACGGTTGGCATTACGGCGCGCCCTCGTTGGCTCAGACGAATCGTTGGTCGGTCTCTGAAGAAGTTGAACTCGAGGCCGAGCGGACCAAACAACGAACGGACGCTTGACTTTTGGATTCTGACAGAAGACGGAAAGCTCACTATAGCGAGCAGCGATGAAGTTGACATCGAGCCCGAGATGAGGAGGCGGCTGATGACCGAATTTCCAGAAGAGAGGATTGATGAACTCCTCGACACAAAGCTGTATGAGTGGTGGAAGTCAGGTGGTTGGTTTGGTGCGAAAGACGACAGCGGAGATTATGAGCCGTCAAACACAGACGATCTCGACGACACCACGAGTATCATTTCGATGGCTACTGAAGCCAGCACACACAACGGCGAGACCGACGAAGATGCCTGGGAGTCTGAGCCCGATGGGACACGAACACCCACTCAGTCGTCAACAGGACCGTCGTGGTCATTCTCCGGCGTCCAAAACAGAGAATCAACCCCAACACCAGCATTCACAGACTCTCCTTTGGATGCGGCGACGCTCGCAAGACTTTTAAATCCACCAGACAGAGAATCTCGCGAGGAAGCACGGATTCTTGCCTCGCACCTGGCTACTGTGGCCTCCGACTCTCCCGGCGTCATGACTCGTTCACGCTACCGTCGCGAGATTGAAGCTGAACGAGCTCGAATCCTGCTTGCAGGACGCAGTCCGGATCCCTCACGATCAACTCACCACAGGGTCCCCACGGTCTCGTTGTACAAAGAACCTTCAAGCACGGGTCCTCGACCGCTTACCTCGCTGGAGGAAGCAGAGGTGCTTGAATCACTAATCCTCAGCCGTCGACAGAAGAATGCACCCCCACCACCGACGCTGAAGAGTGAATCGTCAAGCACAAGCAACCCAGAGGAAGACCGACAATACGGTCCGCCCTGCGTTGTTTGTCAGATCGCGCCTCGAACCATTATCGCTTGGCCATGTCGATGTCTATGCGTATGCGAGGACTGTCGAGTCAGCTTGGCATTGAACAACTTTGGGAACTGTGTCACTTGTCGGCGGACCGTGCAGGGGTTTGTGAGGCTATACGTGCCGTGAGCCACCTACCCAGTCAGTTAGTGTATGATTTTGTAAGATCCCAAGGCAGGAGAGGAGACATTGCAAGGCAGGTTGTTCCATTATGGTTCCTCTATGAAGCTGTATGTAGATCTGACTCTAGCTGAACAACAAGCAAAAGTTCCTGTCTATGGGGGATTGTTTATCTATTGACTCGTGTCGTTTTCTACGTCCCATTCGGCTCCTTGCGAAGATTTTAGGTGATTATGTTTCCATTCTGAGTGACCGAGATCAACTAAAACGCAATACAGCAGCAGTAGGAGAGACCAGTAGACAGCAGCAAGACAAGTAGAAAAGCAACACACTGGGCCTCGTACAGTCATGAAATACTTACTACCTATATGGGTTAATTTCTAGAGGCCCTAGCTCCAGCAAAGATCTCTAGAGAGACTCTCACTCCCATGGCTCCAAAACAGCAAATGTCCATCATCCATGATCATAAGTCATTATCGACCATCCCGCATCTGTACACGAAATTTCCAACAACTCGGCAAACCATAACTCAGCAGCGACAACGGCAGTACAGTCGTGGAAGAACACACATCACAGAACACTGTCCACGACATCCATTTGTTGGGGGTGATATGACTCGGTATATGGCTTTGTTAGCCGCGAGTAGCAGTAGTGGCGTAGAAAGAAGCCTCCTTTTTTTCCGAATCCCACGAGTCCAGAAAGGACCCCAGGTCATCCATGGCCGCATCGATGTCAAAGTCGTCGTCATTCTCGACCAGTTTGAGCAGCTTTTGTCGTTGTGCATCCTGCTGCTTGGTCGATGACGAGTCGGCAGGAGGGTTGGTGGTGGTGGAGAGGGACGGCTTCACTTTCTTCGTAAGACTCTGCGCGGAGAACGATCTGAGAATGCTCCTTGGGCCGCAGGACGCCAGCAACAACAGCTTTGCGGAATCAGAGTCATAATTCGTTGCTGCGCCATCTCCGTCATCTCCACTACCAGGCTGAAGTTCCTCTTCATGCGGCGGGATAGCTGTCTTGGAAATAGCCGTCTCTTCCTGGATCACAAACGATGGCTTCGCGACTTTGAGAGTCGATTTTATCGATCCTCGAGTCGATCGACGTCGTGCTGTGTCTTCCGTTGGAGACATGTCTCGTCTCTTGGCTCTGGTTGCTCTAACCTTTGTGATTCTCTCCGGGGAGGCTGCATTTTGGGTACCTCTGCCAGGTTTCTTGAGTGAATGGGACACAACTGATGCATCATCAGTCATCAAAGGAGATGTCCCAATACCGTTGACCTGTATCGGAATTTTCGGTTGGATATCTTGCGCGGCTTCCGACTTTTCCGTCAAGAGGATGCACTCGCGATCAGGGCCAACACTTGCATCCGATTTCGTACCTCCAGCGGCGGTTACATCAACAATTTCTGCTCCATTCCGACCCTCTGTGTCAATAGCTTCTGCATCACCACCGTCCAGGGCTTCGTCAACCATTTGGCGGTGACTAGAAAGATTTGAGGGCAGAGACGCTAAGAGGGCAAGGGGTGGCATCTGCGCAGATGGCAAATCGGTCGTTATGGTTGATTTCGTTGTTTCTTTCGCCAAAGACTGAGGCGCAAGTTCAGAGGGATATGGTGAAGATGTCTCTTGTGCATCGGGAACTGTGGCAGAAGTATGGTTCAATGCCGATGTCACAATTTCCGCCAGCTCGGGTTCTTTCTCCCTCTCCTGCACAAAAGGCTCTAATCTGACGCCAGACTGAGGTCCGCTCGGAGGAGACCTTTTGTTGCAACTGGCTTGGGGGTCAAAGTCAGGATTAGATGGAGCGGTAACGAACGAGGTACGATGTTTTGCTCCACGTTGCGGCCTGATAATAGCATATTCTGGCCCGGGTTCGTTTGCGCAGGATTGCTTCGTCGCCTTGTCATTATCACCGACGCAAACTTGTTCGTCTTTGTCCCTTTTCCTTTGTGGAGAGGTCCAGCAGTTACGTGGTCGCGGAGCAATTTGCGGAGTCTGCGGACGGAGGAGGGATGAAATGCTGCTCTTAAATGACTGGGATTGCCTCGAGCCTGATGTGGTGCCAGAAGGGAGACGCTGATTACTTGTGATGCTGACACCGGCGTCTTCTGAAGCAAGATGATCGACGTCCAATTTTGATGCTTCCCACTTCTTTGCCTTGCCTTCGCATGGTGATGGAGGTGACAAGGACTGCTGGCTGTGCTCTGGCCGCTGATATACTGCACTCCTCCTCAACCAATCCTCCACCTTGTTGTTCTCCGGGGGAAGGTCATCGTCGTTGCAAAGAGGTGGGCCAGTGCTCTTCTCTCGCCGCTCACTTCTTATTGGACCCAAGTTGTCCTTGGGTTGCTTCGTCGCACGTATGCTTGTGCCTGCAGCTGACCGAGCCACACGATCCGCCTTTGAGATTCTAAGGTCCTGCTTCTTCCCTTGCGCAGGCTCGGTAAATGCCGGAGAGCTTTTTCGGGTTATTGCAGTCTCGTTTCCTTTATTATTGGAAGTGTCCCCCCAAGGATCTTCCCACCCTTTGCCAAAGGGCCCTCTGAGTTGAGCCGTGAGAATGAATAAAGGCTGGCCTCGCAGATATGCTGTGGCATGGCTCTCGATTCGTTGTTTTTTCGCCGCTCTCTGCTCTGCATATTCCTCAGCATCCTTCGCCGGCTCATAATAGACAACTGTATCATCACAGGTTGGGATCGAGTCGGCAGAAACAGGTGACACCGGTCTCGGATACTCGGGTACCCTAGCTCTCCGTGTCTGAACGGGCATGGCCGAAATAGAAAGGGTCAGACATCCAGGTTAGTAGCCAGGAAAAATAGTTATACTTGATGAAGAGCAAAGACCAGGTGAGAGGGACAAACTAACAAGGCTGCAAGACAACGGGCTGTACGAGGTATGCGCAGGAGGACAAACACCCAGGTACAGAGTGCTGATGTAGGCGGTCCAGTGGCTGGATAATTAGCAGCTAGTCACTACCTACTAGTCGCGTCACCCGCCTCCGCGTCACAAGCCACGAGTGCGAATGGTGCGTACATACAATCGTCATCATGCGGAGGAATCACTGTATCAGTCTAAACACCCCAGGGCATTATTTGATGTTTTCTGCTAATCCTCGAGTATCGACTATTTAGCTATCTGTGTTCACCTACAGAGACAAGGCTTGTTGTTGCAGAACTGCAATTGTCAACGAAAGGAAATTCGTCAAACCAGTCGACAGGACGTTTTTCTCCATTACCATTCTGTTAACCTCCACCAGCAAAACTCTTAGAAGGGTATCAAAATAAGCAGCTGCATTCACGGACAATACAAGGATCCCGCTCCAAGACACTTTACTGGGAAGTAACGCCGTCGTAGTAAGTCTTGTTGGTGCTGCCGTTGGTTGGGTTGGCAATGTCCTTGTTGGTGTCGAATGCTCGATCAACTTGGTTGCTGAAGCCGGTGGTTCCCGCAGGGTTGCTAGTAGCAGTGGTGCCAGTCACGGTAGACAGATTGTCTTCGTTGGGGTGATTGCCGCCACGGATAGTCGCAGGTGCAGTGTCGTGAGGCTTGCGAGTGACAGATTTCGACTTGGGGAGGTCAGACGATTCCTTCGCGCTGCCAATGCTGAAGATTGGAGATTCCCAGCGGTCGCCCTTAGCAGCCAGTTCCTTGTACTCGGTTGCTTTGGTCGAAACACCACCTGGCAGGTTGATATGCTGGAACATGGAGTCTTGTTTGGTCATCGCCAAGTTGACATTGGTCTTGGAAGTAGCCTCTTTGGCCTTCTCCTTCTTCTCTGTCAACATCTTCTGGTAAGAGTTCCAGTATGATTGCCAGATATTCGGAGCGTTCTCAGGATCCTCCAGAGCCGCCTGCTTGCCGCTTTCCACATCTTGGTGAACCTTGTACGCGAAAGCATCAGCCTTCATAAAGGCATCCTTGATCTGTTTCTCCAACACCTTTTGGATAACAGGTTTCATGGTCTTGAGCAACAATGGCTTGGCAATCTTGAACAACAATTTGTGGTTGGATTGCTTGATCTTAACGTTCAAATTCTTGATTGTGACGTCAACCTTGTCAACCGCGACAAAGTGGCTGCGGTCTCTGGCGTTCGCATTTCGCGCAGCGATCTTGAAACTGAAGCCTTCGCCGCCAAGGAAGATGTCCATGACACCCTTGTCAGTGATGGACGGGAAACCTTGCTTCTTCTTGATGTAGTATGCAACATCCTGAAGGTCCATCTGAATTCCAGACCCCGCGATTGTGACCTTGTTCTCCCTCTTATTGGAAATTCCCTTGCGACCCATGCGGAAGTAATTATCACTACCGAACTCGAAGACGTTGGGGAAGAGGTTGTCACTCTCGATGACGAGGTTCTCAACCACAGCATCGATCATGGGATCGGAAACTTCAATTCTGGGGATTGGAATGTAACGAGTGTTTTCAAAGATCTCAGGAATAATGACCTCGGTAAGATCTTTGATCAAGTGAGGCTTGAATGTGGCCTTGCCATTCTCATCGTTTCCGAGGTCGAGGAATAGCTTCTGAAGAGCATCTCCGAAGGCTCTGTTCTGTGGGTCCTGGTCAAATTGATCCGCGATGAACTTGATCTCGTCGAGAATGCGGTCGGTGTGGTTTCGGTAACGGTCGCGAAGGAGGAAGCGGCCCTTGTCTTGAAGACGGTTGTACTCGTCATTGGCTTCGTCTTGAAGGATATATCCTTGCTCCTGCAGACATTTGCGGATATATCTGTCGACAGCTTTGAACCAATCCTTGAGTTCTGGGTCACGGTCGGCGTCGCGATAGATTTGATTCAAGGCGTCGAAGAAGTCATCCGTGCTTGTGTAGTTGGCAAAACGTTCAATCAGCGTCTTTAGCTTGGTCAGCGCGTCCTTGTTGTCACGATAGGTAGCTGTACAAACCTTCAAGTTAGCCTCTGCACTCTGCAATCTATCATCTTCATGAGCACCTTTGAGAGTCCCTTTGGACTGCGAATGCAAGTCGGTGGCATGGCCACCATAGGTCTCCGCAAGGGAGAGCAGTGTGTCAATAGCTTGGCGATCTTTATGGTTGTCAGTCCATGAATGTTGGTCTCATGATGTAGCAACACTTACAGTCAGAGTGGCCTTGAATTTCCACCACCATCTTCTTAAGACGCCAGATAGTTTGGTCACGACGCTCTTGAGGAACCTTCTTGTTCAGGTAATTCTTGGTATGTTGGGATGTGGCTTCCTTGGCCTTCCTTACGTCTTCCTGGCGTTCGTCGGGGATATTCTGCTGCGCTCGGTCTTTCAAAGTACCTGTCGCATTCTGCAGCCCCACGCGTCCGGCTTCTTGGTTATCCTCAGTGGGGTGTTGCTGAGCGGTGTCCAGGCCCTGTTGAGCGGCGTCTTTGGCTTCGTCTCTGCTGAAAGGCTTGTTCTGGTTGTAAGCGTCACGTGCCTGGCTCTTTAGGTTCTCCTTGGACAGGTCAGGAACGTCGTGCCAGGTGTTGTCTTCAGCAGGGTGGTCGATTTGGTTCAGCTGATCTTCGGAAGGGTTAACCTTGCCTGCGACATTCTGCGCGGCGTCACCAGCCATGTCCCGCAGGAGGATGGTGGCATCGTTTAGAAGTTTGCGGAATTGGCCGTTGGAGAGGATGAGTCTGCCAAGGGTCTTGAGGCCTTCGAGAGCTTCATCGCCGTGCTGTTGAGCGGTAGCCTTATCCGTCGGGGCATTGGGAAGGTTGGCATTGCTGGCGTCGAGGTGTTGGGTGTCCCAGATGAACTCCTGAAGCAAGTTTCCCTCATTCTTGGACAGCAACAGATATTTGGCCTGTTGAATGACCTCCTTCAGATCTCCAACAAGTTTGCGACCCTCCTCAGAGAGCTTTGAGGATGGTGATGAGAGGGCCTTGGAGGTAAGAGCACTGTTCAGCGCTACGTCAATCTGCTTGTTGGAGGGGACTTTGCCATTGGCAAAGGCTTGATAGATGCCGTAGAGCTGGAGTTTCTGGTTGATGTCCTTCTCCTTGATGGCGTTGTTCGTGGGGCGGTTAACGGAAGCCATGATGAAATTTCAGTCGACACGGTAATGGTGCAAAGGGGGTATCACAATGTATGAAAACAAAGAACAGATGCGGGTCAAGCCCTTGAATCGCAACGCTGAGGATGAGGTTTCCCAAGCAGTTTTGGATTCTGTGGAGAGATGGATATGAGGTGTGAGGTTGGTTGAAGGGTGATCAAGTAATAGTAGTAGTGGTAAGTATGAAAGGTGGTCTGAGAAGAAGCACGAGGTCAGAGACGGAGGAGGGTGATGTAGTTATGAGTGAAAGGTGGGAGCAACTGGGAGGGGGTTTCGGTGTGTATTACCTCACAGCCAAGTTGGTGGCACAGGGCGTCACTCGAGCAGCAGGAGGCACGCGCAGCAAGACCTGCTTTGTTCCAAGTTTGGGGAGGGATCTGGCCGTAACTTTGCCAGAACCTTGCCGCGATCGAGGAGGGATCGACAGCGGTGTGGCTTGATCTCAGCAGAACAGGACAGAAAGAGAGCGTGTTGAGCATCAAACTAGCATGGCATAGCATCACATTTGAGCGAAACAATGTGGAGATCGCGGGTCGACGAGCCAGACAAGCCAGAGCTGAAGACGATGCGGACTTCAATTGCGCGCGCCAGTAAAAGCCAAACAAAGCGTCATGACATCAGTGACATCACCAGCCACCTTTGACATTCCTTCACCTACAGGGTGCCTACAGCTTTCAGCTTTGTATCATTGAACCTTTACCAGCCAACTTCTCCCTGGAGGCAGGAACATGGGCATTAGACTTTGCGGGTGCATTTGAACTCCCTAAGCTCCCCCTTCAGCCATGTCAGCATCCTTCATACGGAGTACCTAGACACCTAATGTAGAACGAAGCAAGAAGTTCACTGCCAGTGACCACAACAGTGACCCTCTCCCCTACAGAGCCCGACTGGACGTTCGCCGCCACTGACGCGGTTCTCACCAGTCAAGCCACTCATCCTCCGGCCAGCAACGTCGACGCCGTCGCTTACACCCAAGACCCTGATTTCTGGACGTTTTCGTCATTGCTGGTCCACCACGAGGGCCGATCACGATCGAACGAGGAAATCATGTTGGCAGGGCATGGCCTGATCGAAAGAACAGAAAATTATCGTTGCTTCTCCACAACAATGACGTTTCGAAGGCTCTAGTCACATCCAGATTGCGCAAGGCTCTGGAGCCCGCTTCCCGCCAATCAGACGCAAAGCCAAGAACTGCGATCTCGGCGGCAATCCATGTGGCTGAGCACGGCGTATTATGTAATGAATCACCAGCCACACCTCCAAGACTTTCTCGTCACGTGTCAACGCGCTTCGTTCTCCAACGCGCCCTCCCCCGCTTATTCACACCCGCCAAACTGCGCACCGCCTGATCGCTTCCTGCAAACACTTCCAGTTTGCATTCAATGATTTCATGCCTTTGATGGCCTCCCATTGTATCGGTCTGGTCGTTCCATCCAAGAACTTGTGTCATTCTTAGCCAGTTGAATTCTAAAAGAGCCTACCTACGTTCTGCCCCATGGCAGCCAGATCCTCCAGACTGAGCGCTCCAAAACGCCCATTCCGCGATCAGAAGCGACAGACGAGGCTGCAATTCTCATCTCTCTCTTCCTCATCTCCTGCTCCAGGGGACTCCACTCCACGAGAAGGCCCCTCAGAGCTGACTCCAGAAGGAGCTGAAATGCCACCCCGCACCTCATTTCCTTCGTCGCCCACAATCCACCGAGTCCTCCAAATCGATTTGTCGGATGACACTGACGAGGACGATTTGATCTCTCCGGCTCAGAAGAGACGCAAGCCGTCTTCTACTGTCGACGCTGCGCACCCACACAGTCTACCTCCGCCCAGGAAGTCAAAACGTCTGAACCCCAACTCATCTTCTCCTCCCAGGCAATTCTCAAGCCCCGGTGAGCATGATGACACGGCATTCCCAAGCTCTCCGCCTCCACGAAGATCAGGGAGGTTACATGCTGGGTCTCCGCCACCACTAGCATATTCAACTCGGTCTGGGAGTTCTCGCTCTATCCGGTCCGCAGAAATCCCCTCCCCACCCAATCGACAGTCTACCTTTTCTGATCTCGGGTCGCCGGAGACGAGTGACGATGACGATCATGTGATGGTAACAAAGCCTACACCTCGGAGGAAATCAAGACTGGACAGGGACGATCCGTTTGTTGTCAATAACGATGAAGAAGAATACATGTCAGATCGGGAGAGCCGCAAAAGACCGACACCAAAGAGGAAAAAGAGCAGAGAAGATGACTTTGTGGTTGATGATGATGAAGTGGAGTTTCTCTCTTCCGATGACGAGAACGACAGCGTCAAGGTACGGCCACCCACGAAGGCACGAAAATTGATGTCGAAGCACAATTCATCCAAAATGTCTCATGGCCGAACCAAGGAAGAACAGGATGAACTTGAGGAAGATCTGCAGGACTTGCAAGATTCAGAGCAGGAAACAAGTGAGCCGAGAGCGCGAACTAGAGGAGGCCCTGTCACCACTCAGCGAGATAAGACTAGAGAGCATTTGGAGCTTTTGAAGCGGAGGCGTGCGGGCGAAAAAGTGCCACGTGTCCCTGACTCCGATGAAGAATCAGACGAAGACTCAGAAGGTGTGGACATTGATCTTATCGGACAGCCACATTACAGCATCTCCGGTGACCAGTCTTCGGAGTCCGCGAATGAAACGGACCAGGCAGCTGATAGCGACGAAGAACAAGAAGAGGAGGCAGACGATTTTGTTGTTGACGACTCAAGAGGGAGACTCGGTCGACCACATCCAGATATACCGCTACAGTTCACCAAATTTGCTTCGGCTAAGCCAAAAGAGCTCTTCCCTCACATCATCGAGTGGATGGTCAAAAACAAAATCGCGCCGGCCTTCAATCGCGAAGATCCAGTGTACAACCTCGCCTTTGATCGGCTGGATGACCAAGTCAAAGCTCAAGCAGGAAGCAGACTTATCTCGGCAGCATGGGGTACCGTCTTCAAACGAGCGATACTGGCGAGACCGAACATGAAAGTTGTAGCATTGCCAGGCGAAGACGACGAACACATGCGAAACTGCGATGCTTGTAACCGTACCAACAACCCTGCTCGCTATGAGTTTGTCTTCTCTGGCGAACCGTACCACAAGAAAACACTGGAACCCGTCGACAACTCGGAGTCGGACGAGGACGCGGATGACGACCATGACGGGCACAACGGCACCACCTACGACGAAAATGGCCACGCCATCTCTTCTGAGCAAACACGCTTCTATCTGGGTCGATTTTGCGCTGCCAACGCGGAGATGGGCCACAAACTCACACACTGGAAATACCACCTCAACGAATCCCTCATGACGTATCTCCAAGCACAAGGGGTTCTCTCGGCAGAATCCATCGTCTCGCGCGAAAAGATGAACAAGAAGAGACGCGAAAAGGAAGCAGAGAACATTGTGGACGGCATGGAGGAGACGGGCGTGATTGCAGATTTCTGGCGTGAATTTGAAAATGATCTCAACGATGCGAGGTTGGGGATGGAGGACTTTGACAAGCGAGGTGGGCGGTCAAAGGGCAGAGTTGGGGCGATCCGAGTAAAATCTGGTGGACTTGTCAGGGAATGGAATAACGACAAATATCGGGCGATGAAGGCCATGGAATCGGACTCAGAGGGAGAGTAAGAAGACGGATCCTACACCAAAGGGTATCTAGCAAGGGGGATGGGCAGGCATTTGGACATCAAGGATCTTGCAAATCACTCCGGCGAGCTATTAGTGGCATGCTCCGGGGGCTTGAAGAGAGCGATCTTCATCTTGGACTTTTGGGATATGGAAGAATTGTGCTTGGACATGAAAATACTGGAAACTAGTCTGACATATCCCTCAATGAGCAAGTCCACGCCCTTTGTACCTCGACCATCTCTCTGAATATCGTGAAGGGAGACAACTACTGGGGTCCTGAGAGCGCCATGGGTGAGTGAGCCGGGAACCGTCCTCTTTTCTGGGTTGATTGATATAACCCGGTATATATATTCCCAGGATCAAAGCTCTGTTTCTTTTTCCCACCATTATCAATTCCCCCCTTAATCAACCACAGAGAACACGAAGCACGAAACAGACGGACAGACAGACACGGAAAAGAAACAAAACGGGAAGAAAAGGAGCATGGGGCGACTAAAGGAAGGCCCTTCAGGGGAAAGGGCGAGGACGAGAACGAGAGTTCTGGCTCTTGTGATTTCTCTCCCTCGTGTGTGTGTGTGTTTTGAAAGGGGTTCTTGTTCTCCCCTTGATTCTTTCTGCGTGGGATGAGGATAGGTAGATAGATATTGTTACAATTCGGTTTTTTTCGTGATTCGGTTGGTGGTGACGGGGTGGGCAGGGGGAGATACATTTTCCTGGCTTCATCCCTCACCAGACCACCCTTCTTTCGCCTCTTTCTTGGTCTTTGCTCAGAACGACGTGACGCACCGTCAAAAGATGCTGTGCTGTCGTCTCCAACAAAGAGGTAGAGCAGAGATCATCCGTCCCATTCACATGTCAGTCTTCCAGGCTGACGGGTTGCTAGTACTCCCCAAATCTGGATCTCACAAGCCAGGCAAGGCGCAAGACGTGGGTTTTCGCACCGCCGCCTTTTGTCCTCACAACGTAGGCCAGCGCCAGCAAGTCAGTGTATGCCCATTTCCCCATCACAACCCAATCCCAATCCCTCCATTTCCCAATTCCGCTCTCTCGACTGATCTCGTCTTACAACGCCGGCTTCGCGTCCCCTTGCCCACCAGGCTGGCCTTGCTGAATGATGCCCTGCTGTCCCTGTTCCATCATCGTCCGCTGCCTCTCCTCCTCCATGTACTGCTGTTCCTCGCCCAGCGCGAGCGCATAAGGGATGCCCAATAACAGGATACTGGTCGCGATGACCCACAGGCTCTTTCCGCCGTAGGTGATTGAGGCGTTGGCCGCGGAATAGACGGACTGCGTGGCAGAGGCGAGTCTGGCGCGGGTTTTGGGGGGCACGATGTCGCGGAGAGCGGCGAGACGGTCGAGAAGTGTCTCGTCTAGGGGAGCCTCGATGGCGTCGTCTTCGGAGATCTCGGAGTCTGCATACAGGAGATGGAAATTGTTAGATTAGGATCTCTCGGTTCGCTGATGGGGTTTCGTATGGACTTGAGGGGAACAGTAGGTAGGGGAAATGGAACGAGAGCGGTGGTGGCGCATCAAGCAATAGAATGCTGCATTAGAGAGAACAGAGAAAGGATTTCTTACCGGTGTCAGTGTAGTCTTCATCGTCATCAACTAGCAGAGCGCCGTCTTTGGTAGTATCTGGCTTGTTGATGAAGTGCTCATCTTCGAGTTCTTCAAGCTTGACCATTTTGATTTGATCCCGGGAGCACAGACGTGGCCTGAAATATCAATGCCGACGGATATGATGAAGAGTAGTCCCTAAGGTAGAACAACAATTGATGCAGGCGGCAGTGCTGATGAAGTGACTGCAATGATGGAATTACTTTGCTACAAGAACTTGTAGCTCGCATGCCCATTTCTCCAAAATGCGAAATTTCGGGACCCAGGATTTCGGCGGAGCAGAAAACCTCGAGGCGTATATTCCTTCTCAGCCTCGTTGCGGGAGAGTATATTTGTTTACGAAATACACGACCCTTTTAATCCTGTTTAAAGGCCTCTTCACGCTGCTGCACGACCTAGGTACTGAACATTTGGGTGTTGTTGCGGCGGGTAGAGCCTGACTTGTGGGTTTAAATAACCTCATCCCTAGATGGAGATAGACATCGCATGCTCAAGGCGACCTGGACATTGGCAATGTGTTCGTTTTCTTCGTTTTCTAGCTCGTTGCATGCTAAGCTTTATTTGATTTTAGGATTTGAAACGATGCCTGGACCATTGCACTCGTCCGGTGCAGAAACTTGACTGTATGCTAACGGGAACAGGCTTGCTTGTCTCCCATGGGCCAAGAATTTAACTGAAGGCGTTGATAATCTCGACGACTGTGGTACAGAAGTGTCAGCATTTTCTTACGTTCACCATGAACCTGTTCTCCAGACAACTTGTCGACTTACAGGCAGGTTTCAAGCTAGCACCGCCAACCAAGAATCCGTCCACATCGGGCTGTTTAGCCAATTCTCTGCAGTTCTTCTCGTTGACGCTTCCACCATAGATGATTCTCGTATTCTCAGCGGCTTCGGAAGAGACAGATTCGCTCAACCATTTTCTGATGGCTGCATGAACTTCCTGTGCTTGTTCTGCAATGAATCGGACACATTAGTCACTTCCTCTCAACTTGTCATCAATGAGCTTTTCACCATACCAGTCGTTGCAACCTTGCCTGTTCCAATGGCCCAGATCGGCTCGTATGCGATTACCACATTCTTCCAGCCATCCTTTCCAATAACCTTGTTCACTGCCTCCAACTGTCTCGTGACCACGTCGACCGTGATTCCCTTCTCTCGCTCCTCAAGACTCTCACCACAGCACAGAATGACGCCGATACCGCCATCAAGTGCGGCTTGGGTCTTGCAAGCCACGAACTCATCTTCTTCCCGGAGAATGGTTCGGCGCTCCGAGTGACCCAGCAGTGTCCATGTAATCCCGCTGTCCTTCAATTGCGCCACTGAGATTTCACCGGTGAAAGCGCCATTGGGCTTGTCAAAGACATTTTGAGCCGCAACTTCGATATTGGGAGAGAGGTGTTCACGGGCAAGGAGGAGGTACAGACTCGGTGGTGCGACCACGACTTCAGTGTTGGGGTCTGGGAAAGCAATCGTCAGTCAAGGTCTTTATGCAATCCATCTACAGCAACATAACCAGATGACTAGGGATGTAAGGATAGACATACCGAGCTTGGATGTGGACAAGTTGTGGACAATCTCTTTGATGGACTTGATCGTCCCATTCCTGGCGGAGGTGGTGCGTCAGTAAAGATGCTCTGGCCGGTCACAGAATAGCAGACTCCGGCCTGTTTTGCCCTTCCATACATTTTAAAATTGCCGCCCACGAATGGTTTCCGACCCATTTTGAAAGAATAGAAGAAGCCTGGGGAGAGGAAGTAGTAGCCCGGCTGTCAATGGAAATATCCTGCTGCAAAGCTCGGATCACAGAAGGATAGGACGAGAAAGAATAGTCTCGAGAGTGTAGAGACACAGAAGAATGAGTATTCAGGGGATATGAATATCTCGGAGAGCGAATGCTAGCTATAGTCAGTCGGAACAGTAGAACAGCAGAAATGCTTTTCTTCCTCCGAATCTGTTGACATCGGGCACAACGGAGGCGGGGCTGCCAATGACGGTCGGTCGAGGGGCAGTTGGGCGAGGGAAGTTTTTCCGAGCATCTCGGTCCGTGCATTCTTCCGTTTTATTATCGTCCCTTTGACGGATGGAAAGCAGCACGATGATTTAGTTGCTATGGCTGGTAGGGCTAGATGTTTATAAGACCAGATGCTATCCTCTTTCTCAATGTCAAGGCATTGTGGCAGCAGTTAATTTCGGCCATGAGCGCTCGATGCCTACTGCTCCTAACCAACAGAAGGCTTTCAATGGCAACTGGAGACAATACATCCCTTGAACTGTGCCATACTCTCCGTCGCCATCACAGAGGTATCTACAGAAGTAGCGAGGGCAACATCGCTGGGAAAAGGCTTGATGGTATATGAATGCAAGTACAAAGTTGCGACCCGACGAGAAGAACAGAAGATGGAAATGCATTTGATATGTTAAATGGCTCACCGTAAATACTACGTCGCGGTATAGATTTCTCCGAGACGCAAATCTCAAAATCTTTTCTACTTTGCAAGATTGAAATAGGCGGCGCTCCGTCAAAGTGCACGCAGTGGAAAGCAACAAGTACTTGACAGCGTTTGCACTGGCAGCGCTTCGTCTTTAAACTGTCCTAACTTCTCTCCTACCGTGTTCACTAACTTGAACCGTCCCACCGACCGGTCACGCCTTCTGATCTCTCCTTCATCCCTCCGCAGTTCAGCGGCGATGGCAGCCAAACGCCCAGAGAACCCTGATGGGTTGCCCGCAAAACGTCAGAAGACCGCTGGCGGGATGGATCCCAAGGACAACCCTTACCTTGCTCATTGGTACGACAATGAAGTGAACGGACACACAAATGGCTCGTCAACCCCTCCCACCCGCAGTGACGGACCCCTCGCCGACTTCCAGCGGCACAAGACTACCGCTGCGCTGGCTCGAAAAGCCGAAGACGCCAAAGTCAATCCTTTCACAGGGCGTGCGCATTCCGATCGATATTTCTCCATCCTACGTACCAGAAGAGACCTGCCCGTCCATGCCCAGCGAGACGAATTTCTGCACTTGTACCAGCAATCCCAAATCCTTGTTTTCGTCGGCGAAACTGGTTCGGGAAAGACGACACAAATCCCCCAGTTTGTCCTCTACGATGACTTGCCACAGCAAGAACGGAAGCTTGTCGCCTGCACACAGCCTCGTCGAGTGGCTGCCATGTCAGTGGCGGAACGTGTCGCGAACGAGCTGGACGTCAAACTTGGCGACGAGGTGGGTTACAGCATAAGATTTGAGGACATGACAAGCCCGAAGACGATACTCAAATACATGACCGACGGCATGCTGCTAAGAGAGGCCATGAACGACCATGAGCTCAGCAGATACAGTACCATCATCCTCGACGAAGCCCACGAGCGGACATTAGCCACAGACGTATTGATGGGTCTCTTGAAAGAGGTGGTTCTGCGCAGGCCAGACCTCAAACTGATCATCATGTCTGCAACCCTGGATGCTCAGAAATTCCAGAGATACTTCAATGACGCGCCTTTACTTGCCGTTCCAGGTCGAACACACCCCGTCGAGATTTTCTACACTCAAGAACCCGAGCCGGATTATGTTGAGGCAGCAATCAGAACCGTTCTGCAGATACACGCCACGGAACCCGAAGGCGATATCTTGCTATTCCTCACCGGAGAAGAAGAAATTGAAGACGCTTGCCGAAAGATCTCCCTGGAAGCCGACGAAATGATCCGTGAGGCTGATGCAGGGCCCATGAAAGTGTATCCCCTCTACGGCACACTGCCTCCTGCACAACAACAAAAAATCTTCGAACCAGCCCCGCCACCACGGCGAACTGGTGGCCGAGCGGGACGGAAATGCATCGTTGCCACCAACATTGCAGAGACGTCCCTGACGATTGACGGGATAGTGTACGTGGTTGACCCGGGCTTTTCCAAACAAAAGGTGTACAACCCACGCATCAGGGTCGAGTCGCTTCTCGTTTCGCCGATCTCAAAGGCTTCCGCTCAACAGAGAGCTGGTCGTGCTGGTCGTACTCGCCCGGGCAAGTGTTTCCGGTTGTACACCGAAGGTGCCTTCAAAAAGGAGCTCATTGAGCAAACTTACCCCGAGATCCTCCGCTCTAACCTCTCGTCCACCGTACTGGAGCTAAAGAAACTTGGAATTGACGACCTCGTGCACTTTGACCTAATGGATCCTCCTGCCCCGGAGACCTTGATGCGAGCACTGGAGGAGTTGAACTATCTCGCTTGTTTGGACGACGATGGTAACTTGACAACTATGGGCCGGCTTGCGTCCGAGTTCCCTCTTGATCCAGCACTGGCAGTCATGCTCATCTCTTCACCCGAATTCTACTGTTCGAACGAGATTTTGAGCTTGACTGCTTTGCTGTCTGTACCTCAGATCTTTGTAAGACCTACGTCGGCACGGAAACGGGCAGACGAGATGAAAAATCTCTTCGCTCACCCTGACGGCGATCATCTGACAATGTTAAACGTCTATCACGCTTTCAAAGGTCCTGAAGCCCAGGCGAATCCGAGACAGTGGTGTCACGACCATTTCTTGAGTCTCCGAGCTCTACAATCTGCCGATAATGTGCGTCTACAGCTGAAACGAATCATGGAACGAGAAGAATTGGAATTAATGTCAACACCGTTCGAGGACAAGAAGTATTATGAAAACATCCGGCGAGCCCTCGTGTCTGGTTTCTTCATGCAGGTAGCGAAGAAGGAAGCCAATGGCAAGACGTACACGACAGTCAAAGACAACCAAACTGTACTTTTGCATCCGAGTACGGTCCTCGGCCAAGAGAGTGAATGGGTGGTTTACAACGAATTTGTGCTTACCAGCAAGAACTATATTCGGACCGTCACGAGTGTTCGAGGCGAGTGGCTACTCGATATTGCACCGGGTTACTACGACATAGAGAGCTTTCCCAAGGGTGAAGTCAAGACGGCGCTTCAGAGAATCGCAGAGAGGGTAGCTCGGCGGCAAAAGATGAAAAGTGGACGATAGATTTGCAGCATGCGCAGATATGGCTTAGACCACATGCCAAACATGGCCACATGGCACTGCAGAATCAAGCGAGGCAAGTGGCTGGTTCTGCCCTACAAGGGGCAGCATAGGCGAATGATCGAGTTCACAGATGAGAGGCTGAAGACGCCATTAGAGGTCCCCCTGCAGCGGCGACAGATCTGGACCCTTGTTCGAGTCGGAAAGAGTTTTCCAAGCGGTGAAGGAGTCGCCTGCAGCATGTCAGCATTTCCTAAGCCATTTCTCTACGATGTTTGTGCCACCAAACGCACACCACATCGGACAGGTCCTAGTCGGACCATCGAGACTTTCACCGCATTCACCAGGATACGATTTGTACTGTACGATTGATAGAAGACACGGAGGCGCCACAAGGCCGGGGGAGGGGGGCAGTCGAAGTGGTTACGAGCAGTGTTCCGGAACTGACCCATGGCCCCCGGGCCGGTGGTCACTTCAGCCCAGTGGCATTGATTCCGCCCTCACCAGGAGCTGGCGGCCTTGCCGCCCCTTAGCAAACATGCCAAGGCAGATATGGATTAGACGCAAAACACTCTCGTTGCCAAACTCGCTGTACAGCTGTATCTTCCCATCCCAGGTTCGGTCCTTCTGCCCACATACTGATCTCTCGAATAGGACTTTGCCTGTCCCCCTAGTCAGTCCAAGAGCGGTCTGAAACCTATGAGAAGGCAATTGCCTTAGCTGGAAAGTCGCCATTGGGCGCCGGATCTCTGGGGACCCTGGACGTCTCACTTTGCCGAACCCTTGTACTCAGCCTCAGCAGCTTTTCCTGACTAGTTTGCATGCACTTCCTGTCAGTCTGTCTCGCCGAATGACGAACCACGGGGTTTGAACGCCCTCCTTCACCACACAAGTGTTAGATTCGACCTACTGCCTATTCGACAGCCTGGACCGCTTACCCAGCTGGAAGCACGAGCCTTACGAACCCCGAACACTGCGCGCCTAATCCCCTGCTCGTTTGACCGTGCTCGAAATAGTGGGGGGGCGATGCAATAATGGACGACGAGATCTACGGCACCGCCGTCGGTCGACGACCTTCCAGTCGCTTGTGTATGTGCGCTTGCAAAATTGCTCGTGTTTCTTGGTTCCAATTGTTTACTTCACAGCTATCAGATCGTTCTCCAAAGGTCTGACGGCTATCCTTTTAATAGTTGTCGTTGGTTGTATCTCCCGAGCTTGGCCTCTCCCGACGTGTCTTTGTTCTTCCTGCACTTTGCAACCCTCAATGAGAAGCCTAAACAATGCCCAAACAGTCGAATTGTCACTAAAGAATTCAAGAGATCATGGTCTCCGACAATCACTCACTCTACACATCCGATCTCCTGATGGCGCACCTCCGAAGACAAGAGGCCTTCAATGATTCCGACTATGAGTCGTGTCCGGTCGGAGGCGAGTGGTGGAAGTGTGAAGATGTCAACTATCCGACATTTATCGGATGTTGTTCAAGCAATCCCTGCTCTGGACAGTTGTGCCCTCAGAGCAACTTGTATCCTATGGGTTTTGGCCCGGTCACTAGTCCAGTGCCGGACTACCCGAATCATTCGTGCCCATATGGCGGACTGTGGTATACTTGCGCCGACAATTCTGTTCCCTTCCAAGGCTGCTGCGCCAGCAATCCGTGCAATGGCCAAGGATGCCCCGCCTCTGATTTACGACCTGCCGGTGTTCATACGGTGGTCCTGGCTGGAGGCTCGACCTACACAGTTCCCTCCTCGGTTGCAACGACGGCTTCAGCTTCTATCTCGCCGGCATATGCTACGACAACATCGAGCACGGCGTTGCCACAACCAGTCTCGAAAACAGTTGATACAGCTGCTGTAGCAGGCGGCGCCGCTGCCGCTGCAGTAGCCTTGACTATCATCATTGGGCTCGCGGTCTATTGCCTCATACGGCGCAGAAGAATGAAAAAGGCTCTACAAGAAACCGCTCAGCCTGGACAAGGGCCACAAGAATACAAGCCATTCTACAAGGATCCTTTCGGTACAGTGGCCTCAGCCTTAACACCCCTTCCTCGATACTCGGGAAGCGCTTCCGCTATTCAAAGCCCTTTCTCGTCTGTACCTGCTTATTACTCGCCCCGAGCACCCAAGCCTCAAGATGGAGAGCCTCAAGAGATCATGGGCCTCGGCCTAACCGCAGATGAATTCAATCGACGCAATAAATCCAGATCACCCGTCAACCACATTGTCGACGGCCCTATTGAACTTGCCACCCACCGCTTCTCGGCCAACCAACCCGATGCGGAGGCTGCAAGCCCTCTTTTAGAGTCAAAACCGAAGGACAGACCGACCAAAAGATTGACGAAAGCCGGAGAGCCAGATTCGCGAGCGCGATTGCGAAACCGTGCAGCAGTTTTTGACTTGCGCGCAGAAGTGTCGCGGAGTCCTTCAAGAGGGCCGGCGCGAGGTTTCGAGTCCGACGACTGAGCATAGGGAAGATAGCTGTCGCGCATCTTCAGGTGCGATCCAGCCGAGAAACAATTTCCGAACAAAATGTGTGACCTTCTTGCTGTCTCTTTAGTGGGACCAGCGAATCGAGGCCTCTTTACACTTTCCCAATGCAGTCCCAAATTATGGTCCCAAATCCTGGTAGCGAAGTCAGGTATCCGACTGGTCTCCCGACAACAGCCACCTGCCAACCGTTGTAGTCGACAAATTGCTTGAAAAGGTCCAAGTACAGTCTCGACTCTTGCGGTCCCTGTCACCCTGACCCTTCTAGCTTATATTGAACGGATTTCTAAATGCAGTTTGTTGATGCGAGCCGCACGCAGACGGAAACCAGCAAGATGCATCCTTTTGGCCCGCCACCCTGAGTCAGATACGACGTCGACGTGGCGGCCCAAACTAGCCATGACGGACGCAGAGACATTTCAGCCTATATTTCAGGACCCTGTGTAAAATCACGAGCGCTTTTGCTGTTTCGGCTGAGCATGCAAGACTTGGGAGTTGTGGAACACATACAGGCCATCGATCTTGGGGGGTATACTCTATAGGCTATTATAGGTTTGCGTTCTCGAACCGTCTGGGCAAGGTGGTGGACATTCTCCGTCGCGGGGGGGGATGAGGGCTGTCTTTGGCGCCAATGGATGGGTTGGATAGCGTGTATAAAGACTAATGGGCCCAGTCCTAGCACATAAGAGCAGAAAGTGAATGAGGCTGAAGAGGATCCAGGAAGAAATACATAGCAAGGCGGCCACTCTGGTTCGTTGCATAATCCGCGCTATCTGATTGGTTCCCGGTATTCCCTTGGCGTTATTATGTAATCGAATTTTTTCTGAAAGCCTCGAATAGCGCGACTCCTTGTTCATTCTCTGGAGGTGATAATCAGCAACGAATGTTAGCACCCACTTGACTCTAGTCTCGTTGCGGTGGCTCTGTTTGAACGGAGGGAGAAGATTCTATGTTTTGTCGCCGCTCTTTCTCATGCGCATCACCGGGGTACTCATCTTTCACTTCATCATCTCCCATTCACCAGACCTCTGCGGTCCGTAGATTCACCAGCACCGCACAGCAATCTTCGGCAACATTCCAACCATTCAATCGCAATCGCAGAACCACGCGCAGTCTATTATCCCCGGGGGAGTACAATGCCGCATCGATCGCGGCGAGGATGGAGAAAACCAACGGTTTCAAAGGGCCCTTAGGTCGCGCCAAGAGGCTCAGGCTGGAAGAGCAACAGCGTCGATTAAAGGATGGCACGCCCGAGCAGGTCCTGACGATCGAGGCGGACAGTCTGCTCTCGAAAATACAGCATTATCAGCAGCAGCAGCAGCAGAATGATGAAAGGGAAGACCACGATGAGGTAATTTCTCGAGATGGTGGGGAAAGAGGATCCAAAGAAGGACAGGATCAGTATCTTGCAGGTGACCAGGACGACAAGCGCCGCCCAGGGACCTCGTCGTCGCGGCCGCGAACCTCCCGTCCCGACCCGCACACAGAACTCGAGCTGGAGATCGTCGAGCTCTCGTCCACCGGCGACGGACTCGCCTATGCACCTCCTTCCAAGGACTTCATCTACGTGGTCCCCTTCGCCGTGCCCGGCGACAGAGTCCTGGCCAAGACGTTTCCCCAGCGCGAGGAATCCCCGCTATGGGCACGCGTCGATTTCGTCAAACTCGTCCGCCCCTCGCCTCGTCGCGAGGGCGTGAGTCCCCAGTGCCCCTATTTCGGAGTCTGCTCCGGGTGCCAATTGCAAATGCTTCCCTACGCGGACCAGCTCGCGCACAAGAAGACAATCGTGGAAAAGGCGTTCAAGCACTTCTCGAACCTGGACCCGTCGCAGATTCCCCCGGTGGACGACACCATCGGATCACCCCTCCAGTACGGCTACCGCACGAAACTCACGCCGCATTATAGTGGAGGCACGAGGTCGAAACCTCTCAGACAAGGGGACGACCCGCCACCGTTCGGGTTCATGAAGAAGAACACGCCCCATATCTTGGACATTGAACAGTGTCCGATCGGCACGCCGATTCTCAACAAAGGTCTCAAGATACAACGGAAAAAGATGCACGGGGAGTTTTGGAAGAGCAAGAATGGCGCGACGGTCCTGTTGAGGGAGTCGACGAGGCGCGAAATGATCCCGTCATCAGCACGGGGGAAGATATCGACACAAGACACCTTGTCAGGCGACGACGATGGGCCCAAGGAAATGGTTGAATCCGCAAACGCAAACATAGGCAAAAACGGACAGACGACACCCTCCGCCTCCTCCTCGTCTTCTGAATCGAATACTCAAGATCTGTCGTCCCTACCGCTGGCCTACGCCGGCGAGCCCCTCTCAACCGAGCTTTCCTTCCCCTCCCCAACCACCCCCGAAATCACATACACGTACCCCCGCTTCCGAGACATCAAGACCTACACTTCAGACAACAAAGCCCTGACGACAGAGCATATCGGGCCATACACGTTCACCACGCGGGCAAACAGTTTCTTCCAGAACAACAACTCCATCCTGCCTACTTTCTTGACCTACATCCGTGAGAACCTGCTTCCAAAATCGACACCCCCCCAAAAATCAGTACCCACCACGCCAACACCAGCACCAGTAGTGTCTTGGGTGGGCTCTGGCGTCAACGTCAAGTCAGAGTCTGAAGAAGAGGCCCCTGGTCCCACCAAGGAGATCAAATACCTGCTCGACGCATACTGCGGCTCGGGCCTGTTCAGCATCGCCCTGGCGCCGTACTTCTCGTCGGTCTTGGGGATCGACATCGACGCACTCTCCATCTCGTGCGCGCGCGACAACGCCAAACTGAACCACACCGCCAATGCCAGAGAAAACGCCGCTGGGGAGAGCAACACGGGCTTCATCGCCGCCGACGCCCAAGCTTTGTTCACCGACGTGCCCTTCCCGCCCTCCCAAACCCTCGTGGTCATCGACCCGCCCCGCAAGGGCGCCTCGCCGGACTTTCTGCAGCAGCTCTGCAATTTCGGCCCCAAGCGCGTCGTCTACGTGAGCTGCAACGTGCACACCCAGGCCCGCGACGTGGGCATGCTGGTGGCCGGATTCCCCGGCGGGAGGTGGCGGTACAGGATCGAGAAGTTGGGCGGGTTTGATTTTTTCCCGCAGACGGGACATGTGGAAGGCGTGTGTTTCCTGAATCGGGTCGGGTGAGAGAGAGATCTCGATTCCCCCTTCTTCTGTTGCGCCCCGGGGTTTCGAGGGACGAAAAGCATACTACTAGATTGGATTCGGTCGGTTGGATAGCTGAGGCATGCGTAGCAGGCGGAGGAGGAGGAGTTGATAGAAGAGAAAAACCAGTTGAGAACGGAGTCGTTGCTATCCAAGATTGTCTTTTTTGGATGGCATAATTGTATGATTATTAGACGGCCTAGTTCTTCTTCTTCTCGCAGCTGGTCTTGGCCCAATATTAGATCATTACGGCGGATCTGGGCTTACTTGGGGTCCGTCCTCCGCTTTGTCGGTCGAGATTGTTCCAACATAATTACCACGTCTGGCGCCTCCATATCATGGGTGCAGGATCGGTCGGACAGTCAGTCAAAGCGTCAGAAATCCCCTTGACTCTTGGAGTCCTTGTCCTTGTCCTTGGGCGTGTGCTTATCCTCGACCTCATCCTCGTCCTGCTCCGTGTGCTTGGTACGAAACGCATTCTCGCCCTCGGACCAGGCCTTCCGCGCGGGGCCATCTAGGTTCTCAAACCACAGGTAACAACCCATGGCGGCCTTGAAGTCTTGGAACTTATTGAGGCCAAGCTGGGCGGAGCGCTCGTGGAGCTGGCTCACGAACCAGGGCCGGTCGTGAGGTGTGTAGGTGGCGCCGATGCAGCCGAGCAGCAGCGTCCAGAGCACCAAGGGACGGTACTCCTCGCGGCCTCCCCCCGGGGTGAATTTGTGAAACTTCTCGGTCAGGGCGCGGCGCAGCGCGTGCGCTAGGCGGGGCTTGATTTCCGAGGAGTCGATCTGCGGGTACACGACCATGTCGTCGTAAAGTAAGGCGCCGAGGCGCGTAATAGCAAAGATCAGCCTTTCTTCCTCGCTCCCGGCCTCACTCACCGGAATCTCGGTCGGCATGTCCAGAATCTGGTGGTGGTTCGCACGCGCGACAGCCAGCAGCCGCCGCCACTCCCGCGTCCGCTCGTAGCCCGGTTCTAGGTGGCAGAGATCCACGGTGATGGCGGCCGTGACAAGCAAACGCTCGCGGAGGCGCCCAATAGCGTCCCTCGCTGGTAGCACCAAAAACCCCGTCCCGAGTCTTCCAAACGTGCCGTTGCGGAGGGATATCTTGACCCTTTCGGTGTACTCTGTCAGAAGTTTCTCGTAGCTTTTCAGAAGCGGGAAACTCGGGGGTTGGATAAGGGTTGTGCAGTTGTTCAGGCTCCATCTATATTGTGTTCGTCCAAATGTTAGGATACGGGGATTAAAAAACGGGAACATTTTCCCTTTTGGGTTCCGGCAGACCACTTACAGCCATATCATTTCTGCAATGCCAATAAGTTCGATTTCTTCCAAGCCGCCCTTGGCCTGGATGAGGAGATTCATGGCACGGATATGTTCGGCATGCGGTACTTTCCTACCATACCGGATAAGGAAGCGTGCACCAAGCGTCGGCGAAGGGGGGTGACTCTCCGGAAACACCCGCTTGTCCCAGTCCAGTCCTTGGTATGAAAGATTGTATACCGCCATAACGAGCGAATCGGTCGGGATGTCGTTGGGTTCCATATTCTGGATAATTTGCCTTACCAGTCGAAGTGCCTTGGTGTGATGAAACAGCCTCAGCCGATCGAACATGGCACTATATCCGTAGGCGCTGTACATGGCTTTGCCGAAATCTGCCACGCTCGCGAGGTGGACATGATGAACGGCAGAACACTCCTGTGCAGCCAAGCGCCATTGCCGCCGCCCTGGATGGACGGCTGGCTTTCCTTGGACCTCAATCAGGTCAGGCCATAGCTTGTCGTAGGCTTTGAGAACGAGAGATTTTTGGTCAGCAGGGCTCGATGCATCGCGATTTTGTCTTTTTTCGGCAAGGGTAGATTGAATGGCATACTGTACTCAATGAGGTCTTGGAAGACTGCCGGATGCTCTGACGCATCGTAGGGAGAGAATGGATCCCTTTTGCTCTGCGTCAGAGCATTATGGACAACCACCTTGGAGGATTCTGGTGTTTGATCCTCTGTGCCATCATTTGCACCATCGTCTGCGGTGCGCTTCTCTTGTTCGTGTCGTTGGGATGATTCGCACTCCATCTCCCGGCGGAAACTGCAAAGCCTTGTCAGCAAGGAGATCTAACTGTGGGCTCTTTACGCCCCCAGTGCTATCTGTTTACCTCATCTGCCTTTCCCAGCGAGCGCGTCGACCGACATATTTGGCTGCATGGCTTCGGGCTTGTGCGATTTTGATGGTCTTGTCCTGCCCAGTTTGACGGGAACCGGGATCTTGGATCATGAAACGGACCGTTATTGGAGCCGACGAGGCGTTGGAGGACGCCATGGCGGAGTGGGTGGGAGGGTTAGAGAAGGCAAAGGCACCAAAGGATTGACAGGCCGGACGGACAATGGCCCTATCCCTCTGTCAAGTGCTTCCATTTAATCTTGCTGGGGCACAGGATGTTTGGACCATGACGCCCTCTTCCACGCAATCTGACAGCAGGCCTAGTGCTCGAGCCGAGTTCGTCTTCTTGCAGGGAATCGGAAGAGGAAAAGCGCTCAAGTTAGTCTGGTGGCACAGTACCAAGGAGATGGAAAGGATCAACCCCTGGCCTCAGCCCTGACAGGAAGGAAAAGGATAGACGGCCAGTTGCTGGTGAAGCGAGGCACCCACGCCGTTCTGCCGACGGGGATTCCTCTACCGACAGTGGGCGCAGGGTGGGCGTTGGGTAGGCGTGGAGTTGGGCGAGCAGTGGGCTGACTCTGGTCACTCGATTGGGCGAGATTATGTAATCGCTCTGCTGGAACCATCCAACGTTTAGCCACTTATAAGGCTTTACACAGGTTTGGCTTCGTCCTCATTGTCTGATGTCCAGTTCGATCACAAGTCATTACCTCGATCTTCCAAGGAAAAAGGGAGTGAACGGGTACCAAGCCCCGTCGTCAATAGCACAGTTTCAGGGACTTTTTCTCTCAATTCGTCACGTTCTATCTCGTCAGATCTCGGTGTCTAGGTGCTTCCCGGACCTCCCAGCAAAGCGAATCTCCTGACAATGCTCGGGCCTATCTCGTCATACTCGGCCTTGGTGTGGCAGTAACTTCGGAATTCAGGTGTCTGACCAAGGAGACTGCCACCAAACCAAGGTCCATGCCTCTGGCGCTTGTGGGTTACCACTTGGACATCCAAACCACCACTCTTGGCTCCACCGCTTCGAGCCTCCGATGCTCGGATGCGAGCATCAACCAAGTGTCTGATGTCTCGCTGTAATCTCCGACCAAAATCCTTGTACAGGGTCGAACCGCCCGACAGGACAATGTTCTTGTAAAGACCTCTTCGAACGTCTATCGGGGACGATTGGATCACTCCATCGACCACGGTGGGGAGCGGAGTGAGGAAATCCGAAGAATAAATTTCCGGATTGAAGAAGATCTCGGGGGCCAGGAATCGCTCGTAGCCGACGTCAATCGTGATGGACCTGCCGTTAGGTTGGGTCACAGTGTGCTTGAGAAATCGATCAGGTTCTTTGTCATAGCGTGCAAACTCTTTGACGATGTCGGGGCAGACATAGCAGTATTCCTCCTTGACTTTCTCTGCTGTCTTGAGACTGCTGTCTGGCTCTCCTCTGTCTCGCAGCAGGCTTTGCACAAAGTATGTAATATCCCGTCCAGCGATCGGTATGCTCTTGATCGACGAACCAATAACATATCCTTCAGCAACGGGAATGATATGGGTGACACCGTCTCCAGAATCGATGACCGTGCCGGTTAGAGATCGGTCCGTCACTTTCGAAGATGTCCACGAAGCGGCCAATGCGAGAACGGCTTGTACGGCAATATATAGACCCGCGCAGTTGAAGGACTCGAACATGATCTCGGCGGTGTTCTCGCGGTTTTCGGGAGGGTTAAGAGGCTGCGAGCTAGTCAACATTTTGCCATTGGCAGTAGATCAACAACACTTACGGGCTCTGTCAGGAGAAAGTAGTGGTCTTCCGGCTCAACTCGCAGGTATTTGAAGATAGAGTTTGACCAGAAACGTTCCATATAGTCCCAGTTCTCGATCTGACCGTGTCTGATGGGATAGTTGATGCTGTAGCCAGGACCGGCCGAAGCAGCGAGCGCTTCATCCCCAATGAAAAAGTCGAGATCTTCTGTGCCCCGCTTGCCCGCCAGATTGGAACTTGGTCCTGCACCACCAGTGAGATATGAAGGTTTGTTGGCAACTGCCGGTCTTCCCGAGCCTGTTCCTGCAGCGCCGCCGCCGGCCCCTTTCATAGCAATGGCCGTGGGAAAAACGAAGGAAGGGGCATCATTTCCGGCGAAGCCTAAGTCGGGACAGGTCAGAAATGCAAGAACTCTGGAACGACGACGAGCGTACCAAGTTTGGAGAAGCCAGTTCCGCTGGGTGACTGTTAGCAACGAGCGCCGTAGGCTGGAGACGGAGTACATACTTGTCCATGACAACGGCAGGCGTTTGGGAGGCCATCTTGAACGGCTAGTTGCGGACTAACTCGAGGAACAGCAGCGATGCGACGGATGGAGACGGGGACGATGAGGAGGAGGTCGCTAGGATGAGTCGATACTTGTCGGAGGGATCATTGCCAACGAAGACCAAGCCTGAAGAGAAGAAATATGCAGCAACTCAGGCACCTTGTTTCCACCCACCGAGGTGTGCAGGCAGCTTTCAATTGTGGGCAGAAGACGAGTCAATTGAGGGACAGCAGCAGTGAGACGAAACAGTATTACTAGTGGATGGCAGTTGGTGGGCTGGCACCCGCCGGGCAAAAGTGGGCTGTGGATTATGTCATCCACGTGACCGTACTTTGCAGTCAAACCAACCTGCACGAGAAATTCATCCCTTCAACAGGACCATAAGGGACATCAATATTGGCCAGTATGCTAGAGGTGTTGATCTCACGCAGCTTCACTGCTATACCTCTTTGCCAGCATCGGGAAAGTTGCTTGTGTGACTCAAGGTATATCATTTGTGAAGGTCGCATATCCCCAATACTTCTGTAGAATTCCAGAGCCTCGCACAGCCGCCCACCATCAGTACCTAGGTACCTAGGTATGTAGAACACATTCGTTTTCGCACCACGCGAGCTTGTATGGGTTCTATGATACTAGGTAGACAGTTGACACACAACTGAGGCTGTTTACCGGAATCGGGTCCACAATTTTCCGACACCGGGCCAGTCTTCTCTTACAGCAACCTGCCAGTGCTCTCTTTCCTTCCTTCTTTCCTTCCCTTCGCTTGTCCTTCACAAGAAGGGGATTGCGGCGGTAGGCAGAGCCAACGTTCATATTATGACGCTGTGCTAGCAAGTCGCGACTCCCGATCCTGAGGTCGCGGCTCAGAAACGCCAGGCAGGTTGTCGACTTCCACTTGACTTTCGTTTTCCGCTTTCATATCTCTGACTTCACTTCACTCCTTCATCCCATTCAAACATTCTTTCACTTATTCAGGCGGGCTTCCTCACGCCCCAGGCCCATTCTTTCTTCCGGAAGTTTCTCTTCTGCCACAGCCGTTTTCACCAGTAGGATTAACCCCTTCAGTTCTTTTCACACAGTTCTCCCTCTCTGTGCCTTGCAATCCGCGCCCCGTTCCGCGTCCACCGCCTGAGTTTCCTTTCACACGAGTACTGCGTCTACCTCACTCTGAATCTGGGACGGCCTTCTCTTCGCAATTGAATACCTTCTCTCCATGCTGATTAGAGTTCACTCCCTTCTGCTCGACTAATCTCGCTCAATGCCCCGTCGGCCACGAGCAGCCGGCGACCTTTGTGCCATTTTCATCCACGCTGGCGCCGGGTTTCACAGTCTACAAAATGAGAAAAGTCATCTGCTTGCAGTCAACGATGCCGCCAGGGTCGCCATGGCCGTATTGAAGAACGGAGGTGATGCTATTGAGGCTGTGGAGATGGCCATCCGGCTGCTGGAAGACAAGGAGATCACCAATGCCGGCTATGGGAGCAACTTGACCATAGACGGGCAGGTCGAATGTGATGCCACCCTGGTCGATCACCTTGGCCGGAGTGGCGCAGTTGGGGCGATCTCTCTAGTCAAAAACCCGATTGCCGTCGCTCGCCTTGTTCTTGACGACACCACGAAACCTATGTCACTTCACCGTGTACCTCCAAACCTCCTGGTCGGTCCTGGTGCCACCGACTACGCCGCCGATAAGGGCGTCCCAATTCTCCCTGCGGACTTCTTGGTCTCGGCCACTGCGCGTGCTAGATGGAGCAGATGGCGCGACGAACTTGAAGACACCAATCGGCGGCAAGGTCAGAGCCAGTCTTTTTCGTCGACAACGCCACAGGATGACTGGGGCCGTACTCCAACGCCGGCCGCTCCTCCCCTTAGTCCTAATGTATCCCCCTTAGCTCCCGGAAGACACGTCAGTCTCTCAGAGATGCGTCCCATGGTGCGTCCGTTGATGGCCTCAACAGCTGATGTGCCTACACTGTCACACCCAGGCGGAGGCAGGGACCCGGGATATCCTTCTTCTGTCTTCCCCTCTCGATCAGCAACTCAGCACAATCCACTAAACGGAAATGCATCCCAGAATCATGTCGAGGCTGCCTCTGACGATAGTGTTCAATGGCTAGCGTCAGCCCCCAAACGTCAGAAAATCAATGATTCCTTCGACGGCCCGGCTGAAGAGGATCCCCATTTTGTTGTTCACCCTGACGACAAGCGAAAGGATGACATACAGGACACAGTCGGCGCCATTGCCATTGACTGCTTCGGGCGCATCGCTGCGGGCTCATCCTCCGGTGGAATCGGCATGAAACACAAGGGCCGATGTGGTCCAGCTGCTCTTGTCGGCGTCGGCTCTGCCGTAATTCCAATTGACCCACAGGATCCTACTCAAACTTGTGTAGCTACAGTCACCAGTGGGACGGGAGAACATATGGCTACAACGACTGCTGCAGCCACGGCTGCCGATCGGATCTACAGCTCGGTGCGCAAGGAACGTGGACAGCTCGAGTCGTGCAACGAAGACGAGGCGATGCTATCGGTCATCAAGAACGACTTCATGGGCCATCCCGGTGTGAGCAGCAGCCCTTGTGCTGGCGCCATCGGGATCCTGGCCGTCAAGAAAAGTTGTGACGGGATCTACTTTTATTTCGGCCACAATACGGACTCGTTTGCCCTTGCTTCGATGCATTCAGAAGAAAAAAAGCCGGTATGCACCATGTCACGCAGCCGTGGCCGCGGGTCGATCGCTCAAGGAGGCAGAGTCTCCCGAGCAAAAGGCGCGCGGCGCGCTGACCCCCTGGAGAGGCAATCATAGGTGTTCTGGAACCCTCGACGGGCATGGGCATTGGTCTTTGCAAAGGTTCACCGTTCAAGACAGGTGCAAGGGCAGGGTGGAGACGAGGATGCTGTCAGGGGACGAGTGGCAGAGGTGGAAGACTGGGGTCAAGATCAGACTGCCAAAGAATCGAGAAAAGACTATGTGGAAAGGAGGCGGGGATAATGATAGCCTTTTCTTTGCTCGAGCCTCGAAACATCAATGAGCCCTAAATTTTCAGACTAGTGGACGAACAATCCGAAATCCTATCCTATCCTATCCTAGACAAATATTGCATCCCTGTGCGCTTGAGATGCATATTTGCCGAGTCTAATCACGGTCAATAACTTTTATTTTGTGGACGATTATTGTAGACGAAAGTCCCCCGGGGAGATGTCCCTGTTATTACAATTTGAGCGCACTCGGTGCCAAGTGGATCACCTTGCGGCCGTCGCCTGCTGCTGCGGCCTCTTCTTCTTTGATTTGGAGGCGGCGACGACCACGGGCGTCTTCCCATAGCCGCGCTCGTCCACAGCGAGATGGGTGCCGCAGGTCAGGCAGTCGCCGTTCTCCGGGGGCTCGCAGAAGATGCTCAGGCAGATGGAACACACAAAGCCGACAGAAACCACATTGCGGTGGCAGAAGCAGGCGGCGCGGAAGTCGACGTCGATGCGCGTGGGGAGGATCAAGTGCGCGGCCCGCGTCAGGGGGCTGGAGAGGAAGCTGGTCAGGAGGTAGGTCAGGAGGGATTGGGAGGCTGTCTTTGCCGGGTTCGGGCCGTTGGGGGAAGAGAGGTGGGCGGGGATGAAGATGCCGTGGGTGGCGTCGGCGGCTTGTTGGAGGAAGACGGTCGAGTTGGAGTGTGCGTGCGAGCGGGAGTTTGGGTTTGAGGTCGACGAGGATGTGGATGTGGATGATGGGTCAGTGGTTGAAGAAGTCGCTCCGGTGGCTTTGGAGGAAGAAGAGGAGGTGGGGAGAGGGAGTTGCAATATATCAATGGGGATGGAGAGTCGCTGGCATGCGAATATGGCGTTCATGATGGGGATGTATTGGTGAGCCAGGTCGGTTGAAGGGGACGCTGAGATGAGGAGGATGCGTGATTGAAGGGACTGAGTAGCTCCTTCTCCAGCCGCCGCGGCCGTCGGGTCTCTGGCACTGCCCGCATTGGTGCTGGATGATCCGACTAGAGATTCGGTGAGCAGGATGGATTCCCGGTTGATATAGGAGAGTGCCAGGGTGAAGGCTCCCGCGATCATGGTGGATGGAGAGCCGGCAACTGCATCTGGAGAGGTGCTGGAAAGCAGCGAGGTCAGGTTGCGAAGGAGCTCTTCCTCGACGAGGCGGAAGGGCCGGTATTTGCTGCCCGTGTTTGCTGAGGACGAAGGGGGAGGAGGATCCCCCGCTGGACCGTTAAGTTTCAGCCTTTTGGCGGAGTCGGAGAGGTTGTCGTCTGGAAGAGAAGATGGATCTTGAGGTTGTCGCTTTGCCCGAGTCGAGATGGAGCGAGGGAGTTTCTGTTCGGTCGGACTGGGATAGAGCCATGTGGCTTTGTCGCAATGAGAAGCGATGACGGCGACTTTGTTGGTGTAGTTTGCGGCCAGGTGGGCATTGATGAAGACGAGGAGGTTTGCCACAGCGCTGGAAAGAGGAAGGGTTTGGGAGAGCAGTGACCATGCTGCTGGGTTGGTGTCGAGGATCACTGCGAGGAGCGAAGGGGATTGTTCTGTTGCTGTGATGTGTTGGAGGAGGAGAATGTCAGTTCCATGGCAGCCTTGTGATATCGAGCGAGCCGACGAGCCGAGTATAGATAGTGAGGATTTGACAGAGCCTTGAGGATTGATTTTGAGGAAGATGATTGGAGGGGAGCCGTAGCTTGAGCCTTTGAGGGCTGGGCCTTCAGGGGGAATCTTGGGCCCGCGTACAGCGGAGTGGCGGATGAAAGATTGCGCGATGAGGAATAGCTTCTTGGAACTACTTACAGTGGGATGGCTTGTCAAAGTGCTCGGATGCATCAACCGCATTCATGATGGGGTGATGGTGATGGTAACCGTGATGACGACGACGGGACAACGATATTAGAAATCAGCAATCAGAAGGTGGAATATTTGTGGAATGTGCGAGGCGAGAGGCGAAATGTGAGATGTGAGATGTGGGATGGTGCGCGGCGTTGGAGATGAGGATGAATGATGGGTTTGCTGAGTTGATGAGTTGATGAGATGCCGGTTTGGATGGATGGATGAATGGATGGCTGAGCGTGTGCTGCGTGTAAGGGTCAGGTGGAGGGATTGAGCAGCACAAGCACAAGCACAAGCACAGCACAAGCACAGGGCGCCTAGGGGCACAGAGATAGGCGTAGAGGAGGCGTGAGGTTAGGCGGTAGGCACCCACCGATAAGCCTGAGGTACGAGTAGTAGATAAGTACCTAGGTAGGTACTTAGTAGGCAGCTACCTGCGATAGGCAGCCTCCGGTCCAACAGGTCAACAGTGCCAACAGTCCAACAGTCCAACAATCCAACAGCCCAGAGAACGTGTGAGAACTGCTGGATGCCGGATGCTTGCATGAGCCAGACAAGACGATAAGCACCTTTTTCTCGCTGGGCACTTGCTCTCACTTCTCACTTCTCTCACCTCTTTCTCTCACTTCCAAGGTTCTTCGGCCTTCAGTCAATGATGCTGGATACAATGTAGATACTGGCACCATATCAATATTTTTATGGATCGCACATGTTAATTTTGTTAATTTCCGTCTGGCGTTCGCGTTGCCATTTTTACTCTCTCGCTCGCCCCCCCTTTGGCCCTTTGAGACGCAGGCTTCCTGGGCTTCCCAATGTTTTGACTCATTATTTGTCCGCCAAACACATCCCCTTTTGGCACCTGTTGCTATCGTTATTCGGCCCTTCTTCCCTCGTCTGATTCCTCCCTCCATTCCCTTCTTTTTGTACTCGGTACTCCTCCAGCTACATTTGCATGTGCATGTACCTTTTCCCTCCTCGTCCTCCTCCCCTCGTATTCCTCGCTACTCTCACACCAAACCAAAAAAACTTTTCATTCCTCTCGCAGCAGTAGCCTCTTGCATCATTTTTTCTGCATCCCACGTGGCCCGTACTTGGGTCAAACGGCTTGTCCAGCTTGGAGGCACCCAGAAGCAAATTCAATTCGCTGTTCCGCCAACATCCCTTCCAATAATTGCGACAATCCGCGGATCTGTTTGGCCATTTACAAAAACAACCAGCCTTATCCTCTTGCTTCACTTTTCGAGTTCGACATACATACATACCTACATACGCCCCAACGCCCACCACTGAGGACAATAGATTCACAACACTGGGTGCGTCTCCATCAGCTGACCAACACACCCATTCAACTTCTCGATTCTTTTTGGTTTCTCCTCGCTTCTTCGCCGCCTTGCTCGCAGCTCAAAAACAGACCGCCCATCCTCCCATCCTCCCGCCTGCCGTCCGCCTCCCGCCTTCCGGCTTCCGTTCAAATCTTTCGCTCGCTCTTCACGCCTTTATAAACGATGTTCTCGGCCTCTTAATCTCACGTCATTCTCCCTTGAAGAGCTCGACCACTTCAAACCTCCGAGTTCTTCATACCCTCTTTTCGTCTTCCTCTACATCACTCTCCCTCACCGCTCTGAGGTGTGGAGTTCCACCCTCGCCTCTTTGGTCCAATGTCTTCCATGTCGACCGTCCAGCGGATGAACCGAAAATTATCCGAAGAACGCGATGCGGAACGCGCCTCTCAGTTGGCCAAGGAAGCCGTCGAACTCTCCAACGCCGGTGACAAAGTGGTACGTTTTATCGCCTGGCTACAATCTTTACTTTTAACTTTTATCGCTCACATTTGCTCCATCTAGCAAGCGTCGAGAAAGCTGAGGGAAGCCGCTGCATTGGGTCATGCCAACCCGGATGTCCAGGCGGCCTTTTTCGCCATTCACCATGATGACCAGCTCAATTCGCCCCTTTTGGACCTGGTCAGGAGGTATGCCCTCTACCACGACAACTCGGCCGGTGAAGATGCTATCAAGTATCTGAAGAGCTCCGAGGCTTCTAATGCTGCTGCTGTTGCCCTCGAATGCTTACAAATCATCCTCGAATGCCGCCAGTCCACCATGTCCGACGCCCAAGATTTCATCATCGCCGAGCTCGCCAAACGGAGTCCCGCAGTTCGAAAGTATCTGGCCACTGAGCTCCAAATTTCGACGACCTCCTTCTTTGAGAATGTTTACGAAAGGGGCGATGACGCCGCCAATTGCCTTCGCTCTGTCGTGCTCGATGTCACATTATGGCCATCCGAGGACGTCCGACTCCGCGTGGAAGATGATCTATTCCAGCTCTTCCTCGCCAAGTTGATGGAAACTGGCCACGATCATGATGGCCGAGCTCTCAAAGGCATCGCCCTATTGTTGATCGCCGACACGCAGCGACTTCATACGTTCATCGACGAGGATGCATACGAAGCCCTCATGGGCTCCCTGGATTTGAGACTCCCTCCGGATGTCCGAGGACAGGCGACCCTCGTCCTGTCCAAGTACTTTGAAGTGGCGGAACCCACCGGTCAAGAATATCTGTCCAACTATATCACAAGCCACGTCCAACGCAAAAAGGGCGACGACCTCGTTTTGGCTTTTTCGGCTGGGGCAAGTCTCTTTCCAGTCATCCCTGCCGTCGTGGCTCCGCTCTTTTTGGTGGATGGCTTTCTCTCCTCGCTCATGCCGCTCCTCGACAGAAGGTTCAGCAGTCCTCTCGTCCATGACGCCTTCCTCTTTTTGCTCAATGCTGCTTGCATCGACAGCGCCTGTCGGACAGCGATCGCACAGCACTGTGCATCTTGGCTAGCGGATAAAGTCAGCAACGGCACCGGCAAACAGCCATCGGTGGCGGCCACCGTGTTGGCTAAGTTGAGAACTTCGGGAGTCAAGATCGGGGATCAGAGAGCCAGCAAGGCCGATGATGATGTTAGTGAACTCGTTGATCTTTTCAAGAAATCCCTCACCGTTGTTGAAGAAGGAAAGAACATTTCTGACTCGATTGAAGGCCTTGCGTATACATCTTTAAAGCCCGAGATTAAAGAATCGCTCGCAAAAGATAGCAAGTTCCTCAAATCTCTCCTTCAAGTCCTCGACGAAAACCACACTACTCCGGAAGTCGTGGTGGGGGGATTGAGTATCATTTCGAACCTCACACAATATGCGCCAACCCTGTCGGAAGAGCAGAAGAAGATGTCGCAGTTGAAAGCATATGCAAATGCTACGAAACCTGTCGAACCGAACCCTTTGGAGGATGACGAGCATGTGCGGGCACGTTGCACAGCGGTGGTCCAGGCGGGAATCGTGGCCTCACTGATCAGACTAAACAAGGGCAGGTCTCCGGCTACAGCACAGCTGAGCGATAAAATACTCCTGTCGCTATCCATGAATCCAAAAGATAGGGGGAAAATTGCTCAGCAGGGAGCCGTCAAACTTTTAGTTTCTCACGCACAGAGAAGTCTACAATCATCCGAGAACACTCAAGCCAGCCCCGATGCCGCCCACGCTCTGGCGCGGATCTTGATCTCCTTGAATCCAGCACACATCTTCACACCGGGTTCGACGCCTGATATCACGGATGCTGTCCCACCACTAGTGGCGTTGCTGAAGTCCTCGGGCGGAGCAGGCCTTAACGACCAGCCGCGAGATCTCCTTCCAGTCTTCGAAAGTCTTCTTGCCCTAACCAACCTGGCATCAGCCCCTACCTCTAACGCAGCTTCTTTCATCATAAAATCTGCCTGGGACGACATCGAAGATTTTCTCCTGGGAAACAATGAGCTCGTCCGCCGTGCAGCTTGCGAATTGATATGTAATTTGACAGTGGTTCCCACCGGCGCCGAGAAATTTGCCGACGGTTCGAAGCGTGCAGCACAACGATTACACATCCTTGTTGCGATGGCCGATGTTGAAGATTTACCCACAAGGCGCGCTGCGGGTGGGGCCCTAGCCATGCTCACAGAACAATACGTTGACATCATAACCGCAATGCTCGAATTCAAACGAGCGCCAGAGATTCTTCTAGAGCTATGCCTCGATGAAGATCCGGGCGTGGTGCATAGAGGCTTAGTCGTGGTCAGAAACATGTTATGTTGCGACGAAGCAGATGTGGAGAACAAGACATTGGCTCTCAGGGTTAAAGAGGCGTTCAAGAAAGAAGGCGCCGTGGAGAAATTGAAGACTTCTCTGAAGCAGACCAAGGATCCGGAACTGCTGAGCATCGGAGTACAAGCTTTGAAGGTCTTGGTGGACGATCGAACGAGGTGAACGACCAAGAAAACACCTTCACGCGCTAGCCCCACGGCGCTGAAGGCCATCTGTGTGTGCGATACTGGGCGGTGGTCTGCGCGCCGGAGCCGGAGTTATCACCGGCTTTCTGAACCCGATTGATGTTTCTTCCGTCTGGCATCCAAGCTCAGAGACACGACCGTGGACAGAGATTCGTTTCCTATCTGGAGGATCAAGTCGGCATCAGTCCGCCAATACCAGTCAAGTCACCATTCCGGGGACAACATGTGCATAATAATGAAAATCTAGCGGCTACTTGCGTTCGTGGAGTTTTGGAGTCTACGGCCCTCACAACCGGCCCTTGGGCGGAGCAGCGGAGAGCTCCCGGTCTTTTTGCTTTTTGGCACGCAAGTCCTGGCACGGAGTTCCGAAAGAAGGGATTCTCTTCCTAGAGGGTGGTCATTCATTCCTGGGCATGGGTTTTTACTTGCTTATACTCTATTCTTAGTCTCGAACTTCGAGGACGACCACATCTGGGAAGGGGATCAAGTTGGGAGGTGTAGCTGGGCTACCACTAGGTAGCTAAGCTACACATCCCTATCGCTACTATTGCTCTTGCCCTCCCCCGAATCACTAGTTTAGCTTCAGGGCCTGTTGCGACGGCCATGGGCTCAAAAGCAGAGGGGTCTATCGTTACGACTCAATCGCGTTACTTTGAATAGAGTCGATATCAATACCCACTATTTATTAGTATCGATATGGACTTTCTGTCGTTTGAATCCGAGCCCCATCTATTGATGAAAAGTATGATACTGAATAAGAGAGGATCATGTAGTATGCGGTCGATATAGCTAGCTATCCACTATCCGCTGGGAGTTCTTATCTTGTCCCCAGATGCATACATACATATTCGCATAGTATAGAGGTACACAAACATGTGCCATGTGCACGTACATGTACCGCAAGGATCCATGATGCTACCTAGATTCTTCTGCCTGTTCGTGCCTCCAAGAGGGATTGATGAAGCCGCTCTTCTCTAGACTCTTTTTCGCAGAGTACCCGGTACTCGTGTGCTCTCTTTTTTTTCAGCCAAAAGCTATATTGTGTCGTACAACGAACCATTTTTTCTTCCTACTTGTAGTTTCATCACGAGAAGTGAGATCACAAAGAGGGAAGACTAGCAGGGCCAACGGGGTCGATCGATAACTTGTTCGGCCACGACGTGACCCAGAAGATAACTAAATCGACGCCGCGAACCCAGCCACGTCCATAGATATTGAGCTGGGCTTCTCTGGTCGTGGTCTGATGTCATTTGGGCCACGGCATCTTTAGGGAAATAGCAGCCATATTTCAACTAGCTCGTCGGACCTCGTGCGGAAGAGGCTGTCGGCTTCGAAGCGTCGAGCGTTAATGAGGGCTTGACAATCTGCGGCTGTTTAGGTCGGCGAACTCGCGGCCGGAGCAGAGAAATTTCAAGACTTCTCGAATCAAGGCACCGAAGATGAGGTTGTGGCGTGTTGCATCTTGACCTCAACCCGTTTGAACGTCCTTGGTCTAACATCTTTGTCAAAGGCTTTCGAGTAGGTCTGAATTCTGACCTCTCCAGAAGCCGTCAGAATGGGACCAATCTTGGGACGATATTTCCGAGCTTTGGAACTTTCGACTGATTTCGTCGGGGCTCTGGTCTCTGGTGAGTTTTGTAACTGAGTTGGTGGTTGTTTCGGGTCGGGCATAGTCGACATTTCTTCCACTAACCCTGTCTTCCGTGGTTCACTTTCTATATTCTTCTCTCCCGATAACTGCTCCGTGGCAGTTGAGGTGTTCTGCTTCGGCGGCTGTTGTCGTTGTTGCATCAATTGTTCAGCAACAGCTTTCAGAGCTGACATCTCCGCTCGCATGTTTGCGCGCTCCTCCTCGTAAAGTTCATTCAACTTCTGAAGCCTTTCATAGCCTTCTTTCGATTCTCGCAGCTCCTGTGCCAATGCTGATGTACTTTTCATCCATCTTTGTGCCCTTTGAGCTGCTTCTTCTTGATAAGATCTTTGTCGTAGTTCCGCCAGGTCCAGTTTCGTTTTCAACTGAGAAATAATGGCTTCCTGCTGGGTGAATCTGCTTTGCAGTTTGTCCAGCTCGGCCGAGGAATATTCACCGCCACCGGTCGCAGGGGAACCTGACATCGGTCTTCGCACAGCATACCGGAGACTCGGGCTTTGAGCCGTAGGTGCCATCAGCACCAGCTCGCTATCCTTGTTCCCTTGAGTACTCTGGACTTTTTGCGGCTTTCCGGAAAGCTCCTCCATTAAAGACCTGCAAGCTAGTTGAAATGACCTTGCCTTTTCCTGCGCAGGGCACTCTCCGACATTGTCCGGAAGAGGGAGCGATTCCCACTCTAGAAGAATGCTTCGAGTCCGTGGGTGAAATGTCCTGCGATCATTCTGAGTTTTATCGACAAGTGGCGGCGCAATGCCTGCATCAACTGCTGCATCGAGAATCGTGGTATATTCTGCGAGCTTGCAGCAACGCACACACAGATCCAGCATACGGTATATCACCCTTGCTAGCCGATCAATCGACTGATTCGCGATCGTCAAGGCGTGGTTCACAGAACGCTGTAACCATTTCTTGCCCTCCTCCCAATTCCCGTGCTGAGAGTAGTAGGCTAGAAAGCTTCTGAACAGGTCATCCTTCCACATGCTCCCATAGTCCGCTTCGCGGAGGAGCGTTAACCAAGCTTCAGCCCGCGTCGGTTGCTCGCACCTCAGGGATGCATAGACCAAGACCATCAAAAGGCGTGGATTCAGAGTGGCGGGAACAGGAAGGTCCATTCCATTGACACGTGTCTTTTCCCACTTGTGAATTACGTTCAGCGGGTTATCCGACTTTGCTATGAAGTGCAGCATATGATTCAGAGAGCGGGAATCGCAGGCTCGACCAATTTGCAATAGCATATAGAAGATTGCAGGGTCTGAAAGTGGTAGGGTGCTCCTCTTCAGTGCGGCAACGGCATGGTAGGCTAAGCTGTGGCTTCCAACCTTCGAAAGAGACCGAATGAGCATAACGTAAACGGAGACAGAAGGCACTTCGTCCGTGTGAAGAACCGCTTTTCCATAACCGTCAATCAGCCCAGTCAGTGGTATTCGGCCAGCATCGAACTCAGCCGTTAGCTCTTTTATGGCTTGTTGAAGGCCACCCCTGGCAGCCTGCGCTTGAATGCGAGGTGCCACATAGAAAAGGTCTTCCAGGTTGCCCAAAGAACGCATCTGCTTTCGTGTCAGAGCCAGCATCTCGGCTAAGCGATTGGTGTCTGGAAGAGGGCCGTTATCCTCAGAAGTTTCAGGGACTGCACTGTCTACTAGATCGTCCGGTGGAACGATCGAATAGAAGTGATTGGGTCCGACGCGTAGATGCAGGAGCATCCTAAGTGCCAAGGTGATTGCGTTCAGACGATGGTAACGCTGGAAGTTGGATAACTGCTCAGCAGAGAACTCGCGTGCAGAGAGCACTTGCCGAATCGGTATCTTCTCGTCCTGCAACACTCCGTCTTCCTGACCCAAATCCGCCGGCCAAATTGGCATCTCAATTTCCCCCGGGATTTCATCGTCTTGCACCCGCGCTTGCACGGCTGTAGCATAATATCTTCGTTGCTGAGAAATTCCAGACAGGGTGTTACGGAATTGGAGACTGCTCCGGAGCTGCCGCTCCCGCTCCTTGAGCGAATCTATTTCATTGTCGATGGCAGCGAGCCTCTCATCCCAATCCTTCCGCTGTTTTGCCTTCCAACTAGTATCGACGAAGAGGGCGGCCGCAAGGACAGGAGTCAAAAGGACGGTGAATGCGTCACCGAAGCCTGGCCGGCGCCTTGGAGGTCTGGTGGTGGTCTTTCGAACAAGGGTAGAGCTGAGGGACTCGGTCGAGGAGAGAGAGTGAGAGCTTCTTAGCCTTGGTCGAGACGCTTGAGTCCATAAGCCTCTCATTGCCTCGGTTGAGGCTTCTCCACCGTTGTCGCCAGAAGTCGGTCCTCGATGGGCGAGAAAAGTTGATTTGTATGTCCCAGAGGGAAGTGGGCTGATCGCAGTGAAGTTCAAGCACCTAGCGAGGCTAAAAGGACGAGCTGCATTGGAGCTAAGAATCGATTTGGTCTGACGGAGACGTCAGCCTCCCAGAGCTGCTAGGAACTGAGAAAGCCTCCCGGATTCACGGTTGTCAGACAAATATTTTCCCGGCCGCCCCCCTGCCACCATCGCGTTCCTGGTCGCGCATTCAATCTCACAAAGACACAATTTGCATCGATGTGAAACCGACTCTGCCCTGCGGCTAGGCTTGAATGGCTGCCAGGAGCCGCTTTCATTCAGAAAGCAAAAGTAATGACCGTCCAGAAACCTTCGAACTCCGCCGGTCGAAAACCTACAATCTCCTCGTTGGCCGGTGGAAGTCGTTTCGGCGCAGACGCATAATCTTGGTCTTGCTCGCAGCATGGCTCCTCTATCTCTTCTTCAGGCACATGCCAACAGATCTCCCACCTGTCTCTGAACGATATGACACTCGCTACGGTCGCTTACACCCGGGGTTACATGGACCGTATGGGGTCGATTCTCAAGATGCGTTCCGAAACTCCGACCAGGGTTATGATGGTCCTATAAGGTTCTACGAACTGGCCACCACGTTGCAAGAGCATGAATTGATTCGGGATATGAAAGGCAATGTTCTCTTCGCCATTTCGGACTTGAAAAGCGTACCTCAGGTCCTGCCCATGGCATGTGCAATGTCACAGCACAACAGGAGTCGAGTTCATCTGGCGTTCATGGGGCGTCACGCCGCAGCCTGGCCAGACATTCGTGCAGCGAATGGGCTCGAAGATTCAGGGTGTAATATATTCTTGCACGATGCTCGACCGGACCATGCAGCTCAATCGTCCGTGTCGAGGCTGGAGGTCGGTGCAAGTGCGAGTTTGGGACATATCCATTCTGCCATACGCCTGTCTGCGGTCTTAACTACAGCACACGAGGATGACCACTTGATGAACGCTTTGAGAGGGAAAACGTCGTCGCTTGGTCTCCCTCTCATAACGCTTCCTGCCAACAGCCAGCACAGTCTGTCGTGGATCTCATCTCTGGACGCTGCATCGCTCTCGCAGCTCAAGAAAATCCAGATTGATATTGTAATTCAAGCGCGGCCTGAGTCTTCAGCTTCTCTGATGCGGCTTCTGCGATCGATCAAAGACGCCGACTACTCGGGATGGCCGCTTCCCAGAATGACGGTGGAACTCCCCAATAACGTTGACCCGTTCCTTGCCCGATATTTGTCAAACTTCCGATGGCCTGCCAATGGCGCTGGCAGTGAGAGCAGACTCACAATCAAGCACAGGCTTGATGCAAGGCTCATGACTCCGGTGCAGGCGTCTATGCGGACGGTCGAGTCCTTCTATCCTGCAGACCCCAGCACGTCTCATCTTCTGCTGCTCTCGCCCAACACCGAGCTCTCGCCAGACTACTTCCAGTTCTTGATGCACACTTTGCTCGAGTACGGATACGGATCACAAAGTACAAGTCTGATTGGCAACTTGGCTGGCATCTCGCTGGATCTACCTCGATATGGACCAGACCTGAAAACAAAAGCGCCATATGGAGGACAGCTTGCGAAGCCCTTCACCCTATGGCAAGCGCCCGCATCCACTGCGGTGCTCTATTTCGGAGACCGGTGGGTGGAATTCCACACTTTCCTGTCTTATAGACTCCTCCTTGATCCGAAGCTCGCGTCGCAGACAAAGTCTACACCTATGTTGTCCCACGAATATCCCGCATGGATGGTACCGATGCTTGAAATGATGCAAGCGCGTGGTTACTATGTTTTGTACCCGAGTTTCCTGGAGAGGGAAGGACTATCAGCGGTCACGGTGCACAGCGAACTTTCTCAATCCCCTGAAGAATACTTGGCGGAGGCAGAAGACCAAGCATCCGATAAGGGCGCATCAAAGATCAACTTGGCTGATGAAGCGCTGACGGCGGATGACGAGATCGCTCGACTGATGCGCCAGGAACAGAAGCTCTCCCGGAACTCGCTTACCACTCCTCTTTTGGAAGCCACGGTCCAACAACGGGAAGATGACTTTACAACAGAGCCTGGTATTCCATTGATGTCCTTTGACGGCGAAAAGAGAGAATGGGCGGATTCCTGGATCCTGGCGTCGAAGTTCGCCGAGGATTTCGCAGTTTCGGTTGGAGGATGTTCGAGCTACAACAATGACCAAGAGACTAACACTGTCGGGTCACTGTTCTGTGTGGCAGGCACATGAGTTTGAGTCCTCGCAATGCTTCAATGCTATCTGCAGGGCGTTTTCGCACTTTCCAATGATGTAGTCTTCGGCGCTACCGGATAGAAAGCACTGCTCCCGGTGCCACTGTGTCTATTCTAGCCACAGAGAAGACAAATCCGACTTGAAGAAACCCGCCAAGCAACCACCGAATTCATGCTAATGTTATCATTTTCTCGTGGCAAATCAACAGGCGCGACTGGCGTTGTAAGATCGAGTTGGCTGACCAAATCGGTGCGGGAGGGGAGGGAGAACTAGAAGACCAGGGTGGTGGAAAGAAGTGGTGGACGATCATTTATGATCGAAGATCCCAGAGCACCAGAGTCGATTCGGAGGAGCTGCACCCTGAAGTCAAACAGGGGCGCAGAAGTGATCGACGGTCTTTGTCTACTCGGTACTGTCCATCTTTTCCCTGCGTAGGCCACACGCCACAGACTGATCCCGACAACACCATTTTTTGGTTCTGCACCTGCAGTCACCCAGTCTGTCCATCAATGTCTGATAATTGATAGTGTTATCGGATACCAGATGAGGGGCTGTGGCATATCCATTGAGACCCGCTTGTGCTTCCCCAGACTTGACAATTGGTGACACTGGTGGCTCCCGTCTCTTACACACCATGGCCAAAACCCCTCGCTGGCCTCTCGCTGGTCTCTCGCTGGCCTCTCACCTCGGCAAGGCCAAAGGCTGGATCGACCAGTCGACGGTTTGAATTGGGAGCAGGGATCTGATGCTAGAGCAGGTGGGATCTTGAATGGGGTGCCAATTGGTGATTGCGGTGCTACGGCGTCTCGACCTGCGCTTCAAGCCCAACCCCAACCCTGGTTACGCCGGATGCTCACAATGCATTCCCCCTCTGGGCTTCCACATGTTTTTGCTTGAGGATTACTCAGGATTGGCATGGAGCACACCCGTACTTTTTCCTTCTCGCCGTTATCACAATGCCAAAGGAATGCTCTCGAGTCTGAAGCTCAATGAGTTCGGCTAATGCATGGCTGCAGTGGTCGAAGCCACTAGCCCACCGAGCCCACTAACCGTGAACTAGCCTTCCCTCGCGATGTGCCTGCCCCGGAGCCCATCAACAGCAGCTAGCACTCCCTAGACGCCATTCTTGGGGCCTTTCCACCAGTCAAGTCTCCGGGGGTCCCCCACCACGAACCGCCCCCTCGCGTTCCCAAGCATCGCTAGTGGACCATTGGCACGGAAGAGTCTGCCTAGCCCTGGCTCCCCCCGAACATTCGACAATCAATGGGCTGATGAGCTGATGGACGACATGCTTGGGCTTCGTTGTGGTGGCCAGTGGTGGCCAGCGGTGGCCCAGGCCCGTGCTTGCAGCATGATGGAACCCCACCATCCTTCTGTTCCGTTCCCCTCTCTACCCACTGGCACCCACTGGCACCCAGTATTCGTCCCGCCCTTCAGGAAGCACCATCACCTCGTCTACAGTGGATCTCCTCCTCTCTTCCTTTCTCCAGACTTTCCCGCCCGCTGTGAGCATTCCACCACTCGACACAACTATTTCCATTTGAATGCTTGTGAATACTTCCATTGCTCTTGTTCTTGTGAGCCTCCACGGTCCGGATTCAGAGTCGACCTTCAATCTCTTCTCTATACCCCCGCATCTACCTCGACGTGCCTGGCACCGCTCGTATCGAACTATATCCTGCCCTCCATTGGCCCCAACCTCTCTCTACCTGCACCTGTTGATAACGTTGTGAGGGCGGCCCAGCGAGGAAATACATCGATCTCGTCCCTCCTCAAACCTAGCATTCTGGTCGTTGCCAACCGACGAAGAGCTACTGAGCAGCACGTGTTCTCCTCTTCCCTCGATACCTGCTGTTGTGCAGGACCGGCTAGGACTCCTGTGGGTGCAGGACGAGCCTGGGAGGGGTTTCCTGCTCAGGATACCAAAACACTTCATATTTCACCTCATCTCCGGTCAATCAAAAGAAGATGGCTACAGTTGTGGTCCAACAACAACCCCAAGTTCGCCAGTCGACTCCTCCACCCCTCGGTCCGACCATTTCATTGAATCAAGCTCGATCCTCGACACCCATCCCCAACAAACACATACCTTACTGCCCACCAGGACCGGTGCCCTCACAAACGCAACTCACTCCTCCCAACTCTCCTCCTCTACGAAACGTCGCCCCCAAACCCACCTCGCTCCTGCATCCCCCAAGCAACTACCAGAGGCTGTGCAATTCCCCGCCGATATATGGCATCTCGGCCAAACAGCTAGCCGAAGCCCTCGAACACTACTCGCGTCAGCCCCTTCCACACCCGTCGTCAGTCTTTCCATGGCTCCACGGGCTCCATCCCGATAACCATATTCAGTTAGCCTTCTTTGTCGCAAGGAAGAAGTCGCTGCGAAGAATACCAAAATGCTTGCGAGGGATAACCATCATCAAGGCCGGCGGTGACCTGAGTCGCTCGAGGATCAAAGGTGCCCTTGCCCCAGATGAAGTCCTTAACCTGTCAGAGAGCAATGGTCACGGCTTTGTGGAGTGTGATCCTCGAGAGGGCTTCTCGGTGCGCAATTTCCATATACAAGCGGCCAAGATGGCACTGGTGTCCGATGTCATCGTGTATGGCGACGAAGATACAGACCACCGTATCATCAAGTCTGTGGCGGAGAGAACAGCCTCCGTGCAGAAGAAATGGCGGAGGGAGCTAGAAAACACCGGCCAATGTCCAGAAACTTTCAACACCTTCGTGTTGACGCAGTCCTTTGAGGACTTTGAGCAGTCATATCCGGAACTGGTGGCCGTCGACTCCCAAGGCAGATATCAGGACCATAACCTTGACTTCCTCCAACAAGAAAGGCGAGAAATGTGCGCCATGTCCAAGGCTTCGGAAATCTCGAATGCTGTTTTCCAAGGCCCGTCACCAGGGCCCTACACTGACCCGCCATCAAGCCTCGACGACCCGAGCTATGATCTTTATGTCGAAGCTAGCGATCACGCTTCACTTCCTGACGACAAACTTCTGGCTGCGAAATTGAAACAGCTTGAAGAACGCGAGGAAGATGACGATCCTGTCCATCTGACTTTCCCTAGCTCGGGAAGTATTCTACCGCCATCATGGTCGCAAGTGGAGGTCGACGGCATCCTGCGTATGTGTCGATGGCTATACAACCTCACCCACACCATGAAACCTGTCAGCAAATGCAAAGACGAGGACGGCGACATTCAGATGACTGAATTTGCACCTCGGCGCCGTCGGGTCCTGTTGCACTGTGCAGATGGGTACACCGAAACTTCGATGCTCGCCGTCGCGTATTTCATGTACGCTGAGGGTGTTCCCTTGCACGAGGCGTGGATACGCTTGCACTGTGAGAAGCAGCGCAATTTCTTCGCCTATCCTTCAGATGTCTCCCTGTTGAACGCCATTCAAGGCCGCATTCTGACAGAGTCTCCAAATTTCGATTCCTCAAAACTAGCCTCCATAGAAGCCCCGGCCTGGCTGGCCAAACTCGACGGTAGCCTGCCAAGTCGCATTCTCCCGTACATGTACCTAGGGAATCTGACCCACGCGAACAACCCCCAAATGCTCAAGCTATTGGGCATCCGGCGGATTTTGAGCGTCGGTGAGCCCGTCTCCTGGACGGAGCAGGAAGTCAACGACTGGGGACGAGAAAACCTGATGATGGTGGATCGCGTGCAGGATAACGGGATCGATGAGTTGGCGTTGGAGATGGAAAGATGTCTAGAATTCATTGGTAAGTTTCCCATTGAGGGACAACAGAATTGCACAATGTGGGTGACTGACACCGTCCAGAACGAGGAAAGCAGGATGGCACAGCGACCCTAGTCCACTGCCGTGTTGGCGTCTCTCGCTCCGCAACCATTTGCATTGCCGAAGTCATGGCAAGTCAGGGGCTGAGTTTCCCCCGTGCATAGTAAGTCCTCCGGTCACTCGCACTCCGTGTCAACACTCACATCCTTTGCAGCTGCTTTGTTCGCGCCCGCCGCCTCAACGTCATCATCCAACCGCACCTCCGCTTCGTCTACGAATTGATGAAGTGGGACGAATTGCAGCAAGAGAAACGCGGCGTGATCGTCAAGCGGGAACTTGAGTGGGCGACCGTGGCAAGGGAGATTGCTGCAATGAACCGGCCTTACGCACGGTCATGAACCCTGAGTGTCCCAGATCGCGCCTGCCCACGTTGCTGCCCCTGGTTGTTGCCGGACGCAAACGCAAACTTGGGCTCCTCTGTTGACTCTCCCTAGGCAGGGTGAGCGAGTGCAGGGTCAAAAAGAGCTGGAGCGTTCCTGATGCTCCTGTCCTCCTGGTCAGACAGGCGGACTCCTTTGATACCCATTGAAGTAGTCGTTGTTGTGACGATATTGTGTTGATGTACGATGAGTCAAATGTGTCACGACCACAGCTGTTACGGATTGGATACCTCTATGATGGATGAGGGATGTTGAATGACTGTTATGAAGACCTGATGATGGGCGTACTGTATGTGGATCCTGGACAGGATAGTTTTTGGACAAGCCCTAAGACCTCGAGAGGGAGGGCACGCAATGGGAAGTTTTTGGGATCCATGTTGATGATGTCCTATACCTTCATTGGATACAGGAGCTCAGTGGGAACTCAAGCCGTTGCGATGTCGCGCTGCGCTGCGCAGTGCGCTAAGTGCCCCCTCCTCCCAGTCTCGATTTCTGGGAATTTGTCATAAAAGCTGCTGGTTGTTGGGGATACCGGGGGTTATAATACCTATCTACCTACCTATCTACAATCTCTGGGAATCCCGGCTCCAAGGGGGGAGCGCGAGCCATGAAAGGAAAGGACAGGACAGGACAGTGGGAGACCTCGATTGTAGCTAACCAGTATCTGGGTTTCAAAAGAGGTTCTTACCATTTTATTATATATGACAGCGAGCGTTTTTTATTTCCCAATCTTATCAAAAACATACCTACCTACCTACTAGCTCGTTAGGTACCTAGGTAATATATCTACCTACAAATGATTCCGAGCAGGGTAGGGTGGCAGAGAAAACCTCAATTATAGCGAGACGAAAAGGTTCTGCCGGTTCTACCATTTTATTTTCCGTTTCCCGATTGATTAAATATCTCAAACATGTTATCGAGTACATATGCAATTATTCCTGGGGTGGCCAGGTGGCCAGGTGGCAGAGCAGAGAAAGTTGATTCCTCCACCCCTTTTCTCCCTTTCTTCCCTTTCCCTTTTCACCTTTTGCCCTTTGCCTTGTATATGCGTCATCCACCCAGTATGCCGGTATTTATTGTAACTAGGTAGTAGGAATTTACTACAACTTCTCCGCCCTCTGCCTCAACTCGTCAGCCAGCCTTTCCAAATACGCCCTGACGATATCCCTTGGAATCACGCCCGTGTCCAGTCCAGTAGTAGGGGTTCCACCTGTAGAAGTTTCAGTTTCAGTTGCAGTTCCAGTTCCAGTTCCAGAGGAGGATTCCGGCCCCTCAGCGGTGTCAACCTTCAGAAACCGCCGCACAATCCTCTCCACGTCGCGGCGCCCGTCCTCATACGCGGCGAGGTCGCGGTTGCCGTACACGTCTCGCCCAGCGGCGTACTTGGTGGAGTGGAGAGTGCGGAAGAAGATGTTGACCGAAATGTTAATCCTGTCTTCGGCGGTGGAGGGGTTAGTGGTGGTTGAAGGTGATTCGGGTGTAGGCTGGGATGCGGCTGTGGCTGCGGCTGCGGCTGCGGACGTTGAAGTAGAAGTGGATGTAGAAGTGGACGCTATTTCTGATGTTGATAGTGAGACCGGCTGCTGTGCCTTCCTCGGAGCGCCTGCAGGCAATGGTGTCCCCGTGTGCGCCCACAGCGGTGGAATGTACAACGCGTCACCGGGCTGTAAAATAGCAATGTGAGGTTTCGTACCCGGCACGACCCTCACCGTGTCTTCTCCTCCCTCTCCTGACTGTTGGGTCGATTCAAAAATGTCAATACTGGACGTTGTCGACCCAGGCGGGAAACTTAGGTGTTTCAGATCCCCCGGTGGGAACAATATCAGTTTCCTAGTGCCCCGGATCTGGAAGAGGACGTTGGCCATGACATCGTAATGCAGCCACATGTTCACATTTGCGCTGATCCGCAAGGGACTGCTGTGTTGGTTCCTCACGACAAACGAGAGTTCCCGCGGAACGGCAAAATCGGGCGCGAGTTCGGGCCAGTCGCTGGCAAAATCGGCGGGTGACAAGGTTGGATTCGTGCTCGAAATCGATCGGAGGTACATGTGTGCATTTGGGTCGGAATCGAGTTGGTGGATGAATTCGTGGAATGAGGTCGTCTTGTAGGCAAAGTCTTTGCGTTGGAAGTTCATCGTCCTGCCGGGAGCGGAATGCACGACGACGGATTTTGAAGGTGGAATCTTGGAGAGGAGATATGCTGCCGTCCATGTAGATGTACATTGGCCAATATCCAGATCCGAAAAGAGTTTGGGCCTGCCCTCGCTCAGGACACGGGTAAAATCTTGCTCTGTTTCAATCTTGATATGCTCGATCGGAGTTGAGATGCGTGCTGTCGGTGCACCGCCCTGCGGCGTCGACTGAGGGGCAAGTTTTCGGGTTTCTGGCTTCACCATCGTCCAGTGTGAACTGAGTCCGGCCTCTCGGTCATACAAAAGCCAACAGCCAGGGTTCCAGTACGCCCCAAAGCTGAAACAGGTCGCCCCTCCGCCCACAATCAAAGTAGTCTGTCGTGCGGTGTAATGTGTCGAATGACCAATGAGAAAAGGCCGTGGGACATTCGGGTCTCTCTTGGGCAACACACAAGCAACCCGAAAATCCATCTCCTTCTCGTAATCGTTGAAGGCAGAGAAACTGCCGACAATGGACAAGATCTCGTAGTCCTTGGGTATGCAGCCGTGCTTTGCCACTCCACCGATGAGCAGAAGCTCGTCTCTGATCACGCTGTAAGAGGCCCCGAGGCGATTCATCCACGGCCAGATGCCCGCGGAGGCGTCCAGAGCCGTGGATACCCTGAAATTGATTCCCATGACTTTGTTGTCCCGGATGATCAGTCTCCATTTCCACAGCCCTTGACAAATAACTCCATCCTGTCGCATTCCGCCTAGGAGCAGACCATGATTAAAGCCCAGGCGGACAAAAGACGCCCCAAACCGTGGCATAGGGTCTTGTTTGAGACTGCGGAGCACTTGCCAGCCGTTTTCCTTGTCCCATAGCAGGCAATCAATCGCAATCCGGGTTGCCGAGGTTTTCCCTCCGAATACTACCACGCCATATTGATCGTAAGGAAGTACCACAGCCGCTGCTCGATGCCGAAAACGGGGCTCGGGAAGATCATGGACTCTTTCCCATTTTGAGTCCGTTTGAAGCCAGCAATCTTTCATGGGCGAGGACGGTGAACCTCGACCGCCAACGAGAAGGTTCTGTCCATTGCTGAGTGTTGTGATAGTATGGCAACACCTAGCGCCTATATCCTCTGGTGGAGCGGAGGGATATGGAAGTGTCGAATCTGTCGATGTGTAGACGGAAGTGGTCGACAAGCGACCTCGGAGGCCAACGCCACCATGAACAGCTATAGCATCTTGACCTGGGACTATAAAAGCCGAGCCGTGATGGGTCCTTCCTTCTTGCTCTGGATTTGCGGAATACTTGTACGCAAACCATTGGGTATTGTCTCTGTGGGGCGAGACGGTCCTTGCTGACATGTCTGATGCCAAACTATCAACTGATGCCCTTCTCGATCTTTGCTGCTCTGGCACGAGAGGTTCGGGCCCTGTTTGTGCAATCACTAGGCAGTAGTGAGATGCGAACAGCGCAAATTCTTCCCTAAGTCCAAGAATTAGTACTTCAGTGATTCTCGCGATCTGCGTTCAACTCACCACTCATCGAAGGGCTCAACTTCATCCAGAGAAATTCTTTGGGATGGGGACAGGAACCTGGGATCAGCCCAAAGCTCCCATAAATTTTGCATCTCAACATGAGGGAAGCCGGCGTCCTGAAAGCGTAATGTCTGCGTGTGGCAACCGGGATAAGTGAGTACAGAGCGAAGTGGTGTTCCTAGTTTAGCAAAATGTTTCAACATGGCCGCCGTGAATGGATTGTCCGGACGGTCCGGTGACTGCTGTTCCAGCAGGCAGAATGTGACGTCTGCGTGTGTTAGTCATTTTGTACGGCACTAAGAAGGCCTAGATATACCTGGAGATAACGTAGAAGTCCAAGCGATCAGCGCATCGGCGTCTTTTGTAGCCATGTAGGTGATGCTGACTTCGGCGACACATAGTACAAGGCATTGGTCGATGTCCACGACGGACCTCAGTAGGCGCTCCAATCTTGGGGGATTTCGTAGATCACATCCGATTGCGACGTAGACATCCGAATCCAGCACAACACCCTTCATTGAGCCCCTGTCCGGCGTCGTCGAGAGCATCTCGCTCATCTTGGGGGTATTCAAGATAATCTCTCGCTTGCTGATCATCAGCTCTTCGAAGTCGACGTCGATGAACTTGGTGTTGCCACACAAGTCTGGATGCTGGGCCATCCATTGGAACGGAAGTGGATCGCTACAAGAGTAAGTCGCGCTTGATCCCACCAGGCAGGCTATTGGCATCCTTACTCACTAGCCACAGCCCAAATTGATGATGACCTTGTTTAAGTCAGAGGGCTTTTCCAGGAACTGCCTGACCACCCAGTCGATTGCTCTCATGCGGAGCCAGTATCCGCGGTTGATGGTGGGAGACCGACGGATCGGCTTCTTGACAAAGTAGCGATAAAAGTGCGGTTGTGGAAGGTACAATCTCTCGACACTTCTTTTGGAAACGATGCTGCTGTTATTTGTCTGTACATGCCCATCTGTTAGTTAGAATAAGCCAATTGTACAGGGACTGAGTCCTGACGTACGCCCATCACGAGCCCGGCGTTTTTCTCCATGGGGATCTCATCGTTGGCGTTGCCTTCCTGGGGAGACATTGGGGAGGCCATATTGATCTCCGTTGGCCCATTCGCAACATCTCCGAGAGAGACAAGAGAAAGAGGCGAGGTCAATGGAAATAGAAGGTCAGCAGGGGTGAGTCACTGGCTGCAGGGCATGAAATCGTCACTTTTAGGAAAAAGATTCAAGTCTCGAGCGATATTCGGCCTTGGCACTGTATGCATTTCTGATTGGTGCGAGTGAATCGAGTGAATCGCCCTCTGGCCGGTGATATTTGCCCCCGGATTTCCAACCTTTCGCTAAGCAACTCTTTCACTATAAACCGCGATCAAACCGGTGTGTCTGATGCAGCAAGCGGTGGATCAAGTGTAGAAAGCATATTCCACCAACCCAACAACGCGCAGTGACCCTTCATCCCACCAAAAGCAGGACTTGGACTCTTCAAGACATCAAAGCAAACAAGACGACGGTATCATGGACACGCCTGAACCATCTCTAAAGGCCCTGTTCAACCAAGCAAAGAAACAGCAAGAGGACTTGGATAGCCTCGACCCTCGAAGCGCGACGTTCAAGCACTCGCTTCAATCCATCATCGATAACCTCGAACAATGCCGCAAGTTGATCCAAGATCTCTCTTTGTTCAGCACGAATGAAGAAGTGGAGGACATCTCTACACAAGACCTGCAGTATGTAGAGAGAAGGGCAGCGAGCTCACTAGTCCCAGTTCTTGGCTGACTTTGTCTTTCAGATACCTGACGGTCGACTGTCTACTGGCAGAAGTCAAGATCAAAGGATATGGTGAAAACAGGCAGTCATCATTACGGGATGCCGCGGAGCTATTCGAACAGTTTTTGACCCGGATAGATCAATATGGTCTACTGGGTGCCTCGGATCGGGAGCTCTACGAACGCTACCTCGAGCAGCGCAGTTCATTCCGAATAGTCTCCTCTAACAGCCCTGAGGAGAAACGGAGGATCAAGATCTCCCGCTTCCAGGAAGAGAAGTCTTTGAAGCAGAGGCTCCAGGTTTGTAACCCCTCGATCGCTATCAAGGGGGCGAAAGTCACTGACAAAACAGTATTTGAGAGATGAATCGAAGAAATCAAACGTTGACGACGAGACCATCAGGAGCCTGTACGTGGCCGAGATCGCTTTCTTAGTCAACAAGGCGTTTTCATCGCTGGACATGATAACACAGGAGCTGGAAATCTTGTCTCAAATGCGGCATGCTGAGCCAGCCAGGCCAGGACCACCACCTCCAGACCAGAGAGCTCCTGTGAGACCGGATTCTTATTCGGAGCGTCTAGATGGACCCGCCACAATGGCAGGCCTCGGAAAGAGAGGAGGTCCTCTACTCAGCTCCAGTGGAAAACCTCTCCAGCCATTCACTCTAACAGACAAGAGAACCCAACTGCGACAGGGCGTGTTTAGGCCAGGCCACAACCTCCCCACCATGAGCATCGACGAATACCTCGAAGAAGAGCGGCGGAGAGGTGGCATTATCGACGGCGGAGGAAACGCTAACGCGCCTCAGCCCGAGCCCGATGAGGACAATATGGAGCAAGTTGATGCTGCCACAATGAAGGCACGAGAGTGGGACGAGTTCGTCGAGGCCAATCCAAAGGGAGCTGGAAACACGTTGAACCGGGGGTAGAGTTTGACTGGCTTCAATGCTACTACTGAGCATTTGCCGTAGACGGGATTCTTGGGACAGCAAGTCGTAGTTTCAATTCCAGCTCTTCCATTCGCCGCTCATCACTCAAAGCAGAAGCGGCGATGCCGAGCGAGTGAGGCCCAAACTGTTCCTAGATGCCTTCACTCACGTCTCTTGAAGGTCTGCGACGGTGGTAGGCCGCTTCGCTTTGATATCTGCGAGAATTTTGTCCGCACCCCTGCGAAGCAGTTCAGTCGCAGCATTGATTCCGAACATTTCCGCGTCCTCCCGACTCTGGACCTTCTCGGTCATGTCGATTTCGGCCTTTTCTTTGCCGTCTGTGCTGACCACGAGTGCTTGCATTCGAAGAAGGGAGCCACCATCTTCCCATGCCGTCTCCACCCCCAGCGGAGCACTGCATCCTCCTTCTATGGTCTTCAAGAGGCTGCGCTCGGTTGCTGTAGCAAGGTGAGTCCGTTGATGATCGATTAGGTTCAACATGCCCTGCACCCGATCGTCGGACGATCTGTTCTCGATGCCAATAGCTCCCTGTCCAACGGCATGGAGCATTCCACCGTTTTTGGAATCTAAATACTGAGTGATCCGATCGCCGAGCCCAAGGCGAATGAGTCCGGCAGCGGCGAGAATTAAAGCATCAAAAGGTCCATCCTCAGCATCGAGCTTAGCTAAGCGAGTTCCCACATTACCTCTGACGTCGACCACCCGAAGATGTGGATATTTGAGTGAAATCTGGGCAGTTCGTCGGATGGAGGAAGTTCCTACGACTGACCCAGCAGGGAGATCCTGTATGTTGCAAGCTTTTCTTCCAGCTTTGATGACGAAGGCGTCTCTTGGATCTCCTCGCTCCAGCACCGCGCCTACCTCGCAACCTGAAGGTAGCTGAGTGGGAACGTCTATTGGCATCAGTTAGTATATCGGACAATAACTCATATATCTGTATCGGGACAGCGCAAACCTTTGAGTGAGTGAACCAGGAAATCCAACTGTCCCTCCATCATGAGTGTCTCCAATTCGTGGGTCCAAATGTTCTTGACGGGCATATCCTTGAAGGGCGTGATTTTGTCAATGTCCCCTGCTGCAGTATCTCGCGCCTTGATGGCGTAGACGTACTCGGGACAGGCCGCTGCCAATGCCTGAACGACCATATCTGTCTGGACCAGAGCGAGTTTGGATTTTCTAGTCCCGACATTGAACGTCGTCTTGGAGTCTGACTCGGTTGGGTTGGCCGCGGCATTTTCGCCTGACACAACCGCGATGGTCGTCATGCTTACCCTGTAGCAAGTGTGTATAGTGAAACTCAAGGCAAAGCAGGTCAATTAAATTTTGATGAATGGCAGTTGTGGTGGTGGTTCCACTTTCGTCCGATATGCGCGGAGCCTTGCCGCGCCGAAGAGGGTCACGTGCTGCGGGTGACGTGCCTCGGCAAGCATCTTGGATCCCGAGTGGAAATGATGATCACCATGGACCTCGACTCCCGATGTGCATCGAGCATCTTCCATGCGGCTGCGGCCAACAACCAAGTGACGAAGTGCTGCCGAATCAGTAATCTATCCCCAGCATATCAATAACAACCTCATTCTCCCCTTCTCTACCACCTTCTCTTCCTTCACTGCGGTCCACCCCGTTGATACCTCAACATGGGCTACACAGCCAAGGCAACGATACCTCTTATCCCGCTGGCGAAGGATTCCGTCCTTCTGCCCGGTGTCACTCTCCGCATCTCAGTATCCAACCGTGCCGACATCCCTCTCCTCCTATCATCGGCCTTCCAACGGGCCACCAAGTCGAGATCCGGCTCAGCTCAACTACCCGTCGGCTGCGTTCCTGTGAATTCGCCGTTTCTCAGCCCCGATGGCAAGGAACTGCTCGACAGCGCGGCAAAAGAGAGCAGCCGGGACTATGACTATGCCGACATAGACCCAGGCAAGGCTAGAAAGAAGGATTTATATGGATACGGCACCCTGGCCAAGATTGTGAGTGTCCAGGGGAGTCCCAATGCGGATCCGTATCTACTGGTGGAAGGAATCCAGAGATTCAAGATCGACAAGATTAAACATGAAAGACCATATTTTGAAGCCGAAGTTACATTTTATGAGGATGAAGTGCCCGACCTTAACGACGGTGACCTTCGCGCCAGTTTCACCCGGCTCAAGCAACGATCTCGTGAGCTTCTGACCCTGCTAAGGCTCTCATCTCTCTTCCGCCCGGCATCCATGGCGCTGTCCCCTTTAATTGTCCGCCGTTTCGAGCTGTTCATCGCAAAGAAAGACCTCTCTCAAGCTGGCCAACTGGCCGATTTCATGACGGATATTGTGGAAGCAAGTTTTGAGGAGAAGCTTCGAATTTTGAGCACACTGGATTTACATGAGAGACTAGAGCGCGTCCTTGCCTTGCTCAACAAGCAGATCTCAGGCATCAATGGAAACATCAAAGTCACCACAATAACCTCAACAACCCTGCCATCCAATATGGGTGTTGATATTTCCGACTTGAACCAAAAGCAGCGCGAAGCCCTAGCGAGGCGAGCAATGTCTAGTCTCAACGGCATGACGCCGCCCGGAATGCCTGGTGCTAATCGGGGTGGTGACGACGACGAGGATAACGAAGTTAACGAAGTCGATGAACTCAAGAAGAAGGTGGCCGAGGCTGGCTTGTCGCCTGAGGCTCAAAAGGTCGCGGAGCGCGAACTTAGACGACTGAAGAAGATGAACCCGGCCAACGCTGAGTATGGTGTGATTCGCACTTACGTTGAGAATTTGGCCGAGATACCGTGGACAAAGGTCACCGATGATCAACTTGGCGCTGATACCCTGAAACGGGCTCGTAAACAGCTTGATGACGATCATTATGGACTCGAGAAGATCAAGAAGAGATTGCTCGAATACCTCGCGGTCTTGAAATTGAAGCAGTCTGTCAACGCCGATGTCGATCAACAAATTGCTCGTCTCACTAAGCAGCTTACTCCCACTCAAGATGGGGAGGACAGGGAGGTCGAGCAGATCCCAGACAATGAGAAAGATGCAGCCACTGCCAAGCTCCATGTCCTCAAGTCGAAGCGCATGGTGGACAAGTCTCCGATTCTCTTGTTGGTTGGACCACCTGGTACAGGCAAGACCTCTCTCGCAAAGTCCGTTGCACTTTCTCTTGGTCGAAAGTTCCATCGCATCTCCCTGGGCGGTGTTAGGGATGAAGCAGAAATCAGAGGCCATCGTCGGACGTATGTGGCGGCTATGCCAGGTCTGATTGTTAGTGGCCTGAAGAAAGTCGGCGTGGCCAACCCAGTCTTCCTCCTTGACGAGATCGACAAAGTGAGCACGAACAATTTTCACGGTGACCCTTCAGCTGCCATGCTTGAAGTTCTTGACCCAGAACAGAACCACAGCTTCAATGACCACTACGTCAACATTCCTATCGACCTAAGCAAAGTCCTCTTCATCGCCACGGCCAACTCTCTGGATACCATTCCGCCGCCTCTCCTCGACCGAATGGAAACGATTCGCCTGGCTGGCTACACGACAGTTGAGAAGCGTCACATCGCCAAGCAACATCTCATACCCAAACAAATCCGCACCAATGGTCTCTCTGAAGGACAAGTCGTCATTCCAGATGATGTCGTGGATACCATCATCACATCTTACACACGTGAATCCGGAGTCCGCAACCTCGAGCGCGAAATCGGAAGCGTGTGTCGCTACAAGGCAGTCCAGTACGCCGACGCCCGTGACGCAAATGACACTTCGAAGTATGACCCTGTTGTACGTGTCGAGGAACTTGAAGAAATCCTCGGAATAGAACGCTTCGAAGAAGAAATCGCCGAGAAGCAATCTCGTCCCGGTGTTGTGACCGGATTGGTCGCCTATTCGTCTGGTGGGCAAGGAAGCATTCTCTTTATCGAAGTCGCTGATATGCCCGGAAAGGGACGGGTGCAACTCACAGGCAAGCTGGGTGACGTGCTCAAAGAATCCGTCGAAGTCGCACTTAGCTGGGTGAAAGCCCACAGCTACGATTTGGGGTTGACGCACGACCGAGACGAAGACATCATGCAGAAACGGTCCATCCACGTCCACTGTCCCGCCGGCGCGGTGCCCAAAGACGGCCCCAGTGCTGGATTGGCGCACACCGTCGCGCTCATCTCGCTGTTCTCCGGAAAGACTGTGCCCCCGACAATCGCCATGACGGGTGAAGTGAGTCTGCGGGGACGAGTCATGCCCGTCGGAGGCATCAAGGAGAAACTCATCGGCGCCCACCGCGCCGGCGTCAAGACGGTCCTCTTACCCAATGGGAACAAAAAGGATGTCAAGGACGTGCCTGACGAGGTGAAGAAGGACTTGGAGATTGTCCATGTCAAGTAAGTTTTCCATCCTCTACTTGCTACCGGTGCATTCTTGTCGCTAACACTTTCTCTCTGCAGACATGTCTATGAAGCTCTTCGCTACATCTGGCCCGACTCGCAGTGGGCCTCGGATCGACACTTTGCGGAAGTTGAGAGCAGATTGTAATATCTACCTAGGAACGTAGGGATTCAATGCGCGCTGAAGGTGGTCTAGGCGTGGAGTACGAGGTAGTTCTCTGTTGTTGGACTCACGGGTCGTTGTTTAGCAAGCGTCAACGGTCAACCTCTCTTCCCTAGGTATATATAGCTTCTTTCGGTCCTAATCGAATCTGTTGTATACCATACTATCATTCCGTGCTCATTTGCGTTTAAACGGGTGCATTGGTGCTTCACGTAGCCAACAGGTGCCCAATCGTACAGTATTGTGTGCATCTGACGTGCAGTCCAATCGAAAAGCGTGCGGACAACCCTCGCCATTCCTGGTATGTAGCTATACAACGCAGAATTTCGTCGTGTTAATGTACAAATATTCGGGTTATTCCGGCTCTTTCTCTCCCCAAAGTACTGTAAATGCAATATTGTCACGAAGACGGTGGCTGCGAGTTGGCGTCGGAGGACCCCAATCCTCGCATAGCCCGCCAATCGTCGGCAAAATTCTGCCACGTCGGCGCCCATTTCATCTTCCCCTTGAGTAATTGCTGCGCTTGCAGGGCGATTGTCTTTCTGTGTTTCCGGTCCGGGTTCATCGTGCCCCATTCGGATTGCTCCCGGTTCCTCTCCACGATGGCTTTCATCGATTCCCAGTATCGTTCGTGTTCCCAGCTACAGTGGCAGAACTGTGTTAGCATATTATCCAAAGGACATGAGTTAAAATTGGGGTAAGCTCACGGTTCGAGGTCCTCTGGTTCTGCGGGATACACAAACGGTTTCGCCAGGAGACATGTCATTTTCTTTTTGCTGGGTGGACGAAATAATTTGCCTTTGGAGTATTGATTTCTGCCGTCTTCTCTCTCTACCTTTTGTTGAACTACCACGCTGCGGATGTGGAGGACATCGACGCCATAGACGTCTTTCAGGTAGGCTCTCAGGTCGATTTTGTTGAAGTGGAGCGGTACATCGAAAGCGGCGTAGCGAGGACCTAGATGCGGTGTGCGCATCAGGACCACGGTATCTTTGGGATCGGGGCTGGAAAAACCTTGTTAGAATAGCTCTCGTGGAGGTGGTAGACGAACTTACAAGTACACCTGCCGGCGCATGCTGAGAGGGACATTATGTGGCTGTGCAAAGTATCGGGGAGGGTTTGTCAATAGTCGAAGAATTGTCGACCTCTCGAAATTGATCGAACCAGCTGCGATGAACGACTTGACATCGGCGGATACCTCGCGCAGGCTCGGGTGGGTGTCCATGAACCTCTCGAGATTCTTCCTGTCCAGCTTCCACCATTCCGTATTTAGGCCGTCTTCGCGAAAAATGGGAGTAAATGCTTTTCGCTCCTCGGCATTGAGCCTCTCCCATGAAGACCTCTTCCACTCTTGTAGCTTTTCTTTACTGACCAGAGCATGTGCTCGGAAAAAGGGTAGACCTTTGCTGGTCTTGATGCGTCGCTTTGCGTTCCATAGTCGTGGTCCGTCGCCGCTCTGAGGATGGACTCGTTGTGTCAAAAGAAGAGGGGGAGTTCGCTTGACGTGTATCTTCGCACGAGGGGCTGTGGCACGGGGCATCGTACTGATACGAGTTCAAACGTAGAAAGGCAGTGTTTCCGGTGGTCAATGGAGACATCCGCTTGACGAACTTTTGGGAAGCTGGAAGCACTCAGTAGATGGGGAAGGTGCGCCGAGATTTTAGAGCCTCGTCCAACACATCGACTGCGACTCTGCCACGGCGGTGCCACCAGTATTGCCCCGGAGGCGCGCTGCCGGACATTATTTTGTGGATCACCAATTCACCCTTCAACCTATTCCGTAAGCTTCTTGACGCCTGCATCTGCCCTGTCTCGACTCTCTCCAGCTCGTGTCTGCAACAAAAGCGATCCTGCTCTTCAAAATCCTCAGAACACTCCCGTTCACCTCCTCACGCCGCGTAGCCTCACCCACAGTGTACCTCCGTTTTCATCCAACTCTTAGTGGCCACTGAAGGCCCTGGTGCAAGATGGCGCAGGACGAGAAGAAGCCCACCGCGGCAGAAAAGGGCAAAGGGAAGGCGGAGGATGTGCCAATGGCGAACGGAGAACACACAGCGGTACAGGAGGATAAGAAGAAAGCAGATGGCAAGCATGACGAGCCTGCGGTCGAAGAATTGAGCGAAGAGGACCAACAACTCAAGAGCGACCTCGAAATGTTGGTTGAACGATTAAAGGAAGACGATCCCTCGCTGTATAAGCCTTCGATTGACGCCATCAAGAACTTCATCAAAACATCGACCTCCTCCATGACGGCTGTCCCCAAACCTCTCAAGTTCCTACGCCCTCATTATGACGAGATTGCTGCTCTTTACGATAAATGGCAAGCTGGTCCCGACAGAGACTCACTTGCCGACATGCTGTCAGTGCTGGGCATGACTTATGGAGAAGAAGACAAGCTGGAGACGTTGAAATACAGGCTGTTGTCAAATAAATCGGACGATCTGGGGTCGTGGGGCCATGAATACATCAGACATCTCGCACTGGAAATTGGCCAAGAATACCAGAATCGCTTAACGGACGAACGAGAGGTTGGCGACCTGACAGAACTCGCTCTCTCTTTGGTGCCGTATTTCCTAAGCCACAATGCTGAAGCGGATGCCGTGGACCTACTGAGCGAGCTCGAGATGATTGAAGAGATTCCCCGATTTCTGGACGAGAATACCTTTGCGCGGGTCTGTCTGTACATGGTCAGCATGGTCAATCTCCTCACGTACCCCGACGACGTTGCCTTCCTCAAAACCGCACACGATATCTATGTCAAATACAACAAGCTTGCTCAAGCAATGGTTTTGGCAATCAGACTGAATGACCACGAGCTCATACGACAAGACCTGGAATCGACAGATGACGTTGCATTGAAAAAGCAACTGGCCTTCCTGATTGCTCGGCAGAGAATATCGATAGACGTCCCATCCGAGACGAAGGACGAGCAAGAAATCGCCGAGTGCCTCGGAAACACCCAGCTACCGAACCATTTCAAGACCCTTGCCAAAGAGTTGAACATCCTGGAGCCCAAGGTACCAGAAGATATTTACAAGACACATCTGGAGAGTGGTCGAGGAAGCTCGGCGGCTGCAGATTCGGCTAAACACAATCTGGCGAGCGCATTCGTCAATGCCTTTGTCAATGCAGGATATGGTACGGACAAGCTAATGCTGGTAGAAGGTGAGCAGCGGCCGTGGGTGTGGAAAACCAAGGACGATGGCATGCTCTCCACCACCGCATCCCTGGGCATGCTCATGCAATGGGACGTCGAAGGGAGCTTAGACATCATCGACAGATTCCAACAATCGTCAGAAGAGCCAATCAAGGCTGGTGCACTCCTCGCGTATGGCATTGTAAACTCTGGAGTCCGAATGGAGGGCGACCCTGTCATTTCACTTTTGAGCGACGACGATATTCTCCAGAGCCCGAAGCCATCGACACGCATGGCCGCCATCATGGGTCTGGGTCTGTCATATGCTGGTTCGAACCGAGAAGATCTGCTCGATTTCTTGTTGCCCATTGTCGAGGATAGCGGCTCGGAGATCCAATTGTCTGCCATGGCTGCCGTGTCTCTGGGAATGATTTTCGTGGGTTCGTCGAATCATCAAGTGGCCGAAGCGATCGCAACCCAGATGATGGACGACGACCGGCAAAAGCAGCTCAAGGATAAATGGGCAAGGTTCATGGCTCTCGGACTGGCCCTGCTCTACTTCGGCCGACAGGAGGAAGTCGACGTCATCCTGGACATTCTCAAAGCCGTCGAGCATCCCATGGCAATGCCAACAGCCACCCTTGCATCTGTTTGTGCTTGGGCTGGAACTGGAGCCGTGCTCAAGCTGCAGGAGCTTCTCCATATCTGCAATGACCACATTGAGGAAAAGGAGGAGACCACAGGCGAGCAACTCGTGCAGTCCTATGCAGTTCTCGGTCTGTCGTTGATCGCCATGGGTGAAGACGTTGGGCAGGAGATGGTCCTACGCCAGTTTGGTCATCTGATGCATTACGGGGAGGCCAACATTCGGAAAGCTGTGCCACTCGCCATGGGCCTGATCAGCCCAAGCAACCCTCAGATGAAGATCTATGACACTTTGTCGAGGTACAGCCACGATAACGACAACGACGTTGCAGTCAATGCCATCTTTGCAATGGGTTTGGTCGGAGCAGGAACAAATAATGCTCGTCTTGCGCAGCTACTGCGACAGCTCGCCAGCTACTATCACCGGGATCAGAACTCGCTCTTCATGGTCCGAATCGCTCAGGGTTTGCTCCACATGGGCAAGGGCACCATGTCCCTCAACCCCTTCCATACCGATCGACAAGTTCTGTCGAGAGTAGCGGCGGCAGGTCTTCTCACAGTTCTCGTCTCCCTCATCGACTCGAAACAATTCATCCTCGCCGACGCTCACTACCTTCTCTACTTTTTAGTTACCGCAATGTATCCCAGATTCCTGGTGACCTTGGACGAAGAACTGAAACCACTTACGGTTAACGTACGTGTGGGTCAAGCGGTGGATGTGGTCGGACAAGCTGGACGACCGCGCACCATTACTGGCTGGCAGACTCAGAGTACGCCGGTTCTGTTGGCGTATGGCGAGCGAGCTGAGCTGGAAGACGAGGAATACATTTGTTTGAGCAGCACGCTGGAAGGACTAGTTATCCTGCGCAAAGTGAGTAATACTCTGGACATCGATTTGTTCTTTGCACTGACATTAAGCAGAATCCGGAATGGGAGTCCACCAAATAGAGGGTCTGCTGTGGCATTCTTTTTCATGCATCCCACACATTGGCCCAGGCGTAGGTGGGGGGAAAGGTCCTGGATGGATCCAGAAGGGTGCCTCTGTACCATAGATAATCTAAGAGCAAGAGGGCAAACGCTCAGGGTGTGTGTCTGTGTTGCTGTCGGGCAGCTCGAGCATCTTTCCTGGCCTGCTTCGCCTGACACGGCTTGATGGTTTCACAACAAGCCTCGCGAGGCTCGAGTCACGTGCCGCATCTAGTACCTCGTAGTGAATGGCGTCATCGGCCATTGGCTGCGCTGGCCGCTCAAGTCCCGAGCATCTGTCCGTGTGTCACGCATCTGCCATCACATCGTCTAAGGCCTCCTTCAATCCCCCATTTCACCCTGTATCCCTTGTTGAGCTGGCACTATCCACGTGTCGAAGATGGCGTCGTCAAGGTGATTTGAGGGGCCTCATCATCATGACCCTGCAGTTCATTTCTATCTTACATTGTTGAGCCTTGCGGACTAGAGGCTCACTGTTGCCTCGACTCTGCCCTTGGCCCATCAGAAGATGCCGCCCTCCGATCCTCGCATCGCTGCGCTCGACTTCGACGCCAATCGAAAACGTGGACGGCGCTCGTCAGGCTCGCGTTCTCGAATTGACGATGATGACTTTGATTTCATGGGCCAGGTTGCTCAAGAGATCATTGAGCGAGATCGCATAGCAATGCGCAGAGAGGTCATCCGAATCTTGAGCTTTGTTTGCGCTGTGCTCAGTTGGTACGATATATACACAAGACTTTGAGGAGAAAGTAAGAGCTCACATTTCGCGTATAGTCTATGTGCTGGATCAATCACCTCCTTCTCCCTCTACGGCGCTCGTTTCCTCCAGGATCTGCACTACTCGCAACTTCGAGTCAATGCAGTCTCCATCACCGCCGAGTTGGCCATGTACCTCCCAGTCCCTCTCTTTGGATATCTGTGCGATCGCTACTCACCACCACCTCTGTCGCTTCTGTCCTCTATCCTCTTTGGCGCAGGTTATCTCCTCGCCGCCTATACCTACAAGTCAGGCCCTCCCCCTGACGCTACAAAACCCGGCCACGGGTGGCCTTTTGGGTTGATGATTATAGCCTTTATCGGCATTGGGGCAGGGACCAGCTGCATGTACCTCTCTGCCGTGGCCACCTGCGCCAAGAACTTCGCCAACGCAAAATATCGAGGTTTCATGCTCGCCGTACCTATCGCGGCATTTGGGTTAAGTGGCATGTGGGAATCTCAGGTTGGCGCGCACTTGCTATATGAAAAGCTGCCTAATGGTCATAAGGGAGAGGTCGACGTGTTCAAGTATTTTGTCTTTCTGGCCGGGACACTGGTTGGCGTCGGTCTTCTTGGGACATTGGGACTGCAAATCGTCGATGAGGAAGAAATGATTGATCACGGTGTGGAGAACCTTGAACGGAGTGGCCTTCTGGCCGAGAGTGAGTTCTATCGCGACACCTCCCGTGCTCCCACGCCTGTCAACTATGGCACAATTGGAGATGACGAGGAGTCTGCCGAGGGCTCTGGCTCCTTCTCCGACGACGACATGGACTCCGAAGCTGAACGGAACCTCTCCGAATCCCAGCTCCTCAAGAAGCACGAACAAGACCGCCGCCTTCGCAAGAAGAAGTACTGGCTACTCAATCATGCCACCCATACATTCCTCACCGATCGTACTATGTGGCTCCTCGCAGCGGGCTTCTTCTTGCTCACAGGACCCGGTGAAGCATACATCAACAATCTCGGCACAATCATACCGACTCTGACGCCCAAAAATTACAACTATATCGACGGCGACGGTATCAAAAATCCCCCCGCAGGCCACGCAAGCACGCATGTCTCCATCGTCGCCCTCGCATCAACCTTTGCCCGCCTCTTCACCGGAACACTCTCCGACCTCTTCGCTCCTCCCTCAAACCCCGACTCCCCACCCAGCAACCGGTTTCAATTTTCCCGCCTTGTCCTGCTTATCCCTTCAGCGTTCCTTCTTCTCCTCGCGTTCCTCAACCTGGCTATTCCCGGGCTCACGCTCCAGCATCCCAGCTTATTCCCAATCTCGTCTTCCTTGGTGGGATTGGGCTACGGGGCGTGTTTCAGTCTCGTCCCCATCATCATATCTGTGGTGTGGGGAGTGGAAAACTTTGCGACGAACTGGGGCGTCGTGGCCATGATGCCTGCTGGGGGAGCTGCCGTGTGGAGTCTTGTGTATTCAGCCGGGTACTCAGCAGGTAGCTCTCATTCTTCTCCTGATGTCGAGGACGGGGAGTGTCGAGGATACTTGTGCTTCGCGGCGTGGGCGTGGGGATGTGCCGCGAGCGTGAGCTTGGCGATCGTCTGCTGGTGTGTCGCCTGGAGGGTATGGAAGAATAGGAATGTGGTCGTGTAGCGTGCGGCGGGAGGAGCGGAAGTTGAGGTAGCGGTAGCGCACGGGAAGCTGAGAGTCGATGTGAATGTTTCGATCACTGTTCATTCCGAAGATACAAGAGCTCGCAGCCGTCACCGCGAGAACGGGAAGGGGAAGCATCGTGCAGATGCAGATATCGGAGCCCCAGAGCGAGAGCAAAACGAGCAGGCCGTTGAAGCTGAAGAGGAGAGGACCTCCCTCTCTCGCACGAGACAGCCCTGCGACATTCACGTACGTGTGCGCTGACCTCAAAAGTTTGAGGACAAATGCACCCATCACCCATCACCATTGGAATTGATGACCTGGATAGCGGTTTTTGGGGGGATTCCCCTGCATTTATGTACTTCACGGCCTTCTTTTTCTTCTTCCATGGCGATGGCGTTCTTTTGTCTTGAATTGCGCTGCTGGGCTGGGATAAGCCGGGCTGAGCTGCGCTGGACTGTCGAGCACCGAGCGTTTCATCATTGTATAGGGCGGGCGTGGGCGTAGGGTGTGTGAAATTGCATACATCCATACTAGGAACATACCTAGGTATATACATACAGATACATGATCCGAGTGAGCAAGGATGAGTACCGTACAAGGGACGACCGACCACCTGCCACCTGTAGCACGGCCCTTGCTTTTTCTTTCTTCGAAAGGGAGGAGGGGCCACAATTCCAAGCGTCCTTGAATTTATTTGCCTGGCAATTCCTATTCTGATCGATCTCTCTCTCTCTCTGTGTCTCTCTTTCGCGCCTTTCTTCCATCATGGAAAAAGTCCTTGCCGTTCCACGTTCCACGTTCCACGTTCCACCTTACTTTCGCACATGGGTATCTTTGTTTGTTGCATGTCATTATCGTTACTCGATGTCACACCCCCCTCCCTCACTTCTATCCTTCCTCTCTCATTCATGATCTCTTCGCCCCTTTTGGGCTCAACGCCCATGATATCTAACTGGGCGGGTTTCCTTGCAGCAGGGAGTTTTCCGATGTTCATGCCAGGACTTGCCTTCCATTTGTGGCTCCCAGTGCATGCCAACTGCAAACGACCTGCAGTGCATGATTCCCCGGCGCCTCATTCCGACCAGTGTTGATTTCCCCAGCGCCATGCCAATAATACATACCAAGTCTAGGATACTGAAACCTGAAGACCAGCAAATCAAACCAAATCCCATGCCGCGACGCCAGTAAATCCCATTCCGACTCTGCCCTTCCCTTCCCGAAACTCCATCACTGTCAAGCCTCGAGCGTCCTGCCTATTACCGAAAGTCGTAACCGCGAACAGCGTGATGGTCTGCCCGGGAGCCCCCAGCTGGCGAGCTGGGATATCCACCACCCACATATCACCACCCTGTCCCATAGGCCCGGGATAGTAGTCCATGGGGACAAGATCCTTATCTCGGCCATCGACTCCATTGATTGAGACGATGAACACAGGGGGTGGTCCTTTCCGCGTGTGTTGTTCCAGCGTCCAGTGCGCACATCTCAGACCGAACTGGAATCGGACATTATCAGGTTGCCGGACGTTGATTTTCCTTGCTCGTGGATAGACCGTCTTCTCACCAATAGAGTAATCTTCCGTGGCGTTTGTAAATATCGTAGGTCCTTCAACCATGTCAGGCCAGCAGGCAGGGTCGATCACGATATATTCTTCCCAGCTCATGCGCCGTCCTCCAGGAAGGAAAAACTGGTCTTTGTTGCCTGGGAAATGCTTGACCGCAAATTCCTCGTTCGACATGGTGAAGAAATCGGGGTTGAATTTGGCCACGTAGGGCCGACCTGCACCTTGGACATAACCAGCTCCCCAGCATGTATCGATGAGTTTCCACTCTCCATTGTCGATTTTAACAGCATTCCATGCATGGCCTGCGTTATACGGCGGAAGAGGAGCTCCTGGTGGTAGAGGGTTGAATCCATAGCCTTTTCCATGGCCTGAGATAACCACAGATTCTAGGCCAGCGTAGGTAGCTAGGTTTGTGAACAGAGCAGCATAGCCTTCACAAACTGCCAGCCCGCTTTGTAGAGTTGACTGTGGCGTTGAACCCCTTACGTTGTTATTGAAGAAGCTGACAACGTCGTAGGCAATATTGTGGTGCAGCCAAGTAAAGATTGCTCGCGCCTTGTCGGTGGGAGACGGAAATGGAGAGGTCAGTTGATGGGCTAAAGCCTGTAAAGAGGTAACCTGGGTTCTAGGGAAAAGAGTAGCTTGATGATCCGGGCCAGAAAAGTCGCGGCAGACGAGACAGACACTGGAAGCGGCAGATAGACTGCCATTTACTGAAGTTGTGCTTGCAGCAAATTTGGGCTTGGTTGCCTGTAGGGCCGAGAGATCTGGTCGAGAGGACTTTGGCACCGGCGGCGGAGCCGACTGGGCGCCTCCCAAGTGGCCATTCAAGGTCTCTCCCATTGAGATAGGTGCATTCTCTTTGGCTGGCAGTATGACTCCATGCTCTCGCAAGGGCAAAGATATGGTTTCCTTCAGCGGCAGTTGGACTGGCTCCATGACGGGGACCGGTTCCTGGTGATTAGATTGTGCTTTTGGAGTGTTGTACAAGAACGCAGCCTTCTTCGCCTTTTCTATTGATTCGACCGAGGGGACGGGAGGCATCTTTCTAAGCGTAGCCTCTCCGGTATGTTCCCGGTGTTCAGCCTCATGCTTGCGGGAAGGGAGCCTCGGCGGAAGGGAGGGACGCGGAGGAGGAGCAGGTCTGGCTTCCGCAGTGGTAGTTGTTGAGACAAGTGATGTGCTTGAAGGAGCTCGATTGACGTATTTGGGGCGGTCCTCCGAGTATTTCCTGGTGGCCACATGCGGATTACCATTCCGAGGAGGCAGAGAAGGCAGTTCGCACTCGCCCCATGCAGGTGCTTTGATGCGGCTGGCCGAGTCTGTAGACTTCGTACGAGTAGTCGTGGCCTTTGAGGAGGCTGTGTCATTTGTACCACTGGAATTGATCGATGTCACCGAACCCCTTCTCTGTTCTTCGAGCGAGTGATTTCGAGAGGGAAGAGGCGGAGGCTGTTTCCTCGCCGGAGGTGGAGGAGCAGGTTGATTCCCTGGCCGTGGGTCGGTAATTGAGCCATTGACCTGTTCTGGAGGGATATTGACGGTATTCTGTTTGAGTATAGGGGGACGCCTGGAAGGGACGGGAGGAGGAGGGTGAGACGAGGCCCGGGGCGGCTCTCCAGGTATTCGACCAATATGGGCAGCATTCAACGCGGCGATACGCTGCTGGAGCGTCAGAGTGACAAAAGAGGGATCTTCGCTCATAGCTGACAATCAACAATGTTGTAGCCTAGAGTGGAGTGTAAGGAGGACAAGAGAGTGTGGTCGTCATCTCAGGATGACCATGATTGTAAACGAGCGCAAGGTCGAGGGTAACAGACTGAGGATCAGAGCGTGAGAGAGTGAGAGAGTGAGCGACATGCGACACGAAGCACAGCCATAGAAGCACAGCCAGACTGCGTACGAGGCACGCGGCGTTGCGCAGGATGACGGTTGGCCTGCCAAATGCCTGCGCACCTGCGGCGAAAGGGGCTGAAACCGCACGTGACCTGCACGTGAGGGTCTGGCCAGGCTTTGTCAGGTCGAGAGGGTATGTCCTTCTGTGCAGTCAAACAAGTTACTTGTGCCTGTATCAGCGGTTGATGGTGACACTGAGCATTTTTGTGTACGAACACCAACGATTCTTTCTCCGCTATGAGCTTGGGATGGGCTCAAAGCTGTGACTGAGGCCTATTTACCTATCCAGTTAATCCTCAGCCTTGCCCGGGCGGGGCTCTAGCCCCTTGCGGAGGTGTCGACAGTACACCGTAATCCCAACATAAGAGATTCAGTGCCTACCGAGACATGAATAGACAAGATTCTTCGTAGTTCAGGACAAAGTGTCGCATACTGGAAACGACAGCCTCGAATTCAAGCTACGGGTGTTTGGCGAGCTGAAACCCGAAATGTGCCAAAACGTTGTAGCGATATCCTTCAGCCTTACGTGTCAAACAGGTCACGGCCAGCACACGCCTTCAGAGAGGAGTGGATGCAAACTGCGCATTTGCTGGGCGAAAAGTCCTGTAGCGGAGAGGGCGAGAAAATTGGTTCCATGACAGATCAAGCTCCTCAAGATCCTGTTGGACACACCCTTGCTATCCATGCTTCGCTAACCGTTTTCTAACCTAAGCAATCCAAGGCCCGCATGTGGCTGAAGTTTGTTCCGCCACTGCCATAAAGGTCGACCCCTACAATGTGAGGACTCAAGGTAGGCCAATAATTCTTTCCTGAGGTCATCCTCCTGCAGGTTCCGTTCCTTATTGGATCGAACTCTAAGTGCTTCTTAATGTTGTTGCATTTCAACTCCGCCAGCCTTGTCTCGGTCTCTCCGCGCAAGGCTGCCCCCCTTTCACCTCTTGGGGGCAGTGGGTTTGTCACAACAGTTGGCTGGACAAAGAAATGGACTTTCCGTTGGTCCATGAAGAATCCATTTTGAGCCTCGCACCAGTTCCCGTGTTCGTGTTCGTGAAGATTGTTCAGCACCTGCGGATTGACCAGAAAATTTTGAGCTTCTCACCAGCTCTCGTGTTCGTATTCGTGAAGGTTGTTCAGCGCCTGCGGAGAGACCAGGAAAACCGCACAGCTCCCCTCGATACAACAAAGTGAGCGTTTCCGAGTCTTGCAGCATCAGGAGCGCTTACATCTTGAACATGGGACACGAATCTCCCATGGCACCTAGACTAGGAACATCCAGCTGACACTGCAGGGGAGGAAATGCGATAAAACAACTCCTGGAGGAAAGGCATGGCCTGGATTTCTTTCGGGCTCTTCCAAGACTCTGGCTGGCTACGTACATGGGTCTTTAATGAGCACGCCAGAGCTCGATGAAGCTGACCTGCAGTTGCCCTCCCCTTTCGTGTTTCCGAAGCACCTGCTTGTCTGCCCCGACCCGACTTTTGTGTGACTCGAATTCCTACGTCCAATGCACAACAGCAATACCAGCACGGGCTCTGGGCGTGTGGAAATGGCAGGAGAGTGTGCCAAGAAGCCATGGGGTTCAGCTCCGGTCTCAGTTATCCGGCCTCTTTTGTGTCCGTTTGCCCTTATTGAGTAGGTGGAAGGGTTTTTGCTCTTCTTCTCTGGAATCGCTCTTGCCTGTAGTTCTGACAGGATTTGGAACCTTCAATTCAACGCAAAGGGACATTTATTCACTATTATTGTCTGCAGTGCCTCAACCCGGGAACATTCACGCAATGAAGACCCTTCTTCTTACTCTGCTATGTCTTGCAACCAAAGCATTCTCATGGGGCGAGCTTGGCCATCGTACCGTTGGCTATCTCGCCCAGACATACTTCACCTCCGAGGCTGAGAGTCTGTTCAACGAGCTCGTGCGTCCAAGCGAGTCATTTGACATCTCGGACGGTGCGGTTTGGGCCGATGAGTTTGCCACGCACAGAATGCCCTGGTCCAGGCCATGGCATTTTATCGATGCAAAAGACAACCCGCCGGAGGAATGCAACGTCAACTTCAACGCGGACTGCGACCCGGACAAGAAATGTGTCATCGCGGCCATCGCTAACATGGTGAGATTTGCCAAAGTCCTTTGTTTTTCTGTGCAGATTTTGTAGAACTCAGCAAAACATTTCATGCCCTTTTGTCTGACAATGGAGAAATCAGACCGCCCAGGTCAACAATCCACGTCTGAGTGCAAAAGACCAGAGCGACGCATTGAAATTCCTCCTGCACTTCCTTGGCGACGTCACCCAGCCCTTGCACACGGAGTAGAAATGCCGCGGAGGTACCAAGCTGATGGTGCAGTGGGGGAAAGCGAGCTCCAAAGAGGAAGACCTCCACCAGGTCTGGGACACGCTCATCATCCAGAAGCTGCGAGGTTATAGGAAGCCGCATGAGAGGAGCCACGCGGACAATAATGAATACGACAAGCAGCTCACGGCGCAGTGGGCGACAGAGCTCAAGGGGAAGCTCGACGAGGACGGCGGCATTGACGTGTCGGACGAATGCACCGACATTGCCATGCCACAGAAGTGCGCTCTGGCATGGGCGTCCGAGGCCAACGCCTTCGTCTGCAGCTATGTGCTTAAGGACGTCGGGACCAATCTCGGCCCGGACCCCTGTGACGAGTGCTGCGAGTGGGACTGGCAGGGTCCCGAGGACCTGTCCAAGGAGTACTACCAGGGCGCCGTGCCCATCGTCGAGGAACAGATTGCCAAAGCCGGGTGGAGACTGGGCCAGTGGATCAACGCGTTGGCGGAGCAGCGAGTGAGCATGAAGAGAGCCGGCGTGGTGTTCGTTGGCGACGGCAACCACTTGCAGGTGCAGCCGAAACTGGAGATGTAGGCGCTGCAGGCACAGTATGGCAAGGATTGCAGTCCACCAAGTGTCGATGAGGTCAGACGAATTTGCTGTGTTCACTGGCCACACAGATTGGGCGCCTCTTGATGTGCTCTGCTTAAACAGTCGTTTCATGGACCTTGAGAAGTCCCTCATCCAACAAATGATATGTAACGCATTGCAGCTGAACGAGGATTCTGGAATGAGAAAGGATAGTTTCGCGGCTATAGCTGTGCCGATAAGGTGCTGTTGATAGCATTTGTTTTGTTCTGTGATGTTCCAGGTAGGCATATAGAGGTAAATACTTACCTAGGGAGGTATCTAGGGGTGAGGACAAGGCTGATGCCCCCTATTTCGACACCCCACAGGGTGGTCAGGTGGGGTTGGCTCTGTCTGACAGCCTCGGTTTCTTTCTCATTTCCACGCACGAGGTACATTGTCTCGTCAGACGGACGACAATGAACAACCATTGCCCCACGCTCTCCACATCCGGAATGCGAACAACCCATTTTCATAAATCTGCCGAAAAACACTTGTGGTGGAGTAAAACAGACGAAGCTCGGGCTAACAGAGTACGAGGTACATTAACTCGACCCCATCCCCATGACCTAATAATCCTTGGTCATGATACAAGTTGGAACTTCCCATCCCTAAACAGCATCATTCCAACGAAACTGCACAATGGCCTTCGAACGGATCTGTCTCATCGGCGCCTCGGGCAACCTAGGCCGCCTGATCCTCAAACACCTTTTGGCGTCCCCGCAAAATTTCCATGTCAGTGTTCTATCACGCAATTCGTCTCCGGCGAAATTCCCAGATGGTGTAACTGTGGTCCGCGTCGCCGACGACTACCCCGTGGCAGAACTCACGAGGACATTCAAGGACAATAGTATTGATGTGGTCATCTCGGCGATATCCATGATGGGCATGCACGAACAGTACAAGTTCATCGAGGCGTGCCTGGGCGCGGGTGTGAAGCGGTATTTCCCCACAGAGTTCGGGCTTGATGATCTGCCGGATTGGTTGTTGCAGTTACGGGACATGTTCAAGATCAAGCACGACGTGCGCGACTACTTGATCTCCAAGCAAGACACGGGGCTGGAGTGGACCAGTATCTGCTGCAACGCCTTTTTCGAGATGGGCATCGCTTCGGGGTTTTTCCAGCTGGACTGGAAATCTAAGAAAGCCGTGCTGGTCGATGGTGGGGAGCCAAAGTTTGTGGCCACGACGCTGGATACGGTTGCGTTGGCGGTCGTCAAGGCAATTGAGAAGCCCGAGGTCTCAAAAAACCGGATTCTGTTGGTCCAGGATTTCAGGACGAGCCAAAGGGAGATTTTGGACGCCGTGCAGCAGAAAGTTCCTGGGTGGCAGGTGGAGAATGTTGAATACGGATCGTGGCTGGAGAAGGGCAAGGAGCAGGTCAGGAGCGGCGATAATAGCGCACTGCCAAAGTTGACTTTTGGCACGTTCGCTCAGGGAAATCAGTACGAAGGGAGGCCAGAGTTTGGGAATCAGGTGTTGGGTCTGCCGACCAAATCCTTCTCGGAAGCCATGGGGATTTTCTGGGACGAATACGGCGGTCAGCTGAAAGTCTAAGGTCTAGACTGTGTCCGACGGCGTGCGGTCTAAGCCAGGTCCCCGAGGTATGCGGCAGGTCAAGACGACCTTCTGAAGAAAAGGATCTCTGTCTCAAGATCCAGTATCTCGAACTGGTGATATTTTTGTGGATGTCGATTAGATGCTCAGTCAATCCAGTCGTTGGAAGAGGCCACAATCGCAGTCCGGTTGGCCTCCTGCCCAGACCTTCCCACAACGGTAGCAGAACTCGGTGGCGCAAATGCATGTCATGTGGTTGCATCCTGCCCTTTTCTCCACAAGATGGCCGCACCAGGGACAGAATTTCCATTTCTCTTTCCGAACGAGCGCTTGCAGCTTCTTGTCGCGCTTGCATATCCCACCGTGTTCCTTTCCCCTACTGGCCATACACATCCTCTTCTTACAGACGTGGCATTTAGCGTAGTCTCCCATGCCTGAAGCCCCTGGAATATACGCAAGGCAGTCTTCCCATGGACAGTATATTGGGTTCGCAGTGTGGAGTTCTTGAAGCCAGAGACCCAACGCATCGAGCAACTCCGCATCCAGGCCGCCGACTTCGCGGAGCGTCTTGAGTGGTACGCTCTGGCCACAGCATTTCAACTCTTGTCTCGTCTTGAACATGTTCTGTAGACCGTCTGCAACTCTCATTAGCCCCAAGACTGCCGGAGGGTAAGGATGATAATGACTTGCCGTTGAGGCATTCGACACAGAACGCATGGCGACACTTCAAAGTTACGAGGTCAACCCTGAAGAACGGGTCCATGCAAACAGCACAGTCGACTACATCAAAAGACGGGTCCGCAGTGACACTTTCCTGCCGTCCTGTACCTGCCTTTACCTTGGCTCGAACAGCCAAGCGCCTTAGAATAGCAGCTCTCTGAGCAGACTTCCGTTGAGAGTCCTCCTCTGTATCTCCCGGCTGTTGGATATGTGCTTGCAGGGCTTTGTGCACCGTGTTAAACTCCTCGATGGCGTCGTACAGACAGACAGTTCCAGGGTAATGCACGGCGGGGACGCAAGCGCCCAAGTAGACGGCATTCTGTTGGACTTCTTGCTTCCTGCTCTCCGCAAGGCTATCAACTCCCAGGACCTGCGGGGATGATTGGGGATAGTCATCGAAGACGCGGAGCAGGAATGAATAGTTGAAGCCAGGGAGTTTGACGGACACTGTGGTGTGGTTGGCGTCGGAAAAGGTGGCGCTCATGGAACCCTCGCCGTAGATGGCGTTGAGGGCGTAGATCTCGTCGGCCAATGAGGGATTATGGATCAACATGGTGAAGGTCACATTTCGAATGGAATTGCGATTGGTAGGAAGATGATTAGGCGAGTTGGTTGAGGTGAGAGTGAGGATCTAGCGAGGAGATGCGAGACCCAGGCGGGGTGATAAATCGGCACTTCTTTCAACATTGTATGGCTGGTATATCATCTCTCACATGCTTCGCAAGGAGCCCTAGCAATTAGTCAGTCAGGACCAGGTAAGTTCACTACAGTCACAGCCAGTGCCGTGAAAGGCTGTAAATGAGTCATGTCACGTCGCGGCTCTCACACTGTCGCTGCCTGAGGCTGTGAAGCAGTTGAGGCTTAGACGCCTTGGCACCTTTCTGCTTTTAGAGTGCCTACCTACCTTCTAGTAGGTAGATACCCTTTCAGAGTTCTTGTTCGGTGTTCCCACAAGTCACCGCGAGCATCAATCCCGATAATGCTTTGTAATGCTTTTCGTCCTTCAGCTCCCTTGTCTGCTTCAAGTACTGCCTTCTCTGATATCCCCTTGACCTGCACATCTATTTCATCTCGAACGTCTCCTGAGCGACCTCCTCTTGCTCCTCAACACCACCCTTTTCTCCTGCCTCAGGGTCACCTCGGAGTCTCGCTTCCAAGACATGTTTGTACTCTTTCTTCGCAAAGAGCACATCGATCTCCTCCAAGCTCAGACCCTTTGTCTCCTTGACACAGAAATAGACGAACGGTACGGCCAAGACGTTGAACACGCAGAACAGCAGGTAAAATTTCCACCCCGAGGCTTGAATCCCCATCGGTCCAAACTTGACCACGATGAATGTGATGATCCATTGGGTGAAGACACCCATAGAAGTACCAACATGACGACTGTAGACGATCGTTAGCTTGTGCTAGACAGTTTCAGAAAGAGAGAAAGGGAGAGAAGGTTACTCACACATGGAGAGGTGCAATTTCTGGAACATACTAAAATATCACAATCAGCAATACCCTCGTCAGAATCTGTGAAATAACCTACGATCCATGGCGCATCGCACCAGGAAGCTCCAAAAACAAACTCGAACAAGAAGATGCTGACCACAGCAAGCTTGTTGGAAGAGTCATTGTTGACGGCGAGTCCGATGGTAAACAGAATCATGAATGTAGAGCAGAAAATGGCTCCCCATAACATGACGGATCGTCGGCCGAACTTCTCCATTGTCCATATGGTCGAGCAAGTTCCACCAAGGAAGAGTAATGTAACACCACCGCTTGTAATGGCAGCTTGATTTTGTGACATGCCGAGAGAATGGATGAAGAGAAAGGTCGCGTAGTATGAGACAATATTATTGCTTTGCATAGCCAAAGAGGTCAAGTCAGCAATAATTCATGGCTTGGCCAGTAGGATACCGGTAGAAACCTCTCCCACTGGACCTGAGAAGTGAGAAATAAGGACGAGGGAAAGATTTCTACCCACCCATCCATTTGTTGGAAGAACTATCAAACGTTAGCCCGACCACTCTTCTCCCAAGAGAGGTTACAGATTGCCTCACCTGAACTAAGACACCAAGCCACAGTCGCCATGTCGTATTTACCGGGGAGTCGTCGTAAAACAAGTTCTTGAAATTGAAGCTGTACTCTTTCTCTGCCTCGAGAGCCGCAAACACATCGGAGCGTTGCTTGGCCACCACCTCGCTGTCAATCGGGACAGAGTAGATGCGAGCCATGATATGATCGGCGTCGGCAATCTGGCCATTGGCGTAAAGGTAGCGAGGCGACTCGGGGAGGAAGAAGATCATGGCGAAGGTCAACAAAATAAAGACGACCTGGAAGGCGATCGGCAAGCGCCAAACAGCCTCTGTATTGGGGTAATTGTGAATCATGCCGTAGTCAAACCAGTAGGCGATTGTCAGGCCCAGGATGACTATTGAAAGTTGAGCTGCGATCAAGGCGCCTCGGGTCTTTGCTTTGGCCGTCTCGGCAACCCAGACTGGCACCATCACGGTGATAATGCCCATACCAAGGCCAGCAATGACACGACCCGAGATCAGGTACGAGGTACCGTGGGCTCCAGCTTGCAGACCAGCTCCGAGACAGATAAGAATTCCCCCAGTCACAATGAACAGGCGGCGACCGAGCAGCTGGCCGACGAAACCGCAAATGATGCATCCGGTCAGACAACCGATGTCGTAGATCGCCACGACTGTACCTTGCAGATCCGCAGCATTGGGATCGATGTGGTTCGCTGACAGGAAAGTAGGGAGGGCAATGAGACCGCCCAGGACGCCTTGGTCATATCCTAGGATACGACACAGTTAGGAGCGAGCACATCTCGCATACTTCTGGAAATGGAAATACCGAAGAGGGTGAAGGCCCAGGCTGAGCACAGGGTGATGGCTGCCTGGAGCCAGAATCCTTTGACAGATCCGGCGTAACCTCTGTTGAAGGCCGACATGTTGTTAGGGGCTGACCACAATGATCACGCAGATCGGGTGTCCAGGAGTTCTGTGAGAGATCATAGCAGAGTTGATGGGTAGTCGCCGGATATATGCAAAACAGCAGATCAGATCTGCTTCGGGACTCGTCTTCCATGAGGGACTGTTGCGTGGGATGGTCTGCATATCCTATCCACTCTGGAGCATACCGTGCTGGAGAGTTTTCCTTGTAGGATCCGGTTATAGGCCTGGGTAACCCAACCACAGATAAAGGAGTATACCTGATCTACTCGCAGAGTTGCCGCCTTTGTGCGGAGATTGTGGAGGCTCTGGTACCATGTTATGCACCTACCTGGTAACCCCATATTGAAGGTTGCGGAGCCGTGGAGTTGATCGTCGCAGGACAACGCACGAGGTCCTGTGACATACAGGGGTTCCTTGCATCTGGCCTCCTGACTCGAGGTTTTGGTAGTCATACGCGAGAGGGAGGAGAACGGTGAACAGTGCGGTAAGTTGTGGTAGCGGCAATACACCCCGGATAGACGATATTGATCGTCGTAGAAGTCCCTGCTATTCAATCATCAATCTAAATGTAGGTGCGACTATTACCGGGCCCCCACATTGGATATTTGCAGAGAAAGAGAGGTGGGAAGCGTTAGAATTAGCTTTCAATCAAAACGAAACGCCCCGATGGTGCTTTCTAACCCGCCGTACAGGGCCGTTGCCAGTTGAGATTGCAGCAGAGGTTCAGCCTACATAAGTCTAGTTGTATCTATAGTAGGAAGTGCGGTCAAGTCTCTATCGTAACTATCTAGACAAATATATGCCTCTTTTCACCGGATGTCGTGGAAGCCACCATCGTTCACCACCAGTGATCCATTCATATAGCTACTCTCGTCGCTCAACAAGAAGCTCAAGACGTTTGCTTGCTCCTCCGCAAAAGCCATTCTTCGTAAGGCAATAGCTTTACTGACCGGAGACTCCTCGTTTTCTTTAGATCCAATCGTCCCTTCGGCGCCCATCGACTTCACGATCATTTGAGTCAAAGTCCACCCCGGACACAGAGCATTGACTCGGATCCCATCAGGCCCGTAGAATTTCGCTCCATTTTTGGTCACTCCGACAGCAGCATACTTGGAGGGTGTGTATGCTGCTAAGCCGGCTGCTTGAAGTCCTGAGATGGAGACGACGTTGGCAATGGCACCTCGTTGCGCTGGAATATTGTGTGCGCACGGTGGTTCGAACGAGACGGGACAAGGATCCTGAGTCTTCATTTGCAACGCCTGGTATTTCTGGCACAGCCACAAACCCTTGGTATTGATGGCGTGCGTCCTGCGATGGGTGTTAGAATGTGCTGGACAGCAGCATCAAGCTTCTTCACACCTTTCAAAGAGCTCGGTGGTGATACTTTCTTCTTCCGACCATATAGTTTCGCAGATTCCGGCACAGTTGGCAGCGTAGTCGAGCCGACCTGTCCACTCTGTCGACGAGGCAATAGCGTCTTTGACCTGCTGCTCCTGCGTGACATCGAGTTTGAGGAACTTGGTCTTGACATTCCATTTCTTGGCCACCTCATCCGACACCTTTGTGCCTTGTTGTTCGTCCATGTCAGCCACCACGACTGAAATACCACGGCTAGCAAGTTTGTGAGCAGTGGCTCGTCCAATACCACCACTTCCGCCGGTGATGAAAGCCACACGCTGTGCCATGCTGGCCATATTTCTCCAATGCTGAGAGTTGAAGGCAGGATAAGAAGCTCATGAGGTCGAATTTGCGGCCTATATCGAGCACCTACCTCACATTAGGAAGGGTAGCACGGGGATCAAGCCGCGAGACCGTTCATCATGCTTTGCACCACCATGGAGATCTATATCTCCATGGGGAATGGTAACCACGCACATGACTGCAGCCTTTTGAGAGATGCGGGGAAGATGGGCAGAGGTTCGTATCGCCGGGCCGAGGGTGAGGATATCCTGGTGACAGGCTTGACCGGGTAGAACCAAGCGAAGAGCCCTTTACAACTCCTTGGCGAAGAGCCAGCCAGTTGGATGCAGTATTGCCAAGTGGACGACCCTCTGCGACGTGCTATAACAGCCCCGCAACGCTGTCGCCATACAACCGCTGCTCTATCCCTTGAGAAAGTCCAAACTCTGGCAGAGTTACCGGGTCCGGTTCAAGGAGCGAGGGAAGAAACACAAGATTAAGTGCTTACCGCGTAGTCTCAGGTCAAAGGGGAACGAGAGTCCCCTTCTTTCCCCCACCATGGAAATTTCCGAAAATCCCCATTCCACGGCATTCAAAACCCGGCGGACTAAAAGATAGATTGGTTTGATAGAGCCTGTCAGAGATACAGAGGGACATCGCTAACGCATCAACCAGCAGCGACCCCGCTTGATATCCGATATCCAGCCCGTTGCCGTCGCTCTAGATCCCCAGATCCCCCTCTGCATGTACAGTCGCCATCTAACCGACCTTCTAGGACCTCTGCGCTCATTCTGTTCTCTCTGAATATTTCCATGTTTTGTGTTGCAATAACCGTCCAATCTCCGCTTGAGCATTGATTCATTTCGATTATCAAAGATGGCACGCGTAGAGACGGATTTCGACGCCCTTATCGTCGGGGCAGGCTTCGGCGGCATCTACCAGCTATATCGGCTGAGGGAGATAGGCCTCTCTTGCAAGGTGATAGATATGGCCAGCGATGTCGGGGGTACCTGGTATTGGAATCGCTACCCTGGCGCCATGAGCGACACAGAGAGCTTCGTCTATCGGTTTTCGTGGGACAAAGAGGATTTGCGAACTTACCCATGGACTCATCACTATGTCAAACAGCCTGACGTTCTAGCATACCTAGAACATGTAGTCGAGCGACACAACCTTCGAAAGGATATGCAGTTCAACACCGAACTCCTCTCGGCCGTCTGGAACGACACATCCAAGTATTGGCAAGTGGAACTAAGCACTGGGGAGAGCCTCAAGGTGCGCTATCTCGTCACCGCACTGGGCTTGCTGTCGAAAGCCAACTACCCGGACATCCCTGGTATCGACACGTTCCAGGGGCTGAAGATTCACACGGCCAAATGGCCTCGAGGACTCGACCTGACGGGCAAGCGTGTGGGCATTATCGGCTGCGGCTCGACAGGAGTGCAGGTCATCACCGACATCGCCTCGCGGGTCAAGTCTCTGACCTGCTTCCAGCGCCATCCTCAGTACAGCGTGCCCAGCGGCGATCGGCCTGTCGACCCGGCCTACCGCGAGTGGGTGAATGCCAACTACGACGCCATCTGGGCCCAAGTCAAAGACTCGACCGTGGGGTTTGGGTTCGTCGAGTCGACGACCCCCTTCAAGTCCGTGACTTCGCAAGAGGAACGCGACACGATCTTCGAGACGCTCTGGGAGGCCGGCAACGGCTTCCGTTTCATGTTCGGCGGCTTCAACGACCTGGCCACGGACCGGGAAGCCAACGAGGCCGCGTGCGAGTTCATCCGCAACAAGATCCGGCAGATCGTCAAGGACCCCGAAAAGGCGCGCAAGCTGCAGCCGCACGACTACTACGCTCGCAGACCGCTCTGCGACGGCGGATACTTTGAGCAGTTCAACCGCGACAATGTCGATATAGTACACCTACAAGAAACGCCGATCACGCGTATCACCGAGCGCGGCGTCCTTACCAGCGATAACAAACTGTACGAGCTCGACGTGCTCATCTTCGCCACGGGCTTCGACGCCATCGAGGGCAACTACAACCGCATCCGCATCCGCGGGCGCAACGGCCTCACCCTCAAGGACTACTGGGACCCCCAGGGGCCGACGAGCTACTTGGGCGTCTCGGTGCCTCACTTCCCCAACCTCCTACTGATCACAGGCCCTCAGGGCCCCTTCACCAACCTGCCCCCCGCCCTCGAGGCCCACGTCGACCTCATCTCGCGTCTGATCGCCCGCGCAGAGGAGCTCCGCAAGGCAAGCTCCCCGGAACCCAACCCGACGACACCCGTCGTCGAGGTGACGCCCGAGGCCGAGAAGGAGTGGTGTCTCGAGTGCGAGCGCGTCGCCGAGGGCAGCTTGTTCAAGGAGACGGCTAGTTGGATCTTCGGCCAGAACGTGCCGGGCAAGAAATACGCCTTGCGCTTCTTCTTTGGTGGCCTCAAGGCCTTTTACGAGCATGTGCAGAGGGTCATTGATAATGGCTACGTTGGGTTCAAGGGCCTGGGAGAAAGCAAAGGAGATGAGCCAGTGACGGCGGTTGAGTCGAGGCCCCTGACAGCACGCTTGTAAGATGGTTGGCTTAGGAACACAAAGACAAGAATTGAGATACGAAATGCACAACAATTTGGAGTAATGTCTTGAATTTCTTTATGGATGCCAAAACCCTCCCTGTCCTGCATAGCCCTCGTTGATTAAACGCAAAAGCAATTTCTGATGCATTCAAAAAGCACTGAATCAAGTACAATGTTGTCGTGAGTCGTGACCAAGTGTTCCACTCTGTATCAGCTCGTTCCAAAAAAGACCCATCCGGTCATTTAACGACCACAAGCAGCAGTTGCTGTTAGTCGGTCGGTGTGTCAATCTAGTATCTGCTGCCACCACCCCAGCTGCTATTGCCGCTGCTGTGGTGCTGCTTCTTCTTATCCTTCAAAAAGTCTTCGGCGACGCTACCGAGAAGAGCGCCTCCAATGGTTCCCAGGAAGCCGTGGCCGGCCTGTTTGCCCAAGAAATGGCCGCCAAAGCCGCCACCGATGGCGCCGAGAAGGCCACGATCGCTCTCAGTCATGGGTGGAGCGTTCGGGTCGTAGTTTGGCGCATTGGGATCGGTGGACTGAGGGGAAAACTGGTGGTTGGCCACTTCCGGTGGCAGCTGTGTGCCCTGACCTTGCTGTTGGCCACCACCCTGAGCCATTTGTTGCTGGTAGGCCTGGTTCTGGGCGTAGGCGTCGTTGCTGCCGTATTGCTGAGGGGCATTGTTGCCACCATAGTAGCCCGAATGACCTTGTGGGTTGCTAGCGTCGTAGGAACCATATTGGTAGCCAGCTTGACCGTGCTGGAAGCCGCCAGCTTGTGGGGGGCCGAAGGAGTCTTGTCGGCGAGGTGGGCCGAAGCCTTGGTCTTGAGGAGGATATTGTTGGTAGCCTTGCTGCGGAGGATACTGTTGACCGTATCCCTGCTGAGGAGGGTAGCCTTGTTGACCGCCTCCATATCCCTGTTGAGGGTACTGGGAGCCGTAGCCCTGACCGCCGCCGCCGCCGTAGGAATCGTAAGGACCAGACATTGTGAATGGAGGGGGTGTGGTGAGGATGAAAGTAAGAGGATAGGAGGTAAGGTAGGTGTGAAGCCTGTAGTGAAAGTGATTCGATGTCTGAAGAGTAAGGAGATGGATAAAGTTGATGAAAGAAGGAAGATTTATACAAGGTGAGAAGGATGTGGGAAGAGCTTGCGCAGCTCGAGGGAATCCAGACCGCAGACTGCAGCGTAGCGATTCGAGGGCTGGGTGAGGGTGAGGGTGAGGGTGATGGTGAATCCGGACTGAGCGACTCAGCAGTTATTCACTCGCATAATGCGCAGCTGAGCCCCGCGGCAAAGGACAGAAGAACCCCTCCTTTCGAGGATCCTTTGGAGGGGACTGGCCCATTTCCGGGTGCCTCGTGCCCTCTGAGTGGTCACCGGGCTGTCCTTTCAGGTGGTTCTGGCGGTCCACATGGGCCCCCCAAGTCCGAGAGTGATGCCTATTACGCACAGTGCCCCAGCCCCTTCGTTTACTCAGATATTCCGGCCGATCACTCATCGATTTCCTCCGGCTTGGCCGACCGTCGCTTCCAACACCAAAAATCTGTGGCGGGTGTCATCACGTGTCACACCGTCATAGCTGAAACACATCGACACCGCCAAAATCCCCCATCGCTCATGTGGCGCAGTCTTCTCTCTCCTGGTGGCGTTGGACCAAAATCCCCTTCTCGGACATCAACGGTTGAATGCACCACCTCGGTAACAAGAATGTTTCCCAATGCCGCCAGTCCTGATCTCAACCAATACTCATTTCGCGCAAGATAGACTCCATCCACTGATTGTGCTAACTCCGAGTTCGCAGCCGACGCCCTAATCCGTCACTCAACTTGCTCGAAATGCTCGGTCGTGTGGTTTATCCAGCTCGACCTTCCTGCTGACTCTCCTGCCCTGCTGATCAAAGGAAAAGATGGCGACGTATGACTACAAAGAAGCCTCGGCAATAGCTCGTAAGAGGAGGGCCGCCAATATCGCTGCCTTCTATAAGACTCCAGGATGGAACGAAGCAGACTTGCCTAAAAATCTGACCGAGTATGCCCTCCAATCTGATTACTACACCGATGAAGAGCGTCAGATAATCCAATCAGAAGCCGACGTCATCCTCGACAAGATCAAAACCAAGCAATGGACCGCACTGGAAGTTGCCAAAGCCTTCTGCAAGGCATCCGCTTTGGCTCAAGAGTTGACCAACTGCTTGACTGAAGTGCTCTATGCAGAAGCGATCGAAAGAGCAAAATATCTTGATGACTACCTTGAGCGCACAGGGAAGACACTTGGCCCTCTCCACGGACTACCGATCTCGCTCAAGGACTGTTTCGTGACAGCACCACATCCTTCCAGCAATGGAATGGCAATTTTCGCGAACGAGCCTCTTGAGAAGGATGCGTTGCTGGTCACCATCCTGCGTGATCTGGGTGCCGTCTTCTATGTCAAGACAAACGTCCCTGTTGCCATGATGATGGCTGAGACAAACAACAATATTTGGGGAGAAACTCGGAACCCTCTTCACAAATACCTTACACCTGGAGGATCTAGTGGTGGTGAAGGAGCTCTGATTGCTCTCAAAGCCTCGCCCCTAGGGATAGGCACAGACATCGGCGGTAGTATCCGTATTCCTGCCGCATGGTGCAACCTGTACGGTTTGAAACCCAGCTTTGGTCGCTATCCGCATTATGGAGCCAAGCCGGGTATAGCTGGGCAGGAATATATCCTGTCAGTCAACGGGCCGATGGCGAGATCTTTGAAAACGCTGCAGCTATACTCTGAAGCCCTTTTATCCGAGGACGTGAGACCTTGGGAGTATGACCACAAAGTCGTTCCGATCCCATGGAGAAAAAATGTCATTCAACCACCAGGGCGTAAACTTCGCTTCGGTCTGATTGGTGCCCATGATGGTCTTGTTCATGTCCACCCACCCGTGGAGAGGGCTTTGAAGATGACCCAGGCTGCGCTTGAAAAGCAGGGCCATGAAGTCATTCCTTGGTCCACCGAAGACCATGAAGCAATTGTAAAGGTAAGTGTTTCCATCATTCTCTGCACGGCTGAATTCGTTCACTGACAACCCTAGAATCTCCAAGCAGCCTTTTTCGACCTTGGTGGTGCTGCAATCATGGACCTCATCAAGCCCTGGGGCGAGCCGGTCTTCCCAAGCATGGAAGGATATGCACTCGCGGCTGCCGCAGGAGAAGGCGAACTTGGACCGACGAAGATGCGAATGATGAATCTCCGGCGGAATGAACTGCAGAAAGCCTACCTTGACCGCTGGAATGCGACTGCCACGGACGAAAAACCACGATTGGATGGACTGATCTGTGCCGCGTCCCCATGGGCAGCTCCTCGACTCGGTCAAACCCAAAAGCAGAGTTTATATGTTGGCTATACAGGCTTCATCAACTTCCTGGGTAAGTACCGCACTTGTTTTGTTTCGTTGCAACCTATACTGATCAGAGTCAAATTAGACTTTGGCGCCTGCACCTTTCCGGTAACCTTTGCGGACAAAGAGCTTGACAGGGCAAGAGATATGAACACCTTCAGGCCATTGAGCGACATCGACGGTAGAATCCAACAGGACTACGATGCTGAATTCTATCATGGAGCCCCAGTGGCGTTACAGATTGTTGGCAGACGACTCGAGGAAGAGAAGATCCTCGAAATGTGCGAGGTTATCGACCACTGTTTGAAGGTGGCCTAAACAGCTGGCTGTACTAGGAGCCAAGGCAACGCGTCTCTGCAGATGTTTTCATCCTAACTGAGACAGACGTCAGCCCCTCCTTAATCAAGCTTGAGCTCGGCCCTCAGCCTCTCTCTTCTGAACCTTGCTTTCACGTTCTTCACTATTCCTTCTTCCTACAAGGAAACTCACTTTTATGCTGAATTCTGCAGGTTGATTTCCTGACAACAGGGACCCGGAGGATTGCCGAACTCCTTGCACGCAACAATTCCTTGTATGGTGAGGCTGAACGGTAAGGTATCTCACTCGCAACGCACAAGCGCTTTCATAATGCACTGTCATGCAGCTGCGGCTAGTTTGAAGACGCAATCACCGCGGCGGGCGGCCTGCATGCGCAGTGAGGCTGCGGTCTTCCATGCGAGAGCCTCAAGTCTTCTTTCTTGCCCATCACTTCCAAATGCAGCCAGAACTCGTACTGTTGTCTCTCATTGACCTGGACACCGCTCTCAATGTGCGATGTCTCCATTCTCACTCTCACGAAAGGTACTCGCCGCCACAGTCCTATCACTCTGCCTGTTGAGTTGCGAGGGACTTGCCTGCTCAACCACTACATTCCCTCAAACCTACGAACCTTACCCAGATTGCGCGACGCCATGTCTTGCCTGCCCGGACGCCGAGTACATGCAAAACTTTGCCAGCAATTGCGACTATGCCAGCGGTGACTGCTGCTCCAGCAAATACCACACCGTGATCAACGAGACCTGGGCTTGCGTAAGCGACAACTGCGGCGGCGATGGAGACCTCGCGCAGAGTGCGTTTGACATCTTCGTGCCGCACTGCAAGAACCACAACGCGACCTTGGCGGCCGCGGATGTCCCGACGGGGTATACTATACTCAAGGACAACGGGGTTGCAAATGGCAACAACGAAGGGTGCGTTGCTTGGAGCTGTTTCTGCATGAAAGCCGGTGCTGAAGAAATGCGCCTTGTCCAACCGCGCTCGAATGGCGGATCGCCATCCCTGAGTGGTGCTGAAATCGCCGGGCTTGTCGTCGCCGTCGTCGGCACCGTCGCGACAATCTTCGGGTCGTACTACGGGTGGCGGGTTTGGAAACGGGAGCATCGTAGGCCGAGCCTTTGCAGGTTTATGTGTGAGGTGTGATGTGCGATTCAATGACGTGGTGTATCGAACCGATATCATAGAGACTGCCGCGGGCCGGTGTGTACTTTAGGGACTTTTTACTATACGATTAAGACCATTCGACTCCTTTCCACTATTCGTGGGGATCGGAGTCAACTTGTCCTCATCGTGAAGCGCGGAACCTATGCTCAGTGGGCCGATCGAGAAATGCTACGAGAGGATAAACCGATGGGCTTCATGCCGCCCCAGGCCTCGTTTCAATACCCCGGCAGAAACAAACAGAAGAACCGATGTTAGGTAAGGAAACGTTGTATGCGGGCATTGTGACGTGCAGCGGCGACAAGAACATGTATACGCCGCAACCGCCGTCTACCAGACCATTCTGCTGTACACTAACCGAGCCTGCCATTTCTCCCGCCGATCTTCGCAATCTTTTTGTACCCTCATCATGGTCTTTCGTAAGTGATAATGAACTCCCTGCCCCGTCTTGAAACCCAAATAACTCAAATGTGGCTGCCAACAGAACTCAACAAAGCCATGGTTCCCGACAGTCGAAGTGGGCTTGATACGCTTTGCAACCCAACGCGGGCACGGAAAATTACAACGATTGCGCGCTGACCTCGACACGGCCTTCGTTTCCAGGAGTCTTTCCAAGAGTGGGGAGCTGATTCGGGTTAGAGTGGAACGCGATTTCGGAAAGGGGGATTCAAACTTACCAGGTATGTGATATCGTCCCAAGGATGTCTGTACAATCCAGTGCGGAGCTAAAAAAATTGTTAGTGATGTGTGCAGGCAAAGGCATCGGTGGCCAACTTACTCTCTTTTGATCCAAGTAATGGGCAATGAGACCGATGGAACGACCCAAAACGAACAGACCGTTCAGGACACCAATGGAGAGGTATTGCTCAGCTTCTTCGGCAGAGAAAGAACCTCCGTCTCGGAGCAAATCGACGAAGCAGACAGCAATGCAACCGTCGACGTTCAGAATCAGGTTGTCTTTCTTCGAGGTGGTCACGGTCTCAACGGCAATAGCATAATCCAAAAGCTTGTGCGACGGGAAGTGCTTGAGGACAAAGTCCTTGACAAGCTCGACACGCAAATCGGGGTTGTTGCGAGACTTGATTCGGTGACCGATACCAGGGACTGTCTAGCGTGAGCGACTAATCTGAGGGCGGTTAGGGGGGTAACATACTCAGCTTGTTCTCTTTTCTCATCGTGTCGACGAACTCTCTGGGAGACCAGCCCTTGTCAAAGGCCTTGGTGAACTCGTCGGCAGCACCATCAAGAGCACCACCGAACCGAGAGCCAATGGTCAACAGACCAGCGACCAGTGAAGAGATCAGATCTTTGCCTGCACGAGCAGTGATGATGGTGTTCATCGCACCAGAAACGGCCGGACCGTGATCCGCAGTCAACATGAGCACCATCTCCAAGAACCTGCTTGCGTAGGCAGGGAGGCGGCGACGGAACCACAGAAGAGACATGACACCACCGATGCCAATTTCCTCCTTGAAAACGTCTGAGATGGGCATACCGGCGTAGAGCAATTCCTGGCCTCTGTCGTCGGAGATGGTGGAGATGAAGGAGGCAGGCTTCCGAATAAGACCAAGTTCTTGCGCCCAGGCATAATCCATGGGGATCTTGGGCACGGCTGGCTCAGGAGCAGGCTTGATAGTGCCTTGCTTGACTAGTTTCTGGTAGAGCTCACTGAGAACAGCTGGCATATCTTCGAAAGTGTCAGGCACGTAGAAGCCAGCCTCTCTCATCTTTTGGTTCTTCACAACCGCAGTTTCGAGCTGAGAGTTGGCCGAAGCACCTGCGTGACCGAATTGAACTTCGGTCTTGAACATGCTGGCGCAAGTTCCAATGGCCCAGGCGACAATTGGTTTGGTGATTTGGCCCTTCTTCACTGCCTCAATGACCCGGTATTCCTCAACACCACCAACCTCACCAAGAAGCAATAGGATCTTGCACTCTGGTTCTTGTTGGTATCGGAGAAGATGGTCAATGAAGGAAGTTCCGGGATATCTGTCACCACCAATGGCGATGCCCTCGTACACGCCATCGGTGTTTTGTGAGACGATGTTGTTTAACTCGTTGGACATACCACCAGACTTGGAGACGTAGCCAACGGAACCCTTGCGGTAGAGCTTGGACGCTACAATGTTGTCCATCATACCGCCAGTGTTGCCAATCTTGAACGCACCAGGCTTGATGCCACCAACAGTGGCGGGGCCAATGATTGTGATTCCCCTCTCCTTTGACTTGACCATGATTTCACGGGCACGTCGCTCAGGCACACCTTCCGCAATAATGGCAATGCTGCGGACCTGAGGGATATCCATCAGTTCCATAGTGGAGCTGTAGACGGATCGTGAAGAAGCGAAGTTGACAATAGTGTCTACGTCAGGGTGCTTCTCGAAGGCTTTCTCGACGGATTGGTAGACTGGTAGGAGAGTCTCGCTGGTACCCCAGTACATCTTGCTGACGAACTGACCGCCGAATGTGTAAATGATACCGGCTACAGACGGGGTCGTTCTCTTGCAGATGAAATCGAAGTCCAGCATGCCCTGGACGGCTTTGGGTTGCATGCCACTGTCGTCGCTGTCAGATCATTCCCTTCTTCTTCTTGTCCAATGGAATACTTACTAGACAAAACATCTGGTCTTGTTGTGGAAGAGGGCATTCTGGGAAGGGCTCAGTCCCCTTGACGGAGGAGCAAATCGACGAATGTTGTCGTTGGCAGAGAAAGGAGTCTCGGAATCTGGCCCTTCGCCATTGGGGATGTCAATCTTAGGCACGCCATTGCTGGCGCCCACGGTAGCAGAAGGCATGGCGGAGGTGTTATTCTCAGGCGAGTTTTCACGGACTGGGAGACCCATTGTGTCAGCAGCTGAGGCAGAGAACGGTTCCAAGAATCAGAAGACAACAGCACAAGCGATGGGAGACAAGAGAAGGTATCCGGTCTTCTGTCGTCTGACCTGGAGAGTATAATAGGAGGGGTGCACACAGGGGAAAAATGATCAAAGCAGATCTCGGGGAATCAATGGAAACTTTCAAGAAGACTTACAGTAGGAAGGGGTAGTAGTTGTTGAGTTGCTAGGGCAAGAGAGAGAGATTGAAGCAAACTGCGGTGGAAATCAACAGATAGATCAAAATCGCCGACGAGGAGAAGAAAAGATCGGTGGTAGCGGTGGTGGTGTTGGATGAGATGGTGTTCACTTTCTCAGGGTACAACAAGGGTTGCCAGTGCGCAGTTGTGGAGAGCAAAGATGATGCTGAGGGACCACAGAGAGCCTGCGACTGGATTGGGGATCGTCTGTTGAGGCAGGTCCGGTTAGTTAGCTGTGCGACTCAACCGTAGGAAGCTCCTGGCCGGGCGCCCGAAAATAGGAATGGTGGCCCCCAAAATTGTGTTGAGTGCAGCCATCAACAAGCCCACCACGTCCAGCACATCCCGCCATCGCCTAGCAATCTCTCCGGGCGGTGAGATTTTTAGTGGGGGGCTGCTGCATGGAGAGCCCACTGTCGCGTCACAAGCCTTTCAGCCCAGGTGCACTATCGGATGCCACTATGCCTCGTTGGGACCCCCGGGACTGGGAGAGGCTGAGGCCCCCTTTACTCAATATCCGCCGAGTCTTCAGTGAGCGGGCCTAAAGGACTATCGAGTTGCCTATCGATTGGAAGCAAAAGATCTTTCTCGCGTGCCCAACTATTCGGAGTCCGGCCCCCGTGCCAAGTGTACGTCGTATCTCGTAGTCCGGCGGAACACCCGTGCATTGTGCAGCCTTTACCCGCTCGCCGCCTTCCTCCAGGGCAACTATCTGTCCAGATTCACCGAAGCCACAATAAACCGCTCAATCGGTGCTCGAAACCGAGCCAACTGGAAATTTGGTGTTGATAGTCGACAATTTTCGGTGTTTGTGTAACCTTGATCCACTGCATCAAAGAGGTAGTCAGGAAATCAGCCGATGAAGGCACTTTGATGGCAGCTCGGCATTGGAATTTTATTCAGTGACCAGAGCAACGTCACAGGGACATTGCTTTTCGATTTTGGCGGTGACCGACAGTTGGGGATTGTCGGTCAAACACCATGGAGTCGAGGCGACGGCGGTGGCGGGCGGTTTGTCCCTGGCGTTGGCGCGGGTTAGCAGCCCTAGCTCCGCACCTAAAGTGCACGCTGAGATGCCCCTCGATAAGTTTAGCACCCCTAGCCTATTAGCCTACGCCCACACTCCCTACCCCTGCTCCCAACAACCCACACTTCAGGGCTCTAGGGGGGATCCACCAGAAAAAGTCAAGGACAGCAATTGTATCCCTCCGAAGGCCAACAGTAAACTGTGTGCGAAGCAGTGAAATCTGGCCCCCAGCGGTTCATACTGTTTCTCCCTACAACTTCACATTCGCACTTTCCATTCGGCAACCTAGACTTTGAATTTCTCGTCAATTGTCTTGCTGTTGTCTTCTTCTTCTCCAGATTTGTCTTCTATCTCAAAAGCCAGGACGACTTTTTCCAATTGACCGTCCCTCTGAGCTGTTCCTGCTCTTACCCCTCACCTCACCGCCGCAACAATGTCAGCAAAGTCCATTCTCGAGGCCGACGGCAAGGCCATTCTTAACTACCACCTCACTCGTGCTCCTGTCATCAAGCCTACTCCGCTGAAGGCTTCTGGTGTCCATAACCCTCCTCCCAAGTTGGCCTCCATCTTCTTCCCCGAAGATGAGGCAGTGAGCACTGTTTTGGACCAAGCTGAAGCCACCTATCCTTGGCTGCTCCAGCCAGGCTCCAAGTTCGTTGCAAAGCCAGATCAACTGATCAAGAGAAGAGGAAAGAGCGGCCTTTTGTGCCTGAACAAGACCTGGGCTGAGGCAAGAAAATGGATTGAGGAGAGAGCCCGCAAAGAGCAAAAGGTCGAGCACGTCACAGGCGTTCTTTCCCAGTTCCTCGTCGAGCCTTTTGTGCCCCATCCCCAAGATACTGAATACTACATTAACATCAACTCCGTGCGAGATGTAAGTTTGAGAGCAATCGTGTGCGTGACTTGCAGCAGCACATGGGCTAATTGCGATTATCAGGGCGATTGGATCCTTTTCACCCACGAAGGTGGTGTGGATGTCGGAGATGTTGATGCGAAGGCCAAGAAGATCCTGATTCCAGTTGATCTGAAGAACTTCCCTTCCAACCAGGAATTGGCTGCAACTCTGTTGCCCGACGTGCCCAAGGGTGTCCACAATGTGCTGATCGACTTCATTGTTCGACTGTACTCCGTCTACGTGGACTGCCAGTTCACCTACCTCGAAATCAACCCCCTGGTCGTCATTCCCAACGCCGCAGGCACCTCCGCCGAAGTCCACTTCCTTGATCTTGCCGCCAAACTCGACCAAACGGCCGACTTTGAGTGCGGTGTCAAGTGGGCCATTGCTCGAAGCCCCGTTGCTCTTGGCCTGCCCGGAGTCAAGACCGACGGAAAGGTCACCATCGATGTTGGCCCACCTATGGACTTCCCTGCGCCTTTTGGCCGTGAGCTCAGCAAAGAAGAGAAGTACATCGCGGACATGGATGCGAAGACTGGTGCCTCGTTGAAATTGACCGTTCTCAATGCCAAAGGCCGCATCTGGACTTTGGTCGCTGGTGGTGGTGCTTCGGTGGTCTATGCCGACGCTATTGCCTCCGCCGGGTTTGTTAGCGAACTGGCCAATTACGGTGAATACTCCGGCGCCCCCACTGAGACTCAGACGTACAACTATGCGAGAACTGTTCTCGATCTGATGCTCCGCGCACCCATGCACCCTGACGGCAAGGTTCTTTTCATTGGTGGCGGTATTGCCAACTTCACGAACGTCGCTTCAACCTTCAAGGGTGTCATCCGCGCACTCAGGGAGGTGGCCCCTGTCCTCAATGAGCACAAGGTTCAGATCTGGGTTCGTCGCGCTGGCCCCAACTACCAGGAGGGTCTCAAGAACATCAAAGGTGTTGGTGAAGAGCTGAAGCTGGACATGCATGTGTACGGCCCCGAGATGCACGTTTCTGGCATCGTGCCCTTGGCTCTTCTCGGCAAGACTTCGACGGTGCCCGAATTTGGAGCTTAGATACAAACATGATTTTTTGATGGTTCCGTGTCTTTTGATCTAGAGCATACCAAGATATATCACTACGACCCTTTTGACGATGGATTGGCATGGGGGCAGGCGACGGGAAAAGAGTGGTAGCAGGCTAGGTATGTTTCTTGACTGGAGTTCTCCTTGGCGACTCTGTTGGAGGAGGAAGCATTATGTGCATGGACGTCGTGTACGACAACGGTTCAGCGGTCGTTTCGCGCCGTGTAGCAGAGATTATGGCAATTCGAGTGGAAGGCCAAGCAAGCGACTTTGTGTAAATGAACAACATCAGATCGAGGCGGTAATGACATTCTGCTTCAAGCAATTCTGTCCCCCAACGTGCGATCGCATTTCGTGCCATAACGGCGAAAGACATCACATCCTTGATGGTTCATATTTGAAGTGCTTGTACTCCAGCCCAATCCTCACAGATGAAGTACAGGAGCGCGCCTATAGCCCCTGTCACATAAAGCCATTTTGTACAAAGATCGAGTGTTCTCCTGAACGACGATCTGGGATTCCACATCGTCAAATCACGCCTGTGGTATTTTCTGGAGTCATTCCCATCGCATGTCTTCAGTCCGGACGTGATCACAGTCGCTAGCCGTCGCATTCCGTCGAATAGGCTGGGGGTTCCGTCCCGTAGCTGAGTCTGAGCAAAAAGCAATGCAGCGGAACTCCCCCATGTGACACGACGTTGCGCATGTTGCTTCTCTGCTTGAAACCCGGGGAGTTGATTCGATGCTTTTTCGTTCATCAGTTGCATCATCCGCTGTCTCTCCCCAGTCTTTCTATTCCACCAAAACAACCCTCCCCCCACTCAACTCATCAATGTATGCCATCTTGCCGCATCCCTGGCTTTTTGAGTGGTCTTGTTCCCTCAGCAGCACCGCGAGGACTTCGACGGGCGGTTCTAGACCGAGGGTGTTTGCGCGCCGCCAGCGTTGGAGACGAGGGATGCCGATGCAAGGCCCGTACTGGGACGAGAGGTCGAAGTGGCGCAGGATCTTTTCGTGGAGGGAAAGGTCGGATTGGTGCACTGTCCGGCGGAATGTAATCAGTATAAGAGTCACGACAAGGCTGGTTGAGTTTGGAGATTTGCAGGAGGTGGTGGACGGTGTCATTGTCGTTTGGGGGAAAGGACGATGGAGAAGCCAGGGCATCGCAGGTGCTCAAGGACAGACAAGACACGGAGACATACCTCTAGGAGCAAGCCGACTGTCCTCCTCCGCCTGCCAATACTTCTTCAGCTGCGCATCCGTGATTTTCTCCGCCGCGATTTCACGTTCGTCCTTTCCTGCAGTCTTGGCCTTTTGCTTCTTCCTGGACCTCATCTTGACCGACACCTCCTCCTCAATCTGTTCTGCGCCATCTGACTCGACATCTCCATCTGCCTCTGCTTTCAAATTATCTGCGCTGCCCTCCTCAACTTCTCCGGGTACTGCTGGAGCTGCTGATGATTCATTCTTCACTTCCGCGACCTCGGGCTCGTCCTCCGTCTTCAACCCGTCCGTCGCAACCTCGGCCAACTTCTTCGCCGAAGCGCTGTGCTCATCTCTCTGCGCATTGGAGCCCGACTTCGTCACTCGTGCGGACTTGTTGTTGAATGAGAGGGTCGACTGGAGAGAGTGGCTAGGCCGAGTAGTGGCGGATTTGCGGGTTCGCGGCATTGTTGGAAATGGTCGTGTGTCAAAGCGGCTTGCTGAAGTTAGGAGGCTGCACTCCGACGGCAGCGGTCTAGAGATACTCGTCAGATGAGTGTGTTCTAGAGATATCGTTCAGGATGAAGTTGTTAGTTAGATGTGAGAGTTATGGCCGAAGGGGAAAGGAGAGTTTGATCGGTAGGTGAATGACGTTCTTCCGCTGCCTCAGCAACCAGCCATAAGGTTCCGTCTTCAGCCATATTTGTTGCCGCCTGGATCGATCCCCTCAATAATCGCTTTTCATTGGCTGCCGAGCGCGCGTCTGCCCAGAAGCAGCATCTACTATACGCGTTCTTGAGACGAGACGTTTGCATTACCGTCGAGCCCGTCCCCAGTACCTGTTCTACATACCTCTACCTAGGCACTTGACCTTGTACCTCGTAGACCGGACAGATCCCTTGTCTTTATGCTAATACCTTCCAAGGTATGTAACCTCGACAATATGATCAAAAGACCTAGTTAGATGCCTCCTGGTCCCCCAGACCCTTTTGTGACCTACCTAGGTACGCTGGCTATATGATTGTAATTTCCTCCACTTGACTATATTCGTTAAAATCCTCCATCCAGTATCGATATAGCAGTGAGTATTCTTCGCCGAAATCTTCTTCGCCGGAATCTTCTTCGCCGGAATCTTCTTCGCCGGAATCTTCTTCGCCGGAATCTTCTTCCATCATCTCTTCAACTATCTCGCCGTCTAATCCTATGTTGCCGTAGGTGCGCCACACACGGGAGGGACGACCAAATAAACCCAACCTCGAGAATCTTTGGCCTCCAAGGTCTCGAAGAACAAGTCCCGAACAAAACCCGGACTTGTGGCCATAAGCTTTCAAGAAGGCGACGTTTATGATATCGCTAGTGTCGAACTCTTTTTCCACAGCATCAAAACATATTGGTACCATCGATCCAATCCCTTCCTGGCCAGGCTCCTTGATGTGACAAAGGCCTTGATAATCATTTTTCGCTGTACTCCTTGGAACGTTGAACAAAAGGGCTCGTCGTAGTCGCCCTCTAATAGTCAGATGGCCACCTTTCACAGCGCCATATGGCGCAGTTGGGGACAGTAATTCAACGTGACAGTCAATCAACTCCAGTTCGCATGGCCGTCCCATGTTCACAAACTTCCCAATTTCTCCGTCGACAGCAGCCCATGACCACGACGGGGCTCTGACTTCTTCTGGTCGAGTATGCTTCTTAAACCACACGAACCAAGAGAGGTTGCGAGGAAGACACGATTTCCACAGACCGGCCAGGTAATCGTCGTGCAACGCAACGCCCACACGTTCAGCAATCGCTCCTATCGCCAGTAGTTTATCGGCGGGAAGGCTGAGTTTCCGAAGTGAATACTTCCGAACCAAGTCGTACCATTGCTCCAGAATCTTTTGCTTGACGCTGTCGTCTTGTACCGCCTCTGTATTTATAATCAGATTCGGTACCTCACCCCGGGGAAAGCGAGGACGGAAAATTTCAAGGCCTTTTCCCTGTTGGTCCTTGTTCATACTCCAATTCGCCAACCAACCATCCACAAGTTCGTCTACAGACCAGCAATTCCAGATAATCTGATCTTGACCATAATGTAGAACTCGGCGGGCCAGCATTTGTTCTTGTAACGCCCATGCTCGGTTATGAATAGGCTCTGTGACCCGATCATTGCCGCGGCCGATGAGTATGGCCGAACCTATTTTACCTCCAGGACATCTCAATGACATGCTGAACATGTTTTCATACCGACTCTTCCACGTTGAAAGTTGGTCGAGCGACGAGGGTCGGTTCTGTAGGAAGCCATCCTCGACGTTTCTAGCCCGAGCAGCAATGATCGTAACACTTGCTTCACTGTATATTGAGGGCATCTGGCTTATTTGATGTTGTTTATCTTCGTCGTTGTCTTGGATGATACAGAAGGCGTCAACAAATAGGTAGCGTAGGCCCAGCTCGTATGTTGTAGTAACGGCATGCCGTATTGTCGTAGGTAGCTTTTTGAAATCTATCTCAACCCTGAATTGGTCAAGCGTGGCGTTTGTTGTCTTGATCACTTGATCGCCCCCCCAACAATAGCTCAATGCAGCATATGGTGGTAATGGATGAACTAGGCCGTTCGTCTCGAGCAGGTGCAACTTGAACTCGGGCTGTCCGTCATCTATGCTGATGACCCTGTCAGGCATGCGTTTGGTTGGCGGTATTGGACATCCTGCGTGAGTTTCTGTACATGTCTGATACCAGCTTCTAACCATCTCGAAAGTCTCACTTGAGCCAGGCTCGACGTTGATCGGACTGCGGGAAACAATGTCGGAAGCAGGATTGCCTGCACGTACTTAGGTGATCAGCCTCTGTAAGGGTCATCACAATTGTTGTGGATAAGTACCAGGAATCGCTATCAGCTCATATGTCTCGATTAAAGCACTGACCACTATGTCTCCTTCATATCGTAGATCATCATCATCATCATCTTTAGGATTGTAAGTGCCGAATTGGATATTCTCCCACTTGCCCTCATGTCCAAAGAGTCTATAGTGGACCGTGCATTTGTCGCGGCGGTACGACTTTGACGAGACATATTCACAGAATCGGCAGCCACTTTTTGCTAGTTTCCTCGCTTCCCCGACGGTCAGATCAGGGTCGAACGAAGCCCACTTTTCGCCATTGCGCCTGTCAACAAGGCTCTCTGCGTCTGGAACAAGAATAAGCTTCTCACAATGTTGGCAAGAGTGGACTGGCGGAAAGTCAGGAGGCAGGGGCGTTTGAATCGCTAATGGCATTGTACGATGGATGTTGGGGTCGGAGAGAGAAGATGGACATAGTAAGTAGGGTGGCAAGAGAATGAAGATGGAGCAAGGATATATATGAATTCGAGTTGCTGGCAATCAAATGCTTGGCCGTTCAAGAGAATGCAAGCTAGCAAGTGAGTGGCCAGCCGCGTGGAGGAGCATGCACAGCACTTTGGAAAGACCCAAGCACTTTTGCAAGGCCAAAGCACAGCCACCCCAATACCCTGGCTGTGCACCAACGTGCTTCAATTGATTGAAGAATGAAAAGAAATGGTGGCGATGAACAACTTCTCGATTGTTGTTCACTGCGCAAGTATAGATCTCTTTGGTCTCCTATCTTGTATCTAGTTCGACACCTTCTTGACCATGCTCAGTCACATCTTCGGTCCCGTCCAATATTTCATTTTCATGACTGTAGTCGTCTGCGAAATCTCGTCGTCTATCGTCTCCTGCCACTCTCGTCCATCCGCTGGCAGTCCGAGGACTCAACCTCAGCCTGCCGCGGGATAGATTGTTGATCTTGTCCACAACGTAGTCGACAATTTTGCCAAGAACATCGAGGACTTGATCCTGCTGTGTTACAGCCCCGTCCCTCCCAGCCGCGGAATGTTCTTGTGCCTCGACCTTGAATTGGTACTTCAAGCAGTCTTTGACTGTGACGAGCCCTTCCAGACGACCATGGTGGTCGACGAGGATGACCCTTGGGCCCATCTTTTTGAAGATTTCCAGCACCGTCTCCAGCGGCAAGCGGGGATGGACAGATATAGGAGTCGCATCAACAAATGGGCTGAAATCCACGCTGCGTACCGCCATTGAGTCAAAGGTAACAGTCGGACTGAGAGGCGCAGGCGCTTCGGTGCCATCCTCCCGTTCACTCGCAAAAATGCATTTGGCATCTGAGGCTAATGCACCCTGCCTTTTGGCTCGATCGATCGCGAATTGGAGCTCAGTCCGCCCAATGTAGCCCATGAGAATCCTCGAGTCTTTGTCCTCTACGATCGGAAACCCAGAGTAGGACGTGTCGTCGAGTAGTTTCCGCACAGCTTTGACCTCCATTCCTGTTGCGGGAAGCATCGCAATGTTTCCGGTCATGACTTGGGATACCGATACGCCAAAGGAGTGTTCCTCTTTGTTGTCGAGGAACGGGAAGCCGCTGAAGGAGATCATCCGATCTGCGATACCCGATTTACTGAATCGGTCTCCCACCGCTTTCGTGACCCCGACGACAATCATCGTTGGAAGTATGTATGTCAGAGCCCCAGTAAGCTCAAACATGATGACAGTGACTGAAATCGTTAGATGCATGATCCCACTGAGTGCTGCGCCCGCTCCCAGAAAGGCGTACGTGCCAGGGGTGATGCAAGGCACATCAGGCTGACAAGCAGAGAAGAACTTTGAATCGGGAAATGTCTCATACAGCCATTGTACAATCATTCCCAGCATGCGGCCAAACGAGGCCCCAATTGCCATTGACGGCACGAATATACCTGCAGGCACTTTGCACCCGTAGGAAATGATAACAAGAAATATGCGCAAGAGAGTTGCAACCAGCAAAGACCCTATGAGGGAGAGTCGATTCTTTGCCTCGCAGAGTCCGTTATAGTCGTAGTCACCCTCACATTCTCGGAACAACATTTCCATCATCTCGGTCATGTCTCTTCGAAGAAACATATTGGGGTAACAAAGAAGCGCGGTGGCACCTGCCAGAATGACAGCTTCTGGAATCGCGTACTTGGACAGGTATTTTTTCCGGAATGCTTGAGCTTTAAGGTTCCACTTTATGACGAAGGCACCGTAAAGTCCACCGAAGATACCAAGGATAATGTAAAAGAAGATCTCGAAAAAGTGCCAGTCTCTATCGTACTTGACGGAGAACATGACAAGCTGACCGGTGCGGAAGGGATTCATTGCACTCAGCACCGCCGTCGCAACAAGCGCGCAGAAATAACTCCTCCACAGGGTCTTTAGCGGAAAATAAGACGCCATCTCTTCTAGGGAGAACAGCACACCACCGATGGGACTGCCGAAAGCGACAGCCACCCCAGCTCCGGCGGTCGCCGTCAATATCTCTCGGGTTTTTGAGGCACTTCGTTTGTACTTGTCGAAGAATCGGGAGATGACGTTTCCGACGCACACAGCGTAATGGACACTCGGCCCCTCCTTGCCAACCGAGAGCCCGGAAGCGATGGCTAGAGGCAAACAAATCGACTTGATGAAAAAGGTCCAGAACCCAAGAAAGCCCTTCATGACGAAGCCGGCAATGATGCATTTGATCTCCGAGATGCCGGAACCGGCAGCGTAGGGGGCGTAGGACTTGACCAAGTAGGCAGAAACGAAGGCCAGTAGCACAGCGAAAACGGCGTAGATGAAGTAGTTGACAATGGTGAACGAAGTCCATCTCTTCCACTCGTCGCAGCCTTCCTCGGAGCCAAAGCAGCAGAAGCCTTCATTGAGATACCAGGCGGTTGTGCAATACCCCATCTTGATGTCCGATAACCACTCGGTGATGATGTTCAGAGCAGCGGCATTGACACCAATGACGATCCCCACCAGCGTTATGACGATCCATGCCTGGGCTGCATCGTAAGACTCCCACAGTCTGCGCCGCCAGCCCAAGACGCCGTCCCTTTCAAAGAACTTTGACTCCTTCCGCCGAGCAAGGCGGCGCAGCTGTTCCTGAGCAGCATCTTGGACCCAGTCGATGGTGGTGAAGTCTTCATATCTTTTTATCTCTGCAATCTCTTCGGTGATGGCCTGTGCCGCCGGTGCGACTCGAGGAGTAGGAGGCTCGCCATTTTCCAGGCCCGAGAGGGACGAGAGCCTCCGGGAGAGTCGCCTGGCTGAGAGGGACGGTCGACGACCAGAGGCTGAGGCGGACGTGGAAGAGGAGACGCGCGAGGTCATAACATCGGATCAATGACCATGCTCGATCGAGGACGATGTAGATTAAGAGAGTCACATTCCGCGCGCAGGCTGGCGATGGTGAGAAGTAACCTTTATGCAGGTAATATGGACTGGAAGAATCCCAACACTGAACCCCATGAGCCTCCAATAGCCGCAACATCCACCAAACGTCGGCAGCCTTTCCTTTTTCGGACGCGCCCAGAACGTGACAGATGAATGTCTCGACGCGACTTCTTGGTCCCTGACCCTCGATACGAATCTGTCTACGTGTTTCAACGGAGGAGATTAGCCTCCGCAAGTCTTGGGTATATCAGGGTTTACCACCGTTCATTCATCCAGCTTGACAGAGGGCATCTACTCTGCTCTATTGCTCCCCGATTTGCGTCTTGCTCTACTCGGGAGAAAAAGAACCAGGGCTGTTCAAAGAAGGCTTTTGCCCCTCGTTTCGTTCTTCGCTTCAGAGGTCGACAGGAATCAAGCGGAAGATAGCCAACTTGGAAGCCACTCTCTACGTCCACAGAAGACACACTTCAGGAGGGAGGGTCCGGTTGTCATTTCCTCGAGACTATGCCTTACAACAATGCTCCCATCGAACCGCCACAAGAGATCACTGGCTCAACCGCTCTTCCTCGTTAGTAATCACGCGGTTTATTTTTCTTTGCTGTTGCGGCAGACAATGCTGACCACTTGGGACCCAGTCGCACGGGTCAAGAAGATCATTGCTCAGGATGAGGACATCGCGCAATGCTCCAACCCAGCGGCTTTCGCAATATCGGTCGCGACAGTACGTTTGCCCTAGTTGTTGATTGGTTAAGGATCTTCAGGGCGAAGACTGATTTCTTCGCCAGGAGGTATTCATCCGTTATCTGACCGAACAAGCACACAACGTGGTCAAATCGGAACGGAAATCCAGGAGGAACATCGCCTATAAGGACATCGGTAAGTAGAGAATCCCAAAACCCCGGGTGGGGTCAAGAAGCTATTTTTACCAAACACCAGCCTGCCTATACACACGTTCCCACCCACCCACAAAAATCTCTTGCTGACCAGGAAAAAGCCACGGCCGTTTCTAGGATCGACAACCTCGAATTCCTTTCCGACACGGTGCCCAAGACCAAGACATACAGGCAGTTCAAAGAGGAAAAGGCGCGAGAGGCTGCCGCCAAGACCACCTCCTCCGCCGGACCGGCTAACGGGGTCAATGGCGGCGGTGGTGAAAACGGCGTCTCGATCGAGACCATGATGAAGAACGAGTATCATCAGAACGGCGTCGTCAACGGGGTAGCGAACGGCACAGCACCGGAGCGGGCCGGCCACCACCACTCGCGCAACCACAGCCATCCCGACCCGGTCAGGGATATTGATATGAGTGGATGATAGACAGACGGACGGACACTCAGACAGGGTATCGACAGCCAGACATTCGAGAGTGGGAAATTGGTTTTAGCCGTACACCACCTTCCACACTCGCAACGCAAACCTCGTCTCGCGGCGTCACGACGACAACCTCGTGCAACGGCGCCTCCTTCGCGCGCATTCTGGATGATTGATCTTCCTTTTCATACATATCTCTATTTTCGCAAAAGGATAAGCATACGAGTATGAAGAATCATGACACGATTATTGCATTGGAAGGCGCTAAGAGTGGTATCTGGAGGAGTACGAGTAGGAAAGGCCCCTTCAGGATGTGGTCGTTCGCTTATGCTTGGCACGCACGCACGCACGTATATATGTATGCAGCAATAGATGGATGGATGCATTGGATGGGCGAGGAATGACCAGGCGAACGTCTTGAGTCTGTCCACGGCGGACTGCCACACAGTGCTTTTCACAACATAACATAAATAGTCGGTCAGTTGCAAGGGAGGACTTGTACTTGTCTTTGTACTTCTCTACACAGCGGTATGCAATGTTGGCCAGCATCGGTGTGCAGTGTGCTTACATATACATACCTACACTGTGAAGGGAATTGGACCTCGCAGACTCTCGAGACAACGCCGGTCATGGCTGCATTCATAATCTCATAGCCCGTCGTTCCAGTTCCATCACTTTCATAGTCCATTCAAAGTTTTTCCGCGTAACCTTGTCAGACTAGACATTTTTCATCAATTATAAGTCAGCACCCGTAGCCGCCCCTTTCCTTTTCATTCCATTTTCGTAGTCCCAATAAGTGGCGAGGTGTGCCCATGTATCGCCGGAGTATCTAAAGAGTAGCCGAGTAAATACTCTGGCTTGAGCGAAATATCTGGGTCCGCCGGACTCCGAGGTGGCCTTGCAATCCTCTTCACAGATCCGACGGGAGCCATTGTTCTTGACGAGACGTGACCTTGCAGTAGAGGCGTGTGGATCGTCCCTCCATGTGCCTAGTATGGTAATGGACGAACAACTGCTTGATTCCATTGGTGGTGTATCAAGCGAGGCCTGATGCCCGGTCAGGGACAGAGTTTAGATGTACGCTGAATGCGGAGGCAAAATTCAAACTTCGGATTGTCTGAGGTTGCCCAGAGACACTGAACCAGTACTTACCTAGGTAGCACGTGATCATAAGCCTTGGCTGACCTTGGCTGGCGAGCTGACTTTTCGATTGTAAGGTTATAACTTATTGCCCAGGTATCCGCCTTCGGTTGAGGCTGTCCTACCGTTTCTGCTATGGTCGCCGGCTAGGCGCGACGCCGCTGTTGTCGGCTATAGGCACTTCGTCTCCCATCTCCAACCCTCTCCCCGTTTCTTCCAACCTACACTTCGTCATTACCCAGATTCTCGCCCTCACCGCATTGAGCCCCTATCGTCGATTCCCGTTCTGGCTACTTTAAAATTTGCCTCGTTATGGAATCCTCCCCTATCACATCGGATTCCCCTCGAATCTCCCTTCGGGGTCCTTTTAAATCTAACTCGTCTCTTCGAGTGCGTCTCGATCAGCCTCCTAACCCCCGATCTTTTTGATCCTTCTATACTTTCGGGGAGGACCCGAATTAGCCCTTTCTCTAAATACTTGCAACATTTTCGCTAGAGATGTCACTCTGACAGGGCGGGAGCGCGCACAAGTTCTTTTTGTAAGTGACAGCCCCGATCTCGGCTCGTCGGCAACGAACGCCAGTCAACTCCGAACCCAGTGTTTTCGCAGATGTGACTAAGAGGAAACTCTCAGGGTTTTCTTCCACCGAAGACGGTGAAATGAAAACAGCGCGCGGTAAAGCAGCGGCCAAGACGAACCAGGAAAATGCCTTGAGATCTCTTGCCTGAAACCTATCGCAGACTGTTTCGAGCAGCTTTGGCCGGCTGGTCGGGCTGGAGAAAAAGGGCCATCGCCTACCGCGCATGTCCTGGGACCTTCAAGAACCCTCTTATTCTCGGGGATAGACTCTGTAAACACTCGGCCTTTGTCCCCCGAGGTGCAGAAGCCGGGGTAATTGTGCCCCACAGCTACATTCTCGATGACCGAGGGGCAGCGGGAGGTAAAGGTAAATGGCATGTAGGTCTTTCTTCCAGTCTCGACTTATAAAAGTAGGCAGACCTCCTGGTTTGCGATCAGCACTGACCCCGAACTGTCTTCCCTGCGTGCGCACGTGGCAGCCATGGCGAAGCTTCTGAGGATTTCTCTAGCTTCGGCACTCTGGACAACTGGCTGGGCCAGCCCAATGGATCAAGAAGATTACTATTGTCTCGGACAAGCACTCTCTGGTAAAATTGGAAGTTTCTCATATGCTATAGACCCTCAGGCATCGTCAATCTCGATCTGCACTGCTGATGGGTCGAGTGTATGGTCGAGTATGCTCCAGGCCCAAATTTTGTCCACAAACCCCGACTGACTGGCAGCAGGTCCTCGAAATCATGCCCTCATCTCTGCTTCATCTGGAGTAGCAAACCTCACAGATTCGTCTGGCAACTTCGAAATTCGAACGAATGATGTCTCAAGCACCTGCAGAGTTCCTATGATCCACAGTTATCATCAATTACCGGAAGGGGTCCTTCAGATCTACGGCAACTTTTCGGACCCTCGCTGTGAAGCTTTCTCTTGGACTTTACAATTTGCAACAGATAACGACACCGGCGCGCTAAAATTCCATGCGAGCATTGATCCTGCGGTGGACGATATCGCTGTTGCGTTTGGAACGCCGGATGATGAAGCCTTCTTTGGTCTCGGTGAAAATGCGGGACACGGCAATCTTCGAGGTGCGTCGATAACCCTTTGGCGCAACCCGTGTTTCAACGCTAATCAATTCCAACTCCAGGCTTCAAAATTCCGATATGGTCTCGTGAAGGTGGCGTCGGACGTGGGGAGGAACCAATCACTTCATATCTGAATTCGAACGCATCGATATCCGGAACTTTCGCTGGAGGGTCACCACTGACGTCTTACACCGCGATTGCCAGTTATGCCACTTCTCGCGGGCGTTACTTGGTCCTTGACGGGCTAAATTTTGCGATTTTCGATCTTGCTAGCGCTAGCAATGGGGCGTTCACTGACACGGCCACAGGAAATGTGACTTATCAGCCAGACTTGTCATCGAAGGCTGATTTTGTGAGTATTCTGTACGAGGGAAGCTCTGTCAGTGGGCAAGTCGGTAAAGAGGATGGCATGTTGAACGCTGTTACCGCGCTCACGCGATTAACCGGCCGTCAGCCTCCACTTCCAGACTGGGTTAACGACGGGGCCATTCTGGGTATTCAAGGGGGCCAATCGAAGGTCGAGGGAATCGTGGAGGATGCGTTGAGTTACAAGATGCCACTCGTAGGAGTTTGGCTACAGGACTGGTGTGGGACACGCCTCCAGCAGGGCCTCTACAATATCTCAGTCAAGCGGCTCTGGTGGAATTGGGAACCTGACCAGTCACTCTACCCTACGTGGTCCTCTTGGGTTCCGGGGCTTCTTGAAAAGTACCAAGTCAGAACACTAAGTTACATCAACACCTTTTTGGCGAATGTGACCAACAAACCGACTGGATACACCCACAACTTTTTCCTCGAGGCGACTTTAACCGGACGATTTGTGCGAAACGCAACTGCGGGAAATGGTTCCACGTGGATCATCACAAGCGGTCCGGGCATCGATGCTGGCCTGCTCGATATTTCCAACTCAACTACAGTGGAATGGTTTAAGGATCTTGTCAAACGGCAATTTTACTCTGTACCGGTAAAAGGGATGATGCAGGATTTCGGTGAATACCTTGCCGTTGATTCTTCTGTGGCACTAACCAATGGTGATAATGTGACGGCTCGTGAGTTCCATAACCTTTATCCAGGGTCATGGGCACAGCTACTTCGAGAAGTTGTTGAGGAGCTCGCAATCGAGAACGACACGCTCGGCTTCCATCGGTCGGCTAATACATTCTCGGCACCTCACACCAACCTTTTCTGGGTCGGTGACCAGAACATTGATTACAGCCGAGAAGATGGAATGCGTGCGGTTATCAGTTCGGCCATCCACATGGGGTTCTCCGGCTTTGGCCAAACTCATTCAGACATTGGGGGATACACCGATACACTCGCGCTCAAATTCAACATTACACGGTCGTTGGCACTTTTGGGACGTTGGGGCGAGATGGGTGCCTTTTCCGGAGCCGCTTTCCGTACTCATGAAGGGAATATCCCCAGTGTCAATGTGCAGACATATACCAACAGCACCAGCTACAAATATCACACGTACAACTCTCGAATGTTCGTCGCACTGGCTCCTTATCGAAGATACTTGGCGCAGGAGTATCAGCAGAAAGGGTGGCCCATGGTTCGCCATCCGATTGTCTATGCTCCTGACGACCAGTCGGCCAGAAATATCATTGATGAATATTTCTTCTTCGGTGATGCTCTCATCGTGGCGCCGGTATATGACGAAATATCCCAGAAAGTCAGGCTTCAATTACCCAAGGTCAATGCCACCGGGCTCACTCATCTGTGGACTGGGCAAATCTACCAACCTGGCCAGAATGTCACCGTACATGCTCCTTACGGCAAGCCAGCCGTCTTTCTGCGACAACCGTTAAGCTCGCAGGAGGGAATCCTCTTACGCGAGCTTATGAATTTTGCAGGGGAAGAGAATGGGACTTCGTTGACGTGGTGACGCCCCCCTGCATGGAACACCTGTTGTGAATTGATGGAATGAAAACCCGCTCTGCAAGTGGTATCCCGCAGTTTGGTGTCAAAGGACAACTCAGTTACCAGACACATCCAAATAGCTCGAGATGATACTTTGCAATTGGTAACGCTCGTAATGTAAGCGATATCTAGCAAGAAAGTGGGTAATCGAGTAGTTTATATGTCAGCTTCACCATGAACGAGAGTGTCACAGAGCTCCTTGACGGGGGATACCCACAAAAGACACAGGAGAAATCGTTTACTTTACTGCTGGGCATTTTACGCCTCGACTTGTCGTTGGCAGATGTACAGGCTGCATTTTCGACCATAGAAAATTGATCGGTGAAGGCAGGAGAAGCCTGAGCTCCGAGGCGGCTGGAGACATTTTTGGTACACTCGGGGAACATATCGATTGGAAATTGGCATTCGAGCCACTTTAACTGTGTCGCCTCGCCGTATCTGATCGAACGACCTCTGCGACATCATTTTACATTTGCCAACTTGTTCATGCAGACTGGCGAGGGGAATTCTTCTCATGGAATTGTAATATAGCTTGGCTTTATATTTTTTGAACCGGAGTACGAACTAGGGTTGATTTTTTCTGCTATCAATTTCCCCCCAGGCATTCATCCTTCCGTTATTGAATTTGGTGCCGCGAACAACATCGACCATTATTGGCTCTTGTCGGGGAATCCAAAGTCGACACCGAAGTCTGGATACACAAATCGTTTGACACATGCACTTGACAAGGCATCTAACTCGTCCATTTGGTCCTTGGTGAGCTTCACTGCCTTCATGTTCTCTTCTATCCTGGACAACGTAAGAGATTTGGCAAGCACAGATAGTCCCCTTTGGGCTGCGGAATGGTCAGTATTTTACCGTGTAGTAAGAGTCAGATATGCTTACTATGATAGCTTAACAATACGCTTGCTGGTGTTGCGTCTGTCTCGCTGGCAATCTTGACCACACATTGTTCTTGCGTTAGTGGGCTCCCAGTGCTTCCCAGAGGGCTGTACGCCGTTACGTGGATGTTGTTCATCTTACAGAACTCCACAACATCTCGCTGTGGCAGCAATGGGTGGTTTTCAATCTGGTTGACTGCTGGCGTAATATTGATTTGTGGTAACAGTTCTTCCAGGAATTTCACACTGTAGTTTGCAACGCCAATCGCTTTAACCTTTCCATGTGGAAGCAGCTGTTCCATCTTTTGGTAAGTTTGAACGTGCGTCCAATCCGTGAGCAGATCTCGTCTTCCGTCGGGGAGTCTGGGGATTGTGTCATGATTGCCATTTGGATTCATAACCAGGGGCCAGTGCATGAGGTAGAGGTCGACATAGTCCAGACCTAGTAGGTTCAGGCTTTTGTCCAAAGCATGCTCAACTCGCGTGTGATATGTGCACCATAGTTTAGTGGTGACGAAAAGGTCACTTCTTTTGATCCCAGCTGCCTCAATGCCCGCCCTTATGCCTTCGCCCACCTCTCGCTCATTGCCATAAGCATAAGCGCAGTCAATATGTCGATAACCAGCTTTGATGGCGTGCTCGACTGCCTCGCGGACTTTTCCTCTCTCTGCTTGCCAGGTTCCTTAACTCAGTCAGATAGCGTGTGCTAATATTATACCGAAGACCTTCCTTACCAAATCCCAGGGCTGGTATCTCCGCCCCAGTGTTCAGCCGAAACCGAACGTCTACCATTTCGTGAGGTCTGGTCAAATCTCCAAAAGGAAATAGGGTTGAATATATTAGTAGGGCATTGGATTGGACTTTTGAGCAAGTAATGAGGGTGGTGTGTAAGAGAGAAAGACACCCCGACAGGAAAGAGAACCGTTCGGACTCCATCTTGCTACAAGCTTATACGCTGAGTACTGTCCAGCTCTCCCGGCATGGCGGGCAGGACACTCTGCTCACTTTGCAGGGCTCGCTTGCTCATTCTCGGGAAGGTTATCAAGAGTCCGGGACGGAGACCAAATCGGTTCTGAGCGTCTCTATCCGACTGCTAGTAAACCCGTTGTTTCGGCATGTCGGCAGGGTCGCCGGAAGTTTACCCCAGATTTCAACCCCACTTCTATCCCCACCAAAAAGACATGTATGGAGTACGGAGTACATATCTGCGAATGTCAGGAATATCCTTTCCCAAACAGCTCACAACTTATCTCAAGAACCGAGCTGTTTCTTACCGAGAGTGCGTCGTATTAAGTTCCGAGTTACAATTATCAATTACTGTTTTGTTAGCCATAAATTCTTACAGAGGCAAAGGCGCTTGTACGCCGTATTAAAATCTATTGGAACAAGAAGCCTTCCCGGAAGAGACAATCGAAGACTCTCCGACGGGCCTTTTGGTGCGCTGACGTATGTTTTGGATGTATACACCCAAACTTCCAAGGGTGTGGCCCAGCAGTACTATATGTCCATAGTGTAATATCCGAGTGCCCGGGAAAAAGTATGATGTTCCAGTACGCTGGAAACCCACGGAGCGTTCATTCATCTGCACCGGCATGGCCAATCTCCTCATCATGGCGATAACAACTCATAGTTCATAGTTCGACGGATAATGGAACTGTTTCATCTTATCCCTGGGCGTGCAGCCCGACAAACCCTGAGGCACTGGAATGGGTTCGGAGGACGGCTTCGGGCGCTCGGAAAACTTAATTGATAAAATGCTGAACATCGCTCTGACCTCCCTCTCCTCCGCATTCTGTCCTTTTCATACTAGGTTCAGCCGAGCAAAAGACCACTTCCACCCTTTGAAGTCCAAGGACCCGAAAGTTTTCTGTCTTCTATCAAGATGACAAATTGGGGTTATCTCATTTTCAGCCGAGCAGTTCGTAACGATGCCATGAAACACGACCCACCCGAAATTTACGGGTGGCGAGTTATACTGCTCGCTCTGTCTGTATGTGCGGCACCCCGAATTTGAAACCCTGAATGTGTGTCCTGACTACCTTCTAGGCCAGTTTTGGTGCGATGCTCTTCGGTATGGAGTAGGTGGAGTCGCTATTCCTTGCTGCTTGTTTTCTGTAAGGTCAACTTTTGACAGCTAGCTTCACAGCTCATCTATAATCAGCGGCGTGATAGTCCTTCCGGCCTTCATCAGGTATCTCCACCTGCCTGGACATTCCGATGTTTACAACTGACTATCGAACTCAGGCGATTTGGACTAGACAAAGCGAAGAGCGCTGTCGCCCTAGCAAACTTACAGGCCAACATTGTGTCAACTTTGCAAGCCGGCGCTTTCCTTGGAGCCATACTGGCCGCCCCTCTAGCAGACAATCTGGGCAGACGGACATCGCTGCTTATTGCGGGCTGTGTCGCAATGATAGGCATCATTATACAATTTAATTCTTGGGGACACGTCGCTGTGCTATATGTTGGAAGGTCAGTCCCGTAGCCGCCATCATGAGCCCTCGGGGTGCAAACTTATATTGGAAACAGATTCGTTGCTGGTGTCGGCGTTGGTGCTTGCTCAATGGTCACGCCTCTCTACATATCTGAAAATGTCCCGCGCGCTGTGCGTGGCCTGCTTACGGGCATATATCAGTTATTCGTCGTACTTGGAGGTATGCTCGCATTTTGGATCAACTACGGAGCAGACCTGCATCTTCCAGGAGATAGTGCGTGGGTCGTCCCCGTTGCTATTCAAGGTCTGCCAGCCGCTTTGCTCCTTTTGAGCATGTACCTCTGCAACGAATCTCCACGATATTTGGCCAGGCAAGACAGATGGGAAGATGCCAAAGCGACCCTGGCAAAAGTCCGGATGCTCCCAATTGATCACACATACATCGAAGCCGAATTCCACGATATCAAGCTACAGCTTGAGCGAGAAGCCGCCTTGATGGGAGGGGCAGGGTTCAAAGACCTTATGCGGGAGATGTGGAAAATCCAAGGCAATCGAAAGCGGACGTTGATCACGATCACGATCATGATCTGCCAACAGATGACTGGTGTCAATGCAATTGCCATATACGCGCCTCAAATCTTTCAGAATATCGGGATCCGAGGACACTCGACCGAACTTTTCGCCACTGGGATTTACGGTATCGTCAAATTCGTCGCATGTGCGGTCTTTCTTCTCTTTGTTGCCGATACTCTCGGCCGTCGTAAATCACTTCTTTGGACGTCCATTGGCCAAGGCTGCTGCATGCTATTCATTGGACTCTATCTCAAAATTCAACCTCCGTTGGCGGGCGAGCCGGTTCCACCTGTGGGCTACGTTGCACTGGTATGCATCTTCCTGTATGCAATATTCTTCCAGTTTGGTTGGGGGCCTGTCTGTTGGATTTATATTTCTGAGATTCCAAGTGCACGCCTCCGCGCTCTGAGCGTCTCCATCGCAGCCACGACTCAATGGCTATTCAACTTCGTGGTCTCTCGGGCTGTCCCTAACATGCTTGCCACCGCCGGCTCACATGGTATCCCTCCTTTCAATCGTGTTTGAGCACCAGCTACTGACTCATGGCATAGGCTTCGGCACCTACATCATTTTTGGATCTTTCTGTTTCGCCATGTTTGTCTTCGTCTGGTTTTTTGTCCCCGAAACTAAAGGTAAGTCCACAGCTCACTGAGCCTGAATGCGAGCTACGAAACCATTAGCTTGCCAGATTGTCCTTGTGAACGCATTACTGACTGAACAGGTCTGTCGCTCGAGGCTATGGATGAGCTTTTTGGTGTAGTCCCGCACGATGCTTTCGCTCTCGAAATGGAACAGGGTCTTAGAACAGAGTCAACAATGCGGGAACCGCCACAGAAAGAAACTCCTGCAGCACTAGTTGAGTGCGTGGAAGACGCAGCCACAGGAGATCAACGCGGGTCCAGCCTTCCCGTCTAAAAGCAGCGGGAATGCTACCTAGATCACGTCCAATCATTGTACGCATCAGGTGCACAAGTCGAAGATAAGGCAATGAGGTTATAATGGCATCGTTTCCGTGTTAGACTGCTCACATAGAAATCAATATGCCCAGTCTTCTTTTTGCCGTACTCGATATAAGTGTATCTATCACTCGGAAAACTTTGCCCCAATTTTCCTTATCGTGCTGGCTATGTACAAACGTGACAAGACTTTCATTTAGGCATTCGGAAAGCTTTATCAAAGTCAGTCAACGTGATTCGATACTTCGCACTGCCATCCTTGACTTTAGTGGTCGCAGTCTTACAGCCCTCTTCAGAAATTGGAATCGTCTCGACCCGTGGCAGAAGTCTTCTCCTAGCAGCAAAGTCCAGCATGGCCAAACACTCTTGTCGTGAACCAATATGAGATGCTCCGATGGATGATCCATTAGGCATGAATGCCTGGGTCCTGAACGGCGGCAAGGGGTCATTGGGTAAGCCAACTTGATGGAATGACCCATTGACCTTGCAGAGGGATAGGTATTCCGGAATGTTGAAGTTCTGAGTCATGTTTGCAGTATTGAGAACCATGTCGAAAGCGAATGCATATGGTTTGTGCCAGTCGGGATCGTTGCTTATAATAAACCTCTTTGCACCTAAGTTCAGGGCGTCTGCTTTCTTAGATGGCGAGTGAGATATCACCGACACTTCTGCGCCCAGAGCAGTCCCCCACATCACCGCGAAATGGCCCAAACCACCCAGGCCGACAACGGCCAAGGTCTTCCCAGGACCTATACTTGCCCGCACAAGGGGTGACCAGACAGTAAGACCTGCGCAGAGCATCGGTGCGGCCATGTGGGAAGGGATTTCGTCGGGAATTTTGAACACAAAATATTCGTGTGCTCGAATATGAGATGCGAAACCGCCCTGACTTATGGTCTTATTTGGATCAACTGATTCCGGATATTGCGATCCGTAAGTGTCTGAATTGTGCTCAGCGTCATTTCACTCAACCGGAGGACTCAGGCCCTTCTCACATACCGACCATATGTGGACAGTAGTTCTCGTTGTCGCTCTTGCACTGCGGACAATCCAGGCAAGCCCATATTTGAGCCCCGACGCCGACGCGATCACCAAGCTTCACAGTGGTGACATCTTTTCCCACTCTCACGGCGTGGCCAACGATTTCGTGGCCGACACACAACGGTAAAGGAACAGAGCCCCAGCCCCCTGTGATGGTGTGAACGTCGGAACCGCAAACACCGCAGCATTCGATTTCTATGTCGACGTCTCTGTCACCAAATTGTTTTGCTTTGAGCTAGAACGACCTGTAATCAGCACCAGCTTTCTGATTTATGCTAGATGCTGTCCGTGGACGTACGGGCTGTTTGGAGAATTCCTGCCATTTTTCATGGCTTGAGACCACGAATCCTTCGAAACAATCATTAGACTCCATGTTGATGTAAATGCTCTGGTCCGGATCAAAAGCTCAATCAAATGGAGGGAAGGTATCTGCTTGCGGGGTTTGCCGAGCCACGAGGCGAGGAGAATGTTTAAGGAGACAAGGTAACCGGGAAAATTTAAACTATATACCTAGGTAGGGGAGAGTCTCCTTCTTTTCAATGGTCACCGGTGGCCGCAAGTTGTGTTACTCATTGGTGGACCGGGTGGGCAAGGGACTTATCGGCCTCCACGAGTATTGTAAACTCTGGAAGCATCTTGATCGCCGTAAGATCGCTTGAGCTGGTGATTTTGTGTCCGAACAGACAGAATCTCCCGTTGGGAGCCGGCCGGTGTTCGACGGGTTTTGACACAGGAACAACCGACGCGTCCCATCCGACCAGCCGGAAAGTAATAGAAAAAACCGATTCGGTGCTGAGATGGGATTGGCCTACGTCAGTGGCCTAATACGCGCCCTTTGTTTTCATTCATACCTAGGTACACACAAATATACCACAGCGGGGACATGGCACTCGACGCCCGAGATTGGGTGACGGCCTGGAGGTCTATGGGATTTTTCTTGCGGAAGCATCTTTCAATCTCACCCAACACCTGACACAGATGACCAACGTTATGTGCTAGATCAAGGCTCGCATACACCATATCACAATTTACACATTCACAAATTATAACAGTGGCCCTTGGGTAAAAGCACACTACATGCCACAGCCCCACGAGTTTGATGATGTCTGAACAATCTCCAATCAAGTTTTTCTCACAAGGAGCAATCCTGAATGAATTCAATGTGGCAGGTCACAACATTGTTTTGTCTTTTCCCTCACCCGAAGCCTACATCGACGCTCAGTACTTTGGCGAGACAATTGGACGCGTGGCAAATCGCATCCCAAATGGCCAAATACACAATCTCAATGGCCGTGAGTACCAGCTTTGCGTCAACAAGGGCACAAACCACCTGCATGGCGGCAAAGAAGGTTGGGGCAAAAAGACATTTCGAGGCCCAACGCCCGTATCTCACAACGGAAAGAATGCAGTCAGATACACCTACCTGAGCCCGGACGGCGAGGAGGGCTACCCTGGGGCGGTGGAACTTCAGGTCTTCTACACTGTCTACGAAAAGAACGAACAAGGCGTTGCAAAGACTACATTGGAGGTCGAGTACCATGTAGAATTAATGAGTCAGGAATGCGATGAGACCGCCGTCAATGTCACCAACCACAGGTAGTAGCTCTTTCTCAGCGCGTTCTATCTCATCGGTGTATACTAACTAGGCTGGCACAACAGTTATTTCAATCTCAGTGGTTCTGATACAATCGAGGGGACTCAAGCCGTTCTTTCCACTGTTGACTACCTTCCAGTGGATCATAACGGGATACCTTTGGGATCTGTGGAAAGTTACCCCGGGCTCGAGGCAGGTCGGCCGTTCGTCCTTCATGCAAACGAAGGCAAAATCGATCACTGTTTTGTCTTGGAACGAGACATCTCGAACATCCCATTAGACACCCGAGCCCGCCAGGCCCAGCTTCTGGCTAGCTTCTCGCACCCAGACACAAAGATCCACCTCGAGGTCTACAGCACCGAACCTGCCTTTCAATTTTACACCGGGCAGCACATCAAAGTCGCCGCGTCGGAGTACGGACCTGAAATGAAATCAGGGGCAGGATTTTGTGTCGAGCCAGGTCGCTATACCAATGCCATCAATGTGCCGGAGTGGCGGAGCATGATGGCTTTGAGACAAGGACAGGTCTGGGGAGCAAAGAACATCTACAAGGCTTGGAAAGCCTAAGCGGATGTCCAGTATCACTGCTTTTGTCATGGCGTAAAGTCGTTGGAAACTCAAAGTAGCTGATGCGCACTAGATCTGGGGAGTACAAACTGGTTCTTTCTAAGTCGTCATCAGACCATACAAGAGATCAAGAATGTAGGTCAAATCAACATGGTGGAGCACGAGACCAATGTTCGTAGGGGTTAAAAGTAAATCCTTATACAGAAAATGAACGACTGTAGCTATGAGTTGACCTCTTGGTTTTTTTTGGTTGGTTTTTTTTTTGAGAGTAAAAATTCACCATCCAGTCCCACAACTCGTTTTCACTCAGCATCAATGGGGCAAGTAGGTGGCTGATCGTTCACCTGAATGCCCCCCCTCTTCTTTTCTCGGCTGTCATGGAAGGGAAGCTTCCATCCACCCTCAGACTCTGGTACCGCGAGCCACAGCCTCATCAAATGTCGCCTAGGTCTCGGCCTCCCTTGCTCGTCAAGGGCATCGGGCGGGTAGTCCGTGTAGGCAGTTCGAGCATGGAACACATGGGTGTTGCTTAAAAACTGAATGTCGCCAGGTTCCAAAATCATGTGCAGTGCCAGGCGCTGACACGTATTTTCCAAGACTTGGAGAGCATGATTTTGTGCTTCAGACAAAGGCGGTATGCGGGCATCAGGACCCGAGTTAAAACGGCCGAGCGACGTGACGTTCATTGGGTCGAATTTGGCAAAGACCCTCGGCGAGCCCTGGGGGTCGTTTTCAAGGAAGAAGACGCTAGACCGAATCCATTCCTCCTGACCAGCACTGGTTTCGCCTTTCCGGTCGAAATACCAGTTGGGTTGAGTCAAGGTACGAACGACATCTGGGTGTGTACGTTGCAACTCGTTGAAGACATCATGCGTCGACACGATGTCGGATTCGCCGCCCGAGAGCGACTTGGCTATGCAAAGCAGCCCAACAATGTCGGCACCATCCGTGTGAAAAAATTGGCTTGTATATTATTAGCAACGTGAGCCCAAGGTTTTGAGACTACCTTGCCGATTGTTTGTTCGTGGCTGATTCATGTGGGAATAGGGTGGGCAAAGGGGGAAATGGACTCACCGAGCGCTCGTACGGTAAATCCGCACTTTGTCCGTCTGGGTGGGATTCTCACCGAGATCTTTGACGTGCCCAAGCACGTGGCCGAGACCGTTCTGAGACACAAAGTAGCCAATATAAGTCCCAAGGCCCATGTAGGCGACGGCGGACTTTTGCAGACCCCAGCTTTGGACGGGTATACCCTTGAAAAGGATGAAGCCTCTACCATCAATGATCTCTTTGCGGAGAGTAGTCAAGAAGTGGCCCAGCCGGGGCAAAGGGAAGCGTTCCTGAAGGATGGGTCAGCGTCTGTAGGATTAAAAGGGAAGAGATACAGCGCTGTGTGACCGTGTCAGACAAACCTTGGAAATGCCCGTCAAAGGTATGCCAGAAGCAATGAATTCATCTGCGGCGGCACTCAACTCAGCTATCTCGGCCGAGCGAAATCGGTGAGTCCAGCGCTCCGGATACCATCTGTAGTCCTCAGCCTTCCACAATGTGGGACCCGAGATTTCTTTGGGGAAATCCTCGTAAGGGCGAAGTTGCTCGTAGACTGGTGGCCACTGACCGGAGGTTTTGAGGCCGTCCGGAAAGAGGCTTTGCTTGACAGGGGGGTTTGGAGTCGTATCAGGTTGGGTCAGCATAATTCCAGGTGCCATTGTGGTCAGGAGCTGCAAGTATGAGATCGAATCAGTGACGGAGCGCTGAAGAAATTGAGATTCACATGGGCACCGAAGACTGCGCACTGGCGAAAGAGCCGGGTTTTAAGACGCGTGATATGCCCAAGCTTTCCGTTTACCCTGAGAGGTTTAAGGTATGGCTAGCTGGGATGAGAGTGCTTCCAGCTCTCGGCACGGAGTCGATCCATAGTCTAAGTCTTCGATTTTGTGGCCTCTTCACGATGCTATGGGAAATCCATTCCTGGCTCCGCCGCGGCTCTGGTGGCAAGCAACCTTCGGACCCGGTCATCGGTTCATCGGAAACCGGGCTTGAAGTTCCTTCTTGCGTCTTGGTGACTCGTTCCGTGCAGGAGGCGCTTCTAATCGCCTCGGCTCGCCTAAGCCAAAGACGCAATCCATGTGCAAGCTCGAAATACTTACTCCGCAAGAAGAAATCCTCTTGAGAGTTCGTTGGCGAGGTTTGGAGGTGACTCCTAGGTGCACCTAGAATATGACTAGCGCCTGATTCGTATCCACCTCCGGGTTGAACTAACCAGGGTCCTTTTCAAAGTGCCGACAGCTCATCCCCGCCGATCCGTTGGTCGAGTACATATACCCGACCGTCCGGTACACCCTCCGCAAACCTCAAAACCCACAACGACCGGCCGGGTTTTGCAATATGGATGATGTTCTTGCTTTGGAAACCCCTTCTGGGTCAATTGCCGGCTGTCCTCCGAAAGATCTCTTGAGATCACGGAATGCGCCTCGTTCTAGATTAGGTGAGCGGGTGTTGTTGGGTTTTCTGGGCCCCCAACTGACCAAAAGTAGCATGCCACATTTGCCGTGCTCGAAAGGTGAGCCTCGCATGGCTCCTAGCTTGTACTTCCACACTTTTTGGTCTAATATTGTTTTTGTAGATCAAATGCGACGAACGGCCTGGAGGATGTGGTAACTGTGAAGCGCTCCAATTACAATGTCCTGGTTACTCCAAGGCATCGTCAGAGCAGCATGGTGTCGCACACTCCTTCCCCTTCCAACCGAATAATCAGCCAACGAAAAGCACATCTAAGAGGAAGCGTACATTTCGTTCATGCCTGAAGTGTCGCTCATCAAAAACGAGGTGTTCGGGAGACAGACCAGTCTGTCTTCGCTGTCGGCAGAAGCAAATGCAATGTACTTACGAGGACGACTCTAAGCCTACCTGGACATATCGAATTGCATCCTTGCCCACTAATCTCGAAGATGGAACTTCGGCTGTTGCTGGTGGAGCTAACATACGCCCGCGAAGTGACTTGCTTGGTCAAAGTAGTGATCAACTGGTGAAAGACGATGCAAGTGGACTCCAGCCGCAGTCGTACAGTCACGGTTTTCCTCCCGTGGAAGATTCCTCCTTATCTTGGTAACAAAAACCCGAATATAATATTTTCAGGCGAAGCTGACTGCCCTCAAGGCTGATGTCACCGTTGCTACCCAGCTGTGAGCAAATCCGGCTTCTGCTGGATCACTATTTCGCGACAATTCACACGTTGAGGTGCTTTGCTTTCATCCACAAACCTTCATTTTTACAAAGTTTAGAGGAAATTCTGGTCAATGGTGATCAGAACGCTCTTCTTCTGATCATGTGCGCGCTAGGTGCTCAGTGAGCTCGCCCCCAGAAGTTTAGGCTTGTGACTATGTTGATACCAACACCGAACGTCAGGTTCTTTGCTTTAGAGTACAGTGAGACAGTACAGACACTCCCACAGGCTTTCATCCTTACCTCTGGAAAAGAATGGGCTAAACGCTCGGAGAGCTGTATTCTTGCTGAGCTAGACAAAATTGCGATCGATAACCTTTCGGTGGGTGGACCGATGTGATCATAGATGCGAGATCTTCTTATACCATGTCTACTTCTCCACTGTCTACATGCTGACGTTATTGATAGGCTGCCGTTCTTCTGCATGACTATGCGCTCCGCATGGGGAATTTCGCCAAAGCCTTCATGCTGAGTTCAATTACGACGCGCATGGCTCAAGCGCTTCAGATCAATCTGGAACACTCCACAGACATTCTATGTCAGGATTCGAGGAGTCTTCTATCCGCCAGTGCCAAGGAGGCTCGTCGTCGTTTGATGTGGACATGTTACATTATCGACGCTCTCGTCGGCAGTGGTGTGGATCAGCTGACATTCATCGATGAGGAGGATGTTAAGATCCAACTACCATGCAGTGAAAGCAATTTCATTCTACAAAAGCCATGTATCACAGAGACCCTGGAGGTGGGAAAGCTCCTGAAATTTCTCGAACCAGAGGCAACATTGACAAATCCGGCTGATAATATGGATATGATGGCTTCGCTTATTCGACATATTGAGATAAGGAAGAGGGTGCTAAAGTAAGTTTCTGCTTTCCACGCAAGCGAGCATGTCGCCTAAATCAATCACTGCAGATACATCAAGAACCTGGGCACGGCCAAGCTACCATGGCTTCCAGACTCGGAATTCGCTGAACTCGACGCAGAATGCCGGAATTGGTATGAAACTCTCCCCGACACCCTGAAATTCAACCCTACGGCCATCTACATCCGCAAGGAAATGTCGCAGCTTAGTTCTCTCTGTGTCCTTCATTACGCCTATCACCAGACCATGTGTGATCTATACCGGATTGGAGCACCTGCGTTATACAAGCTTCGGGCCAGGTTTCGGTTTCCACCAGAACAATCAGACTTCCTCCACCATCTACAGCGAACTCTCTATGAGCATGCGAAGAGCCATGCTGTAATTACCGCCGAAGGATTGAAGCATGGAGTTAGAATCCTCGCGGACTCGTGGGTGCCCTCAATTGTATACGATAGCAGTCGCATCATGCTTTACTTTGCTATGCATCTTGTGAATCCTGCCACCGAGGACGGTAAATCTATCTTAGCAGAGACAGTTCCGCATCTGCAAAACAATGTAAAGGCACTAAGAAAGATGAGATCTCTTTTCGCGATCGCGGAACCTCTGGTAAGACACATGTCCCAGAAGACCACCGACTACACTGTACTTGCTAACCAAGTGGTCCGTTCACAGTGTGCCACAGCGGAGGCGATGCTTGAGAAGGTCTGTGTGAATTCGGAGATCCTTGAACGAAGCATCATTCCGGATGATCCTTACATGCCGAACCCGAATGATATGGACAGGTGAAATCACCCAACCCTCCGATGATAAAATCTTCCACTGATCACCGACGTTCTAGGCCCAGCTTTCCTGGTACTCCGGCTCAAACGTCCCCCGATTACGTTTTGAACCCTCTTTCAATCTACCGCATGGCTCGCAAAGAAATTCCTGAAAAGCATGCTCCGGAAAAGACAAGCTCACCTTCGACAAGCAGTCTGCAACAATCCCAGCATACTGGGCATCAGCAACTTCGTGTGACGGACGGATTCGCAACATTTCCGGCGGACTTGACCGTAGACCTGAGTGCGGATGAGCAGGCATCTCTTGATGAGTTGCAGGAATTCTTTACAACGGACCTAGGATGGACATGGCAGCCTGCAGAGACCGCAGTGGAATCCTCAACGGAAGTAGGCGGGGTGGACCCGCCTTGGTTTACCAGTTTATTCAAGCAGTGAGCAGTGAATGAATCCAGATGACTATCCAAGCACGAACTTGCCAACTAGAGCCCAGTCTCGATGAGAATGGGCTCCATGGCACTAGGACAGCACAACAAGCGAAATATGCGATGCTTAAATGTTTTTGACGATTCACTCTGATCTTCATCATTTGCCATTCGGCTTGGTCCATCACAGACACTGGTCCAGGACCACGTCGTCATAATACAGTCTCTAAGGAGGGGTCGTGAAGCCCGACGCTTGTGCGGTAGCTGTTGTACTATCCATGGCCCAAGGTGAAGCGCAGAAAGGAGATCTAAGGATGACAGTCGTGAGCAAGGGCGCTCCGGCACCAACAGAGGTCAGCGCTTATCTCGACAGGTGGAGGACCGATAGAATGGAAGGACGAAAGGTAGAGGAGTGAGGTCAGTGGCTCGTCGGCGACCAGCTTCCAGCGGTTCGAACGTCTCTGTCGGTGGGACCGGTTTACAGAAGCTTTGCAGCAGGCCGCTCTGCATTGGGGAAAGCCAGTGCTCGAGTGAGGGTCAGACATCGTCGAGGAGCATTTACAGCTGGCGAAAGCGGCGAGGAGGCCTCTGCCCTCAATATTATCTGCTGAGTAGTGAATGCTCTGAAGTGCCTTACCCATCGAGCCATATAGAGTTAAGCGGTCGCGCCAAGCCAGCCCCGAAGTGTAGATTTAGCGCCGCCGCTTTTGAAAAGAGCTCGCGTTTTCGGGACAAAGTCCGGAACTGTCCGTGACCCTTTGTGACGGAATATCGATAGGGCCAATCATATACGTTGCAACCGGTTGTTTTTGGGGAGGAAGCGCACAACAGGGCGGCACCACCCTTGGCCAAGGGGGTTCGCTCGCCGTCGATTTTACCTCTTCGCCTCGTCTTGGCGGACGCTCGAGCTCTTTGTCAATTGCGCCTCGAGCAAACCAGCTTCAACATCTCCTCAAAGCTTCGACTTCGACAACCACCGCCTTTTTCCTCTTCCTCATCCTCAAGATGCGTCCCGTTCCAGCGTCAACAGGCTCTGCCCTGCGCACTTGGGCCCGACACAGCCTTCCTACCAGCTCCCCCTCAGCTTCCTCCCAATCCTCCCGTCTTGCCGTCACTGCTTCAAACATCCCTCAACGACGACTGGAATCCTCAGGGGCAGAAGCACCAGGTAGCACGAGCTTCCAGAGCCCTTTCAGAACCCAGAAATATGATACGCACAAGATCCCTAGCTTCAAGACATACGAGTCCAAAAACTCCGAGATCACGAATCGAGTCTTCCAGTACTTTATGGCCGGATCGATGGGCTTGTTGGCTGCTGCCGGAGCGAAAAACACCGTACAAGGTAGAGCCACCCGCATTTGAGCTTTACCATGAAGAACATTCCAATCTATCATACCCGAGCGGCGGACTTGAGTGGTACGCAGCTGACCATGTTCCGAAATTGTACAGACTTCCTAGAAAATATGTCCGCTTCTGCCGACGTGTTGGCCCAAGCTAAAGTGGAAGTTGATCTGGCTTCCATCCCCGAGGGCAAGAACGTGATCATCAAATGGAGAGGAAAGCCTGTCTTCATCCGGCATCGCACCGAAGACGAGATCAAGGAGGCCGAATCTATCGAGTACGTCCTAGCTTCCTTATCCCCAATAGCTATATTCACTCTATCAACATATTCTTATACTAACGGTCGTTCACAGTCTCTCAATCCTCCGTGACCCCGAGAAAGATTCCGACCGCGTCAAGAAACCCGAGTGGCTGGTCATGTTGGGCGTCTGCACACACTTGGGATGCGTCCCCATTGGCGAAGCAGGTGATTTTGGTGGTTGGTTCTGTCCTTGCCACGGTTCGCATTATGATATTTCGGGGCGAGTGAGGAAAGGACCCGCACCATTGAACTTGGAGGTCCCCGAATATGATTTCCCGGAGGACGATAAATTGGTCATCGGTTAGAAATGCATCCAGATGGCATGAGGAGCGCCGAGTGGTTTGAGGATTCTCTTCGTGGTCGGCGTGTGGTACCTGTTGAGAACGAAGAGACCAAGCGAGGGAACGGGATCCCGGGATGCGCAAGAGTTATTGTACATATTAGACAGCAAGATGCTGGGAGATGCCGAGATACTGGAGGTCGGAGAACATCCAAGAGCATTCCATCGCTAGCTGCGGGGAGGGGAGCAAGAACTACAAAAACAAAACCCACATATATTTATCATTTCGGTTATTCGAATCGCCTTGATAGGTGTCTCAGTCTCTGCGTTCCGTAAAGCTCATCCCCTGGAATCGTATGATCACCTTCAGAGCAAGCTCCATGCTACCCGGTGTATGAGTGCAATGGGAAGGATGAAAAGGCACCTCACTTATGCCATGGCATCCGGAAAGCTCCGCTATACTATGAATGTCTTATCATGCTCTGTGTCAAGGTCCTTTTTTCTATATTGTACAATACTCTGACTCGAGGTCGCTATCTCCGTCTATCACCATTCGGATGTTAACACTGATCCGGTAGTCGTGACATCTACTGAAATTTGGGATGGGTGTTTTGTAGTCCAACCCATGAACGGACGACGGAGACGTAGGTGGCTGGATGGAAATATATACACAAGCAACAAGGGTCAGGCGACCACTCGGCGTCCCGGGTTTCGAGTAACCACCCACCAGAAGAGTGCTTGGGTGTGAGGATACTCGTACGTAGTGTGCAATACCGCTACCGGGGCCGGAGGAGCACGAACAAGAGGCCCATGATGGCCATGCCGCCGGCGACGCCCTCCATGGCCACAGTGGTCAAGTCGCGCTGCGACACGAGGATCTTGTGGTCGTCGCTGAACAGCCGTCTCAGGGAGTCTTCGTACCAAGCGAGTCGAGAGTCGGGCGATGTCCAGCGTGAGAATGACCCGTTGATGGGGGGCTGCGGTTGCTGTGACGGCATCTCATCAGCTGGAAGTCCATCTGGGGCGCCTGCGGGCACTCCAGTCTCTTCGGCTTCAAGTTCACGTGCCGTGAGAGTTTCGGCTGCTGCTTCGATATTCGATAATGGCGGTGGTGTCGTTGGAACTTTCTCGTCTGATGTCGAACCCGTCACAGCATCGACGATCTGTTCTGCAATGTTGTCTGCTACTGCATCGACTTTCTCGCCCGCTGTCATGCTGCTCGCGGCAGCAGCTTCCGCCATGGTTTGATTCGGCTCGACCACTGCTGCCATTTTGGTGGTGGTCTCTTCCTCCCTCTCTTTCAGTGCCAGCTCCACCTTCTCCTCAAAGCCTTTCACCAGCCGTCTCCTCCGCCACGGTTCCAGGACGACCTGGAAGATGAGGAACAATAGCACATTGATGCCCATTAATCCCCACGTGCCCCACGTGGACATCTGCCGTATCTTGTCACTCCAGATTTGTTCTTCGTGATACCGAGCTAAGATGGCCTTTGCAAGCTTCGTGGAAGCTTCCTCGTACCGGGCTTCTGCGTCGCTTACTTCCTTTTGCGCGGCAGATTCAGCTTGCTCGTTAGCGTGATCGGACCGGTATAGGCTGGTGAATCTCTCCAAGTCTGCGGGCGACCACGTATGCTTCCTGTGCAGCAAGTCGTTGACTTCACGTTGCGTAGTACTACGCTTCGCGATTGCTTCGGTGTATCGCTCCCGAGCGTTCTTGACTGCTGCACGACATTCCTGCACCACGGATTCTTGGTGTTCTATATCCGTCTTTAATGCTTCGATTCCTGAGTAGCCTGTTAGGTCATTGAGGCGGCGTGAAGCCGTGAAGACATGGGTTTGGAAGTTGTCCATGAAATGTCCAAAACGCTGTTGAAGGTCTGTGTAGCGAGTGGAGATGGTGGACGGCTGGGATTTACTGGATGAACTGGAGGACTGCGCTGGTTCTGGCTTCTCAGGGGTCTTATGTTCCTCGTGTTTGGAGGCATGTACTATTGAGGAGGACTCGGGAATGGTGTGGACAATGGTTTCATCTTGAGGGTGCTTGAGCTTGTCTTGCATCTGCGCCGCCGCATCCGCTCTTGAGTCGAGGCTCTCGTCTATTCGACCCTTCGCATCCTCTATCTCTCGACTAATATCCGACTTCTTCTCGCTATAAAATCGAGCTCGGACAGCTATTGCCGGCCGTTGGCGCACCCATGGCTGCGCACTCGGACGTACCACTGAGGAGAATCGACGGGGGGTTGCGAGGGATCGGTGGACAGGCTTCGCAGCTCGAAAGGTGGACCATAATGTCTGGGACAGCCGTAGGGGAGCTTGCTGCATCGCGAGCAAGCATATAATCTTCACATCCACCCAGGCCACGAGCAGAGTATCTCTGTTCGGGTCGAGCAGACGCAAGCAACAGCTTCCATTGATCGGCGAGGTTTTTTCGGCGAGGCAGGTTTGCCGACGCCAAGACTTCGCAGTACCAGGCGAGGCAGGCAATTAATCGACGTCATAAGCTGCACATTTGCAGTTTTGGCCGGGATTCCTCTTTCGGCCATACAAGCTCCCCGCCAAAAACAGATCCCCAATGCTGTCCGACGTGCAGTGAAAATCTCTAACCTCAAACTATCTTCTGTCTCCGTCGCGGCAAACCACCCAACCATAATCGGATTTGCCTGCACAGGCTTTGACTTTTCTCCCAAACCGCTCCTGTCGGTCTTGTCCCAGTTAGGAGACAGAAACGGCATAAGACCGATACATATATATCGGCCCGCAAGAGTCTTCTTCGCACTGCCCTATTGTTGACCTCCTCCATCACGCTCATTAGATCGCTCATCAGACGAACTGTTCGAGATGCCCTTCCCTCAAACCCTCGAGGCCAAGCCTCGGGTGATATTCTTCACCGACTTCGACGGCACCATCACCCTCCAAGACACAAATGACTTCATCACCGACAACTATGGCATGGGGTACGAGAAGCGGCGGAAACTCTTCCACGCCGTCATCGACAAGACCGACACCTTCCGCAACACGTTCCAGCAGATGGTGGACTCGTGGAACATGCCGTTCCCCCGTGTGCTGGAGATCCTGAAGGAAAACATCAGCCTGGACCCGGCGTTTCGGGATTTTGTGCTGTGGGCCCGCGAGAATAAAATCCCCGTCATCGTGCTGAGCAGCGGCATGGCGCCTGTGCTGGAGGCCTTGCTGAACCACCTGCTGGGTGAAGACCTGATGCAGGACTTGGAGATCGTGGCCAACGCGACGCAATTGCGCCCACCAGGGAACTCACTCGACGCGCCCGACGGCTGGACGATCAAATACCGCGACGACTCGGGCTTCGGGCACGACAAGTCCCTCACCATCCGACCCTACGCGGACGCCATTGCCAAAATGCCCGCGCATGAGAGACCCACGCTGCTGTATGCGGGCGACGGCGTCTCTGATCTGAGTGCCGCCCGCGAGACAGATCTCCTGTTTGCCAGGGAGGGAATGGATCTCGTCACCTACTGCGAGAACGAAGGGATCCCGTTCACCGAATTCAGCGGCTGGGAGAGCATCCTCGAAGAGACAAAGGACATCTACGACGGCAGGAAGACGGTCAAGAATCTCGCCGAGGAGGGTCTGAGGAGACATCGCACCAATTCTATCGAGTCAGGCGCGGTGACTAAGCCCACCATCAGGTGAAGTTTCTGAGCGATGAAATGCAGCATTACAGGCACTCGATATAGACGGGATTGAGGGTCGCAAAGTGGACAATCATGTGCCGGAATTGGAATTCTACAACAACGATTTCGCGAATAGAACAGCAAAGATCACCGACGAGTCACCATAGACAGCGATAGATTTCGGGATAGAAATAGAATAACGTGCATTGACGCCGTTAAAAGCATATTTACTCGCTGCCATGGGGACTTAGACACGACAGCCACCCTGCCCTCTCGGCATTTGCAATGTCAGGTAATAATATGTACTGTTCGACCAGACCAGACCAGAATCAAGAATGCTTTTCATCATACTCATTCAAGGCCTTCCTCAAGACCTCTTCATCCCTCGGCACCACCCGCACGGTATACCGACGCGGCACGCTCACCAGCTGCGTAGCATCCTGGATGCCTTTGACGGGGTGCGTGTCGACGACGCCAGTGCCCCCATCGGCCGGGCGGACGTCCTTGATCTCAAACGCGCTGAGCAGCCTCAGGTAGATGGTGTACATCTCGCGGTTCGCAAGCAGACTGCCCGCGCACATCCGATACCCGAGACCGTACGTGAAAAGAGGGGCGTCCGGGTTCTCGTCGAGCCAGCGCTCGGGCCGGAATGTGAAGGGGTCAGTCCACACTTCCGGGTCCATGTTGCAGGCCCAGGCGTTGAGGAAGACGACGCTCCCACTGGGGATTGTGTGTCCGTTGTACACGACGTCCTTGACCGTGGCGCGGGGCAGGCTGAGTCGCAGGACGGTGTAGTACCGCAGCAACTCCTTGACCAGGGCCACGATGTAAGGGATCGATTGGTCGTCGTACGCGTCACACAGGATCTGGTCCGCAGGGTAGACCTTGCGGATCTCCTCGAGAGCCTTTTGTTGGATCTCGGGCCGTTGCGCAAGTAGGGCCATCGACCACGCGACCAGCGTCGTCAGCGTGTCCAGCCCGCCGGAGAGCATGGTGAGCGAGATGGAGATGAGTTCCTCCTTGTTGAGCTTCGCTTCCTTGTCCTGGATGATGTTCGCCTGGATGCATGGTTGATGGATCCCTTTCGCCATCCGGTCGTCCAAGTCATCGTTCAGTTTCTTCAGGTAGACGTCTCTCCTGCGCCGCATGTCGCGGGCGTGGGCGCTCCCGAAGTTGAACGGGTTCAGGCGAAGAAGCGGAATGTAGTCCTGTAGATTGCCTGTGGTGGAACGGAATTTAGACACTTCCTCCTCGACGTGTGTGATTTCGCCGAATAGTTCGTCGTTTTGAGACGCCATACGGGTGCCCCAGTTCAAGGTCAATGCCAACGATAACGAGAGGCGTTGGATCATCGGCATCGGGTCCACGGGTGTCCGTCCACCGTCTCCGTAAGTGAGGAACTCGTTTAAGAAATCCCGTGTCTCGACGTCGATGTGCGGGATGTACGTTGCCACACTCGGTTTATTCAGCGCAGATGCAGCACCCTTCCTTCTCCTCTTCAAAGACTCCGAAAATGGAGACGTTCCTATTGTCGTCCCACTCGTCGAGCTTACCACCTTGTGGAAAGTGTAGAACTCTGGCCTGGAGGCCAGTGCCTGGGAGTTGGCCCCGAAGATCTCGCGCGCGGCTTTGCTGCCGTTGACCACTATGACGGGGATGTTGCCCAGCATGATTTGGTACACATGGCCGTACTTCTGGGACCACAGTCGGTACTGCTCTGCGGCGTTGACGCGAATTTGATGGATGTTACCGATCATGGGCAGCCCCGATGGGCCATCGAATCCCGGGATGCGTGCTTGGTGTCTCTGAATCTCGGTGATCAGCAGATACAGAAGGGCGGAAGCTGCTGCGAAATATGCCACGAATGCTATAGGTGATTCTTGAGCGTGGCCCACTAGGAATTGGAGTGTTTTATCGATCATCTTGATATCCCTAGGGATGGCGAGCGAGCAGCAAAAGAAAAAGAGAACGACAGAACGAGAGAAGAAAGGTCTACGAGACGGCAAACTGAAAACAGAGAGATCCGATATATATCACCCCCCAAACGAAAGATCCACCCCGGAATTGTGATGTGAGGGGGACGGCACTGGGAAGGTGGAGAGATATGGTGACCACCAACCATAACGCTGTCCCATTCCGTGGTGTTTCTGTGGGGAGCGGAATCAACACCGCAGCATGTAGAGGCGGGCATCCTCGCTTGAGGCAGGTCCAGGAAATGGGAATGCGTTCATTGGATCGTTCTGCAAAGCGCAGAGTATTTGGTGGAGGCGAGACCCAATGAAATGGCCCATCTCCTCAGCCTGAAATAAGCTGCAAATAGAAGGCAGTACTGAAACCAAGTCGTCTGCGAGTTTGTGGGTGAGGAAAAGGCGGATATTTCAACCAAAAGCGCTATCCTGTCTGATTGGGGCCTTGATCTCTATGGCGGTATTGGAGAATTGTCGCGCATGAGAGTTGTCAACTGATGGGACATCCGACGGCAGATCCGCTCTCACATCATTCTTGCGGAAATGATTGCAAGAATTTGGTCCCGCCGATATCGTGGTCAGTGATCCCAGGAACCACATTGTTCCAAAACAGATTACCCATGTTCGGCGTGCAGAGCTTCTTGTACAATCCGCCCTCTCGATGGAACTTGACGCCAAGTTCGGTACCCTGCTCGCTTTCCTCGATTTTCTTGCCGATCAGTGTTTCTTCATTAAGAGTTCCCATCATGACAACTATTATGTCATCCACGTCAACATTTCGCCAGGCGAGGCTGCTCCCGCATTGAGAACAAAAAGACCGGATAGCTTTTTCGCTCGAGCGGTATTCTTTGTAGGTTGCGCACATGGTAATGTCGTCGACAAGTTGCGATGGGTGAATGAGGAGATCATGGGAGACCAACGCTCCAGTCCATTTGCGGCACCTTGTACATTGACAAGCGGCTGCCTGGGGGTATAGTTAGAGCTATACACCGTGCCGGGAGCAAGCATCATACACTAGCTAGGCACGCTACGCTTTCTGGAAATACCACTTGGTATCTTATAGAGCCGCACAGACAACCACCAGAGATTGTTTCAGGCCTGGAAGCCATCGCAAGTGATGAATCGACAACAGAAAGCTGACTCAATAGATAAACGTTGGAGTGTTACCAAGCTGTGTCCGTTGTTGTATGTCTTATCCCTGCAGTGGTTGAGGGCTGCTTAACATTCAAATGGCTTTTCCACTCAATGTAAGCTGGATGGAGCCCGTTAGGCAACGCTGTAGATTGATAATTTGTGTTATCTAAGTCGACTTCTTCATCCTTGTCGTACTGGATGAAGCCAAGAAGTATTGTCGAGGCATTTTCTGCCTTTGCCATCCGACCAAGGGACGGTCAGGATCTAGTGAGAGAGCGCACCCGTTGCGGTATGTCGTATTTGCTTGTCAAACCTGGTGGTAGCCCGGATTAGGTCAGGAGTGTATTTAGAGGATACCAATTGACCGGTCTTTGGACAAGACTTGGCTGTGGCTTGTCAACTAGGCATCAAAATCTTATCCTGCTCTGGTTGCACCAACCGTACAGATGCAAGGTGTGATTGTTACTTAAGCCAGTTCGTATTTGGTGAGCAACGTAACCTGGAGGAAGCCAATTTGTGTCGCACTCTTCTAGACAATAGAAGGCAGACATACCCAGCGAGTGGTACCGCCATCTTCCAAATGATGTTCGTATGTTGAGCCTGGCTGAATACGGTGGAAAGATTCATTTTGCTGCTTTTCGACTCCTCCTGGAACCCGGTACCGGCTCGGCCTTTCCACCAGAAGACGGGGACACATCATTTGCTTCAACGACTTTTTCGGTGCTTTTGTTTTGTTCTGTTTCCTTCTTTGCTGCAGCCCTCTTCTTAGCACCTATCTTTTCCAGGTGCTCGATCTGCTTTTCACTGAACTCCCACAGCTTCTTTGCAACTTCTTCGTTTTTGACTTCCGGTCTCAATGGCTCGTACTGCCTGCACTCTTTGATCATCTTTCCGCCTGCGCCTCGACCATATTCGGCATCCATGGCGGCTAGCAGGTAACTCTGGGCGCCCTGTATTGGGGACTTGAGAATGAGCCACCATATTGGCCAGGTGATCAGGTAAAGGAATAGGCCCCATATTAGACCACCCGACAGCCAACGACGTGTGCCCGGCGTGCGGCAGTAACCTGGGTCGATTATCAACGCTCGAGCATTGTTGAGTTCCTTGTCTGGTCTTTTATAGGCGTCGAGGTGTTTTTGGAATGCATATGCAAAGGTCATGACTGCTAACTTGCTTCGTCCGTACGAAGCACTTCCGGCTTTGGAGGCTTTGTCCGTGGTTTCAAAGTCCAACTTTGCGCCAATGTAGCTGCTGCATGCGCTGAACAGAATTCTCACGTCTCGGTCTGGAGGTTGGGCGCGGATGGCGGGAGAGAGGATACTTAGTAGATGGAATGTGCTGAGGTAGTTGATCATCCACTCGGCTTCCACCCCGTCCATTGTCTTCTGAGGTGTACCGAAGAAAGGAGTCATGACATTGGCACAGAGAATGACCATGTCCAATCTCCGAGGGGGTGCGTTATCCACCCACTTCGTGGCAAAGAGTCGGATGGAGTGTAACGAAGAGAGGTCGACTTGTTCGGCATAGATCAATTCATTGTTCGTCATGGTCCGCACGTCTTCAATATAGTCGACGAGGAAGGGGTCTGAGGGAGCATGATGGGTTAGAAGGATAATCTGGGCTCCTCTTGTGGCCAGTTCTTGCACAACGGCGGCGCCTACGCCTGACGTTCCTCCCTGCGCAGAGCGCGTCAGAATTTATGTGATAGTTTCGTGGTCCATACTCTTACCGTAACTATTATCACTTTCCCATGCATCAGTCGTTCTGACCGACATTTTGCTCCGCCAAAGTACAGTTTCAACAGCGTAATGACACCTATTGCCGCTGCTGCTTTGGCGACGGTCCAGATATAAGGAATATTTGAAGGACCTCTGCCGAAACCCTCGGCCAGCAAAGGGATAGGCATTATTGTCTGAGTCGCTCTAAACGGCGGTAAATGGAGGAGTTGAACAGAGGTCCTGACAGAACAAAATTCCAGAGTAGAGTTGTTGCCAGATAGCCGCTTCCGGTTTAGACGGTCTAGTATTTTCTCTTGCCGTTTCGAGTATGGTGGAGGGCTGAGTGTACTGCCGCGTTCTGATGGTGATGAGAACCCTTGCTGTGAGATGGGAAGAGGTTGTACCTAGGAAGTGATGTTTTTTGACAGCCATCTTCTCCCGTAAGATACCTGGTCTGCCTCGCTGCGTAATGGGTGCCACCCAGGTGCCAAGACACTAGTAGGTAGTGGCTCAACACTGGTCACCTCCTCGCTCCTAATTCCTATTCCTCAACTTCGAGTTGTCCACCTTCTCTTCATCGCTAATGCAGAAGGCACGGAGCACCTATCGGAGTTCACCTCAACACAGCCTCAATATCTTGCGCCACCGTGTTACACGCTATATCATCAATTCGCCCGGGAGGTTCCCTTCAGAGTGCGCCTTATGTAGCTGAAATCCTTTACTACCGTGTTGGGCGCCACCGTGCCCCCGTTAGCGCGTTCCATGTCAAGGCTACGGGAACATGAGGCTGTCGCATGGCTGCCTTCTAGCTGCCTTGCCACGTCGCCGTTTCTAAACTCATGACAAGATGGCTGCCTTCTCTCCACTGTGTTGCTCAAATACTGAGTCGGCTGTAGCGCAATTCAGGAATCAGTTGTATCATACTATTCAGCCTCATTCCCATCCCAGATGGATGAGCGACCTTATTCGTGCGAGGAAGCCGACGAACACATCAAGCAAATCCGCAGAACTCGGGGGGTTGACAATGATGGGATACAAAACATCACAAGCGCCAATCTTGAGGATCTCGAGGCGTCTATCTCGATGTAATATTCCTATGCATATCCCTTTCACCTCCGGCCTGGATGCTTGGAGCATGAAGACAAGCGGCTAACTCAACCACCTCCCAGCCTCGCCGAAGGGCTCTACGAGAAATCAACACATTTCTTGTTGGAATTGATACAAAATGCCGATGATTGTGCATACGACACACCGACACCTCGAATGTTGATCAGCTACTTGGATGAACGTCTCCGCTTGGACTACAACGAGGTAGGATTTACTAGGCGCGACGTCGAGGCACTTTGCAGAATTGGTCGGACCACAAAGTCGAACTCTGGAAATAAAATAGGTGAAAAGGGGATCGGATTCAAGTCCGTCTTCAAAATCGCCGACGTTGTCTCGATACTGTCTGGCTACTACTCGTTCAAATTCGACAGGACGAAATCAAACCTTGGCATGATCACTCCTGAGTGCGACGCGTTTCCGGCAAAGGTACTTCCTGGCTTCACCTCGGTAATATTACACCTACGTGACAGGCGTGGCCAGACGGATTTGGTCGACGAAATGAGATCAATGGACCCGAGATGCTTATTGTTTCTGAGAAACTTGAAGCAAATTCATGTTACTGTCTCGCCTCCGGATGACCACAACTGGGAAATCACTCTAAGCCGCATTGATGATCAAAGTGGCGATGAAGCTCTGCGAACTACAACCTTGAGTTACGGTGATAAGTCTGTGACTTACTTGGTTCATCAGCACATTGCTACTTCATTGCCCGACGAGCAGAAACGCCGTGGGCGCGAGATGTCTGCTATCTTGTTGGCATTTCCGCACAACGATGCTCCAGAGACCGAACTTGAGCAACAGCAAGTATATGCATTCCTTCCAATACGCAATTATGGTTTCACGGTAATTATGTGGCTGCTGTTCGTCCTATCTTACCTGCATGCTTACAAGACGACAGTTTCTCATTCACGCCGACTTTCTGCTCATCGCGAATCGCGGGGATATTGACAGCTCGTCCCAATGGAACCTCGCGCTTCGTGAAGCCATCCTGGATGCTTTCTTGAAAGCTGTTCTGTATTTACACGGCACGGCGTTTCGCTATACCTGGCCTAGATACTTACCAAGCGGTCCAAATACATTCGACTTCTTCTGGAAATTCCGTACTGCGTTAGCCGTCAGACTTCTAAAAATGGCCATCATTGAGACCGAAGATGGTCAGCTGAAGACACCGACCACTGTCAGATATGTTCCGAGATGTTTCAGAGATGAGAACAACGTCCCTTTGATTTCAAGTGCAGCGACAAAATCGAAATACCTTTCCCACAAGTACTCGGCATCTGACATCAAACGGCTGAGGGACATTGGAGTCACCACACTATCCGATGAAGAGTTTCTTGATGACCTCCGAGGCTTCCTTTCCGGCCGCAATGCTGCCATGCCGGAAGCATGGCATTCCAACATAGCGAGAGCCCTGTTGCCATTGACCACGCGTTTCAAACGGAAAATATCCGATCTCAACCTTATTCTGTTGAGCAACGGTCGCCGGGTGGCAGCATCGGCCAGCAATATATTCTTTCCAGGAAGCAGCCCAGACAATTCTATCCCAGCAGGTATTGAGGTATTTGAGGTACACCGGGATATCTCAAAGGATCACAATTGTCAACAACTCTACGCACTCCTTGGGATCAAGCAAATTACCAACCCTTTTATCCAAAAACTGATTTTGAAGAAGCACTTGAATGACTTATCGGGGCCAAAGACACCCCTATGCGAGTTACTATCCCAAGCGCATTTTCTCTTCAAATCGGGGTGGACGAACCCAATCGATCATTTTTGGGTCGTCACGACGACTGGAGGAATATGTCGTTCACAGGAGGTATATGTTGATACAGACGAGAACGAGAAATACTCCGCATCACGATATCTGGACAGAAAGGAGTTTCCTTTCTTAAACCAGAGCTATGACAAAGGAATTGCATCAGAAGAATTTCTGTCGTGGAGAACTTGGCTGCGCAAAACACTTGGACTCTGGAAGATCCCCCGTCTTGTCAAGACTTCAGGCAACATCATCCATCCAGAGTTGTCAAACGACTTTCGCTATATCCTTAAGGAGTGCAGTTCCCGGCAGTTCTTGGTGCTCCTCAAGCAGAACTGGCCGCTATACTCTGAGTATATTTCCCAGACCCAGCTCAGTGCCGTGCGATCTGAGTTGTCATCGGTTCGTGTTGATTGTCGCGATGGCAGCCAGCATGATCTGAAAGCCACATCTACAGGCTATTTCATGCCAGAGGAGTTCCGCTCAGAATACACGTTCCTCCCACCAATACTCGACATTCCAAACCCGCAAGATGACGGATGGACTTTTCTAAAAGTGTTTGGAGTAACTGTCAACCGTGATCTTAACACTTATCTTGGTATCCTAAGGAGAATCCAAGGTCGTAAGGTCTCAGTCGACTTCGTTCGTTGGCTATATGAACGAATTCAGGGTCAATGTGAAGACAATCCGGTCCTCGTGTTGTACGTTACCCATCGACCCTATGACAAAACAACCAGATACTCACCTAGAGCAGTGACACGTTTGTGCACGAAAATCTCGTTTACATACCGAGTTCCTCAATGAATGACCTTCCAAATTGGGTCAATCTGAACAAATGCGTGTGGACAGGGCCCATATGTCTAATGCAGTCACACAAGCTCAGCGAAATCCATCCAGACCACAGAATACTCTTTGTGAAATACCTCAAAGTCAATGATGCTGGATTCGAGACTTTGGTATTGGAAGCTAAAGCCATCACACCTTCACTTCCTCTGGCCCACATCGCTGGCATTTTCAAGGAGCTTAGCAAGCTTTTACCGGATCCAGTATCTGTGAAAGCCACAGACGCAATACGGAGTCTTCTCGCTCTAAATATCTTTCCGCTTGATGAAGGAGGTGATTCCAGTATGGGCTTTGACGAGCTCTCCTCCGGCACCGCCGAATCTGAATGGTACATCGCCGATCAAGCACACCTTCGGCAGTGCTTTCAAGCTCGGGTGTCTTTGCTCGCTTTCGCAGTGGAAGACGTGCAGGCGATCCTGCGACTGCTAGGTATACTGAACTTAAAAGGGAGGCTACTGTCGAAGGTTGCAAAAGAAAGACACAAAATTGAGGGAGGTAAGGCACGAGGCACGGAGACCGATATGTTGTATCGTGAAAAAGCAAAATTTCTTGACCGGTAAGTCCCTTCATTAGACGTCTCAAATAGATCTGGCCAGCTATTTTGTTCAGTTCCGTTGCATGAGGTATTAACGATCCCCTATCCTCAATAGCCTGATGCCAGAAACAGTACGAGAAAGGCAACAAATTTTGCACCATTTGGAGAATGTGGAAATTTGGCACGCGGACAGCATCCTCGGAGGATGGGACATCGAGACAAAGAATCCTACGTCAGGCGTAACCCATCAAGAAAGCACTTACCTCGACACTCGTCTGCAAGCGCTGCTTGTGCCTCCGACAGAGACAGACAGGCTGAGGATATACCTCCGAGACGGCTTATCATGCCCCCCACTAGAGCTAGCAGAGCAACTGGCCGCCTTCTGCGGTGTTCAGGATTGCGAGGCGTTGATACTCAACATTATGGGTCAAGCGAGCTCCACCATCATCGAGGATACTCTCAACCGCCGTGGAATTCCAGAGAAAAGAGAAAAGATACCATCGCAAGCTGGAGCTTCGCCCTATCCTGCTGCACAACACAATGAGGGGAAAGCTTCGGCGAACGAACAGAGCTCGGCAAGTGCTGAAAAGGCACAAGTTCGTGGAACCCCTCGTAGATTTCAGGAAAAGTGGGTTGGGGCCGGGGCCGATGAAGGACAGCAGGAAGACGAGGAGCCACCCTTGAAAAGTATCATCCACGATGAGGTGAAAATTGACATTGACGAGCTCGGGATGCAGCGGCAGTCCTGGGAAGATCTTCCGGATGTCAACCCTACGGATAATCAAGATTTGAATGAACAGAGAACGAGACCAGCAGCTTCAACAAAGCGATCGGTGAATGGTGAAAATATCATGTCGAAGTCGAAGCCAGTCGGTTCAACATTGCCCAAAGAAAGCTCGTCAAGGCGGCCCAATTATGTTCCCCTTGTTGATGCTCCCACGACGGGAGAATATGTCCTGCCTCGAGGAGAATCCTCAAGACGGAAACGCAAAGCAGTGGCGAGGGGTGGTTCTCACGGCATTGAAGCTTTGGAACATCCAAGAATTGTTGGCTACCCTAACTACATCTATGTCACAAATTGTGAGGAACTCCCTCCCGAAAATTTCTCAGACCAACCACTTGGAGGAATTGTACTCCCAGGTCGAGCGCAAATTTCCCGTTCAGGAGAATGCACCGTCTTTCTTGCGGTGGAGCCAGCCTACAAGGTCGATAGTCACACCGAATTCCTAGGAGAGCTTTATGTAAGCTTTTCTACGGTAACCACGGAAGCAACTTTCACTAATGGGACCAGGTCTCTCAGCTCTTCAAGAGGTATCTTGGAAGAAGATATGATCCAGACACTCACTGGACTAGTCGATACCGCCGCGAGGCAGGACATACATCTTTCCAGACAGAGAAGCAGTCTACGGCCACGTTCACATTTTCCGATGGATCAGCCATGACAGAATTCCTCATCCAGTCCGGTTCCGGATTCAGGAGGAATGGGGACTACCCCAATTTCCACATCTTTGTGAAAACTACAAACGGAGGGCAAGAGTCTCTGTTCACAATCAGGGCAGATGAGATGGAAATGGTAAGCTTCTACCCGATAGTGTCGATCAGTTCCTACATTAAATGCCTTGAATATCTAGATTCGAAGGTATCGGTTGTTACCTGAGGACAAACGACCGTCTCAAGTCATCATACTTGTAAGAGTGTATGACATGGAGTCAACCGCCAGCGCGTCATTCTTCATAGATCCATGGCGCATGTATGCCGCCGGTGAGATCCAGATATACGCGCAAAACGGCTCTTATATTGCCAAAACCCAGCTTGCTTCACCAAATCTCTTGTTTAAACACTTCGAGATGGGGTTCTCCGCCCCTCCATTTCTCCAGTTCCTCACATCGTACGTACGGGATTCGGGCGAGTTGTGGGAACGGAGAAGGGTCCTGGACGATGAACGGAAGTACAAATATGAGCCTCTTGAAAAAGGTGCCTTCATGCGCTTGTTGAGGCTTCATCCAGGACGTGGTTTGAAAGCACTGAAAGGGAAGTTGGAACGTGTTTCACTCGAGGACACCAAGCAAAGATATCCCTTTACAGCCTTATCCTATGTCTGGGGCAATAGCTTAAAACCCTACGTTCTCGCCATCGAAGGTTACGCTTTACGAATCACTGCTTCACTTTACTTCGCCCTGAAACAGCTGCGAGAAGAAAAACACTCCATCCTGGTATGGGCTGATGCTATCTGTATCGATCAGGACAATGATATAGAGAAAGGCCACCAGGTGCGTTTGATGTCAAAAATCTACAAGTCGGCCATGCGTGTGTGCGCATGGTTGGGGAATGAAGCAGATCAGAGCAATTTTGCAATCGACTGGCTCTGCAAGATCAAAAGGACTGCGAAGCCTCGAATCGAGGTGCTTTAGTAAGTCTTCCCTCGGCGGACAGTCCAGTGTGGGACGTTATAAAGAAGTTTTTTCGACGCGATTGGTTTCATCGGGTCTGGATAATCCAAGAGCTTGTTCTTGCGCGCCATATCGACTTGCGATGCGGCAACCGAAAGTTTGAGTGGGATGACATTTATGTCCCGGCCACCTTATGCTCAAGGGAAGCAGAGAAGTCAAATGCCGCTTTGATGGCGTCGGTTAAAAAGACCATGGCGCCTGTATTAAGTCTGGGGGGACTGAGGCGTGCATATCGCAGCCAGGCCAACACCGCTGCCCAGCGGGAGCTGCTTTCACTACTCAAAGACTTCGAACACACTCGATCCTCACGCCGGCGGGACAAACTCTTTGCCTTTCTTGGGTTGGCATGTGACGCAGATGATTCTGGCCTCGACCCAGACTACGCCGCACCGCTTGAGACCGTCGTGAGTAAATATGCAGCGGTCTTTGTCCGACGTGGGCGAGGAATGGAGCTTTTGTACCATGCCGGGGCCACCAATTTGGAAGCCGATGCTCGTTTTCCTTCGTGGGTGCCGAACTGGGTGACGACCACCTATCCGAGGACCATCACTACCTGGAAGAGCAGATCCGGACTATTCAGTGCGTGTTCTCATCGAAAGGATACCATCAGGGTGTCACCACAAAATGGTTCTATATTAACTGCCACCGCTTATGATGTCGATGGAATCGCTGAAGTGGGAGAGATCTCGTTTGCAGCAGGAGACCGAACCAGATGGCTCAAAGAAGTCTTTCGTTTCATCGAGCGTGTCAACACATATCCCACCAAGGACAACCCGAAAGATCTATTCTGGAAAGTCCCCATAGGGGACGCCCTTGATCCACCATCCGGGAGCTGGAACGAGGTCGATTTCCGCGGTTTCCGCGTCTCTTATGAGGCTTTGGCCGAGTTCTTGCAGATGGACAATGACCCCAGTGACTGGAACGTCGAAGTTGCCAAGATGCGCTCGGTTGCGAAAATGAAGCAGTTTTTCTTCCGACCCCAGGAATTGAGGAAGATGATGTGGCCTTTTCTTCTTACTGCAGAGGAATTTGCTCAAAGGTTCGTCGACGCCAAGGTGTGTAGGACTGAAAAGGGCTACATTGGAATTGTCCCCGGAGCAGCGCGAAAAGGTAGCCGAGTCGCCTTGTTCTTGGGCAGCGCAGTTCCCTTTGTTATCGACAAGGGAAAGAAACATCCTAATTGTTACCGGCATCTCGGTGAGTGCTATATCCACGGAATCATGCACGGTGCCGCGAACCAGAAATCTGGATTGTTTAAGAAGCCCCCTCAAGACATCCACCTTTGCTAAGCGCCAGGAGCCATACGGTGAGATGCTGGGAATTTCAGTTGTTTGTGTATACAAAGCGGCAAGTTGTCACCCGGTGGAAGGCGACCGAGAGTGGGGGATCGTGTACATATGTAGTACTGATGGCAATAGAGAAGTCGTTGGCGTCGTAGTAAACAGATCCTCCCTGGCAGATTGGGGGCACTGGCTGTCAAACTCGGCAGAGGAGGAAACTCTGCTCAGTCCGCCTATCGCAGGCGGCGGGTGCCTGAAAGCCACCGTGTGCCACCTCACATGGCAATGACGCCACAACGCCCCGATATTGTTCCCTTTGAAAATACCCCAAATTTCCTAAGCAGTAGTCCCAGCACAACGACTCTGTCAAAAGATCTTCTCGTGCCTTCATGGCAGACACGGATGAAGACTATTACCTACCGCTCCAAGACCAGCGCGTCTTCGGCGCCGGCATTAGACGCAAAAAGATCAACTTCGTCCCCGCATCAACTTCAGATTCACAATTATTACCTACATCGAAACCGTCAACCTCCTCGACAAGCGCCGCGTCCCGATACTTAGCCATTGTTCTCCCGCAGGATGATGGTGACGCTCGTGAAAATCCAGAAGAAGAAGACTCAAGCGCAGCAGGCCACCAGGCTCCTCAAGGCATAATATGCGCCGTCTGCAATCAACCCATTTCGTCCACCGACGACGACGACGCACTATCGAATGCAAACCATGAGACCTCGATCGCGCACCAAGTATGCCTGAAACACTCTCACCCGCCGTCCGACCTTGACCGCGATCGCGTCGGTCTCCGTTATCTGTCGACCTATGGCTGGGATCCCGATTCTCGGAGAGGGCTGGGTGCAAGAGAAGAGGGGATCAGAGTGCCGATTAAGACGAAGGAGAAGAACGATACTGTGGGTCTGCGTGAGACCGCTGACGAGGACGAAATGAGTGCGCTCAAAAGAAAGAAGAAGCACAGCCTCAAGAAAGAGGACAAGATCGTGAAATTGGACGCAAAACAAGTCCGGCTCATGGACGGCGAGGCGAAGAAACGTGCCGCGAAGTTGAGACAGCTGTTCTACGGACGGGATCTGGAGAAATATTTGGGTCCCAACAGTTGACACGATCCAACATATCCGACTCGATGAACCTTGAGGGTGCCTGGTCTCGAATGGCCTAGGAGCAGAACTTGGTCCTCTCCCATGCAGTGACCAAGACGGGGGATTACATGACTATAAACAACCATCCGTCAACCCCTCTTGTCCATCACCTCCCGACGCCACGCTAAGTCACCATCATACAAGCATGCGCTTCTAGTGCTTCTTGAACAACCCTAGGTGTTTCTTCTCCTTGTCTTTCTTCAACTTGTGATGGCCACCGTCAGTAGAAGGCGACTGGTAAGGTTGTGATGGTTTTGACGGGGTAGGAGCTGTGCCCACCCCAGGGCGCACGCCATTCTGTGGACCTCTACCAGCGAGATTCATGTTTGCCATCGCTTCGGTCGGTGGTCGGACCTTGTCAGGCGGTCTGCCGTTTGCTGGTTGTGGAGGTCGAGGTTGTTGCTGCTGAGCCTGTGGAGGAGGCTCCGTCATCCATGCTGGTAGCCGTGGGGCGGCTCGGTCCATTGGCAAATCCAGTTGCCTTCGTCCAGTACTCAGTTGGCTCACTTGCCGCAGGAACGTCTTAGGTGTTATCATGTGGGTCGACGCGAGGAAGACTTCTTTGCCAGCCATCTGAGACACCTCGTAGCACGCCCGTGCTTCGGCGTACGTCGCCCCGCCTGCCACGAACACAATGATGCGTTGGCGCGGCTTGTTGGATTGAGAGCGTGTTTGAGCCCATGTAGGTTTGCCCGTATTCCTCAGGGAGGTCTGTGGAATACTCATTTGGCTGTTTGGGTCGTTGAGATGTGGCTTCACCGGAGGGAATACATTGATATCCAACGTACCCTGGCATTGTTCTTCGAGCATATACCTCAGAGCCGGCTCGAATCGTGACAAACTCACTTCCTCCATATTTCCAACATCTCTGACCTTTGGCGGGAACAACGGCGGCGGGGCAGGCGTCGCATCTTTCAACTGCTTTTCAATCCTAGCACCCAGAGTTATCAGGTTATAGATGATTTCCCCATCCATCGGCGACAATTCGCCGTGACACCGCAGCTTTTCGATGTCTCCCCTGAGAATGCCATTTTTGTACAATATGTATAAGATTAACAGTCGGACCCGATCTTCATGGACGATACTGTCATCATCAAGCAGTCGGACAACCTGATCTGCTAGATTTTTCGGTTTCTTGTTCTCCTCGTCAAGGCCCGTGGCAAGAGATTGCTCAACAGAGACCGCATCCAGGAGCTTACGGTCCGCAAAGATTTTTGCGCATTTTTCAGCCATGTCGATATGAAGTGAGAAGGCTTCCTTGCCTTCCTGGAATTCTGGCAGTCCTGCCAACATGTCCTTGATGGTGTTGATACTCGCAGGTTGTCCATCGTTGTCGGCAAATTGGGGATTTTTGGCTTGGAATTTTCTAAATTCTTCGCTCAGTTGCACGAGGAGATCTTTCATGTGCATGTGTCGGTGAGCGACCCAGAGGTTATCTTTCTCTGATATCTCTACATCCTTTTCTTCCTGATCCGGCTGGCCTCGCCTGATGACGTTTCTGTACGTTATTTTGTCCTCGTCATCTCTTATCGGCAAGAGATCCATTGCCATGGCTTGATAAGTTAATTCATGGACGAACGGCGACATCAGATCCATGGACCGGTCTGTGATTAGTAGAACCGCTCGTGGCCGGTTGCCAGGGTTCTGGGGAGGAAAGTCGTTTCGTGGATCACGAGCATATTCGTCCAGCGCACTCTGTACGAAGCTGGCAAGATGATAGCACAAAACATCGGCAGCATGTCTCTGATGCTCTCTCGGCTTGTAGAACCGGATTAGGGGGTATTCGCCCAGAGACACGCATATTGACACGATTTTCTGGGTTATGCTGTCCAAGTGGTCCTTAACCAACGAGTCGCAAGCTGGGTGGAAGAGTACGTGAAAACTCCATGGTTCTCGAAATGTGACCAGGTTGCATTCGCGCGGAAAATACTCGATGTTCAATGTCCGAGATTCAATGATCAACCGTGCTCGGGACTCTGAGCGGAACAGCTCTTCCCCAAGACTCCCTGGCAGTTGCGAAGTCCAGATAAGGTGAGCACGTCGGTATCTCTTTCGACTGAGGTCAGCCTTGAGGCTTTCGACTATATGCGGTAGAGGGGTAAGGAGGTAGATCGCATCCGTGTCGGAGAGGGTCTGCCTGCGATCCTCAAGAAGTTCGATGTTGGTTATGTTGGCATTTAGGATATCGTCCTCTTTACAGACGTTGTACACAACCCTTTTGCTTTGCTCATCCAAGATTAAGACTTTCCAATCTCGCCCGCTGGTGGCCCGAATCGTGCCTAATATGATATTGCGTTGGATCTCGAGGATGGAGGTTGCCATGGTCGGCACAAGGAATCAGAACCAAAGGTCTTGTTTACATGCTCCTGTGCTTGGAGGATTCTGAGACTCTGTATGCAACGTTCATTAAATGCTGAACATGACGTTCCCGTTTCATATGTGCGTGCGCCGATGGACTGCTGTGGGGTTGGGATACTTTGTCGCAGGCTGCGGCGGGTGAAATTGGGCCGCACTTCAGCCTCGCCCAAGCAAGTAAGCCACGTGATCAGGCTGAATATGTCACCAACTTTTCCCAATGATCATGAAGACAGTGGCGTTCCCTCCTCCCCTAGTTCTGTATAGTAATTCAAGGAAGCTCGTATAGGCGGGTGCGATCTCATACTCTCAGTCCTCGGTATCGTCCTGGGAGTTTTCTATAAAGCTGCCGGCATTTGCACGGGCATGTTGACTCCTTCAACCCGTCGAGCGCAATGCCTCTTCTGTTCATTCCGAGCCTTCTTTGCATCAGCGCCGAAGCGATGTTATGGCAATATCCGCAGCTTCTCTACCACCACTGGTCAGACAGACCGACAACATCATAAATCCTCTCCCACTGCAAGATCCGCTCTCTCTGAGTCTTCAAAGGCTCGCCGGCCAAGTCGGCGTCCCGCCCCAGAGACACTCCAGATCTCACCCGACGCAAGTTACAACCGTGTTCGTGTTAGCTTGTCAAGATTGAAGAAACGCTTGGAGTCCACAAAAGTAGCAGCAGAATCAGAAGTTACACAACTTGCCGCGCTTGATCCTTGTGGGACGTACTGGCCTGCGTTTAGAGAACAGCTCGAGAATACAATAGCTCCGCAGGGCGACTCCGGGAGTGCGGATTTTGACGGACTGATATCTGATATTGGTCGTGCTCAGTTGGGCGAATGGGAGACTGAACTCCCGAGAGTGCTACATTTTGGCTTCATCGATTACGTCCTTTGGAGAAGGGCACAAGATGCTCCGAAGGAAGGTTCGGCGCTCGATGACTTGCAGTTCCCCACAGAGTGGTATACCAATGCTCGACAAGTGCAAAGAGACGTCCATTTGCACATCGGGCCTACCAATTCGGGGAAAACCTACAATGCTCTGAAACGTCTCGAAGAGAGCGGGGACGGGTTCTACGCAGGCCCTCTACGGCTATTAGCACATGAAGTGTACTCAAGGTTCAAAGCGAAGGGCGTCCCTTGTGACCTTGTCACTGGAGACGATGTCAGGCTGGAGGATGATCCCAATACGAAGCTACGCGCCTCAACTGTCGAAATGGTCGATATCTCGGCACGGTTTGAGGTTGCTGTAATTGACGAGGTGCAGATGGTGGCTGACCAGGATCGAGGTTGGGCCTGGACTCGAGCTTTGCTCGGTGCCAATGCAAAGGAAGTCCACATTTGTGGGGAGACTCGTGTGCTTCCACTTATTCGGGAGCTGACGGCATCCACTGGTGATATACTTCATGTGCATGAGTACAAGAGGCTGAATCCGCTCAAGGTTATGACAAAGAGCTTGCGAGGAGACCTCAAAAATCTGCGCAAGGGTGACTGCATTGTGGCCTTCTCGGTGGTAAATATACACGCGCTAAAGAAGCAAATTGAGATGGACACAGGTCGTCGTTGTGCCATCGTATACGGAAGTCTTCCTCCCGAAACCCGGGCGCAGCAAGCCGCTCTGTTCAATGATCCCAACAACGACTACGACTTCTTGGTGGCAAGCGATGCTATTGGTATGGGATTGAATCTGTAAGATAACTTTGGGGGATCCCAGAAAGCCCAAACTAACGTCTGATCAGGAGCGTGAAACGCATTGTCTTTCATACCGTTTCGAAATTCAACGGGACTTCGATTGTGCGACTGTCCACGCCTCAGATCAAACAGATTGGTGGTCGAGCTGGGCGTTTTCGAAATGCACATCAGGCCATGCATAACACCGCAGCTGCTTCAGAGTCCAATGTGGGATTGGTCACGACTCTCAATGACGAGGATTTACCTCTCGTGCGGGCTGCTATGGAATCAGAAGCTGCACCGATTAAAAGAGCCGGTATGCTTCCACCCGCCGAGGCCATGGAGGAACTCGAGGGTCGTTTACCCAAAGGGATTCCCTTCGAATATATCCTGAGGCGTCTGTGCGGGAAAGCTGCCACGCATCCGCGATTTCGAGTATGCAGTATTCGAGATCAAAGTCGAATTTCTCGAGTGATCGAATCTGTCCGAGGGTTGACCATGACCCAACGCATCATGTTGACGGCAGCACCGGCCACTACAGCCTCGCAAGCAATGGACGAGGTGATGCGAGCCTTTGCGAGATGTGTGGCAGAGCGCAGACAGGTGACGGTCGTCGACGTACCTGAAGTTCGATTGGAGGTTCTTGAAAAGCCGATCTCGGGAGACCGAGCATATCTGGTCAGCCTAGAAGACCTCCACAAGTCCCTAGTCCTGTACCTCTGGCTCAGTTACCGATTTTTGGGTATCTTCAAGGACAGGGAAATGGCTGTATACGCCAAAGAGCTGGTAGAGGACCGAATCAACACCTGTCTCCTCGAGTTTTCTGCAAACCCCGACCTACGCAAGAGAGTTTTGTCATACAAAAAGAGGTTCGCCCTTCCTCAAATCGAGACCGAAGAAAGTGCTCCAGCAAATCAAGGATCTCAATTGGAGCAACCAGAAGAAGCCGAGGCCCTTCCTATGGACTGGATTCGGAGCTATCCAGCCGTTGAGTTCGAGGATTCTCCGCCTTCACAGCCCTACAACGTGGCGCACGGATGAATATTGTGGCCTCTAGGAACACCGCAGTGTCTGAGCAGACATTTTTAAAACCCTGTTGGTCACTCTACAAGGCCTGGAGAAATCGTCGACGGAAGTAAAGAGGTCACCATGTACATCAAAAAGGGTGTAGAGCAGTGGATAATGTCCATTGTGTTGCTAATGTGCTACCATGTATCAATGCCTTCTTCCCACTAATATCAATTTCGATGCTTCATTTGAGAGACTTGAGGTTTAGCCGGTCTTTGTGTCACCCAACATGCTCATTGTTGAGTGACGTGTCTGTCAGCACCGCCGGTCGATGGGTTTGCCGCTGCTGCCTGTTCGCGAGCGAGTTGATCTTCGGTCTTTTTGTTGCCATGCAGGATCAATCGGTTCAAGAAGCTTCCTGGCTTGCCTGCGTCGTGGCCTTCTTTCTCTGCATCATCGGCCTCTTTGGTGACATAGTCCATGGTTTCTTCATCGGCCGAATCATGCTCGTCAAAGTTTACTGGACACATTGTTAGCTGGGAATTGCCATGAACTGCATGGAAAGCATGATGAACAGTGCACGACAAGGGAAAAGGAATTGGTTGAGCGCAAGACCGTCGATCTCAAGCTTTGTAGTAAAAACTGTGGGAGGACCCAAGAGAAGACGACAAGGAATTCATGAACATACTTGGTTCTTTGTCTTTGTGGCTGAGACGACGCTTGAGCTTTGCTCGAATGCTGTCCATTTTCGGTGATGGCGATGAAAGTAGGTCGAACCTGGGTGGAAATCTGTACAGTCCAAGGACTGTGAGCGAAGTACTTGGTAGGAGGGTAATGGGTAGCTGGGAGAGAAGCTGGTAGAGAAATGGAGAACGGATTGTAGACTGTGAGGGCGGGGTGAAGGGTACCTTTTTCTACCTACTTCTTGAGCTGAATCTCAGGGTTCAAGGAGGGGTGATCTACGGCCTTGACGCGATGCAGGCACCGCAGTTACCTCCCACCCACCAAGTATGCCATTCAGGGCCTCGACTCAGAAAAGGCCATGCCGTTCACCTGGCTCCCAGTGGCACCATGCTGGCCAGAGATCGAGCCCGTTCGCCAGGTGCCACCGAGCCACCAAGTGAACCCCACAGAGCCTGGGCAATCTGCGCCACCAAGTCGCCGCCACCCAGATCAAGCCAACCCAAGCGAGGCGAGGTCCGTTTGCTCCGCAGGCTGCATCCCGCTTCCGCTTTCTCAAAATTTCCATGTCCATCTCCGACACCGAGAACAAGACACCAAGGGCCGTCAACTGGCCGGACCAGACCCGCCCTTAGACGATAATCACACAGCGTCCGCATAGAGGCTCGTCTTTGGGCAGCCATGGACGACTTCACCTCCCTCGAACTGCTGTCCCTCGTTTCCAAAGTCACCTCCGAATTGCAAAACCACTTGGGCATCAACGACAAAACTCTCGCCGAGTTCGTCATCGACCAGCACGAAAAATGTGGGGGCAACCTGGACAAGTTCAAGGAATCCCTGGCGGGCATGGGAGCGGAATTCCCCAACAGCCTGGTTGAGAGCATCGATCGGCTGATCAAGACGATGCATCCCGAGTACAAAAAGAGCAAGAAACAACCCACGCAGGGAAATGGCACATCGGACATGGACGAGTTGGACTCGATCGGACGCAAGGCAAGGATCTTCAAAGGGCTTGCAGTCCCAGATCGCGAACAGCCCTGGACCGATTCCGAGGATGACATAGCTGCACAGAAGAAGGCGAATCGGGCGAATCCCCCGGCGGAGGACGATACTTTTGCACTTCTCGAAGGACTTGCGGGAAACTCGAAGAACGGCACAAATGGCACAATCGAAAGGAACAGGAAGAGGAGTCGCAGTCCCGATCGTGACGACTATGCAAGAGACCGAGAACCAAGACGCAAATACTGGTCCCGGAGTCCTAGCCCCCACGAGGAGAAGAGGTCGCGCAAATACCGAGATCAGGGGTATGAAGACAGGCATACGGGTTACAGAGACCGGTACGACGAGAGACGAAATGGCCATCACAAGAGCAGGCGGCGCGATTATGATGAAGACGATGATTTTCAAAGGCCACCTCCTCGCGAACTTGACGAGTTCCCCGTCCTCTACAAAGTCTACGATGCTGTGGTCAATGGTATCAAGGACTTTGGAGCATTTGCTAGTCTTCAGGGTGTCAAAGGCAATGTCAGTGGGCTGATTCATGTCTCAGCTATTCAAGAAGGCGCTAGAGTTAACCACCCGTCCGACCTCCTGTCTCGTGGGCAACATGTTAAGGTCAAAGTTGTCAAGATGGAAAACAACAAAGTCAGCTTGTCAATGAAAGAGGTTGATCAGGTTACTGGGCAAGATCTTGTTCCATCTAGGAGAATAGCTTCTGGTGCCAATATGGAACGGCTCAACGGTCAGCCGTCTGACGACCGTTACGGGAATCTGGGCAGCACAGTCCCCGTTATTGAAGATGGTTTTGCCTCGAAGGCTGGAAAGTCTCGAAAGAGGATGACGTCCCCTGAACGATGGGAGATCAAGCAACTCATCGCTTCAGGTGCAATCTCCGCACAGGATTATCCCGATATTGACGAGGAATACAACGCTACCTTGAACGGAGACGACCAGTTTGAGGAGGAGGAAGACATCGATATTGAGGTACGAGAAGAGGAGCCGCCGTTCCTCGCAGGTCAAACCAAAATGTCCCTGGAATTGTCACCGATTCGAGTTGTGAAGGCTCCTGAAGGGTCCTTGAACAGGGCGGCTCAAGCTGGCACAAACTTAGCAAAGGAGAGGAAAGAACTCAAACAGCAGGAAGCAGCTGAGCGAGCCGCAGAAGAGGCATCCAAAGTCGATCTCAACACGCAATGGCAGGATCCGATGATCAACCCTGAACAAAGAAAATTCGCATCAGACCTGCGACAAGCCCAGCAACAATCTTCACGAGCTATAGAAGCTGTGCCCGAGTGGAAACGAGCAACCCAGGGCAAGAACCAGTCTTATGGCCGCAGGACAGATATGACCATCAAGCAGCAAAGGGAGTCACTTCCAGTCTTTCACTTTCGCAAGCAATTGCTCGAGGCTGTGGCAGCGAATCAGCTCCTCATCGTGGTTGGAGATACCGGTTCTGGTAAGACGACTCAGCTTACCCAGTACCTTGCCGAAGCTGGGTACGCCAACAACGGCATGATTGGATGTACGCAGCCTCGTCGTGTCGCGGCCATGTCTGTGGCGAAGCGTGTGTCCGAGGAGGTTGGTTGTGAATTAGGAAAAGAAGTCGGCTATACTATTCGTTTCGAGGATCGGACTTCACCAGACACGAGGATCAAATACATGACTGACGGAATGCTTCAGCGAGAGATCTTACTGGATCCGGATCTCAAGCGCTACAGCGTCATTATGCTGGACGAAGCGCATGAGAGAACCATTGCCACAGACGTTTTGTTTGGGCTGCTCAAGAAAACCCTGAAGAGGCGGCCGGATCTGAAGCTGATTGTCACCTCGGCCACTCTCGACGCAGACAAGTTTTCTGAATATTTCAACCAGTGTCCCATCTTTTCCATTCCCGGCCGAACGTTCCCGGTCGAAATCATGTACTCGAGAGAACCTGAGGAAGACTATTTGGACGCGGCGTTGACTACTGTCATGCAAATTCACCTTACCGAACCGCCGGGTGATATTCTCCTGTTCTTAACTGGACAGGAAGAGATCGACACCAGCTGCGAAGTTCTGTACGAAAGAATGAAGGCTTTAGGACCGAGTGTTCCTGAACTGGTTATTCTACCTGTCTACTCGGCTCTTCCTAGCGAAATGCAGAGCCGAATTTTTGAGCCTGCGCCGCCCGGTGGTCGAAAGGTTGTTATTGCTACGAACATTGCGGAAACATCAATCACTATTGACGGGATCTACTATGTGATCGACCCTGGCTTTGTCAAGCAGAATGCCTATGATCCGAAGCTTGGGATGGACTCACTCGTTGTGACTCCAATCTCTCAAGCACAAGCTAAACAAAGGGCCGGTCGAGCAGGTAGGACGGGTCCGGGCAAATGCTTCCGCCTATACACCGAAGCAGCGTACCAATCTGAAATGCTGCCAACCTCCATACCAGAAATCCAGCGCCAGAATCTTTCCAACACCATTCTCATGCTCAAAGCAATGGGCATCAACGATCTTTTACATTTCGACTTCATGGACCCACCGCCAACGAACACTATGTTAACAGCCCTCGAAGAACTATATGCTCTTTCCGCCCTCGATGATGAAGGTCTTCTCACACGACTCGGACGTAAAATGGCCGATTTTCCTATGGAGCCCTCCTTATCAAAAGCCCTAATCGCATCTGTGGATTTGGGTTGTTCGGATGAGATGCTCACTATCGTGGCGATGCTATCCGTACAGACGGTGTTTTACCGCCCAAAAGAGAAGCAACAGCAAGCCGACCAGAAAAAGGCAAAGTTTCATGATCCCCATGGTGACCATCTTACACTGCTAAACGTCTACAATGCGTGGAAGCAATCTCGGTACAGTGATCCCTGGTGTTTCGAGAACTTCATTCAAAAGCGGCAAATAGCGCGAGCAAAGGACGTGCGCCAGCAACTTGTCACGATTATGGAACGGTATAAGCATCAAATAGTTTCCTGCGGTCGCAATACGATCAAGGTTCGACAGGCACTCTGCGCCGGATTTTTCAGAAATTCGGCGCGGAAGGATCCGCAGGAGGGATACAAAACACTTATTGAGGGAACACCCGTCTACATGCATCCTAGTTCCGCGTTGTTTGGAAAACCGGCCGAGCATGTCATTTTCCATACGCTGGTGCTGACGACCAAGGAGTACATGCACTGCGCGACTGTGATTGAACCTAAGGTACGTATCCCTCACCGTCAAAGACAGGGAATATGCCCTCCCTTGCGAGCTCAGACTTTTCAAATGGTACCTGGTACTGACTCATGGTTACAGTGGCTAGTTGAAGCTGCCCCCACGTTCTTCAAAGTCGCGCCTACAGATCGCTTGAGCAAGCGCAAGAAGGCAGAAAGGATTCAACCCTTGCACAACAAGTTCGCGAGTGGAGACGATGATTGGCGGTTGAGTGCGCAGAGGAGGCAGGGTAGAGGAGGAGGAGGTACCTGGGGTTGAAAAGGGAGGTCGGGGAAGGCCTTGCGGCTGTTGAGGATCTGCTATTGCGGGTTATCGTGCGTGAAGGAAAGGAGGGAGTCTTCTGGCTCAAGCAGGCTTGGAGATGGGATTGGATAGATGGAATCAGATACCCGCAACAACGTAAATAACAGCTCGAACATTCACGCAAGTGGAAGCCATTCCACATTGTTATGACCTGTGGGAATATGTCTATGATTTCCTCTCTATCCAAGCCCTTCACTTTCATGCCTTTTGCCGTTCATACTACCGAGACCGTCCCGGACTTTCTCTGGAGCTGGGGCTTCTCCTTGAAGATATTCTTGACTGGTTTTAGAGTCGGCGGCGCCGCCACCACGTCCTGCAAGTTCGCCTGTCTACCCAACTGCCCTTCCTCACGGCGCTTCTTTTCTAGTATTTTCCAAGGGTCGGCGTCATCCATGCCATCGCCTCCTTTCCGCTTCTTCTTCTTCTTCTTGTTATTGTTGTTGTTGGAGTTTGTGCTCAGCGTGGGATCAATCCCCGCCCCAAGCCAGAGGATCTCATCCTCCTCCTTCTTCTCCAGCATCTCTTCATGCTCTTCCTGTTTTTTCTCCCTGAGCCGGGCGTCCGTGGCGCGCCACTCCTTCTGCATCCGCGCCAGGCGCTTGTTGTGTTTTGTTAGTGGTGTCTTTATCTTTTCCAACCCGGGGATGGAGGTGAGGCGTGTGCGGTGCCGGGGGATCGAGGTTAGAGGGAGGGATTGGTCCACTCGCGCTGAGTAGGAGGAGAGGGATTCCCCTGGGAGGAGACGTGGGAGCTGAGTGGTGGTGGTGTCGGATGCTTCTGTCGATGCGCCAGCATCTCCCCCTAATGGATCAGGTTTCGAAGCTGATTCTGAGTTTGGTACCACCCTATCCTCCCTTTCCCTTTGCTGCTTCCTCTTCTTCTTCTTCGACAGATCTCCATCGTCCAGGCCCGACGGCCGCATCTTCTTCCCACCTGCACCCGGCTGGAACGCCATTAACCGCTTGAACGCTTTGGGAGTATCGTCCTCAAAGTCCGCCGCCCCATTGCTTTTGCTCTTGCTATTCTTCTTTTTACCCCTCCTCGCCTCCTGCGTACGTTTCCTGTCCGCGTCTGAGGTGAAGATGGATTCAGACTTCTGGTGCACGGACAAAGTTCGCGCGCGGGACGTGGGCGGCAAGTTGAAATTGGAATCATCCTCTTCGCGCTTGCGTTTGTGTTTGTGAGGCATGTTTGAGGGGATTTCGCGGAGGTTGGGATTCGCAGTTCAAGTGTAATTGCAGAGAACTGGGCATGAAACTCGTCGCGGTGCGCATGAGTAAAAAATATCGGCGAGGCTGAGTGCGGAGATGGCTCGATGGGAAAGGTTTACCCCTCACCACAGCCTTGCTGTTCACTGTCCTCGTGCCGCAATATGGTTTAGACTGTTCGAGAGTCCGTTACTTACTTGCTCCCTCATCCATAAAACTCTCTTGTGTTTAACGTTTAGAATGTTCTGTTATTTCTCCATGGACTTTCTCCTTCTATATGAGCCAAGGACGGAAAATATTAGTTAGTAAAGAGATTAACCCCCCATTCATCACTATAGTCAATTGTCCTCCCCTTGCCGTTTGGAATTTCAAGCTTATCAAGCGCTTTCATGTCTTCTGGCGACAGCTCCCTTACTGCGAGGTTGGATTTGATTCGAGCTGGAAAATTACAGCGGGTTGTCAGCCACACCATGATAGACTAGGGCCATTGAGGTCTGCATCAGGAGGCAGTGCACAAACCTTTTGTCTGGCTCTTCCCCAGAGGGACGGTGCCTCTCTGGACAGCCCAGCTCTGCAGCAACTGCCCGACGTCCATACCATTCTTCTCGGCGATCTTCTTGACTGTTGGATCTTTAAGGAGCGTCTCTCCGTCCGCCTTTTGTCCCGCAAAGGGGGAGTAGCATGTCACAAGAATGCCATGCTCTTTCATGAACGCGATGAGCTCGTTGTTCGGTAGCCAAGGGTGAACTTCGACTTGATTGCAGGATATCGGCACCTCTTGAGCGTAAGGCAAGATCTCCTTGACTTCGGAAATGGAAAAGTTGGAGACGCCAACGGCTCGTGTCTTGCCGGTTGATACGAGTCTCTGCATCGCTTGCCACGTAGGGACGAAGCTGCCTTTCTGGCCTGATGAAAACGCTCAGCGAATCATTGAGATGGGTGTGTGAATGCAACTCACCGGCTTGGGTTGCGATATTGTTGGTGGTATGTTCCCAATCAATGACCGCTTTGTTTGTGCCAGGTTCCAGCAACATTCCTTTCTCAGACTTGGAGACGTAGGCACGTTTATCCGCGTTTTCAAGGGCATCTCTCGATATCGGTTTGAATGCGACGGGCCAGTGCGCCAGGAACAAGTCGACATAGTCCAGGCCCATCCTCTTCAAGCACTGGTCCAAGCATAATTCCACGTTTTCTGGGGCGGAGAAGTGCGGCCAGAACTTGGTCGTGATGAACAGCTCGGATCTGGGGATTCCTGATTCTCGGATCGCGGCCCCAACCTCTTCATCGACCTGGTTTTCAGTCAGTGGCAGATGTTCTTGGGTCTTTGTGAAGACGAAATCATACACCATACATCCAAGCACAATCTAAGTGTCTGTATCCCAGCTTCAGAGCTGTTAATGTGGCATCTTTGCACCACTCCGGATTTCCTTCAGGGAAGAGTCAGGCTGGCGCATCAAGTGTACACTAGGACCTAAGACATACCTCCACCCCAAGTTCCAAAACCAATAGATGGGATCTGGACAGTTTTCCCGCCAGTAATTTGCAGTGGAAAATGGGTTGGGAGGGCCATCTCTGATTGGGTTGGCGGATGGTATGCTTGACGCTGATGGTAGCACGTCGGCTGATGGTTTGACGGTTGTGCTCAGTATTGAGATACTCACTCGGAAGACTCTATCTCAGAAACTCAAAAGCGTGGGTTCCATTGCGAAAGTGATTGACCGGTAAGTGGACACTACGGTAGACTGACTCAATCAGGGGCCAATCAGAAGCGAAAACAAGGAGAATAACTCTTCAAAACCGCGACCCACAAGATGCAAGATGACAAGAGGTGCATAGCACAATCAATCGGAATCATTGAACCTTCTGAAGAAGCTCCTGTCAAAACCGAAGCTGGTATCAAAGGACGCTGAGGTTGAGTCTGGGCCGCTGGAGCTGTCGATAGCTCGTCCCCAAGGAGAGCCGAGGGCTCATTCGACCCGATAAGAGGACAGATGGATCTTCCTTGTCGCTGCCGTGTGTCTGCCCTAGCGGAGAGAAGCGACAGGCATATGATATAGGGCACTGGGAGAGCACGACGTTGCGAGATTGACGAAGTGCATCGTGCATCGACTGACGTAGCGATTTATTTACTGCGTCTACTGCGCCTAAAAGCAGCAACGAGGTTCCGGAACAAGCTCGGACAAAATTTCTTCCTTTTCCTCTCCTTCTCCGCGGCGGATTCCGTCGACGTCGACGTTCTTTGATTGTTCTTCGCACACACCACATGCTGCTTCAAAGCTGCCATTTGCAGGACAGTTGCCGGATCTGGCTCAAGGGCTTGACTCCACCACCGACGAACATATGCGGCACCAGCGGTACCAGCGGCTGCTCAGTCACTGACGTCGATGCGCAGTTCGATTGGCCTGCCGGGGTACAAATCATCCGCGTCCACCTCACGGATTAGCGCGCAACATTTTCCCTAAGGCTGGCTAATCTTTGTCGCGAGTCCATTGCCTGAATCTTTGTCCACGACCACTAACAGAAGCACATTCTATGGAGATGGAGCCTTCCATTACACGGGATATCGCAATGACTGTGCAGAGGGTCCTCGTTATAGGAGCAAGAGAATGAGAAATGAATGGCACGAGGTGCTTGAATAACATGCTCAAGTGGCTCAATCCAGACGCTTTGCTGTGCGATACAAAAGGGTAAGCATCCTCCTGCTTTCTACCTGAATACTTCCAAGCACTGTCGACCTTCCAAGTCAACCCATTCAATCAATCTTCCTCTCCCAATTGCATATTGTCTTCCAACCATGATTGTTGCTGGACCTCATAATCTCTACACCCTTGCAGAGGGTGCTCCCCTCCCCAGAAACGATACTAGCGTCCAAGTCCGCAACAAGCTGGGCGGCGGTCTCGTCCTTCTCCAAGATACCCAATTGATTGAGACCCTTGCCCACTTCTCGCGCGAGCGAATCCCCGAAAGAGTCGTCCATGCCAAAGCAGCCGGCGCCCGAGGTTATTTCCAAGTCACCCACGACATCTCCGACATCACTGATGCAGATTTTCTCAATGGCATTGGCAAGAAGACAGAGGTCTTGACTCGAATCTCGACCGTCGGTCCCGAAGCTGGTTCCGCCGACACCATTCGTGACTTCCATGGCTGGGCTATCAAGTTCAAGACTGCCGAAGGAAACCATGACTGGGTCTTCAACAACCAGCCCGTCTTCTTCGTCCGAGACCCCATCAAATTCCCCTCCCTCAACCGTTCCCACAAGAGACATCCTGCTACACACACTTCCGACGCAGACATGTTCTGGGACTTCCACGTCGGGGCCCCTGAAACTGTACATGCTTTGATGTTCCTCTTCAGCGACCGGGGTACTCCCGCGTCTTTGCGCGCCATCAACGGATACAGTGGCCACACTTACAAGTTTACCAAGAAGGATGGCTCCTTCCACTATGTCAGAATCCACATCCACGCTGACGGCGGCGTCAAGAACCTGACGAACCAAGAGGCTGTCAGACTTGCCGGCGAGAGCCCCGACCATTTGACCAATGACCTGTTCAACGAGATCGAGAAGGGCAACTATCCCTCTTACACAGTGTCCATTCAGACTATCCACCCTGCCGATGCGGCCTTGTGCCCGGTCAACATCTTCGATATGACCAAGGTGTGGCCTCATGAGCAATACCCCCTCCGGCCCGTCGGCAAACTTGTCTTTGACACCAATCCTACCAACTACTTCGCCGAGATTGAGCAGGCCGCCTTCTCGCCATCCAATCTGGTCCCCGGTATCGAGCCTAGTGCCGATCCTATGCTACAGGCTCGGATGTTCGCATATCCCGACGCTGCCCGCTACCGACTGGGCGTCAATTATCAAATGCTGCCCACCAACGCCGCCAAGGTGCCCATCTACATCCCCACCGAGCGGGATGGCTTCATGAACTTCACCACCAACTACGGCCCCGACCCGAACTACCTGAACAGCTCCATCCATCCCACGGGCTTCCACACCACCGGCGTTTCCGAATACAAACCGACCGAGGAGTCGCTGAGTGGACCTGTCGTATTTACCTCCGAAGTGACCGACGAGGACTTCAAGCAGCCGCGCGCCCTGTGGAACAAGGTCATGGCCAAGGAGGAGGGCGCGCAGGAAGCCTTCATCGCCAACATCGCCGGCCACATTGCTGGTGTCAAGAGGGACTGGTTGCGCGAAAAGGTCTTTGGTAAGTCTTTCATGCCATCCAGGCGTCTGTCTGACTCAACGACTAACGGCGTCTCTTTTTTGCAGATCTCTTCCGCCGCGTAGATGAGTCGCTAGGCAATCGCATCGAGGAGGCTGTCAACAAGATTGTCAAAGCATGATTGTCACATATACCTTGTGCACCCCGCGGCACTTTGGCGTTAATGTGGGTTATCTGGAGCGTTTCGTCGTCGACAAATCTGGGCAATATTTGTACATATGTAGTCCGTCTCACAAACAATTGAAAATCTGAATTTGTGCTTGATAATTACAGAAGAGTACCGTCTCTCATTCATCGTTGAGCCATTCTTGGCTCAGGTGTTCCCCTGTGCTATAGTTGCGCCTCATTGAGTGATTGCTGTCGGGCTTTGTGTGCAACCCCCATGCCCTTTTCTTCCAGCTGCGCCTTCTCCTCCCGCAGCTGCTTCAGCTGCTCCTGTAGCTTGCGGTTCTCATCCTCGAGATGCTTGGTAGGTGGTAAAGGCGTAAGTGTCTGACAGTGGTAGATATAGGTGGTGGGTCGTGACTGCCAGGGTCTAACAGCGATGTTAGGCCCTGCCAGTCACGACCGACTGGGCTACTTAAGCACTCTCTGACACTTACACCTTTCCAGGTTACCTAGGTACCATCTACCACGCCTCCTATACCACAGCATTACAACACAGTACTAATTAGATACCACAGTGAGACCCCTCAGCGGCCCACAATTGATACTTAAAAAGCCTAGTGGTCCGCCAGCCTAACCAGATCTGGGCGTCTTGGCAATCCTCTACTCTGGAAACTCATTCTCGACTTCAGCCATTATCCTAAGCCCCTTCCCACAGTTGTGCGAGTCTTGTCTAACTCCTCAGTCCTCGTCAATCTCCTCCCATCGCCCGGAGTATTCGTCGTCCGTGTCGTCCTCGTGGTCCCAAGATGCACAGTACTTCCGACCGCGGTAGGGCCCGAAAAGGGCGAGGGTGGAGCAAGCGTACGGCCACTCCTTGGGCTTGTAGTGCTCGTATTCTTCCCCATCATCCATTGACGGCAGAAGGCCCACCTCGCGGAGCTTGCGATCCTTCTCCATCTGCTCATCCAGGTCGTCTTCCTCGAACTCGGCGGCGAAGCGCAGGTATCTGCGCAGACACCAGTCGGCCTTAGCCCGCTTCTTCCGCGGCCGCTCCGGCGAGCCGCGCTCGACCAGTTCGCCTCTCGTGTGATAGTTGGACACGCGGATCTCGATTTTCAAATCAGACTTGGCCGAGATCCCCGATGAGACGTGGTCCGTGAACCAGGCGCTGAAGCCCGGATTGTTGGTGTACGGGATCCCGATGAAACGTTCCCGGTCTTTCTTCCGCTTCCGAACTGTCTGTTGCAGGATGAATAATGGAGGGTGGTCGTCGTCGAAGAAGAGTCCCCCAAAAATGTACCAGAGCCGTTGATTGTGCGCATACATGTATCTTTTCAACCACTGCAGTATCTCGGCCATTGATCGACCTCTATTGGCAGGTATGCGAAAGAAGTCCGTTGCCCTGTGTCCATTCAGGATCAGTCGAACCTGCAGCCGGACGTCTCGGGCTGGATCTGGCACTGGCGCAGAGGAGCAGCCGGCTTTACCGCTCTTTTGCGGACTTTGCGTCGCGGGCTCAGTGGGTGCTGGCACTTCTGCTTTGGGCATGGCGGACAAGGTTGACGTCTATTACGGATGAGGACCTGGAACGATGGCTCTAAGGAGGCTGCGAAAAGTTAGAATCGACTCGGGCAAAGCAGGGCCGGTGCGTGCGGTTGAGAATACCTATTCAATCGAGTCTGGATCAGCAAAAGAAGTAAACGAACAAGGAATGCAAGCACGCGGGCTGATCAGGCGAGTTGGTTCAAGGGATATGTCTCAAGCGAACTAGGGATGGAAAACACTGGCTGGGGCAAGAGAGAGAAAGAGAGAGAGAGAATTCTGAACTGTGGTAATCCATCGGCGTGTTTGTTTTCGTTGTCGGTATCGTTGTCGCGGTGTCTTCGCCAAGGTGAGGCACTGCCTTCACTGCATGCCGCGGATAACAACCACACACATGCACAACGCCTTATCACAGAAAACCCGGAAGGCGGCAAAAAAACTACTTGTTGTCCAGAACCAGCTTTGAACCACCGTGATTCCACTCTGAGCATGGGAAGGAGGAGGAAACCAAAAAGAAAATCCTCCTCCCAAAAATCACAAAAACAAGTACCGACCGGCCATAGGCGAAGCCAAGCGAGTGTACCGCGCCGCTCAAAGATGTCAGAGCAAGCGCATCCGGATGGTAGCTACACACTTACAGCCAGAGTCCATATGACGTGCCAGTACAAGATTGATTCAGGGCAAAAATGCGGGTTTCATGGTGATATATGTTCGATATATTTTCCCGCATGTGTGTGTGAAGGGAAAAAGTGGAGAAAGGGGGGATTCACAGGCCCTGTATTCACTACACTGCCTACCTACCTAGGTGGTGACACTGGTGAGTCCTCCCAAAAGCACCTCTTGGCTAAAATATCACATGAGGGTACCGGTATCTTCACTACTACAGGCGAATTGGAATTTTTGATCGATTCGAGAAAAAAGCAAGTGCATAAATTCGAATCAAGACAACCAATTTCATCCACACAGTTCTTCTCTTGACACCCCTTCAACACGCCACGGCGACGCAGGTCTCGACCTCCACAAGGTCGCTGCTCAATCTTCGACTCTTCATCAACCCAACCATATCTTCACACACAGCACCTTCCTTAGCACAAGTCAAGATGTCCCAAAATACCTTCACCTTGCCTATTCTTGGGCCACGCAACAGAGCCGCGCCCACGCACGATGCCGATGCCGATACCGATGCCGAGGCCTCAGACATTCCAGACGCCGAGACCACTGCCAGTACTCCGACAGTCAAGGCTCCAGCCACCGAGACTCCAGCCGAGACCAGCCCTCCGGTGGCAGCCGTCGAGACAGGCTCGTCCAGAACAAGGAAAGCGTCACAGATCCGACCCTCCTTTCGGCGTGCAAGTGCCGATCGATGAAATCTCTCCTCCGATCATTCGATGCAAAATTGAAGAGGACGAACAAACGCGCCTGGAAAGCTGTTCACCCAAAATACGAAAAGGATACAGGTAAACTGGTCTTCTTCCTCCAGAAGACAGTGGCGTCAAAGAGCCAGGCCTACTGGGAGGTGTCACAGTGGTCTCGGTCCGGGTCATACTCGTCGTGGTTTCACCGCAACATCGCCTCGGGACAGAACAGCGGGGGCAGTGTCAAGATCGAGATCCATGTCACGTGGGGCCAGCAGCAGCGTCCGAAAGAGAACAAGGAAATGACAAACAGACAGATCGCCAGGCTGCCGCTCAAGAGGTTGGAATACTCCTTCCAGGAGACCGACCTCGTCAAGAAGACGGCGAGGGGGAAGAAGTGGGCTCCTGGCACTTCGTATTGGTTCAAGGGGCAGACGGACACCGAGGCCAATGACCTGGACGACAGTGATGAGGAGGACGAGGATAAGGAGATGAAGGAGGTGGTGAAGGAGGAAGAAGAGGAAGGAGATGCCATGGAGATCGATGGCTGAGGTTTGAATAAGTTCGGATAGGGCCAAGAGCTTAAGGCGGGCTGGTGGATGAAGGCGCGGCGGATGACGTCTGTGTGGAGTACGGGGGAGGCATGAGGAAGCCAGGGGGAGACATCGCCACAGGACATGCATCTACTGATATCAAACAGTAAAACACCAGAGCCAACGGCTCAGCATTAACATTGTTTACTACAGTCTACACTCCTGGTTCCTGCACCAACTAACCAGATCATGTCCAAACAGTCGCGTTCCACTCCTCATACCCAACGCCCGGCTCCAGCAACAAGCCGGGATCATACACCGGCGTGGCGGGGGTGTCTGCCGTCGTGCCATTCCAGCAGTGCGCGGTGAAGCAAGCCTGGCACGCCGGTGGTATCATCTCGCCAACGCGAAGCAGGGACTTGTAGATGAGGCCGCAGGCGATGCAGGCCGGGAATGGCGGCGGTGGCGTTGTGTTGTTCTTCCCCGCGGAGCGCACGCCATCCAGTTTGCCCAGACCGAAGGTCACCGTGTTTAGCGAGTTGTTGAAGACCAGGTCCAGTTGGTTGTCGGTGAAGGACGAGACCGTGTACGAGTAGTTCGAGTATGCGGACCACGGGGCATTAGGGATGTACAGGATCAGTGGCGTGGATGCCGAGGCGTTGCAGCCGAAGAATGTCTAGTGGTTGCGCGGAAAACGGACGTGAGTTTAATCATATCACAGATTTGAGGGTGAGTTTGGTATACTTACGGGATACCGATTGAGGCCCAGGTTCACAAAGGTTGCCGGGTCAGGGACCTCTGGGAACGGAATGCCATTGAGCTTTGATGCGGCTGCACTCATGCCGAAGGTCGTCCCGTTGACCCAGTTGTTGCCCGGTTCCTCGCCGCTGGAGTCGAAGGCGAGGATGAAATCCACGCTTCTTTGCGGCACCACCAGCGATCTCAGAGGGATCGTCTCGCCTGTTTCGCTGCCGTCGACCTAGAACACAAACGTCAGATCAGAGCGGGCTCTCTGCTATCCGGGTATCCGGCTCCACGGCCAGCGAGGTGAGGGTGATGGGAAAAAACGTACAATCAGGAGTTCAGCCTCTCCTTGCATTTTCTTGTTGTAGTTGTTGAAGGGATTGGGGTATATGCCCCACATGGATTCGTTGAATGTCTGGTTGAACACCGTGGCTGTCTCGTTCACGAGGATGACCTGTGGATTGTCGCTTTGGCTTTGAGGGATGGGAACAGAGGGTGCGCCCGCGAGTGTGGATCGCTTCTGCGGTGGAGACGACACTCTGTCCCGCTTGTAAAAGAGGGGGATGTTGTAGAAGGCGTCAATGAACCAAAAGTTCCATGCGTTGCCCGTGCTGCCCTGGGCGAACGTGACCTTGTCGAAGCCGTTGACGCAATGGTTCGAACTAGCCGGCGTTCCATTGTTCATGGCCGTCCCCAGGAACTTGGTGGGCATGAAACCTTGCACGCGGCCCCCGACCCAGCTGCCGAATTCGAACGGCGTCTGCTCGTACATGGTCAAGTTACTCGAGTTGACACCCGGATACATGATCCCGCCCACTTCGGGAGAGGAGCCCGGGACCACTTCGGACAGGAGCACTATCGGCATCGGCGCAAGTCCCTGGGAGAAGCTGGTGTTGGGGTTGGCAACGTCAGAGAGGCCCTTGTAGCCCCATGATGCTGGCAGATATTGCCGATAGAATTGCCCGAAAATATCCGTGGCAGAGACCGAGAAGCCTGCAAGGTACTTGACATATGCATTCTTGAAAGCGGCCTCGAAGTGCGCGGTCTGGTTCCCTCCTGGCCCGACCAAGTAGTCGGCCGTGAGGTTGGCGTTGTCCCGAACGTTCTCAAGGCTGCTGAAATTGTGGCTAGCCCTAGCTTGTTGTCAATTATTGCCTCGTTATACCTAGGGAGAGGGTGAGTAGCTTACAGGGGCAGCACGGTGGTCAAGCCTCCACCACTCAATCCGGTCAGATACGAAAGACATTGCACAAGGCCACCAGTACCTGCCTTTACGGCGGGAGGATAGCGGTCGTCGAAGGCCTGCCAAAGACCCAGTCCTCCCATGCCGGACTGGCTGCCTCCGCCGGAAATCGCCATACCGACCACCGGCGCTGTCGAGACGTTCATCTTGCTAAGGTATCCTCCCGGCTTGTAGTTGGGGATATTCGCAGTATTTAGATAGGAAGACAAGGCCTTGACCACATGGCCCAGACGTTTTTCTCTCCATTGCTTCTCCTGTGGGCTGAGACCGTTGTGAGCTGGCCGTATTCGAACATCCTTTGGGCATTGCACGAGGGTGGGAGCATAAGGGGAGGAAGCACTCTGGGTAACCGCCACCGTCGCGAACAAAGCCAACAGAAATAACACAGGATGAATGAACATCTTGTAAAGATCGCGTTTACACTGCGTGAGAGATGGAAGAGCAGTTTGAGGGGGAGACCACTGTAAGTCGGGCGCATGGACTCATTATATTGAGAAGAATACGTCGATGATTGCGCTGCTTGCAAGCCCGTGAAGTCCGCCCCAGCTCAAGCTTTGTCGCACGGCCATCCTGGGAAAAAAAGGGCCCAAATAGTAGTGATACTAGAGAGTAATGATACTAGGGTCAGTTGATTGAGCTGAGCCGAGTCCAAGAGACCTGTGACATTCGATAGACTTCGGGTGACAGTTCTAGAAGCAGGATAAAAGATGCCACACGGGATACAAGAGTCTCACTCGGTGTGGTTAAAGCGATGCGAGGGCTTGGAGCGAGTAATCCAGCGTCGAAGACGGTATTTGTGGGGTATGCAGGGTCTCGAGCTCAGCCGCAGATGCTGAATCTGGAAGGTTTTTGAGGTACAATACGAGGTGGCGAGGATCCGCCGCGCGTCCTGCTGAATGGAGTTGTCACCGCGATGTTTGCGAATTATCGTCCGACGAGCGGATAGAGGAATAGCAGTTGGTTTCCACGCCCCAGAAATAGAAGAGGGAGTAGAGGTCGTTCTCTGGCAGAGCTGAAGTCACGCAACGTCATCCTGGGAGGGACTTGGGTTAGATATCAGAAAGACAAGGGAGAAATGACACCGAGACATCAGACAAGATGAACAGCATGTCGCGTCCAATGGACTGCCACTATTGCATGATTTGACTCTGTGCATAATTTCTGTCAGACTATCCGTGTCCATTTGGGGCAAGAAAGTCACTGGAGAGCGCCAAATGAGCCGCGACACTGGGGGGGCTGGGCCACCATCTCGTATATGGGCCTTCATATGAAAGAAACCTGCATTATAGGCCACGAGAAGATCCCGTGGCTTCGGAAAGTAATCGTACATTTGTGGAACCTCAGAAAGTATCTATATGTACAAAAGAGCTTCCTTCAGGCGAGGACAGGTTGAAAGGTACCGACCACATGGTCCGGAGAAGGCCAGGGCGTGAAGTTGCTGGTTGTCTCCATCGCTGCTCAGAGAGAAGCAGATGCTGAGTCCCTCGTACATCTTTTTGATATGATGCAGCTTGCGCCCTGAAAAGCCCTCCTTATAGCTTCACCTGCAGCTGCCCTATGGCTGTGCAAGCCTCAAGGAATCACACACCAGTCTCCGACGGTAGTGCCGCTGCTGAGCGGACGAATACTTGCGGCGATCGACATACCCCTCTGAGTCGCCATAGTGATCACAGTGTCTCCAAAGAAAACTCGTGTCGCTCACCTCGATTGAGGCGGAGGATTGAAGGTCATAGTCGTGGGTGCCACATATCCTTCTTTCTTTGTGCCAGACCCAGCCGGTTTCCGGGCCTGCTCTTCTCGAAACCTGACCTCCTTCTCATCCTGAGCGACAACACAGCAACAGCAGCAAATGCCCTTGAGACAATCCCCAGCAACGTTTCCGGCCTCTTCGCTCATGTTGTACGTCTTGCGCACCCGCGTATGCTGGATGGCGGTCAAGATCCCATTTACCCCACATAGCAGGCCAAATGCAATGCAAGACCCGTTGACTGCCGTGTACCCCAGCATATTTGTCGGGTCTTTTCTTTCGTCTCTCAACCCTAACCGATATTGGGTCTTTCCATACACAACGCACGGGCAGAACAGTCCCGTTATGCAAGTGGAAGGTTCGGCGCAGGAGCAGAAACTGTGCTGCCATGAACCACCTTTGATGGATTGCGGACTCGGAGTAAACACGTTGGCGGAAAATTGAGAGGGATCGGAGGGAGGTGGAACGATGGCCATGTTGGTGCTGGCACGCATGGGTGGTTTGGGAGTAGTTGGTGTCAAAGGGTTCGTATCTGGCTCAATAGGCCCTGTAAGTTCGTTTTCGGGAATGGGCGGTTGCTTTGCAGGCTCTGGAGGTTGTGGTGAAGGAGGCATTGGTGGCATGGCATACTGCGTGGTCTGCATTTGAGGCTGTTGTCCAGTTACCTGGACGGGATATGGTTGTGAGGTGTAAGCGCCATGGTGTTGCGCGGCTTGCATGTACTGCTGTTGTACAACCGCCGGGTTTCGTGGAATCTGATACGGAACCACGCCACCACCGCCGTACACCTGTGATTCCATGGTTGGCATCGGAACACCTCCCTGCGGAGATGGTTGTTGTGCAATCCCTGGCGGAGGCGTTGGTATTGGAATGATTGTCTCTCTTCTTGCTCCCACACGATCTTCCTGGTCTCCAGACGTGGTCATCCACGAAAACCGATTCTCGGCTGGTTGCTGAGGTAGCTGCAGAGAAGTCGGAGGACGGACTCGAGGGTATTCGTAGTTTTTCATCTCGACAGGAAGTCGGGCAGTCCGCTGCCCGTGTTGTAGCACACCACCGCGTCGGGGTCGGTTCAAAGCGTACAGCGGTCAGCAGTGACGTGGGAGGGGGCGGCCTTACTGTTGTGTTTTAAGCAATAAACCGCTCTATTGTATGCATGGAAACACAGAAAAGCCAAAGGACGACGAGGGTGAGGAGGGGGAATAAAGGAAAACGACAGGCATCTTGAGGAGCTGAGCCATTGTCTCCCTCAGCGCCGGTGAGGACGAGCCTGAGAACCCAGGAGCTGTGTGCCTTAGCTGCCAGTCATCATCACTCGTGCTTGGGTCGATTGTCGTCGACGATTGGACTGCGAGGAGCGAGGCTTGACAACTCGGCTAAGTCGGGGCGCTTATGGGAAACAACACAAAAATAGGAGGAGAGGGACGCCCGTCGGTGCTGCCCTGCGCGAATCGCGGTAAAGCATCATCTTTGGATGAAACAAGCGACCAGGGAGCTCGTTGCCGCCAGCCAGAGGATGCGTCGAAGCGCTGGGATGCAGCTTGGGCGATGGAGGCAACTGGGAGCGCAGGCTGTTACCCCGTCACACTTTCACACCTCGTGACTGTTTTTCGGAGACAGTCTCCCAGCGTCTGCGGCCGCCTGCACCACCTGCACCACCTGTGACATGATCTCGTCTTCTCATCAGTCTATCCGCTGCACTCTTCTCCTCTACGTAACAGAGCGACACACTCCACTCCCCTTTCCTTCGTTCTCGCCTCAGCATCTATGTCAGAACACCATCGGTTGGTCGGTTCCTGCATCTCCGACCCTCCCAAACTCTAATGCCTCACCAGCCGCCGGTAAGGCTGCAGTGGCTGTATACGGGGAAAATGGCCCCCTCCTGGCTCTCCGTCCGCCACTTGCGAGTTTCCGACTTGCAGTCTGCTTGGACATCTCATAAATCCATCGGCGCCATGTTCGTGGCTGCCATGAGGACAATGTGCTTTGTCGGACAAGAGCTTCTCCCAGGCAATCAAGCATGGAATTTGCACGTTATTTGCTAATTTATAAAAACGCATGTCTACCTCTCTAGCTCATGACTGGTACTGGAGGTCCTTCTCAGGCCTGGCCCCGGTCGCCACAAGTCCGGACTGCCTGGTCGTAAGTTCACGGTAGGCAGTTCGGCCATATGCAGCTTCGCACTGCCATACGGGCGCAGTTCGACCGGAAAGGCCCTTCCGGTGCAATTCCGCTGACCAGCCAAGGGTGGGTTTGGTGCATACCCATCTTGTAGCTCCCAGTCTATCTGGCAGGCGAGTGCCGAGATGCTGACAGGCGGCCGGTCTTCGTGCCAGATCGGATGAGGGAGCCACTCATCATACCGGTTGGGATATTCATAGAATTTCAAAGCTGTCGGGTCGATGGCCAAGTTCCAGTACTCTCTTGGGAGAATCGACCAGTCATTTGCCTCGGCAGGAGCCTCCATTCCCGGATAGTTGGCTGGACGCGAGGCGGTGTAGTCTCCAGCGATTGGCAGAGCATATAGTAGAGCACCGTAGTAGACGGACACGGTGTCGTTGGCTCTCGACTCGACTCGAAGCTTTGTGCTGAACGAGACTTCGATGCGGGTCCTTCCAGCTGGAATGACCATCGTATGCAGGCCTGTGCTGTTGTCCGGCGCGAGGTGGTGCCTTTTCCCACGATCGACCATGACAATGCTTGCATCTGGAATAGCCCAGGACGGAACCCTGAACGAGAATCGAAAAGCTGACCTCGCCTTGATCTCATAGTTGAGGTAGTTGCTGAAAGGATAGTTCGTATCGCATCGAATTCGTATCTGGTTTCGCTTTTTCAACGTGGCGCTAACATGAGCCGGGCCCAGCAACGTATGGACCAATCCGTCTTCGCCGTCTTTTACAAACATGGCTGGAACGAATTTGGAATATCCCTGCATGTTGACGGTGCAGCACGGGAAGTTCGGCTCCGTCCCAAAGGTTTGGCCCATGGGCCCAACATTCCAGAATGGGGGATTGTCAAGGCGATGACTGATGGGCTGGTTTGTCTGTGCGATGTACTGATGAGCCCACCAGTGGGGCATCAACATGACAGGCAAAGCATTGTAGGCGGCCAACTCGGATTTGTCGGCAAAGTCGCCGTCTCCCACGGCTTGATACAAATAGTTCAAGGAGAAGATTGATTCCACCACGCTGCAAAGCTCAGTGCCACGAACCGGGCTCAGCCCTGCCTCACGTTCATCCCCAATGATCGCACCGGATGGGGTCCCGTGGTAGCGGAAAGTCCAGTCGACTCCGTTTCTAGTCGCATTGAGAAGCGCATCGTCTTGGACAAGCCTTCTCATGACGCCGCCCCATTTCAACCCTTGACCAGCATTGACGCCATGGACATAGGGGAACAGGCTGTTTGTAAGATCTTGCGGGTACGTGTCCAGGTCGCCTTTCAAAAAGTGATCTTCATGAAACCAATATGACCAGTCATAGGCCATCTCATACATCTGGACCATGCAGTAATGGATGGCCTTTTCATTGCCCATGGGATATTTCTCGTAAAGCCACTGCAAGGCCAGGACCATGTCTGCCGCACGGGATCGACCCCATTGCTCGTCGAACAGATCCCCGGGTTTCCAGACATAGCCCTGATGGTGGTCTTGGAGCATAGAATACATCAGCCGGACGAAGCGATGCATTGCTGGTAACACCATGGTCTCGCCCAGCTCGGGCTCGGCTTCGACCAGCTGCATGAAGCCCAAGAAGAGGGGGTATCTGGCCCAGAAATTTCGACGGGACAGGTTCTCTTCCGGCCCGAGCCATCCGTCTGCGTGCTGATGTCCAATGACCCAATCGGTGACCTGGAGAACATGATGTTTCAATCGTGCGTTGTCGGTGGTCCATGCCAGTGGGACAAGGGCATTATATGAGTAGGGCCATGCTTCATTAAGCCCTAACAGGGTGTCAGCGGAGCACAGGACGGTGTGTCACTTTTGGCACACACATGAGTATTCGTGGTCGCCGCCGAGCCAGGGAGCATCTTTGACAGGGCGGTAGAAGTCATGCAAATGGCCTGGAAGACCGTTGGCCATGAGGTCCATCTGTTGACCAAGCCATCCCAGCGGCTTGATAGAACCGAGAGGAAGAGGCTCAAACCTCAACGGCAATACTGCACAGATTAGCCGCCCAGCTCTTCCCTCAAAACATGTGGACATCCTACATGTGGTATCATACGTATCAAATTGATTGGCGGACCTTCGTGGATCGTCCCTTGGGACACGGACATTCCATGTGGATGACTCGAAGATGGGTCTTTTGTGATAAGAAGCTGCATCTTGGGTCAGGATCTGCACCATCCCCAATAGGAGATGAATGTTCCGTACCTGCATGGTTGTCCGCAGGCTGCTTCGGAAGCTCTGGCCGCCCAAGGGCTTCAACCCCAGCCAATCGTAGCAGCGACAAATGTGAAATCACAAGGAGGACATGTGAAAGATAGGAATGCAACATTGTCTAAACGAGCCTGTGCCCGCACAAGGCCAAAATGCTGAAGAGAACAGGACGGGAGATGGTGACGGGATGCTTGGGGACATTTTTCTCGGTCATGGAGCGAGAAATTGCGTGCTGCGCCATGCCGATTGGATCTTGACTTTCGTTCACACTTCGCCCCTTTCACGACGATCACGCGCCACCCTTCCTCATCTGCACAGCTCACGACTCGCTCATCGACATCATCATCATCATGACAAGAGAAAATGGAGGGATAAGAGATCAGCGACGGCGAGGGTGTCGCAGTCTCTGCTCGTATTCCTTCGAGCCCTCAGTTTCTCCCAATTCCAGCCAACGGCACGTCTGGATATCCACGCCAGTTCCGTGGTTCCGTGGTTGCATGCACGATCCGAACAAGGTCACATTGCAGATCAGCCACTGACGTAGCAGAAGACGGCGCTCTGATCCCGCATCCCACTCGCACGTCCGTGGGGTTCTGGTGGGAACATCGGTGCTGAGGCCACAACTCCTGCTCACATGTGAGAGATCTCTAAGACGCGAGATGGACAATATCAGAATTCGGTACTCCAGATGTCGCCGGTGGAATGACGATGGCAAAACACTCAACAGCGAACGAGAACCTAGTGTGAGACTATAGTTCGCGTATCGAATTAATTGTTCATGACCACACCCTATCTTCGGTCAAATGACCAGAGGTCAATTCAGCTTCTCAAAAGCTCATCCAGCCCGCAGCTCGCAGTCATGACGATGCTAAAGCTACCTAGGCAGACACTCTTCCATAGCCACATCCTGTACATCATCTTTGCCTTCACCGTTGTGCTGTCTACCGTTACCTCTCGGTAATTTCCCCTCTCCTCAATTAACCCGTAGGACTCTCACATCTCCAGGCGCTCAAGTTCACAGAGCTCCTATATGCGTTCACCATCGATGTAAATGCGGCATATAACCCGAGAACCATCGTCACAAAACTTCCCAAGTAGAAGATCAGATCGAAAAGATTCCACCAGAGTTCCTTCTTGAAACCTCTCCACCATCTCTGGAGCCCGCTGTCCAGGTGGCGGACGGTGCCAGTGGCTGGGTCAAATGTTTCGCCGGGAAGCATGGCATCGCGCTGGCACTTGAAGCCCAGCATCAGGAAAGGCGGGAATGTGTATGTGAATTGCAAGATACACCCGGCACCGACGAGGACGATCCATGAGTTGATTTGAGGAACGGATTGAGTGACAATCCAAGCAAGAATCCAGTAGACGGGGACGAAGAAAACCCAGATCCATTTACCCGTCTTGGATTCCAACAGCGGGAAGTTGAGCAGATCACGGCCCAAGTTGTTGTAGAGGACTTTGATACCAATGTTGCCGTAAAGAACAGCAGCAATGAGACCGGTGATGAGACCGATAATATTGCACACTGTTTGCCAGCTGTATGGGGAGATACCCTGGTATGATACATTGTACGCGTACTGTCCTTGCATACAATAGGTGTAAATTCCGTAGACCATGTAGCAGGCATAGATGAGGATGTCCGCGCAGAGAAGCCCCTTCCAGAAATCCATAGGGCGACGCATCTCGGCCAAAAGTTCGACGAACAGAGTCGCACCACCAAAGGAGAAGACAGCATTCATGAGACCATTAACGTTGTCGACAATGTCCAGACCGGGTGGTGCGGAGCCGGAGACTTGAACTGGTGGTGGGTTGTTGATGTCGAAATCAGGGTTCGCAGCGGCGTAGAGTTGGTAGTTGGGAGGAGAGTGAGCCATGACGCCCATGCTGGAAAGCCGTTAGTCAAGTGCTGGTTGCAATGATGCCCAGAGGGGCAAACTTACGTTGCGAAAATGATGAACAAGTTGAGGAACACAGCCCAAGAAGCCAACCAGCCGAACCGCTGGAGGGTTCGAATCTGTCCAACGATACAGCCAGCAATCATACAGACAACCACGCACACGATGAAGCACAAGTTCCCCTTGGACAGCTGGCTAATGGACTGACCGCTGCTCAGGATGATGAGGGCGACGTTGAGGAAGAATTGGAACGACTGCAGAAGGTTGCAAGTGTGGCGGAACCAGGAACCGTACACGCGGAAAGCGATGTCGCCGTAGCCTTTCATTGGATAGCGATCGCTGTCCAGCTGGAGATACATGCGCCAGAGCTGGTACCCACTATAACCAGCAAGGGCACCGAACACAGTGAAGAGCGTAACACCAGGGCCAAGACCCATTTGCGAGAAGGAGTATCCGGTACTGAAAGGACCGAGAATGTCGGTGGTGATGAGGTAGAAGACGGCACCCCTATCCGTGCGGTTAGCAGTGGAAGATTCTGCGTCAGTCGGGGTTTGCAGTACCAGGTAGCTGTTCTCGCTGCGCGTGAGGCCTGAACCCATTCCTCATCAGAAATGGTCATGGGTTCATACTTCTTGTTCTCAACACCTGATTTTTCGTTGCCCGAATCGGTCTCGTGCACGATTTGTCCCTCTCCTTGAGCGCTGATGGACAGCCTAGGCTGAGGAACAGATTCGCGACGTTGCTCGACGCGCTTGCGGAGAATCTTCTCTTTGATGAAGGTCATTGTAGGACCAGGACCTTGGGTGAAGTCGCTCCCAGGGCCGTACAACCGTTCTTCCTCCTGGCGAGTGATCTTCGCATAGTGAAGGTACTCTTCAAACGGAATACTGGGGTCGTGGAGCTTTGCTAGAACCCTTGTAGGGTAAGTGGTCGCGTCAAGCCCATCGGGATGGAGACGCCTGTCATCCACAGCCCCAGGGCCAGAGATAGATCCAATGCCAGATGCCATTTTCCTCACTGTACGGAAACAGCTCAATCGTGATAATCCTACAGAGGGGAAAAACAGATGCAGAGGGGAGGAGAGGAGACTGGAGAAGAGGAGGTGCCACTTGGTCTATCTTATAGGATATGGGCCTGATGTCGCTCGCTAGGAGACAGAGACATGGGTAGCAACGTCGTACTCTTAGCTCATAGCGCAAACACTGAAATCGTCTTACCTAGTCCATACGAATAGGCCGTCTGAACGATCAAAGGTGGGTGTGACGCCACGAAACGCCATGATCCTCGCCTGGTTCAGCGTTCGCCGACTGACAACTGATAGGGCAACATGAATCAATTGGTGTTTTCTAGAACGAACCCTTGCAAGGGTCGAGGGTAGAGTCTCCATTCAGAAAGCACCAGAGAGGGGATACAATATGGAATCTGAGATTGCGACGTCAACATGCGATCGTCGTTGGCTGGTTCCAATGGGTAGCATTGCCCTAGGAGAGACAGGGTTAGGAGGCGATTGCATATTTGACCTCACAAAGACAGTATGAGTTAGCGGGACGCACAGGAGGGTTGGCTGTCAATCATGGGTAATGAAATCATGCGACAGCACAACAAGGCGAAGGGATGGTGGTGGGCGTAACGCAATCCGGCAGGTAAAATTGATGTCGGGCGGAACGGGCGAATCCCTGGGAGAGGAAAGGATCCTCACCGAAGGTTAAAAGGACTGCCCGACTGGCCCCCTGCAAACAATACCCCAGTCGCCACTCGCTTGTCTCGCCCACACACTGGGGGCGAACTGATAAAGGCTCTTTGGGACGTTATCCAGCGCGCGCGAAAAGGGCTCCATAGGCGGTCCGTCAGCCGCCTTCGTGGCCGTGACAGCAGCTATCCCTCCCCTTCTAGTTGAAAGGATTCTTTGATCGTACAGCTTCGGAAGTGATCTGGTCGGCTGTCCGGCTGGCCGGCCAGCCTTTTCCATTGGACATTGGCCCTGCGCGCCCCCTTCTGCTAAAGTTGCCTGCTTTTCTGACACTGTTCGCTCGTGGGCATCTCGATCAATCGTGCCTTGCCCCGTAACGCCACTGGAGATTCCCCGTCTCGTGTTTGCTTGGTTTCCCGAACGTCCATTTTGAATGCAACTTTGGGGTCTTGGAGTGCGAAAAGCAATGCTAAGCTTCGCTTTAAAGCTTATCGGTGTAGGCTTCAAAGAGCTGGCCCAACCGGGATTGTGAGTGCTTCTGGTGAATACAGTTGAGTTTGGTGGTCGCGGGGGAACATTCAAGAGTGGTTAAGCCTGGCCGGCGGGCAGCCGCCTCCTCCTCTCCACAGCTGACCACTCACGGCATCCCGTCCCTTTGTGGATTTTCCTTCTGCTTCTCTGGTTGTTCTAGGCTCGAGGGGAGGGGCGTGAATGATAGGTGGTTGACTGGGTTTCACTGTGAATGCCTGCACCCACTTCTGCTAGGTCTTGGAATGGAACTGTTGATGGATAGGAGAGGCGCATACATGCCCGGTTATCAGAGGCTATCTCGCCTATTCAGAATATGCTTTTGGAAGTCGGGAGGGAGGCACGAGGAATAGCGCTATAAGCAGTAATCAGGAGAGCTGGAGAACAATTGACTTCGGGGACTGCTTTGAGCCCAAACGACGGGGGGCTCCGTTGGACCTGGCAGCGTTACATTACTCGAGACCTAGTTATCATGATCTCGCCAAATGTGGAATCGAGGTCCGTGTTGATATGGAGAACCTGGTACTCCGTATTACATTGTGCGGAGCGGCAGCCCCTCGTGGATATTGTCGGCTGTTGTACCTATGAGGAACCGAGTCAACCCGCAAGGGACATGTGCCTGGTGGCTGGGGCAAATTGGAGGCTGCTTCCCGCCTGGTCTTCTTTGAAGGGGATCGTTCGCTCCGAAGGTAACAATGCAACTGCATTCGCACCCACCCGGCACTTTACCGCGGTGGCAGGGGAGGCGAGTTGGCAGAGGGTCTTCGGAAAATGGGCAGAATCTTGTTCAGATACAAGAGAGATAAAGGGACGGGACGACAATAGGTAGGCTGGCGAGCTAGGCAGGTACATAGAGAGCACCGAGGATTAAGGACGAGCGAATGATGATTGAGTATGGGAGACGCAGGAAGGAGTAGGTTTGTAAGGCCGCCAGAATCTGCATTGGGCTTGAGGTACGAGTATTAACGAGGTACGAGGTACTGTAGTACCAGGAGAGAGATGCTGGGGCAATTGGCTGGCACTGGCAGTCCTCTCTCACTGGCAAGGTTCTTTCCTTGGCACCTGGAAAGCCACAACCTTGCTATCTCCAAGCTGCCGAGCTGCGCAGATCATCTCGGGAAGCCTTCGCTGGCAGACCATCCCGCCCGTACCTAACCCTCAGCTCACGTCGGCCAGTTTGAGTTCAAGGTCACGCCATTGGTGTGAATCTCAATGCGATAATGTCGCGCTCTAGGTGACAAAAGTCCCTTCCAACATCAGGCAATGTCCATGCTGAGGCGCATTTTCGCCCGCGTGCCAGCTGGGCCACAGCGACCGTTCGTGGCTAAAGTGATCACAATCGGAATCACATGTGTTGCAGCATATTCATCATGGGCCTTGGTGGCACATCATTGGATCACCTGCGCTGTATGTTCGCGTTTTCCGTCCCTACGAGGATCTCTTCACATTTGCCTGAGTCTTCGCTAAATTGCACACGGGCAAAAGCCCTCTCTAGGTCCTTCCATGTACCCGTCCATGCCCAGCAGCCTGTCATACAACGTCTATTCCCGAAGGCACAAGCGAGGAAAGAACATCAAAGTGGGAGACGTTGTGGTCTTTGAAAGCCCTATCTTCCTCCGCGGGATAGCCTGCAAGCGTGTTATCGGCATGCCTGGGGACTATGTCCTTCGCGACCCTCACCTATCTCCCACAGTGGGCGGCGCTCCCATTCCAGGGCTATACGAAGGCGATGCAGTGCGAGAAGAGCCTGTCATGGTACAAGTTCCAGAGGGTCACGTGTGGGTAGCCGGAGACAATCTGTCCTACAGCAGAGATTCTCGATTCTACGGTCCTGTACCCATGGCTTTGATTACGGGCAAGACTCTGTATGTTGGCGACGGATATTTCAATTGGACATCTTTCCGCAAACCGCAGTTGCAAACAGTCACCGTCTCTGACGATAGGTCGCATGCGCCTGTGGAAAGAGAGGTCGCCTTGGAAGACACCCAAGCACCCTGAGAATGCTTCGCATCAGCGACCGAAACAAGATGAATTTCAAAAGCACTAAGAGACACGCGGAATCCTATGAAAGGCGGTAAATCAGTGTTGGTATTGTACAGCAGGTGCTAGCTAGGGCACAGCTCAGCTATTTCACCCCCTCATCCTAGACGTGTCGCGCCTTTGATACGGCAGAGGATCCACCTTCCTCCTCTTGAACTCGACATCCGCACCTTGGATGCCTGCTCTCTGCATAACGGCAGATGTACTATCATCCCATTGTGTCCGGAACAACGAAGCACTAATAGGACTGAGGATGTGACGACTCATCATGCTGCGGACAGTGAACCCGTCCCGCTGTATCTTTTTCTTGGCAACCTCAAGATCAATGGGGATGTTGTCTTTTTGTTGTAGTATGACAATGGACAATCGATGATATGGGCTTCCTTTCTGTGCATAGGGCGGCAACCACGGTAGAAGGACCTGTGAAGCCGGGGATAGAGTCGCGAGATCTACCGTTGGTTGTGTCGGTGAGATGGTAATGTTGCAGGCAAGGTAATGGCAGCGAGAGTCAAAGGAGTCGGTCTCGATGTTCGGAACGTCTGGATCGACAATGGCAACGGTAACCATCTTCTCCCCTCGCTCATAGGATTGTAGAGTTAGACGGCACGGGTTTTCGCTGATGTGCGACTCCACGAATTCGCCCGGTTGTACAACACGGGTTCCAAACACAATCTTGACGTCCAGTACGGGATCCACGTTTGGAATGATGTCTGGAACCACCTTCATCTGTGTTATTCGTTGGACGAGGACTTTTCGCGGATATTCTCGCCATTTGCGCTCGGCCAGGTGCCTGTAGATGGGTTTGCTCAGGTCGCCTGTGATTGTTAGCAAATAATGACAACTCTCAGCATGTCTGCGCACCATTGCCATCCTCAAACCTCCTCTTGACATTGGGATCGTTAATGTCGGCCAAAATCTTGAGATTCTCCAGCTCTGCGAGCATGCTGTTCAATCTTCGTTGTTTGTACAGTTCTCCTCCAGGGAACGTGTTCGGGTCGACATCACGAAGACGAGCAATGCGGGCTCGCTCGGTTTCTATCTTTTTGAGCTTCTCTGCTCGGTCGGCGATGAGGATTTTGCGGGCTTCTTGAAAGCATTGGTAGGGCAGTTCATCGAAGGGAATGCCAGGAGACTGCGCGAGGGCGGCCCGTCGTCTTCGAGATCCCACGGGAAACTGACCAGCCCTCAAGAGCTTGCGCTCGAGTCGCGGAACATGGACAGTGGCTGGGTCAGGGTTGTGATAATAGGATGGCTTTTGAACTTCGACTTCTTGACAAGTCGAGCTTGTGGTTGCGAAGCTTCGGAGGGCAGCTCTAGACGATGGCATCTCAATCGCTAACGATCTCAGTGAATGCAGAAGCAGGGCACTGGGCGCCCTGGAGGGTGCCATGCTCAATGGGTTGGGCACGAAAACGGCGCGGATCGCAGATTGCTGATCGTGAGCAGCAACAATGCTGGGCTTCTCGACTGATGCCGAAAATTGTTCAAAGGCATCCGGAGGAGCATAAAGCCTTGACTGTGCAAAGCCTTGTCACGTGACAATCAAGTTCGGCCCGGCTCCTTCGTGCGCGGCGTGCCGGACTCCATATTGACCGAAACAAGGCGTCCAACGTCTCTCCTCGCCCCGTTTCCGAACTTAGCATCGCCGATTTGCCTGTGCCGTTGAGCTTATCACTCAGCAATATGCTAAGCATGGCTAGCATGGACTAGCATGTCCAATACGCCAATCCAGAGGCTGGGTGAAGCACAATCGGACCAGGGAGATCGTTCTGGGTAAAAGCCTCTGTCAAACTGACGCATCTTGATACTTCGGTGCCGTTGAAATAAAGGAACTTCCCAGTCCTCGCTTGACGCGGTAGAGCACCTCATTGACCAGGGCAAGTCTTTTGGGGTTACAGGCCCAGTCCACAGCCTCCCTCATGGTCGATCCCCCTTACCTTGAAGTGGCAACCTCCACAGCTCTTTTGTGGCTCTATAGCACTTGGCTCTGCTGTGTCATAGCCAACCGGCCCTTGCCTTCAACCTTCTAAGAACGGCTCTCGGAGGACGGAATTCCTTATGTAAACTCTGACTACTTGGTCCTTCGTCCGCTGTTCACTATCTGGCGCGTGTGTTCTCCTCTTTTCGTCCTCAAAACAGCAAAATGTCGGAAGTTGACAACAAACCCTCAAGCCCGATGGGTCAGGAAGAAGACAACAAGGCTGCCACAGGCAAGACTCGTGATGCCGGCCCTGACGTCCAAGAAGCTGCACCGCCTAAACCCGGTCTGTTGAAGAAAATACAGACAAAATTGAATCTCGATGTCCCCACGCTTTTATTAATGCTCAAGTAAGACTTCTCCCATTGTCGCCGGTTCAAAACTGAGTGGAAATAGGGGAGGACTGCCTCCAGCCATTGCGCTTGCAGCGTAAGTCTCTGAACCTCGTTCTAGATATTCGCTCATGTTCCCAGTTATCAGAGTGATAAGTGGGCCAAAACATACTCAACCTTGGGATACCTGATTGCAATCACGTCTTTTCTATCTCTTCCAATCCTTCCGCGGGCAAAGTTTGTCCAGTCCATGATAATTTCCATCATCACGGTTTGTTTTGCTGCCGCCGTTTCCTTGCTCACGATACAATGCGCCGTTTCTGCACGCCAACAAACAGTCCAAAGACCCAACTCCACCACCACCGGCTCCTCCGGTAGCAAGCAAAGTCTGGAATACAGTGCGGCAGCTAATGTTACGGCCGCCGTTTGGTTGTTCTTCTGGCTATGGGTCGCGAATACAGTGCGGGCCGCCCGTCCCCAGCTCCTCATCGTCTCTATTCAATTTACCATCTTTGTGGTTGTGGCTTCCACCTACACTCCGACATTTCCGAACATGACAGCCGGTATGGGATTTGTGGATCGGCTGTTGAAGGTGTTTCTGACTGGATATGCTTTGGCGACTGCTGTCTCTCTCTTCATAATACCCTTCTCTTCGAGGCTGATCGCCAAAAAACAAATGGCCGGCTTGCTCAACCTGATGAAAGCCGCCCTTTCCGTCCACACAGCGTATTTACACGGCATTACCAACTCTCAAGTCGGCACCCCTGGGCTGCTAGACGAGAATGGCAAACCACTGCCGTTACATGAAAACCCTGAGGCACGCGTGTCCGTGAAGGCCGCTGAAGAGGCGGCTCAAAAGCTGAAAGTAACAATCCAAAAAGCTACACAATTGTTTGGGCAGTTGAAACTCGAGATCGGCTTCGCTAAGAAAGAGATCGGATGGGGCAAATTACAACCAGAAGACTTCGGCCACATTTGGGGACAACTGCAGAACATCCTCCTTCCTGTCGCAGGGCTGTCGACATTTGTAGACATCCTCCAATCCGTGAAACGCCACAAAGCTGCAGGAGAAAATTTGATTTCCGATTTGGATGCCCTTGAAGCTATCAAACGACTTGAGGCGGAGGAATGGCAAGAAGTTGTCGTCATGTCACGCATTCCATTTTGGAAAGTGAAGACCAGTCTGATGGACGGTCTGACCCATGTTGCTTATGTGTTGGAACTCACGCCTCGGCCGAAGACTCCTAAGAAAGACATCGAGACCGCTGCGGAGACATCTCCAGCCCCAGGAGACCCTGCCTTTGCGCAGTACTTAAAGGGCCAGATTTCTGATTTCCAAGAGCACCGGCAAGAGACCATGCGAAAATGGTGCGAGAAAAAAGGTATAGAAGTACCTTCGAAATTTTGGGAAGACGCATCCTCTCAATACAATTTTGAGCACGCGAGCTCTGTCGAGGAGGCCGTTCGACAAAAACAGAACCACCAACAACTGTATCTGATCCTATATCTCGAGTATCTCCTGTTCGCCGTCTGTCACGCTGTGATGGATTTCGTTCTGTTCGCTGACTCAAAAGTGCAAGACGGCACCATGAGAAAGAACAAACTGATCTTTCCTGGGTGGAGACGGATTCGCAAGTTGTTGCAGAATGCATTCATGCAAATGGACGCCAGCGAAGGGCTTCAAGATGGACCGGCGTCAGGCATCTACATATGGGTAGGAGACTCTCTTCAGAAACACAAGGATCCAGAACATCTGCCGCCGACGACCCTGTACCAGCGAGTGACAAACCATCTCAGATCTGTCCCGAAATTCCTGGCCTCGGATGCTTCGCATTTTGGTTTCCGGGCGGCAGTTGCCAGTATCAGTCTAGCAATCATTGGCTACCTCCGCCAGACCCATGCATTCTATCTGGCTCAACGTGGAATCTGGGCCGTCATCATGGTCGCTATCAGTATGGGTGCGCACGCCGGAGCCGGTGTCCAGGGATTCATCCTTCGTATCGTGGGCACCGCGATTTCGATGGTCGTTTCAATCACGGTCTGGTACATGGGTGACCAGAAACCTGCTGCCATCATTCCGCTGATCTATCTGGTGTTCGTGTGCGGCATCTATGTGATACTGAAACATCCCAAACAGCTCATCACAGCCGTCATCTCAATTGTCACGACCATTTTGATTATCGGTTACGAACTTCAAGATAAAAAGGTCGGCACAAAGGTCCTCAGCAGTAACGGACAGGAGTTCTACCATGTCTACCTTCTCGCTCCATACCGGCTGGTCAGCGTTGTGGCAGGCCTGGGTGTTGCGTTTTTCTGGACTTACTTCCCATATCCCATCACCACGCACGCGACTCTCCGCAAAGACCTTGGCACAACCCTATACCTGATGGCAAACTATTACTCGTGCATGCACTCCACGGTCGAAATGCACCTTCGCACCAGTCCCGACCTCGCCATGGACAAGAAAAACAACCCCATGCGCAAGCTGAGCAAGGCGCGCCGGAAGGTGTTTGACAAACTGATCGTCATGTTGAACCGGCTTCGCGAACACAGCCAGTTCCTCAAGTACGAACCTACCTTCGGTGGGAAGTTCCCCAAGGAGACCTACGACGAATTGATCGTGCACATGCAATCCCTCTTCAACTACATGGCGCTCACGGCGTACTCGAGCAACGCCTTTTCGAGCGAGAGCGAGGAGTCCGAGTGGTTGAAGCTATTCAAGCGGGTGACGGCGAATTCGACAATCACCTCGCACGCCCTCACCTCGACCCTGTGTCTGGTTTCCGCCAGCATCACAAACTCCCAACCCCTGCCCCCTTATATCAGCGTGGCGCGCCCCATCGACATTGCGGGCCAACTAGCCGCGATCGACCCGGGCATCCTCAGCATCAAGCACATCAAGGAGCCGTGCTACGCCGCCTTCGCCGTCTTGGAGATCGCAAGCATCCTCATCATGCAGGAGACGTGCGCCGTCCTCGCAAAGGTCCGCGAGCTGGTCGGCGAGGTCGACTTCTCGGTCCATTTTGGCCAGCCCGGCTCCATCGCCCAGAGCGACTCTACCTTGGACGAGAAAAGGGATGACTTTGCGAATGGTGACGACTCGGGGAGGAAGGGAAAGGTTGATTAAATTATCTGACCTTGTGCCTTGGGGAGTGGTACTGTTAGCTACATTGTCGCGGATTGACTAGGTCTGCTTTTTGTCGGAATGTTTGAATTGTGCTGGATCAAGCTTAAAGGCAGCGATTGTGTTTGATTGACTTCTACAGCATGCAATGCCCCTATTCGAGAAGATGACCCAGCGCGCGCATCGCTTCGTCCATGAAGACCTCCGGAGCTTTGAGCCGCGAGGAACCTCAAGACAAGAGAGAGTTTGCGACACCTGTTTTCTTCTATTTCTTCTTGGAGGATACATTCGTCTTGGATGTGATGGATGTAGATGTCCGTCATCTATGCTTTTGTATCACACATACGGTCAGAGACGAATTTTCTGATTTCTGAACTGGTTCTCCGTGCATGATTACACATTTTGCTTCTTGTTTTTCCATGCTATCAAAACTCCAGCCACTCAAACAAGCCCTAGCCTGGGTATCTGTTCAAAGAATGCTCAAAGCATGAGAGCGGACAACCGTAAGAATAACGCCAACGCTCAAGGTGAAGGTCGAGATGGCTTCAGCACCATCGATCCTTCTGCTATCCTCGGATTACGAAGCCAGGAGAAAACACCAGGTTCCCTTCAATGACAACACACATGACCTACGCCCTCGGAAGAGAGGCGCGCAGTTCATCAGACCAACATATTGTACAGATACCCGCTTTGAACCAAGCCAGCCGTGGTACCATGAATGAACATGCAATAATTTTTGACTGGATACGGTTTCCAGGCCCGAGTCCTCCTTGATACAATCGCTAGTTCTCATTTGAACATACTTTCAAAATCGAGGTCCATGTTCTCCAAGTTATCCAAATTGGCCATACTGTCATTGCCTAGGCCGAGACTCTCGTCGAAGTTCATGGCGTTGGCATTCAGGAAATCGTCGAACTCATTAGGACCCAAGGCTGGCAGGCCGAAGTCATTAACACTGACATTGACTGGCTGCTGGTGCTGGATGGGAGCATTGTCTGTATTACTATCGGCGCCCATCGCTCCTCCGATGCCTCGAGCGGCTATATCGTTAGAAGGCGCGAGCCCGTTCATTGGAGGCACAGGCATGCCAAAATTCGCATCGTCGCCCGTCTGATTTGCATAGGATTCGAGGCCAGGAAGAAGAGAGCTCAGAGAAGCATCTTGTTGCATATTGAGATGCGAAGAATCGCCACCAAATCCATCACCGAGGTTGTCAAGGTCGAAGTTTATGTCATTGTTGTTCCCTTCCATCATGTCTGCTGATGGTTCTGCGAACATTGATTCGAAGTTGAAAGCCTCATTGGCCTCGGCTGGAGTGTCTTGCGGAGTCGGCTTGGGAAACTCCTCCGTGGTTGTCTGTGTCATTGTGCTTTCGGGTTGCTGCGCAGTCTCGGGAGGCTTCTCCTGAGGTCTGGAAGCTGGTACGACAGCTGGTTGCGGTGCCCTGATATCCGTAGTAACGGAGACTTTGGGTTTATCTGGTGGTCTGGGTGTCGGGTTCTTCTCTGCTGACCCCGGAAGCGATTGCGCCGCGTTGGGATTCGCGGCGACAGTCGACGGAGGGGCCGGCTTTTGTGCAGGAGACGGCTGCTGGGCTTTTGGCTGCGCTTGCACCGGACTCTCAGGCTCTTGTGTCTTTACGCGCTTGGGAGCATTTTCGCCCTCTGCGATTTGCGCCGTCTCTTGTGCTTCTTTGGACTCTTCACGTTTCCTTTTCGCGCTGGCGGCACTGTCTTCTCTTGCTTTGGCTTCACGCCGGGCCTTGTTCAAAGCCAGTTGGCGCTCGAGATACCATTTCGCATCAAGGATCTGGACCTCGCAATCATCCAAGGCGTCCTGGAACTTTTTGGCGGTTTCCGCGAGCACTGCTTTTGTTGACTGCGCGTAGTTCAAGGGATCTTTCATGGCGTAGGCAATGCGGGTCACCGAGCCCATGAACATGCCTTCGACCGTCTTGACCGGGTCGTAAGGGGGTTTCGCAGTCGCCATGACGAACAGCACAGCGACTTCGAAATAGGGAGGAGGAAGGGGCGGAAGCAGGGTTTGTAAGGAGAGGAGGCGCGCATTCACTGGAATGAGAGCCGAAGAGTCGCCATTTTTTGTCAGATCGAAGCGTTCATGTTGAAATTGGGTACAGCTTGAACGCAAACGTTTTCCTGCTGTTCCTTCTTCGAATGGGATGATGGAGCCAGAAGAAGTTGATCTGGACCGTGGGTCAGCGCCATTCGCGACTCTGGAGTGGGTGAGTGGGTGAGTGGTCCCTTCGGAAAGGGTCTCCGCAGCCCATAGGCGAAGTTCTACGCAGGAAGCTAAATCACACGCCTGAGCTGGGCGACGTGCGGTAACCGTCGGGCCCGTGAAGCCTAAGACTGAGGAGGTGTGACCCTCCTCCGGAGGCCACTATGGCGGGCAGTCACCAAACGGCCACTCTCTCACTCTGTTACTGGCATCACTGGCACCACTGGCACCACTGCCAGTCAGCAGTAGGTAGGCAGCTTAGCTCACTACTGACTCCCCGGTCGAGCTACGCCACGGCGGATGAATCTTATTCTTTCCTCCATCTCTTCCCATCTTCTCTAACCCTCTGCAAAATCATCCCATCCAAAGTATCCTTTCTTCCATCTCCTCTTCCCTTACTTGTCGTCGTTCTTCCTTCTAGTCGTCGATTGGCATTTGTGCATTGCAAGTTGGGCGTTGGGAAAAGAGCTCGAGCGATTTCTTATCTCTCCTTTTCCTATCGTCTCTCTCAGTCCCATCAGCTACATTACTTTTCTGTGTGTGTGCTGCGCCGCGTTGCTCTGCTCTTCCCCAGTTCTACTGCTACTACATACTACTACTGTCAAACATCGCCAGTTACTCCTCCCAGCCGCCCGACACTCGTCTCGGCGCGACCTCTTTTGCGGCCATCTTACCTATAACGCATTTCGAGTCCTTCCTCTCCTCCTTCCGTCTCCTTCTCCTTCGACTCTGTCGCGCTGCACTCCTGGACTTGGTTGGCTTGTCACCTTGATTAGCGAATTTGTCTCGACGTTTTCCAAGCGAAATTTCCTTTATCTGCCCACGACCCACCTGTCGCCGTTACACTCCCCGCAATCTTCGTCCATAAGTACTCGGCTTCAAAAATTCAAGAGCAGCTTGACGAGCTTCCATCTATCTACCTCACCGAACTTGCAATCCTCTGTTCTCGTTCGAATCATTTCCGCCTGGTGCGCGCTTTTTGTCTCTTGATCCTTTGGAGTTGTCAGTCAATTTAATCTGCTCAAAATGACGGAAAATATTCCTCCTGCGACACTACCGCCACCACCTTCAACTGCGGGCGCTCCAGGCTACGAAGGCGCTCCGGGTAGCAACGGACATACTACCACCAGCATGGGACCTCCGGCGTTGCCTCCGGTGGTCATTCCGCAAAATAATAATACTGTCCCGACTCCCGTCACCCCCGGTTCTGCGTTGTCACCCTCCTCGGGCGGTGTGGTTCGAAGAGCTGCGCCAGAACCAAACAAGAGGGCGCTTTATGTGGGCGGCCTCGACCCTCGAGTCACCGAGGACGTTCTGAAGCAAATCTTCGAGACCACCGGCCATGTGGTGAGCGTTAAGATCATTCCTGACAAGAATGTGAGTTAATCCCCGATCATGCTGGTTTTGCTCCTTCTTACACAAGCACCCTAGTTCAATTCGAAAGGCTTCAACTATGGCTTCATCGAATACGATGACCCTGGTGCTGCTGAACGTGCCATGACCACCTTGAATGGACGGCGAGTACACCAAGCAGAGATCAGGGTCAATTGGGCTTACCAATCCAACTCTTCGAACAAGGAGGACACCTCAAATCATTTCCATATCTTTGTGGGCGATCTGAGCAACGAAGTCAATGACGAGGTTCTGCTCCAGGCGTTTTCTGCCTTCGGATCGGTTTCCGAGGCACGTGTGATGTGGGACATGAAGACTGGTCGATCTCGTGGCTACGGGTTTGTTGCCTTTCGCGAAAGACCCGATGCGGAGAAGGCTCTAGCATCCATGGACGGAGAGTGGCTGGGCAGTCGTGCAATTCGTTGTAACTGGGCGAATCAGAAAGGTCAACCGTCTATCTCACAGCAACAAGCCATGGCAGCTATGGGCATGACGCCTACGACACCCTTTGGGCACCATCATTTCCCGACACAAGGCATACAGTCCTACGAAATGGTCGTCAACCAGACTCCCACATGGCAAACGACCTGCTATGTCGGCAACCTTACGCCGTACACGACTCAAGCAGACCTCGTTCCCTTGTTCCAGAACTTTGGGTACGTGGTGGAAACCCGATTTCAATCTGATCGAGGGTTCGCATTCATCAAAATGGATTCGCATGAGAATGCGGCAATGGCCATCTGCCAACTGTCGGGATACAACGTCAACGGCCGGCCGTTGAAATGCTCGGTAAGCACAAAGCAGATAGCAACCCTTAAACCTGGTGGTCGCTAACTGCAATAGTGGGGCAAGGATCGTCCTCCTACTGGTCAATTTGATACCTACTCGCCACAGACCTCAATTGGTTCTGCATCCACGCCTGGGGGCTATAATCCAGCCTCGCCGTATTTCTCACAATATGGAGGACCCGGACCAATCACTCCGCAAGGTATGGTAGACGTTACCGCTGTCCCGTGCAAGGCTGATAAAGTTCAAGGTCCAAGTCCTGGTGGTCGTGGTGCTTGGGATTCAAGCCATCTCGCGAGCCCGTACACTGCATCTCCGCAATCTGCGTTTGGTCAAGTACCTCCGTCAGCTGGTGGCTATGGACGTGGTCAGACAACTCCTGGAGGAATGTTCCAACAGCCCCCACCATCATTCGGCAACAATTACCCAGGGTACCAGGCATAGCTTACGAGAGATGGGGCGTATTCTTCCATGTGCGTGACCAAGGTCCAGGACAGATTGATCGGCAGATTGGGCATAATGTTACATTATTCAGCCCTTCTCCGAGGGTGGCTTCTTTGCTTGGGCGGAGTCCGAAGGATCAGACGTCCTAGCGCCTTAGCCCATTGACGTCACCTCTCTTCGTCTCCATTCCTGGTGATCTCGTCTCCAGCTGGTCTATTGTGAAGGTTGTCGATGTCGACCTTCCTGCGGAGGAGCCTAATGCAGTCGCTGTTTGCCTTTTTTTTTTCCAGGCGTCCATTGCGGGCTCACTGGGCTTCTTCTCCTCGTCTCAGGTGGTCACCTGCGGAATGAGATACTGCAAAAGGATGTGGCAATTATGACCTGTCTTGTTGAGTGCTGCTACTCAGACATCGGGTCCAAATGGAATGGCATTAGCAACAGTTAAGGGGGTGCGGTTGCGGTGTTGAGCATGACCTCAGCAGAGTAGGAGCACTCCCACACTTGTAGTTGAGAACGGCAGCTATCTGAAGGATACCCGGTGTGGATATGACATTTAATGAGAATCGTCACTCAAGGTTCATTGCTCTGCTAGAAAAAAAAGAATGGAACTTTTAAGGTACCGAAGCCAGCGAGGCGCAGCCTTGTGCAAAATGCAGCCTCGCAGAGCCTGATCACATGACCAGGAGGCTTGTCGGTCAAAAAATCTTCCGAGCAAAGCTTAGGTTCCCATCGACATCAACTTTGATTCAATTAATATTTTGTTCACTGCTCCTCTTCATTAAACGCTGCTTCCAGAGCTTCGCTGCCAAGCACTATAGCAGAGAAATTCTCAATAGATCACGACACTCGACGACGCAGCTAGAGCCAACATTGTGGTGAGTATAGAGACGAACCAGACGACGTCATAAAGCATCAAAACAAGAGATGTGTTCCTCCAACAGCGCCTAGAAAAATAACCACTTTCAAATCATGATATCGTTGACGACTAGTTTTCAAGAAACCCACCAGCGCAGCCTCGGTCCTTCTCGCAATATCTGGACCCCCTCCTTGGTTTCCTACTACCGCGTCCACATCTTGCCCCCCTTCTTATTGTAAGTAGTAACCTCTCCCTTGTGATTTATCTTGTATGAATCGTTCAGCAATGTCCAACCGCCTTCAGCAGGCTTGGGGTAACCCTCCTGGAATCGAATGTCTCGCACTGGAGGTGGCACGGTCCTTCTCGCCAACTCCTCTAAGATCGACTCATTTTCTTCAGTCACGGCGTCCAGTTGGCCTTTTGTACGTCGGTGTGCTGCCTTCTCTTCATCTCTGGACGCAGTCATTGTCTTCAGGTCGGCCCTCGTCCGGTCATGCGCAACTTGTTCCAGGTCTCGCGATTCGGTCATTGCTTTCAAGTTAGCTTTTGTTTGGGCGTGTGCATTTTGTTCTTGATCCCTGGTTTCAGTCACGCCCTGTAAGGTGGCTTTTGTCTTGACGTGTGCAGCCCGTTCTTGGTCTCTCGCTTCGGTCACGGCTTGCAAGGTGGCTTTCGTTCGCTCGTGGGCTTCCTGTTCTTTGTCTCTCGACTGAGTCACTGCCTTCAAGTTGGATTTTGTCTGGTTGTGCGCAGTCTGTTCTTCGTCTCTCGAGCTAGTCACGGCTTTAAGACTGGTGTTTGTCTTGTTGTGTGCTGTCCGCTCTTGATCTCTTGATTCAGTCATTGCCTCTAAGCCAGCCTTTGTCTGATTATGCGCACTCTGCTCTTGATCCCGGGCTTGAGTCATTATCTTCAACTCGTCCTCCACCTGCTTTAACTTCAATTTGAGATCGGCAAGGTCTTTCTCTCTGTTGGAGTACTCGACTTTGAGGTTGTCTAACTCCAGGCTCTTTTCGTCCAGTTGCGCTCGAGTCCCGCTGTGCGCGTTTTCTTCCGCTCTCAATATTGTCAGGCAACAAGGTCGAGCTTGCTCATCGTCTAGAGGATTGCCTTTACGAGATGCTTCAATCTGAGCCTTCAGTTTCAGGATCTTCTGAGGTCTTTGGAGATCAGCAAGTTCTTGTGACAGGCGTGCCTCTTCCTCCGCAGGCGTTTCGATGCTCCCACCGTTTGTGTTTGTCTTGCTAGACATCACGGTGCAGTCAATTTGATTCGTGGTCTCCGAGATTTTGGGGGATCTTTTGGCTATCGTGGTATTGCTCACTGTTCAATAAGGCTAACGGGCGGATATTTGCAAAATCTAGACATCCAATCTCGGCACAATGAAGTTGGAGCACAAATTCAGCTGACCTTGGAGCAGAGCGCTGGCCTGCGTGGCTTTTAGGGTGTGCATGGGGCTAATGCACCTCTACCCAACCGGTGCCCCGGACAACCCGAGCAAGGTAACAATTTGCTTTTAGCTGAGGCCTAATCGGCGTGGTTAGGCAGTGCTGCTGAAGCTGCCCATGACATATCTAACCAGAGGACGACCATGGCGGCTCTGCTAACCAAGTCTCAAGGCAACCACTAGTTGGGGAGGCTCATGAGATCAAGGAATCCAACCTGCTGCTGGTTCCAATCCCATCTCCCCACGAGAAAACCACCAGAGTCTTCCTTTAAGCCGTCGCATAACCAGGAATCGATTCCCCAGAGCGCCGAGTCTATCACTACCATGATCTTCACCATACTCCGTGCTTTCTGAATCACCTCCATCAGTTTCCGGATCAGCTGGAACGACTGGTATTCACACTGGTCCGCCCGATCCAAAATGATGTACACCGGCTCTTGTAAATGGAGTTCGGTAAGAAGGTCGCTCAGCAGTTTGAATATCGCATTCACAACATCATCACTGGCATCCTTCCAGGAGATTGTTCGTGCCAAAGACAGGAAACTCGGATTTTGGCGCAAAATGTCAGGCTGCCACCCTATCACTTGGCACACGAGGCTCAAGATAGCTTCTTGGACGCCACACCTCTCGGAGAGGACCTGTGGATGGCAGCAATAAAATGCCACGTGTCTGTCTTCAGAAAGCTGGTGTTCTGCCACATAGATGGCAGCTGGGGACAGCCAGGAGCACGTACTTATGTTGGATCGACCCTCCATGAGGCTGGTGCCGCCCAAGACCAACAAACAGGAGTGGTCGCTATCCAACCAAACGCGGTAAGATTCTTCGTTGTTCAATATATCCGGGGTCAACTGCGAGTACCACCGTGCGATTTTCCCAGGCTTCGCACCCACCAGCACAGGGAACGCTCCTCCGAGGGTCCGCTTGCAGGACTGTATGTTTGTGTGATCGCTTGCTTCCGGGACATTGACCAATGCCCGGAACTTGGCCAATTCTTTCCGGTCTCTTTGCACGTGTTCATCGTGGAGGGTTCTCCGCAGACCTGAGAACGAAACAATAATTAGTCTCTAAGGACACTTTGACGGAGTTGAGAGGTACACACGGTCAAGCTGTGATCGCAGATCGATGTTGAGATCTTCTATGACTTTCATCTGATGTTTGAGTTCCTTGTTTCCCCGCAGCAGTTTTTCATTCTGCTCTTCGATATGTTTAGCTCTGCGGTGAAGCAGAACGGTGCTCTCGAGATTGACTTCGACAAGTTTGCGCCGAAGACCTTCGATTGACATATTGAATTCGAGCTCTTGCTGTGGGTCTCCGGCCGCGAGCAATCTCACTGTGGTTCCCTAGTCAGTGGACGTCTGGCCCAGAGAAGCAGGTGAAGACAACAACCACCTACTGGATGTACTCATGTAGTACAACACAGCCTTCCTGGCAAAGTCGACCATATCTCTGTATGCCTCGGCTACCAGCCTCTCAATCTGCGGCTCTGGATAGATGTCGGAGAGGAGATTCAAGCGTGGAAATGAATACTCTAATTCAGCGAGTGCCTTTGCAATCTTCTCATCGTTGCCCGTCTTGTTGACCACAACCTTGAATGTATTAACCTCAGAAACCGAGAAACGCAAGAGGAGGGTCGTCATTCACAATCAAGAGGAGCGACAGCGTTCCATAGGCCAGATTTCCGTATGGAGCACTCGCATTTTTGACCACTTCGACGATTCCCGAGTACGCTGTGAGAAAGTTAGAGAACCGGGTTATAAATACCTGGAACGCAGTTCCATATCGCCTCGAGCCGGTTTGTCTCCCCTCAAGCCAGCTCATATACGCCGTTCTCGCGTCATCTATCTGCCTTTCAACCTCTTCCTTGGTGTCTTTGACTTGGGCAAGGAGTTGAGTGTCAAGGCTCTGCTTGAACGCAGCATCGCCTGTCGAAACTGTAGCAGCAGCATCCAAATTTTCGCTGTCACGCAGTCGGATATTGAATAAGTCCCATGCATCAGCACCACACGTTAGAGAAGACTTACGTTGCGGAGTTGTTCAGACTACCCCGTCGAAACCAATTGCGTTTCAGCCTCGATGCCGACAGCCTCGATGGCAGGGAGACACGACTGACGGTGCCATATTCATTCATGCTTGCTGATCACACAAGTGCATGGGAATCTCACCGGCAGCATGGTGTTTGTATAGATGCGGCTTGCGATCTTCATATGCGAGTGTCAGGCATTCCTCGTCTTATGCAGTGTGCTAAGGGACTTGTCCAGCCCAATTTGGGCATCATTGGATGCCTCGCAATTTCTCATGAAGTCAACGTACCCAAGCGTGTTGCGAAGCACGAAAGTCCTAAGCGGCATGATGGCGCCTTGATGTGGGCAGCAACAGGAAATGTGTCCCACCATCATTGGCCATCCTGCAGAGTTGCAAGAATGTGGCCTGCACTGACTCGCCTTTTCTTCGTTGCCACCAACCCCAACGGAGTAGGTCCGCCTCCATGCATCCAGCTCTTTCGGGAGTGACGCTCCTTTTAGTCAAGGTCTGGACGAAGATGCAATTCCTACCCATTGGCAGGCTCAGCGCTGAGTGGAAGCCTGGACGCAGCATGAACGTGCGGCCATTGTCGTATCGAGTCGCTATGGCTGAGGCCGAGCCTAAACGAGGCCCAGTCTAGTGCAGGACGACCCAATCCTTCCGGCGTTTGAGCATCGTCCAAGGCCTCGTGGGACCTTTGGAGACCTTTTGGAGGACTCATACCTGCTACACCTTAAAAGTGTCACTTCAGATATCTCGGCGTTCTTGCACGCGTCATGTTGCAAAAAGCCACTGTACCTATTCCACCCTGATTTCACGGCTTCAGATTGGGGGAAATGGCCCCAACCGCATCCACCAAGATATCACAGGTAGTACAGGTCTGCAAAAGTTGACGATCAGGCTCGTAATGACGCAAAAAGGTTCCTGTCACTGCCTCGTCAACCTCGACTCCGGCGCAAGAAGTCTCAGCAACAGAGCCAAGAGCAACTCAGGATCGCAAGGAAGAACTAGAGCAGAGATACATTAGTCTTCTCGAAAAGCGGGTTGAGTACCTGCAGAACCTCGTTGATTCGCAAAATGCCGAAAAGGTTGGGGGGCTCCCTTGTCTTCCGACTGAACTGGAATTGACGACCTTCTCTTCTCACCTAGGATCATCAAGCTCGACTGCAAAGAAAGCAAAGTGACAGACTGGAACTTGTCTCAACGAGAAGCAACCGGGGAGACAATGCCATAGACGGGAAGCTCCTACCCACCAAAGCTGAAGAAAAAGCTGAACAACAAACGGTTTGTTCTTGTCTCTCCTTATGACCATGTCATGCCACTGCATGGCCTTCTGCAAATTCTAAAGCATCCTTTAGACCTCCGACCCTTCCGAGGATTCGAGGTATGCCTACGTCATGAGCAGATGGGATGGCAGAAGTGGGGGCCGCAGGGATACAGAAATCGGTCGGTGGAACGAGCTCGAAGGAAAAGCTCCTTCGTCCAAACGGGCATTCACGTTCCGCCGAGTAATGGACCTCACCGACGAAAAAAAGTTCAAGTATTCCGAGGTGGATGTCGAGTCTCGCGAGCTCCGAGGCCTTTTGAGGAAGGTGATCGGAGACTCGTACCCAGGCCAAAGTTGGGAAGGGAATACTATCAACCTGATAGCTCCTTTTGCGCCTGTTGTCCACTACTGGAAAGAGCTCTCTGAAGCAAGCAGAGAGATCGACGTAAAGGACAGTCTTGCCATCAAAGCAGCGAGGAAAGACCTCAACAGTCTCCTCGAGTGCATATCGACCTGTACTGAATTGGAGTCGTACTTTAAAACTCGGGATTCCAATTTGGAATCCCACACTGTCACCTATCAGACCATTTGGACCTTGTTTCGGCCGGGCACCTTGGTCGTCGCAAGACCCTTTATGAACCTACCTCAGGTCTTTGAGGTGAAGGCGTCGCCAGATCCATGGGAAGATCGGAGACTGAACATCGAATGCTGGGGCTACGATTGGAACGGGAAAGAAATCGTGAGAGTTACCTTCGAGTTTCCCATTGAAAAATTCAGGGGCACCAAGGAGATCAGTTCGCTGTTTTGTTACCCCTTGGAGTACTTTAGAGACGAAAAGGAAAACTTCGATCAATCCCTTCGGAAGGAGCTTTTGGAAAGGGGCAAATGGTTTCTCGAAGTGTGTCAAACAACCGGAGCCAAGCAAATGTTCGAGTACGATGGGCAAGCATTTTCCAGCAGAAGGAGCCTCGCCAGGGCTAGTGTAAGGGATAAAGTCCAACTACTCCCCCTTTCCCCAGTGATTGAAATCATACTAATATCTACAAAACCATTAGACGGATGCTGAGAGCAAAACACCTTCATTATCCATGAAAGAGGACCCTGATCTGCCACTGGCTACAGAATATCTCATTCACAAAACATTCAAGGCATGCTTACGTTCGTTCTTGATTGGGATAGGATGTTGCTGATTTAAGACCACTGCGTTCTATAGGTGAAGGGACGATATATCGTTGATGCTGCTGCTTATCTACAGTTTGGTACGTCAGACCGAGGCTGCTGTTACAATGCGGATGATTGCTGATAGGTCTGCCAGGCCCCGGCATTCCATTGCTTGGAAAGTACGAGCCCACAGATGTCGAGCCTTTCAGCCAAGCCCACGACGAGCAGAGCGCCGATGAGGATGCCCACCAGCGCCTTCTATACCCACCGAGGGTACTAGGATACGCAACTCAACAAAAGATGTGGGCTCAGTTCAAAGTCCACAACACCAAGCATGTGCCGTCTGATCTCTCAAACGCATTTGACGACAAGCTCGAACTGGACAAAAAGGACAAGAACATGATCAAGGCGCTTGTGGAGAACCACGAAAGCAGCAAGGACGCAAGTCAGACGCAAGTGAACGACATTATCGAAAGCAAGGGCAAAAACCTCGTTATACTATTACATGGTGGGATTTTATCATAATACTTAGACGGATAAATCCAATGATCTTACTAACATGTCTGTCTAGGGCCTCCAGGCGTTGGGAAAACTGTGAGTAAGCTCACTGTGACTGGCGCCAAAGATCAAGATCTGCATTTGCTTCATGTGTGATTCCTGACGGATGCGTTGGAAGTTTCTTGCCACACATCATGTTTTCTTTGTGGTAAAAAGAATTCGGATGAAAAATGTGGCTAACACTGATGAGTAGCTCACGGCCGAAACCATTGCAGAGGCCACGCGCAAGCCACTTTTGGTCGTCACCGTTGCTGAGATCGGACTGGATGCGTCAAAGGCAGAGAAAAGCCTGGAGCAGATATTCTACCTTGCCGGGACGTGGGAGGCGATTCTCCTGATGTAAGGCTGTCGAGGAGGCCCCCGCTCTCTATTCCACGATACTCATACAGTGTTAGCGACGAAGCGGACGTCTTTCTGGAATCTCGTTTCGTCATGGGCGATCCTAACAGAAACGCCTTGGTCTCAGGCAAGTATTCCTAGCACACAGAGGTCGGACGACTTCCCCTTGTTGACACAGCGACAACAGTTCTGCTCCGTGTCCTCGAGTACTTCGAAGGCGTCATGATCCTGACGACGAACCGCATCACTTCCCTCGACATTGCCGTGCAGTCGCGTATCCACCTGGCGATCCGGTACAACGACCTGTCCAAGGATCAGAAGATCAAGATCTTCAACATCTTCCTCAGCCAGCTCATTGCCGACGGCAAGGTGGACGCCGAGGGCATCGACGAGTGGATCCGATGGGTCGGCAGCGAGGCCGAGGTCAACGGCCGCCAGATCCGCAACATCGTGTCCTCGGCGTATCTGTTGGCGCGCAGCCTGCGCCGGAACCTGCGCAGAGAGGATCTCCAGGACGTCAACGGCATCATGAAGAAGTTCCAGAAGCAGTTGGAGACGTTGACCGCGGCGGCGAGGAAGCAGAATGAGGGCCAATTGAACACCTTGGGCGGGTACGGATAGTAGTTGGTTTCCATCCCATCCTGTCCCACCTCTGAGAAAGCTCACAAGGCGCCGTTGTTTCTGTATTAACTGCATAGCGCCACCGAGTGATATGGGCTCGAGAGGATAAGATACTTTGTTCGGGAACCCCTCGACTCCAGTTGGTATAGGTAGGATAGTGACCCAAGTCGAACTCGTAGTCGTCGTTCAGGGGGATGCCCAATGATCTATGCCCTTGACAATCAAACCGTCCGCTCCTGATCGAGGTTGCCTCTTGACACTGGCTTCGAGTTGGAGCTTCGCTCGTCCCCTCCTAAGCGGGATTCGATTCCATCTTCGCTCTCAGTGGTGCTTTGGACCGTCGCTACTTGGTCAATATCCACCTTTTCTCTCGTTGTTAGACGGCAGCCCTTCTAGTTAGTTCCCATAGAGCCCGTTCTCTATCATTGGTTGCGCCAAGCGGCGCTGAGCGCTGTTGACAAGCTAATGCAGGGCCCACCGAAAATGCAGAAACCTTTTTGCTCTACGAGGTCCCTAGGAACATTTGTCAGCATTGCTTCCGCGGAAGGCGGCCCAGGTAAATACCCAGCCTTGTCTTCCTCCGAGCAGATTGTAACGCCTGGCAATCAATTGCGCAGTTAAAATGTCGCAACACAAAACGCGGAAGGTTTGTCTTACCACGATTCTTGCTTTGACTACCACCGCTTTCTTGACCGAAGGGGTCAAGGGCTAACATAATACTGAGCAGGCGTGCGACTTTTGCTATCGCAGGAGGATCAAATGCGACGCACAGAAGCCCCGATGCTCTAATTGCATGCTGCATGACTCAGTCTGTGCTTTTGGGGCCACAAGGCGCAAAGCTCGGGCCAAGCAGCAGGCATCGGGCGAAGACATTGGGATTCTGCGATTGCAAGTGGAGCGTCTCGAATCAAGTCTTGGCCTGGCTTTACAGAAAATCGAGGAGCTTCAAAGCTGTGTACCGAAACAGGACAAGGCTTCAGACGTTCTAGCTGGCTCAGCCGGCGCTGATGACCTCCATGCAGATCAGGTCGAGTTCGTCCAAAAAATGCTCCCAGATACACGTCTGGAACTGCCCCCGCTTCAGGAAGTTCTGTCTGCGACGGAAGCTTACCTTACAACCCTGAATGCTATTCTTCCGCTGTTCCACCCCGGCCGCTTACTGCAATCGATTACCAACTGGTACGCAAATCCTGGTCGAAGGGACCGTATAACATGGGCGGCAATCAACGTGGTTCTCGCGCTGACGTATCATCGAAGACTCCCCGATGAGGCGACATTGAGTAAGAACGCGGCGTACTACCTGCATAACGCCCAGACAGTACTTTCTGAGGTGATAATGGGTGACGCTGATCTTCTAAACGTCCAGATCCTCGTCGGAATGGTCATGCTCTTTCAAGCTACGCAAGATCTTAAGCCCGCGACGATGCTAATCGCCATTGCTTTACGTCTGGCGCACGAGTTGGGACTACATACTCGAAGAGCAGAGTGCCTCGACACTTCCCAGGTATTGGAACGAGACCGGGTCTTTTGGATAGCATACCTCCTTGATAGAGATATTAGCATGCGCACAAGTCAGCCGCCCGTACAACGCGAGGCCGATATCGACCTTGAGTGGCCGTCAGCCGAGCCCGAAGATGGAGCTGGGAACGTGACAAATGCCGACGGTACTTTTTCATTCAACTTTCTTCGATGTCGCGTACACCTCGCTCGGATCCAAGGTGCAATGTACGACTTCATGGTTGCAACTCGTGCCGGCACGGTGGATGACTACCAGCGAAACGAGGACACAGTTCGTCTAAACCATATGCTGGATGATTGGATCTCCACTATACCGCCACCGTGCCGACCGAGCTCTGTGCTCCAAGCTGGACAACCAAACCTGTGCAGAAGCTTTGCAGTCCTCTATTCCACTCATCTTGCCTGTCGGACTCAGATTTATCGTGCTAATGCCATGGCGTCGCACTGGATGCAGAGCCTACGGAGATTTGGCAGAACAGTTACGCAAGAGGGATATATTGTTCCGGTACCCCTGCCAACACCCTCATTGCAGGATTGGGAGAAGCTGGTTGACGAGACTCGTTGGTGTATGCGGCTGTTTTGGGGTGTGGGACGAAGAGACCAGGCATTCATCTGGTGAGAGAACTGCTTGTATCGGTGATGACAGGATGGCAGCTGACTTTCTGTATCTTCTAGGATGACCGCGTGCACATATATCACTGGATCAGTCTGCTTGACAGCCAACATCATGTTTGAGCCATGCCACGCAAGTGTGGAACACGACCTGTCACTGGTGAACCTGTCCATTTCCCTTTTGGAAGATCTGATACAAGAAACAGAGCACGAGCCTCTGAAAGATCTACGAGACGCATGCCAAGAGCTCCTGCGTTATGCTTGTGCATTATCGCCCAGGGTTGACGTTTAAGATGGCACTTTTTGTTTCCGTTATAATCGGGACGCGGGCTTCCTCGGAGAAGCTCACCATGACAGGATCGGAAATTGTGCACTTAAAGAGGCCACAACTAAGCCGATATATGTAAGCGGCTTAATAGTCGGTACATGGTATTCTTTGTGCTGCATTCGACGGTTCACTATCTCACGCTTAATCAGCGCTTTGGACAAAAAGACTGGTCCTAACTACATGTCGATGCCATTCAGAGATACTCTCAGTAAAGATGATGTCTGGATCTCTTCCGCCCGAGCCTTGAGCTCTTCGACATCCCAGTTCGCCCAGACGAACTTGTTCCTCAGAAATGCGGCTTCATCCGACGCAATCCACACGAGAAAGTGTGCAGGCAACTCAACTATTAGGTATGTTAATATCTTACGCAGCGTATCCATTCGCTTAATGGCATAAAAGTGGAAGAGCACCTACCTGTGTCTGGCCCCACAGGGATATTTGGGTTGATCTCCGTGCCCACGATACCTGGGTGGATGCTCACCACATGAATGTTCGGGTTCTCAGAAGCATAATACTCGACCATCTTCAGCGCCGCTGCCTTTGCGGCTGCATAGCTCCACACTCCTGGCACTTCTGGAAGAGGAGACCAGTGACTAATGGCACTGCCTATGTTAAGGAGCTTTGCGCCGGGCGCTGCCAGCGGCGTAAACGACTGCAGGGCGTTGAAAGAGCCCATGAGGTTGGTTTCAAAACATCGCCGGACCTCTGACTCGGGGTAGTCGATCACCGCGGCCTCCTTTGGAAGTATACCGGCGTTGTTGAGGAATATGTCAATCTTGCCGCCGGTTTTCGCCGCAATGGCATCCAGAGCGGCCTTGATGGATGTACGATTGCTGACGTCGCCTGTCTGCAGGATCACATGAGTCGAAGAGTTGGCTTCCGCGATTGCCGCCCCAGCAGTCTGGAGGCGGTCGGCCCTACGCCCTATGATGGAAACCGATTTGGCCCCGGCTTGAGCGAAGGCAATGGCGGCGGCCTTCCCGATGCCCGTTCCTCCGCCCGTGATGACGACACTCTTCCCAGCTGCTGAGATCTCCGGCCTCGAGGGCAAGATGGCCGGATAAGGCTTATTGTGCCATGTTTCGGTGAATGAGACGAAACTTTTCATAGGAGGGGACGCCATGGTGAGTGTCGGGTGCGCAGCGGGACAGTGGCGAGAGCGTTCTCTCCGGAAGATGGCCACCCCCATCGTCTATACGGACTGTTAACTCCTTATATAAGTCTGTAAAAAATTTGCTCTTGTGAACCTGTAGTGATTGCTAAGCTGTTCCTTAAGCCATGCTTCCGCGGAAGGGAACCAAGGTTAGTAGAAATGCAACAAGGGGAGTGACATTCAAATTGGCTAGCCTCCGCAGAATGTTGCGACCCAGGTCAAAGAGGGTCGTCCAAAGAGTTATAGCCTATGGCCATACACTAGGAATGAAGAGAATCGGCATCCTCTGCAAACAATAAGGGTTGTCGGACCCAAAAAAGGCATCTTCGGTGGTTCAAGCATACATATGATTAAACACGTGGACTCCTGGTTTCTGGAGTACTCCGTTCTCCTCATACACCTCCTGTCACAGCAAGCATACCTAGGTATCTAGGTAGTGATATCTCGCAAGGTAAGCTCCCGCGTAACTCTGCTTTAGAAAGAGGACGTACTCGGACACTGATTCCTTCATACTGACATTTAGACAACGTTGATGACCGAGTAGGGACTAGGGAGCCCCGAGCTTGGCCCTTCCAGACGTGTGAAAGAGCAAACACTGGGGAACCAAAGGCTCGAATTGCAGTACCCACTCGCCACTGAGTATCTTGGTACTAGTATTCAGCGGCGACGAAGCGCCTAGGTAGTCTTGTTGAGGCACGTAGCCTGCTGTTCGCCGCTTTACTCGGACATCAGGTGGCCTGGCTCAACTTCGGCTCAGCCTCAAGCGTGAGCTGACACTGCTCAGCCCTACTCAGGGCGTTCATAATTTTTTTGAGCACCAGAATCCCTACCAGGCTTCTAAGTAGAGTCTGCTTCTTGGATCGAAAGACCGACGGCGCTCCTCAGCTCCTCTCCCGCGTCGCGTCCGCACCACGTCGTTTGTCTCAAGGCCTAGACGAGTTGACAAGAAACTGCGGCTGGTTCTCGGTGGGGCACGGTACACTCTTACGAAGCTTTGTTCTAGGCTCCCTCGCTTACAATGTCCACATGCCTCTGCATAGTGAGAGACCATGGCTTGGCTTGAAAAGGAAAGCGTTCCTCGAAAGTGAACCGGTCTCATACCGCGATAAGCTGGGAGGCTGGTTGGACATCTTCAGCTCAGACGTCGCCTATTTGCATCGATTGGCCGAGATATCTGCTTAGATAAAGTGTTTGTCAATTGTGTATTCCTAGTGGACCGTCGAGTGCCACGATGTGCTGGAAGGCTGGCTGAACATCTTAACAAGCTTCCAACGGCTTTTAACAAACTTTCACCGAAATCATGGTGCCCGATCCCCTTCGTGGCGTTAGTGGACGTCAGCTGAAGGGCCATGCTGAAGGGGCATGCTGGAGGGCCATATTGGAGGATAAGGTCACAATATTTGAGAATATGGACTCAATCAACATCACTCATGACAGATCCTCCGCACAGCAACTTGTTCCAAACTACCTAGCAGTTTTGGCGACGTCGACCAGGAGTGTTACAGTGGCCTTCGAAGACTGCCCATTTTCCCAACATGACGAAGTCAGACCGTGAGCCCATCGCCGTTGTCGGTATCGGGTGTCGCTTTCCCGGGGGTATCACCACCACGAAAGATTTCTGGGAAATCCTTCGTCGTGGCATTGACACGTTGTCTGAGGTTCCGCCTGATCGGTTTGATTTCAACGCATTCCACGATGCTGACACACGAAAATATGGAACGATACGAAATTGCAAAGGTGGTTTTGTCAATGACGTCCATGCATTCGACGCTGGCTTTTTCGGCTACTACCCGGCTGAGGCATCAAGGATTGACCCGCAACAGCGACTAGTTCTGGAAGCAAGCTTCCATGCGCTGGAGGACTCTGGCACCACGCTGGAACAAGTAGCTGGATCACAAACAAGTGTCTTCCTTGGAGCATTCATGTACGACCATCTTTGTATTCAGACAGCAATGGAGCAACGAGATAACGTCAGCCCTCACGTGGCAATGGGCGTTTCTAACAGCTCGATTGCGAACCGGGTATCACATCGACTGAACCTACATGGACCAAGTGTCACTCTAGATACCGCCTGTTCGAGCAGTCTCGTCGCATTGCATCTTGCTTGCCAAAGCCTGTGGGCGCATGAGAGCGAGGCTGCTCTCGCTGGTGGCGTCAATGCTATCCTCCGACCCGAATCCACGATATTGATGTCGAAGGCTGGCTTTCTCTCTCCAGATGGTTCTTGCAAGTCGTTTGACGCAGCCGCAAATGGATATGTTCGAAGCGAAGGCGTTGGGATTGTGTATCTGAAGCCTTTGAGTCGAGCACTCCAAAACCGGGACAGAATTTACGCTCTGATTCGCGGCTCGCTTGTGAACCAAGACGGATACACGGCGGAAGGGTTCACAGTCCCCAGTCTCAAGGCACAGGCGGCATTGTTGCAATCGGTCTATTCACGGTCTGGTATAGACCCGGCCAAGGTCCGTTACGTGGAAGCTCACGGGCCGGGGACCCCGGTGGGCGACCCAATCGAAGCAAAGGCCCTGGGAAAGCAGCTTGGACAGGTGCGCTCGAAAGATGATGAGTCCCTTTGGATAGGCTCAGTGAAGGGCAACTTCGGTCACCTTGAGGGAGCTTCTGGAATTACTGGTTTCATTAAGGCTGCGCTGGTCACCTTTCATGGTGAAATCCCCCCACAAGCAAACCACAGGAATCCTAACCCTTCGATTGACTTTCAATCCCTTCGACTCGCGATACCAACTAAAACGGTACCTGTGACACGAGATCAGAAACATAAGCTATGGGTCGGTATCAACTCGTTTGGAGCAGGAGGTACGAACGCGCACGCTGTACTTGAGGAGGCACCCGATGCCGAGGCCTCTTCCACATCCAGTCATGGGCCACGCGTTTTCGTGCTGTCTGCGAAGTCGCTGCCTGCCCTAGAACATGCGGCTAGAGATCTCGCTTCTCATCTACGACAGCAGCAGCCTGTCCTAGATGACGTCGCTTATACCCTCAATATGCGTCGAAGCCGCCACTCCGAGATCTCCGTCATCCCAGCTAAAGAGCTTGAGGGCTTGTGTCATCGTCTCGACCAGCTCGGCTCCAGCAAGGCATCAAAGGACATTTTGACACTACAGAAGCGATCGGGCAGTTCCCCTAAAGTTGCTTTTGTGTTTTCCGGTCAAGGTGGACAGTGGCTCGGCATGGGGGCAGCGCTTGCGGATCAAGAACCAGTATTCCGTGACTCTCTAGCTGCTTTTGATGATATTTTCATGGCACAGGCAGGATTCTCTATTCGTGCGGAGATCTCAAGTCGCGGGGACCCTTCACGACTCAACAGTACCGTCATTGTTCAACCAGCCATTGCAGCTATTCAGATCGCACTGGCGAGACTCCTAATTTCGTACGGCGTCAAACCCGGTGCAATCGTGGGCCACTCCATTGGCGAAGTCGCCGCTGCTCATATAGCTGGTGCCCTAAGCCTTGAGCAAGCCGTCACGGTGATCCGTTTACGGTCAAACATCCAGAGCCAAGCAGCAGGAGAAGGGTCCATGTTAGCCACTGGAATGTCGTCAACAGAAGCCGAGCACCTAATTCTGCGGCGTCAGCTGGGTGGAAGCGTGGAGGTTGCAGCTCTCAATGGCCCTAAAATGACGACACTAGCAGGAGATGCAGCGGAATTGGAACAACTTGCCAAAGAACTCGAAGCTCGCGGGACTTTTGCTCGATTCGTCAAGGTTGAAATTCCATATCACAGTCGTTTCATGGATCCCTTTGAAAAGCCTCTCATCGAAGCCTTGTCGGCAATCCAAGGAATTAAAACCGATGTCAGTCTCTATTCCACCGTTACCACTTCCATCGAGCCCGGGACTCACTTGACCGGGGAGTACTGGTTCAAGAATGTACGTAAACCAGTCCGATATGTTGAGACGGCGACAAAAATGCTCGGCGACGGCTGCAATTTCTTTGTCGAAATCGGGCCACACCCTGTCCTGGTCTCTGGAACTCGAGGCATTGTGGAGTCTACTGGGCTGCATGCTCATGTCCTTCCAGCCATGGTACGAGGCAGCGATATCGAGCCCGTTTCATGTCTCATAGGAGCCGCGCATGCCGTCGGTATTGATGCGGATATGCAATCATTCAATGGTGGAGGCGGCCGTTTTGTAGATCTCCCATTGTACCCTTTTCAAAGGGAGCACTACTGGTTTGAACATCCGGAAGCTCAGCAACGCCGTCTTGGGAAATCGAAACATCCATTCCTTGGAGACGGTACCAATCTGACAGACGATGGTCGTAGCATCCTACGGCTCAGGCTGAGCACTGGGGTGTCACCGTTTCTAGCTGATCATCTTGTCGATGGGGCACTGGTATTTCCAGTGACAGGGCATATAGAGGCGGCATACTTGGCTGCAAGGGATCAAATGGCGCACATGGGAGTCTGGCTGGAGGACCTCCGATTCGAACATCCCGTTGTCCTGACATCTGCAGAAGATTTCGCTCCACAAGTCCTCCTGGAGATTGTGTCACCTGCGAAAGACTACGTTATAAGTACCCGTCCCGCAAATTCAACTCCCGAGACCGCATGGCAAATCTGTTCTCGTGGAAGGATCAACGCATTCGACCAGCGGTTTGCCACCACCGCAGAAGCCCTGGATAGCGTAAGGGCTCGAGTTCGCGCAGGGAGGGAAGTCGATGTTGAAGATTTCTACTGGAGAATCGAACAATCAGGCCTTCGATACGGCGAGGCGTTCAGAGGTGTCCAAAACTTGTGGCAACTCGGGGGTGAAATCTTCGCTTATGTGAAAATGCCCAGTTCCTTACACGGGGAGGCGTCACGCTTTCGTTTTCACCCTGCACTTTTGGACGCTTGTATCCATACGATGTTTGCCGAGCTGCACCATCACGGGGACTCTCGCTATGTTTATCTGCCCTATCACATGGAGCGTGTTCAGATATTCGAAGCAGACGGTGCCACAAGTGCTTTCGTGCATCTCCAAGTCAAGTATTCTGGTGATACGTTCTTCCGCTGCAATGCATCAGTGTACGGAGAGAATGGAAAAGTCCTGGCCATGATAGTTGGATTGACAGCGAAGCGTCTTCTGGGTACATATCTAACCCGACAGGTGGATTACCAAATCTGTTATCAATCCGAGTCTCAAGAGGGGTCGAGCAAGTTAGCGGTGGACTTCACGAATATTTTGGTCCTTGACCAGCAGCTCGGAGACATTAACTGGTCATCAGTCATGCAGAGGACATTCCCTCGCGCGCAGATCCACCAGAGGGCTTTGAAATCAGTCAAAAGACACTGGAAAACGACCGAATGGGGATTTCAGTTGGATCGCCGAACACTTCTCATTGTGCCGGCGTTGTTGCCACTCCGTGGGGACCTTCACGAACCCTTGGGAGCGGTAATCAGAGCACTCTTGCACGTCGCTGTCTGGATTCGCGAGCAACAAGGCACGCCCACAGTTGTGGTAATAACCAGAGGAGGCTGTATGACGCCAACAGATACGCAATGTAATCCCATTTCCTCGTCAGTCGAAGCAGCCGCGCGAGTCATGGCGAACGAATTGCCGCAATCACGCATCCGCGTCGTGGACATTCCTCTTGATCAGACGACCGGGTGCATTCCAGGACTGCAAGATGAGTTGCAGTACATTCGTCTCGACCAGCATGACACTGTGGTGGCCATACGGCCAGAGGGTCGCTTCGTCAGAAGGGTCATAGCCTTGGACACCAAAGAAGAAGAGAAAAGCATGGAAAAGAAGCTCCCTGCAAGAGGAGGTAGGTACTTTTGTGAAGCAGACCCCAACAGTTCGCTCGATAGCATCATCATTCGGCAGCAACCTCCGACAAATTTGGGTCCGGATGAAGTGGCCATCGACGTCCACTCTGCTGGTCTCAACTTCAAGGACATAATGAATGCATTGGGTCTGCTTAGTGAGCGAGCTACCTCTGGTGGCTTATCAGGACAGAAATTGGGGCTCGAAGTCGCTGGTCAAGTCGTCAAGATCGGGGAGAATGTGCGAGGCATTGACGTCGGCGCTCCAGTCATGGCTCGAGTCTCGAACGGACTTGGGGGTTTTGCAACTGCCAATCGCAACCTCGTCGTGCCAATTCCGCCCTCCATGACCTTTACCCAAGCCGCTTGCCTCCCGGTTACTTACATGACGGCATATTACGCCTTGACGTACCTCGGTAGACTGGCGTCTGGAGAAAGTGTCCTTATCCACGCTGCAGCTGGCGGAGTTGGAATAGCTGCGATTCAAATTGCAAAACTTCTTGGTGCTCGAGTGTTTGCTACAGCAGGAAGCCCTGCTCGTCGAGCCTGGGTATCTGAAATGGGAGTTGAAGCAGTGTTCGACTCACGTTCTCTGTCATTCCATGACGAAGTAAAAAAGGCAACGCGCGGTTTGGGTGTGGATGTGGTCCTCAACTCCCTTACAGGCTCAATGTTCTCTCAGTCAGTGGCATGTCTGGCTCCGTTTGGACGCTTCTTAGAGATCGGCAAGACGGATATTTATCGGAACATGAGGCTTGGTCTCGAGCAGTTTGGCGAGAATTGTTCATTCTTTGCAATCGACATCGACAGATTGGCTATGCAGAAGCCAGAGCTACACCGCCGTATGCTTGACGAGGTTTGTGCTCTGTTCGAGAGCGGCAAATTGGTGCCGCCACCCGTCACCGCGTATCCTATCACACAGCTGTCCACAGCCCTGAAGTCTCTTTCGCGGTCTGCTGTGGTAGGGAAGGTTGCTGTGGAAATGCCGGAAAACACCTTTGTTGATGCAGCACCACCGAGTGAGCTGAAGTTGCGTCCTGATCGAAGTTATCTCATTACTGGAGGCGCGAGTGGGCTCGGTTTGCAATTGGCACGATTCTTGGTTGAGCGAGGGGCGAAGCATCTTGTGCTTGTCAGCCGGTCGGGACCAAAGTCTGCTGATGATAATGCACTTCTCCTGGATATGCGGCGTCGAGGCGTGGCGGTAAAGATTGAGCGCGCGGACATCACCAACGCCGAGGTAGTAACAGCTATCTTGCGTCAGCAAAAGCCACCGATCGCAGGAATAGTCCACAGCGCAGCCGTCTTACGAGATTCGTATACCCATGAGACGACCATGGACGACTTTTGGGCAGTTTTCGGGCCAAAGGCGATTGGTGCGTGGAACATGCACCTGGCTACACAAGGCATGAGTCTGGACTTCTTTGTCTTGATTTCATCCATGTCAAGTGTTCTGGGGCTCACAGGCCAGTTCAGTTATGCTACTGCCAACCAGTTCCTGGATGGGTTGGCACGCCATCGTCGGGCATCTGGCTTGCCTGCCCTCTCCCTAAATCTGGGTCTTCTATGGCATTACGCTGGTATGTCTCGCAAGTCTACCACCAACGACAGGGTCCTCGAAATCTTGGAGTCGCACGGGTTTTCTCCCATGAGCCTTCCAATAGTCCTCTCCGCCTTTGAGCGCGCAATTCTTCACGGTTCTACACAACGCCTGGCCGCTATCGTTGATTGGGTGATGTTTCTGAAAGCATACCCTCACCTGAGTCGTGATGGCGCCTTTTTGGGGCTGAAGAACAAGCAAGAGCGAATGGACGGCCCTGGATCTCACGGGTCGCTTTCTTCTCTATCGGGCCCAGGGCGGATCAAAGTAATGGCCGAAACATTGCGCTCCGCGCTGGCCAAAATAGTGGGAGTCGAGCCGAGCAGGATTTCTCTCACGGAAAAGATCGATCAATATGCTTTTGACTCCCTTACTCTCACACAGCTGCGAAGTGTGATCCTGCGTGAGTTTCGGATTACATACCCCGTCATGAGGCTTTTTCAAGGACCTAGTCTCCAAGAGATTGCATTGGAGCTTGAAAGTTCCTTTGGAAACAGCTCTGGTGAAGGGCAGGATCTTATGGATGTAGCCAACCACGAGGCTGAACCAATGTTATCCACCGAACTGTCGGTCGCGTCGCCGTGGTTTATTCGGAGGAAGTCAGCCAACGGCTTCCACCAGCGAGTCGTATGCTTTCACTCAATGGGCACCGGGGCGTCCCTATTCACCCCGTTTCTGATGGATCCACCTGACGGATTGGACGCAATTGCAGTTCAATTGCCAGGTCGCGAGACACGGGCGGACGAAGCAATTCTAACCAATATGTCTGAAATTGTTGCCGGCATACTTGGCGAGATGGAAACGACCGTGGGAGTACCGCACGTCTTCTGGGGACACTCATTCGGGGGTATAATTGCTTTTGAAGTCCTTAAAGCTCTTCGACGCCAAGGGAAGCCACTCCCACGCCTGTTGGTAACCGGCACGATAGCTCCACACCTCGTCCGACTCTGGAAGAAGAGAGATGTCCTCCTCCGAATTTTAGCAGAGGACTACAGCCCGGATTATCTGCTCGCGGTGTCGCGATACGTGGACAACGCGGACTTTGTCCGCTCAATCCTGCCACTGATGAGGAGGGATACGCCGTTGTTGCTAGGATACCAGTTTGACGAAGAAGAAATCCTAGATGTGCCGATTACGGCTTTTGCCGCACGTCAAGATGACATGGTGTACCCGGATGAGGTCGCCGCTTGGAGGACGTATACGAAAGAGTTCAAACTGGTCGAGGTTGATGGAGATCATTGGTTCTTACATCGGAATCGGAAGTTAGTGCTGGAGACGTTGGCGGCGTTGGCTAGATAGGTAGTCACTCTAGATGGTTTGAGATTCTCAAATTCTTCCTCTCCTCAGACTGGCGCCCTTCATGTAGTCTTGTTCGTGATGTATTTTCATTCTCATGCAGAAGGATCCCTGAACTAATCCAGCTCTGAGTTGGGAATTGGACCCCAGTATTGGTTTCGTGGTGCAATGGAAGGTAAACCAATCTGGTGTTGATCTGCAGTGGAAAGGGGAGCCAGATTGGCATTCTGGCTAATGGGGTCCATTGTTGGATTCAAGAAGAGAGTGTCTTCTCGGGACATTGGCTAAGGGTCCTGACAGCCTTTTGTAATGTCATTGCCACAGTGCCCACCCGGGTAGGTACCTCGTACGTCCATTGACAATCCTTCCGTGCAACCTGTTGAGCCTGTTCCGTGATCTTTGAGCGGTGATGGAGGCCAATTGATTTTCCCGTTCCGATTTCTGCATTTGTTCCACTTAGCACTTTGGGCAGACCGTATGCTTTTTCGGTTACTGTCCTGCATGCGACGAATATCTTGCTTGGTGCCATGGACAAGCCGTGAACAAGATTCGTCGCTGAGCTCTGCAGTAGTTAGCGGTGACAAAGCACCTCCTCTTGGTATCTTGTGCGGCCAGACACTGCCGCTTCATTATGCAGGAACTACGCTGTGTAGATGAGCTGGCACCACTGGTCCAACTTCGGCTCAGCCTCAGCTTGAACTACGCCCTACTAGTACTTGTCACCTTGATCTTTTACACGCCACTACTAGCAACTACAAAGCTCAGCCGCAAAAGATTAGGCAACAACGTCTTCAGCCTTATGTTGGCCTTTCCTTCCTCTCTTTCTCCTTCCACATAAACAATCTCACCCAGATCCATGGCTGAGGCAGTTGCAGCGTTAAGCCTTGCCTCTAACATCCTCCAGGCCATCGACTTCGGATCGAAATTCGTGTCGACGGCCTGGAAGGTTTATAATTCTACTCATCGCAACCTCGGAAGTCTGGATAAGATATCATCCCTCAATGTTCTTAACAACAGTCTCAGCGGTGCTTTGCGGGACATTCGCACCCAATCAGGTGACATTGACTTGACACCTGAGAGCAATCGAGGAATCCACAACTTGTCGAAGGAATGCGCAATATTTGTCGAAAACTTGGTGCACAAACTGAATAAACTTGGCCTTGAAAATGCTGCTCGAAAGCGGGATGCTGTCGCCGCAGCATTCAAGTTGGCGTGGAAACGAGACGAAATATACGCTCTTCAAGGCAGCCTCAACGACTTCAGGTCCCAATTGACTCTGAGCTTGCTTGTTTCCATGCGGTTGGTACTATTCTGGTCCCGTTTCTGACCAGCCTCCTTAACTGCCGCGCTTAGGTATTACGCCAGCCAATCCCTGATCCAACAGAATGCCATTCTCAAAGGGCTTCAGGAAGCCCAGGAGAGCACTCAAGCCGAGAGAAGTGCCACCAAAAATAGCTTCAACACTTCGGACCCCTTTGGAACCTCTGTCGTGAACTACGTCACGTGGAAACTCGACCAGAGAGAGAAAGATCAAACAAGGCATTTCCTTAAAAATGAAATTACTCATGCCATACACGATACCGCAGTAAGCCATTCGGAGATACGCCCTTCCGTTGTGGGTATAACCATTCCAGAGGAGGCCGGCAAGCGGTGTCTCAGGATACTACTTGAGAGCCTCCGCTACAGCGGAATGCGTGATAGGGAAGAAAGAATTGCAGAGGCACATGAGACAACCTTTCAATGGCTGTTTAAGGATAGCGATAGTGTCAAGTGGGCCAGTTTCAAAGAATGGCTTGAGTCAGACGAAAAGCTATACTGGATCACTGGTAAAGCCGGCTCAGGCAAAAGCACCTTGATGAAGTATATCTGCTATCCGGTCCAAGCTGCACAAGAAATCGATCCCGTTCCTCGGTGTCGCAAATTCTTGGAAACATGGAGCAGCGGTAAGCATCTCGTGATTGCTTCGTTCTACTTCTGGAACTCTGGAAATCAAACACAAATGACACAGAGGGGCTTGTTGATGTCACTTCTACACCAAATTCTTCAGCAGTGCCCCCAACTCGCAATTTTGGGGTGCCCGGAGCGATGGGAGAGTATCAGCTTGTTCGGCGAAGACCTTTTGGCTTGGGAAGATCAAGAGCTCCACGACACATTGCGTCGAGTGACTAAGAACATCGTCCAAGTTGATTCAACCATCGCCCTGTTCGTAGACGGTCTGGACGAATTCCAAGGCAAGCCTGACGAACTGATCTCGTTACTCAAGGGCATCATCGGCTTCTCAAACATTAAATTATGTGTCGCTAGTCGACCCTGGGTAGAGTTCGAGGACGCATTCAAGCACAGCCTGAGTCTCAAGCTTGAGCATCTAACGTACGATGACATCAAGAGTTTTGTGACTTCGAAATTTCATGGTGAACCTATGTTTGCACAGCTTCGACGAAGAGAGGAGGAGTTTGCGGACCGGTTGATCGAGGACATTGTTGTCAAGGCCGCTGGTGTATTCCTTTGGGTTACGCTGGTCGTCTCATCTCTTCTCGCTGGCATGAGCTTAGGAGATAGAGTCTCCGACTTCACGAGGAGACTAGACCAATTACCACCGGATCTCTCAGAACTCTATCAAAAGATTCTATTGAGCCTGGACGACTTCTACCTCGATCATGCGGCGCAGCTCTTCTCTCTCGTCAAAACTAGCTCTGTGCCTTTGAACCTTGTGCTTGCGTCGTTTGTGGACGAAGACGACACCGACTCTGCTCTACAACAACCGTGTCGTCCTCTCTCAGAAGACGAGACGTTGCTGCGTATGGACACAATGCGCCGGCGCATCAATAGTCGAACTAAAGGTCTGCTCGAAGTCAAAGGCCCCCTCTCGGTCCCCGAAGGTTTCAAATACGAAATCGCCGGTAACCACGCCCTATATACTGTTCAGTACCTGCATCGGACAGTGAAGGATTACATAGAGAGTGACAAGGCCCGGATCATCCTACGGCGCGTTGCAAGATCTCCCTTTGACCCTCATCTCAGACTCCTGACCGGCCACGTGGCATATATCAAGAGGCTGGATCCCACAAGAATCTCTGCTGTGGATTTGTGGGATAACCACCTCGAGGAATGTTTCAAGCTCGCCAGGACTGTTTCTCCCGAGAGCATTCCTCAGATGGTCCTTCTACTGGATGAATTGGACAAAGTTGGCCGCGTTACATTTCAGGCTTTGGCGGCAAGTCGAAGAAAGAATGAGCAAATACCGATACCAGAATCCGTTTCATGGGCGTTCAGCAAAAGCCCATTCTTGCTTCTGGATCAACAAGGACGCCTTGACCTTTTCCGTTATACTTTCCTGTCTGTGACGGTGATCTACAGAGTTGTTGAGTATGTTCGAGTCAAGGCCGAGGCTCAATGTCTCACTCAACTCCTAGAGTTCAACCCTACTACTAACGAGATGTGTTGCCTCGGTAGATGGCCTCTACTGCTGGATGCCATTTGCACTGGGGCCAGGAGCATGTACTACGGGGCAGCCGGCGATCCAGACTTCGATATTGATCAGAACCTTAGTATGATTCAATGTTTGCTGGAAAAGCATGCAGATCCAAATAATCTTGTCGCCCATCTTCCGGTGGACGGAACCTTGCCTTTGATTGAATCCCTAACACAGTTGATGTTGTGTGACAGCGGCAAGTCGAGGCATTATTGGGTGGAAACAACGCGCTTGCTCGGTCGTGCTGGAAGGCTAGACAAGGAAACTCTCGATCGTGCTCTGGCTGTATACATGTGGGTAAAGTCTTTGGAATTGCCTCGTTTCCGTCTCCAAACCTTTATGCAATGGAGTCGTGCCAGGAAGTCCCTGCGGAAATCTCTCCAGACCCTTGTACAAGGTGGCGATGCCGACCTCTCACCGGTGATGGCCGAGTTAGAAAGGCTTGCAGAGCGCCGCTTTCTGCCGCCTAAGCTATCGAGGGTCCCGCCAGAGAAGCGTTCTGCTTTCTGAATTCGCTTGATGGACATGTATGCGCTTATCGGCATAGTTGAACCTTGACTAGTGATTCCCATGGATCGCGAACCAATACTTTCCAGCTCTCCACCTTCGGAGTTGATGTCGACCTGCACCTGATGATAAGAAGACGTTTATTTTCAATCGCTGGCGGACCATCTCTGGCTATTTGGTTCTTCTGCGTCTTCGGGCCATAGGCGTCTCCATCACAGATCCCTCGGTTTTCTCCACATGCTCCTCTGCGGAAATCACTGAGTTCAGCACAGGCTACCCAGCAGCTTATCCGCCGTGGAGGTCTACTTGCTCAGGTGGCCTCCAGAAGGCCCTCTAATAACGGCAGTGTTAGGGTCATTATCCGAAGAGAAGGGGCCTTGGTCATCGAGGAGCGCTCGCAGCGCGGCAAGACTGGTGGAAGAATTAGAGGCAGGCCTCGGTCGAACCAGTAGCTGATCGAGGGATCCCCACAGGAAAGGGAGCGGAAGTTGAAAAGGCATCAGAATGAGACAGTTGACGCGCCACCCACTAATGTATCATGTTGGATGCTGCACGTCGGTGGAGAAGATCAGATTGGGCCTTTAGGAGGCCGAATTTTCCCACGGGCTGCACTTTGTCGTGAATATCCTAACGGAACACTTGTATGGTCTCGACGGCACCCTCCAGCAGGTAGATTTACTGTGGACTGGTTTTCAAGAAGGACGGAATCCAAGTTGGGGGTGATATTATTACATTCTTCGGCACATCTTTGAAGCAAGCGAGAAGCAAAAGAAATGGGTTTATTAGCCTAGGGGAGGGTTCTGGGTATTTGATAAATACTTGAGCCAACTCTTGCATGGAGCGAAGCGTCAACAGGGGGTGGCGTCAATATGGCTTCCGGACGTGGGACAAAAGGGGCAACCAGCCTCGTTCCTTTCCGTTCTTTTCTTTTTTCGTTATTCTCGATTGCCAATGCCCTACCTAGGTACATTTACCTAGGCCATAGCATGGAAAAACTACTACCTCGTACTAATTATACTATACTTTAGCTTCGCTCAACCAGGGTAACATGTCAAGTCCTCGCCGCCGCTACCAGCTCGTCGACCGTCTTCATCGGCTTGTCGTTGTTCTCGCCGACGTCGAGCGGCACGAGGATCCGACTGACGGCGTTATACCCGGCGACGACGGTGGCCAGCTCGAGGATCTCGCGGTCGTTGAAGTGCGCCTTGAGGGCCGCGAAGGTGTCGTCCTGCACCTTGACATCGACCGTGGCTTCGTCCGTGTATCCCAGCACCGCGACCTCTTTCTCACTCAGAGCACCCCCCGCTGCTGCCGACCTGTCCGCTCCCACGGTCCCTTTCGGCGCCGCGCGCGCGACCTCCAGCGCCTGCGGAGACAGACCGGCCTTGAGGGCCAGCGCGGCGTGGATGTTCCACTCGTAGACGGCGCCCGTGAGGATGGCGACGCGCGAGACGGCCAGCTCGAGCAGCGACTGCGGCACGATGGTCTCGGTGCGCAGCGCGCCCACGAACGCGTTGTACCCGTTCGCCACGGGCGGCGAGTGCAGCAGCGTCAGGTCCAGGGGGATCAGAGGACGGGGTTTCCGTCGCGCCTCGATGCGCGCGTATATCTCCGCCACGGACGGCGGGGAGTCCGCTGGTGGGGTTGAGGGCGCGTAGGGGAGGCGCATGCTGCTGGTGATAATAGTGGTGGGTAATGACTGGGCTGGTCTCTAGTAGATGTACTCTGGAAGGGAGAAAGGAAGGCCAGATACAGAGGGAGAGGGAGGGGGAACCAAAAAAAAATGGTGGAAATGTGAGAGTAGAAAAACCTGGGTGTAAGTACCTGCGGGGTTCCAGCGTCTATTATATATACGTCTGTGAATGATTTTTCTGCGCTCCCGCTCAAAGCCCGGGATCGTGAATCTCAGATCGACAGGTACATCTTTACAGAATAGAACATCACAATCGAGAAATGGGAAATAGGCGGAGCATTTGGGATTAAAGTAAAGAGCAGTCCCAAGTTGTTCTCCCGAGAGCACACCCGCTTTTGGACACAGCGCATTAAGCTCTGAGGGATCGCTTTACCCAGTCATGGTGTTCATATATGGTATTTCCAGTATTCAGTACAGCTACAGGGACCACTGGAGTGCTGACGCTCCGTTTTTACGGCGTCGAGGGCATTCCGAAACGCCCCCCTGTCTGGGGCAATCATGCATTCAAGAGAGAAAAAAGAACAAAACGCCACAAACCCCCTCTCGCTCAAAATGCCTAAAACACGGTATGAACCCAGCCCGCCTTCTGGCCAGGCTTCAGGGGAGCCAGCGTCACGTTGTACTCCAAATCCAGTTCGGCCTTGGGGTCCTTGGATGGCTTGAAGTCGAGCAACAGGTCGTCCTTGACGGCGCAGACCGAGTCGCTTGTGACGTAGGGGTCGTCTCGGGGGTATAGCTGGGTGGTCAAAGATTTGTAGCCGTCGGCACTGACCATGAGATGGATGTGGGCTGGTCTCATGGGATGGCGGTCCATGAGGTTCAGCAAGACGCCAGCGGGACCGTCGGTGGGGAGCGAGTACGCGGTCGGGTGGTAGCAGTAGTAGTAATATTCGCCCTTGTCGTTGGTCCTGAACTTGCCGCGCAGGTTGTTGACGGACTGGTCATCGTCCTGGAAATCGTACTTGCCGTTCGCCGACGCTTGCCAGATGTCCACGATGGCGTTGGGAATGGGCTTCCCGGTCTTGTAGTCGCTGACCACGCCGTGCATGAGGGTGACTTTGCCGGTTGGGTATGGGTCCTGGACAATGCTGTCGCCGAGCTCCCGGAATGGAGCGTGGGGGCTCCAGAAGGGGCCCAGGATCGTCGACGACGTTGGCGTTTCGTCACTGTCGAGCATGATTTTGTTGGCCACCTCGTCGACCAGTCTGCAATGCGGCGTGATTAGCTCTCAAAGTTTGCACAGTCAGGGAAAATCTTCACATACGATTCAATGCCGAGCACATCACAGATTCGCTGTCCCTCGTTGCGCTTGGAATCGCTGATCTGGCCGATGGCGTTGACAAACTGGACGCCTCGCATCCACTCCTCTGGCGTCAGCTCTGTCTCGCGGATAAAGTCGTGGAGATGCCGGATCAACTTTGCCAGGACAAATCGAGCTCTGTCGGGGGTCTTGGGGCCCATTGCGTTGATGAGACTGTCGGTGAAGTTGGGATCATATTTGTGAGCTGCCGCGTGCCCGTTGGTGGCTCCGTTCGTGTGCCCATTCAGGTTGACGGTCGTCGAGTTCTCGACAACGTTCTGGAACGACATGTTGGAGACAAAGGGTGTATAAAATCTCTCTGGGGTTTCTGGTTAAAAAGAAGGCGGCGGCACAAGGGAAAAGTGGAAGAAGCTCTGAGACGTGATGTAGGCAAGAAGACTTGTGCCAGTCTCGGGGCCATGGAGGCAGTATATAAGGGCCTGTCATCACAGGGAATGACCAACACCGGCAGCAACAGTCGGCTCATTCCGTTCAATTCGTCACTCCGCTCAGCGACTTCAATTCTGGGGAAGCCATGGGTGTCGGCATCCTGCTGCCACCGAACTGCCACCCACTGGACCAATTAGGCGAGCGTCAAGTCTAAGCAGGGCCGGCATCATAGGGATCATCATAGGCTGACTGGGCTGAGCGATGAACCATTTGTCGGCAAGTTCGTGCCGCCCATCGCCCGCTGTGTGCCTGGAAAACACGGTAGTTGAAGAACTGCAGGTCGCCATGTCTTTCCGGCAATCAAAGTCGGCATCTGAGATCTCGTATGCGGGGCGTTTCCCGGGGCTGGTCTAACAGCGTTCGCCACTAGGATCCCCACGCATGACAGAGCCTGACACAGCCTGACAGAGAGGTGATCTGGGTTCGTAAGGCATTCTCCCACGACGGTGCCCAAGATGAAACACCATCTGATGATAGGCACATGGACGCCGCCCGGTGCCATCTTCACTGTTGAGTTCGACGACGAAGCATGGACCCTGAAGTTGGTCAAGAAAACAGCCATCCCCGCAGACGAACCGATATCATGGATGACATTCGATGTGAGTGCACTATACAGAAGTTTGCTTTGTTGAAAATAATTTCTCGGAGCAGCATGCGCGGCGGAACATCTACGGAGCTTCGATGAAGAAATGGTCCAGCCATGCCGTCAAAGCACCAGACAACATCTCACACGAGGTTTCGCACCCGATGAATCATGACCGTATGTTGGCCAACCTCCTCCAGGCTTGACACCGCGCTCACACGACAGGGCAGCTCGGGCTCAGAGCGCCGACACCCGGACCAGAGCCATCTTTGTGCTCGCAGCCAAGAAGCCTCCCTATTGCGTCTATGGCAATCCCTTCTACGAGCATGCTGGATACGGCAATGTCTTCTCCGTCGACGACCAGGGCAAACTCGACAAGAACATCCAAAACTACGAGTACAGCGAGCAGTCCGCCATTCACGGCATGGTCTTTGACCCGACCGAGGCGTATCTGTATTCCGCCGACATGTGGGCCGACAAGATTTGGACGCACAAGAAAGCGAGTGATGGCACCCTCACTTTGGTGGGCAGCGTCGATGCACCCTCGCCTGGCGATCACCCTCGATGGGTCGAAATCCACCCCAGTGGACACTATCTCTACGTGCTGATGGAAGCCGGAAATAGGCTGGGGGTCTACGTGATCGACGAGACGACGCACCTACCCGTCTTCACCCACGACATTTATCCACTTGTTCCTCCAGGTACGCGCTGGGTGCAAGCCAAATAAGACTCCATAGGGAGCTAACGAGAACCAGGAGTCCGAGACCTCAAGAAGATGTACAGGTCGGATGTGGTCTTCTGTTCACAGAGTGGCAAGTATCTTTTTGCAACCGCCCGGTCCAACTCGTTCAGCGTGACCGGCTACATCAGCGCCTTCAAGCTTGGACCACAGGGCCAGATCCAGAAACAGCTATGCATCAGCCCGACACCGAATTCCGGTGGTCACTCAAACGCGGTGAGTCCTTGTCCATGGACGGACGAGTGGTTGGCTTTGACGGATGATCAAGACGGATGGGTGGAGATCTACCGCTGGCACGATGAGTATCTTTCTAAGGTTGCTCACTTGGACATCAAGGAGCCCGGCTTCGGCATGAATGCCATCTGGTACGACTAGTTCTTTGGAGCCGCCGTTAGCATCCTAGACTGTACGTGTAAATATGCCATACGAATTCTCCATGTCTCCCCCTCCTGTTCACGCTACTTGGCGGATAAGAACTTTTCCGCCGCCATCTGACCTAGCCTTGCCCCGCGGGAACAGATCCGATGCAGTTTGTACCTGATACGGGGGATCGTAGGCAGAGGCATCGAAGCTCGGCAAGTGTTTCTCACACTAGGCACACCTCTTCCCGGAAACCTCTAGCCCTCCATTCATTGGCTTGCCGTGACGCCCTCGAGGATTTTCATCCATACCGAGCAACCTACTCTGTGAATGCCCACAAGCTTCTCCAGAGCAATTGAATACTCGACTGTGTTTCGTGGTGCCACCTAATCGCGAAAGAGGCCAAAGATAGAGTCAATAACCGCCGGTGAACAAAATCCCCCACCTTTGGTTGTCACGGTCTGGCCAAGGGCGACCTCCTGGAAGTGACAGTCTCTTCCCATCAAGTTGGGTTTGGTTCAGTATCAACAGGGCCTCGTGGGTTGCCCGTCATGGCCTCGCCCAGCCCGGTTCGTGGGCTGCTGTTCGTGACCATGCAGCCCAAGGAAACCTTGTCGCTCGATCTCTTCCACGACTGGTACAACAATGAACACGGACCTAATCGAACCCGCCTGTCGTTCATGCCCAACGGGTTTCGGTATCGAGCAACAGACTTGCCAGGACCAAACGCCGGCACGCGCGCCGATCCCGAGTTCCTGGCCATCTACGATGCCACCGACATGCACCAGTTTACCCAACAACCGTACCAGTATCTGCGAGCGCCACCAGGCAAGTCGCAGCGAGAAATCGACGTCATGGCCCAGATCTGGGTGGATCGGTTGACGCTCGATTTTGTCGGCGAACAGGTCAACGACAAGACCTTCGTGAAACTCGAAGCACCAGAGCATTTTCGCGAGAACGAAGAGGGCAATGTCCTGACCACGCTCAGATTGCTCCTCGCTCCCGAACAAGTCTCGAGCGTGGAGAACTGGATCCATACCTCTGTCCTCCCAAAGGTGCAAGACATCCCGGGCTGGAGGAGGACATCGTGGTTCAAGACGTCCTATCTCGAAACTCGCGAAGACGGCAAGGTCGATTTTGTCCTGATCAACGAATACACGCCGTCCACTGACCCCAAGACGTTACCCTCCCTGATCGAAACTCTTCCCGGGGAGGTTTCGCAGAGCAAGGCACGCACATACGAACTCTTCTACACCTTTGGCACCGCAGCACGCCACCTGGCAATCGTGGCACCGTGGACGTCGCCGGACGGAGTTACCACCACGCTACCCAAGGTCTCACCATACGGCTCAGCAATAGAGTCGACCATCACGACACGCGACGGCGCAGTCCTGCCCTTCCGGCTGGAAGGCAGCTCTGACCCCAACGCACCAATGTTGGTGCTGGTCAACTCAGTCCTCACGACCTGGGGAATTTGGGACAGCTTTCTCGTGCACTTCTTTTCTCGCCCGCAGAACCAACGATACCGCGTCCTGCGGTTCCTGGCCCGCGGTAGGGTCACCCCGAGCGGGACGACCAGCCCCGTGACCGCGGACCTACAAGCTTCCGACGTCATCCAGCTGCTTGACGGCCTGCGCGTCCCTCAAGCAGCCGGCCTGGTTGGCGTGTCCATGGGCGGGGCCACCGCGTTGGCAACAGCCCTGCTCTACCCTTCGCGGATCCAGGCCTTCATCGCATGCGACACATCGGCCAAATCGCCCGCGGGCAACAAAGACACCTGGGGTCAGCGGATCGCTGTGGCGAAGAAAGAGGGCACGACGCTGCGCCTGGCCTCGCTGTTCGGCGACGAATCCCCAAATGCCAGCCCGCAGCCCGTCGTGGGCGAGCAGCTCGCCGAGATGACAGTGCGGCGATGGTTCGTGCCGCAGTCGTACGACAACCCAGACCTGGTCCCCGAAATCGCGCGCGTCAAACGCATGGTCTACACAAACTCGTTGCCCGAGTTCCAGCGCGGCGTCGAGACCCTGTTCAACTACGACTACACGCCTCTCCTGGCCGGGTACCAGGGCCGAGGCGGCTTCTTGGTCGGCGCCGGCGACGGCGTGCTGCCACAGGGCATGGAGAAGCTGGCGAAAGAGCTGGGCTCGGCACATGGCAAGACGGCCGCCTTCAAGCTCGTCGAGGGTGCCGGCCATTTACCCATGGTCGAGAAACCCGCCGAGGTGGCTGACTTTGTGGGAGACTTTTTGAACAATACGTAAGACCCTGACTTGCTCTTTAGACGCCTGGCAAGTCGAACAATATATGAATCAAGAAACATTTTTGGGTTGCCACAGATAGCCTCGCCATGCCATTGACAGCAGCATACGGAAGGCTCTGGCACTCGTTCCTGGGTCTCTCTTTAAGCGCAACAACGCATCTTCTTGCTTGCCTCTTTTTTTCATCCTTGTCGCGGTCGCGGGTTGCTGTCGTCCTCGTCTTCTTTTCCTAGCACTGGTGATGCCATCAAAGCCCCGCGTGAATATCTTGGCCAACTGCACGATAGGTGGTTTTAGAAAGTAAAGGGTGAGAAGATAGGTGAATAGAAGGGCGAGACGGACGAAGAGACGCGTGAGTCGAGATGCCCGTATTTTCGAAAGCGGCACGGTCAGGCAAGTCCCCAATTGAACCCACCAGGTACCTCTATTTGCTCGAGAACGAAAAACCTAACTCCCAGAATGGTTGCTGTCTTTGCCTCTCGCGCCAGCCTCGTCTACGGTACACAGCCGTTATCTCTCGAGTTTTGCCAGGAAATCCAAAACATGGTTTGTTTCTGTCTAAGCTACCACTGTCGCCAATAAGCTGGGCGTCGTGTAACAGGTGTTTAGAAAGCGATGGGGAAGGGCAAGCCAAACTTCGAAAGAACGGATACTGTATGAAGAGTTTGTAGTAAGGCTGGTTACATGCACCACCTAGGTATACAGCGAATCATCGAGAGGGAGTTATCAGTACGGTACTTAGGTATGATTGTTACCGTACAGTGTTGGTAAGGATCAATTGTTGTTGTCACGCATCACAGCCTAACCACCACTCCTGACGTCCTCATTCTTCTTCTTCGTCGTCGTCGTCGTCCTCGGCTCCGCTGTTTGCTCAAAAGAATATTGATCAATCCGATAGCTATACAGTGTTCGATCTCGCATCAAGAATCTTCAGATAAACGCTTCCGCTTCCCAACGCCCCACCTACTGCTTAGACGACAGCGAAGCGCGGCCTTATTCAATCCTACCAGCAATGTCGCAAGATAACGCAAAGCCTACCCTACGAAAGCTCTCAGATGAGGGCCTCGAGAAGCTCAAAGAGCTAGAGGGATTTAAGCCGTTCCCTTCGCCAGATGGCAAAAATGGATATAGCGTGGGATATGGGATAAATTCGAATGGGCAGCCGAAATTATACCATGAGGCGGTCGCCCAAATCAAGAAGACGGGTCGTGGCCTTACAAAAGAAGAAGCAGAGTCTTACACGAAAAGAGCTATGCCAGAATATGAACGATCCGTGAGGAACTTGAAGAACTCTGAGAACCTTAAGCAGTGCCAGTTTGATGCAGTTTCTATGTATAGCTATCCCTCGAGACTTGGTACCGGCTGAGCTGACTGGCTTCTAGCATGACTTATAATAAAGGGGGATCTGGCATGCGCCGGAAGATTCGAACATTCATAGAAGACGGCGATATGAAGGCTGCCTACCATGCAATCCTGAATGACGATACGAAGGGAAGTGGTGGGGAAAACCTCAGCAGCCGTAGAGCGAAGAGGCGACTCTCTTCGCCAGGGACGGCCTCGTCGACCCCGTTGAGATCCCAACTCAGCGCTTGGAGGGGTCTGGTATGAATACGGACTCGGCCACTGCATCGCCCCAGACTCTCCAGAATGAGTCTAGACGCGAAAACCCTAAACTCCCTTGGGAAAAGGATGGCTATAGCGGCAGAACACCAAGTAGAAGGGTTGGCGGTGGAGATGTGTTCGGGTCAGTGGCAGTTGGCGGTGCTCTCGGTGCAGCTGTTGGAGGAGGAGGTACAATCGCCGTGGGCAGCACCACCGTGACAGTTGGTGCTGTGGTGTCGTCGACTGGAACCCAAATCGCCGTCTCAGTGGCTTTCTTGAACCCCTTGGTCGCCCTGGGAATTTGGGGCACGCTTGTTGTCGTTGGCATCGGCGCTGGTTATGTTGCTGCGTGCTCGAAGGGGAAAAACAAAACCAAGATGACAGCCTAAGCAGCGTTTCTCAGCCCTCACCAAAAACGCAATAACGTCGAGATAGAGCGGGCGACGGAATGAGACCTCCTAGTATCTCGAACGGGTGACGTCGTCTAAAGTTGACGAAAGTTACCTAGGTAGTGTTGAGAATGATAGGGAAGAAAGGACTAAGTAACTCAGGCAGCCCTCCAGGGACCGCTCAGGGATAATCAGACCGGGACGGCGGAGGAGAAGGTTTTCGTCAGGTTGTGGCGCCAAGACTTGTAGAGACGCGACCTGCGACCCCCTCACGCGTTGCCCGCTCACGCTTTGCTTTGATTTCCTTTTCTTGAGCATCACCATGTCCACAGTGCTACTTCCACACGTACAGTGCCAATGACAGGCTCTTCCTTCCTGTATTCTGCACAGCCATTTCCATCTTCCTTCTTCTAGCCTTCCTGCTTTTCATGCTACTCTCCAGTCTCATCCTGCGCTCCCCGACCCGTGTCTTGAGATCTCCAAAGTCCTTCGTCAATGCTATCATGCTTGCCCGGGAAGTCAACAGACATGCATCCTCAGCATCTAGTGAGAAGAAGCAATCTCCTTTGCAGTTCAGTTCATCCGCGGTCAATGCTCCCCGAGATTCCTCGTCGGGTTCTTTGAAGAGGAAGCTGGATCGGTCCATGAGCACTTCCAGCAACCTGGGCTCTCTTCACCAGCAACAGTGGTCCGACGAAAACGCTCCTCCCAGCTTCATTGACCTGACGGAAAATGTCGAAGCACAGTCCGACGTCCAATACCCTGATATGCATTCGATAGACCCCCTGACTTATCCTTCATTGCCGCCAGTCCCAAAGGGCTCTCCAACTGCACCTGCGAGTAGCGCCGAAGTCCCATGGTCGTCATCGCCAGCACATCATTATGAAAACCCAGCCACACGGAATCTGTCAGAAGATGAGCCGGAGTCCCGGCCAGTGGGACCAAACAAGAAAAGAGCACTGCCCCGGTCGTTCACGTCTCAAGCACCAGCTGCATTCAGCGATGAAGGAAGCACGGCGCAGGGCGAGCATTCCCACAAATTTGATAGATTCAGTGCGCCAAAGCAATTCGAGAATGCGAGCAGCCGTGACAAAGCGTCCCTAGCCATGTCGGACATGTTACAGAAGTCATCATTCGCTCGTCATCGAACAAATGCGACAGTTTCAAGGTCCTCGTCTGATCGCTCGGCTCTGACGGCGACAACCCCAGTACCGGCCGCAACACCGCCGATAACGTTTGACAGAGTGTCGGAACCTTTCTTGAGTGATGAGCAGAAGGCTGTGGTGAAGGCAGTCATGGACGAAGGGAAGAGCGTCTTCTTTACTGGGTCTGCTGGTACAGGAAAATCAGTTCTTATGAGGGCGATTATTTCCAAGCTGAAGCACAAGTATCGGAAGGACCCTGACCGGATTGCAATCACAGCTTCGACCGGCTTAGCTTCGTGCATACTGGAAGGCCAGACGCTCCACAGTTGGTCGGGAATCGGGCTGGGAAAGGAGCCTGCGCCTGAACTCGTCAAAAAAATCAAACGCAACCAGAAGTCGAGACAGAAATGGCTGCGGACCAAGGTTCTCATCATTGACGAAGTATCCATGGTCGACGGTCTGCTTTTCGACAAGCTCGAGCAAGTGGCGCGTACTATTCGAAACAACGGCCGTCCATTCGGTGGTATTCAGTTGGTTGTTACTGGAGACTTTTTCCAACTACCCCCTGTACCTGACAAAAATACTTCAGCCAAATTTGTCTTTGAGGCAGTAACGTGGAACACCTGCATCCAACATACCATCCTGTTGACCCATGTATTCCGCCAGAAGGACGAAAAGTTTGCCAAAATGCTCAACGAAATGCGTCTGGGCAAGATGAGTCCTGCCACTATCCGAGAATTCAAATCACTTTCGAGGCCCTTGGATTTTCGCGATGAGCTTGAGGCAACTGAACTGTAAGCTTTTTCCGCCCAGGATCTGCCAACGCGCTAACAGTGCACAGGTATCCTCGCCGTGAGGAAGTCGAAAATGCCAATCAGAATCGAATGCGAAAGCTGTCCGGTCAAGTCATGACTTTCACAGCCGTAGATACAGGCACGGCTGAACTTAACACGCGAAAGGCGTTGCTGAACAACTTTATTGCCCCTGAGGTATTGGAGTTGAAGAAGGGTGCGCAAGTCATGTTGATCAAGAATATTGATGGCCAACTCGTCAATGGATCCCTTGGAATCGTCCAGTCGTTCATGGATGAAGGCACATTCTTCACCTACAAGGATGACGAACCGACATTCCTCCTAGCACACGAGGCCGATGACGGACACGATGAGGGTGAGATAAAGGCAGCACGTGAGAAGATCCGGGAGGCTCGGCTGAAGAACTCGACCACGGGCGGCGAGCCTAGGAGGCTGTGGCCCATGGTGAGATTCAATCTACCTGATGGGACATCAAGGAGTATGCTCTGCTGTCCGGACGAGTGGAAGACCGAAGCGCAGAACGGCGAAGTCCTTGCAAAACGAGTTCAAGTACCTCTAATTCTAGCATGGGCATTGTCGATTCACAAAGCACAGGGCCAGACGCTTAGCCGAGTCAAGGTGGATCTCGGCAAAGTTTTTGAGAAAGGCCAAGCCTATGTCGCATTGAGTCGAGCAAGAACAAAGGAAGGCTTACAGGTGCTTCGGTTCGATGAGCGGAAAGTTATGGTCCATCAGAAGGTGTTACATTTCTATTCCAAGCTGTCTGGCCATGAGACGTTGGAGAAGAAGGAAGTCAAGAAAGATGTGATCGACGAAGATGACTTTGGTGACGACTTTACCTTCGAAGAGATGCTCGAAGCTGAGAAGCAGATGTTGAGGGCCGGTGCCTTGTAGCAACATAGTCTGCCTATGTGGACGGGCTAAAGCCAGGGCATGGGAAGCATGCTGAAAAGACATCTCATCGAGAGCCCAAGGGGCGGAGCACCAAGTGACATTAACTAGCCTGTAGAAATTAGATGTGAAATACAGTCTATGATGAACTTCGCGATCGTGTCTGGTGGTTCAGCCTTGGATGCTCGTGTGAGATGATGACGAAAGAGGAAACTCCAAACTTTACTCACTTTCCGGCAACGCCAGGCACGGAACTGAATTGACAAGCCCCTCAGACAGAAAACATTCTTGACCGCGGCCGATTTCCAAGTCTTGATCTCATCTCTTCAGGTCTCGTACTTATTTGATCTTCTTTACTCCACCGTGAGCAACATGACCATATAGAGCTGTCCCATCCCCATCTGCTGCGCTCGTTCCTCCCTTACCATGGCATCCGACTTCGTCGGCTACACCATCTTGGTCACGCTACAGAATCCTCCGCACGCTCAGATCCAGGGCGTCGTGGCCAATGTCGTCAATCAAAAGCTGTTCCTGCAGAATGGTAGGCTGGATCCCGTTCCAACTCGCATTGCTAACCTGATCTGCAGTACTTCTATGGAATGGCCAGCGACTCCCCTCGTACGCCATCGACTCCTCCGCTATTGCAGATCTTGAAGTGTCGCCTTCACAACCGCCCGCCGTCGAAGAGGAGGAATTGTCTACACCGGTCGCCGCTGCGCCTGAGCCCCAGAAGACCGCATTTCCACCGGTCCTTCAACAGCAGCAAAATGCGCCCGCCTTTGTCGACCCCGCCATCATCAGCTACACAAAACCACCTAACAAACTTGCACCAACGTCGGCCATCGTCCAGCAGCCGCATCCAGTGTCTCCAATCATGATCGCCGATGGGATTGTGAGCAGCCCGTCAACGCGCTGGCCACACAATGGCAATGCGGGCAATAGCTCTTTGTCGAGTATCGCTACGGCTGTTCCCAGAAAGACGGAGAAGAGGAATACACCTGCCAGTGCCACTCTGACGGAGCCGTTTGATGCGTTAAATCTGGGGAGCAATGTTGCTGCCGCCAAATCCGCGCCAGTGGCACCCAGCGAAAAGAAGGCTACTCAATTTGTACCGTCGCAAACAGCGCCGGGCATCATCGACATGAAGGATTTTAATCATGGTCCGCTCAAGGGGCAGAAGAAGACGGGAAAGGGCAAAGGCTGGCGCCAGACTCCCTTTATCGAAGAGGTACCTCGACAACCTAAAAAGAAGCCACAGAGGGGTCGGAAAGCCGCGGAGGAGGTCAATGGCTGGGCTACAGAAGATGCTACTGACATCCAGGATATGGGCGACTTTGATTTTGAGTCAAATCTATCCAAATTTGACAAGCGTCGGGTCTTTGATGACATCCGGCAAGCCGATACCACCGCTGACGCTGACCGGCTCGTGAGCTTCAACCGCAGAGCTCGACCTGGGACTAATGGAGGCCGAAACCTGCATTTCTCCGAAAACGTTTTGGACACGCCAGACGGGAAGGACAAAGATCGATGGAAGAGTGAAGCCGGAGAAACCGAGGAAGAGTCGATTGGAGGAGAAGGCCATTACAGCAGCGGGCGAGGATCCAAGAGAGCCGGCTCCCGAAAGCCCCTCGGGTCGAGAAAAGGCAGTGTCATACCTCCACACCTTGACCGAACAGAATCACCCCGTCCTTTAACTCGAATGCAAACCTCATCGCCTCTCAATGGATCGGTGTCCGGCAATCGTGGTACCTTCAAACTCCTCAACAACAAGCCCTGTCACTGTCTCTCACCGCTGCAGATGCTTGAGATAGAGCAGCTCTGCACTTCGGAGCTTGGCCTCACCGAAGACATGCTTTCGGAGAATGCTGGACGGAGTCTAGCCATGGCGGTGCTCAAGATCCCCGAGGTCAGAAGTGTGGTGTTCTTAGTGGGCAATCACAAGTCTGGTGCTAGAGCCATCGCTGCAGCCAGGCATTTGCGAAATCGAAGGCTTCGCGTGACCATTGTCATCCTTGGTGGTGAGCGTGAAGAACTTCTTCTGGAGGTTATGAGGAAACAGCTCAGCATCTACCAGAAGGGACAAGGTTACGTGGACCGCTGGGATGAATACCAGACCAAAGCCAGCGCAGGCGGACCTACTCCGGACGTGATTGTGGATGCTTTGCTAGGAGTGCACGTCACATTTGAAGAGCTACGGACCGATGACCAAGCAACTGTCCTGGAAATGATCCGCTGGGCCAATCGCAGTTCCCTCGTCCTCTCGATCGATGTGCCGAGCGGATTATCTGCCACGTCGGGCCTGTTGACGGAAGTTGATGGACAGCCGCTGGTCATGAACAGTAAGCATATCGTCAGTCTCGGGGCACCGAAAACGGGGCTGCTATATGGAATGTCTCATGATGGAGTCACGGAGCCTACTTGGCAGGTCTGGGTCGCAGATATCGGCATCACGGCTGCGGCGTGGCAGAAGCACGGGTCTCGAAGAAAACACGGCACTGACTTCGGCACGGAATGGGTGGTCGCTGTGAAGTATGTGTCGGGCTTACAAGCTTGACGTGGAGTGACGAGAGGTTCGAAGGAGGGCCATTGAAGCCTGGATGAGGGTTAGAGGGAGTCATCTATGTCTGCATCTTTTATTTGCTGCTGCGTTCAAGCGATTAACTCACCAAAAGCGTACATTATAGGGAGGTATTCGTGGATAGCTTTTGCTTTGGTGGTGAAGACAGTGCTCTCTCTTTGTGCTTTTCAGAGTGTAGCAAGGGTAGTGTTCTTCGATTTATCCACCTCTCGAAAATGGAGCTTTTCAAGGCATGGTTTTGCTCTCGCTGTCTGTTGCTTCCGAAGCGGCCAAACTGAATCTGACTCGAGGTCTCTAGATCAGCATATGTATGGCTAACGTTCGTCATGCAGATTTGATTATCTGCTCGCGTACTGACTTAGGTACTCTGCAGGGGAGGACGGAGTAGTATGGAATGACTCTTGCAAGCCAGTTAACGTTCCAGATTGAGTGAGGGACGAGAATTGACTGATGAACACGGAAAAAAAAAAAGACAGGGGAAGGACGGGGACGAGGACAAAGAGACAGAGACAGATGAAGATGAAGATGAAGATGATAAAAGACAACGTATTGCCAAACCCCATGTTGGTTGCCATTTACAATGGAAGCAAAGCAATGAAAACGCCGTACTTGATCAATCACCATGTAAATCCAGAACATGCCAGACCAAATCAAACCAAAATCGGCCCAAGCTGCTGTACTCTGTCCAATTCGCTTTGTGTCGTGTCGATATATGTGAATAGTGCTGTAGGATAATGACCTGGGCGTAAGATGTGGTGGAGGGAGGGGAGACGAGGATGAGTTTCCTGAGCTCTCTTTGCCTCTTTTCTCTTCCGTTCTTTGTGTATCCGGCATCCCCCATCTTTCTCTTCTCGTGTCTTTTTGTTATCGATATCCCTCGATATTGCGACAGCTTCTATCGGAAGGGAAGACTCTTCTTCTCTTCGATCTCGACTCGTTTCCAGGGCAGCAGTAAGACCAAACCAAAGAGTTTACTGATCGCTCAAAAACATGGAGACTGGACACCTGAGCCAACACAAAGCCCCGAGCTTCGACCGGTCACGAATACCCAAGGTCCTTCATCCCTTTGTACCACATCTCCTTGAACCGCCCGTGCGCCAGCCGGTGCGACTTGTCCGTCGTGGCGCGGATGTAGTAGCTGAGCATGACATTGCACCTTAATTCGTTGGTTTCGTAAAAGTTGACCACCCACCCTTTGCCGTCGCTTGCATCCAGCGCCTTGACGTCGCGCGACTCTGCAACTCGAATACTGAAGCGGCCGTAGATAGTCACGCCGGAGCCCGGGTTGGTGAGAGCCTCCATGCCGTCCTTGGTGCGTCGGATCGCGCTGTAATATGTGAGATCTGTGCTATACCCCGGAAGCACGTTGAGTTTGTCCGTGATGGCATAGTGCTGGAAGTCCTCGGTCGCGTAGTCGGCGTTCAGGTCGACCTTGAAGTCCTTGGAGAGAGCCATGTGGTCGACGGCTTTGGGGTCTGAGGCGGGAATATTGACCACGTTTGTGATCAGCGGGTTCAGTCGGGCCATCAGGACCGGGTCGGAGCACATCTTGAGAGCGAGTTCGAAGCCCGCATCCAGCACGTCTTGAGGGGTCTTTCCCTCTGGCGGCGCGGGCAGGACCAGATCGGTGATCCAGCCGGATTTGAAGGTTGTTTGCATGAAAGACATGGTTTCGATGAACGATTGAATCTGCAACGGCGTGTGTTTGTGTTGGATGGGCACTCCGTAGTGTGTGCAATGGACTGGAGGGTATTCGCAGTGAGGTGATAATAATTAATATGAACCTGTCCAATGCCACTTGAAAACGAGCGGGCGGAGTCCGAACGGCCGCAAACGAACAAAGCGAATCCAAAAGCCACCAAGTCCTTGCAGTGATCTGCACACACTCGCTAATCGTCCTTGCAGGTTGCAGAAGTTGGTATTACACAATATAAGAAAATACAATATCAAAAACGACAAGAATCGTGATCGTGATGGAAGAGCGACGTCGTCGACGTGCAGGATTTCAATCAAATTCGTTTTGGGGGAGTAATCGTAAGCGTCGGGGAAGTGGTGGCAGCCCCAAGCAGCTGGCCGCCCCCAAGCCACTTCAGAAAGTCCAGGATGAATACGGTTATGAGGAGAGTAGCGAGTAGTTGGCGAGGCCTCGTCGAGAACAAGAAATGTACTGTAGGTACCTAGGTAGTATGCGGGTAGAAGAGCACAAGGAGGATTCCCAAAAAATGCTCCCCGTGCCTAGGTAATCATGAGCATTGAAAACTGCGGCTTCAGGAAACCGTTTAGAGCTGCTGAGGCTGTCGAGTGGCGTGCGTTGCGGACTTTCAGCCGCAAATGCAGCCACGGGAGCTGGAGGTGGAATCAAAGTGCTTATGGTTTCTTATTTGTCTGATGGATGTTTAGGCCAAGGATAGTTTAGGACGAGGGGCGCAAAAATGAGATGGGAGTGGGAGTGGGAGTGGGAGTGGGAGGAGGTTGAACAGCTACGGGGTGTTTTTGTCTGACAGATCGAATTTAGAGCATCGGTCCAATAAAAACCCGGGGCCCGTGGAAGCAGTCGACTAGCCTCTTGTTATATTCGCCGTCATGACAGCGAGGATTTTCGACTCGTCAATTGACACACGCGACTGACCGACGGTGAGATCTGACTGCGAGAACCACCACATCATCTCTATTATTATTATGATTATTCTCTCTGTTCCATTCCTTCTGCTTCTCTCCTTCTCTCATGCCACCACCATCGCCGCCCCCATCTCTAGACTCCTCCTCCATGCATACTAGTATGTACCTACCTAGGTAGGCACTGCCACTACACTGCTTCCTGCCGCACTCGACTGGTGCTGCCGCCACCAGTCCATCTCCTGCGCGCCGACGCAGCGATCAGTGCATTGCAACGCCAAACAATGACTTCTTTGCGCGCCGTACACAATGACTTCCCAGAAGGGAACAAAAACCCTCAAAGGACTCTTCTGCCTCCCTTTCACTCGATTGTCTCTTTTTTGTCTGCCTTTGTTCGTTGTCCAGTTATGGCTGCTTGTACTTCACAGCCTTGATTCCTCGCTCCACGGTAATTCTCCCTGGCTTTTTAAAAGCTCGAGCGAGCCCACGATCCCTTTCCAGCGGCACCAAACCAGTACCTCGCCATTAGCAAGTTGTTGAGTTTGATAGCAAGGCTCGATTCAACTCTTATTTTGCCAAATTCGCCACCCAGACAGAATGTCTTCTTCGACAAATGCATCAGAGAAACTCCCACTGACCTTCGGGGTTGAAGTTGAGCACATCTTTGGTATCAACAAGGATTTGGTATGTTCCAACCCTGAATACCACTGGTTGTTCCCCCAAAGTTGCACCATTGACGCAAACTCTCCCAATCCTCCAGACTTTGACCCCACGCTGAAAGAGAATAGTGGCCTTCTGCAAGCGGTCAAAATTCTGCGAAGCACGGGTGCTATCCTCAAGCCGATAGTTGACGAGACAACTCTGGAAAGCGACGAGCCGCCTCGCTGGAGCATCATCCCCGACGAATCGGTCGTTACCCCCAACCCGACAGTTGTCCCCATGGCTGAGCAAAACGACGAGGAGCACGGGTCGGACATGTTTTCTGGCTGGACCATGACCCGCGACGGATCGGTCAAATTTCCCAAGAATGCTGAACAGCTCCGCTGGCCAGGCTGGGAGTTCGTGGGATTGGAGCTCATTTCTCCCATTCTCAAGGTTCCCGAGTTTGGCTCGGATCACTTTCAGCTCAATGGCCTCGTTGATGTCCAGAGGTACCTCGGATTCATGAACCATCCCCGGCCAGAGGGCACACCCTATTTCTTCCTGTCTAGTCCAGAGACGGCAGGTGTTCATGTCCACATCGGTTTGCAACCACAACCTGATCGCCAAACTGAGATCCCCGTTGACTTTATACGCCATCTCGCCCTTATCTGCCTGGCTTTCGAGGATACCATCACTTTGCTGCACCACCCGCAGCGTCGCAGTTACACCGGCTCCTATTCTCGTAACCACATCGGAACCAATCGTTTCGTGGGAAGGATGACTCATACGAACCCGCGCCATCATTGCGAGAAAGGACCCAAGTTCTCGCCCGAGGATGCCTTCCTTCGTATTTTCCTAGCCTCGGATATTGAGGAACTGGCGGACTTGTTGACAACTGTTCCTCTTGAAGACGACGAATACGGCTACATGGTCCGACAATGCTATGTGAACTTCTGCAACTGCTTCGGCTTCGAATTCGGTGATGAGGGCAAGAGAACAATCGAGTTCCGACAGCATCATGGCACCTTCAACTCTGAAGATATTACCCATTGGGTCGTTTTCCTCACGGCTCTAGCACGCACGGCGGAGCGCAAAGCGAATGAGAAACCACAAGCTGACGCCCCCTTGCCACCGTCGCTTCTGAAGCATCTCGCTCTTTGGCGAGACTCTCAGCCAGGTACAACGAGGGGGCCGTTCAGCGTGATAGATGCCCCTACTGACGAACTTTGGCAGGACATCCTATCAGACAAGCCACCCGGCACCCTGACAAGGGTTGTTGGAGAGGCGTCCAAGTACAGAGACCTGTTCCAGATCGACAAGAGAAGGTCGCTCCGGGAGCTCTTTGATCTGTTGGACTTGCCTCTGGAGTGTCGGCGCTACTGGTGGGAGCGAGCCAAGCGGTACAGAGTTGAGTGGGCCGCTCACTGGCGAGGCAAAAACACGTGTCGCCTCTATGGCGGCCCCGGATCCTGCAACTTGGAAGACGTCAGGGACTGTGAGGGCTGGGCCGATGGTGAGTTGGATGTTCCACCGTGGGATGTTGACGCAGTTGGTGCGAATGGTGATGGCGATGCCCCTGCTCGTGCTGGTCGATCTCCACCACTCGCAGAATCGTCCAGACTCGCGAACCAGCGTTCAGACGTTGACGTGACGGATGCTGATCCTCTGACAACTACTAACGGGGCAGAACTACCGTCGTCCTCGTCAAGCAGTTCTCGCCCGAATGTCATGTCGATTGCGGCCATCCTCAATCGTCCTGATGTCATGTCCATTGCGGCCATCCTCAATCACCCTGAATCGTCTCTCCCTTGAGAACGTGTGACATGATGGCGTTCACAGGAAGAAGGTGCAACCACCTTGACAAGGTAGGTTTGTCTAGGGAGTTCTGATGAGACAAGGTAGGCAAGGTAAGTTTACATGGGATTTCCTTTATTTTGCGCTGCAGATCAGTTCGAGTCTCTCTCTCTCTTCCTCTCTCCCCTCAAGTAGAAATCAAAGCAGAGATTACCACGAATCAAAGTTTCCAAATCCGCCACCTCCTCCCCCTTTTGCCTTTTTCCGCACGGGTTCCTCGGGCTCGTCATCGACGAACTCGACAATCTCGTCCTCGTCGTTGCCGTACCTTGCCAACGAAGTCTTAAGATACTTGCCCACCTGACCAGTCCCACCACCAGGATCCACCATGCCGTCGTCTCGTATCCTCTTGCCCGTCCAGGTCGTGCGGTCTTCATCCACATCTAGACTTCCTTCGTCGGCGGCGGCGGCGGCTTTTCGTTCCGACTTGTCCTTCTCGGTCCGCTCCGCCTGGTTCTTCTGCTTCCAAAACTCGTCAAACGGATCGATTAGCACCGTTGCCTCGACGATTTTGATCTCGTCCTTTGGCCGGTCGGTGCTGTCCACCGGCGCGTTCTCGAGCCGTTTGAGCGTCTCCATCGAGGAGTCGCCTCCGTCGTCGTCTTCCACGACGCGCCCGAAGATGGTGTGCTTGTGGTCCAGGTGGCTGGCGGGTCGGTAGGTGATGAAGAACTGCGAACTGTTTGTGTTCTTGCCCTTGTTCGCCATGCTCAGCACGCCCCTCTTGTCGTGCTTCAAGGGCCCTTCGAGTTCGTCGTTGAAGTTTTTGCCCCATATGCTTGTCCCGCCCCTACCTGTCCCCGTGGGATCGCCCGACTGGATCATGAAGTTTCGGATGTTGCGGTGGAAAATGATGCCGTTGTAATATCCCTTTTGCGCGAGCTTGACGAAGTTCCACACCGCTTTGGGCGCGTGTTCAGGGTTGAGTTCTAAGGTTAGAGGTCCCACGGTGGTGGACAGCCGGACATAGCCCTTGTGTTTGACCCGTCGGGGTTTCAGGATGTATTCTTCGTCGGTCATCGTTGCCAGCGCGTTGGAGGTGTGCGGCGTGAGTCCGGTCGAGGTGAAAGAGGCGGCGGCTTGTCCGGTCGTGTGGCGCGTTGCATTGTAAGGTATTGTTGACTTTGATGACTGGGATGTTGAGGTTGTCTTCTTGGCTGGGTTGGCCGACGTTGACGTTGATAAAGATTTGCCGTTTTGCGAAGTGGCATTTGCTCGCTCGGCTCTAGCCTTCGCGACCGCCTCTTTCGCCTTCATTATCTTCAGATCCGCGGCACTACCCAAGCTGGCGGTGTTGATTGACGCTTCCTCCTTGGGGATTCCTGCGTCTTCCCCGTCTTTTAAGTACTTGAACGAGGTGAGGTTGCGGGACTCAACGTTCTGCGGATCTTGCAGGGTTATCATATCTTTCCTGCTAAACTCTTCGTCCGAGACCAAGTCACGCCACATCTTGGGTTTTATATTCAGTCGCTCGACGGTGTCGTACGCGAAGACATTCGCAGACTCTCCATGGCGGATCGCCACGATGTGCGTGTTGTCCGTAAACACCTTGAACGTGACCGGGTCGACATATTCGTCCCCATCATTCTTCGCAAAGTGCAGCTTTATAAGGTCCTGTTGTTTCAGGGGTTTTCCATTCGTCGGGTTCGTGTCGTGTTTTAGCAGCCACCGTAGAATGTTCTCGTGGTCGAATATGATGCCTTCTGCCGTGCAGACGGGCGTGGTGAAGGGCTGCAGGCTCAGCGCGCAGAAGTTGAACGGGAGTCGTTTGAAGGACGCGTGCTGGGAGGTGTCGGCGCGCACACCGGCGCCGGCGCTCGCTGAGTACGCATCGGACGACGCCCATTCGGAGTGAGTGATCTAGCAGACACCGGGTTGTTAGTCCGGTTGGCTGGCTCCCCGACAGTTGTAAAAGAGTGGCTCATACGTAGAGTTTGTCCGTCCCTGGAAAGGCTCGTCAGCAGGCTGAGGCGAGCGAGAGGAGACGATCTGGATCTGACCTTTGCCCATTGTCTAGTCTGTCTCTATTTAACCGCAGGTTGGGTCAAAAGTCGAGAAGATTGTTCTGCGTGAGGAGAGAAGTGGACGTTGCGGAGAAAAATAAATCGCAAGCCGGGAAAATGTCATCGTCTCCAACCCACCGAGCCACCTCTTTATCACCGCAACTGCCGTTTTGAAACAACCACGAACAATCTATGCAAAATCATATCTGCTGCGACATTTTCCCCTACGACCCAGCTTGGATGATGGGGCAATGTCAATCGCCTCAGACGGAGACGCTGGGCTCTCTAGCATGATTCGCTGACCGTTTCGTGTCCAGCTCCAGCTCTCTACACAGCTGTTTGAGACCTGGGGCTACAGGCAGAAATACGAGCTGTCAGTCGCAGGAAATCGCCTGTAGGCGATCAGTCAGCCTCAAGTTGTTATCTGTCTTCCCATACGGTGTCCCTTGTACAATGGCTTCCTGGCTTCTAAGAGCACGAATCCCGAACTCCAGACGTTTCCGTCACCACCATTCTAGTCTATGATTGTTGTCTAAATCTATCCCGTCCACAATAACGCCAATGATCCTACTAGGGTAGAAGAAGCTATCTCGGCAGACCCAGGTATCTGAGATACTCAGCTGGGCCAGCAGAGTTCCAGACGTCCTTTTCAGAATCCGCGGTGATCCACACAAGCCCCAGCATCGATGCAGAGTTTGCGCCTGCTCCCCTTTCAAGGCCACTGTGCCGGCGAGGAATGAGGCACATCCACTCTTTCACGAGAATCACGTTGTAGTCAGTACCCCCGCCGGCTTCTTTGTGGCTTTGTCGGACCTTTCTGAGCAGCTTTTCATAGGCTTGGATGAGGGTATCCGCGTCACTGTGTGCTGGCAGTCGAAGAACGAAGTGTTTGTGAGGCACAGTCGGAATATCATCAGTGATGCCCACTGTCGACTCAGCAACATGTGGAAAGAGCTGAAAGCCCAGCTCTTGCTCGTCCGGATACGGCCAAAGTTGCATGTGCTTGTGCCCTTGGCTCGATCCTGACTCGAATCCGCAATTGAAGATCATCATGTATCGCTGCTTAAAGTGCTGCAAGACCACCCAGGCGGCCGACAAGTCGCCTCGATCAAGGTCATCCGACTGTGGTTCGAAATGCCTCGTGATGATCAGCAGACCCGGTCGGTATACGCTGAATTTGTTCAAAATTAGGAGGTGGGATGACCCGACTTCCGAGAGGACCTCATCCGGGTTTGGATTGAGGAAGGGATTGTGGCCCTTTCCCGTCTTCCGCTCGGGTGCATCTGATGGCGTGATGGGTTTGCGGCGCAGGTGAGGCACGAATCGAAAATTGAGCTGTGGTCGTCAGAGTGCGAGCGGCTTTTGGGGAGGAAGAACTAGCATGATTTGCTATTCTCTGTTTTGTTCGTCCAGCGGAGGCCGAGCAATGTCACTCACTTACTTTGAATCCCTGGTCTTCCACCGTCTCGGCTGTCGAAGGCTCATAGACCAGTTGTCCTTTGGCTACTAGGTTGTCGAATCTGGCAAGTGATTGTGCTTCTAGGTCTGGTGGAAGTGTCGCGGCGTCTCTGGAACCTGGCCCATCATTCTCGTTTAGGCTGTTTTGATCCATTTCTTTGGTCTTCTTATGTCAATTGTGAGTACCAAAATGATTGGAATTCCTCGCATGCAGCAATAGAGAGCATTTAAACAGAAAAACACCTCTAATTCAGGATCCTGACATCGATATATGAGCACACTGACAAACGAAGGATACAGTTCGCGTTTGCGTTTGATGGCGACTCAATGCCAAGCATGCTTCGCCGTATAAATAAGCTAGTCCCAATTTGGACAAAGCCCTGGAGCTTCCCTGCAGGGTCGTTCGAGGCCATTTTATTTTTCTGGTCCGCATCTGCATTGAATCTGCTCCTGGCACCTTGTATCAACTTTCCATCTTTGCGTGCTGCAGTTTCGGGGATTCTCTTCCTTCCTTTCTTCCATTCTTCCTTCTTCCGGCGTCGCGATGGCCTTCTCTCGCTCGGTCGTTTCTCTCCTGCGCACTTCCCGGCACATTGTATCCCCCGCCCGAGGCGTTAATCCCGTCAACAGAGTCTTCGGCCATGACAGATTCGCCGCCAGAGCATATGCCACCGTTTTCGAGCGGACCAAGCCCCATGTGAATGTTGGTCAGTAACAAGTCTTTGCCTCATGTCTCACTTCGATCTCTGACCGTTCTCCCCAGGTACGATCGGTCACGTCGATCATGGAAAGGTAGATCCCTAGCTAGTCCATTGCTATCGAATCATCGGCTTATCATCGCGCCAGACCACCCTTACAGCAGCAATCACGAAAAGACAGGCAGACAAAGGCCTTGCACAGTTCCTCGATTATGGCAAGATTGACAAAGCCCCAGAAGAGCGGAAACGTGGTATCACGATCGCAACTGCGCACATCGAGTACGAGACAAGCAACCGGCACTATTCTCACGTCGACTGCCCTGGTCACGCTGATTATATCAAGAACATGATCACTGGTGCTGCTCTTATGGATGGTGCTGTCGTGGTGGTCGCTGCTGGTGATGGCCAAATGTAAGATACCTGCATACCCGATCGGCACGTGCATGAGATTGACTTTGTGCAGGCCTCAAACACGAGAGCATCTCCTACTAGCGCGTCAGGTCGGTGTCCAAAAGCTGGTTGTTTTCGTCAACAAGGTCGATACCGTCGAGGACCCGGAGATGTTGGAACTTGTCGAAATGGAAATGCGCGAGCTCCTGTCCTCCTATGGCTTCGATGGAGACAACACCCCCATCATCTTTGGCTCTGCCCTCTGCGCCCTTGAAGGCACCAGACCCGAGATTGGAGTCGAAAGGATTGATGCTCTCTTGGAGGCTGTCGATACCTGGATTCCAACCCCGGTCCGAGACACCGAAAAGCCCTTCCTCATGTCGGTCGAAGAAGTCTTTTCCATTGCAGGAAGAGGCACCGTCGCTTCTGGCCGTGTAATGCGAGGCGTTTTGAAGAAGGACAGTGAGGTCGAGATCGTGGGTGGTCGTGAAGAGGTCATCAAAACCAAGGTTACCGATATCGAAACGTTTAAGAAGTCCTGCGAAGAATCAAGAGCTGGTGACAACTCCGGTCTTCTCCTACGTGGTGTCAAGCGGGAAGACATCAGGCGTGGAATGGTGGTTGCCGTCCCGGGTTCTGCTAAGGCTCACCAAGAAGCGCTTGTCTCGCTTTACATCTTGACAGAGGAGGAAGGAGGCAGAAAGTCGGGCTTCACCGAGAGCTACAAGCCACAAGTCTACATTCGGACCGCAGACGAGGCGGCACAGCTTCTTTTCCCGGAGGGGACTGAGGATCGAACGAAGATGGTCATGCCTGGAGACAACCTTGAAATGGTCCTGAAGACACACCACCCGGTGGTTATGGAAGCTGGTGAACGATTCAACATGCGAGAAGGTGGACGAACAGTCGCCACTGGCCTTATCACCAGGATCCTTAAATAGACCGGAACTGCTTGATCATGTGCAGAAGCGAACAAGAGGTGGGCTACGCTGGCACCGACGCCTTGAAGCTTTGTATCAAAATGTGTCATGTCTTCATCGTGTCATAATTTGGGATGTACATCTTGTCAGGATTTCGGGTCCCGGAATAGGACGATCACGACCGTGGAGCATTGCGATGTTTAGGGAGTCCGAGCTGGGGCGGAAGAAGCCTGCATATACCAACCTCTCTACTTCAATTCCGAAAAGTGTTTAAACATGCTGCCCCATTACATGGATGAGAGTCTTCCTCGTGAACTCGCTCTCTATAGAGACTCGCCCCAGCGACATTGACCATTTCGCCTACATCCAGGGTCATCACTTCAAACCACTCTCTCCTCAATCATGACTTTATTCGAGCCACACTCAGCATTCCTTTGTCACTTAGAGTATTAGCTCTGAAGAATATGATTGCCTGTGCCGTGCTCAGAAGATGTCACCGCTTGTTGCTTTCCAAGACTTGAGGAAACGTAGCCACGGTTTCGTTTCCAAACCTTGCCTTCTGCTTCTGGGAAATTGTTAGTGCGCTAGACGATGAGTAAGGAAAACAACGTCGACTCTAATTTCCCGACAAGTAGGGGAGAGGCAAAGCGTAGTCATGATAGCGGGTTTTCTCCCCGGGCCGACCTGGTCCATTTCAACTTTGTACCAAAGAAAAAGACCGCGCAGTCTCTTAGGACTGTGTTCTTTCGTAAATCGGTCTGAGTCTGAAAACGATCCACTGGAAGCACCATGTGCTCATCATAAGGTTACATTTCATTCGCGGAGGTCGTGCACGACTGTTTGGTGTAGTCCTACATATGTATCTTGGTCCCTTTCTGGTGGCCTTTCAGGTACAGCAGCCCTCTCGCCCCTGTGTGGCTTTTATTGCCTTGATCAGCCATCCGCATACTGTACATTCCTCAGACTGTGTCAGCAGCAATGCCACGGTGATGCCACTTGCTGACACCGCAGCCATGTTAAATCAGGGGCCGTCAGCCTCGTCACGTGCACTCCCCGACGCAGCTTGTAGAGACGCTGGATCATGAGATGTCGGCTGCTTCCTGATCCTTGTAGCATGAAGGTTAATTGTGTCTCATATCGAGTTGGGAGATTTTGTGTTGGATATTCCGCTACGTGAAGATATCAATGAAAAGTTGAGGAGGGCAGAATCATTTCGTACAAAAAGGCAGAGACAATAGAAACATTTTGTATCCGCACATCCATGAGTTAATTTCCCTGTACTGCAGAATCCTTGCGCACGGTACCTTTCAGATCTCCGGAACCTGCTGCGTTGCACAATGGATCCCGCCACCTGTCCTCGGCAACATGTTGATGGGCACCTGCACCACCTCTCTGTCAGGAAACAGCCTCTTGAACAACTCCAAGGCCGCAGTGTCCTGCTTTTCCTGCCCGAATTTGGGCGCGATGACGCCTCCGTTCACGAGGAGGTAATTGGCGTACGATCCGATGACCTCGTTGAACTTGTCTGGTGAGCCGAGTAGTGTTGTGTCAGGCTCCTCGCAGTCGTGGACCGTCAAAGTTCGGCCCTTCGCGTCCCTCGCAGATGTGAGGATAGACCGGGCAGAGTTGTAGACGTCGATTGCAGTGGCATGAGCGTTCGGCCCGGGCTTGCTGAGGAGCACGACTCCCGGCGACGTGAAGCGTGCTAGCGCGTCGATGTGGTAGTCTGTAATGTCGTAGCCCTTGACGCCAGGAATCCAAATGAAGTGCGTGACTCCAAGCTTGTCTTCAAGCTCAGCTTCGGCGTCCGACTTGGAGAGTCCAGGGTTCCGGTTGTCGTTGATGATGCAGCTCTCCGTACCCAGAAATGTTCCTTCGCCGTCGTGCTCGATGCCGCCTCCTTCCATGGTCAGTTTCGAGGATACGGAGGCTTCGTTTGCGTGTGTGGCTATTTGGGCCGCGATGCCCTCGTCGCCAATCGCGGGGAGCTTGCCGCCCCAGTAATTGAAATTGAACTTGACAGCGGTCCGTTTGCCTGTCGACAAGTCTTGCACGAAGACCGGCCCGCTGTCCCGAATCCAGAGCTCGCTGACCATCGCTGGCTTGACTGAGACATTGCTGCTAACCATGGCTGTTGCCTGTGAGATGAGTTCCTCCCGGGCGTAGAGGTGGACGGGCTCGAAGCGGGAGATCGCATTGGCGATGCTTGTCACTTCGGATTGTAGGGCCTCCAGATGCTCTGCGCTTTCTGCCGATTCAATGCTGGGAAAAGCCATCAGGGTGTGTGAGTGGCGCGCTCTTTCCGCTGGCATTCGAAAGCCACCATGATGGTGGGCTTTCGGGGGCTGCTGGTGAGGCTGGTCAGGCATGTCCGAAACGTGTCTTGCAGCCGGCATTCTCGATGGTATTATTGTTGTTGTCGCTGCCCAGGATCTGTGGACTTTTCGACAGAATAATGTCGGTTGAACTTGAGGTGCCCGGTGACTCAGACAAGATATATTCCGAACAAAGGGCAATGTCGACACAGTGTGCATGTTGACTCCGGGAGCAGCGCGATAGAGCGCAACTTGACGCCATTGGCTGCAACTTGGTTGGTGTCTATGCCGCTCGGCTGACCATGTTCAGTGGGGTTTAAATAGCATATCTCACTCAGGGGCTGCGCCGGTAGAACCTTCTGAAAGAGGTTAGACCAGACTAGAAGGTTTTGTACCTCTTTCACTTCGGCTCCATATATCAAAAGCTGTTAGTCTGGAGTGTGATAGCCGTGGACATCAACGCTGTACCGCTGCTTCATGCCATATATGGTGTGTTTCCATCGAGTAATAGGGCAGAAAATGTGGCAGGCTTGAGGGAACAATGTCAAAGGTATGAACCAACGGCCTCCTCCGACTTTAGCTGCAGAATCCTGAAAAATCCTTGCTCTCCCTCCAGTCCTGCAATCTTCAGGCTTGATACTCTCGGGCCCCAGGTTTATCCCTAGATAGAACTCAAACAACATGACACTCAACGACAGTATCGTCGACGCATCCATTGCCGACTTGTCGAAAGCTCTATCTAGCGGAAAGTTGACTTCAGTCGACTTGGTTGCCAAATATCTGCTGCGCATCAATACCTACGACTGCAGAAACACCGCCCTCAACTCAATCCCATTGATCAACGAGGATGTGTTTGAAGAAGCAGCCGCTGCGGACGATCGTCGTGCCGCTGGCCAAGCAAATGGCCTCCTCGAAGGGATTCCCTTCACCGTGAAGGACAGCTACAAAGTTCGTGGGATGACTGTGGCTAGCGGCTCGGAAGCTTTTGAAAACCTTGTCGCCAACGAAGACGCATTCACCGTCAGAGCTCTGCGGGAAGCTGGCGCCGTCCTGATGGGTCGGACGAACATGTGTCCCATGGCATACGGCGGAATGCTCCGCGGCGTGTATGGGAGGGCAGAGAGCCCGTATAACAAAGACTATCTCCCAGCTGCCTTTGGATCTGGGTCTTCCAATGGGAGCGGCGTCTCTGTTGCAGCATCCTTTTCCGCCTTTGGTATGGGCGAGGAGACGGTGTCGTCTGGCCGCTCTCCAGCTTCAAACAACGCATTGGTTGCGTATACTCCTTCGCGAGGACTTATATCCATACGCGGCAATTGGCCACTGTATCCCACCTGTGATATTGTAGTTCCCCATACACGCAGCATGGATGACATGTTCGTCCTGGTGGATGTGCTTACCAGACAGGACTCCGAGACCATTGGGGATTTCTGGAGAGATCAACCGTTTACACAGCTTCCAGCGTCTCCGTGGTCTGGCGTTCCAAGACCTTTAGCCCCTGCCAAACTCAACGCTGGATACCTCAACGGGAAGCGAATCGCAGTTCCGCAGATATACCTCAAGCAGCAGGACGGCGGACCATATGTATCCCGTGCAATCGAGCCGCTGTGGCTCCAGGCACGAGCGGACCTCGAGGCCGCCGGTGCAATCGTCGAGACCATCCCAGATCTCCCAGTCCTGCAGATATACGAGGAAATGCTGCGACAGCCCAACAACGATGACAAGATATCTTCGTCATCTCTCCCTTACCTCCCAGACAACTGGAACGCAACCGAGCGAGGACTTCTCATTGCCCATGCCTGGGAGGACTTTCTGCAGAACAACCACGACCGGCACATCCAGTCCTTGTCCCAAGTGGATCCGAAACGGATCTTCCCTCACTTACCACGCGACAACCCCCAAGTCAAGTTCACCGAACCAGCCAATGCCGTCCATTGGGCGAAGTTGGCAGGCTACGTTGTTACCGATCGGTCGTCGACCGCGAGTAGCAGACGGGGCAAGAGCAGCGCCATCTACGACGTTCCTCATCTCGAGAATGCCGTGCGGGCTCTCGAACAGATCCGAATCCGCTTCTTCGAGGATTGGATGTCCGCTCACAACTACGATTTGGTTGCCTTCCCTGCCGCAGGCGACGTTGCCCGCGCCGACGCCGACATTGACGACAACAGCGCACGACATGCTTGGACGGACGGAGTCAAGTACAGCCATGGCAATAGGGCGTTGCGGCACTTGGGCATACCGAGTGTAACCGTCCCAATGGGGATTTTGGAGGACTCGAAGATGCCCATGGGCTTGACGTTCTTGGGTCGGGCTTACAATGATCCCGACTTGCTGCAAGCCGGTTATGCATATGAACAGCAAAGCAAGAGGAGAGTTGCGCCACCATTGACGCCGCTTTTACCATCAGACGAAATTCCCCCTCGGGTACAAGTATTGTCCAAACCAAGACCCAAACTGGCAATTACGAGGTGTGCTACTAGCCCGGGTCAAGATGGCAACCTGGTCGTTTCTATCGAGGGGTCTGTGTCTGCGGCACCAGACTCCGGCGAGACTTCTTCTGGCCCCATTCTGGAGATATACATCGACGGTCAACGTGTCCCTTCGTCACTGATCTCGATCGAAGCACTCACAGCGGCGACGACCGGAGAAAACAACGTCTCAAATTTCGTCTGTGAATACCCAACGCTTCCGCCACCAGTGCAGGACGACCGCAGCCGCGTAGTCGGCAAGATCGCCCGAGACGGTACGATGGTCATGGTCATTGCACGGAGCGGGGAAGACGGTCGGCCATCGGGATATGTGAAAGTGATACATTGACCGAAGCGGCACGCGTTTTCTGAAAAAGCTGGAATCGAGTCTAGACCGCGCATTCCTCTTTCTTTGGTCGATTCTGAGACCGAATTGGGTTGATCCAGACCGTGCTCTAATGTGAGTAAGACATACGAAGAAGATAGCAAAAATATTTTCAACGAGATATCCATTATGAGACGCTATAAAGACTGCTCTTATTCGCCTGTTGTGGGGATGGCAACCCACGAGGACGATTTGTCCCTGTGTCGATCAATTAACAACACTTCGTTGCTCAAAATTAGTTTAGGCTTTGTAACAGCCTCCTGAAATTGCTTTGTGTTCCATCTGCTCAGATCCTAAATTGCCGAATACTCTTAAACGCAACTCTCCCGTCCTTGATCTCGAGCACATGGACCGGCAGCCTGACCTTGACGCTTTCTTCTCCGGGTAGGTTCATGGGCGCCGAGAATCCCGCGACGTAGGACACTGCCGCCTTACATGTCGGACAAAACCATTTGTCTCCCGACCATGGCTCCACTGACGCGAAGGAGCCGGTGATGGACGACGTCGGGTCGACTTCACGGACGCAGACGTTGCAGAACTGATGATCACATGGACGGACACTTTTTTGTCGTCGGCTTTAGTGTCAGCCCAAAAGTAAAGAAAGCTTGATTTCAAGATCAGGGGCAGTCTTACACGCAGTCACAGAGTCTGACTCCACATTTGCACCGGGTCGGTTGAGTTGGATCGAGCGACGGCTCGGTCCTCACGCCTTGATCCTTATCCATCGCAGAGACAGACTTGACGTTGTCAAAGTCTCCCCCATCAACGCGATTCTCGGGTTGCTCTTCCACCACGAAGAAAGAACCGCCCTCTTCAATGTAGCCCATCGCATCGATCGGTGGCGGCGGCGGGACGATGTGGGTGACGGCTTCGTAGGAAGCCGGGTCCAGGATGTGAACATGCACGAGCCTCGTTGCTTTTGTATTCCAGATGTGCGCTGGATGCCAGTCGCGATAGATGTCTTGCACTGCAGGAAAGGAGGGATATGAGTTGTACCCGTAGCTGACGAGAGATGCGATGGCGACTTACCTAGCTTGCCGCCCGCGGCGAGCCCCATTGCTTTGAGGTCTTTGGTCGTGATCGTGGGTTTCTTTTCTGCCTGCGATGCTTCTTGTATTGGTTCACCTTGCTCAAAAGAGGATCCACCGATTTTTTCATCAGGGGCCAGTAGATCCTGAAGGTTAGCAATCCCATCAGCAATTCTCATGTGCGAAGTGGCTTCTTCAATTTGCCCCATAGGGGTTTCCCAAATTTGTTCATAAGAGGTCTCCCCTAAGGTTATCCTCCCGTCAGACATTCCCATGGACCAAAGGTCTTTTTCTCCAACAGAGCTGCCATCGTCATCCGTAATAGTTCCAGTTCTATAAGAGTCAAAAGAAAGAGAGATAGATTTCTTTTTCTTCTGCTTGTTCTTGCGTCTAGCATCACTAACAATGAAGGCATCGTGGTACGTCGAGGTGAACGCCTGGCCTGATTAACGAGACGTCGCCACCGAATCATAAGATACTTACTGGGGCGTCATCTTCTAACTGTTCTCCTGGAATCATATCAATCAATGTCGACGGGACAAGTTCAAACACTTCCTGTGGGTACAGCCTTATCGTGTCGCCCACTCCAAGCCCTAACTCACGTGGCGTTTTGAACTCGTCGAGGCTATTGTTCTGAAGATAGTCTTGAAGCTCTGATGCACTGAGATATCCATTTTGATCTTTGATCCAGGTGCGCAGGTTCCTCTCCAAGGAAGGAATTATCTCGATCTGCAGACCTCCGTGCCTCTCTTGCCCTGTCTTCTGACCCTCGACAGTATAACCAGACCCCACTGGTAGCGGTTAACGAGACAAAGCTCGCCTTTTGAGAACCAATTGAGAGGGCACTTACATGGCATGGCAACAAATTGTCTGACGATCCCAGGTGCGATGCAAATTCCATCGAGCCACTCCTGACCTGGGACGATCACATAGTCTTGAGTACCTTCCATATCTCCTGGCGCTTCTTTTGTCTCACTCATTTCAAGACCAGAGACAGCATTAATACGCCCCACAAAGAATCTTAATGCATAATATGTGCCGTATGGTGCTTCGAGGCTCATCCAAAGTGCCTCTCGTTGCCACATCGGCATGAAAACACCACCCTCCTGCACAATCGCATCGGGCAACCTGTCGGAATATTCTGCAACACTGTGAAGGGGGAAAGCTCCAAGAGAGCCAGGTAGCTGGTGGATCCTGTCATCATCTGGCATCCGCACTGTTCGATGAAATATGATCTTCAAGCCACGCGTATCCTTTAGGTTGTTGATCTTGACGCCGTAATCGTTCGAATCGTTTTCATCTATGTTAAGTTGGATCTGCCTCCCAAAAAATCGGTTGGTGTAGTCAATGAGTCTCTCGTCAAGATGAATGCATTCGCTGGTGCTGGAAAAGTGGTCTTGGACCACTTTAATTTGGTCGAATTCCAGGACTTGCGGCTTGGAGCAGCCAGGCTTCCACACATCCCCGTTGCAAGAGATTGAATCGGGACCATAGTATCCGAGCTCTACAATTTGGTTAGCCTTGATCTGTGGAAATTATAATAGAAGGGCCAGAGGACAGCGACAAACCTCGTAACTTGTCCCATAGCGCTGAAACTGGCAGATCGCCAGGCAAGCAAATGGTTTCTTCTGATGTCTCGATCACCGCAACACAATCTCCAGTCATATCTCCGTGAGAAGTTCCATTCTTCGATTCCCCGAGGCTTTGACATATCTTGTCCTGAGACTTTGGCCGCAGACCTTGAATTCGAAGGCGTACCTGTGGGGGCGTAGCATCAGAGACTTCATGGACTTTCTCTGTGGCCATTTTTGATCAATATCAACCAGAGCCTCTTTTCTCCCTGGGGCGCGCAACAGAGAAAAGTAGAAGTCGAGCCTGACTTTTATGTTCTCAGGCTGGAAGGCACCAACTGCGGATGAAATGACAAGCATCTCGCTTGACTCAGCCTCACCTGATGAGGTACTCGCCCCTCATGGGGCGCGCTGTCTGCCTACTTGAATCGTTGAACCCACGAATAAGATGTCCGCTTCGATATGCAGGCCAAGAAAAAGGCGACAGACACTGGACGAGACAGCCTCGAGCACTATCGGAGCCCCGCGACCCTTCATGTGAAACACGAAAGAAGTCAGCCGCATCACAGTATCGAGACTTGTAAATACCCATCGCGCGGTGCTCGGAAGGCAAGTGCTGGTGATTGTGTTACTTGTCCATCTGCCTCGAGCCGGATTCACGGCTAGGTTGGTCCTCATCATTCTTCTCGTTTTATGATGCGATCCCGAGTCCAGCCTGACAGATCACTTCACAGCGATGTCGTTCGGCTTCGGTGTCGGTGACATAATCCTGCTCTCGCAACTGTCATACAAACTCTATGGAACCTTGACCTCAGGCAGACGGAATGCAAGTCGCGAACTAAAGGAACTAGAACACGTCTTGTTTGGCTTACGTTGTGCTCTGGATCATTTACGCCATGTAGCAGAAGACATCTCGAAGGCAGCTTCAATATCTGGATCTAGCGACAGTCATGGCCGGGAAATGCAGCAGTCTTTGGATCAAATGATACAGAACTGTGCAATGACGCTAGAAGACCTGGACAATGCCACTAAGCGATACCGCGATAACGCCATGATCTATGATAACGAGCGTGACTCTGACTCCGGCCGAGGAGTCCAAAAAAGAAGGAGGCAGCTGAGAGATGCAGTCACCTCTAACTGGGCAAAGATCCGATGGGATATGGACAAAGACTCACTGAAGACATACCGCGACAGATTACAATCTCACGTTGATAACATAAATATGGTTCTGGGTGCCTTCCACTGGTAAGGTTGCTGTGGCTCCATTGTGGGAGATTTGAACGGTGTATTGGCAACCTGGCCCGAAGCTGACAAGCTGAAAAGATACACGCCCACAACAAGACTCAAGCGGAGAAGATGCAAGAATTTCATGATAACATGGTAAAGTCGAACTCGTCTCTCGAGCGTCTTGTGGAAGCTATGCATTCAATGCTGTTGCAGCCTAAAAAAGAGACAGTCCCTCCTGCACCTCTGATGGACATCGATGATAGCCTTGAGAGTCCCAGCGGATTCCTAGCCGAAACACCAACAACAAGAACGAGAGGTCTGGATTCAAGAGAAATCCAATCTGTTGCCGCATATCGTGCGCCATTAGTCGTGCTCAACACGATTTCCACGGGCGCAAACACGGCAGCCTCTGCCATGCCTTCCATTCTCCCCGACCACGACGTTCGCCCTCGTGTCAGAGCCGTTTCCGCAGGCGTGGCACCAGCACCTTCCCCCAGCTTTCAGCCACGTATTTCTCGAAAGGAACTCCCGCCTACAATCGCTTCTATCAACATAAAGCGGCAAACACAAGGTGCAAGGGCATTGGCGGACCTAAAGTCAAGTCTCGTTCCAAAACCACGCCCATCCTTCCTGGATCCAATTATCCCAACCTTCGCGCAACTGTCAGAAGGGTTGGAGTATGTCTTCACTCCGTTGCCGCGAAGCACTGGGCGGCAACTGGAAATCGCAAGACAGACCCGTATCAGCGAGCTCGAGTTGTGGATTCAGTCCTTGGATCGTCTGATCAACACTCTTGCCATCCCTCCTACAGGCTCTGCGATTGAAAGCCATAAATCGAGGGTTTCTGAACAGCGCAGCGACTTAATCAGCTTACTGTCGCAGATGAACGGGGCGATCGAGTCCTTGGCTCCGAATGTGAGGAATATGGTATATGAGGTGTTATCTGTTAAACAAGTGGATCCTATATTGCACAGAGCTGTGCCCTTGACAAAATCGGTCAGGACCCAGAAGGAGGTCGAAGAGTTTATGGAGGAGAGGTCGGCTTGGCTGGGGGGCCACACTGCTCGGTAGTAAATAGTAACAGTGAGAAGAAGCGGGGGCAAGAAGAGACATTGGTCTAGCTATTTCAGAGAAAAAAGTTCTCAGTCTTGGCCCTTTTGGGCCAGGGTGGAGAGGGTTGTTGATATAGACTTTCAAGTGGCCTTGTCTGTAGGGACAATTGACGGTGTTCAACGCCAATAGTCCAAATAGACGACGCATACCGCTCTCAGTCAATTGATTCAATCTCATTATCATCTAAACAAGAGGCAATAAACAGTATATTGATCTCCTGTTGCAGTGATTTGTAATGCTTATCGGTGTCAAGTGTACTCGGTACATTTGTCGACTTGTTTGCTATGCCCGGCTTTACAGCAAGGTATTCAGAATTCCAACCCTTGCAAGGTTCTCTACATTCCGAGCCCCACCAGGAAAAAGAGAACGTTTGAATCATCCACCCGGACAGAACAATGAACTAGAACCTCCACCCCGGGGTCTTTAACGCTTTTTCAACACGGACACCTCCAGCTTTGAGATCCCTACGATCCATTCCCTCATTTCATGCTCTCAGAGCACTCAATATTCCCTTCCCTTTCACACTGGGCACCGGACCCGCCCTCTTTAGGCAATTCCCAAATGCCCACAAATTACGTATTCATAACCACCGACGCTTGGACCTTGACCGCCCACCATCATAAAATTCTGGTGATCGGTCTCTTTTCCTGCCTCCTCTAGACGAGGAGACTTGGCCCGTATTTGAGATGGTCAAACCTTCCTCAAACCCTGTATGATGATTTTCACGGTTGTCGCGAACTCCTATGCCTTGGTCGTGGAAGAAATAGGGTGGATGTCGAGGTTGGGGAAGCAAATAGCTCTGGTGATTTCTGTAGCTAGCTTCATAGGAGCCGAAATTCTCCCTTTGCATTCGATCCCGCCCTTCGGTTCGATTGGACGGATAGTTCCACTCGGAATTGTGCTCCGAAGCCCTCCTGTGCCACGAATGGGTGCCTTGATTCCTCCGAGGCTCATACGACGACCGTTGATTCCGTCGATTCTCATAGGGTGGCTGTTCATTCCTTCGTCGCTGTTTTGGCACTCGGCGAGAGGCTTTAGAAGACGCATCTGGAAAATGGGAACTGTTGGTGTCATGACGCCGTCCTTTTCGTGGACCGACGGAGTCCTGTTGCGGCATCCTTGGATGAGGATGGGTCTTCTGTGCTTGGATTCTGAGGTCCTCTAAGTGCTTGGCTTTGTCATTTGGTAGGAGGCACAGCAGTTTCTGAAAAAGTGCCTTGCCAAAGTTTCCTGCCGATTCAGCCAAAATGCCAAAATCAGACTCTTCCCAGCAGGGACAGTGCCAGTGCACCTTGATAACTCCCCCCGTAGGCTCAGTATCACACTCGTGAAGCAGTTCATTTGCTCCATAAAGCAGAAATAGCTCACAAACATCCAGGCAGGGCTTGAGAAGCTCGGGTTTCTTTTCGTCCCAATCTGCATGACTTGCTAATTTGACGATCGTGTTCAGGAAAGAGGTCCATACCGTATGAACGTGGCACCGGCGCAGGCGCTGATTTGGATTCAGGCCGGCTTGCAAAAGAAGAGCTATCATTGATGGAACGAATCCGGCGATATCTCTGAAGTCACTCAGGGCGGATTCAAGCAGAGACTGCGAAGACGCTCGGTCGATTTGGAGAAGCCTTTCACCATATTTAGCTTTCACAGAGAGAGTCAAACCGTTAGATATCAAGAAGTTAATAAATGGCTGTTTTTGCCCGGAATGCTGGGTCATAAGACTATGCTGACCGAGGCTCTCGATCTCGTCCATCAATGTCAATAGTGGTCGACCGCCACTAGCCTCCGCTTGGCGAGCATAAAATATAGAGTCGTTGAAATGAGAGTTCATGGAAGTGCATCTGTCCCCAAAGCCGGCATTTTCAACTGCTGGAGCACTCTGATGCAGCTTGAACATTACAATAGAGGCTCGAACCAATGCTCGGTTTGCATCGAAGTCAGTTTCTGCGGTGCGGCGCAACAGAAGGCGCCATACTTCGGGCTTCTCAAGGAATTCCCGAACGGTCAGATGAAGAAAGTTCACATCCGGGCAACTCTGATCACAACCATCCTGTTCCCTCGATCTTGACGACCGAACGGCCTCGAGGAGGCCTGCACAACGGCTTTTGCAACGGGCACTTGTCGTAGTGATTCGATCTTGAAGTTCGGCTGCAGACGTGGCGAATAAATCGCGATTAGACGGGATCTCTGTCCGAGTATCGTCTGCGAATGAGAGTCCCAGCATTGAAAGCGAGCCTTTGGCGTGGTACACCAATTGTAGTAAACGGCTTGCTTGTTGTTGGTAAAAATGAGGTTCGATGTTCTGGAGCATCATGGAATACATCCCGTCAAGCTCCAGCGGCAGCTCATTGAGACGTTTTTGAAGGTCAGAGGATGTGTCGTGATTGGTCATGCCAGCTTGCAAAGATCTCACAACCAGTACAACCCACAGGAATACGCCGGAAGCTCGCTTGACCACCTCTTCTGTTAGGGAAAGAACTTGTGAAGAAAGATCCTGTGAGATCTTGCACCTTGGATGATTTGAAAGATTGTCGAATACGTATCTTTCAATGTCCTTCCGAGTCAAATCTTGCAGTCGAAGATGAGAATAGCTGCCGAAGGCCTCTTCGAAAACCATGAGAGGACGACTGGAAAGACAAATCTTGACGTTCGAATTCTGGCACAGCCGGTAGCAGAAGTCTGCGATTTCGCGGTGGTCACCGTCAAATTCATCTAGGCCGTCAATGAACAAGCAGAATTTGAGCCGGCTTTCGTTCTGGTTTATGAGTGCGGTCAAAATATGCCTGAGATCGTTGACTGACCACACATGCCACGCCGCTCCCAGTGACTTGAAGAAATTTAATGGCTGGTGATGCAGTTGTTGCCACAGACTCGGGAGCACTTCGCTGATCATATTCGGCCTTTGCTGCAAGATGCTGTAGATTAGTGACTGCAATAGGCCACATTGCGACCTCTGCATGCTGTTCCCGAGCGACCAAAAGAAGAAGCTGGCTATAACAACTTCCGAATCGCCTCCCCACACCTTCAACAGTTGTCGAGTATTCTCGTTTTCCAGGATATACTTGAAAAGAGTGCTCTTGCCACTCGCAGCTTTGCCGGTCATCCAATAGATGTCGTTCTTGAATTGAAGCCACTCGATGAAGTCGTCCCACGGTCTTTGGACCTCTTCTGAACGCAAAAAAAGCCATTTGAAGGTTTCTGCGTGGGCAATAGCCACAGCCTCCGGACGAACGTTCATGCTTTGATATGCGAAGCTTTGCAAGATGGCTCCTTTGGTAGTTTCTGGGTTGTTCGCTGGCAGTGTGGCATTCGCTGGCAAACTTTGTGGAGGGCTTAGAGTCCGAAGGTACTCAAGAGTTTTCTGCAGATTCAAGCCGTATTCGTCGATGAGCTTCGTCAGCGTTGTCGTTGCGTTGTCAAGAGATGCATTGATGAATTCGTTCCTCACAACCTGTTCTCTGCCGACCACTTCGGCTACGTCCTCCACCTTGGATTTGATTTGGCCAATGTTATTTTGGATCGACGAAAGGGTCCTTGCCTGCTCATTGATCTTATCAGTGGCTTCTGTCTGACACACCAAATTCTGATTGATTTCCGTGCTTCAATAGTCAGCCTCGTAGACACGGTGTTTGAGGGGACAAGCAGCACACCTGACGGATGTCATCAAGCGTAGCTCAATCTGTTGGCGAAACATTGCCAGCCGATTTGCCATGTCGTCTACTTCTTTCTTTGAGCAGACACATTTCAATGCTTGACGAAGGCTCTTCCATCTTCGTAATTTGCCTTGGGCCTGAGCCTGATTGAGTCTTCTGAGGAGCCTGTCGGCTAGTTCCGAGGAAGCTGATAGCAGTTCTCCCGGGACCGTCTCATCTGGTCCCAGCTGTTCGAGTTTCGTCTTCATGAGCAATAAGTCTGAAGTGACGAGGCTAAGATCCTGATGCTCCTTCAGCACGCCATCACCAGCACGATAGATTTGGTTTCCCTTTGTCACCACTTTCGCTGCGAAGTCGAGGAACTGTAGGACGCTGCTTGCCGCACCTAGGGCGCTCACGGGGTCAATCATCTCTGAAAATGGAACAGGATCTGCTCTAGAGGAGGAATCAAAGACGTTGTGACGGGCGCACCATGGGATATATGCGAGGGTGCGTGATTGTGGCTGCGCCACGTTGAGTGGCTGGTTGGGGCAGTGCCTGCATTATCAAAGACCACTGTTGTGACTTCTGTTTCGTTCTCTACGCAAGGCGTATCGACGGTTAACCTCAAACGTTCCGAAATAAGATGGGAGGAGAGTTCCATGTAACAGCAGAGAAACATAGATACAGCAGTTTCAACAGCTGATCTGAATGGGTTCGAGCCGGGAAGGGGCAGTATGGCCCAAGCCGCTCCAGGGACGGGCTAAAATTGGCCCCCATTTGGTGCTCAATGAGGCTCCCTCTCAATTTGACGAGGTACTAATTGACAGGGAGCGTCATTGAGCAGTATCTGCTCTGAGTGAACATGGGGCAGGATGTTCGCAAGGTCGCGAGGGAGATAGAATTCCCGGGGAAATACCTACCTAGGTAGGTAGGTATAGAGATACTTAAGCACCTGTAGTAAAACTCATACGACTGGGAGCCTCGGTGCGTATGTCGAGACACGGCAGTTGAACAGAAACAAGCCCATTACATAATAATCCATCGTCTCCTCTGACCCCCTCTCTGCAGATGTTTCCCGGGACATCGCGACAAACATTCTCTACTTCTCTGCTCTAGATATACTAGATCACGGGAGGTGAAAAGGGATTCCTAATAGTCCCCTCTATTTCCCTCCCTCCAGCACATCGCGCCTTGCACAAAATGGAAGGCCGCTGCCAATGCGGCAGCGTCCGCTTTCGCACGCCCCAGGAAAAGCCCATCAAGTGGTACATCTGCCACTGCCACGAGTGCCGCCGCCAAAGCGCAAGCGCCTTTGGCATCTCGGCCATCTTCCCACACTTTGATCTGCTTTCTCAGAGCTCAGCGCGGGACTCGGCGGGTTCTGACTCGGCATCATCATCCGCGCCGGACCAGCAGCAGCAGCCGGCTCCGGACGGGGGAGATACGGCGACGAGGGGAGAGAGCGATTTGGTCGGGGTTTATGAGCACTCGAGAACGACATCGGGCCGTCCCAAAAAGTGCTACTATTGCAAAAAGTGCGGGACTCGGATCATGAATGTCAGCGTCAGTCCGTCGGGTGACGCGAGCCACGTCGCCATCAAGGGAGGGTGTCTGGAGGGCATCGATGGAGACATTTTCAGCGAGGCCACGCATATCTGGACCAAGAGCGCCTTGGTGCCGATTCCAGAGGGCGCAGAGTCGTATCCCGAGGAGCCTCCCCCGAGAGCATAGTAGACGGAAAGGGAAGAGAACACGGGGGTATGAGGGCGATCATGAAGCCATCACTGTGCGGGGACTAGAAGGTATTGCCTATCAATTCTTCGGCATGGCTGCGCAATACTCTTTTCTCCTTCTCATCCAACCATTTCTCTGTGATTCCAGGGTTGTTTGGAGCAAGCCTCACATACGTTGTCATGCAGAAAACAGGCCTGCGCGCTGCCGCGCAGTATCAGGGGCAATTTTGTGTGTGATGCTGATTTGCTCCTCTTTGGAGCTGGATTCACACCACGCCATCGTGACTTTTGAGACTGCTGTATATGGCATTTGTCATACAAAAAGTCGTCGGCCTTTGTACAATAGTAATATTGAGGGTGTGGTGTCATGTTGCAGCCCTTTGCTCTTTTCTCTTCTTTCCCAGTTGTCGTAAGCTGCAAATCAGAGGTCTATTCCCACGTCTCCTGGCTCAGAATCATTCTTCCACTTCGTTCGCTTGGTGGGTTTAACTCGTCGCTGCCAGAACGCCTGCGGTCTCGGCGGGGTCCGCGTTCGCAGCAGCCACTTCGCGCTCCGCTCTCCGCCGTCTCTTCTCAATTATAATCTCTTTCCGCTGCTGTAGGAGCTTGACTTGTCTATCTTCCACACCCGTCAACCAATAACCAAATGAACCCCCAATGCTCGCAAACAAGGGGTAAACCCATAACGTGCCGCGTTGAAAGAATGGTCTCATCTCTATCCCGAGTTGGACGAATCGTGTGGCAATGCCTGCTGAATTGTTAAAACCAAAGCTCTGGGGCGTGTTTCACAGGGTACAGCGATAGGTACTCACCGAAACCGGCCCAGAACAGGATCTTGTGAACCATGATTGACTATGTTTCGCGCCTTGGGCGCGCCTGGACAGCGGCGGCAATCTGTCACTGGAGCAGGAGAGAAGCTGGCGCAGCAACCGAGAGAGACGCTGGAGTGAAAGTCTGTGGAGTAAGGTTGATGTCGCGGTCTTGGAGAGCTACCGAGATTGGAGAGCAGCTCAGGTGGACAGACCCTTTCACGCAACTTTTGGATGCCAAGTCAGAAGCGCGTTCTGCTGCATCTGCACTTGACCGTAGTGCCAAGGCCAGCTCACGCGACCTTCAGCCTTGTTGCGTCTGGCGAGGCTGTGTCAAGGCTTACAGACTGTAGCCATTAGCGACGGACAATGTCGGGAAGTGGCTCTCGAGTCTCCAGTATATACTTGAGCCCGCACAATAACAGATCAGAAATAAATTCAAATAATATACCTAGATACTCCGTAGTAGGGTTCTACCGCTTCCTAAGCCGCCTGGGCAATTTCCCAGTTGGAGTTTGGCGTTTTTGCGTGTTGTTCCTGAGTAATTGCTTGGCATTGACTCAGCAAGCACGAGCTGAGACTAAAGCCGAGGGATTCGCCTAACACTGCCATGACTGTGTAAGAGGCGCAAAAATAGCCGCACTGGTGGCCCTGACCAGCTCTCCTTTAATCACCCATCATTAGACGCGGGTCGTGACGTGGGAAAATGTCGAATCCTTCCGTGCTTGTATCTCCTACATCCCAGCATTCTCAGTCTCTGCTATGGACGACAATGACAGGAGAGTTGAGGACCATTTTGTGATCGCACTCCCACCATCTCAACCAGCTCATACTCGCACCACCATCCAAATGACTTGAGATCGTCCACGCGCCCGCAATCTCCCCATTCGCCGCCGACTGTTCCGCTGTTCCGCTGCCACTTTTCTTCAACCCCATTGAACAGGATGAGGGTCCGCCTTCGCATTCGTGAACAGCTGTGCCTGGTCATCGGCCTTACAAGTCTGTTATCGCTGACCGTCCTAACCGTTTCCATATGGACACAGACTGTGCATCATATGAACAGCGTAAAATGGGAAACTCTTATGGTCACCGCAAATTTAAAGGCCACTCAAGTAGCCCAGGACATCACTCTGATGGGGACATCAGTGCAGTCAATTGCCACCAGAGATGTTCTTCAGGATCTCCTTCGCGACTTCAACAACGGCAACCACACCCAGGACCTCTACGATGCCATACAGGTAGGTTGAGAATGAAAGTTGGCCGTCTCCTCAAACGGAATTATTGACGTCGAGCTAGGACAATCTCGTGGACGCTTTGTCGGGCGGGACCGCCGATGCAGTTCTCCTGCAAGCAGCGGTCTTTCCTCGCAGACCCCGGCCAGATCAAGGTGACAGTGCTTTGAGCAACGCGACCGGGAGGGGAGCAGCTCGCCAGATCGTGCTTCCTTTTACCTACAGCAATGGCACGGCAGTCCTGCTCGGCGACAGCCCCAGTGGTTATCCGCCTCAGCTCTATCCTAACCTCACCTATGGCGATCAGCCATCAGATACCACGTTTGCCCTCTATGAAGACAAGACGTTGTACAATAACTCGACGCTATTTCTCGGTCCGCTTTTCCTGCGCAACAAATCCGGCAACTCCTCCCTCATCTCGTTCACAGTTCCCGTCAACAATAACACCAGTCGCACCGATGTTCTCGGATGGCTCACCGTCGTGGTTGATGGAAAGGCACTCTACGACATTGTCGAGTCCCCTGTCGGACTAGGTAAGACGGGAGAGGTTGTCATCATCGGTCCTGCTCGTCCCGACAACCTCTTCGCCGACAATGTCGATGGTCGCTCGAATGCCGAAAATGCCGAAGTACCCCTTCAGTTTGTCCTGCCACCTTACAGTAATCGCCACTCCTTGCGCGCTAAAGATCCGTATCTTCCTTTTCCCATGAAGGCCTATCCAGCTGTGCTGCGTGCTTGGTCTGACGAAACTGGGGAGATCAACAATGCAGGAGCTCTGATGTCTACCCACAATGAGCAAAACAAGGGAATATCTGCCGGCTATGCCAGGGTATCTTCCAATGTTGTTGACTGGGTGGTTGTCTTTGGGCAGGCTCACAGCGAAGTCGTTGCTCCCATTAATAAACTACGAGATACTGTGCTCGCATGCATTTTCAGTGTGGTCGGTGCGGTTCTTATTGTTTCCTTGTAAGTGCCCCAGGATTCATTTCTGGTGCCTAGCATATGCTGATTCAGTTGCAGTCCGCTCGCCCACTTCGCTGTCAAGCCGATCCTTGCGCTTCGGACTGCTGCCAAAAATTCAGTGACTACATATGAAGCTTACGATCCCTCCGAAAAATCGTCAGACACTGATAGCGAAAATGCTCTTGGAAAGATGGACCTTGTCCAAGAGAAAGGGATAGTTCACAGTGTCTACAAAAGGTCAGCGAGAAGGAAACCTCTCGTACGACCTGTGCGAGTATTCAAAATTCCTGAGCGCGTGCCCGAACATCGCCATGTCGTACATGATGAATTGACGGATTTGACTCGTACCTTTAACGAAATGGCCGACGAGCTTACTATTCAATACGGAAGACTTGAGGACCGCGTGAAAAAGAGAACTTCCGAACTAGAGCAAAGTCGAAATGCCGCGGAAGCTGCCAACGAAAGCAAGACCCTGTTCATCGCTAATGTATCTCATGAACTACGCACGCCATTAAACGGTATCATCGGCATGTGTGCGATCGCCATGCAAGAGGAAGAGGTTACGAGCATCCGACAGTCCCTCAAAATCATCTACAAATCCTCGGATCTGCTCTTGCATCTCCTCAACGACTTGCTGACGTTCAGCCGCAGCTCTTTTGGTCAGAACTTTGCCATCGAAGAAGACACATTTCGCCTTGTGGACGTCGGCTCACAACTTGTGTCTATCTTTGAGAAGCAAGCGCGTGAATCTGATGTCAGCTTGCGAGTGGTTTTCATTGGCGTCGACTCAAAAGTACAGGGGGATACCGACCAAGACGACCAGGAGGACGCCATTGTTGCTCGGCACGACCTTACTGGTGCCATTCAGCATCAGAAAACGAATGTCCTGGCGAAGGGACCGGCAGACCTTGGAGCTCTGAGGGACATAGGTTTGAGGGGGGACAAGAATCGAATATTGCAAATTCTGATGAGTAAGTCCCCATTGCATACCGACTTCTTCGCATCACCGTATTAGACCTCCCTTTCTGTCTTCAATTTATGATTTCCCAAGCTATTTATTTATTGGTGACCAACCTAACCGGTGCGCAGATCTCGTAAGTAATGCGCTCAAGTTTACGGCCGCCAAAGGCGTCGTCGAAGTGCGAATACGATGCAAGGGATTTGTGGAACCTGAAGCCATGCCTGATGTGGCATACTCAAATACCACAGCTACGCCAGTTTCACCTCTCAATGCGCTACAGCGGCGCAATACCGAGAACGTCCAGCCAAAGTCATCGATGAAGGGATTATTGTTCGACTTCGAGGTCGAAGATACGGGTTCGGGTATCCCCGAACATCTGCAACAAGACATCTTCAAGCCCTTCGTCCAGGGTGACTTGGCTTTAAGCAAGAAGCATGGTGGCGTCGGCCTTGGGCTAGCGATATGCTCACAGCTTGCAGGCATGATGGGTGGCACTATTACCCTGAAGAGTACTGTCGACATTGGCAGCACATTCACTCTTTCTCTGCCACTCCGTTATACCAAGGAGGCTGTGCCTTCCGTATCTGACTCCCTCGCACGACCGAAGCCACGAAGTATATCCAGCAGCATCCAATTTGAAGCCTTCAGTACAAAGTCTCGCAGGTCAAGAGACCCACGGTCACCTATCCGATCGAGACAGGCGTCCGTATATTCTGCACAAGACAAAGACTCTCCGATGGATGTGCCCCGTCTTGTGGGGTTCTCTCAGCCATATCTGATAGACGGGAACGTGAGCTCAGAAAGAGTGGATTCGATCGGCCAGCTACCCAATCAAGAGAAAAGGCAAAACATCCACCCTCCAAACAACAGGCTGGCATCGATCATGTCTGTAACGACACCAGACGAAACGAATGAGACGGCGGCAATGAAGCTGGAAGATCAAGCAAAGACTACAGACACTGTCAAGAAGGAAGTACCACTTCTATCTTCAGGAGCTCCCGCGGAAGCCTGTTCTCTCAAGGTTCTGGTCGCTGAAGATAATCCAGTCAATCAACAAGTGATTCTCAAATTACTCAAGCTCGAAAAAGTGAACGACGTTACATTGGCGGAAGACGGTGAGCAAGCTTTGAACATTGTGCGAAAATTATACTCTGAAGTGGAAAGCGAGAACGAAAAGCCACGGCCTTTCTCGCTTGTTCTGATGGATATTCAGATGCCGCGAATGGACGGGATTGAATCCACAAAAAAGATGCGAGAGCTAGGATTTGATGCTCCAATCCTTGCCCTGACAGCATTTGACCATGAGATAAACCGAACAGCTTGTCGTGATGCAGGCATGAATGGTTTCCTTCCCAAGCCGATCAAGCGGACGGCTTTGAAGAGGATCCTTGAACAGTACAGGAGTCTGAATCAAGGAAACATGGATACTCAGCAAAATGACGATCGAAAAGACGGCGAATGAGCCTCCAAAGGAACTTGGGACGTTGATGACAGTAAGACAGCGCAAATCAAATGAGGATCCGACTTGTCCAGTTTGCAAGTCAACCGTGGAGAGACCCTCCAAGCAATTGCTGATTATGGTGGGACCACCCAGCCAGAGCACCTTAAATAGACAGTGACAGAACAAACCCGACCCTTTATCCTGTCTGAGGGATTCAGCATTCAACTGACCGCCGCAGACAGGAAGCCGGAGTGGTACTTCAAACATCGACGACTGGGATGTCCTAAGTCCAAGGGACAAGAGCCGCAAAGTCATCTGGGGCTGTAACGAGGCTCGGAGGATTAATAGCCAGAGTCTCAAATGTGGGAAGGCGCTCGTATTTCGTGCACCGACCAATTTGATTCAAAGATGAATTCACCGCTACAATACCACAACGAGGACGGCATGGGGAGGAGCAAGAGGCCTCTTCACTGGATCTGACTCGGCACTGCGAAGGAGCTGGTGGCGCATCAATGAGCAAGGGCCTGTGAAACTAGACTGTACATCATCAGTCTGGTGGGAACTCAAGGATGCTTGGTGTGTTGTCAATAGAAATCTATTCGCTGTGTACCTAGGTAACGACGGGATTTCGGGCAAGACAGAGGCAGCACTCGGCGGTTTTTTGAATAGTGCACTTAGCGGACTAATACTTCACCGTAATGCGTTTCCCTAGCACGTGAGTGCAACCAAACGCGCATTTCGCGTTAGACTTCAAACATGGTTTTCGAGTCTCGCAGCAACCTCACAATAAATTCTCTTTCGAGTTGCTCAAAGGTTCCTGTCGGCAACATGGCTGACACGGTAATGGCAGATGCACCACCGGCCGAGTCCTCCACTCCCTTCTCATTACGCACTCGTTTCAAGATCTCGGACCTACCCCTAGTCAAAGAACAACGATCCACTATTGATGCGCTTCTCCTCAAGTTCAAGAAGAAAGGCGGCTACGACAGCCTTCGGAAACAGGTGTGGGCTTCCTACAACACGTCCGATGCGAAAACCGCCCTTGCGGATCAAATTCACGCCATTGCAGAGGCAGAGATTGAAAAAGATCCAAATTTACTCAGTCGGGAACGGGGCAAGGCAGCAACCTTGATCCAAGGCGCCGTAGACCGGAGCGGCATATACCAGGATGTTGAGTCAAGAATTGACCAGGAAATTGCGAGGCATTTGAACACAGTGCTGGATGCTGTGCGCGACATCCGCAAGGAAGATGTCGGGCCCGAAGTCGCAGCTGAAGAGGAGCAGCGAGGCAGCAAGTCTGATGAACAATACACGGAGGAGACTCAAAATCGAGCTGCTGAAAGAGAGAGGAACCGGGCTCGCATGGAGCAATTACTACGTGAGACGGCGGAGTTGAAGGCCAAGATCAAGCAGGAAGAGGAACGGAAGCGAAAAAAAGAAGAAGCCAAACGGGAAGAAGAGGAGAAGAAGAAACGTGAAGCAGAGGCAGAAGAGAGAAGGATCGAGCGCGAAAAGAGACGAAAGGAGGAAGAGGAGCGTGAAGCCGAAAGAATCAAGGCTAGAGATGAGAGACACAGAAAGCGTGAAGAAGAGAGGCGCGAACGAAATGCTAGATACGACAAGGAGCGGGACAGGGAACGAGACCGCGACCGCGAAAAAGATCGTGAGCATGAACGAACAAGCCGAAAGAGCACTGATCGGCGAGATTCGATTGCAGGATCATCGACCGCCAAGGACGTGCAAACGGACGAGAAGGATTTAGAGGCCACCGCCCTCGAACTCCTCCTGAGTGAGGGCAAAAAGATGGCAGAAAAGTCCAAGCAGAGGCACGAATACAATTTCGACAAGTCCGAAGCACACGATAGCTCGCGGAAACATGTCACATCGGACCGACATTCCCGGAGAAGAGAAAGATCTCGAGAGAGTTACAAACGTGAGCCTGACCGTCGAAGCAGATCCCGCGACAGAAAGTCGTCAATCCAAGAGAAAGATAAGCCTGAAGTACCTCGCCGCCGAAGTCCAAGCAAAGATCGTGAGGAAGGCGAAGCCCGAAGCCAGCGCAATTCACCGCCACCTGATCCGGAGAAACGATCGGTTCGAGAAAGAAGACCTCGCTCAGCATCACCGTTAGGTATTGACCGCTATGTACCTGGAGGTGGTGTCCATCGTACCGAGGAAGAGCGAGAACGTGATCGACAAAGACGTCAAACCCGAGATCAGGATAGAGATCGTGATCGAGAACCGAGGAGAAAGTACGACAGTCACCGCAGTGATAAAGATCGAGACAGGGATGGAGACCGTGACCGCGAGCGTGAGCCCGAGCGCGATCGCGAAGGCGGCGATCGCGACCGACAGCATGATCGGAGAGATCGGGACCGCGAGCCTGACCGTGAACGCGACCGGAACCGGTCAAAGGAAAGAGATAGGGACAGAGACAGGGACCGAGATCGGGCCCGAGACCGAGACCGAGACCGCGAGCGTGAACGTGACCGTGACCGTAATCGTGAGCGAGATAGGTCACGAGATAGGTATCGAGAGCGAGATCGGGAGCCCGACCGAGACACCGACCGAACTCGCGACCGAGACAGAGAGAGGGACAGAGAGCGCGACCGAGAGCGAGACCGCGATCGCGAGAGGGATCGAGATCGTGAGCGGGACCGAGACCGAGACCGTGATCGAGACAGGGATAGGGAGAGGGAGAGGGAGAGAGACCGCTCGAGAGACCGGGACAGACGAGATCGAAGTCGGCGCCGTGATGATCGAAGAGATGATCGACGAGATGACCGCCGAGATGATAGAAAAGATGACCGTCGGGACGACCGTCGCGATGACCGACGCGACGACAGAAGACGCGAAAGAGACAGAAGTGATGTCCGCCGAGACCGCGACCCTGTGCCGATCGACCGATATGTCCCAGGTCGGTGATCCAGTAAGTAGACCTCAACTTCAGACAACTGTCAAGGCTCGTATGGGGACGGGTCGTCTGATGGATGGGCCCAGATCAAAAACTGGCACTTGGATTTGTCCTTGTGTCTGAGATTGCCGATCCTGCATCTGCATATTGTACATGTCTATCTGCGCCGCATGTTTCCGGTAGCTGAAGTCGGCGCTTGATTTGGGTCTGAGGTCGGGCGACAAACCGGCGAGTATTGCACGTTCCATCAACATGATACTCCGCAGATTATCGCCTTTCTTGGTCCATATCGAGATGTGCGTGAAATACTGTCGAGGCGAGAAGGACATTCCGAGGATGTGGTCATGTTCTGTCCAACAAAATCCTCGGTGAATGGTCACTAAGACGATGGAGCTCGGGTTTGAGACGCACCTTGGGCAATGGCTGCCTGCAATTCTCCACCACACGACAACAGACATATCTCCTCCCAACACCTAATATCTTTCCCGTCTTCCGGACGGACTCGAATCAACCAACGCCCACCTTTTCGGTTCTCCTCGTCTTCCCACAACGGCTGGACCCCGGAGCGGAAAATGTGAATGCTGTCCTTTGGTTTAACCTGAGACCAAGGCAGGTTGTTGAAAATGCGGTAGAATGTACCGATGTCAGCGACAGAGTCAACCAACATTGTCAGTTGGTATGAGTCGGGTGATTGCTGGTTGCTGTTGCCAGTAGGCTGGAGGCTGGACTTGGAGTGCCAAACTGACCAGAGGTACTGGAACGGCAGAGGGCGGAGCTTGGCTATCACTTGTTTATGCAGGGAAGAAGAACGGCGTGGCAGTGAGGGCCGAACAGGCTCGGCGACATTGATCGCGGAAGGAGTTACAGTTGGAGAGATGGCTTGAGGTATGGTTGCTGTCATTGTGAAGGGCAGGCCTTGTGCAAGAAGGCTCGCGTTATTCCAGCAGCGGCAGCGGTAGCAGAAGAATAAGCATTCAGCTTAGAGCCTTGTCTCGAGCGAGCAATAGCAGGGGTGGCTTGAGGCACTACTATGTAGAAGAATGAGAATCCAAAGAAACAGAAAGCAAACATACGATTTGCTGAGCGTCGAGAAAAAATGGTCTTTGGAGGGGAAAAGAGCATTCATGCATTCACTGTTTCTCCCTTGTCGCCCTCTTCCCTCAAATACTACCTCAGCCTCAAGTTCACAGTTTCTTCCCGGGCCCTGTGGTCCCCAGAGACCTGCAATCCTGCAGGAACGCCTACGTAACTTGACCGACATTGTGACCACCTGCCAGAGCAGCATTAGCAGCAAAGTAGGTAGGGAATCAAGGGCTGTGCGTGAGTGCGAGGGTGGGAAGCATCGTCGTCATCTGCCTTGCATAACCGAGACGGCCAGAGCCAGCACCACGACCAGGGATGGGAACGAGGGAGTTGTTGGGGGGGGAAGGGGATAGGTTGTGGGTGGACGCGGTCCTGTCACTTTAGGCGCCGGCCGGATGCCAGATGAGCTGGAGGGCGGGATACCCGGAGAAAGAGAGAGAGAGAGAGAGAGAGAGAGAGAGAGTGTGTGTGTGTGTGTGTGTGTGTGTGTTTCTCGAAATCTGAAACTTGGAATCTGAAACGTCAGGGGGCGAGATGCGAGGTGTGAGGTGTGGAGGTTTCAAAATCATCAATGGATCGTTTACGCGCCCGGGAAGATATATCCATGTAGTACATCCAATATGTACATAGATATGTACTGGACTAACTGCAGCGACTAAACACCTACCTACTCGCTAGGTAGGTAGGTGTGTCACACCTCGTACAAGTCCCTCGTAGCTGACCCAGATGGAAATGCAGTACTCTATCCTACAGAACGAACGTCAAGTAGTAGAGAAAAAGATGGCAAGTCGTCGGGTCGTGGGGGGCCAATCAAGCCATTGGACGAGGCTGCGGCGGTTAGAGGAGTGGGCGCAGCGGGCGGGCGCTTAGGCACGTACTGTGTTGCCTCGTGGCACACAATGCATCGGAACTTGGGTGGGCAGGGCATTCTGAGGTGAAGAGGAGACGAGAAAACAAGTATCGATTGAGTGAGGTGAAAGTGGAAAAGACGAGACCAGAAGACAAATAGGACCGGGTAGGTCAGGGGGGGAGAGTATTAGATGGAGGCATTGCCAACTTGCACTTTGAAGCCATTATATGCTCCGCGGTATAAGATATGGGCATGGATACTGTAGAGTATGCGCCCTCAACAAACACATCTGCAAGGCGTCGAGGTGGTGGTGCTTTCTTTCTGGCGCTTACTCGTAAGAAACCCCTCCCCAGGTCGTCGCAACTTCTCCGTGCGGTCTACAATCAACGGCTGTGCATGGACGGGGGTTTGTGGACTTTGCGTTTCAGGTTCCCCGGCAAACCGCCCATCGAGCCCCCCATCACTTGAAGTCTGTCAGTGATCGCCCATCACTACATGACCGGACCATGGCCCGAAACAGAAATGGTGTTCTTCATGTCATAGATCCCGTCTGTTCCCATCCCGGCGATTTCTTCTGGTCAATGAATGGATTGATCGATCGAATCGAACGTTGCCTTCAATCAGTCTCTGGATAATGTTCGGATGTGCCTCAAAGTCTGTGCCTGTCCTCTAGGCCCAGGGTCTCGGGCGCCGTATTGTGGTTTGGGGAGCTTATGCTATCAGTCACGAATACGAGACGACGACAACGCGGACACCGCAAGACAACGATTCCAGTATGATGCGTGTGGCGACTGGCCAGATCGCTACACTGATAACTAGGTAACCAACCAACTAGCTAAATCATTTGGACTGTTTGAGTAGGTGTTGCGAACTTGACATGACCTCCGCCGTCATTCTGTATGCGAGGCTGAACTCATCCGTCTCACTGTCAGACTTGCGTCGTTGCAATTTCTGTTTTTGAGGTCGGGACGAATCAGGCCGGTCTCGCCACCCTCCGCTTAACTGGAAGAGTCCCTCTGCTGCGGCGCATCTCCCTCGGTGGGATCCTTCTTAGGCGGGCTGTTGTTGTTGTCGCATTACCATGTGTCCCTGATCTGAGCTGAGCTCCATGAATGTCAGCTTTTCCCAGGCCATCTGCTCCGATAAGTATGATACGCATGTCCCATAAAGTGAGTAGACTGGACGGTTAACAGAGACGCTAAGCTTGCGTAAGTTTTGCTCTCTCCCCGTAAACCAGGGAATTGTCCGAGGGCTGACTCTGACTCTTCTATCGCGGACTTGGCATCGAAAGGACTTGCTGACTGATCCCATAGCATACCGGAGTGGCTGAAGGACTGGCGGTATGGAGGTTGGGGGCCTAGCCTTTTCCTGAAGGCTTCGAATGTCCTCATATAGATGCAAGTCTGCCAACTGCCCGCGTGGCTCTTTCGAAACTTCGAACACCTTTACTCGATCAGCACATACGATAACTGACCCAGGAGAAGCAATAATGGGCTCTATATCGCCACCAACCTCTCTACGCGTTATCGTGGTGGGCGGCGGCATCTGTGGTCTCTCCGCCGCCATCGCTCTTCGCCGAGCTGGCCACCATGTGACCGTGTATGAGAAGTACTCGGCCAATGCAGATGCTGGGGCCGGGATTGTGGTAGGCGCAAATGCTGCCAGGATCCTCAAGCAGTGGGGTCTCGACATGGAGGACGCTGGGATGCTCAAATACAAGGCCGGATATATCATGGAGGGCAAAACGCTCAAGGTGCTGGACTTTGTCTACGGAGAGGGCAGCCATGTGAATGACGAGAAGAGCAATGGCGAGTCCAGTTATATGGCTACGAGATCCGACTTGAGGTCGATGTTGAGGAAGGAGGTCGAGAGGGACGCACAAGGAGAAGGTACTATTGAAGTCCGATATGCAGCGGAGGTCCTGGATTATGACCCGGAAGTACCAGCGGTCAAGTTCGCGGATGGGAGCTGGAAAGCAGCGGACTTGGTGGTAGCGTGTGATGGGATCAGAAGCAGAGCTGCAAGAATTGTGAGCGACGGAGCCAATCCACCAAATACCACGGGAATTTCGGCCTTTAGAATGCTGATCCCCGATGAAAAGCTGGCCGAGGTCAAAGAGAAGTTTGAACACGACGACCTGATCCGAGAAAAGTTCAACAAGGAGAACGGCACAATTTGGTTTGTCCGCGGCAAGAACAGACTCGTTGTGTGGTGGACATGTCGATTTGGCACGATTCAAGCGTTCGACATACTCATGCCCGACAACGAAAATTATGCCAGCAGCGAAGACTGGAGGGCCAGATGCGACAAGCAGGTTCTCCTCGATGAGTTTGGGCATTGGCACCCACTGTTCCAGGAGATTTTCAGGGCAGCAGATGATGATCCGTTGTTGTGGAAGGTGTGCTCCAGAGAACCATTGGGCGCCTTGCACAAAGGAAAATTGGTCATGCTAGGCGACGCATTGCACCCGATGCCTCCCTTCCGAGGGCAAGGAGGCAGCCAGTCCATCGAGGATGCCGGAGCTCTGGAGATGATCGCAACCAACCTCACCGACAAGTCCGACCTGCCGAAACGGCTCGAGATATTGGCTCAACTGAGGGTTCCAAGATATTCATGTGTCCAGATGATCTCAACAGTCCGCCAAGACGAGGAGAACTTCGAAGAACGCTTTGTCGAGGTGCTGGATCAATGTCGAAAGTGGTTTGAGGAAGAGGATCAATCTCACCGTAAGTTGGATTTTCCGACCGAGGAAATGAGCGGTGCACTAAAAGACACAGTGACCAGCAGGGCGGCATTCACACAGTGGCTGCATTCTTACGATGCCCGAGAAGTCGCACGGAAAGCCGTAAGCACAGCGACGTAGGGATGGCGCCGACATGGAGAGATGGCGGAATCGTAAAATGCCTGATAGCGCCCATCCGCCTGCAGCGGAACTTGCCCGGTTTGGGCGCGCGCCAAGAGCCGGGAATTGCTGTCTTTTGAAATTGAAACAACCCAGCATGTGAATCGCCACTATCGCCCAAATAATAGAATAACTTGCAGACATGTAATGTGCCATCGCTCTTTTTTCCCCATACCTAAAAGTGTCATCTTCGTCCAGAGTATACCAACTATGTCAGACCACAAAGACCGTCGCCCAGCGAAGCAGCGGCGGCTTCACGGAATACCACTGCTTGAGCAACCAAGTCCCGTCGAGGATGACGAAGACTCTTCGAGTTCCTCATCATCTTCTTCCATACAACTGCCGACAACTCGCCTTTCTCATCGACTGCTGAAGAGTTCCAATTCGCTACCTACAGAAAATTCTTCCAGCGATGGAGAAAGCGGAGAAGAGGACGTGGAGGAGACGACATCGTCTTCGGATTCCGAGGATTCAGATAGCGACGATATGTCAGAGGAAGATGAAGAAGATGAGGGAGACGATGTCGAGGATCATGTCGCTGCGAGCGGCCCAGGAATCCCACGTTATACCACGCTTCCCTCTCGAGGGTCAGACCTCAAGTCTCGTTTGCAGAGTTTCCTGCCACAGCTTCAGCAAGCGAATGAGGAGCTCGAGAACTCGGGAGAAGTAGTTGACAACAGGATTGACCATGTGTCGGACGAGGCCGAGCATTACATCGAGATGGAGGTGGGTCTAGGTGTGTTGTCTGAGCAGAACGACGATGCTACCCAAGTACGGCTTCCACATACATTACCTAGTGAGGATGAGGATAATGAAGACGACGACGAGATCAAAGATGGGCAAGAGGGCTTGGAACACAGCGTCTTGTCTCCATTGATTGGCATGAACGGAACAAAGGGGATCAAGCGAAAAATCGAGGAATTGGGATGAAGGATGCGGGTTTGTATAGATATTGAGTTCGGCCGGAGCATGGCGTCTGGAGTAAGGAGTCTGGCGGTAGTGATAGGGAGCAGGTGGGATGCCTATTGACATAATATGCCCTGGATTATCTTGCCCATACTGCCATAATAATACATGAGGCAGCCATATGGGGAGAAGCGATAAGAAGCGGGGGCCGAGACACAGGCGGCGGCACGAGGCGGGCAACCAAAATTTCCGGGCGCGGCAACGTCATTGTTTGGATCTAACCCGAAATTGTCGCCCGAGCCACGGCCACGCGGGTTTAGCCCAATTGCCCCCAGACCAGCGCAGCAAATCTAGCGCCCCCATCAGCTGGCCGATCACCTCACCGTTATTTCATGTATGTTTCCCTACATTGCAGATACCGCGCCGTCATCCAAGAGTGCTTCCATCTCCTCAACCGAACCTCGACGATGGTGCCGCCGTCCCGCACACTCACTCATGAGGTCCGAGCAAAGACCCCAACACACTCGACCGCCTCGAGTCCCTCTCTCAGGTCCAAGACGCCTGTGAGTGTGCCGATGACCCCAACAAACAGTACCATGACTCCCGGTGGCAATGTCAAGGTCGTCGTTAGAGTCAGGGCATTTCTTCCCCGCGGTAAGGATACCATGACTGCTCACTCTGGCGATGCTAATAGTTGCTCGTTAGAAATCGACAGAGGCGCACAATGCCTGATTGAGATGAACCCTCGCACCCAGTCGACCAAGCTGCTGGTACCTCCTTCGACCGATCCAGCCAATGCAAGAGCGCAGACGCGAAAAGTCCTCGAGGAAAAGCTGTTCACATTTGACAATTCATTCTGGTCGCACAATACAAGAGACGAGCACTATGCAACACAAGAGGATGTCTACAATTGTTTGGGGGAAGAGTTCCTAGATCACAATTTTGAAGGCTACCACACATGTATCTTTGCGTACGGACAGACGGGCTCAGGCAAGAGTTACACTATGATGGGTACCGCAGAACAGCCGGGCTTGATCCCACGGACCTGCGAGGACTTATTCCAACGCATCGAGTCCAACGAGAGCGCCAACATCAGCTACAGTGTTCGAGTATCATACTTTGAAGTCTACAACGAGCACGTGCGGGATTTGTTCCAGCCACGCACTGAACCTCCCCAATACCTCAAGATCCGCGAGTCTCCGACCGAAGGGCCGTATGTCAAGGACTTGACAGAAATCCAAGTCAAGAATTACGGCGAGATCCTCAAGTACATGCGCATGGGCGACAACTCTCGGACTACGGCTTCGACCAAGATGAATGACACGTCTTCTCGCTCTCATGCAGTCTTCACCATCATGCTGAAACAAATCCACCACGATTATCGAACAGACGAGACAACCGAAAGACTGGCGCGGATAAGGCTGGTGGATTTGGCTGGATCTGAACGTGCCAAATCGACCGAAGCCACGGGGCAGAGACTCCGAGAAGGCGGGAACATCAATAAATCGCTGACCACATTAGGGAGGGTTATTGCCGCGCTCGCCGAGCCCAAAAATGGTCGACCACACCATGCAAAAAGAACAAATCGTGACATTGTGCCGTACCGTGATTCGATCCTGACTTGGTTGTTGAAGGACTCACTTGGAGGGAACTCAAAGACGGCCATGATTGCTTGTATAGCGCCGTCAGACTACGATGAAACCTTGTCAACCCTCCGATATGCAGATCAGGCCAAACATATCCGCACCAAAGCTATTGTCAACCAAGACCATGTCTCGTCCGCAGAGAAAGATGCACAGATCAATGAAATGCAGGAGACGATCCGAGCGCTGAGGTGGACGTTGAGCCAGCAGCAACAGAATGGTAGTGCCTCTGTGATGAAAGCTGTGCAAGAGACTGCCGAAGCCCAATCGGAGAAGATTCGTGAATTCACGACCAAGTATGAGAACATGTTGCAGATCATGGAAGAGAAGTTGGCAATTTCAGAGTCAAAGGTGCGGCAACTGGAGGAAGAAAAAGAGGCCTTGAGCATTCACTTGAAGCTTGTGCTTGACGAGCTCAAGAATCCGATCGTCATCAACAAGGAGGAAACCGAATCTGTCTACGAGAAGTCTAGGGCGCCGACGCCAGACATGATATACGAAGATGACACGGCCTCTAGCGACGAGGTAGACACGGAGTCCGAGGTCGACGACGAGGCTGCTGAGATGCAGGCGGAGATGGAGGCGCTGATCTCGGACTTGGGAATGTTCAAGAAGAAGATTGCTGCAGACCACGAGACGTTTGGCATCGGCGTTGCAGCATGAGGGGAGAAAAGGAACGCACGAAAGTGAACGTTTGTCAGTTAGCGAGGCGTTAGGTCGTCGTGGTGTATGGAGTCTTTGGCTACTTCAACTATGGTCTGCTTGCCCCCATGACGCCAATGTTGGAAACAGGTACACATGGTCAGATCAAACCTTTTGCAGCACACCAGGAGCAGAATACACGGACCACTTGCGGGATCGATTCGCTGTGTGGCACCTTGGTCGTTCTCTCCAATGTTTCTTGCTGTGCCACGTCTCGTCTTATCCACACACGTGAATCAATCCAGGTCGCAGTACTTCTCGACGAAGCTCGCCACTTCTCTCAAATCCGCCACCCACCAGACCACAGAATGCTTCCCTTGCCTTGGGCCTCTATGTCCTCCCCTTTGATACTCGATCCACTTGTCCCAGTCGAGCCTTGACACCTCGACACCCACTCGCTCCAGACATTCCTTCAACTCGGCCTGTCCGCTGCCCAGCGGCTCGTCGCGCACACAGATGCCCACGTCGGCAGCGACGAGGCAGTCGAAATCCGTGGCGGAGTCGCCCACGTAGAGAATATCGCCATTCCCGCTCTCTCGTAGTCGATTGAGGGCTTCCAGCTTGTCGGCGCTGGTGTGAATGCTGGTGGTGGTCCCCGAAGTGTTTTCTGAAGGTTCACAGGCGAGGTGATTAGAGAGGATTTCGATAGAGTCTACCGTGTCTTTCATAGGCGGCGGACAATCTCCCAACGCTGCCGCCGCTGATAGACACGCCCTTATGAAGGCGGCGCTCCAGTTCACGCTGATAATCGCAAGGGGAGGCCGAGCTGTTGCTTCTGCTGCAGCAGTCTCACTCCGCGCACAACGACTCGCACCTGCAAGAACATCCTTCCATCCATCTCGTAACTGGACCTCGCCGCCCCGGACTGCATCCTCCGCCGCCTCGCAAACATCCTCCTCAGTCACGTCCGCAAAGACCCCCGCACCCCGTACCCGCTGGACACTTCTGCGCTCGACTTCCCCCAAGCTAGCCAGCCACGCGCTCTCCTGGCCCACAGTCGTGCGTTGCGACTTGGCCGGCCGGTACGAGTCCCGGTGCGCAGTGTAGTCTGATATATACGCCTGGACGATCTGGTCCCATGGCATGAGATCGCGACCTCCCCGGTGTCGATTACGTTTGTAGCCGATCCCCGCCACGACGTGAAGAGTGTCGCGTCTGGTCAGGGTGCCGTCCCAGTCGAGGACGATGCGGGGAGGGGCTTTTCTCATCCCGAGCTTTGAGATTGTGAGCAGCGACGATGTGGATGTGAGGGTGCGCACGTGCTGGGTTGCATGGGTGAGACGGGATCGCATTCCCCTTCTCGTTGATATATAGTATGTAAAATGTATAGAATTGTGCTTCTGGCGAGGACTTCTTAGGTCGTGATACTCTTCAGACCCCGGAAATCTTGGCGGGTCAAAAGGAGGTAAATCGAGCACCCCCCACTCACCTATACTCACCCATACTTATCTATACTCACCTATGCTCACCTATGCTCACCTATACTCACCTATGCTCACCTATACTCACCTATTCTCACCTATACTTACCTATACTTACCTATACTTACCTATACTTACCTATACTTACCTATACTTACCTATACTTACCTATACTTACCTATACTTATCTATATTTATCTATCCTTACCTATATTTATCTATACTTACCTATACTTCCCTATACTTACCTATACTTACCTACACTCACCTACACTCACCTGCACTCACCTGTACTCACCTGCACTCACCTTCACTCACCTTCACTCACCTTCACTTACCGTCCCTGACCCACTCTTACCCACGGCCCTCGCTCTACCTCGTACTGGGCGACATCCAGCGAGCTAAAGCGCTGAGTGGATATTCTGCTGGCATCTCAGGCACACGCACGCCGACTTAGTGGCCGGCTTAGCATAAAGAATGTGCATTAAATACGAGGAAAGTCAAAAGAGGATTGCAAAGCGCAACCTCCAAATCAGAGAGTTGGGGTCAACTGAAAGATGCAACCAAGTGCGCAAATCATGCTACGTGACTCGACTGGGCGAAGAAACCGACGCATTTCGTATTTGGGCGCCCATGAAATCTCCACGAGTCATCGGCGGCGGGATCTGTCAAAATACTGCCCATACTCAGGCAAACATGGTCCGACTGAAGAATCCTGTCCTCCTTGCCTTCTATCAAGGCGACGAGCATGACCCTTCCTGGTACACCATAAACATTGTGGAATAACCCCGACTCGAGGTGCGACAAGTCTGATTTCGGCATCATTCACTTTGGAACCTGGACAAGCTCTCCCACCAGGAAGTGGGCCTTTCGATTTCTGAATTTGGGGACATCTTCAAACACCTCCTTGGACTCAGGACTGGCGACCGCGGTTTTGATGCTGTCCTTGCTCTCCCACGTCAACACTGCACCAAAGTTGTAGCGTTTGGAAGCGTCAAAGCTGGCGTCGTAGTGAATCAGTTGGACGTCGATCAGGCCGTGCTTTCCCCATGCCTTTTGAACGATCGGCATATGGGTGTTGATATAGTAGTCGACATCGAAGGTGGCACCCTCGTCATTCGGGTAGAGAACGGTTGAGTTGTAGACCATCGTCACCACTGCCAAATGACAAGTTCAAGCGATGTATGGACGAGTGGGTGACGAGTGGGTGACAAAATGTGGTGATCAATCCTGACTTCCAGACCAAGAATGCCTCGTGCTTCTGTTTTGGAACGAGTATTTCCGTTCATGATGAGGGCAGGTCTGTCCATCAATGGCGCCCCCAAAGTGTGTCCACCACCTCCTCCGCCGTACGCCGGGCATTTTCCCCGCCACTGGGCATCGGATCGTCCCCCCACAATCCAGGGCCGACCACTTTTCCACCAGGCACATACGAGGGACTGCCCTCGCTGCTTACTGTACAGATGATGCTCACCTGGAGCGACTCGGTGGCTGAGGTGTGCCGAGGTGAGAAACCTCGTCTCGGGGAGTCTGTTGATTGGGTGGCACAGCTTCCAGACAGATCATCTCGACTGCAAGATGGCCTGGTTTGAGAAATGCGAGCGACGACGTCGAGGTGCCAGGCCACCGCACAGAAAGTACCTCCCTCCAAGATTCTACCGCGTTGCAAGAAACATTTTAACAAGATACGGCGCTGCTCACACGTAAACATGCCGACGTATAGCGTGAGTCGAGGTTTCGCCTACAACTACATTCATATCGCTCCGAGGGACTCATCCAAAAAGTATGTCCTGTTCCTCCATGGTTGGCCATCGATTGCCCACGAATGGCACCATCAGATCGATCATTTCCACAAACTCGGCTATGGCGTCGTCGCTCCAGATCTGCTCGGATCGGGCCTTACAGCTCGCCCTCTCCTTGTGAAGCACTACCTCCTCAAAGACATGGCCGGGGATGTTGTGGAGATCCTGGACCATGAAAACATCTCGTCGACGGTTTTCGCCGTGGGCCACGACTGGGGCTCTCACTTGCTGGGCCGGTTGGCAGTGTACCATCCAGAGAGACTGGAAAGGATCTGCTTCATTGCGGTCGGTTACCGGCCCCCGCGACAGAAGATTGACATCGACGCCGTGAACGCGATGACGCAGCAGAAACTGGGATATTCGACCTTTGGATATCAGATTTTCTTCACCAAGGACGAGAATGCGATGGAAATCATGAACCAGCATGTAAGCAAAGCCGACCATTCGATTCCAGAAGAGTCTCAACAGGACAACGTTCGCAGATACTAATTCCATCTCCCTCGAATAGAAAGACTCGGTCATGTCACTGCTGTATGCAGACGATCCCACGACGTGGAAGGTACACTTGGGTCCTCCTGGAGCCCTACAGAAATGGGCAGAGGCCGGCAGCACAACACCGTACGGATCTTACCTCACGGAAGAAGTGAGTCAATCCTTGCGAGACTTTTGGAAGTGAACGAATTTTCCACCAACACTGAGAGACAAGGATCACAAAGCGCGCAATGCCAACATTTCGGAGGTGCTCGGCGGTCTTCCATCCCTCAACTGGTACAAAGCTCATGCATTTAATCACAATTACGAAGCGGAAAAAGGTGCGTCCACTTTCCAACGTACACGTGAACAAGAAAGTCTTCTTTCCATGCTGAGAATGAATAATGGCCCCAGGAATTCCGGACGACAAGACCAAGTTGACACAGCCGACACTCTATCTTACATGCCAACATGACTACATCGGAGTGTGGAGTCTTCAACTGGCGGCCATGGAGGCCTATGTACCGGACCTTCAAGTCCAACATCTGAACACTGGTCATTGGGGGCAACTTCAGGCTGCGGAGGAGGTCAATCTCGCATTGGAAAACTTTTTCTCAAGGTCTTCCTGAAAGCTGTCCCATTGTCAACCCCTAGATAGAGACTAGCCTGTCCGCCAATATTTTAGTCTAGAAATTCTACATATTTGTAACTGCATCGCCCTCAAGCAGACCTTTTTGTGTCCATGGCGTTTCTCCCACCCGGTAGACCAACTTCTGACCACTGACTTGACCCGACTTCAATTTCTCTAGCCCATCGATCACTCCCTCGAGACCGTCGGCGCCCACCACCTCGCTGTGGGTCTGTATTTTGCCCTCTGCCAGCAACGTCTCGAACAGGGCCATGAACTTTTTCGCGAATTCGAAATCCTCAAGGCTAGCTGGGAACTCTGTGCCTCTCATGGAAAAGGTCTCGTTGAACATGGTGTACATGACCGTTGAGATGGAATGGACATCCGGGCGCGGGCACTTGGTCGGCAGCACACAGCCGTAGACACAGCCTTCTGCTGCTGCCGCCGATGACGAGAGCGCGTCCGCGCAGATCTGGGCCGACTCATCCTTGCCGAAGGTGTCCCAGGCATACTTCAGGGAGTCCTGGGTGTAGTCTCGAATCTTGGCCCCGACGTTGGCTTCGCGGTAGTCGAATGCCTCGACGGCTCCCAGGGATTTCGCTTTGTCAAAGTGCTTGGGCGAGCACAACGTGAGGACGGAATATCCAGCACTGCACATATGAGCGGGCAAACGCCCCCGCCCGGTGGTCTGCGTTAGCTTTTTTTTTGGTCTTTTTCCCACCGACTTTCAGGAATAAACAACCTGAATTTTTCTTTCGAGCGATAACTCCAGGGGGGGCCAGTCTTAATTACTTACAGTGTGGCAAGTTGGATCCCCAGTGACCCAGTGGCCGTGCTGCCTCCGTAGATCAGGACAAATGGTTTCGACGACGTGACCGGATCGTCCGGGAGGTTCAGCTTGAGGGCCTTCTGGAACAGACCCTGGCCACAGGTGATGGCCCCCAGACTGACGGTCGAGGCCTTCTCGAAGCTCAGGCCGTGGGGCCTTTTCATCAACACGTCGCCCTTGGTGACGATGTACTCGGCGAACGCTCCGTCTTCCGGTTGCTCGGGACAGCCGCCGTGGGCCACGCCCAGGACCTCGTCGCCCTTTGCGAACGACTTTGTCACCTTGGGGCCGACTTCCTCGACGACGCCCGCGAAGTCGCAGCCGAGGAGGTTGTTGTCGTCTGCGATGCCAAAAGTGGCATGCTTCCAGTCCGTTGGATTGAGTGCCACCGCGACGGTCCTGACGAGGACGTAGTCATCCCGTAGGCGGGGGAGGGGGCGATCGGTGACCAGCGTGGGAGTCCTGTTCTGGCAGATGACGGCTTTCATAACTGCAGAGGAGGCTTTCTTGATGGAGTTGCGGTGCCTGAAGCGATTCTTTTTTTTTGGACTCCCTGGTAGAGAATGAAGCTCGGCCGTTTTAAATGTCTTTCGTCGAATATGATGCATCAGGGGTTGCTTTTCCAAGAGCTGTTTGTATTGATCCATAAGCCATCCACCACCCGCCGTCATTCCCCGAGCTCTCTCGGTCCACACCTTCACCGATCGCCTCTTCTTAGTAATGCTCCCAAGATCCACTCTAGCCTCCTAACAATATTGAACACCTCCCTTGTTCTTGGCTGACAGTATAGTGACAGTCCGAATGGTTCAACATGCTCGATTGTTGGTTCAATATCGGTGTATGGAGTCATCGTTTTGGCCCACGATATCTCTGAGCTCACAGAAGTGTATACGACTATCACTACCACGGATGAAGTAATTGCCAACAAGTCCGTTCATGGCCAGAGTCGGGCCTGAACAGGTCTTACCACCCCTTCTGATATCAAAAGCAGAATGCTTTGCTACTGATGATGTCATTTTGACGAGGTTCTATGCTTTTCCTGCCTGCTATGCCAGGTGGAATCCTCCATTGACTCCCATGCACACCCCCGTCACCCAGCCAGCTTTCTCCTCGCACAGCAGACCGACCGCCCCGGCGATCTCTGATGGATCGGCCATCCGCGCCGCTTTGGCTGTTGCGTCGAGCAGAGGCTGGAGCTTTGCTCTGAATTCATCTCCCGCGTGATTGAAGCCATGGGTGTTTGTCGGGCCCGGGCAGATGGCATTCACGGTGCAATCGTAATCACGGCCGAATTCTCTAGAATGACCACCAGCTTTCAGTAACCTCGATAAATTCCGGTCTAAGGAGAAGCTCACACTGCCCAACATCTGGTGAATCCTTCGACCATGGCTTTCGTCCCGTTGTAGATGGTCGAGCCTCGCATTCCCTGTCGGGCCCCCGTGCTGCTGGTGTTGATGATGCGGCAGCTCTTCTTGGACAGGTGCGGTAGCACCGCCTGCGTCAGGAGAAGCATGCCCCGACAGTTCAGGTTGACCTGCTTGTCCCACTGGTCCAGGGTGACTTCGACCAGCGGCCGCATGATGGCAATGCCGGCGTTGTTGCAGAGGATGTCGATTTTCTTGCTGCCCGCGGGAAGACGCGCGACGGTCTCCTCGAGCAGTCTCTGAGGACCTTCCACCGTCTGCAGATCGGCTTCTACCGAGAAGCTCTGTTGTGCCGCTGAACCCTTGGTCTCCCGGCAGCGTTGGAGGACCGCATCGGCGTCTTTGGCCTGGCTCTCCCAGGGATAGTTGCATACCACCAGTGCGCCTCTACCGAAAGGGTGCATTCATGCATGAGCACTGAGCAGCCATTCTTGTTCAACAGCACCCAATTTGATCATGGGATGAGAAGAGGGAAACGGGAAATGGTATGTGGAAACTTACTTCGACGCCAGCTCGACGCAGATCGCGGCTCCTATGCCCCATGCCGCTCCGCTGACCAGGGCAACTTTGCCCGCCAAAGTCTGTTCCACCATGTTTTCCAAGGAATGTTGTGTAATCTGAGGGAGATACACAGATTCACGCAGACGCACCTCTGAGTCTCTATTTTTCTCTAACTCTCTCTTCTCCTTTGGCAGGAATCGACCACCTGATTTAGATTACCGAGTTCCTTCGGAGACTGTTGTCGGTTTCTAGACGCCCACATTTTGGCACCCATAAAGCCGTCCGGATTGCGGGGTGGAGCCTCACAAACTTTTGCGCCCCTACACCTCCCCCCCTGGCTAGGTGCCCCGGTGACCTTCTATTAGTGTGCCACCACCACCACCACCACCACCACTGCAACCTCCGAAGCCGCCTCGCCGGGCACTGTGGGATAAGCTGATAATTCACGTTTCGATTTTCACCCATTTTTGTCAATTCAGCCCCAGTCAGCCCGACGAGTGGGAAGCCTTGTGAGTGGAGGGGAGGAGAAGAAACACACTACAGCGGTTCCGTCCAAGTCATGGTGTAATGCATACATGCATACATACAAACAAAGGGATATCCAGAGAACCAGCCCGACCCTAGTCAGCGAGAAAGCACTCCAGACGAGGACTATCTCTCGAGGACTATCTCTCCCAGAGACTTCAGTTAAGGACACGATGGTTGGCAAAGCAATGTAGGAAGAGGACCCCTCTTTACCCCAGATACGTTTTTTTTCTATTTTGATAGCCCCATAATGTTGTCCTCTTGCGGATTTGCAAAGGCTCACTCATTAAGCCCCAAAAACTCCGAGGTTCTGATATGTTTACAGAATCGTGACCGGAGCCAACGGCGGGATCGGGTTCAGCATCACGCAGCAGCTGTTGGCCAAACCGGCCGAGACCGTCGCCTTGGTGGTGGCCATCGACCTGCACGACCACCGTCTCAGATGTCTCTTGGACCGACATCAAGATCGCCTCGAGGTCGTCTGCGGCGACATCAGCCGGCGAGAATCCAGTCAGAAAGCGGTGGACGCCGCCATTTCGCGCGCGGGGAGGCTGGACTCGATCATCCTGAACGCCGGCATCCAGGGGCCGACGGGGTCGATCTTGAAGACGGACGTCGAGGCGTGGAAGAAATGCTTCGACGTCAATTTTTTCTCCTTAGTCCATTCGGTAAGACAAAAGCAGTGCACAACCATGCCTTGCCTTGCCTTGACGAGCTGATCTCACTGGAAAAACTGCACCTTAATTTTTTTTTCCCTTTCCATACCTCTCTTCTATGTGTTAATGTGGGGATCGATCAGATCCAAGTGGCAGCTCCTCACCTCCACGAGTCCAAGGGTTCGATCATCATGACGACCAGCGGCGTCTCACTGAGCCCCTTTCCGGAATGGGGCGCGTACGGCTCTTCCAAGGCGGCAATGAATTACCTCAACATGGCCTGGCCCAAGGAGGACCAAATCGTCCGCAGCGTCTGTATCCGGCCGGGGATCGTCGACACCGGTCTGCAGAAGGAGGTTCGAGATGAGCGTATGTCATGACTATTTCCGTATTCCTCTCTCTCTCTCTCTCTCTCTCGTGTGTGTGTGTGTGTGTGCTCACTTCCTCCCTCTCTCCCTCTTTCCCTGTCTTTCGAGATCTATTGATACTAATTAACCTAAAATAGTCCAGAACTCGTTACCGGAAAAGACATACACCTGGCTCAAGGGCATCCACGACCGGGGAGAACTGCTCCGACCGGACCAGCCGGCCCGGACATTTGTCGCTTTCGCGCTCGGTGGGATCCCCGAGGAGCTGACGGGCAAAGTGGTCGATTGGAATGATCCCAAAATCACACATGTTAGATGACGGAGTCCATGAATTAAATCGAAACAAGGGAGGGGAGGGGGGGAGGGTTTCGAAAAGCATGATTGATCTGTCCAATCAATCTTCGAGTTTTTCGGGATGGGGCTTTTAATTCTCATTACATTTTGATGGCATTTGCGAGACGTCCTACGTATTCATTCTGATTATCCACACAAACATCTTATCATAATGGTGATAGCTTCAAGGCCAAAGGCTCATCAATTTGATTTCCGAGCTATATTGGTTCTATGTCCCCCTCTGGCCCCAAAAGTTTCACAGACAGTGGACATCTCGCTTTCGAGGCGTGACCTTGACGATCAGCTCCTTGGGAAACGCCACGATTGCGGTGTAAAATTCCAACTTGCCCTTCGGTCGGATGAGTTCAAACTGTTCAAGATGGTGAGGCGAAAAGTCAGTACCTGGCTGAAGACTATAGGATATATCAAACAGCAAAAGAAAAGAATGGATCGTGCGCGGACATAGATCACAGAATGACCCAACCAAGTTTCGAGGGGGAAAAGCACAGTAAGGGGTTTTGTTTGCATACCTCGTAATTCAAGAGCAGTTCGGGAAGGACCTTCTTCATCTCGATCCAAGCAATGTGCTGCCCGATGCACATGCGCTTGCCCTGGCCAAAGCCCATGAAGGCCCTCTCCATCCTGTTTCTTCGGGCGGAATCACCTTCAAGCCAGCGTTCGGGACGGAAGTCCGCAGGCTCGGGACCCCACAGCTCCTCTCTCCTCGCCAATCCCATCATGCTGATGGCCACGGTAGTCCCCCCGGGGACAAAAACACCGGCGACGTGGGCGCCGCCAGCGGGCACTTCGCGGTCCAGGGTAAAAACGCTGATGTTGTAGACCCTCATGGATTCCTTGATGACGGCTTCGAGGTAAGGCAGCTTGGCCACGGATTTGAACGAGGGAGGGGAGGCCAGCTGGGCGTCCTCAAGTTCCTTGATCAGCTCCGCCATCGCGGCTGGGTGCTGCAGGAGATAGTGCGTGGTGATGGCGAGCGTGGACGCCGTCGACTCGGCCCCGGCGTGGATGGTCGACATGACCAACCCCACGACGGTGGCCATGCCAAAGGTATCAGGCGCCTTCTTGTTGGCCTGCATATACCGGTCGAGCAGGTCGGCGTACTTGACCTGACCGGCGCCGCTCTCCAGCATGGTCTCCCTCTCACGGACCCTCTGCATGGCCCGTTGAGTCAGGAGAGAAGGCCCCATCCGTCCGCGCACCAGGGGGTTCTTGTACAGGAGTGCCTCAATCTCCGGATACATGAGCCAGCGCTGCCAGTGGTTGAATCGCTCCTTCAGTGCAACCAGAGTGGTTTGGACTTCTTGCTCGGGGAAGTCACCGTCACTGAATGCGATCCGGCAGATCCCCTCAAAGGCGAACAGCTTGAACCATCGCACCAAGTCGACGGTCGGCGCGTGAGACCTGACGCGCTCGTTCATCAGTCGGACCGTCTCGTCGACATGGGGTTCATAGTCTGATATCGCCCCGAAGGTGAATGCCGAGTTGATATGCTTCTTGATCGCAGACACTCGATCTTCCTGCCGCGTGGTGACGAAGGAGTCTTGCACCTTTCCATTCATTACAATTCGAGCAGGTTCATACGTTGATGCCTGTCAAAACCGTAGTGAAGGTTTCATTTTAGCGGCTGACGGACGGACGGAAGGAGGACTCGAATTTGGCATACAGACTTGGGAAGCAGCAGCCGATGAGAGGAAGACGGAAAGCGAGACGTACCTTTCTCCAAACATTTGTCGTGGCATAGATGGTCGGGATGGCATTGGCGTCTGAGAAGATGACCGTCTTGGGGCCTATCCGGACGACGGGGCCATACCTCTCGTCCAGCACCGGCGCAATATCCGCGAAGCTCTCTCCTCGCCACATCTTGACGGCGAGCCAGAGGTTCGTGAATCGTGCCAGAAAGGGCCCGGGAACGTGTCGGAGCTGGAGATAGGTCCGCAAGGTGGACACCACCAGCCAGACCACCACCACCAGCAAGGCGGAGGTAGGTGCATAGGGAATCACCTTCGTACTCATCTTCCAATCGTCAATGGAATGCGAATCCATCTTTTCCCCGGCTTGGTAGGTGGAAATCTAGGATCCTCCTCCTCCTCCTCCTCCTCCTTCTTCTCTCTTGTCGTTGTGTAGGTATACCAGCTCTATCCTGGCAGCCGAAAGTTAGCTGAGCATTCCCACAGTCCTTTCCTGGGAATGGGGGAATTTGCTTTGACCAAAGGTTTTAAACATCCTTAAATTTGTTTCCCTAAGAGAAAAGAGTTTATTGGATATTAAAGGTAACGTAGACGGGTTACAATCGGAGTGGGTTGCCAGCTTACAACCCACAGGCGTCTAGGTCACATGTCCAGGACCGCGGAGGGAGGCGGTGCGACCACACCGTGGTCCGAGATGAGGATGGCTGAGGCACAGGAGCTCAGGGATCTCGGAGAGCAAGATCCCGCGTCTTAGAGGGAAGCCCGCGGCGGCAGACATGAAGCGTTGGCGTGGTTGATCCGAGGGAGGCGACGACGCTGGAGGAGAGCAAGCCGATGTATGCATATCAAAACGAACAGGCTTCGTTTAAAGAATGTTTGATATCAGGTATTCCCTCGGGTATGGACTAATTTAGCGATATTCAGAAAAGCTCATCTACCTGGGAGCTGCTTCCCATTGAGGTTTTCCTAGTCCTAGCTCCTGATCTTCCCTGGCTCCTAGGTCATGTCGATGTCCCTTGGTCAGTGTCCGACATGTACATGATCACCTTAGGGACTGCTGTTAGAATTTCTTGACCTTCAGCAGGAGGTGCAAGCGTAAGCTTCCTTTATACCCTCTGCCTTGATATCGATCCGAGAGGATCCGTTCCGCTGAATGTCTGTTGTCCGTCATTCTTCCCCCCGTAAGCTCTTCGCATGCCAATCGCGTTCCTGCGGGATGATTTCGATGATATATCCGTCCTAGAAGTTTCATATTTCCTCTTGTGAGTAAGAAATCCTGGCGGAACCATCGCCGAGAGAAAAAGGGTGGAAAATGGTGGGGGAAAAATAAAATAAAATCGAAACAAAAATCATCTCCGCCCCACCCCTCTTCCTTGTCTTGATTTTTTTTTTCCTTTCGTAGTTGCTTACCGGATCAAAGACGTGCACAAACGTCTCGACAATTCTATTGAAGGACGGGGCCATGCCGTCCTCGTCGCCCACCCCTACCCCTTGATCGGTCTCCCATTTCGTGATGGGCAGCGTGGGTCGGTCGGAGACGCCCAGTGGCTTGAACACCTTGACACCGTGTTCCTCCAAGCGTGCCACCGTCGCCTTGACGTCCGGAACCGTGAAGCCCAAGTGTCCAAATCCCAGGGAGGGAACGTTGTTACCCGTGCCCTTGTAGTAACCATCGGGTTGGTTCTCCGAGCCGTGCACATGCATCAGCTCGAGCAGGCCGGACGTGTACTGCGTCCTCAAGGCGGTCTCCGCGCTGAATTTCGCCAGGTCGGCCCGGTGTTCGGGCGTCTGAGGGTGTGTCAGGTAGTAGGTCGTCATGGGCCCGGCGTTCATGGTGAAAATCGTCCGCATCCCCATCAGGTTCATATAGAAGAAGAGTGATTTTTTGGGGTCGCGCACGCGAATCATCGCGTGGTTCATCCGGATCCCTACCGTCGGATCATCCTCTGGCAGCGGCGGGTCGTCGTGATTCCCTCCGATGTTCAACTTTCCCCATTCAAATGGGGACGACGGCGGTGGCGGCGGCGGCTGAGTTGGCGCAGAGTCCGACATGGTTCGCAATTGCTCGGGCGAAGACAGAAAGGGTAGCGAGGAGAGAATGAGGACACGTACAATCAGGGATAGAGAAGGGAAGGGAAAGCAAAAGTTGTCAGCAGCGTGGCAACTTGAGATACTGCTTCGAGGTGTATGGTCTAGTTCGTACCTGGCCAGTATCGAGACTCTGGTCATGTCATAGAAACCATTCGAAATATCTATGCGTCTCCTTCCCTCTCTCGCCGACTGCCGTGAACGCAAGCGAGCCCTGCCAAGTCAGACGGCCATCTCAGTTCGCGGTGTGTGGATTGTGCTCCCCGCCACCCGGGGATGCTTAATGGTGGCGCATCTCTTCAATGTTTGGGGATGGGATGCCCTGAAATCGGCCCCCGGGATGCCGGGGCCACCTGGGCGCCACTCTTCTCGGCACAGGTATGGGCATCTATCCAGGTGCACAATCTGTGGCCGCGACCTGTGGCGGCTTCGGCGTGCTCGGGTCGGGAGGGGAACCATGTATTGGAAACCCTAGCCAACGAAAGAAAGCTGGGATTGCAACAGGCGACACTGGCACAATTTCTATGGTAAAACCTATACTACTAGTAGTAGTACCTTTCGTGATAATACTTCTAGTAGCACGAATGATAGTGTTGACATCAAAAACCGTGGCAGTTATCGTGGCAGTAGTATTCTCACATTGAAACCACTCTCGGTCTATCTATCAACCACTTGCAATTCTATTCACGCAGGAACAAATTTGTGTTTCTGATAGATTGGCAGAGGCGTGCCCGCGACGTCCGCCTTGATCGATAACGCGATATACCGAGAGTAGTACCTCGCATATCCTAGCCCCCCGCCGAGGAAGAATAAGCCTCGTTCTGCAAGAGGGAAGGGGAATCGTCAGCCCGTTCCGAAGCCAGCCAAATTGACCTGGCTTGCTGGGGAAAGAAACTCACGATCGGTGGGCTTGTAAGCTCCAAGGACCTCTCCCTCCGAATCCAAGCCCCAGGTGTCACCAGCTCGCTGGGCAACCTCCTGCCCGAAGATCTCGGCGGCGTGCTGCTTCAGGTTCCCCACGAACCCGGTCGCGAAGATGATCACGTCCGCCTCGATTTGGGTCCCGTCGGCGAAGACGAGACCTTTCTCGTAGTACCGGACAGCTGGAGAGTCGGACTTGACTTTGATCTAGAGCGGACAGTCACGCGACCATCATCAATCAGCTCCGGAACGTCCCTTCGTTCTGACTTTCACACAGTGGTTGTCACCACAAAAGTAAAGGGGCTGCAGCTCACCAGTCCTTTGGAGATCTTGGCGGATGTGCCAACATCAATGTAATGTCCGCCCAGTCTGATATTGACGGCTTCTGCAATATCCCCGTATGGATCGACATTGAACCCCGCGCGAGTGAGGGCAGCCCATCGTTCTGGCTGTGCTTTGGCTTTGGCAGTGAACAGGTGCGATGTCATGAGTCGGGAGACCGCGATGGCGTTCGACATGAACATCCTGTCGCTAATCTCGGTGGGGATTCTCTCGTTGTATACCACTGACCGCAAGTCAGCTCAACTGGAGTTTCTTGCATCACGGGAGGGTAGGGGTTAGTAGAAGTGGCAACCGAGAGATGCTTACTCTTGTAGGGTACATCAATGTACTCGACCGGAAGCACATCTAAATCGACATCCGTTAGTTCTGTCCACTTGGATGAAGCTGAAGACCTCGCTCACATGTCCGTGATCGCTGTACCATTGTGACTGACTTCATTCCAGCCTCATACATGTCATCCACCACATCATGTGCTTCGAGAGAAAGATTTTGTTAGTCCAAGGGGACCAGAATTTCTGTGGGCTTGCATACCGGTATTGGCAGACCCTACCACCACCCCCGACAGGCCTTTCCACGCTTTCGCATCTTTGTAGCTTACCGAGTGTAACACCAAACCTTTGTAAAGTTCCTGTCACGCGCAGCGACATAAGTGCCCGCTTGAGGCAATTGAAAAGCTTGGGCACAGACCAAGCCTGGGGACTTACCTTGTCGGCAATGAGTGGGATTTTCGGCGTCTCTGAACCTGCCCCCGTCGCCATGACAACATGTCTGGTCCGTATTTCAGAGTTTTCGCCATTTCTGGAGATTTTCAGAGTGTACAGCCTCTTCTCTGCATTCCAGATTCCAGATTCCACTTTGGTCGATAGCTAGACATTCTGGATAGGTAACTTCTGGTCAGAGAGGCTGCACCTTGAGTATTTTGGGTCTCCCTTGGTGAGAGACAGGACAACTTACCACGCCATACTTCTCCGCCCATTTGCGGTGGGCCTCTGCCACAGCGTCCTTGCCCAGGTATTCTTCGTGCTCTGGTCCGAACGTGCGCTCAAATGGAAGGTGTGCTGAAATCACAGATTAGGAATTGGTCGCTCAACAGCTGATCTCCGGTTTGGAATCAACTCACAGTATTCCCTAATGGTGTGAACTGGTGGTTCAAGAGTCAGTCCGACGTGGCCAGCGCAAGTTGCGGAAAGGGTTTGGTCACGTACAACGTGCCGACGAGTACCGAACAGACCAAGCATCTCCAATGTGAGCATTCTTTTCGATAATCACATAATTGACCCCTCCCAAGGCTTGAAGACGTCCACCAGTGGCCAATCCGGCTCCGCTACCTCCGATAACAACTGCATCAAAGTCGGTAATGTCTTGCTTTGTGCGGTTTGGACCTGGTTCAAGAGCGTCGACATTGCCCGCGCCCGCTAGCTGCTCCAAAATCGTCCTGAGGACCCAGATCTTCCAAGTGCCATCGCCAACCGGGACCAATGTCATGATTCCAGAAGCGGCGGTGGCCGGATTTGTGGTCGTGAACTCGAAACGGGCCTCTACCCACTGGTTGTCCTCGGCCAGCCTCATAACCCGCGGAGTTTGGGGGATTACTCGAAAATCTCGAGCGCCGTGGCTCGCGGTCAGGATTTTCCAGACCTCAGTGATTGTCCTGTTTGAATAAAACGTCCGCAGCGTTCCCGTGAGGGCGAAAGAGTCCCGCCAAATAGCGTCGTCGCGCAACAGGTCGGTGTCGAGGTGTTCCAGTCGCGAGATCACCCAATCCGCCGCGTCTTCCACGTTGACATCTTCAGGAACAGTGGCATGGGGGAACGCTGCGGGGAGCGTGTCGAAGACATTCTTTGCTCCCAAGGAGCCCATGGCTGCGAAAAAAGGCCGATCGTCCTCTCCTGGGAGAGTGTCAGGATAGGTGCAGACTTCCAGTGGTGGCGATGGGCTTGGCTATCACAATCATGAAATTGGAGGACTCTATCGCGACAGCGAGCCTGGTAGAAGAAAAAAGTCTCGGAAACGTGTTCGCCATCATTCACTTGGCTGATCTGGTCGCGTGTGTGGTGGTTTCGTTCGAACCAGCGGCCGGCGACGAAGTTCCTCCGGGTGAGCGGCCTTACGTCTTTCAGCCGGGGCTAGGATCTATTACTGGTGAGAACAGTAAGAGTGGATTGAATTGTAGGTTATCATTCGGCACCGTGCTCCGGGTACGGGAATGGAAGCTCTACACCTTGTGCTCCGAATGCAGATAGTATTGCCCCGAAGGAGGGGAAGCCGGTGCCGAGACGGTCTGTCAGGCGAGAACCGGACATTGTACAAAGACCGTCACAGCGATCCGACGTACGGGTTACGGAGAAGACGGGAAAAAGAGGGCCGCTGGTCATTCATCTCGAACGTTTCCTGCTGTTCGGAACCAATGTGAATGCCAGCACAGCCAAGCAAGATACAGTGTCTGCCACACCGGTAGTCCGACCACCCAACCAGAAACAAGGGAACGAAGCCCCGAGCGCGCCTAGAGTAACCCAGGTGGGCCCTGCGCGGATACCGAAGAGGTCTAGGAGCATGTCAATCAATCAACCAATCACCTCACCCAGGGAAGGAAAGGAGACTCCACATCCTCCAGTCGACGGAAAGGTGCAACGTTCGTCTCTACTGTACTTGGCAGGACTACAGTCTAGTACCTTGGTCTCGAAGTATATGCCAGATTAGAGAACCGGAGCAAAAATGTATGGACGGATGGACAGATAGATGAATGGTTTTTCTAGTGAACCGTAGTATGGAAATCAAGCTCGTCTTATATTTCGACACCCTCCTCCCTCTTTTCGGTCCCTTCTGTAATGTCTATCGGCGTGTGATCTTGACCAGGAGGGGACCTTTCTTGTCCGCGGCACCGGTATGAATCATCTCCAGGACGTCGCCTCTGTCCACGGCCTCGAAGCGATACTTCTTCAGCATCGTGATGGCGATCTTCCAGATGGAGATCATCCCGATGTTCCTGCCGATACATTGCCGGTGACCCTGGCCGAAATGCATGAGGTTCGTGGCGAAGGAGGCGTCGTAGAGCTTGGTACCGGGGTAGAACCGGTCGGGGTCGAAGCGGTTGTGGTCCGGCCCCCAGATGTCGGGGTTGTGATGGACGCTGGTGCTCACCATGGAGCAGTTGACCTGGAAAGTATCGGTGTTAGTTCGCGACTCGAGAGCCACAAGGATATATGGACGTGTCATAGTATGGAAAGGATGCCCACTCACCCCCGGAGGAATCAACTCGCCATCGATCAACGAACCCGTCGGCTCGGTGACTCGACGCGGGAGCAACAGCGCGGCGACGGGGCTCATGCGGAAGCTTTCGCGGAGAACGGCCAAGCTGTATGGCAATGCCGTCTCGAGGCCGACAAAGTCGTAGACCTCCTTGTCATCCACGAGCTGTTCGTCGATCTCCTGGACCATTTTCGCGTAGATCTCGGGGTTGTGGGTGAGATAGTAGAACAACACCGTCAACGACGAACTCGTGGTGTGGGATCCGGCCACTCTGATCAAAGATTCATGTGTGTCAGAATTTCAAATGTTCCATCTTCCGATAACATGGAAGATGTCATGGGAGAAGGAGAGGTCAAACTCACAGAAAACCGAAGGCTTCCGAATTGATCTCATCCTGCGAGAGTTTGGCGCCGGTCGCGGGATCCTCGGCGTCGATCAGGCTCGTGATGAGAGATCGCACGGTTTCGCCCTCCTTGTGGTTGGAGATGGCTCGTTCCACACACACAGCAGCCTGGGTGCGCAGTTGGATTCGATTCTGGATCATCTTCTTGACGAAAGGGTGCCACGATGTCCAGTCGCGGATCCACGGGAGAAGGTGGGCAACGCTGCCGTACAGATTGCCCAAGAAGAAATGCCCCCACAGTGGAGGAAGGAGGTCCGGATCGCTTTGGTTCTGTGTGTTGAACGACTGGTTGAATGCGAGGTGACCCGTGACGTCGTAGGCGTAGTAACTGAAGGCTTCCTTCAGGTCCATGACGTGTCCGGATTGAGCATGGTCGTCGACCTTGTGGACCAGGTTGCCAATATGCTCGTTAAAGATGACCTCCATGGACTTGAGCGCGGACACGGAAAATGCATGAGCCAACTGTCGGCGACGGAGAGAATGTAGCTGCCAATGTGATGTCAGGTCAGATGGTCTCCCGTTGTTTAATTGGGAACGTGAAAGGTCGGGACATGTGGAAAACTTACTGCCTCGTCGGTGGTGCCAAAGAGGTTGGGCACAAATGAAGTAAAGGCACTGTAAAAGATCCCCTTGGGCATTTTCCGTCCCACGCGGTAGATGGGTGCAATGGCGCGGGCACCGTTGAAGTTCAAATCATTCGGTCCAATCCTCACCACCGGCCCATACTTCTCGTGGATCTTGACCATTGTATCGGGCAACTTGTACGTCGAATAGTGATAAAACTTCCAGAAGTTGGTCATGCTCGCCCAGAACGGCCCAGGGTACTTGGCGAGAGGGTGGAGGTATCGTTGATAGACGACATAGCTGATGAGAGCCCCGAGGACGACGACGGTAATGGGAATGCCAGGCTGCCGAAGCAGACCTCCCAGTTGGAACAACATGGCGGACAGAAGGCCCTGTCAACAGCGTTGGGGCGATGGACTCTAGACCGTTGCCCTCTTATCGGATGCGTCAGCCTCCTTCACGTAGACTCAATGATCAGAGAGATGTTCCATATATCAATTTGACTCTTTAGGATTCTTGGGGGTATACTTTGCCGCTGGACTGGTTAGTTGACACCTCCAGTCTCCAATGGATATACGCGGCCCGCAATGACCGTTTCACGGTATGATCACATCGAAATGGTCAATATGTGCCTTACCCCGAGTCCCCCGGTCCCAAATGGCGGGACGGTGATTCGTGTATTCTCTCCCTACCTTAGTCGCGGCGCAGCGTGTGGGCTGGTGATCTCGTGTTCCCAGACTCCCCCTCCGACACAGAGCTCCTCGGCCGAGCCCCCGAACGCCGCCATTGACCCCGAGAAAATGACGCCACAAACGTGCATGACCTGCCACAGACCCTGCCGTCAAGGTACTGTAAGTCTCTGTGATGACAAAGACTACACTCGATGTGCGAGATTTTATACCTCTTGCTAACCAGTTGGGACTGAGGGAGAACAAGCTATTCAAATTTCCCCCCGATCATTGAAGTTGACGCTCCCGTCAGCCTTCAGGACTTATTGATAGAAAATATCGATTCACCAACTCCTGTTGCACCTAGAACCCCCTGAACCGAACAATGATGGACAAACTCCCCCCGCTGGGAAAAATGATTGGACAGGTGGTCTTGCCCACCAATCAAATCTACCTCCCGCTGGTGGAAGAGCATTCCCAGGAGATCGAAGGAGCCTCGAGGGACACCTACAGTTACGGGTCTGATGCCCGTCAGCAACTCGACATATATACCCCGTCGTCGGCAGCACCGACCCTCGGTGGTAACTCCCGCCCGGTCCTGGTCTTTTTCTACGGCGGGGGATTCGCCAATGGAGACAAGGTCAACCCCATGCGCCCGCTGTTCTACAAGAATCTCGGCTACTTCTTCGCCGAAAAGGTCGGGCTCGAGACGATCATCGTGGACTACCGACTGATCAAACACGGCGCCAGTTTCCCCAGCGGAGGCGATGACGTTGACGCAGCCCTCAGCTGGATCGACCAGCGGTACGCCGGGCAGAAGCGAGCTCTCTATCTGATGGGCAATTCCGCGGGCGGCATCAACGTCTGCACGTGGCTGTTCGAGCCCACGTACCTGCAGTCGCGCCGCAAGCTGATCGCTGGGGGTGGCTCGACGGGGGTGAAACTCGCCGGGGTGATCGTTCTCGGGGCGCTGTACCACTTCCAGAACTCGTCGGCGCCACTGAGGGAGGCGCTTGGCGGGTATTTTGGTGAGGGCCTGGACGACAAGTCCCCCATCGCCTCGATACAGCGCGCAGAGGAGGCGGGCGAGCTGACATCGGCTGAATGGCCCCCTGTTCTGGTCATGGACTGTGAACTGGATCCCGAAGACATCCAGAAATCCAGCCAAGACTTTGTCGCGTTACTGAAGAAGGCGGGTACCTTTCAGCTGGACTACGTCAACATCAAGGGCCACAACCACATCAGTCCTCCCCTGGGTCTGGGAAGCGGAATCGAGGCAGAGGAGGAATGGGGATACAAACTCGGCTCGTGGTTGAAGAAGGACCCAGCGTGAACGACAGATCACACAACCAATAGATAGTCAGAATAGGTCGTGACTAGTACTACCGGATGGGGTTAATTGATTGGCACGAGTGGATCCCACCACCTCGGCCCGGTGTGTGGCGGAGGAGAGACGCGGGACGCTGACATCTGGACAGCTTACTGATTGATGCTACAAGGGGGATCAAATCCACGAACTCTAGATTTGTTCGAGGTTCTCATTGTGTTGGAGCGGCAGCACACTTCGGCAGATCTCCAGCACCATCGTGGCAGAGCAAACTCCGACGATCCCTGGTTCCGGACCCTCGAGGAGGCCGTTGGAATAGAGTTCTATGCTTACCTGGTATGTAATTACTCTGCAGGGTCGATTTCGCCTACCCATCGATTCATTCCTGTGCCAGCGTAGATGTCCAATCCAGGTTTTGGATAGATTCCCTTAGCCCGATCAGCTGCTTGGTGATCCCCAGATCCGCGTCTGTCAAGGTGTCTTCTCCGGACCATGCATCAGCTCCATACTTGTTCCAGAAATTCAGCATTACCGACATCTCCTGCCCATAATTGGGCAAAAGTTCGCAGTAGCTGGCGTTGGACACCTGCAGGTACTCGACGGTCCTGCCCACGACCGAAGCCCAAATGTCATAGTAATCCTTGAGCGGCACTGTCTCGACGTTTCCAAACACGTATTTTCCCAGCGTGCGTGATCTTTGCTCGATGATTGCCGCGATGTAAATCCCAATATTGGTCCGGTGGTCTCCGATGAAGCCGACCGGACAGGACGGGGCAGTCGGTAGGACGATGACATATTTCTTCAGGCCAGACAGGTATAAGGGAGCGAAGGTCGGCTTCTGGAGGTTCTCGCCGAAGAAAGAGACCCAGTAGAAGGTCGTCTTGGCGAGCAGCTGAGATTTCGACTTGATGAAGTCGTCCACTTTGGCCTTGGCTTCAAAATGAGGGACGAAGTACTGCTTCTTGGAGATCTTGTGCGCCGATGGCAACGTGCTCCAGATGAAATGCTCCAGAGACCCCGTACGCGATGCAGCTTCGGCAATGTTGATACCGCGTTGGTATTCCACGTTCATGGCGGTCCAGCTGTCAGCTGCCCTCATGGTCTCGTAGAAGTCGGTGACAGCGAAAATGACTTGGGCTCCTTCAAATGCCCTCTGGAGGGTCGACACATCGTCCAAGTCGGCCTGGACCATCTCGACGCCCTGGCTTGCTAGTTCTTTGGCCGCTGCCCCATCAGGGTTTCGACTCAGACCCCGCAGTCGTAGTCCGGGTTTGCTCTGCAAGGCGCGAATGACGGAGCCTCCCTGACCACCAGTGGCACCAGTAACAACGACAAGTGTTGACATTGTACCAATCCAGACTAGGTTAGGGGCGAGTAGGTTTGGATTTCTCTTCCAAAGGTCGACTTCTCCAAAACTCCGGAGAAACCGCGCCTGGCCCAGAGCTTGAACTTATATGGCAGTGAGGCGAAGATTTGTAGATCTCGATGGGAGCCAGGGAATCGCAGCACCAGGGCTGGTCGGAGATATCGGTGCCCACCTTATGGCAAGTCTGCAGCAAACGAACACGATTCAGCCCGGCCAATTAGCAACTAAGCCAGCGACAACTATCCGCCGGACCGACGACCTGTCAATGGTGTTCTGGAGATACTGTCAATATCATCACACTGGCTTGCTGAGGGCGACTGTCGACAAAGATGGGATACAACGAACGGCTCTCATAGGTGGTGCGGTTGGTAAGGTAGTGAGGAGCTCAGCCATGCGAAGAGCAAAAAGCCGTGTTGTCTGGTCAGGAGCAGTCGATCCGGCAAAAGGTCCCTGAAAATTGAAATCTCGTCGAGCAGGTCAGCCCGGGTCAGCGTCAACGATCTTCTAGAGCCCTGTCATGATACCGTGAAGCGCCCGGGGTCTCAACGCGGGCCAGAGCAACTGGGGTTACGCACAGGACAACCGAAGACACGGCTATGTCGGCTTCCAGACTGTCTGATTTCCTCGGAGTAGATCTCCTTAGCACCACAGTGCCTGCCGAGACACGTCGGAGTTGATTTGTGGTGGAGTTTTATGGAGTGCATCAAACCTCCGCCTTTCAAGACGCCACCAAAAAGTGCAAGACGTGGGTTAGTAATCTATATCTTGCGCAGTGGGGGCCCTGGCAATAAGCGCTCCATCTCCGAAATATTGATGCATCGATCCGACGACGCAGGGATGTCGAACCAAACGCCGTCGCCCAGGGGAGGTCCCTAGCGTTGCATTGTTCCATCCCTTCGGACCTCGAAAAGACATGTATCTGCAGGCCTCCAGGGCTCCTTTCGACATCTTCCCTCTTTTCCATTGTCTTGGATGCTGGGTCTCATCCTCGAAGATAACTAAGCCTCCCGACCTATCTCCTAGAACTACCAAATGTCATATTCACGGCTGTTCGCGGCTATCCAGACTGGGGAAGATGAGGCCAAATGATATTGAGGCATTGAGCGGCATCCGGAAATCAATTAGGAAAGGCGGGATAGAAGAAAGCCAGCAAGGGAAAGCTTCATGTGTCCTCGTAGCGATTGATAGGCTTCCGAGTAGCTGTATCGCAGATCAAGAAGTGAAATCAGTCCAACGTAGTGGCTTGTTCTCGGAAGTGTTCTCGGGTAGAGACAGCGAGTGCTCAGGAAGGCGTCTCGAATTGTTCAATTCTCCCTGTTGGACAAGTTTCTGAAGCGGCACTGATGAACCTTGCGCAAGATGAGCTACTGGACCTACACATTTCCAGTGTGGTGCCAAGCAAAAGAACCACATCATGCCAGTGATGTAGGATATGCTGGGGGAAGTGACAGAATGTAAGAACCGAGCTGCTCGTGATGAACAGCCATTCATTTGATGGAGGATTGGAAGGGGGAGAGCAGGTGCAACGGGGAGCCCTCAGCCAACCCCCGAAAGTGCTCCCAAGTCGCCCAGTTCAGAGACTACCTAGGTACCTAGGTACTAGTACGCCTAGCTGGGTCAAGCCTGTAGAAACCCCGCGGAGTCACATGCATGGGCCCACTAGGCGCTTGCATAGGCGGCACCTGGGGTGCGACGCCCCCAAGAAGATCTCTCGCCCCTCAGCACGGCTCCAACCCTTTTCTCAGCTCAATGGTAACTAGATACGCAAAAGGCGATGCATCTTCTTGGTTCTACGCACTGAAGTCGCAATATTCCTGCCCTCTGAGTTGAGACACTGGGCAACGGCCATGTCTCAGCCCTTGACTACCGCGCTCCAGCCGCGTCAATTCGACCTCAGCAGCGACGCATATGCGCGGCGAGTTTGTCCAACTTGCTCACGCTCATTTGACCGCCGGTAAGCGCCTTTTCTGGTGGGCGAGCGACCACCTGGCTGATCAGGACCGAAAAAAGCGATTCCTTGCTTCGGCACATGCGAGTTCACGATGAGCACCGGATTCTGAAACGGCGCAAAAGGACGGCATGCCGGAATTGTTCTCAGTATGCCGCGTCTTGCTCCCGCCGGGCTTCAAGCTGAGACTGACATACCATAAGGTCCAAGATTCGATGCACAGGAGAACACCCCCCGTGTGCATCTTGTCAGCGACGGCAAATTCCGTGTACCTACGAATCTAACACCAGCACAAGAATAAGTCAGCCTTCCAAAGCACCAGCAGCAGCCGAAAGTTCCTCCATAACCGTGCCGCAACCCGAACGGCGCGCGAACAACTCAAATACAGATCAAAGCATTAGCTTTAGCCAGCTTTCTTCCCACTCGAACGGCTCCAACTTTGGTTATTCCAACCCTGAAACCGATATCCTCAACTCGGCCATGGGAAATGGCTCCGAAAATGCCCCGGTTGCCACTACCATCACATCAGAAACGACTGGACTGTTTGAAAATGACTTTGTTAGCATACTAGAAGCGACTGACTTTAATTCCAACCTTGACTGGCTGTTCGAGAGAATGCCCGATGACTCTTTGGCGGACCTCACCAATTTTTATGGCGTCAAAGATACTCATGTCGCCAGTAGCGCTCAGAGCCCACGAGAGGGTCACAAACCGGATGGACAGCCTTCTAGAGACCCTGCGATCCCAGAACTCCCGATACCCCACGCGGAAAACAGCGTTAGTCCAGACGATCCATGGCCCATGGAATGGCACGCCGAGCACCCCCAGCGCTCCCTTGAGCTACCGGCTCTGGGAGGGACCGACGACGAAGCAACACAATCTCTGTCTCGATTTTTCTCGGCCTGGAATCTTGGACAATCCACTGTCGAGGCTCTGGCGCATTTTATCAAACTCCCGGCTCAACGCAGCCCTTGGCAATCTGTCAACCTGACCCACTTCCCAACTAAGGAGAAACTCGAGTATTGCATTGATCGATACTTTGCACATTTTCACTTGGTAAGCCAGGCTCGAGACTCGAAACATCCCAGCACCCTTCTAAACGATATCAGGTTTGCCCAATCATCCACCAAGCAACCTTTGATCCTTCCGATGACCTCACGGTAACGCTGGCAATAGCAAGTATCGGTGCTTGTTATACCCACTACAACAACGCGAAAGCCTTTTCCAGTACACTTTCCGAGCTCAATCGTCGACTGCTTCTATTCCTAGTGAGTGCCTATCCGCTCGGCGATGCGACAAGTTCGGATTAGTGTTGACTCATCATCACTTCAGGCCGAATACGACCGGCGGTATGTCAGAACAGAATCATACCTCGCAGCTCAGCTTCTGCAGGGCCTTCACGGTTACTGTAGCGGAAACAAACGACTCTTTGAGCTGAGTGAGTCGTCGAGGAGCAACTTGGTGCACCATGCCAAATGCATGGGCTTGTTTAGACATCGACCTGACTCGAACCCTGGCTCCTTGCCTGCCACGGCGGTGGAGGAGCGATGGAGGGACTGGATCCATCAAGAACGTCTGCTTCGTCTGGGGTGGGCTGTTTATGTATGATGATACCACATCTCGCCCCCAAAACCACAAATTCGACTGACCATGACATTGCAGGAATATGATGCCTCTGTGGCATATCTACATAACAACCGACCCTTCCTCACTATCGGAGACATCCACATGGATCTCCCTTGTCTGTCACAATACTGGCAGGCCGAATCGGCTCACTCGTGGCATGCGATGCTGCTTTCGGCGGGATATCCCAGTCGCATACGCTTGAGGCCTCTTATTCGGAGTTTCTATGACAAGAGTCAAAATGCTCTTGAGAGGCTCGTGGAAGAGCGGCACCGATATATCCTGGTCTTGACCCAAGTGCGGATGATATGGACCTTGAAAGAGATTACGGGCTCCCCGATATGTGATCTCTTCGTCAACGGTCCCGAGAATTGTACCGCGGACCTTCTCGATGCCACTGACAGGTTCGCACGGTCTCCGCACACTTTGAGTTCGTCACTGACGACGACTGAACTCGCCAGCGCCATTCATACCCTCCAGATCATCCACGTTGCCCATCTGTACGGGGCCAATGGCCTGATGAACTGGCTATACCCGCTCCTGCGGGAGGGGAACGAGGCAACCACTGCATTCACTCAGATGAGTCACTGGGCAGCGGCAAAGCCCGAAATGGTGAGAAACACGGCCTTCCACTGCGCGCGGATCCTGTCGCTGGCCAGGACATACCCCAGCAACTGCCCCGACGAGCCGTTTCTGATATTCCACGCGGGGACCGTCCTATTCTACCTGGCGAGATGGCTACCAAGGAACACAGGCGCTGGGTCATCGGAGAACCTCGTCGTCCGCCTCGACCATATCGGGGCCGAGGACGACACCGAGTCTGCCAATTTGAGGTCCTGGCTACGGGACGGACAGGCCCAGGTCATCAGTCTGCATGGGATTCCCTCTCTGTGTTCTAACCAGGGACGACGGCAGGTTCTGGACGAAACCGCCGATCTGTTGAAACGCCGGAGAGTCTGGGGCATCGCCAACAGCTTCGTCAAGGTTGTGCTAAACCTGCGGGATACTTCGAAACCCGTGCCTGACCAGGATTTTATCTTCTAATCAAAGCCTCTCTCCTCAATGGGTGAACGATGATTACTATGCTTGTCAGATCAAGTTAGTCCAATGAGACAAGAGGTTAGACGCCTCAATTTTGCATGAATTCGTGCCGCTCTCCATTAGACGAAGTTCTGCCAACCCCCTTGCCGAGTCTACATGGAAAGCATTCGTGAGTTCGCCCCAACATACATCTAGTAATGACGTGCATGTCTCGTCTGGATGTTTTTGAGATCTCTTGGTGCAGTATAGAGCAATCATGTGCCCAGATTTGTTTATGACTGGGACCGATTTTTGAAAGCATTCAAAGCAGAAGATCCACATCCGGTACGGAGAAAGCTACGAAGTCTTGGGACCCCCGTAACGGAAGTCAATTGAGGCTCCCGAAAAGATTCTTCGCTTCGCAGGGTTGATGGATCATGGGTCGACTATCCGAAGGTTCTGGTCGCTGTCGTCGGTAGTCAAAATCGGTAGTGCTAGCGTGGTTTTTGCCCCTTCGTGGGGGACGGACATGCTGCAGGGTTCCGTGACACGTGTCCCCGCTGTTTAAGCCATAGTTTTAAGGCAAGTTGATAACCCGTCCAGGCTGTGGCATCAGTGTCTATGCCTTGATACTGGGCTGGCGGGACGTGTCACGTGATATGGCCAAGCGAGGCGGCTGATTTCTGTCGCTATGATTGGCTTCTCGGGCGGCGGTGGTGGATCCCACACATTGTCTCCGCCACTCACTGCATTTCCTCTCCGCAATTTCCTCCGCCTTTCTCCAGAGAGGGGGGCCTTCCTCCCCTCCCATCCCCGGGAAACGGCTGACCCCGGCTCCCCTCCCCAATCCCACCCTGGCTCGACCGCTAACGATATTGCCCTGCTTGAAGCGCCTCTGTGGCCTCGCATTGCTATCCGGAAGCCGACCCCTGTGCGATTATCCGACCGCATGCTCCCAGTCTTCCCACGTTTTCGAACCCTTAAGCCCAGATCAGCTTGCAGCAAGGCGCATCAATTGCTTGAACAATTTCGGTTGAGTTCTCGTTCGGACCTGTTCCTCGCACCATCCGTTCCGCAGAGGAGAATGAAATGTGATTTACCTCTGTTCGGGTCTAGACTACATCTTTCGATCGGTCGTTTGTGCCCTCCTTTGCTTGGAGCTAGCCATGTGTTTTTTGTCCACTCTTGGCCGATCCGTGTGCCTGGCCACACCTAAACCCCGACACCTCCCCTAGAACCTCGTTGACGCACCATATAAGACGGGGTCATGCGGGTCTCATGATACACGAGAGATCCAGGCCCGACAACACCACCCCCCTTGTGCTCTCAGATCGTCGACAAGACGAACGAAACCCCTCTCTGGCCGTATTACTGTTTTGAAAATGGCTACCACTCAGCAGACAGAGAAGACCGACGGAGTGCATCTGGAATTCGAGAATTCTCCGGCCCAGGAGACCGCGCCGCTCGATAAAATCGACACGGTCCACAACGATGAAGGTATCGCCATCATCGCCAACTACGACGGCGAGCAGACGTGGACCCCGGAGGAGGAGAAGAAGCTGGTGAGGAAGATCGACAGGAGAGTACTGCCCATCCTGTTCGTCACCTTCGCCTTGCAATTCTATGACAAATATATGTTGTCGCACGCTGTAAGCTATCGAGATCCTCTCCCTCTTCCCCCTGTTTCCCAAATCACAATCAAGGTGGAGCGAATCAATCCGTTCTAACACAGCTGCTCCCGAAAACCAAAGGCTATCTTTGGGCTGAGGACCGATCTCGATCTCACGGTCGGGAACCGATATGCGATGACGGCGGCCATCTTCTACCTGGGCTACATGGCCGGCGCGTATCCGATGACCCTGCTGGCCCAGAGGTTCCGCATCAACCATGTCATCTTCGCTACCGTCCTCATCTGGGGCCTTTGTGTCTTGTCGACCGCCGGCTGCACCACTTACAGGGGGATCTATACGCAACGGTTCTTTCTCGGGATCCTGGAGTCGGGCATCCCACCGACCTTCATGGTCGTGGTGGGCAGTTGGTATACAAAGGCAGAACAGACCTTCCGCCAAGGGTGAGTCGGCCCTTTTATGACTCTCAGTACAAAACATTTTGATACTGACTGCGTTTCGTAGGATCTGGTTTAGTGCCGCTGGTAAGCTGCCCGGAGACGAAAAACACATTTATCTCCTTCTACCTCTTCTTGGATTGGGAATATGGACATTAATCTGGCGTTCCAGGCCTCGTCGCGGTCCCGGCGCCTCTGGTCAACTACGGCCTAGGACATATCAAAGGCGCCCTTGGACCCTGGCAATACATGTAAGGGACATCTTCTCAATCTTGGAAAAGCAAAAACGACCCTTCCTTCAGAGCTGACCCATATTTCTCCAAGGTATATCTTCGCCGGCTCGATAACCACGCTGTGGGCGGTGCCGATCTTTTTCTTCATGGAGCCGGATCCGGTGCACGCGAAGAGTCTCAGCGAGCGGGAAAAGTTCATCGCCATCAGCCGCATCAAGGTCAACAACACGGGCGTGCGCAACACCCACTTCAAAACCAAGCAGCTGGGGGAGATTCTCATGTCGCTGAAGTTCTGGCTGTTGGCCGGCATGGGCCTGTGCATCACGGCCATCAGCACCATCAGCACGGTGTTCCTGCCCATCCTGATCGCGGGCATGGGCTTCAGCGGCTTCAACGCGCTCCTCCTGTCCGTTCCCGTGGGCGTGGTCTCGACTTTTCTGTGCATCGTGACCACCTGGACCTGCCGCGTCCTGTCCAAGTACAACCCGCGCACCTGGGGCATCTTCGTCTGCGGCGTCTGCATGCTCCTGACCGCGGCCATCATGTGGAAAGTGCCCCACGCCCCGATCGGCGCCAAGTTGTTCCTCCTCTACCTCATCCAGTGCTTCCCCGGATGCTACGCGCTGATCATGGACTTGTCTATCGCCAACACCGCTGGCTACACCAAGCGGACCCTGATGTCTGCAGGCTTGTATTTTGGTTACTGCGTTGGTAAGGAAACGAGATAGTCACAGACAATGTCCCACTCCCCCTCCCCCTTGTGGTCTCCCAGTCCGCCCCTCACACCTCATGCGACGAAAGCATCGGCGAGATGATGGCTAATGTCGTCTGTCATCGACAGGAAACTTTGTGACACCCTTCACCTTCCTCGTCGAGGAGGGGCCGACCTACCCGACGGGCTTCACCTACATTACCGCGGTGATCTCCCTCTTCCTCGTGCTCGTGCTCGTCCTCGCCTATCGATTTGTCTGTGTCCGAGAGAACAAGAGACGGGATGCCGCCGGGTTCGTGGAGAGCTTCGACCACGCCTACGAGGACGACGCGACGGACAAGACAAACATGAATTTCCGTTATGTCTACTGAAAGGGGGTTTGAGCCTGGACAAAAAACCGGGGATGAGAGGGAAAGGGGCCACGTAGGCATGCTGGCAAGATGTGCCGGCAAAGTTGTAGGAATTAGTACACACACCCCACAACCGAATAGGCAGCAAAAGTGACGGGACGGACGTTGGGTGGGATATGCTTGAAAAAACTTGAGTGCTCTGGAATTTTCAAGTCCAGATTTTGGTCTCCCGATCGTAATACTGTCTCCTTACATGTCAGTGTACGGATTTCATGTCGTTGGAAAGGCCGCCCCTTTCCCGCGCAAGGCTGACCAGGTATGTATCTACAGAAGCAGCGCCGTTAGGACGCATGTCCTCGTAAGACATCCAAAAGTACTAAACTCCCCTATTTTTCTTCTTGCTATCGAGAGGTTTTGACGCTACTATCATCTCGCGCTCTCTCTCTCTCTCCCCTCCCCTTTCTAGGTAGGATATACAGCATGACTAGGACGTTGTCAACGATCCCAAGCAAAGCACAGAGTATCTCAATCGAATCACTGCACATTCAGGCACATGAGTTTCAGAAACCACTGCTCGTCAGTGATATCCTGTGCGCACAAGTCCTTGAAATCCTGCAAGGCGGCAGGATCGACGAGCATGTCGTCGTCAGCAGCGTCGTCAGCGCTGTTGTGTCGCGCACCGGGTCCAAAACCGTGCGCACGGCCGAGATTCTCCTGCGTGATATCAGAGCCGTTCACGATCCAACCGGTATACTGCGGGAAGGCGCTGTCGGGCGGCGTCTGCGGGCCCAGATCTCCCTGTCTGACGCCCCCGCTGATGCTGGTCGCATGCCCCGTGCTCCCCTCGAGGCAGTAGGGCGACTCAATCACATTTTGCGTACGGTCCGCAAACGCAAGCTCCGCCACCCGGCTCCAAAGCACCGTGTCGTCCTCGATCATCTCCGGCGTGTACCAGATCCGGCAGTCGGCAGCCTCGTATGCGAAATGCAGGGGGATGTTGTGCGGATCGCTCATGCGGTACGCGTTGAAGCCGTTGACGCGCAAGCCGTCCCCGAAGCGCTCGGCGGGGCCGTAGTCCCAGTCCGCGAATATCTGTGAATCGGCGGCGGAATCCGATTGCGCGGTGGTCTGGTTCTTATATGCTTGCAGCATGAAGGCTAGCGAGTCGTAGGCGAAGAGTCTGCTCCCTCTGACGCCGCCGATTGTCTGCATCGGACCGGTCTGTGGTCGCCCGCCGATGACGATGCTCATCACCCGGAACTTGTTTTTCAGGTGTTCGACAAAGATCGAGCACGCGGACGCACAGTACCTAGCCACCGCGTGTTAGCATACCATACGCGATTGAGGAAATCTTGGACGAAATGTCTAGAAGCTTCATGTGGCAGGAGAAGAGGAAAGTAGGCTTTGGAAAGGCGCTGGACTAATCCTTACCCATCGGTCAAGATAATCATGTTTTCAGGACTGAATGGCCACTGTGCCCCAGGAACCGCTTGCGTTATTTTCAGATCCGAGTGGTCGATCAAGGAGTATTCGTTGTTTGTATAGTTTTCCTGAAAGTACGAGGTGAAATATCCCGGACCCTCGCGATAGGGGCCATAGTAGTGGTCCGCATTGTCGAATTTGCTGACGCCGGGCGACATGACGGCCTCGTATGCCCAGGGAGAGTTCTGACGCTCGGCTTCGACTTCTGCATTATCTACGCCCGAATTGGGGTCGACGTCTTCGGCCATCTGGGTCTGCTCACTAAAGTACTCGATGAGGGCTTTCTGGACCCCCGAGGCTCTCAGGCTGGACTTGGTGTCTGGAGGCGTATCGGGAAACAGCTGCACCATTGTCTCGAGGCACAGTCTGACTGATCCGCCCCCATTGCTGCGCAGGTCGATTATAAGCTTGTCCTTGCCGTTCTCCTTTGCGGCCTCGAGGATTGTTTGGAGCGTCTTCTGGGAATTGACATCCGAACCACCATCATCATCGGGCTCAAAGCTGGAGATGGCCATGACGGCGACATCGCTTGGGAGCCCGTCGCCCCAATACCCGGTGAACGCACCGGCGTCGTCGGACAGCACAGCGGGCGCGGTCGGTTGTCGCTTCCCTTTTCGCTTCCTCGCGCGTTGTGCAGCAGACGCGCCGGAGTCATCGTCGGAGAAATCCACGGTTTGGAAAAACAGCTCGTACATGCCATTTCCATCAACAATCCCGGTCAAATTACTGAACCCCCAGTCAGCGAAGTTTTTGAACGACTTGGTGGAGCCATTCTGAAACGTGTAGTTTGTGTAAGGTCCCGGGTAAAATTCAGGGTTGGCGAAAAGTTCGTAGGGATATAGCATGCCGTTGTACAAGGAGTCTAGGTCTTGTGACGTGCCGGTCAAGGATTCCACTTGTAGGAATTCTTGGACGTCAAGGCCGTTGATCTTCACGACTGCCGAATACGCCTTGTCCGTGCGTAGGTTGAGCTCATCATAGTCATCCTGGTAGTATCTGTAAGCTGTTTCATATGTTAGTGTCCATGCACTGAGTCTCGCAGGGGGGTACGTAACAAGACCACAGGGATGGGGTTGGTAACATTATTTTTATCATCGTCAGATCCACAACGAGGCTCTTGGAAGGTCAGAAATGACATACATAAAAGATAGACGAGTGGATTTTGTGTTCCATCTTCAGACAGAGAGACCAAAGGAGCTGCAGCCGGGGATCGGTGGAATGTTAGAGAGCGCAGTATGGGACCTTTCGTTATGAAATGGTCGTCTTTTCCCAGCAGCGCCATTGTATGTAGATCAACCTGCAAGTCGTACTCGCTTGAGTAATCATTGTTTGTAACCTTTTGTCGAATTTGACTGAGGACATTGATAATATCCACTGGCGCAAAAAGCCATCCGGAGGTTGGAGCGGCCAAGTAGTCGAGGGTACTTTGCACCTCAAGATAGCGTCGAAGACTTGCCACCAGTGCTTCGGCGTGTTCTTGAACAACAGGCACTGAGCTTAAGCATTCATATGCCACTTCCGGGTCGAGTAAGGCTGCCGAGATATCACCTAATCGCATTAGCAGAGAAAGCTGTGGTGGTCAGGGTGACAGCAATACCACTATAAAAAAGATCATATTTGGCTGCAATCTCAGCGCAAGGATCGATATATCCAGCTTCTGACCGCACGACTGCCCCTAAAACGAGCCATGCCCACAGAGTCTGAGCCGTGACCCAAAGCAGGAAGGGGAATGCACGACAAGCCGGAGGCTGTCGCATCTCAAAGGGTATCTTAGCCACCAAGTCTTTGTTTTTGTGCAGGATAGAGGGCGAGTAGAAGGAAAGTCCTTACAGTAACAAGAAGACATGCGAGAGGGAAAAAGATAAAATCACCAAGTAAAGTGCTAGAGAGGACTTGTGTCTTTCTTTTCGGACATTGACGGGGTGAGATTTGGGAAGGAGGATGCCCACGCTGCTGCTGAACTGAGAAATGGGGCAACAACCCCTTCTCTTGATCGCTTGAAGGTGATAGCTCCAGTGATTGAGTGGCCAAGAGAGCCCGCTCCGAGGTTATCTCAGCCGCAAGAATGATGAGGGTAGCTACATCTTATTGCGTGAGCTGCGGGATCGTTGAAAACGCCGGATCTTGAGGGGCGCCGGCGCGAAGGTTAGCCTGCCCGAATCCGTGATGTCTACTCTTCGCCGTTCCATAATGTCTCAGTGTCTTTTTGACTTACAAATTCTGATCTTGGGTCATGAAGGATGGGAAGAAGGGGCTGAAAATTGTTCGTATTGGCAGCCGGTAGGGCGGAAGATGGTCTCTTGCCAAGGAAGCTGACAAGGCACGGGCGGAGAGCTTCCTCCGCCAAGTCAGAAGTCTAGGCTCAGGTCGGGGGTCTTTACTAGGCATGATGATACCGGCAACGTTGCTTTTGGTTGGTCCTAATGTCATACGCGAGGTACAGGATACACGCAGGTCATCATGGCCATTGGTCATAGTTCATTTGCATGTCCTTTCCTCAAGCGACGTCGAGAACTATCAGACTAATCTAGTTGAACTGGAAAATTTTGCATCTCCGCCATGTAGACAGGTGACCGAATAGGTTATGAGGTCGGAAACCCTTCTCCGTGATGATCCAGCGGTGGGTGCATTCTCCAGTAAGGCGTCAAGATCACAAGATCCCATTGTTATGTCCAGGAAGCAACCAGCACCGCCAACAGCCCAGCCCAAAGCGAAGCTTCTGCAATCCTAAGTCTCATCGATGGTGCAGCAGCGGAAGTCGAGGCCGATGAAGAAGCTGGGGCTGAGGACGTGGACGGCGACGCTGTCTGGGTTGGTGTCGTAGAAGGTTGTGTCGAAGACGGCGAGCCTCCAACACCCTCGATAGTGTCGAACGTGGGATCATCTGCATACGTGGCAGAAACACCGGACGAATTGCTGCATGCTGATGACGGTGTGCCAGTTCCTGCAACGAAGTTCACATGCATGCACTAAAGTTTCCAAAACGATCACGTCAGACATTTTCATTAGTCTGAAGTTCAACAGTCCTCAAAATGCTTCATGGGGTACTTTATACCTGGTAATGTACGCCGTCTTCCGCGTCCTGGATGACCTGGAGCAAACCAGTCGATCCTGCCCAAGAAGGAGGGACTGTGAGCGCAGGTTGGCAGAAACTGTTCAGGCCAAATTCTTCGACGGTCGGGATCAGGACAGTCCAGTTTGGGTTCGACAGAGACGTGCCAAGCAACCCACGATAGGCGAAATATGCTTGTGCGTGAAGGGTTGTGAGACCGATAGCGTCGCCTCCGACATGGAAATCTGTGATGTTGTCGGAGCTCGAGGGGCTGAAACCGCCGCAGGGTGATTGGTCCTCATTGTTGATGTTGTTCCCCAAAGGCGGCGGTGTCAAGATAATGAAGTGAGAAGCACAAAGTGGCAGGAGTATGAGGTTTAGCAGCGAAGTGGCTTTGAAGGCTCTCATGGCTACTTGTTGGCGAACAATCTTGCTTTGGAAGTAAGGTTTGAGCAGGGAAGAAGGAGAAAAAGAGCAGAGCGCGAAAAGGGGGAGAGGCTGTTGTCTCTGCAAGAAGACGTGGCATCCAAACACATGGTGAAGCGCATTGGTATCCGAATAACCGTGGTGCTGATCCCTTGGGTGATGGTTGGGGTTTAGAAAAACTTGCTCACTTTCGGTGAACTTCCGGCTTGGTGCTAGCCTTGCAGACTAGCTTCGTCCACGACCACCACGAATGCATTCTTGATAGGACCAAGGGTCCATGTGGCTTGCAGATGAACAAGGGAGCGTCGACTCGTGGTGAGCTCGACAAGCTCTGGGCCAGAGCATGAAATGAGCTTGAGCAAGATAAGCATGTTGCCCATAAATGCTTCGCACCCACATCCATGAATCTAACAGCACAGTTGAACTCTTACAATATTTGACCTCAGGCAAGACTCATTCAATCTGACATCGACAAAATGCAACCTGCTGTGCTTTGTCTTGGACTCACGACACTCGTGTCGTTGGTGTCTGCGCACACCCAAATTTGGTATCCTCAATGGCGAGCCGACTCCTTCGACCTACCATTCTCACAGACGATCTACCCTTGTACGTGATGACTTCACTTCGCTGAGAATCACTTGATTCTGACACAGTGGTCTTCGGATTGTAGGTGCGGGGATCTCTGACAACTCAACTACACCCCGAACGGAGTGGCCTCTCACGGGAGGATCTCTCAATGTTACTCTCCATGACGCTGCCGCCTACATCTTCATCAATCTCGGCTTCGGAGTCAACACGTCTGACTTCAATGTCACGCTGTTCTCCGCTCCGCTCAATGAGACCGGGCCTGGAAACCTCTGCTTCCCTAAGCTAACGTTGCCGCCCGGTCTCCCTATTCAGGAGGGAACACAGGCGTCCATTCAATTTGCAACTGCTGGCCATAATGGCGAAGGGTTGTACAATGTGTGTAAAGCTTTTTCATCTCTCCGGAGGACTTTGCTGATGGTTTCATGAAACAGTGTGCTGACATTACCTTCACCAACAACGCTACTCTGTTGCCTGCGGACCAGTGCCAGAACAGCTCAACAGTTAGCGTTACAACACTTGGTTCTTCCTCGTCTCCAGCATCAAACTCTAGCTCGGCGTCGAGCTCGGCGTCGAGCTCCACCACCGCCTCGAGCTCATCTGCAGCGGAGCTCTTTGCCCCTTCGGCATTGATGGTACTTTTGGCAAGTCTGTTTGTTGTCGCGTGGTAGACTCTGTGACAACCCCAACCCTCAGATAGAGAAAATTGAGGAAAAGAGGATGCCTGAAGACACAATGACGTCGCATAGACAGACATGTAGATGGACATGTAGGGAGGGAAGGGGGAGAGGTAGAGACAGACAGTGAGGACAAAAGGTGAAGGAGAAACGAGTGCGTGGGGAGTCTCGATCGGCGGGAATATGACCGAATGCGGCGTGGTCGCTTAGGTAATATAGCTAGTCCCAAATTGGCCATTGTCAATAATCGAGGCAACTATTCGGTTGTTTCAGCAGTGTACCGAGTACGAGATAGCTCTTTCAATCACCCCATGGCACTTGGTGATATACATAGCGTCGATTAGCAGACCGTCAACTCGTTCGGCCACATTAATATTTTGCGGGAGCTATTACCGAAAACGTTGGCCAAGTCCATGAAGATCAGAAACTATCGGACCGATAGATCGGAAGACCGTCTCAGCATTAATGCGGCCCGATGGTTGCTTTATTGTTAAGCCGCAACCGGCAAATTGTCCTTGCTCGGTAAATGCTGGGTTTGTCCTGGAAGATACCAGAGATCGGAATTCCATATTCAATCTTTCGGGAGTCCAGCGCCGAAAAACCGAAGCACGGAGAAACGCCGCTCGCTCAATTCCACGGAGTATTAATGTGCAGGAAGCCTCACAACTCTCCATGGAATCTTTATCAATGAATGAAGCCGCTCACTCGCCACCAGCAGCTACGCACAAGTGAAGCACTCTGGCCAAGGGCTGGAGCATACTGTATTTTTCAAGCTAGTCCTCCGCCTTTTGGGGATTGTTCCCGAGACAGTTAACCGAGGGAACGTGGGGGGCTCGTGTCCTTTCCAGACTTTGGCGAGCTCACACGACTCTCCCACAGGACCTTCAAAATATTTTACTGTTGGAGTTTGATTAGGAATTTTGAGAATTGAAAGCCATGAACTGCTTCCACGCTGGAGGCTGACTGTTCATGGCACGTCATCGGGAGTGTTCCTTGACCCACATATATCAATGAGGCTTCTGGTCTATCCGGAATTCGATCCCCTAGAGCCTAACAATTCGCTCAAACCCTTGGATCTTGCGGACAAAACTTTATATTCGACCCTCTGTCACTTGTTTGATTTGTATAGCCAAACATGACTACTTCGACTCAGACAAAAGCTTCCAAAACCAAGAACTCCTCAGAGCTCCGGTTTATCTCGACCAAGCCTGTGAAGAGACGAGCCTCACAGGCATGTACTCAATGCCGTCAGCGCAAGGTCCGCTGTGACTATATCTTTCGTCGTCCAGCATCCTGCACCAACTGCCGCCTGGATGGGACGGTATGCGAGGTGCCAAAAAGCAAACGTCGCAGGTAGGTGCACCTTTCCTGGGCTCAGGATCACTAGGTTAAAGTTGATCTCAGGTCCCATTACGTCGACACTTTCTGTTCCATCACGCCGGCCACCCTATTTTCGCAAGAGGTGGCTGCAAGCACACCTTTGCATGAGAATACGTCGCCTTCCAACGATCCGGAACATGAGCTTCAGTGTGATAGCCCTGACAAAAGTGTGCTGGCCCCAGCCAAAGATCGCCGCGCTCCACGCTAATCGGTCTCATAGATGTAATCCATGATGTTGTGCCGGAGCCCGAGGCGACTCTTGACCAAGCGGATGAATCCATGATGTGGAACAGTCTATCCGATCAGTTCGGTCCGACCTCTCCGAAAGAGCTGCCCTGTGGGGAGGTGCCACAAGTTATCTTACCACATTATCTTCGTCCAATACCTCAACACATCTCCAACGAAGACCTAGCGTACCTTAAGAGGAAGGGAGCCTTCGATATCCCGGCCACTATACAACGCAACGAGTTGCTTCGGTGTTACATCCAATATGTGCACCCTCTCTTACCCATCATCGACCTCCGCGACTTCCTGCGTTCCATTGACAGAAATGATCCCAGCGACACGATCAGCTTGATGTTGCTTCAAGCGGTGATGTTTGCAGGCACCACGTTCATCGACATGAACTACGTCACCGGCCATGAAGACCGCCGTGCTTACCAAAAAGCATATTTTCAGAAGGTCAAAATGCTCTACGACCTCGACTATGAGGAGGATCGAGTCACGATCGTACAGTGCGTCCTGCTGATGACATACTGGTATCCGAGCCCCAATCACCCCAAGGACATATGGCACTGGGTAGGGATCGCGGTGGCCGATGCCAGATCCATTGGTCTCAACTGTGTTCCTCAAGACAATTCCGGCACGGTCCAGGAGAAGCGACTCTGGAAGCGAATATGGTGGGGATGCTATATGCGTGACCGGCTGGTTGCGTCTGGGATGAGGAGGACGATGAGGATCAAGGAAGAAGAGTGCCTCGTGCAGGGGCTTGAGATTGAAGACTTTGAAGCGTGCACCTCACTTTCTGATTTTGAACACATGATCGGGTCCGCGTGTGCTGTCGGCAGTGGATCAACTCATGCAAATCTGGTCCGGCTCTGCATTGCTCTGGTCGACCTTTGCAAGATAGTTGCCGACATTCTGACATTACAGTACGCAACGCCGTCGCAGAAGATCGGCGGCACTCGCGAAGCCACTATGAAGCTGCTCCCCAAGGCACCGTCCAGCGCGACTGAAGTGGCAAGGCGCGATCGAGACCTCGAAACGTGGTACGAAGGGCTGCCTGTGGAGATACGATACTCATTTCCGGAGTCGCAGGACGACAGAAGTCCTATCAGCGACCGTCTCGTCTATCTGCATAGCACAGTGGTAGCTAGTGTCTATGCAGCTATTGCCAGCACTCTGCACCGACCGCAATGCATGATTACCTCGACAAAGCATGCGACGGAAACGCAGAAGACGTCCAAGACCAAGGTGTATGACGCTGCACGCAAGGTTGCTTCGCTATATCGAGACGTCGTCGCCCGCAACATGGCCGATAGTGTGCCCAACACAAGCGTGGCGGTCCTGCTTCCGGCCTGCGTCGTCCTTCACGCAGATGCACGGTCGACCATCTCAGCAACGTGTCAAGAGTCCCGGGAATGCCTTGCGGATTGCGTCAAGGTCCTACAGCGCCTGCGCGATACTTTTGCCTCGGCGGATTTTGCACTTTTAGTGCTCTCTCAAGCGATTCAGAAATTGAATCCGACCATCCAAGGGCCGACGCCCCGAATCACAAGCCCTCCGGAACTGAAAGATGGCCAAAGCAAGATCCAGTCGACTTCCCCGCATAATCCGGGCTCCACGAACGCTCCTCAAGCACCACAAGAAAAGGGACTGCTACCTGGTTTCGAACCGGGCCATTCACAGCCGAGTCCGATCTCAGGAGAGATGAGTACGGAAAGAGTGGACTTGATCGGACCAGATGAGCGAGCTGAAGAAGCTGCTCATACGGAGACCCAGCTTGAGGAAGTGCGCGCATATCAGGAGATCAACAGTGTGAACGACTTGTGGTGGGATGATCTAATGAATGTTTGAAGAGCCGGTTCGTCCTCCTGCTCCAGACCCCAACCCCTAGCGACTGCCCTTCTCGAGGGCATGAACTCGTCAACTTTGCAGCCCTAGTTGGCTATGATGGTGTGTTCGCAAGGAGGTGATAGGGTTGGGGGTTGACTGCCAGACACTCAGGTCCAATATGTTGAGTCATGACGAGACGATCCTGTTGGGCACGTAAGCCCGCCTCAAGAAACAAAAAGCCGAGGAAGACCAAGAGCCTTCACACGGTCGGATGACATGATGATAAAAGCCCGGTAGCTAAAAGCAAATAATTTGACCCAAGCAGACCATAAATCAGCACAATCTGAGGACAGTCGACCAGACTAGTCTGGTTTGTAACAGGATCAGTGTAAGATTATGCAAGGACTGTAGTCTTTTGAGTTGAGGACTATACGAGGTAATCCTGACACACTGCTGGTTCACAAAGTCCTCCCTTTTGGCAGATGGTACCTACAGGGAAACTTGCGAATGGCTGTCGGGTCTAAGCGATGTCTTGGCGGCGCACGGACCATACTACCTAGGTACCTACCGAGCTACTCACTAGGTATCAATCCCGGTTCTCCGCTCTGTACGAGGTAGCGGGGGAAACGTGCGCCAAGACTTCCGAGAGGGGAACGACTTGGATGCCAAGTTCGAGCGAAAGTGTCGGCAAAATGCGTGTGAGGAGAGGGCACGGAGGGGTACTAGCTACCAACGGTCGGTTGGGAAGCGGCAAGTGCAGAGAAGACTTTGAGGGAGCTTAGAGCAGTAGAAGGCAAAGGCCTCCTGGTAGATTGGAACATGCTTTGTATCTACCGTGGACTCCCTTTTTCCATCGGAGACGCAGAATGCTGTATTTGCATCTCACAGCGTCCGACACTAAGAGCGCTTCGTCTCAGGCGCATGTTCCCAGTGGAGATCTCTATCGTACTGTGCTCCCACCTCTCAAGCTCCTGCCAATGAATTTACACTTTCGATGAGTTCAAAGTCGAAAAAGTTCTCGAGTCCGGAAAATAGGTCCTGACCCCCGAATTCGAAGCCCAATCCGAACGGATCCCGAGGGCTCGAGATACCATGATGACGGTGGTTCGGGAGTTGGTCAGGCACAACTCCTTCCATAAAGCTGGGAGGGCCGTCATTCGTGAACCGAGACCGGGTCGAACCCGCCGTACCGGTCGGTGACGAGACATTCTCCTGGCGAGTCGAGGAAGCGGATGAGCCTTTGACCGCTTGAACGGCAGAGTCGACAATCCTTGTGATGTCTGTGGCAGCCTCGTTCATATGTCCAAGTTCGCGGAGGACGGTTAGACAAGTGTCGAGGTGCTCTAAGGCTGAATCTCGGATGGTCCCTGGCATCGACCTAGCGTCCAGTAGATGGACAAACACAGCCGTGCAAACCGTAGCTATGCAAGTTGCTGGAAGTGAGGGGGTCAATTGTTGCTCATGCAAAGTCTTATGGATGGAGGTGATCTCGTGCGCAGCCTGCCTCACTGACTTTGTGTGTCCCTGAGCATCCAGCGCCTCGTTATCTTCGAACCAGTCCTCTCCGATCTGTAAGCACTTTGTCCAACTGGCAACAGACACCTCGCTCTTATGCAGCATTATCAGCGCCATAAGTTGAGTTAGATGTAAGATCGACATAGTCATCTGCAACGACCTATCTGCGTCTTCCGACAAATTCAAAGCCGTATCAAATGATGTCAACTCCATGGGCAGCTGGAGTCGCCAATCTTTGAGTTCTGATTCAAGCTGCCAAATCCTTGCATTTCGATTCCTTTGTGAGCTGACAAAGTCGTCATTAGAAGAGGCAAGTCTTAGGATTCGGTAGATGATCGCTGCAAGCTTGGCCTTCTCAATATATGCCATCTCGAGTCGCCGCTGTATCCATGGATCTCCCCGAAGCTTTCCAGTTTCCGGCAAACGTGAGTAATTGCTGAGTTGGGAAGTATTCGTGAATACGTCGTGCTGAGGGAGAGCCGTGCGATGGGGTGATATACGTGGTGGCCTTCCCAATGTCAGGCACACATCGCACTCTTTGATGATCAGAGTCCACCAAATTCTCCGGCGCAACGTTTGCTCGCTTTTAGGAAGGTTGGTATCTCTGTCAGGCATGTGAAGCCTCAAGGAACATGCCTGGCTGATCGCAATGCCCAGCCAATAATACGCATCCCTAGAGTGCTCATAGCTGCCCCAGCTGATAAGTAGGAGGGCTGCTTGGCATGCTACCAGACGGTCCGATTCAACGTCCATATCAAATAATACCTAACCGCAACATTAGATACGTCCCGTCAAAATAGGGCCTGTTCTCTAATGCAAACCTTGGCTTTGGTATAGTACTGTTTTCTCGCAGCAACTTTTGACTCAAACCCGTGGTCAAGAATTGTCTGTATGTCAACAGCGGCCAAACCAGCACACATTACCGCATGATACAGAAGTAGAGACATCTTCTTCGGCATATCCCCGAAAAGTATGTCAACAAATTCATCAAGGTCGAGGACCGGTACCAACGGGTGAATAAATTCTGCGTATCTGCGGATAACGACTTTCTCCAGCTCCGTAGCGAGAAACGTAAAGCACCCTCGCGCTTGTAGATATCGCAAATCATCCTCGTCCAGGTGGGATGGGAGAGATTTGATAAATCGAGGGAGATGCGGCGCCAATAGAACGTCAGCCCTGTCGAGAGACTGATTGGAGCAAGTGTCTGGCGAGGCTTGAGCAATGCCATCAAGCTCGACAGTCATTCCCCCTGATAAAGCTGTCTCGTGACCACTTTCTGTAGACTGTATATCTTCATCCTTGAACATGTCATGGTATACGTCTGTATTTGTCTTAGTTGCATTGACGGATGACGAAGCGAGGGTTATCGGTGCCGTCAGAGACATATTGACTGTATCATATGGTCTGAAACCAACTTAGCGAATGGCCCGAAGTCGCGAACAGGAAGACAACTGACCTGCGGCGCTTGTTCTTCGGTACCTCGCAGACGATCCCATCTAGTCGGCAGTTGGTGCATGATGCAGGGGACTTCAAGACATAGTCGCAACGGACTTTTCGACTCCGGCATTGAGTGCATGCTTGGGAAGCTCTCTTTTTCACGGGTTTATTTTGGATGAAACGAACACCTGAAGAGTCCTGTTTGTTGGAAGCCTTCGACTGGGGCGACATGGAAATGTCTTTGGCTATATGGCGAGCTTCCGAGAGGCATGCAAAGTCGTGTTGAGGCAGCAATCAGCTGTTGAGCTGAAGCAAAGCAGAGACAAGCTATAATTGACTGCGATATTTGTCTCCAGAGAGGGGGATTCGCTCTATAACTTGTCAAGTAATACTGTTGAATGCCTAGGCACTTGTCGTTTTGCTAGCAGTGCCCAGAAGTGGACGCTGGCAGTCTCGGCCTGCATGTCCGCGCACACGAGTGCTAGGATCTGTCCATACAGCTAGCACATTCCCTTCGTGGGTTGGCTGCCCATGGGGACTCCACTCGCCCGGTGAGGGAAGGCGAACGAAATAGGTGTGCTGCCGCGGTTAACTGTTTCAGGACCAATGAGCACGTCACCTCGAAGCAAACATGCGTTCATCTTTTTCCATTTCGACTTCGTCGTTGTTTTGCGAACCATCATGCTCCCCGAGCAGTGCAGAGGAGATTGCATTCTGGTTTCTTTCTCCGGGTAGACAGAAATAATGTAATCATTGATGCTGTCTGGAGTAAGTACCAGATGTAGAGGATGCTTCGTAAAAGGAAGCATAGTTTCAAGATCTATGCTGGCAGGAGACGCCGAGCCAGACTGAGGCCAAGGCATAGTCAGTCTGGAAACTGCGGAGTCGCCCGGAACATGACTGTGTCAAGACGTAGAGTCGAGTCCGAAGAACTAGAGTGTGGAGACTGTGCGTTAGGTGAGGCTGTATCGTAGGAAGTCGCATCGATATATATGAACGACTCGGAGAAGCAGCTCGCTCTGCTAGATTTGCCAAACTATCAGGCCACAGGCTCTTACCCACTCGGAATAGCCATCTGTATCACCTTCGGAGTGGTTCAAATACAAGACGTGGTACTTGGTAGGGAGAGATCGTGGCACCTGGTTGCGAAACAGGAATCTGGCGCGAGCTCACGTGGCACGAGCAAGGGAAAAAGTATGTGGAGTCGCGATTTTGGGCCCCGAACTGCGTCCACTGTGCAGTCAAGAATGACTCAGTTGCACCAACACCAATAGTACCTGCTCTCTTCAGGTTTGCTGAATGTTACTCTCTCCACGCATCCAAGAATCCGTTGTCTAAGACTATTCAAGAGTATTCCACCAGCCTGCCAGCCATGGCTGAATCAAAGCCTGCTGCGGCCACCGCGAGCACTCTTCTCAACCCAGAGGCGGCCTCTTTCACCATGCCCAGCAGCGGAGGGGAGACCCTTCTCAATGGAACAACCCAGAGTCCTCAGCCGACAACGGCGAATGGTAATGAACAGATCAAAGACTCCAAAAAGTCGAAATCCCGGCCCGAGACTGCCCCTCGAACGACCACAGAACAAAATGTCGCCGAAGCAGGAGCAGGAGTGAAATTGACCGGCGTACAGTTGAAGAGACAAAAGGCGGCTGAAAAGGCGGCAAGAAGAGCAGAAAAGGTTGCTGAGAAAGGAGCCCAAGCCGTGGCTCAGGCGCAAAGCCAGGCCGCAGCGTCAGGAGCAAAACCAGAAACGCAGAGACGGCCATCAACGACGAAGAGGGAAAGCGACACAGGCCCGCATCACAAACGGACGCCCTCGGGCAAGGCTTTGCCCCTCCGAGGCGCGACCCAACAACAGCTACAACAGCCTCAAGGCTCGACGGTTCCGGAGAAAGAGAAGCGTCAGGAACTCAAACGTGTGTCCATGTTCTCGCACTTGTACCCCAAGGAAAAGAAAGCCACGCTATCTGGCGCCGGCCGAGAAATACATCCCGCTGTGATATCGCTAGGGTTACAGCTCCGCGACTATGTGATCTGCGGCGGCAACGCACGTTGTGTAGCGACCCTGCTGGCTTTCAAGAAAGTTATCCAGACATATACCACTCCTGCCGGCGTAGCGCTTTCTCGACATCTACTCACTCATCTCAATCACCAAATTGCGTACCTCCGAAACGCGCGACCACTGAGCATGAGCCAAGGGAACAGCATCCGGTGGCTGAAGAACTTGATCTCCACGCAACCCGTCGAGGCCACCGACAGTGAAGCCAAGCAAAGTCTATGTCAGGCCATCGACTTGTTCATTCGTGAGAGGATCACGCTAGCCGATGAAGTGATTGCCCGGGAAGCCAGTGCGCGGATCCAAGACGGAGAGGTGATTCTCACGTACGGGAAGAGCAGCATCGTGGAGAAAACGCTCCTCACTGCGCATCAGCAAGGGAAGAGCTTTAATGTCATTGTCGTCGACTCTAGACCCATGTTCGAAGGCAAAAACCACGCAGAGAGCCTCATACGAGCAGGTCTCAAAGTCCAATACCACCTTCTGTCCGGCCTGGCAGATGTCCTTGACAACCAATCTGAATCTGTGACAAAATGCTTTTTAGGGGCCTCGGCGATGCTGGGTAACGGGAGGCTGCTGTCTCGTGCTGGTTCGGCTATGGTTGCTATGATGGCCAAGGAATCGAACAAGAATAAAGGCCGCAACGTCCCTGTCATTGTCTTGTGCGAGACGGTCAAATTCACGGCGAAGGCAGCGCTCGACAGTATCATTATGAATGAACTAGGCGAGCCAGACGCGTTGGTGGAGACCGCCGAAGCCGAGGTATTATCGTCAACCAAAGCCTCCCTGGAAGCAAATCCGACAGCGAAAGGCACCACCAGCAAGAAGCCGAATCAGCAAAAGGACAAGAAGGATGACGATGACGGGGACGACAAGAACAGCCCGTCGAATAACAGGGGGCTGGAAGATTGGAAAGATCAACCGAATCTATTTCTACTAAATCTCATGTATGATGTGACGCCAGCGGAATTCTTGGATCTTGTGGTATGTGAACTGGGCAGTTTGCCGCCTCAAGCGGTTCCGGTTGTCAATGGTGTGCATGGGGATGACCAAGCTTTGGCTTGATAGCTGCAGAGGAGTGGCTCTTCTCCTTCCTCTTTTAGTGGTTTCCTCTGTGTGGATTCAATGAAACGATTAGTGGTGATGAGAGAACATGTGGGATCTCAATACCTAACCAGGCGATGCTATCGAGCAGGGCGAGAATGAGTATGAGCGCGCTCCTACCATGGCAGCCCATTTACGTAGTCAAATCGAAGGTGAAGTCCGATCCAGCTATACGAAATGAATGTGTTCGTGTAAAGACGAGCGACGAGAGATAGAGGGCTCGCAGAGGAAGTTCGCAAGTGCGAGAATACATCACATAGGCCTGCATCGATTCGAGTCTGGTTTCACCGTCTTAGCACATACTACTACCTAGGTATGTAGCATAGCAAGCCATTTTTTTTTCCCGCACGATGCCGCAAACTCCGCTTTGAGGAAAAAATGTCACAACCCTTCCGCCCGTTGTCGGATTTCGTCTGGCAGGATTTTCTCCTCCGTCTCGCCAGTCTTGTGAGAAATGTGATTCTCGCTCTGCTCAGCAAGGCCCGTTCCTCCACAAGCCCCCACTCTCTTCCCGACGTCCATTTTGCTCTTCGCCGCCATCCCTAGGCAAGCAATTCACCGAACCACATCTCGTTCCACCAGGGTCTCAGGATATTGAACTTCCGACGCTCTGGTCGATGGTGTAATTTTGGCAGTCTGCGGTGGGCGTAGACATTTATCGGTGCTGTTTTCACGAAAGGGATGCCCATGGTTAGCCAGAACACATTCTATGTTATTCCATCGTGATACACCTATAGCTTTCCCTGCGTGCTGGACGTACCTTGATGAACCCGATATCCTGGCTCTTCTCCCGGAAGCACTGACGGCAGATGTTCAGGCCGTATTTGCGGATCAGACCGGCTTTGTGGGTGCAGACGCGGCTGGGGAACACGGACGAGTCAGCAGATATTTTCTCTCTCATGTATCGAGATTTCGTGATGGCGCGGTGCAAGGCCTGGGACGCAGGTGGGCAAATCCATCGCATTGAACCCATTTCGCTCCGTGGACTTTGACCTCCCCTGCGCCCGGCATGGCAAGACGGTCCGAACACAGAATGATTGAAACTCAAAGAAAATCCCGCTTCATCCTGCTGTAAAATCCATCTCTTGCTTGAAAAAGGCACCAAAGTATACAGATCTTCCATTCGGGGGTTGCAGGACGATTGATGAAGACCACGTACCAGGAGCGAGAACCCTTGCCGAAGTTTCGGGGTCGAGAGTACCAAACGCTCTCGTGAGACATGTTTGCGGTTTTCCGTCTAGATCTCTTTGCGTGAAGAAGGAGAATCGTCCGTTGGGGCTTCTGGTCGGGGGATAAATATGTCAGAATCTTTTCTCTCGCAGGTGTGCAAAATCTCTGGCTCTCGTCGATATTGCGCAAGATGGTAGAGTGGCCGACTGGGTTCAAGAGAAGGGTGACTCACTGTTCAAGCTGGCGACAACTGGTCGTTTGGCGTGTTGGAAAGACCCTGCAAATTGTGTGGGAAGTTGTGAAAGTTCGGTCGGAATTCAGAATGTGGGTTCCGCAATGCCAAGGAAGTTACAGATCACGTGCAAGCTCTATACCTTGGATGCTCATTGGCCAGAGTCTCGCTTCTCGCCATACTCGTCGAGGGCGAGAGGGGTGGTCAATGTTCTCCCAAAGCAACCTGGAATGCGTCAGGTGTGGTTTCTCCAGCCCTGATGACTCTCCGCATGACGGCTCGCCGTTCCTTACTGGTCAAACTGGTCCAGGTCCGACGTGACCTTGCGGGACAATGCTCCTTTCAAAGATTCGAGGCCCCTCAACAGGAGCTGAATACATAGGTCTGAGTCACACCTGCGGCAAGTCTCTGTACGTCGAGAAGAAAGAGCAGCTAGAAGACCCTAAGATTCCGCTGCGTTACAACCATTATTATGCCAGGCCTCAGAGTCGCTTTCACAGGGGGGTCGGGCAAGGTGGGCCGGCATGTGATCAAAGAACTCCTGCGCCACGGTCACCAAGTCATCAACCTCGACCTCGTCGACCTCGCATCCTCTTCGTCCAACGACTTCCCCGAGCTGCGGGACGTCCACACCATAAAATGCGACCTCACCGACAGCGGCCAGGTCTTCAGCAATCTCAACACGCACATGAAACTAGGCGAGCCGTTCCCCGCAGAGACCCCTCGACCTCCTGACGCGGTGATCCACTTCGCTGGCATCAACAAGCCGATGGTCGTATCTGATGGAGAGACCTTTCGGATAAATGTCATGAGCACCCACAATGTGATCGAGGCGGCTTGTAAGTTGGGTATCAAGAAGATCATCATTGCGAGCAGCATCACCGTCTACGGCGTTGCCTTTGGTCAGGGCAATTTGGAGTATGCCTCCTTTCCTGTCACCGAGGAAGCAGACTGTAGTCCGACAGATCCCTACGCGTTGTCGAAACTGTGCGGTGAGCGGATTGCAAGGAGTTATGCCGCCAAGTTCGGTGTGGACATATACTGCCTGAGAATCGGCAGGGTGTTCGAACCGGACGAGTATAACAGCGACGTGTTTCGGGGCTACGTCCGCGAGCCCGAGAGGTGGTTTCAGCATGGCTGGTCCTACACTGATGCGAGAGATCTGGGTCAAATGTGCCACCGCGGGCTCGAGAAGTCAGGGTTGGGATTCCAAATATTCAACGCCGTCAACGACACCATCACCAACACCGGCCGATATACGTCGCTATTCCTGGAGGGGTTGTATCCACATATTCCGCATACGAGAGAGCTGCGCGGGAGAGAAGCCCCCATCTGCAATGACAAGATTCGGCTGGAATTGGGGTTTGAAGAAGATCATGATTGGACACATTACTATCAGTCTGGGGTACACGATTAGATCTGGCTTGTCGCTGGCTTTTGGTTGAATGCACGGACTTGGCTTTGGAGATATGAACTTCCGAGAGCGGTGATAGGACCCAAGCAAATTATCTTTGCACATGTTCGTGCAGCATTTTACGGACCACCTGCGTGTGCTCATTTCTTAGCTCTTGTTCTACCATTCAAGTCTATCCCAGCTTGCTAAGGAAGGAAAACAAAATCAGAGATACGAATCTGCGCGTCAATGCCATCAAAATTTCAGTACGCTAAATACAAACTTCCCGCTCCACGCATGTATCCCGCCAACCCTCCGTCTTCATAAGTCATAAGAAACGATTATGATACATTGTTGCCGAATAGAACAATTCTGTACATGGTTGAGATCGCGTTTACAAGCTTCTGGCACATCCATCGGCGACGTGAATGTTCAAAGGACCCTTGCACGTCCAATTCCTTGGGAAGCCATTTGCCATCCACCAAATCTGGTAGCTGTGGATCGCCGCCAGGGTGCCTGCCGCATCCTGGCACGCGTAGAAGAAGTTGCGTCCGTGGTTCTGCAGAGACCCGTTCCAGGTGAAGCTGAATTCGTTGGTGCGGACACCGGCGGGCGGGGAGCCGTGTGGAACACTGAAGCCGACGGGCTTTGACTGGCCGGGCACCACGTACATCTGCTGCCAACCCGTCGGGCTGCTGTGGATAGACTGGAAGGTAATGGTGTCGATGCCATTCCTGGCACCGGAGACGATCAGCGGCTCCGAGTAGGATTGGTACTTGATCTGTCCAATGTAGGCGGAGCTGTTGGCGTAGAACAAGCTGTAGGACTGGAGCTCGTTCAAGTTGAAGCGACCACCCCCAATGGCGAGGTCATAGGTGGATGCATCGCGGCGCTCGATGTCGCTGACTTCTGATGCTTCGATGGGTGCGGCCGTTGTGAGGCTGAGAAGTGCTGCTGCCGCAGCGAGAAGGGTGGTTGGTTTCATTGTGAACGATTGGAGAGGGTGTTACGCGTGACCACTGGAGTAGACTCAGTGTAGAGTTGGCGAGTGAACAAACCTTGTAGAATGGGTTGGATAGAGCATGCAAGGAGTTTCTGGCCAGAGTGCCGCCTTTTATGTTGACGTTTAGTCACATCCATGGGCTGATCTGTTCGCTTAGTAACATGCATAGACTGAGGTTACAGTTGGTTGATGGCCATGGCCATCTGCTCCCGTGCCTCTCCATCCACCTCTCTGACCATTGCCCTAGGTGGGAGATCTGAAACATAGGAAATCAGAGACTCAGGAATTGAACAGAGGGTCCCTGAAGCAGGGATTACCCCCGATCTCATCGTCGTGCTATGGAGGGCATTGACTGTACGAAAAGGCGAGAAGATCAGGCTATGAGCAGGTATTGGGGCTGAATCGTGGCTCAGCATTGTTGGATCATATAGGTATAACACCACTTAGACTTGTCTCCGAGATCGAATGCTTTTGAGGCGACTAACATTGGTCGATTTTGCCTCATGTCCAAGACAGTCTGGGGCAAGTATCTAAAGCCCAGGACGGGCCGAAGCTGTTGACGTGGAGGCAAACGGCAATGAGAGATTCGGAAGGGAGTTGGTAATTACCTATAAAGGGCAAAGGAGTCCATGCTCCAGGACCGATAAAATCAAGCATTAGGAATATAATAACTCTTACTGTGTGGGAAAATATCTCAAAGCAACACTCGCTGGAGAAGCCATGAAGTTACTAGGTAATTAGAAGGCCAAGGGAGGGAGTAAGGTAGTTGGCGGAAGCTCTTGGCAGGATTACGGGGACCACTACTACTTTTTCGGGAAAGGTGCGAGATTTCAAGTAAACCATCATCGCGCCATAATCGAACCACCTCCGTCTGCTTCCAATAGAGGCGCATCTCTTTTCCTAGTCGACATCACAAGGCATCATACGTGGTACCACCGTCTAATCGCTACACAGCCCCATCTCCGAGACCGAAAAGATGTCCTTGACGTGGTGTCTCGGAATGATGTCCTCCTGCCGCCCGCACTGGTATCCTGCGTTGATTTGCTCTGGGCCACCACCCCATTATCGTGAAGATCACGCGACTCAGGTCTTCTTGTAGAAGCCCTAAGGATGGCTGGGCTTCAAACCCGTGATATTCCTTCACACAGTACTTTAATGAGCTGGACCTCACATGATCCCACTCTGCCAGCCAGCCTTCGCCTGTGTGCCCCAGACTGGACTCCAAAACACTTGATATTCTTCAAGTATCCCAGCCCAAGCCCACGCATGTCGGAGCGTCTAGAAATCTGCCCTACCATCAAATAACGGGACTACAGGATAACTACAGTCATTACGGTTGAATGTCAACCTCAAGATGGACACAACAGTGGATGTTAAATTGATTGGGAAGTTGATCCATGCCGGATGCAAGCATCACCATTGTCGCAAGCATGCCAAGGAACAGATATCTGAGTCCACTCAACCACCAACCACCACGCCCAAGGTCGTCGGGGAATGGCCTCCAGAGTTCTTGCACTGTGGGATTTGGCCACCACTGCAAGAGCCCTCTGAGTCGGAATCTGAGATCAACATACCCGCCAGACCCAAAATCAAGACAACGAAGCGGAAAGGCCCGGTCAGAGTCTATCCGGACAATATACCAGACATTGACGGAGGTGGCAGCAACGACAGTGAGTCTGGGACGGATGTATCAGACTACGATGACAATGACGACAAGGCTGCCACCCCTGCAGAACCATTAACGGTAGGTTCGACGGAGCTCTCGGACGCGATAGACACGTTGAAAATCAGCACAGAAGGTGCCGATAAAGATGGAGATCCAAATGGAAACGACAAGAGTACGTCACAGCTGCGGTTTGCCGCGAGTTTCTCTCAACGCTCACTTTTGTAGGAATGACTAACGTCATCCATGCTCTAGTCAAGGCTCCATACTCGGTGCTCAAGCTTGTCGCCAGGCACAGCAACGGCGACGGAAGCCCTCGGAGGGGAAATACTGACACCAGCAAATCCCCACGGAACAAGCTTTTTGACCAAGAGGTCGTCGCCGAGGGTCGAGCCCGTGTGGAAATCGCCGACTATTTGGACAGCTTGATTGACCATGGTGACTACGAAGAAGGCTATGGCTGTGTGTGGCCTCTTGAAGAATACCGTCGGTCGGGATGGGCGCAGGAGATGGTCGCCGCGTACCCGGTGGAGAGCGCCGAGTTTGTACGCAAGGTGCATCAGGAGTGCCACCGGCGAAACGAAAATGGACCCGAGCCAGATTGTCTATGAGACGCCAGGGTAGGCGTGATGATATTCCTGCATCGTCTCAACGAGCCACGGCGTGCATAGCGGCTCAAAATGGACCGCAATGCCGGCGCATGGAAATATCTCGGGGGTGGAACGCCTCGCGGAGTTTGACGGGATACTACAAATAGCTTACGGGATTGGTTATGTGTTTGCTGGAGAGGTTCATGGGGGTAAAAAACCGAGCTCACAAATGACTGAATGACTGGATGGTCACGGCAGCAAAATATGGAATGCATCAGTAGCTCACGAACAAATTCGAGACTACACAGGTTCCGAGAAGCAAGGAGCCATAACTCGTGGGGAGATTCGAAGGCTTCATCTAGACGCTTGCGGGAATCTGCTATGGAAAAATAATGAGGCTGTCCCAGACGAGGCTGTAAGAACCTCTTACGAATGCTGGGGCGATGGGGGTGGCAGTGACGAGGCTTTGCCAGGCGGGGTTGGTTCTCCTGCTATATAGCACTAGCTCCGAGTCGTTAACCGTAGCCATGCAAGGGTCCGCCTACTTCCCCACGCTTTTTGTTTACCACTTCCAATTCCTCGCCTGCAACATTTGTCGAAATATTGTCTCCATCAATCCCATCCATCCCACTCACAAACCCACCCTTTACATTCACAGTCTCAGTCTTGCCTGCGCTTAGCACGAATCTCAGAAAGCCACTCCAGGAAAACAATGGTACGTCTCCGATCCTCAAGTTCAATATACCCAGCCTAAACTTCGCGGCCCCTGCCTGTCTGTCCTCCCCTCTCCGTCTATCTCTCAATCAATCCGACAGTCATTCAGTAGCTAACCGCGTTGACCTCATTCAACCAGTCCCGCGACTCCTCCTCAACGTACATCCACCTGCACGCATCGCGTCTGGCCGACGTATTCGAAGAGTTCTGCCGGCCACCTGCATCGACGGTCTTCGCGCTCTCGTCCACACCGCTCGCGGCGCAGAACCACCACCAGCAGCACTCTGGCCACTCATCCAGCGGCGTCGGCGTCGGCGGCGGCGGGATCGGCGGCAGTTCGCAGCCAATGCAAGGCAACATCGGCGACGGCAGCGGCATGACCTCCCTGCCGGGCCACTACCTCCCGTTCGAGGAGATCGCACTGCCGCCGCACCTGATGCCCATCAACCCGGAAGACGAGGACGACGTGGTCCCGGACATGCACGCCGCGTTCGGCATCAACCGCGCCTTGAACCAGAATCTGGCCTCCGGGGCTATCGTGCCGGGCTCGGCGGCCGCGGCGGTCGCTGCGGCCGGCGTGGACCACGGGGCGAGGACGGCGGGCGCGGACGGGGCGGCGACGGGCGAGGCAAGCCACGCGGGCGCGACGAGGGAGCCCGTGTGGAGGGATCTGGGGCTGGATGCGCTGGTGGCTGATGCGCAGCCGAGGAATGCGGTTTCCACTGTTGGCGGCGCCGAGGGGACGAGACATAGAAGAGAAGGGAAGAGGACCGGCTTGTTGCTTCTACGGTGATATTGCTGGAATAAAAAAAACAAAACAAAACAACAAAGCAGTAGGCGCTGATGCGGTATTGGGGTCATTTCATGTGGTCATGAGAAACACGACATGCATTACATCCCCAAGCATAATCCCCGGCTTCTGTTGATATCGATGGGGGCGGCGGGATTAGCCAACAAACATCACCTCTATGGACACATCGAGATGCTGCTAAACCACTATATTCTTATGATATCGACCCTCCCCCGTTCAAACACATTATGCGCCACAGTCCTGGCCGACTTTTCCTCCTCGGACAACATGCGCGGATGCAGCGATATCTGGGAATACGTCCCAGCAGCCTTGCGCTTGGACAGCTGTCCTGGGTTGATGACCATGACGCTGTCAACGACCTGCAAACTCACTTATCAGCTTCATTCAAAGTTACCAGACAAAAATAGATGAACATACCTTGATGGAAGGAGTCAACATGCTCGGTAGAATGAGCACATCAGGCTTGACTTGCATCCATTCACCAAGCTTGAGGTAGCCCACATCCAGACACGCGCCGGTGGCTTTGACGACACCGTTGCTGGACAGTTTATCTCTCGACATGGGCGGGAAAAGAGGGAAAAAGTGCCGCTGGTCGATCAAATACCCCGGTAATCTGGTCAAAAGATCTTGCCCAGGGCCATGGGAGAGCTGCTCTCGACTGAGTTCGTACAGGATGTCTTGTGACGAGACTCCAAAGACGACCTCGTTTAGTGAAATGAAAGACGGGTTGGGAAGCATGGTAACTTGCTTGGGTAGCGCAAGATCTTTCTTCGTCAGCCTTTCTTGTGGCCAGCTGACGTGTTTGCTCATCAAGTCCCGCGTGCTTGGGATCGTGACCACTGTGATGCCAGGAACAGCAGAGCACAGGCGCTGTAGAGGCGTGGAGATCCACAGTCGGAAGAGGGCCGCCAGGCTGGCTTCTTGATCCAGACCTCGCACGTCTGGCAGATCGAAATCGCCCGACGCAAGCATTGGGTGCTCAACGTCTAGAAAAGGTCCAAGTAGAATGAGGGCGTCGGCCATTGATTCCTCGGCTTTCTCACACAGGGCCTGAAGCGGTTCATAGTCGAGGTTGTCTTCGGCGGTGAATGGACCGGAGGCGATCATGATATTGAGTGGAAGTGAACTCGAGTTGTCCGACACTTCGAGGCGCTCGTTGATCGCCTCAATGTTGCTCGGTAGCGAGGAGGGCATTGGGAGCTTTGGCACGGAAAGCACTTCTTTGACTGTGAAGTACAGCCCGGAAGCGTTTGTGCCTCGCAATGCCACGATCTGGCCCGGGAAGAACTGATAGGATGGCAGACCGTCCACTTTCAGAGGCACACGGAGTCCCGCACCCATTCGTCTCGACATTTCTAAGACGAGTGACGCTGAATTGAGCTTGCCGTCCGCCGTATCGCACGCAATCCTGCCAACTGCGATGATCTCGCTGGTGCGCTGTGCCGCCGCATTTCCAAATGCAGAGTCTTCCAAATTGTGGGCTTTCTGGATGAGAGCCAGGAAATCATCGATTCGTTCGTCCAGTACCTCTGAAGACTCTCGAAGGCGCATGGCCATCGGCTTATACTGAAATTTTTTGTATTCCGTCCCCGAAACCAAGCGCAGTCGCGCTTGAGAAAAGGGAGCGATTGGGGCTTCGGCGGCGGAGAGGTGCTCGTTCAATGTCTCGATGATTTGTCCTGCATTTGGCCGTTCTGAGAAGGGTATGCCTCTGACCCATGTTAGAATTTGTTATATCCATAGCACTGAAGGCATGAACATACGCAGAAGCATCTATTTTTCCAGCCTTCCCCGGCGTCGTCCTATTTGTAGTTTCCGGACGGCTGACTTTTCTGGGTACCGGCGAGTCGAAATCCCCCCCCTTCCTCTTGACGCTGCCGGTTCGTCGCGAAATCGCATTGGGAGTGAGCTCGTCCAGCCTGTACACACACTGCGCATCAGCATCGTACTCTCTCTTCTCTTACTCGATCGAGACATGTGGCAACATACATCCCAAAGACATCTGAAGAAGTGCCCACAGCCCTAGGCGTAGCTGCATGCACAAGACTCTTCCTCTCCGACTTGACCGCCGACTTGGGCGCAGCGGTATGCTGGTGCTGGCCACCCCTCTCCACCGAGTCCTGCACATCCTTTGCAAACATCCTCGCCGTCTCGAGGTCCAACTTCGTCTCCTCGCTGCCCATCTTCAGACAGTACACCTCCCATTTTATGAACAGCTCGTCCACACCCAGAGAGTGGACGCGGAGTATCGACTCCAGGACACCCAGGATGTCCGGGGACAGGCCACCCCCTGCCCCGGCGGGATCGAATACGGCGTTGAGGTTTTCTTTCATGGCAGTCATCGTGCTGGTGCGTCTCTGAGAGCCGTCGGTAGAGCGAATTTTCACTCTCGTGAGGCGGTGCGTCGTGATGCCGACTTACACTGGAGGACAGCGAGGAAGCGTCGAACAATTGGAGACCGCAAACGCGGTGGAGGACGCGTTAATTGATCGCCAAGATCTGGCGTTGAAAGACTAACCGCTTGTGGATTAAGCAAGCTTGCACGCAAGGCTTTGCTCTCCGACTCCAAGGCGTCTTTACTCTTAAGAGCTTATCATGGGACAATACTCTTTCGCAAACAGTTCAAGTAAGGAATTTGGAGCATGCTTAAAAAAGATGCGCTCTTCAGAGCCATTCCAAATATGGGAGAATTGGCGTCCCCTATCAGATACGACCATTTTATCATATCATGTGCCGGGTCAATGGAGCAGCTGAGTCTATTACTATCATCGCGTGGCCGACATTTCCATTCTTCTCATTACTGTGCCCGGCTGGATGTAGGTCGTCGCGCCCGAGTCCCAGCAGTCAGCCATGCCATTGCAGCGCCGTCCCGAAGACCCTATGTGCAACGCCATGCTATTCCTCGAACTTTGTGATATTCCTGTATCTGTACTCGCGCCTTGACCTGTCACTGGCATCGTTCAAGGCCGTTATCAACCCAACGCCCTTTCTGATTCCCTTCCCGTCCTTTTTCGCTAAGGCCGTTTACTCATCACGATTCGTCTGCAAGTTCCTTCGTGGAAGATAGGTCATGCGCCGTAAATCTTCTCGGCGCTGAGATGCCCGTGCCCAGCACCGTCTTTCTCCTCGGAGCCGTCTACAAGCAGATAGTGCAGAATGTCACTCAGACTCAGCACTCCTTTGAGGTAATTCTGCTCGTCCACCACCATCAACCTGTGGACCCTGGACTTCTTGATTGTTTCGAAGATGGTGTCTAACCCGTCCTCGAGTGAGCAGCAGTATATACCTGGGTGGTTAGGTGAGCGGCAACTGAGAGCTTTGCCTACAGTCCAAGTCAAGTTGCCGTAGTCGCCGGATTTGAGGATCTCAATCACGTCAACAGCTTCGAAGACGTTCAGGAGCATGCCTGCCAAAGCTCAGTCAGTCTCGTTCGGATCGGTGGAGATTGGGGAAGCGATCCATAACATACCCTCCGTTGTAACAACCGGCACACTACTGATGTTCTTGGTGACCATCTCATCAACCACATCCAATACCGTGGTGTCCATACTACACCTCACAATGCCGGTATACGTGCCCAGTTTTATCATCTCGAGGGGCTTTCTCAGCATGTCTGTCTCTTTGACGTTCATAGAGATGAATTTCAGGATACGGTATTGGGTGATCACTGAAGTGACCATGGTGCGCTGGGTGTCGCTATCATAGCTGACCAAGGGTATTCGACGAGCGCGCGAAACAAGTTGTTTGCGGAGAGCATCGTAGAGGATAGCTTCTGGCGAGGCGGAGACTGTTTCGGGAGGTTTGACGTTGAGGACTTTCTCGAGATCTTGCGCGGTGTAAGTCTAGGTCGATGCGAATGATCTTGGATTGAGGACATGGCCTTACCTTTCAGATCGCTGAGTAGCAATTTATCCACATCTTTCAGCTTATCGGCGTGGACGTTGTAGTACCTGACAACGTTGAGGTAGTCATTGACGGTTAAGAGGCCAGCGTAAGTGGAAGTATTCGAGTCCCATAGCGGTGCGGAGACAATGCCTACAAGCACCAGTATATTAGCACAAGTTCCTTCCGTCATACTTTCTCGTGAACGTGAAGGCATACCACACTGGACCATGATCTGTAAGCTCTCCTTGACCGTGAGGCCGACATCTAGCTCGATCAGGCGGAAGCTCAAAGGTAGCACATCATAGCATTTGCGCGCTCGAAGGAAGTCCCGTATTGCCTGCAAGCCGGCTCTTTCATCTCTATCTATAGGACGGTCTGCTTTCGGAGGGGCAGGAGGGGGTATGTTGCGAGGAACAGCCTTGGGACGTAGCAGGTCTGATGGCCGGACGAAGGTGGCCTCTTGAGCGCCGTAATTAGCGGCGGCGGAAGGGGGAGGAGAAGGGGCGCTATTCTGAGTATGCGGGTGGTGTTGTTGATGGTGGTGGTGATGAGAGTTGTGGTGGTGGTTGTAAGGGCTGGTGGGTTGGCCATTTGGCGGGGTAGAGCGCGCATGCGAAGGCGGCTGGGTCACCTCTGTGTCGTCTGCCATAGCGACCTGTCAAACCGCATCTTTTTGCTTTGCTGCTGCTGGGAATGGCAAACTCTGCTTCTCGCCGGGTGGTTTGCGATGATGTGCGGTGGTGTCAAGTGTGCAGTAGAGGAAGGATGAGAAAGAGTGGAGAAAAAAAGGTGGGCTTGTCACACGAAAGGATTCCACAGGAGAGAACAGTATGAGGGATGGTGAGCTGGAAAAGGTGGTTGCTAGACTTCGTTACACAAGGGTTGGATCCTGATTCATCGGCCAACTTGTGTGCCAGTGCAAAAAGACACGAACCTGCGAGATGCACGCCATATCCCGTCTTCCCGTCCTTGGGCTCACGAGTCACGATTCAGGGCTGCCAACCGGAGCGGTGGTCCGGACACGGCGGAGGGGGGTGCGAGGGAGCGAGGGGGGGAGGGGGCGAGGGGGCACTGGGGGGAACGTGCAAATGGAGGGGCAGAAGCTGAACATTTCGATTCGGCTGCTGTTCCGACCCCCAAATTAGCATGTGATTCCCATTCCCCTGGCTGCAAGTATCGGTACCGAAAGTACGTATCCCACGCAGTAGTCACAAGACAGTATGCCTGTTCCTATCATTGAAACTCCTGTCCCTGATCTATTCAAGGCACTCTAAAGGCACTCTAGAGAATGTTGGTGTATCCATGTAGCCAATCAGTATCAACAAGATCCCCCGTCTCCCTCATGCAGAGGATTGCTCCGTGTCCTTCTCCCGTTCGGCCAAAGACTTCTCGCCTGCTCCCTTGAGGTATCCCTCGTACTCGCCAATTCGCTTGCCTCCCTCCTCCCACCGGCGCCGATATTCTGTCCTCTTCCACTCGCACAAGTCATTGAGAGCGGGCCAATACACGTCATGATCATATTCGAACTCGACAAGTCCCCCGCTTTCCTTGAGCAACTGTTCCCGGGGCACGTGTAGTCCCATGTCTTCGTTGAACTTGATCTTCTCCTTTGTCAACGGGTCAATGAACGGTGTGATCAGCTTGAAGAAGCCCCAGATGTAAAATGGCACGTTGGTGACAAGAGCACGGCCCAGCCTCTCCGGGTAGTGATTCTGGAGGATATTCAATGTCTGCTTGCCCTGAGAGAGTGTTGCGCCCTGTCCAGACTTGGTCTCTGCAAAATTGATAAGCAGAGCAAGAGTCTCTTGCCCAGCTGGCATCAGATCAATCGCTCGCTCCAGCATGAACACCAAGTGCTGGATTTGCCGATCGCTCCGCTCGGTGTTTTGCTTAGAGGGTCGCAGGTATTGACAAGTCCGTCCCTGGATGTCCCACCCCAAGATCACCTGTTTGCCCGACGCGTTTTCAATCGAGATGTACTCCTTTGTGTGCTTCTCCAATCCATACTCGCGTCGCCAGACCAAAGTATTCCTCAGTCTTGTTTCTGACTGCGCCACGTTCCAGTTTGTAGCCCTCAAGTAGCGGAACAAGCATTCCCGAGTCAGGAACATGCGCTCTGAGTCGGTCAGAGGGGTAGTCTTCGATCCCCTAGCAGAGGACTCTGGGATCTCAGTCCACGCAGACACGTTCTTCAGAAGGGTGGCATATTTGCCTTCTTGTTCTGTCGTGAGCGCTGGTCTGGGAGAGGGTTTCGAAGTCTCTAGAGGTTCGCCTAATGGTGTCTTGATCAGCCCTTCGGCGGCGGTTCGTGGTAGGTCAGGTTTCTTGATTGCAGGAGCTGCGGGCGTAGCCCCATCGTCAGGCTGCTTTTCTGCCGCAATTGAGTTTGCTTCGATGGCAGTCTCATTGTGATCCTGGCTTTGAATTGGGGGCTGTGTTGTGGTCTGTGTTGCGGTCTGAGTGTTGGCATCTTCGAGCTTCACTTGGTCAATGCCGGATGCGAGACCAGCAGCCGCCTTTTCAGGGTCAGTCGCCGCGTCGGGCACTGTAGCACTGCTCGCAACCTCAGCAGCCATGCTACAAGATCGTTGACAGACGGCAGGAATGCAAGGAAGGGATCAGTTAGATCCTGGAGCGCGGTAGATTCACATTGTGGACGTATAAATGAATTCCAAGATTGTTGGGGAAGTCGGTGAAGCTAGAGTGGCTAGCAGCGGAAGCCCCTGTTGCCGGTCAGCCTGATAAGCCACATCTGACTATACCGCAACCACATAGACCCTGCGAACAACGTCATGCGAGACTGAAAATGCGAGAGATTCCATTAAGTTTGCTCTGACTCGAGTCCTAGCTCTAGCTACGAAATATCAAATACCATCTCTCTTGTCGACTGGCTCACTTCAGATACGCACACTCCGCAAAACGTCCTTCATCTCCCAATCTGCTCGAACAACGACCGAAGGCTGTTCATTGTGGCAAAAGGACGTCTGTTCTGATTGTTCGAACGACTGTATCGACAGCGCCATTTGATGATCTAGCTGTGGTCCATGTCATGTTTCCATTGCCACCTCTGGTTAAATCTTCAGCTCTTTGGCGTCTGCTGGAGGCTGAGTCGCATCGTTCTGTGTGAGCTTTCGCCATTTCAGCCGAAGAAGCCGCTTGACACCCTGCCATTCGGTCGGAGACTCCGGTCCCAGTATGATGTAGTCCTGGCCGTCTTCCTCAAACAGATCAGCACATCGGATTTGCAGAGTGTTGATCCAGTTGGCCGGAACACTCATTTGAGCATGATGGACGATCTTTTGCTGCTTTCCACGTGTTTCGTCAAGGTAGAAGGGGCCGCAGTACGCGAGGGTCTTCTTCGCTGCATAGGCCAGCTCTTCGGTGGTGCCTTCTTTCCAGTCATGGTCGGATGGTTTGAGGTCCGCCTCTTGTAGCAAAGCTGCCATGTACCCGTCGTTGCTATACATGATTTGACCTTTGCACTCCTTGCCCATTGGGTAGATGATATCTTCCGGGTTCTCAAGGTTGATGCCGACGTACGACACCAGACCCCAGGTGCCAACGACGCGAGACCGGAAGGATGCCATGTCGGCCGGCGGGGACTCGACTGTGTCAGACATTGATTCTGGCTGGATTTGCAGTTCAGAAGGTATTGAAGCTTTGATCCTTTTCAGGTGGAAGGAAAGGGTGATTAAGAGCACACCAATTAACAAACGAATGCGAGCTCAGTGACGGGGACTGAACAGCAGCAAACTGGGAGCATCAGACGAGCATAGAAAGGGAAAGAATCGACACATTGGCAAGAAGAACGGGCATGCCAGTACCGTGCTGTCACCCGGTAACTTAGGTCCCATACAAACACTGATCGATCACGACTAAGCAGGACTGATATGAAAGGGATGATCGTCTCACCGCACACCAAACATGCACGGAACTCCTTGCAAGATCGCGCTGATGCATGCAAAAAAGTAGGTGCCCATCCACCACGTGAGCTGTTCCAGTACAGACTCCTGGCATCATATATCTAGATGTAAGTTCGCACAGGTCGTGACAATTCGCATCCCCAGTGAGAGTACCTAGGTAGATAAGATGAGAGAAATTCGAGGAAGTTTGTCTCCCGCAATTATGTATTTGCCCGCAGTAAAGCCGACGAGCTGTCGTGGTGTGTTCCTACTAGTCGAAGAAAAGTCACTTGCTCCACCGTACTGCGACGTCAAGGAAAATGCGTTCTTCCTGCTGGCCAGAAGAGTGTACACATCTGTCGCCAGAGCAGGTCTCCGGTCAAAGCGACCCTCTCTAGTCTGGGGTCTTTGTTTATCTATTACATCTTGTAAACCGTCCTGATACGAAAAGCGCCACTCCAATATGCCGCCACCTATGCCCAACCCCGCAAAGCGGATGACTGCAAACCCTGCGCGACCCGTTGCAAGGTATCGTCCCGGCAAACCAGTTGCGGAGCAAGAATCGTCTGACGAAGATGAAGAATCAGAGGAGGAACAGCAGCGACCGCCACCCCAGAGGAAGCCACAGACCACGAGACCGCAGCCGCAGAGGGCCCAACAACGTAGACAAGAGGAAAGCGATGAGGATGACGAGGAAGGTTTCGTTACAGACGAGGAGGAGAGCGCCGATGCTACTGTAACAAAAGCAGTGCAACAGCCACTCAAAACTACAGTCACTTCGGCCAGACAAGCTCCGATAAAGCAGGAACTCAGGACAGAAGAATCAGAGGAAGACGAGGAATCAGAAGAAGAAGAGTCCTCTGAGGACGAGGAAGATGAAGAAACCTCCTCTGAAGAAGAAGAACCTCGACGAAAATTCCAGCGTCCGACTTTCATCAAGAAATCAGATCGGAAACCTTCCACACAACCCTCCAACGCCCATTCCGAAGCGGCTGCAAATGGCGCGGACCCAGATCCGGAGTTAGACACCCAAACTCGTCGTCTCGCCCAAGCTGAGCTTCTGATCAAGGACAAGCTCGAACGAGACGCTCTAGCCCGCGCCCAGGGTAAAAAGGCATGGGATGACGACGACGAGCTAGTGCCTGAATCCATGGTGGACGACACCGACGGACTCGACCCCGCAGCCGAATACGCAGCTTGGAAACTCCGGGAACTTAAGCGTCTGAAGCGAGACCGGGAGGCACTCATCGCACGGGAAAAGGAGCTGGAAGAAATCGAACGGCGGCGCAATTTGACGGCGGAGGAGCGCGAGAAGGAAGACAAAGCGTACCTCGAGCGACAGAAACAGGAGCGCGAGGAGGGCCGTTCCGAGGCCGCGTTTCTGGCCCGATACCACCACAAGGGCGCATTCTTCCAGGGCGACGAGACGGCCGAGTTGCTCAAGAGGAGAGATGTCATGGGCGCGAGGTTCGAGGATCAGGTTACCGACAAATCTACTTTGCCCGAGTACATGCGGCTGAGGGACATGACGAAATTGGGCAAGAAGGGAAGAACGAGGTACACGGACCTGAAAGGGCAGGATACGGGCCGGTTCGGAGAGGACGTGAAAAGGTGGAAAGGCAGTGGTGGTGGTGGCGCCGGCAGGGGAGGGGCCGGAGCATTCGACACAAGAGGTCTGGACGAGCGGTTCTTGCCCGATGACGACCGTGGAGGAGGGAGCACCGGTCCAACGGGCGCGAATGCAAGTGCCGTTGCTTCCCGCCGCGATAGGGATAGGGAACAAGACACAGATGGGGACAAAGACAGAGACTCGCATCGAGACTCGTACCGGCCTCGAGACAGAGGTCGAGATCAGCGGGATGACGGAGACTGGGGCAGAGACCGACGAAAGCGATCATATTCCCGGTCCAGATCGCGGTCTCGCTCGCGCTCGCGCTCTCCCCGACGGCGGAAGAGGGAGCATTCATACGAGCGAGACTCGCGGGATCGCGAACCCTACCGACGAGAGAACCGCGCGAGAGTCTGAGGATGGACGGTGCGCACTGGAGGCACACGGTGAACTAGATGCATCAGAAACACAACTACAGCTGGCGATGGTTCTCTGATCCCCCTAGTCGCTGAATACCCCAAGTAAGTACGGCTGCAGTCGTCGAGTTAATTTTAGTCGTCGTGCCGAAACTGATGGTTTTTGGAACACATAACTCATACATATCCAAAGGCCGTGTGTCACACAGCCTTGTCATTAGGTATATCACTGTCACTGTCACTGTCACTGTCTCTCGTAGGTAGCACACACATCTCATCATCTCACCAGATAGAGATCCCAGTGAGACGAGAGACACCCCAGACGGTTTGCCAACGGACGTTTGACAGAGACGAGAGTGTGGGATGGGAAACAGACTGGCGTTTGCACACACACACACAAACACCCACCCCTCCTCCCCTCTCCACGCCTCGCCCTCGTAGGGATATAAATATCTCTCCTTGATCTTCTTCTGCTTTCCGGCTTTGCTTGCTTCTCGTTCATGATATCCTCGCTCTATCATCATATCATCATATCTGAAAGACAGGAGCGCGAAGAGCAAGTCCAGCATTCGAAGCGAGCCAACATATATCAAAAACACAGAAACAATGTCTGAGAAAGTCAAGATGATCATTTCAGGTAAGACTTGACTTGATTCTGCAATGGACATCTTCATCCCTTTCCCATCACAGGAGATGGGAGTTCCTACCCTTTTGGATCGGGGAGTGCTTTGTCAAAGCGGGTCGATCTATGTTCGTTGACTCAGCAACTAGGAGACCCAGCATGCACTGTCCGCCCACCTCGACCGAGACCATCGGATCCCTCACCCACAATAGATATCGACGATAGCACAGGTGATGGTATGGAATATCCCGTGTTCTTGGTTCGCTCCAGGACCACCTGCAGTCCTGGTAGGTGTCCATGCTGACAGACCTTACAGACGGTCGTACAGTCGAACCCATTCGACCCGACACTCCTCCTCCTCAGCCACAAGGGGGTGCCAGATAGGAAGAGACTTCCTATGGCACATAGTTGGGATTGAGTCCTCATGTTCCTACCCTCCCACCGAAGTGAGGAGACACGTTCACTTCATGTCGTCTGAGAGACCGATGGGACGTGAGCAGCTAATGTGCCGTGAATGTCGTAAGAACATCGGGTGGACAATTTTCGAGGTAGGATGGCTGGGATGAACCATGTTATTGGAGTGCGGTGGTATAGGCGGGAGACCAGCGGAGGCTCTGCTGTAGATAAGGGGCGTGTGCCAGATGATCTGTCGAATCCAGCTCTTCAAGCACATTTGAGGGCCTTGACGACGAATGCAGGGGTGCAAATGCCGCATGCGTCGAGTTGAGCTCCTGGTTCTCTCAGGTAACCAATCTGAGCTCTTTTCTCTGTTCTGTTTGTTCTTCAATCCTTTCCATAGTTCATCCAGCCCATTCCTTCCGCTATAGTATTCGTCTCGAGAAGCACTGCGATAATATCGCCCTTGATATTGCTCCCTCACTTGACACCCTGCCTCTCCAACTCCTTCTCCCGTTCCATCACACTTTCATCAAACTTGATCAGAAATACCGTCCGATTGGGCCACACTTCCGTGCCGGTATTGTGCGCACTGGCCTTACAAGAGAAGCCCGCACCGTCGCATACCCCCTCGATGATTCCCGCAATGTACGCCGCCACACTCAGTTGGGACATCTCCTTGGGGACTGAGATGTACTGGTTCGTGAGCGGGGTGTTGTCTATGATCATGTATTCTCCGGGATTCGTCGTGGACTGTTCGAGCGAGTCGGCGGGACGGGAGAACAGCAAGGGATAAAGCTTGGTCGTCAACAGCGTCAAGAGAGGCAACAGCCGTAGCGGTCGACTCGCTCCCGCTCCGGAACTGCCACTCGACGACCCTCCACTTGACGAACTCGACCCTCCCAGCGGTGACGCCCGGTAAAGTAGCAGATCCAGTAGCTTCAACCCCAACGGATAGCCTTGCTCGTTCAGTCTTTTCTCAAAATCCTGTATCCCCTTCACCCTCTTGTGCGCATACGCGACCATCTCCATGAACAGGTAGGCGAAGCTGGCTCGCGACAATTCGGCATTCCGAGAGCGGTTGAGGTTGCGGTCATAGATGGTTTTGCGGGTTGACGGGTAACGTAAGGTCGATGTAGATGTGATGCTGGTGGGAGTGCCGGACGTGCGGTCTGGGAGAGGAGTGCCGGCGACCGTGGATGAGGCAGAGTATTGGGAGAGGTGTCGAGAGGGGGAGCCGCTGTGTGAAGGAGTGTAGTTTGTGAGGGATGGCGGAACAGCAGCCATGACCCCGGAGGCGAGTGCGCTGGAAGCAGCACCGAAGGGCACAGGTAGATCGCTTATGATCCCGTACTGGTCAATTGGTGAAGTAAACTTGTTTAGAAGCGATCACTGATATCGACAATAGTGTCGGGATGTGCGAAAGTGGACTTCCCTGTCAAGCGACCCAGCGGCGGCTGTGAACCCGGAAGCCTAAGAGGACCTCCAATACTATCCACATACCAACAACCTTCCTCATTTCCTCAATACTCTGTCTGTTTTGAGGAACAACTGGCAAAGAAGCCGGCTTAGGATCCATCTCGCTGCCTACATAACTCTAAGCTATTCATGCTGTCTCCCAGAACAGCCTCTTGTACCACGAGCTAGGTCTTGCAGGTTAAGTATGGTCATAGGGGAGCAAGCCGGCGAACGTGCCTGGAGTTCGGCAAGGTCAGGGCAGACAGAGGAAAGAGAGAAGGGCATGATCTGGGACAATAGAGCATGCCACCATGATTCAACAGCCTCTTCCTATTTCTTGGGCATGCTATCTTGCTCGAGCGTCACGGCAGCATTGTGCCGCACACTCCCAAAATGCTGTATCATGATATAAAAACTCTATCACAAGCGTTTCGTCGCTCTCTTCGTCATGCGTTCTCCCAGAAAACTCATGGCATCAGATTGAGTCTCGCGTGGTCCCGCCTGGTCCAGCCCTTGAGGACGATACCCATCCCATCTCCTCATCAGGTTTCTTATCCGTCTACACTATTGTGCGCCCCAAACCCTTGGGCCAGGCCCATCAACTCAGTGAGCGTAATCGTAGACTGCGTGCTAATCTGTACCAGCACTGGTCGTCTGGGATCTCGGTGTTGGTTGGTCTTGCCGCCATCATCCCTTGAATTCTTCTTTCACCGTCGTTTTACCGTCCCATTCATGAAACGCCTTTTGCCGTTGTCTGGAGTTCCACTGTAAGGTCCTGGAAATGCTGTTTACCCAATCTTCACTTCGGCGCCCAGGTGGCATGACGTTAGCAAACGGATATCTAGAGGCCGATATGGTCACATAGTCGCCTGGAAATAGCTCAATTCTGCCATCGGGTTAGTTCGGACTTCGACAATACACGGCCATAGTACGGGTACTTACCTCTCCCGCCCGTCAAAACTTGCCCACGAGTTCGACCGTGCATCGAAGGGGACACCCAGTCGAAGAACAATAGTGTCGGGCAGGATAATCGGTCTGAATGACAGAGTATGGGCGCAGATCGCTGTGACGAGAATAACAGGATTCTCGGGATGGCATAGTGAGCCCCCAGCAGCAAGATTGTACGCAGTGGATCCGGTGGGAGTGGCGACACAAATCCCATCTGCTTGCACAGTCGTAAGGTGTTCTTCATCTCCGAAAAGTTCAATGGTTGACATTGTCGGGTTGGGGCCCCTGTCAACCACGATATCGTTCAGGATCTCAAACGTCGCGTCCGGTTTATGGGTATTTCGATCATCGGCTTCCTCTCCGATCAGTTCTTCCACGATATCTCGATGTTCTGCGTCGTCGACTCGCTTGTGGGACCGCATAACAGTGCCTTCGAATCGCAATCTCAAACTGATCGTTACACCATCCTTAAGGGCCTGCGAGAGGATGTGCTGATAGCTGTCAAAGTCAAATTTTGTGAGGAACCCCAATGAGCCTAGTGCGAAGGATAGCACAGGTGGTACGACTCTTTGGAACAGCCAGCTCGCATAAAGGACTGTCCCGTCACCGCCCAGTGTGATCACAAAGTCAAAGGTATGTGGATGCCTCCGAGCCAGTTCAGCATCCCAATACCTCAGACGCTCTCGAAAGGAAGGGTCCTCGGCACAAATACCCTCAGCATCGAATGCCGGGTTGTCTTTCAAGCTGTCCTCGACATATACAATGTAAGGTACAGATCTGTCCTTGGAAAGCAACCACCTCGTCACCTCTTTCGTTTTGGTAATCAATGTCTTGTCATAGATCTTGGTGAGCAGAAAGATGGCCCTGACCCTCAGTTTGACCTTTAAACTACTCAATCTCTTGGCCATTGTTCTCACGCTCATGGCCATGTCACTCAATTGTTTCTTCGTGAGTAGGCGGGATTCTGTCGCACGGTTGTCCTCTTGAACCGAATCCTGACCATTGCCATCCAACTTTGACGCAGGCTCTAATTCGTCGATCTGTTCGAGCTTCGATTCGACTTTGGGTTGACTGAACGAGCTTTTCTCGACCAGATTGTGGACCAAGCACTGGGATTTGGTGCGCTCTGCCTGAATCCTCTTCGGCTTCTCAACTACAGGAGTTTCCGCAAGTACGGTGGAGGATTTTCGTCTGCGGACAGCTTCATTGTCGAAGACGACCTGGGCGAAAGAGACGAGTCAGGTCGCGCAGTTCGAAATACACACACTGGCAAACTCACTTCTATCTTCCTGTTGTAGTCATCCTCACTGCTAGAACCATCGTGTCGCTTTTCCGAGCACCGCTGTCAGTATCATCACTTCTCGATTTGAGAGGCTAGACATACATCATCTTCGGGCAGAACCTCACTTATCCTGCGGCTCACCTGAGGAACATCCCTCGAGTTGGCCATGGCGGAAACTGGGAGACAAACAAAAAGAGATGGTCGACGTGAGAATATGCTCTACGAGTTCATTGATCGCACACTTGTATTCGAGCAACGGGGGCCGGTGTCGTGGTGAAAGTTTAGCCAAATTCATTGATGCAAAAGTGCCTGGGGGCCGTGATCCAATGACGCAGGAGTCGCAGGAGTCGCAGGAGCTGATGATCCCCGCCATGAGGTTTATGTAATACAGACTAGCCGGATTGATGACTAACCGGTCTCTTTTTGGAAAGCATCGCCAACTCCACGGCTTTGTATAGACAAGTAGGTTCTTCCATCGAAAAGTTCGAGAGCATAAACTGGACACAGTTGAGCTGAATTTAAGGAGAAGTAAGACAGAAGAGCAAAATAGAGAAAAGATATTGCAGTGTAATTAAAAATTATGCCCTCTCGGTAAACGGGGGATGCTTGCCGCAGTGTTGTCAAAGCACCTTGGATAGACGTTAATACATACATACTATGTAGCTGAATCATGTCTTCATTGGGTATCATATTTTGAGGGTTCTGTTCGTTAATTCATAATTTTCGTTGCCGCGGAATATTTGCCAACTCTATTCTCAGAGGACCGGCACGACAGGCGTTATTCCTCCGGTGGACGGACCTTGGACAACATGACTGGACATGTCGGTCGCTGTCTTGAAGTCCATGACGGGAACTCTCACGGTGCCGTTCTGCATCTCAAACTCTTCTGCTGATGTTTTGACCGGCGAGCTGCTCTTGGAGGAAGCAGAGTTGGAATCCTGGGACGTCTCGCTGGAGGGAGTCATATCGGATTCCGACTCGGCCACTTCGTCATCATCAAACAGTCTGATGGGCTGCTCCTCTATTTCAGCCCCCTGCCCTAGGTCAAGATGATCTTTCATCTCACTGATGACCGCCTCCAGGTTCGCACTGGTTGCAGTCGTCTCTTTTGGCATTTCCAGTTCTGACCGAGAAGGTGGTGGCGAGCCAACAGCTTCGTAGAACAGCATGAATCCGTTCCCGCGGGAGAGGACCTCCTCTTCTGCAATCCTGGTCACGCGCTCGTCGTTGAAAGAATACCAATCTTTATCTCGTTTCCCCAGGGCAATATAGTGACCATCATGATGGCTGCCGTAATGCGTCACGACACATTTCAGCTCGTAGACGGCTTCGACCGAGTTATCGTTCTTGTCCAAGGGAGCACACCATCGGCTCAAGAAATGCAATCTGGGAGGCGCTCGGACTTGAGCGGTGTTTTTTAGCTGGTTTCCGTAGTTATCGAAAATACTGCGGTTGATGTGAAGAACCAAATCTTTGGGCAGCCGCCCAACCGTGATTTGCTTTGCCTTGGTCCGCAGAACTGACTTTTTCTTCTTCTTTGGCTCGACGTCGGCTCGCTCTGATTTCTTGTCCTCGTCTTCTGTGGTGTCTGCCTCTCCATGTGCCAACTTTGTGCAATTCTCACATTCGACCCCCTCAACTTCCTCTGGTGCTGTATACTCATCGAGCAACGTCGCAACATCACAAGCCCCTTGCAAACCCAGATTTAAGGTCAAGCAGTTGAATTGCGTCAAGGACAGACCCTCAGTGAAGCCACAAATCATGCATTCGAGACATTGTGCAGTCATGCCGTCCACAGGATTCCGCAATCCGCTTTCCCTCAAACTTGCTGCTGGTTGACCCCGAATCCTGCTGGTCCACGAACATTGGACCTGCTCGTCCCCGTGGGCATCCGTTATTGGACTCTTCTTCTCGAGTGTCCTGAGGCACTCTAGACCTGCAATTGTAGAGCGTTTCATCTTGTGGACGTATTGGTTGGCCTCCTTTTCGACCGCGTCGAGAACACGTGAGAAATATTCCTGGGCATCCTGCTGTTGCCAGCTGTCCATAGATTTGAGGATCTTGGGAGTCCAAAGGACGGTAGTCGGAGAGTTCGGATCAGATAACTGTTCAAGAAAGGCCACCAAAGCTCGGTGTGTAGGTGCAGTGGCGTCGTATCTGTCACAGCATTCCATGCTCTGCTCTAAATATTCAATGAAGGCTGGTAAAGATGCCAAACCCTGCAGCACGCTGTTTTGATAGCAAGAGTTGTCCCAGTTTCCTAGACCAGGAGGTCCAGTTCCGTGTACCAATGGCATGTATGAGCCGGACAAACTCCTAACCTTCCGAAGTGCAAGCGGCAGCTGTGGTTGTCCCAGTATCTTCTGGAAAGCCTCCTGTTTTGCAACCATATCTCCAAAGTTTGCTTTGATGAAATTTGCTTCCTCCGGGCTCAGGCGGCCCAGGCGAACCATGCCGTACTGCAGAGCGTAGATCAGGGGGCCAGGGGTTATGTAGACGGCGAATTCGTAGACGGCTCTTTTGATCGTCGAAGGCCAGGCATCCAAAAATGACAGAGCATAATATCCTAGAAGCAACAAAGCAAGTGTAGAAATGATCTTGGTCTCGGTCGGGTAGGAGGTGATCTGATGGTCAGAGGGCCTGTCGTAAAATGGGCTCTCGTTTGCCCTAACCGGGAGGTTGTTCATGTCGAACGAGGGAACGCGAGAAGGGGACGGAGAAGATGCAGGCGGGGTGTGGATTTGGTAGATGTTTTCCCATCGGTGACAGTAGGAAGCGCTTCGCTCTTTGTCAAGAGATTCGAGGGAGAGGCGAATCGGTTCCGTGTGATCATGACAAGGCTGCTTTTCGGATGACGAGTAAATTGATGTTTGTATTACTTTGCACGCTCACATATCGGGAAGGCTTGGCACATTAAGATGAGGTTTCCTTCCACTGCTACAACAGGGGAATGTGCTGCATATCTTGGTAGAAACAATACAAATTCGGGACTGCAAGAATCATATCTAATTATTGTCCTCTAAAGCTGTAGATTTGCGTTTCGGTGCATTTCTACTACCTGCAGGGGAGGAGAAGTCAGATTCGTTCTGTGCTGTACTCAACCCTAATGTGGCCTTCATTGGCAGAGTCTGACCATGGCTGTCAGAGGCGTCGGCCATGTTAGTAGAGTCGTCCTTGCTCGATTCTGCGCCATTTCTCGCCTCTCGTGATATCCGCCGCCTATCTTCTAGCTCCCTTAATGCGCGTTCCGGGTCGCCAGTTACATTCTTGACCCACCACCTCTCCCAGATCCAGTCCAGAGCTAGCTCTGTCATTTTTCTCAGATACACCAGATTGGGTATGTCAGCGTGCGTGACTTGGTGACGGAGATCAACGAAGTTCTGGGGCATCCCGATCGTGGCGGCGTGAGCATACATGGAGCTTTCACCTTTGGCAGCACTTATTGAGATTCGAGGGACCTCTTCTCCCTCAGGAGTATTATCCCGAGCCATTTCAGCAGCATATGAACGAGCGACATCACGGTCAACGAATCCATTGACAAACCTCGCAAATGCCATGGCATATATGCTCTGCATGGCCAGCTCTGAGATGGCGGTACCGGATAACGACCTCCTTTGTTCATCGTGGATCAAAGCATCGGTCAAGCTTGCCGTGGCTACCAGCGCGGGAGGTAGTTGACCGGCCTTGAACAGCCAGAGGCTGACCCTGTCAATAGCACGCTGCCTCAGGTCTCGCGAAGTGTGGCATAACACGGTTGAGTATAATTCCTGTTTCGCCTGTTTCGGAAAGAACCAGTCTCGGACCATGGCTAACTCAGAGTCGTGTCGCCAGGGTGGAAACTGCAAAGCCATGGTGCTGAGAAAGCTTTTGGGCCCTAGCAGATACGAGATTTGATAGGAGGTTGGCGATTTGGCAATCGGGTTGTCGGCTCACGCCCGGGTTTGGAGTCGAATGAGGTTTGATAGGATCAGGTCGTGATCAACTAAGATTTGTTGAGCAAGGTGATATCGAAGCGACAGGAAGGGTGCAATGGGATGGTGCAGTCAGAGGGCGCGACCTCCATGCAGGCTCGTGCTCAACGGTTTCTGGTTGATCCTCCGGGTAAGAGCCCGTCAAGTGATGCAACAGAGGGAAAACCCAGACATGATCTGAGATAACGAGTTTGGTGCGGCGCTCGGGTGTTTGCGCGTACACGTGACTTTGGTGTCTCAAACCAATGACACAGCACCAATGGAGCCAAAGTGGGTCTCATGCATGTGCCCTGCTTCTATTGGCCGACAATCAAGCACATCTCATGAACCGCTGCAAGATCTATTCGTAAGGTACGAATGCACTTGTTGCTGAAAATGAAGGCCACGACAAAAAATGAGAATACCTTCTATTCAATTTCAAGGCGTGTCTGTGCCTTCCACCGATGGCAGTAATGTATTCCCTTGAGTCAAATATGATGTCTTCAAGGTGCCTAGTTATCTAATTTGTACACAGGCCTGGTGATCCTTCCAAAAGGTCGTCACATAGGGGTATCATGGCTATATAAGGACAGTGTGTGAACGCTGCAAGTATGCCATCCCAACCCACGCCTCTTGCTAAGTAACTGGTCATAGCTGTCGTCAAGTCGTCAATTTCAGGCCCAACCGTAAGAATGGCCAGAAGGGTAATAGGCGCTGTTCAGCTGCCTCAGAGTCGAAAGATATTTCATAGCCAGCGAATCTGGCTGTGCTTGCATCCCGAATGTCAAGTGATCCGCGATAGAAGGGGCCTCATACTCGTCAGAGGTATTCCACAAGTTGCCACCACCATCTTCATCGTGCTGAGCGTCCTGCTGGCCCGCCTCATCTTCTTCGGCATCCTCTGTATCGGCGTCTTCTTCGTCTTCTTCCTCCTGTTCCACAGGTTCAAAGGACTCTTCCAGCTTCAATCCCTTTCTTGCTGAGCCTGCAGAGCCGTCGAAGAGCAGACTTGATGACTGGACTTCAGCGGGTGAATCGTACAAACCCATGGCGACCAATTCCTCGGAGTCATCCTTCAAATTCGAGTCGCTGTTGCCGAGGGATAATGTGTCAAGCCCGAAGTTCTGCAATGGGAGGCAATCCGGGGAGGAGGGAGCCGTTTGTACATTCGGCGCCATGACGGGTTGGTTGAAACCCCACACTGGTTGCACGAAGGATTGTTGAGAATAGAGCGCAAAGGGATTTGAGTTTGATTTGACCTGTCCCTGGCCGAGCCACATGGATTCGAGGTAAGGTTGACTCTCATATACTGAACCCGGATCATGGGTTGGCAGCTCATCGAGCGGCGTGAAGGGCTCTCGGATCTGGGGCTCGTTCATGGCCTGATAAGAGATAGGCGTTACGAGGCCGTGGACTTGGGCCGTCGAGAAATCCCATGTAGACAAGTCCAGCTCATTGTCAACCGGGTTGAATGTCGAGTTCAAGGCCTCGAAAGAGTTCGGATGCCAACTGACAGGTCGAGAGCGAGGCATCTCTGTGTTCTGCCACTGTGTGCGGGAGCGGAGATGGTCGACGACAGACCTAGTTCTCGATGAAGCAGCGGCTGCAGTCATGGTTTTCCTTCGTCCCAATATCCGTGGACTGCTATTCCTGCTGCTCGGTTTGACGACTTTGTTGGGCCGGACAAAGTAAGAGGACACATTGGCTGAGATGGCAGGGTTGTAAGTCGTTTCGGGAGGAGAACAGTGGTATTGCTGAAGGGCATCCATGTTCAAAACGCTGTTGGCGGACAGAGAGAAGTGAAAGACTTGGGTGGTGCCAACAGTCCATATCTATCGATCGAGGGGACAAACGGACTCGGGACAAGGGCCAAGTCGATAGTGGATATGGTCCCAAAGGGAGACAAGGCAAGATTAAATTGGTACATCAGTTGCAGCGAGGAGACTCTGGCTACTGCTTGCAGCAGCCAGAATTAGTCAATACAAGAGTATATGGGTCAGGGTTTTACGAGGGTGGAATAGTTTGACCCAGGGCCAGGGTTTGGCGAGGGAGAGGCGCAAAGCCAAAGCATGACGAACATGACTCCAGGACAGGTACGGAGTACTAGGCTACCAGCAGGGGACGGGGTTTATTGGCGGGTCACAGACTTACAGTGGGTTTATCCAGGGTTGGGACCAAGGGGAAGCGATCAGGCGAGATGCATCAAGGAAAACGGGCGGCTGCGATAGCGTAGGATGTGGAAACCGGGGCAAAAGGGAGTGTAATGGTGGAAATCGGGAAAAGCCAGGCTCGGCCGGCTGGCCAGCCATAAGCAGCGCACTGCTGCGCATATTTGCGTCAGTCTGATGGGCCATGGCCGACGGCGATCTGAAAGGAAATCAGTCCCACAGAGGGAAAGGAATGCAGAACGGCAAGGGAGCTCGTCGACCGAGGAAACGGTAAGAGTGCGAGAAAGGTGGGCCGCAAAGGATTGGATGGCATTGACAGGATGACAGATTTGACTGCTGTGCAGGAGGCACCCAGGAGGGAATTCACAGCAGCCTGGAACCAAAGCTTGTCAGAGTCGTGTAAAGAGCCACGAGCCATACCCGTAAGTGGAGGTCAGAAGTGAGGTCAAGGTGGACAAGTATCAAAGGAGGCTATTCTTTTAGCGCCAAGTTTGCTGGTGGGTGGGCACTGTACGAGTGTCATACCAGCGCCAGAATCATTCCGAAGATAGGGTTTGAGGTGGCTCAGCGTGAACCTGGTCAGACACGGGAAACAGCGAGGGGAAAAGAGCGGAGGTGGCCAGAAACACCGTCTCATGCGTATTGTACAGCCAATGCCAGGTGGAAGCATGAGGTTAGAAAGGAAACGCGGCCGGCGGACACGGGATGACGCGGTTGCATTCCTGAATTGTGCGTGTTTGAGAGAAAAGCCAAACAGGCAGGAGGGCCGTAGTCTCGTAGAGGCCGCAGGGATGCATGGTTTGGCGTTGATACAGGTTTCTGAAGGGGCCAGAAATTGGTGAGAGGTGGATGGTCACAATTGAATCGCCAAAGCTGGCGTAACACTCGTCCATCCTCGTTTTCACCCGTAGTGCAGCAGGGATGTTTTGAAGTCTCGTAAAGCCCAGCTCTTGCGGTGCCGCACAATCGCCTCTCGTAAAATGGACTAGGTTGGGCTTGAGGAGGATGATCGCGAGGCAGCTCAAGCAAGGTAGGAGGACGAGGGAGAAGTTTGGCTGGGGCGGGAGCTTGGGTCAATAGCCTGCTGAGTTCAAGCTTAGCACTGTTAGCCGCCTATCCATCGGGTCGGGAAGGGTTTCTGAAATTAGTGGAGTGGAAACTGGGCAGGGTGGAAGCAAATCGAGAAAAATCCCCATGAGTCAGAACCAGGGTCGAGGGTGTATGGGACGATGGGCGCATTCAGGAAATGGAGAAGAGCATGGCGCCGACATGGCAAGTGAGAAAAGAGAGACACGGTCCAGAGAGCACAAGACTCGGAGGGTCAAACAAAGAAAAAAAACGGGCCGAGGGGGCTGCCATGTGGGGTGGAGACCGGGAACGCGCACTTGGGAAGCTGGGGCCTTTGCAATGGAGATGTGATGGAACTGCGAGAATAAGAATAACAGGGATCAATTACCCGTACATGCAAAGTTGGGTTGACAAGGGTCAAGGGGGGAATTGCGCAGTTGGCACAGATTCACAGAGGGCGTGAGCAGGTTGAGTGGCGGCCCCGTGAACACCCGGGACGATTCTCCAAGTACGTTAGCACTGAGGCGCTGTACGAGCAGGCATTTACTCGTAGCAGGCATTAGCAGGGAGTATCGGGGCGCCAGGTCACCAAGGCATCAGGTAAGAGAGCGGCAAAAAGCCAAACGGGGGCGGGCAACCAGGCCTAATGGGGGAAGGATGGGCAGTTTCGAGCCCGTCTTACTACTTCCAGGTTGTCCTCTGGAGCGATTGCTCGTACAGGCTGCCCAGCTACTCGGCTTAGACAAGGATGGAATGAGCGAGAAACGCGCAAAAAAGAAGTTGACGGTGTGAATGCGTCTGTGCATGATGCAGCCCACAGCCCACAACCTAGTCCACAGCCCCAGCTTCCAGGCCCAGGCCGGGCCCGGCTTGAAGCTGCGAGTCTGCGACTGTGACCCCTTGTCCGGCGTGGATCACCGGCACACGGCAAACTGCATGGCCAACTTTAAAACAGGATCAGCTGCCTTGAAGGCGGTCGGTGCTTTTCCCAGCAATGCCATTGGGTAGCCGAAACTACGAAGGAGTTGGTTCACCGGAGATTTTGTGATGGTACGAAAGAAACCCTCAGTACCTAGGAAGGAGTGGCTTGGGTGGACGAGATCGCGTAGAGAGGGAATGGGATCAAGGGACGATGCTCGCGAGAATACCTACGGAGGACCTCGTAGGTATGGAATCATGCTGTGAGGAAGGGCGCAGGCGAGGGAAGGGGGCACGCCCAACAAGACGCAATTCTTGAATGAAATCATGTCCTCGGTGCTCGCACGGAGGATGAATAGCCCTGCTAGTTAAGGCAGTCTCCATCTAGGCGCCTTCAATGGGGTAATGGCTTAACTAGGCGTAGCTATTTCCCCTCGGATTTTACAGGTGACTCGTACCTAGTGTCGCCTACGAGTAGACCAGACCTTAGTGCTTGTGTCGAGTCGTTTATCCCTTCGTATTGGTCCATTGTTCCCCCATCAATGCCGAACGGAGAAAGTCGAATCTCGAAAAATCTGCGATGTTTTCCTCTGACTCGGGACCTGCATCGCGCCTCTGGGTGCACCCACCTCTTCCAATCCCCTTTCACATCAGCCGCTTCTCTCCTTACGCCTGTGTGGAGTCGGTCGCTCTCCCCGAATAGCATCAGAAGACCTTACTCCATCGCCTTTGTCGACCCGACATTGACCTGTCTGCCTGCCTTGTCTTCCCTGCTTGCTTGATCAAGATTGTTGTAAAACCCTAATTCTCCCTTGACTACTCGGTACTCGTGGACTGACCAATGGCAAACTCCACAGTCTTCGGATCTTCTTTCAGGCTCGACTCTAAGTGCAGACCGCCAAAGGCAGCTGACTCCAGTCCTCCGTCAATCGTCCACTCTCCATTCTTCCTGCCGATCGTCCTCCAAATCAAACATTTACTTGTCGGTGAAACGACCCTTTCCCTTCTGGCCAGACTGATTGCTTCGGCAACAAGAGCTATGGGAATCGATCAACGTTGAAGGCTCCTGCTTGATAGGTGCATCATTCTGGAAGTGCGTGTGTGATCCGCAGGCTCCTTGTCGATGACCGTCACACAATCGGTGATTTGGGAGCACGACGGGTCCTGACTCGCCCTTACAAATTCGATACGAAGTGACATGGGGCTCCTTAGCAATCCTAAATCCCGAGCACAATTTTGGCAGTGTCGCTCTTGGGTGGAAGCGTCATCAGTGGCTGCAACAGCGCTGGTCTCCACTGTCTGACCAGTTTGCTGCGTAATGGTAAGCTTCAGGCCAAAAGGCTGACAGCCTCCCAGCGGCGAACAACACCCCCTCACACTGCTCTTCTGACACCCAAAGGTTCCTAGTGGCTTGCTGGCAAGGCGCGCGCCACGTTACCTCGCTTCGAGCCTACGATTCCTATTTTCCCGTCCACTTGGGTGCAAATGAGACAAGTCCAAAGATGCCGAGCGACATCCCCTGAGCCCTGCTCGCATGCTACGTGCCGAACACAGGGTGACTTGGGAAAGTCGATCGGCTAGCTGCCGACTTTCTTGTGCCCATCCGTGTGCCCCTCACAGACGGAGGACGATGTGGACGGAATTGCCGGCATGAGAAAACAGTCATGAGCGCGAGCAACCTCTCACAAAGGTGGTGGGTAAATCATACAGGACCGGCAACAGGTACTGAAGGGCTTGCACACGCTCCAGAGTCAGTTGTGGTTCATTTCGGAGATGGCGCCAAGCTACCGTATACCGTACTGTGCAAAACGATGAGGTATGTACCCAGGTAGAGTTCGGAGTATAGTTACTCTGTATTGACGCCCCAAAGCGATACTAGGAGCTACTCGATTGGTCTCCTAGGGGCCAAACCTCGCCCCTTTATCTCGCCCTGATCCGGTAGTCGGGACGCGCATTGAACGCACTGCGACGATAATGTGAGCGGGACCCATTTCCGTCCCTCTCAGGTAGATCCGTGGTGTCATCATGACCACCCTTGCTACCATTGCCTCTTCTAGGATGCGAAATCACAGGTCTCAGCCTAGTAGTAGTGCGTCGCACTCGTCAGAAGCACCTTCAGCGACCATCAGGTCTTGGCGACTTGGACAAGAGAGCCTGGTCGCCACTCAACGATGACAGGATTTACAGCGCTCAGATCTGGCCCAGGCCACCCCTACATCTGTTCGACCTTGGTGGATACCAAGTACAACATCAGCGGCAAGAAGATGGCTGTAGCTCGTACGGAATACATACTTGTACGGAGTTCCAGATGTTCCACAAGGATGCTTCAGGGAAGAGGGAACCTGGGGTCCAGCGCTACTAACGATCCACACTAATAGGCCTCCCGGATACTCTAACTCCACTGTCCACGTTCTCAGTTCGCACGATCTGTGCCCCTATCATCATCACTATCCTCGTTTAAGGCTAAGAAAGGATTCGTACGCCGCAACGACGGACTGTCTTCCGTGGCTCCCTTGCAGTGTTGAGACAATTAGCCTCGCAGTTCTGCATCCAAGTCGATCCTAGTTCGGACATCAGTTGATAGTTGTGTCCGCCAACAAAATAGCCTCAAGCCC